ATCAAGAGGTAGTATGAGCCTTGCACTACCGCGCGCAATCGAGCCAACAGAACGGGTCAAGGAGCACCGCGTTGAGGCATTCAGCGGCATTCAGCTGATCCAGTACAACGGAGACTTTGCAAAATGGCGAGTCTTCAAAGACAAGTTTGAGGCTGGTGCACAATTGACTGGAGTGTTGGACTACTTGAAGAAGCCGAAGAAGGAGATCTCAGACTGGTCTGAGGAGAAGGAGATGGTGGCGCGAAGGGCCATCATCACGTCGTTCGCTGACAAGGTATTTGAGACGATCAGCGAGTCAATGGTCACCACCCCAGTCGATGAACTGTACGCAGCCTTGTGCGTGAGCTGCGTCATCAATACCTCGCAGCGCATCAAGGAATTGAAGAGGGACCTCTGGGCTCATGTTGCAAACGAGGGCGACGACATCAAGGTGCACTTTGCCTTTGTGGATGGGCGAGTTGCTGAGCTGCGAAGTGCCGAGCATCATGTAACCAATGCTGAGCACATTGACTTTTTGTTGGATGGGCTTCCAGCCGTCACCGCCTGGAGCGCCTTCCAGAACGCATACCGAGCCCGCGTCACTGAGACCACGAGGGTGGACCAGGTCCGCCAAGACATTCGTCAACAAGCGGCAGTGCTCGCGAATGATGCACAGAAGCAAGCCAGCGCCCAGGCACTCTTGTCGCAATCGTCTGGTGGCAGGGGAGGTTGGAAGCGCAACGCTGGTGGCCAAGCAAACAAGAGCACTGGTCGAGGCAGTGGACCCAGGTGCTACCGATGCGAAGAGTTCGGCCACATCCGAGCAGATTGCCCCAAGATGCTTGTCGACAAGCCCGTAGAGGGAGGTAGTGAAAAGAAGTTTGTCGCTTGCATCGCTCCAGAGACACGAGTGAACGAGACCGCCACTGCGCTGCATGCCTATGGCTCGACGAGCGCTGAACAGCAAATCTCATGGGCTGTCGACAGCGGCGCTTCTCACCATGTGGTCAGCTCGATAGATCTCGTCCAGCCAGGCTCTTTGCGATCCGGCCGTGGACCTCGAAATGTCAGCTTTGGCAACGACACGTCGGAGGTATCGGAAGGGTTATGCACAGCAATCATTCCGACTATTGACGGCCCTTTGGAAATGCCTGATTGCATGTTCGTGCCAGGCCTCAGCTTTAACTTGCTGTCTGTCGGGGTGCTTGCTGGTATGGGCTATCAACTATTGTTTGATGAGAACAAGTGGCGCTTGATGTCAAAGCATGACGGCCGAACAGTGGCGGAAGTGCCGAAGCGCGAGGGTCTTTTTTGGCTTGATACACCTGATTCGTCGCGTTTACTGCACGCCAAAGCAACAGATGTGGAGCTTTGGCATAGGCGACTTGGTCATCCGGGCATTGTTTCAATGTTGCGCCTCGAGGATATGGTCACTGGCCCAGATATTGGAAAGCTTACGCCAAATACTGCGGATTGTACGGGTTGTCAAAAAGGGAAACAGCCAAGATTGGCGTTCCCGAAAAAGTCAGAGTCTCGTGAAACAAAGCTCTTGGGTCTCGTGCACAGCGACCTTGCTGGCCCATTCGTGCCATCTTGGTCGGGCAAGCGCTACTATGTGACCTTTGTCGACGATGCGAGCCGGTACACACATGTCTACTTTATCAAGCAGAAGTCCGAAGCATTCGAGAGATTCAAAGACTTTCAGCATGAGGTCGAACGACAAACTGGACAGAAGCTGAAGATCCTGCGCAGTGACAATGGCGGCGAATATGTCAGCAATGAGAATGACAGATACCTGCGAGAGATGGGTATTGTGCATCAACGCACTGTGGCCGAGACACCTCAGCAGAATGGCGTTGCAGAACGAATGAACCGCACGATCAAGGACCATGCAAGTGCAATGCTTCATGAGGCTGGCTTGAAGGACAAATTCTGGTCCTACGCAGTGCACACTGCTGTTCATTTGTGTAATCGCTTACCCACTCGAGCTCACGAGAGCATGACGCCATACGAAGCCTGGAAAGGTATCAAACCCGACGTCTCCTACTTGCGTGTATTCGGCTGCCGCGCTTGGGTGCACACACAGCAGTCAAAGTTGAAAACGTTTGTGTCCAAGGCAAGTGAAATGATTTTTGTTGGCTATCCGGACCAGGTCAAGGGATACCGCTTCTGGGACCCAGAATCCAAGAAGGAGCGTGTATCGAGGGATGCCACGTTTGTTGAGGACCAATTTGGTCGCAAGGGGATACAAGAGCAGGTGGAGCAAATGGAGACAGACGACGATGAAGTGCGTGTCGCTCCGTTCCTTGGCTCTGTGACTCATGAAAGCGAGGTGGAGGCAGAGATTGACGGCAACGCAGAAGGCGGTGAAGATGGCGACGGACGTGGTGATGACCAGAACGAGGATGCCAGCAACACAGGAGACGGTGAAGACGGCGACGGACGTGGTGATCACCAGAGCGACGGCAGTTTTGGCATCTCGACAAATTTGGACGACAATCTCTCTGGCCTCAGTTTGGCAGAAGGGGATCTCAGACTTAGTGACGGCGAGGAGGTGGAAGACTTGCAGCAGCTTCAGTTTGGCGGAGACGCAAATGGCAGTTCAGTCGACGACGTAAATTTATTGGAATCGCTTGACATCGACGACGACAATTTGGCACTCTCTCCAGTGCTCGGTGCAGTGGAGGACGGCCCACATGATCATTTCTCGGATGACGATATCAACTTGCTTTTGGCCAGGGCTCGTGACCTGGCTCAAGATGATGCACAAACTGATGTCAGTGCCTCTGCTTTGATGATTGCGGCATTGACTGACGCACACCCTCATCCAGTCGGCAAGGATCCAAAGGACATTGTGACGCCAAAGAATAGACGCCAAATGCTCAAAAGTGACGAGCGTGACCTCTGGATCGAGGCAGAGCAGCGAGAGATTGCAAACTTGCTGGAACGCGGCACTTGGGAACTCGTCGATACCGAGCCAGGCCAACCAGTAATCGGAAACATGTGGCGATACAAGCTCAAATTGAACCCAGATGGCTCGATCGACAAATTCAAGGCGCGCCTTGTCGCGCACGGGGACCAGCAAGAGGAGCATGTTGACTTCTCGGAGACCTTTGCTCCCGTTGCAAAGTTCACCACGATTCGCACCCTGCTAGTCATTGCTGTCAACAAGGGTTTGAAGGTCTGGCACATGGACGTTGTTGGCGCTTACTTAAATGGATACTTGTCAGAGAAGGTCTTCATGCACGAGCCAATTGGCTATGAGAGTGGAAATGGCGCTGTTTGCCGTCTCAAGCGCACGCTATATGGTCTCCGACAGTCTGGTCGCGAGTGGTATATTGTCATGTCGGAGTTCCTGTTGTCCTATGGATTCCTGCGATGCGAGCATGAGCAAGGCTTGTTTGTTCTCAGAGGTGGAGATATTCGGCTTGTCCTCTATGTCGACGATCTATTGATGATTGCTGAGAACGACAGCGCCCTGGCTGATTTCAAACAGGCATTGTCAACAAAGTGGGACATGACAGACCTTGGTATTGCCACACAATTTTGTGGCATGGAGCTATCCTACGCTTCTGATGGCAGTATCACCCTGAGTCAAGCACGTTACTGTCGGGAGATTTTGAAGCGCTTTGGACTCGAGTCTTGCAATGGTACACACACACCAATGATGAGCGGCCTATCGCTCTCTCAAGCAACATGTGATCCCACACCAGCCGAACGAGAAGAGATGGCAACCATGCCGTACATGGCCGTCATCGGGAGCTTGATGTACCTTATGACCGCAACACGACCAGACTTGGCACACTCCATGGGCGTCCTAAGTCGTTTCATGGCAAAGCCGAGTTATGAACATTGGCGGGCAGCGAAGCAACTCCTACGCTATGTGCAGCACACGAAGGATGTAGGTCTTGTCTTCAAGAAGGGCGACTTGGATGTGCACGTGTACTCAGACTCCGACTATGCCGGCGACCTTGACAACAGCAAGTCAACCAGTGGGTACATTGTCATGCTCGGCCCAAACTGCGTTTCTTGGAGCAGTCGGAAGCAGGAAGTCATTGCGCAGTCTACAACGGAGGCAGAGTACATTGGGCTGGCCAACGCGACAAAGGAGCTCGAATGGGTCAAGATCATCGTGCAACACCTACTGCACGACTTCAAAGCCACCGATGCGCGCTTGACATTTCACATCCATGGCGACAATCAGGGTGCTATCGCCTTGGCAAATGATGCTCGCTTCCACACCCGCACCAAGCACATACGGACGAAATATCACTTTGTGCGAGACTGTGTACGGCGTGCTCGCATGTCACTCGGATACGTTGCTACTGGAGACATGATTGCAGATCTGACAACCAAAGCACTAGGTCGGCAGAAATTGCAAAAGTTCATGGCAATGCTCGGCCTTCGTCGCAAGACTAGCTAGCCTCATGGACGACAATGAGCTAGGTGGAGTGTTGTGTTGAGACGTTGATTGTTTCAGGAGCTCATTGATGATGCGACGATCAGGGGCCCAAGCTGACACGCTGGCAGGTTGAGGACATAAGTAGAGCGGCTGCGCTGCCTTTAGTCTAGCAGAGGACTAGTAAAATCAAGAAGGCTCTGCGCTGTTTCGACACGAATCGTAAGCGAAACGCTTTCAAAAAGGCCGATCAAGCCGCGTGTTTGATTTTCCTTCATAAGACCCTGTTGCACGATACAAAGGGGCATCTGCCCTGGGAAAGGTAGGTGGTGTCTCGGATTTTTTAGGGTTAATAGTCTCGTGATCAGTTTCGAGTGAGTCATAGAAGCCCTGGATGCAAATCACAAAGAGGTCGGCAGAAAGTTGTCTATCTGGTCGGCCAGCGAAGATTCGCGGATGAGAAAGGTCTTATGAGGCTCGACACAACTATTTTTGGTGTGAACCGAGCTGGCAAAGCCTGGAACAGGGATTTGCACGCTTGTCGCACTGCTGCGGTCCACGAACGCTTGATGCACGGCACTGACAATCATCAGCACAAGGCATGCCCGTTTTCTTTGTGTCTGTCTTATTGACACCCTCCGATAATATCTGAAATTTACCCGCAAAGGGCATCCTTCGAAGCTTACACGAAACACTTGAGCTGTCCAGCCTCGGCCTGGCCAACTTGATTCTTGGCATGCGCATAAGAAATGGGAGAGCCAAGTCTGCATGTTTGTTACAATGCGCGCCATGCGCACATCATTTTTGATACTCGCGATATCTGCATGAAGCGCGCGTCGATGGCACCATAACGTCTCTCGGCATACATTTAAAGTAGATGTTGTTGAGTGAAGCAGAGCTTCGCTGGGATCAGTTCAGAATCAAACCTTTCGGAGGATTGGGGGAAGTACATAGATTCATTCTTACCTGCAATATAGTAGGGGATGATGATCAATTGAGCTGCAACTGACTGTCAGCAGCAATGCCATAACCGTGTGTCCTTAAATCTGAATCGTTGTCATCGCGCGATGACGGAGAGTACTTAGCATGCTTGACTATTCCGCAGCGCTTACGAAGCCGTGGTCAGATGCCTCAGCTTGCACTAAACTGTCGTGTATGCATTTGTACTTCGAGAGATCGCCAACAAGAACCTGTGTTTGCCAGTCGGTCTCTCCGAGGCTCTGCGCTGTTTCGACACGAATCGTAAGCGAAACGCTTTCAAAAAGGCCGATCAAGCCGCGTGTTTGATTTTCCTTCATAAGACTCTGTTGCACGATACAAAGAGGCATCTGCCCTGGGAAAGGTAGGTGGTGTCTCGGATGAAGTATTTCGACACGTTTTGCAGGCACAGCACGCTTCATTACAGTGACAAGATCGTCAACCAAGAACTGCGTCTCATCAAAGTCTGGTCTAGCAGCATAGACGTCGTTGATTGCCTGCATGATATCAGTCTGGGATTGCTGAGCTGCTAGGTGACTTACATCAGCTCGAGACTCGCGGCTTGCCGAGAAATCTGGCACCAAGAACATCTCTACCAGCTTCGTGTACTCAATTTCGCCATACATTTGAGACAGAGGAGATTGCACCGAGCACTGGAACGTTGCACCACTGGAGTCGATGACTGCCAGAGTAGCACGTTCAACAAAACTTTTGTAAGAGATAGGATCCTTGGCAAAGCGTGAGTCGCGTAAAACATACTTATGCCATGCGGCTGCATGTTGTGGTGACAAGAAATTCAGAGACACGCACAATTTTGCTTTGTCGCAAACTTGGCGTTTCGACATTGTAGGCTCCTGACAGTCGTCTGAGCCACCTGATTCATCAACGGTAGTACGACGGTACTGTGGGCAGACTTTAGTGATTTCAGAGTGCTCCGCATCGATGCCCATCCGCAAGGGCCTGATGTCGAGGCTGACCTCGAAGCCAAGGAGACCTGCCGAGTGAATGACGTCCGTCCAGACAGAGAGTACCGTGAAGCTGTCGGGGATCCAAAGATTGTGCAAAGCGTGGACCACCTCGAAACGATCAGCCTGTACTTGAGGCATGATGCGCCTGAAAATGGCCTTCAAGTCTCCAATAGTGAATTCGGTCTCGTCGTACGTGGGTCGCTGGGTGTATATCTCGTTGAGGCGCTAATATTAGCCTCCGTTGCTTGAATGTTTCTCTTACCCTGGCTCTTTGCTGTTTGTCAAGTGCAGGCTGTTCATGCCAAGGGAAGAGGAATTCGGCGAAAATTTCAGCAAATGTGATTTCGCTAGTGTATTCGTCCAATGCGGTGCCCGGGACTTGACAGATATACTCTTCTTTCAACGTATCAAGTTGAAAAGACACGAGAGGCGGTGCGTCTATTGCGACCGTCACGTCCAAATAACGCGGTATCCTCTCAACAAACTTGCGCCACGCCCTTAGGTATTGCGCAGAAGACGCCAAATAGGGATCAGGGCATAAGGTTTTCATATCTTCAACACTCATCCTTCCTACTGCAGCTTTTAGGAAACAGAGTCCTGCCGTGAACAGAGCGCAAAATGAGTCACAAGGTGCAGGCTAATCAGAAATTTTCAGGATAGCACAGCCTGTAAGCAGCGCTACAGAAGAGAACACAAACAGAAGCCGACCAGATGAGAGAAATTCGTGCGCAGTGGCCTGTAGCTTGCGCCGATGATATTCAAAGCGTAGGAGCAGCGCGGGTGTGGTTGTAGTATGATGCGGTCGACCGTCGACACAACATTTCCCGTGACGTTCCTGACCACGTGCTTGTGACCCTAAGGCTTAAGCAGATGAAGCAATTTCACAACCGCATCCGGCGCCATCCGCAGACATGCCCTGACGCCGAAATTGCTAACTGTCGCTATTCCTCTCCTCACGGCGCGCAACGTGATCGAAAAAAAAAAATTGTGCTTGTCGTCGGCGAGGCTATGTGCTTGCCATAGCCAACGAGAAAGGATTTGAAGCAAGCTCTTGAGTTCCGCTGGGTTGAGAAGGTCGTAACCATGCTGTGTCCTTTCTAGAACAAAGCGCACATCGTCAAAGTCTTTGTAGCCAGACCTCAGGAACCTGAAGTGATGCCATGTGAACTGAAGTTTGTGTAGATGTGCAAAATGACCATCGACTGTCAGCATAAGTGCTGTTCGGTATACAGGATGCGACAGTTGTTTCGGTGTCAACCAAGCAGTACGAGCCATAGCCGCCCCGAAGGTCTGTGTAAAGTCTTGAGCCAATACTTCTTCGTAAGCAGCTCTGGAGGTGCAACTCAACCCAGAGCCTTCTTTCAGGCTCAAAATCCTCTGAGCCCTCAGGCGGGTGCAGAAAGCTGGAGTGCCTTGGACGTCACATGTACGCGCCAACCCGTGCTCCCAGCCGCGCCCATGCCAAGCTGAGTAAAAATGAACTATGCGCTCGATATACCCTTCTGGCTTTGCTTTGAGCGTAGGATTCTGACCTGCTCGAGCGACTTGATCTTGATAGATTGCATCAAGCACGGATAGTAGGTCTAGTGCAAGCTGGTTTGCAGAATGATCTGCTGGTTGCATATCGTTCGACGGAGTATTGTCTTTTTTGATCGTCAGACTCAGTGCCAGCGGTAATTTGAACATATCCCGCAGAAGTGTAGGGTGCAGGGCGACGGCCCACCAAACGGCTATTGTATTTTGTACCAGTTGAATTAGGAGGAAACAGACATGCCAGACAAGTGCAACAACAGACGATGAGAATGCAGCAAGACTGGAGGCTTGTACAACCTTGAGACTCAGAAGAGAAGCACTGCGAAGACCTTCTACCAGTCCGATGACGGGACGCAGCACGCGTGAATCTGCGGACGAAGATTCCACAAGCTCAGAAACTGACAAATCAGTTCCGTATCACATTTTGTAGCAATCGCGATACAGACGTGCCAGACTCTGGCCAGCTTCTCCAGCTTGAGACAGAGCTAGTAATAGTGTCTGGACTGAGCTCTTGTCTCCTGTGTTTACGTCTGAAGCAAGTAGCGCGAACAATTCGTGAAACGCTTGTGAATCCAGATCTTTGAGCTCGTCATCAAATGGTATTGATAGCTCACTCAGATTGCTGTGAATTTGTTCTTCAGCATTGACCACATCAAGCTCATGTGGTCCCCATTCTGCGCCGGGCTTCGAGATCCAGTGCTTCCGAGCGCGGGCAGACTCAGGGAGACAGTACTTGTATTGGGCGCCTGACAGCATAGGCCAGGCGTAAAAGCCGTGTGTAAGCAGAAATGGCCTTATGTGGAGGTGTAGGGTTGTGTGTTGGGCTCAACTAGCACCATTCCCTCAGTTGATCGAGGTCAGAAAACCTTCTACACACTGAAACCGACACAAAAGCTCGCAAAAGAGCTTGCTAGGCGAATTACGCTTTGTCGAGTGCGTGATCACTGCAGCCGAGCATGCTCGACGACCCGCGCCACCACAGCTGCATCAGTTGCTCTCGATGACTGAGTGTACTTGATAGATTGTCGGTCGCTCACGAAGCCCCTCTGCAGTACACGAGCCGCAGTTGCGGCGATACTTTCCAAAATTTCGAGCCATGATCTTATCCCCTACGAACGACTCTAGGCCGAAGGAGAGGAGAGGGTGGCGCGAAGGCTATTGACATAATGCTCACTGACAAGGGTTTTGAGACGATCAGAGTACCACTGCTCTCCATCCCAGTTTATGAATAGTAAGCAGCCTGGTGCAGGAGCTGTGTGGTCAACTGCTAACAGCGCATCAAAAAATCGAACAAGGACCTCTGGCCTTCAACGGCGAACAAGGAAAGGTATTTAAGTCATTTATAGCAAGCGAAATCGTTCTGTACGTCGATGTCTATTCGTCTGCCGAGCAACATCAATCATAGTGAACCAAGATAATCTCCGACTTCCTCTACTGTGAGACGACGAAAGCGGGGTGCATCCGGCAATTCATCTGCTTCCTTGCCGTTCATCGTATAGCCCAGGAGTCGCTGTTCCGGCTGGCCGATGATTGCAATCTCCACCGTCTCACTCGTCATCTCGCCTTCGAATCCCTCTTTAAGCGTCAGCAGAGCAGTGTGAATGGCATCCTCAAGCTCGAGTGTCGGGCTGTAGCGCTTCTCCAAAAAGGTCTTTGAAGACGTGCTGGACTTGCCTATCGCAGTGGCCTTCCAAGGGAAATAGGAGCCAGAAGGATCAACCTGGAACAGCTGGAAGCCTGCATGCTCGTCCCAGCCGGCTACCAGCACTGACACACCATAAGGACGCACACCGCCGCTTTGCGTTGCATTTTGCATCTCCTTCGCGATTTCCTGTACGAGCACTTTGGTTGGGGGGTATTCCTCGTAGATACGCTTGTACTGTGCGTGAGAGGCCTTGCGAGCCTTGTCAACAAGTACCCGGAAGTCAGGTCCCATACCAGAATAGACCATACAAGCATTGGGCGTCAACTTTGAAATTTTTTCAACAGATGTTGCGTCTTGCAAACTTGATGGCGCCTTCTTCTCTGTTGCCAGGACGATTCCGTTTGTAGCCTTGATGCCGAGCGATTGTACGCCTTGGTTCACGGCAGCCAACGCGTGTTCAATCTGCCCAAGCTTGCCCTGTGGCGAGAAAGTGGTGAGTGAGAATGAATACGACATGACACTGAGAAATGGACCTCGATTGAGACTCCAAGGGACCTATTGCTCGTCTCAAGGACAATGCCAGGGTTTATGACAGTGGTTGTGCTTCTCCAGCAATTGCGCGGCCTTGTGGTCGATCCACGCGTCAGGCGCATGCGTGCGAAAATGCAACGCGCAATCAGCGCGCAGTGCCGCGCGCTGGCATTGACAGTCGCTGACACGACAAGGCTGCAGTGGTCCTGGGTTGGCGTTCCCAGAAAGTATATGTTGAGCATCAAGAGGGATTGGCAAGACGGCACAATATCAAAAGGCGGATGCACATCAGTAGAACTTATCTACCAGCACTATGGCTTTTTGTCGCATTGTCTTGTGCGCATGTCCGAGCTCTCGCTTCGCTTGCAGAGCTGAGTCGCCTTCGCAATGAGACGAGAGACTTGCTTCTTCATGGTTTCGATGGCTATATGGACTTTGCATTTCCACACGATGAGTTGTCTCCCTTGACCTGTGTTGGGAGGAGCAAGGACCCTGACGTCCTCAATCATGGCATCAACGACATTTGCGGGGGCTTTTCTATGACCTTGATTGATTCAATCGATTCTCTGGCCGTTATTGGAGATAGAGAGCGCTTCGAGACTGGTGTTCGAAATGTGATCGCGGTGGTCGACTTTGATCAAGACAGCAAGGTACAGGTGTTTGAAGTCTCTATACGCGTACTTGGTGGCCTTCTCTCTGCGCATCAACTTGCCTCTGGCGAAATTGCCCTGCTGGACATGAGGCTGGACTGGTATTCTGGCGAATTACTAGATCTTGCCATAGACCTTGGCAGCAGGCTGCTTCACGCTTTTGATACCCCGACAGGACTACCAAGGCCAAGAGTCAACTTGCAATCTGGGACTGCTCAGTTTGCGCCATCAGAAACGAATGAGACATGTGCGGCCGGTGCCGGTAGCCTTATCCTCGAATTTGCTCTGCTGAGCCGATTATCAGGCATTCCCGCGTTTGAGGCTGCAGCACGAAAAGCGTTTCAAGCAGTGTGGTCTCGGCGCCTCGATTTAGGACTTGTCGGAAGCGCGATTGACTCGCAAACTGGGCAGTGGCTCAATTCCTACACTTCCGTCGGTGCAAGTGTCGATTCCTTCTACGAGTATGCGCTCAAAGCATGGATATTGCTAGGTGATGATTACTATTTGGACGTCTGGCAGATATCCAGTCAGGCTATTCAGGATCACATTGTGGACGATTCTGGCTTCTTGCTCCGCACTGTCCATGTGCAAAACGGGTTTCCGCTTGCGGGTCATGTCGATTCGTTGTCAGCATTCTATCCTGGGCTCTTGGTCCTTGCAGGTGAGCTTGAACAGGCAGTCAAGTTGCACTTCACCTACGCCGCTTTGTGGAAGCGCTATCGTGCCATCCCAGAGCGATACGACTACGTCAACAAAGCGATTAGTCTCCCGTTCTACCCTCTTCGGCCGGAATTTGTTGAATCAACATATCTTCTATACAGAGCCACCAAGGACCCGTATTACCTCGATCTTGGTCGTCAAATATTGCATGACCTCAAGGCCCTCAAGACAGAGTGTGGATTCGCTGGTCTAGGAGACGTGACGACTGGTCGACTCGAAAATCGGATGGAGTCGTTCATGCTTTCAGAGACTTTGAAATACCTCTTCCTCCTATTCGATGATCGCAATCCATTACATGGTAATCGAATGCGTGATCCCTGGGTGCTATCTACCGAAGGACACATGCTGAGCATGCCAAATGCTTCTCGAGCGCTTCGTTCGTCCAACGTGGGTCAGTCGACAGCGCTTTGCGAGCCGCCGCTCCAAAAGGCGTTCTTCTCTGCTGCTTTGTCACGCTCTGACTACTTTCATCCAAATATCAGACTTGGCTTGCTAAGTTCATCTCAACTGGTCAATGACACCGAACGCCCCGCCGCGGACGCATTTTCCAGCATTTTTGTAATGTCATGGACTATGGAGCTGCTTTTTGGCAATCTGCTCGATCTCGCAGCTTTTGCTGGCGCAAAATTGCTGACTGCTGGGAAAGACATATTAGTCAAGTCCTTGCGTGGGTAACGAGCGCCAACCCCTTTTTCAGAGCTAATTGTAGACTTAAACTCAATCTTGAGCTGAAAGGCAACAAACTTGCAATCACCTTCATCAACAAGCAACCGCTCCTGAAGGACAGCCGCGTCCTTGTTCACGATCCCGGTTATCGTGGCTACTCTCAGGCTGCAATCAAGTTCGCGCCCGATTGGCTAGGCACACTGCGGATAATCAAGGAAGACCATGAGCAAGTCGATATTAGCTACAGAATTGGCCTGAATGATGGTCTTCCAGAGTCGTCTTTCAAGATCTTTTCACAGCTTGAAACCTCCGCTGCGAATGTCGGAGGAGGCTCGTCAAGTGATGTTGTCTCAAGCAGTGTTGCAATGCTTGTCGTGCAGGACCAGATTCCACCGGATATAAAGCGTCATGCACTTCCTGGGCAAGCTGGAATCTTAATTGTGGTTGAATCGCCAGATATGAGTTTAGTTTCGGAGAATCAGGCAGTGCTGAAACACTTCGCAGAAGAGCTTCCGACACTCTTGATAAGATATGAACACTTGGCACATTTGCAAAATGCGAAGGCCTTGACCATTCTCAGATCGTCCCGTCTTTGGATACAGGGCAACAAAGTGGAGAACATGGATGTAATCTAATAACTTTTAATAAAGAATCATGTACAACGCTGTGTCATCTCAATTGAAAAAGTGTTTGAAGAGCATGTTGAGGGTCGCACTCACCGTGAACTTGAATTGCCCGGCATTATAATCCATAAACTCCTGCTTGTTGTACTGCGCTTGCAGCAATTCATCAAGCTGAATGGTGATTCTTGCAAAGATTGAGCCCAAGCTGTAGAACTCCACAGTAAAGATGCCAATCTGATCCGATGAAATGACGAGCTCGAATTTGTCATAGGGCGCAGACTCGTGGCGGATGCTGAGCAAGACTCCCTTCGTGTACAGCTTGTAAGCAGAATATTTTCTGGAGCCAAACTTTGGGACCGAACCAGCCCGCTGCAAATCCCGCAGATGGAAAAATTGCTTTGTAAAAGGCAATACAGATTTTCGCTTGCTCTTCTTGCCTTGCAAAGACAACATGGCTTGTTCGATGTAGTCGTTGTAGCTTTGAAATTGCGATTGCAAATAGTGCTGCTTCACCGTCAATTCTTGCAAGGTCGCCTTTGCTGTGCTTAAGTCCTTCTGCCGTTCGATGCGGCGACGATTCTGCGACTTGATATCTTGAGCAATCGAGTTAATGATATCTTGGTACCCATTCCCACGGGAAACCCAGCCAAGTTCCTCGAGCTTGAGGATGTTCTCGAGTGCCTCGCGCTTGACTACGGCGAACGACAGCCCAGAGAGATCTTTTCGCGTACGATCAGTCTGCGAGCTGATTGTACGGCGTGCTACTTGCTCTTCAAACAAGATTGTTTGCCAGCGAGTCTCGTCAAGCGCCTCCACAGGCTCAATGAGGACTTCCAAAAATGTCGAGCGCGAGTGTATGCGAATGATGTAAAGAGCCAGACGTTTGGTATGCAAAAACAAAACGCGCTCGTCAGCTTCCGGATCGTCAACATCAACAGCATTCGGATCCAACTGTAGCTGAATTTCGCTGTCCGAGTTACCCATGGCCTCGCGAGCGACTTGAACTGGACCGAGGCTTTTGAGCACGTCTCCGAGGACATCGCCATATTCTGGCACGACAGCATTTTGATTGGATTCTACCAAGGCATGAAGATCGTAAATGTCGGTGACTTTGATGTACAGGCGCGGTCTTTTTGTAGCAACAATGTCTTCAAAGTCGCTGAAATCGTAGGCGTTTTCTGGAGATTCACGTGGAGACAATGCCTCGCACAGTGCCTGCATTCTGCCAGCCAAGGAATCGACAAAGTGATTCAGCGGCGCCAAGAAGGATGCGTCGTCAAAATACTGCCCAAGGAATATGTGGCTTGCGAGTCTGGCAATTTCCGTCAGGTTGCGACGCTGTTTGGTATTGAAGACACCAGCATGGACTCCATGAACATCGGGCTTCAGGAACGCAGGCTCCAAAAACATGCAGTAAAAGAGCTTTCCAAAGATCGGCAGTAGCGTGCCATTTGTTTCGTCAGGAAATCTCTCTCGGATAGCCCTTAGACTCTCTGAGACCAAATATTTCAAGCCGTAGGGAGCACTTGTGACTGCATCTTCTATGCCCATAATGAGCTGTTCCGACAAGTCTCGCAAATCGCGTAGATGGAGAATGAACGCTTGCCTGGTTTCTGGGTCACTGATAGCAGCTCCTGGGTCAGACAGAGCGCCGGTTTCTGCGTTTCCCCTCAACGATCTGTGGATACGACAGGGGTCGCTATCGAGATCCAGATTGTCCTCTGAGATGATGCGGCGAACGCAAGGACCGAGCACAGTCCGAAGATATTGAACATGCTTTGCACTCTGGTTGTAGAGACTGTAGAGATTCGACCACGGATATGTTTCGTGCACAAATTGAGGAACGGAGCTTGTCTCTGAAATTGTCTTGATGATACTCGCTCTGAGTAGCTTGACGAAAAGGTATTCTTCTCGGCGATTCTGAGCATGTCCAAATAAGACCATTACAAGCGCGTCAAGTCTTTTGACTTGGTCGAACGCTTTCTTCTCCTGCAGAACAGTATAGAGCCGAGCGATGTAAACTGGCTGCGTTTGAAGCACATAGAACAGCCTTTGAAAGTTCTCGAGCTGGGCCCGAGCAGTTTTGTTCATGGCTCTCAAGTCGTGAGGACTGGAAGGAAGGTCCATCTCGTCAATGCCCTTCATGAGGCGCTTCTGGTGCTGAATGACCTCTTCAATCTTGATGGCCTGCTTCACGAGGAGAGCAATTTTTATGTCCATCTGCTCAATGTGCTCTTCCGCAGCTTCATTCTGGCGGACAAGCTGCACAATCTGTCTCCGAGCTTGCTCAGTCGCAACCTCCTCCTCGAAGTCCAGAGCATTGTCGTCCAGGAGATGAACGAAACTCTTGATGGTCGAGATTGGTGGATTTTTGTCTTCAATCAGGCTTCTATATGCAGCTCCCTGTTGTTTGGCTCGGAATAGACTCTGAACCTTGATGATGTTTTTCATGTTGTCCTTGTAGTGCTTTCGTCGCAAGACAAACGCTCTGCGACGTCGTTGACCCCGACAAGCTGCCTGTAGATTGACAATGTCTTCGCGATGGGCGTCGAGTGTCAGTAGCAGGACACGATAAAATGAACGTAAGAGATAAGCACGTGCCAAAGACTGTAGGTGCAGCACATTAGCAGATTCGAGCTTGAGCAAGTCTTTCAAACGCAGGCAGACTTTCCGCAAGAGGAATCCCCGCGAAACAGCTTGAACTTGTGTCGATGCACAAGCATTCTGCCGAAGAAGGCGCAGCCGTTCACGATGATGGCGCCGAATCAGCACTGCTCGCGACCGTGCTTGAATGTCCATGACACTGTTGCCACAGACATACAGTGCTTGTTGAAGAGTTGATGATCGTCGACATGACAAGTGAGCCCTGCATAACGCTTGAAGAGCTTCAATACTGCTTCGCGATGCGTCAAAGTTATGAATGCTGCGAGACATTCGACAGCGCACAACATGACCTCGAAAATGGCTTTGTAATGAAACGACATGACTTAGCAAAACCTCATTCGGATTTCGAACAGCCGCAAGCTTTCGTCTTACTCGAATGCCACGCAAGGCAGCCTGTATATTTGTAACAAATCCTTCGTTGAAGCTCATATCAATGAGCTGTGATGATGTCTGACTTCTGTGGAGATAACCTCGGATAACAGACTGGAGGCTGATAATCCAAGTATTGATTTTGTGATAGGTATCTGCGTTGTCATAATAAGACGTTCTGGCCAAGAAGCCCTTACTGTGTGCTTGGAGTAATGTGATGTTCCATTCGGTCAATTCCAATTCTTGAAGAAGACCCGCTACACGTTGTCGGAGCAGAGTACCACTGGCGTGACATTGTACTTCGATAATGGAGACAACATGGCTGTCCAAGCGTTGCTCAGCCGTAAGAACTGGCTCTGCTTCGATTGTCACAGGTTCTACGCCGAAAGCTTCACCGACTCCCTTGAAATTCGGTAGAGCTGTACCAGTCGCAGCAAGCGATTGTTGCGTTTGACGAATTTCGGCATCAGAGAATACAATCTTTCCAACCAAGTCACCAATTTGGGCAGCATGTCCGGATCCCGCGAGCACAAACGAGAGTGCATGGATACAATAGATTACCTTGGGAATATTCTTCTTTTCGTACAGATCAGTAAGCTCAAATTGGAAAGTCTAGGGTCAGCACATTGCGGTGAGCACTTGTCACTGACCTTTGGGAGCTTGACGGCTTCCAAGAACTTGAAAAAGCGATTGATGTTATCGGAATGTCGAAATTGGAGTTTGTGAGCCTCAAATATACGCGGAACAAGCTCAGGCTTGAAATTAGCAGCAAGCTGAGCAAGAGCCACGCCGTCTCGCAAGCGCTCTTCCAAATCAACAACAGCTGCTAACGAATGTCCAATACATCCTTCGAGCCATTCTTTCGCCTCCGCAATGTGGCAGAGATATTCGTATGCTTGGATATGTTTTCGTTGATTGTCCATCCAGTTTCTTGGCGAACCATGTGCATTGCTTGAGGCCTGCTTCTGGAGTCGAAGACGCCCAGCCAGACCTGTCACATCCTGGACATCCGATGTCGCCACCTTGGAAATTGCTAGACTGGAGACGTCCTGCTCCGACAGTTGCAGGTCGACACCAAGACGGGACAGCGTGCGAAGGTGGGTTGATGTTTTGCGCTCCATGCGCAATTCGACGGAGCTCTTATAAAAGCGTTCAGTACTGAGCAGCACAGGCAGCTTGAGGTTGATGAAAGGAGACGCACAGGAGACGGCCTGAGTGAGGTTGGTGTCCAGCGCGCCGTGTTGCCAAAACAAAGCAAATTCGCTCGGCTACAAATTTCGCGCGACAAAACTCACGCAGCTGGCTGTCTCGTGCGACAGAATCAAATTTTGGCCACGACAGCTGCCTGCCAGCTCCTCTCGACTGGTCGACAGGCGCACAGTCTTAAACATTCAGTATACTATGGCACAGCTCCTCGACTATGCAACTGCAGAGGCAGAATTAGCCAAATATGAGTCTCGCGACGGCCACTCGGCTGCTGAGCTCATGGCGGATCAAAACGGTCTGACCTACCAGGACTTGCTTATGCTGCCTGGCTTCATTGACTTTGGCGCCAAGGATGTCACGCTCGAGTCGCGAATCACAAAGAATATCGTCCTCAAGACGCCTTTCATGTCCTCTCCCATGGACACCGTTACAGAAGCCGACATGGCCATCAATATTGCGCTTCTTGGTGGTATCGGCATCATTCACCACAATAATACTCCCGAGGAACAAGCAGCGATGGTGAAGACGGTTAAGAAGTTTGAGAACGGATTCATCACAGACCCTGTTGTGCTCTCACCGGAAGCAACCGTAAGCGAAGTGAAGAAAATCAAGGCTTCGTCCGGCTTCTCTGGTATTCCAGTCACAGGTGAGTGACCCAATCATGCGACACGAGCAGGTGATGATCAACCAATACTTTCGTTCTACCGCAAATCGGTTTCATTACCTTTGAGGATAACCATGATCTGATGCTCATCATGGACGTTTGCCATGTGCCTGAACTAACAGACAGACAATGGAAAGCTCGGGGGCAAACTACTCGGCATCATCACATCACGCGACGTTGCGTTTCACTCCGACCCACAGTCTCCTGTCAGTCAGGTGATGACGGCGGACCTAGTCACTGCGCCGGAGGGCATTGCCCTCAAGGAGGCGAACGAAATTCTTCGCCAATCCAAAAAGGGGAAGTTGCCAATCGTCGATAGTAATGGCAACCTCAAAGCACTACTTGCGCGGTCTGATCTGATGAAGAATCTCAACTTCCCGCTCGCTTCAAAGCTGCCGGAATCAAAGCAGCTCTACTGTGGTGCTGCCATCGGCACGCGGGAAGCTGATCGAGCGAGGCTCGCTCTCCTGGAGCAGGCAGGCTTGGACTTGGTTGTCCTTGACTCATCCCAAGGAAATTCTGTCTTCCAAATAGACATGGTCAAATGGATCAAGCAGACTTACCCGTCGATGCAGGTCATCGCCGGCAATGTTGTGACACGGGAGCAGGCTGCCAAATTGATTGCTGCTGGCGCTGATGGACTTCGTGTTGGTATGGGCTCTGGCTCCATCTGTATCACACAGGAGGTCATGGCATGTGGTCGTCCACAAGCGACTGCTGTCTTCCAGGTGTCCGAGTTTGCTGCTCGATTTGGCGTTCCCACCGTTGCCGATGGTGGACTGAGGAATGCTGGTGACATAGTTAAGGCTCTTGCGCTTGGCGCTTCTGCAGTCATGATGGGTGGCATGTTGGCGGCTGTGCACGAGGCACCTGGCGCAGTTATTTACCAAAATGGGCAGCGTGTCAAGGTCTACCGAGGCATGGGCTCCATCGCAGCTATGGAGCACCAAAAGGGGCAGTCGTCAGATAACGCTGCTGCTGGACGGTACTACTCTGAAGACGATACCATCCGCGTGGCGCAAGGCGTCACTGGCTATGTGACGGAGAAGGGTTCCATCAAGGAATTTGTGCCGTACCTGACAACTGCCATCCAGCATTCACTGCAGGATATTGGCGTTCGCTCGCTCAATGCGCTGCGAGCTGGCACTCAGGCTGGAGAGGTCCGTTTCCAGCTTCGATCGAACGCCGGCATCATGGAGGGCGGCGTTGGCGGCCTGACGAGTTACGACAAGCAGCTGTTCAAGTAGACCTGTGTACTCCATCTCGTGCTCTGTTTGTAGACTTTGCCTACGACGGTTTGTTTTATTTCTCCTGACCCTCTGAATTTCCTGCTCCCAGCCAGTTTCGAACTCATTTGTGACTCGCTTTGACACTTGCAAAACAACATCGCAAGATGGCACACCCGGGTGGCCGTCGACGCAGGCGCCCGCAGTGAATTTGCTGCTGGCCTAGGCAACAACTACACAGAAGGCAACGGCAGCTGCGCAACAAGGACCATCAGCTACTTGCAACAATGGTGAACAACCGAGTGTATGTCAATCCTGCCTCTTCGCTTCTGTGGAAGCCAGTCATGCTGGTTCTGTAGATAGCGGCGTACTTGTGGCGCTCTCAAGGGATAGAACAGACGCTAACACGCCCTGTGCAGTACTTACCGTCGTCAGACTCCATACAACACCCGCTCCAACCGTGTCAGAATCGTCAAGACACCGGGAAACACCCTACGATACCAACACTGTACGATACTTGTCTTTTGAAAGCCGGCAGAAACTAATTCGCGATAGTGAAGAAGCTTGGAACATCGCCCAAATGCGGTGACTGCGGCATCTCCCTTCCAGGTATCCCTGCACTGCGTCCGCGGGAATTCGCAAACATCTCGAAGCCAAAGAAGACTGTTCAGCGCGCTTACGGAGGATCACGTTGCGCCAACTGCGTGCACGACCGTGTCATTCGTGCTTTCCTAATTGAGGAGCAACAGATTGTCAAGGCTGTCATGCGCCAGCAGGCCAAGAAGTAGATTTTGTCATCTTTTCCCCGCAATCCATCAATGCCAATCTATACAAACCATTATGCATCTGCTTGATTCAATTACACTTGCTATCACTTCGACAAGCTATACTGTGTTCCTGTTTCGGGCCATCATTTAGCCGTCATGCTTATCTGTGTTTGTTTCCGCCAACAAGACTATGCTTCCACTGCAAGTGCAGGCGCTGTGGACCTGTGGTACTGGTGGTGATACAACGCTGCCTTGATTGCCCCTATGTGCGCCGTGCTGGCACAGTCCATTGGCACAGTCGAGTGATTTGATGCTATTTCGTTTCCACCAGCCCTGTGTGATGTAGAGTTGTCTCGAATATGCTCTTGTGGCCTTGAAGTGTCCTGAACTGCCTTGCCATCTTGTTCAGATCCAGCAGGTGGCTCTCCGTCGCCCGAATTGGACGATCCCTCGGAGCTAGCTTCATTAGCTTCCGCTGATCCAATATGGGCGCGTAGCCAGCGCATCCTTGGGCCTGTCTTTGAACGCTCGCTGACCTTGAAGCCAAAAATGCACGGATCGTAGATGGACCCTGTGGCAAAAGGCAATAGCTCTGGAAAAGTCATGAAGAACAAGTGTGGAAATGTGGTGCCAAAGTAAGCGCCGTCTATCGCATTGTACCTCGAATTGGGAGGATTGTAGGCATCAAGGCAATTCGGACAAAAGAGCTTGACGGGGTCTTCCTCGACGACATCGCTCAGGCCGACTGGCAGAACTGCAGCCTCATGACACAGCAATCGTGGACAGACTCCAAAGTGTCCGGCTTCGTATTTCTCTGCCATTAAGGCAAGGCCTGCCCTGCTGGTGATGAAGCGCTGATGCACAAGACCGTACAGTAATTCCGCGCTGGCTTCAACTATGCGCCTTTCTGCAGCATCCAACTCAAACTCGTCATCATCAGGTTCAAGATCTAGAACGAACTCGAGCGCCTCTTTATACATTGGCACAAGTGAAGACAAGCCTGTCATGTTGAAATCGTCTTCGATGTAGTCCTCTGCAACTTCGCAGAAGTAATCATGACCTGGTAGAGAGCAATACCACGCAATCCAGGACAAGTTCTCGCTTCCAGTGCTTGATGTCTGTCCATCAGAGTCCCATGTCTCAGCATTGTCGAGGGACTCCGCCGAGTCGTTGCTCAGCTTGGTGGCATCCATTGACGCTCTTTGGCCGACGGCAGGAAGCTCGATGCTTTCGCTGCCTTGACGTCGTCTAACGATAGAGCAGCAAAAGAGTAGTCTGCCTAGTGCGCACTGTAATCAAGTCAAGCTTGCCTGACACTTGCACTGCAGCTGCAACTAGAGCTCGAATTGTTGGGTCCTTTGTCTGTCGTCTGCTGCTTCGCACCAATTTTTGTCGGCGCGCCGCGCAATCTCAAACTCTTGGGCATACAGACTTCAAGACTGGCTTGTTGGGTCGTCAGGGATTGAGGCAACTGGCCAGCAAGTGCACGCTGCTGGGAGAGATTGTATGACGGAAAATTGCGCCTTTGGTCACGTTTGCTATTGTGCGGCCCTCATCGCTGCAGACCCCTTTTTTATGGGTGCTAACTCAGATGAGCCTACTTCAGCTACGGAACTAGTTGTATATGCATACATTCGGACAAGCTCAAGCATTCGACATTCGAACTACATGTCAGCGGGGATGTTTAGATAGGAAGACAGACACATGGAGGTGACATGGTCACGGCTTCAGGATGAGACTTGAGTCTAGGCGCGTGGAGAGAACGAGCGAGCTGCCAAAATTCGCGCGGGCGCAAGGACTCTCGCTGCCGACACCACTTGCAACTTTGAACTTGCAAACCAGTACTTGGCAGATCACCTTTGACGAGGCATCGCCGCCATCCCTTGTCCCCTCTTTGTGAGGCTCTATCTCTCACGCATTCGCCTGAGTTTTTCCATCGCTCAAGCCTCATTCCCGTAAAGACCCTGGAAAAGCTAGAGGAGGGGTCATTGGCGCGTTGCACAAGCTTCATCGCACAAGCGCAAACGCCATTGACTGCATTTACGCGAGGACGGAGGGGAAGAAAGTCACACAGACGCGACGCTTGCTAGCTAATCATGTCTCTCAACAAGAAGGCTCAGCGAGTTATCGCCTCGAGTCTCGTGATAGGCGGATTGTGCTACTATCTTCTCACACATCACATCGATGTATCCAGCTGGCAATCGGCTGTTAGCATGCCGGATTTGGCTTTGGTGACTGGAAGTCTAGCCAAGAGTGCCGACGGCGCATCAGCTTCGAGTGCGAAGCTAGAAAAGCACACTGGCTGGCTCAAGTGTTCTGCTGAACCGCAGGACTCTCATTATATCATACGGTCACGTTCAAATCCGGACGGCAAGTACTTCGATATGGACTTTGGTTTTGACGCAGAGGGAAGAAAGGTGAGATCAACAAATGGCAACATTCTGCCAGATCCAATGCATCCCAACCGCTATTTCATGGTTGCGCATCATACAGGCTACATGAATGGCTCGGTCTTTCGCGAAGTCTATTGCGAGGCAGAATTCAAAGGGCACGACTTGGTCTGTATAGCAGAGGCCAAGGCACTGTCAGTCGGCCCTACGGACTCAAATAAGTGCAAATCATACGGGTGGATGAACTATTACAAGGGACCTCACGACGCGCGAGTCAGCTGGAGCCCTACAACACCTTACATTGTTTATGGCACGCAATCTCAGTTCTGCTGTTTCGGCCAGTACATTCACGATCTGCGCGCTTTGATGCCAATACGAGAAGCCGAGCCTCAGTTGCTTGAGGATTTTGCAATAGCGACGGAATTGCAGAGGCCTGCACCGTGGGGAGAGTTTGAAAAGAATTGGTTCCTCTTTTATGTTGACGACCAGAAATTTGTGCATCATGATGTGTATCCAAAACGCTCTTTTGCCAAATTGGAGGCTGATGGATCGGTGGGAGAGCAATTAAGTGGAGACCTTCGGGATGAGGCATGTATCAGCAAGCTCATGCCGGAGCTGGTGCAAAGTCCAGGTTCCCCGGAGCATGCTTCTATTCACCAAAGTACGAATTCCTTATCCGTCACACTGTGCAATCGGGGAGAATGTACGCCGAGCAAGGACAATACCGTCATTTTGACAATCTTTCAGTTGAAGGAGTTGCGATATTACCATCCAACCTATGAGCCCTACGTGATGCTCATCCAACAGCAAGCTCCTTACAGAATCCATGGCATTGCCAAATTGCCATTCTGGGTCCATGGACGCGGACGCGAGCCATTTCCTGAGTGGAAGGGCGAAGACCCCTCAGAATTCACGCAAATGTTTTACATTGTCTCGGTATCTTGGAAGTCAAGGACACAGCGGTACCAGGGCTTTCTGGATGATGAACTCTTCGTCAGCTTTGGTATCGAAGACAATTACACTGCTTCGATAGATGTGCGGGCGCATGACCTAGTACAATGCATCGGGCTCTGCTCTGATATCTCTGTGGGTCAAGCGGATGAGACTTTGGCACAGACCACGCCGCTACCAGTTCTTGAGCCTATTGTATAACCCAAAGCCTTTGTAGATTTTCGGTGAGACAGTGAAAACATGCTTGAGAATGTCCGGTATATGCATCGCGCTCCATGCATCTTGAGATGACAATCCATTATACTCACAAATACAATGGAAAGCTTTCTACCCGCTCGCGAACGGTTGATACATCTTGCGAGTCCACGGTCGGGCGCCTTGAGCCAAAGTCAATTGGTCTCGCGCTTCATCTGCTGGGGCTTTTTTGGGCTGCTTTCCTGTCTCGGTCGAGCGATTCCAAACGCTCTGTTCTCTGCTGATCGTCGAGCATATCCAAGTAAAGGACGTCTCCAAATTGGAAATTCTGGTCGATTACAGTCATACGAAGGAAGCCCAACTTACGGGATGCGTGAAAAGCAGGCGAGTCGTAGAAGCGGCACATCGCCATCCAATCGATGTCCCAAGTATTGTGATTTCGCTCACTGTGGACCATCATAGCTTTGTACCACAACTTCTCATGAAGCACCTTGGCTCGCACAACGAGCTCTTGGTCGTGATTTACGCCCGCTCCAACGTTGTAGACGGAGCTCAATCGATGCATCGGGAAGGCCGACTTTTGACCAAAGCCAACCTCATCGCTTGCAAGTAGTCCTTGTTCAACATGGCTCGACGGGTATTTGTCTGTCTTGTAGCGGGCGAGAAGCAGTCGCTCGTGCATGAGCCTATTTGGCTTCAACACAAGAAACCCAGCATTCAGCTCAGGTCGCCCCAAAAAGTCATCTTGCCACTCGACACCAGCGAAAAGGTAGTTGCAGTACCCCTCAGCTTCCGAAGGATTGTCCCGATAGAGCTGATAATCGTCAGCATTCAATTTAGTCTTGTTGCACAGCTGTGTCGGCACTTCAAAGACCTCATCAATATTGTCGACAGGCAAGGCATCCACGTCCAAAAATGCAATCTTGTCCCAAGACGTCAAGTTCCAGATGTTGAGCTTGCTGTACATGTCTTGCCATCGGCCGACATTTTGCTCAACCTTCGGACCATCTAGAAGCGGTAGTTCTTCGACGATAGCACCTTGCCCGCGAAGGACATCTCGAACAGAATGCGGCGTTATCGGGCAGACAAGGACCAGCATAGGATATTTCTTGGAAGACCAAGAGCTCCAAAGGATGCGCCAGACCAGCGACTGTACAGCGGCAAGGTATGCATGCCGAGGATCAGGATCGTGGTTGCACAAAAAAGTGGCATAGGTATAGCGCTCATTCGCATTCGCGTGTGCGTGCGGTAGATCTTTATACTTGGTGAAATCGATGGTAGGCAACGGATCTATTAATCCTCGACCGTAGCCCTTCGGTACAGAGTGTGCACCTGGGCGAGGAAACAAAGATTGCGTAGCTACTCCGGAGAATTCAGAGAAAGGCTTAGATGCCTGTGTCACTGGCCAACTGAGCTGCTCAGCGGGCTGCAAGGGCCGAGAATCGACAAGTTCAGGGTCGTGCGGCAACAGAGCGGCATCGGCCTTGGCAGCTGGCCAGTAGTCAGTCAAGCTGACTTTGCTGTCACTCGAAAAGCCATAGCACAGTGCACTTATGACTGTCAGAGCAGCAACCACGGAGATAGCTAGCCGAACATATCGAGAGGAGCTGGTGTAGGGGTTGCTCATAGTCAAGTCTTGATGGCACAAAGCTTTCGGCTCTCTATAGCTGATACTCTCGCCAGCAATGGCTAGGTGTGAAGCCGCTCAAAGAGCAAGAGATCAATAGTTGTGCCTTTGGCGCAAACTGAGTAGGAACTAGGAAGGCTTCTGTGTGACTGTACTAGCACGATCTAGGCCGCAAGTGCTATTTGTTCCAGGCTTGAAGCTTAAGGTTTGCGCCTGCATATTATCAACCGAAATTAAAGTTTGACGGCTGCGCAAGCCTGCATCAAGTGCATCAAGTACACGAGTAATTCTACAATGCTGGCATAATAGTCAAGTGACGATGGACGTAACAAAAGATCTCACGAACGGTCACACATGAGATCAAGATGAAGCGAATCTTTGCAGATCAGCAGATGTCGTGTGTTCAGTTGATCGTCAGGAAAGCATCGTGCCTGATCGAAGTGCGAAAGCGAAGACCACGGTCAGTTCATCGCCTCCAGACGCTACAAGCTGTAAGCACGCGGGCCAAGCTCGAGAGCTATCCAATTTCTGTGGTACGTAGCTGAGCCCCTTGCTTCAAGCCGCGCAAATACTTTTGTGATGTCTCCTAGAATACCTCTGAAGGATGAAGGACATTCCAGAATTCAGGAACAGCAACGATGTGTCGGTCGAGTGACAGAAGCACGTTCAGACACTGACTGTAATGACAATCTTGGGTGCTGCGCGTGTAGTCACGCCTACTTGATAGACCAGAAACCTTGAGAATTGCGCACAATTATGACTCGCAGGGTTCGCGCCTTCACTCTGTGGAGATGCAATTGCCTTATGCTTTGCTGTTGTCCATCTCATTCGGAGTGGTCAGATTGAGACTCGTTTGCTATCTCAATTGCCGCGTCAGTGACCGGTTCATTCGATGAGGACTGAGTGGAAGTTGCTGGCTGTGTCGCTTTAGACAGGGCCAATCTGTCCCGCGCTTCATCTGCGCTTGCTTTTTCCTGTGCCTCCTGTCTGTCGCGCTCTGTTTTCTCCAGGTGCTCTGCCCTCTCTCGATCATCGAGGAACTCAGGGTAAACTACGCCTCCGAACTGCGTATTTTGATCTAACATATTCAGTCGAAGGAATCCAAGCTTGCGCGATGTGTCAAAAGCAGGGGAATCGTAGAAGCGACACATTGCCATCCAGTCCACATCCCATCTGTCGTGGTACAGCTCGTTGTATCGCATCATGGCCCTGTTCCAGATCTTCTCATGGAGAACCTTGGCACGGCTGACTAGTTCCTTATCATAGTACACCCCTAGTCCAACATTGTACGCGCGGCTAAGCCGATGCATCGGGAAAGGTGACTTCTGCCCAAAGCCAACCTCATCGCTGGCTAGCAAGCCCTGTTCGAGATGAGCAACTGCATACTTGTCTGTCTGGTAGCGGGCGATGAGCAGACGCTCATACATGAGTCGATTGGGCTTCAAAAGCAAGAAACCAGCATTGAGCTCGTGCCGTCCAAGAAAGTAGTCAGGCCACTCTACACCAGCGAATAGGTAGTTGCAAAATTCCTCGGCTTCCGAAGGATGGTTCTGGTAAAGCTGATAATCGTCACTGTTCATTCGCGTCTTGTTGCAAACCTGCGTCGGCACATCAAAGATATCGTCGATATTCTTGATTGGCAAAGCGTCTACGTCCATGAAGGCGATCTTGTCCCACGACGTCAGGTTCCAGATGCTGAGCTTGCTGTACATGTCTTGCCACCTGCCAACGTTAAGCCTGACTTCTGGCCCATCCAGAAATGGGAGCTCTTCAACAATGGCACCTTGTCCGCGGAGGATGTCTCGAACGATGTGCGGCGTGATGGGACATACCAGAACCGTCATTGGGTATTTTTTAGTCGACCATGGACTCCAGAGAATTCGCCAAACGAGTGATTGAACTGCGGCGAAGTAGGGATGGCGTATGTTGGGATCATGGTTGCACAGATACGTTGCAAAAGTGAATCGCTCACTCGCCTGTCCGTGAGCGTGTGGCAGGTCTTTGTAGTCTGTAAAATCGATGATTGGCAGCGGATCTCCCAAGGCTTGCAGGTAGGTGTCTGTCGAGACTGGATAATCGCCCTTGTCACCCAATTCCTCGAACTCAATACTCGAAACGGTTGGAAGCGCGTGGACAGGCCGTGCGGGCATTGTCTCTGTCTTGCTGGGCTGCTCAGCGGACTGCGGTGGGCGAAGGTCGGGGTTCTTGACCGAGCTTTGCGATTGTCCCGCAGCATCTGAGTGTGGAACCGGCCAGAAGCTAGCCAGACTAGCCTTGCTGTCGTTCGAAAATGTGTAGAAGAGTACACTAATGGCTGTCAAGGCAGCCAGAACGACTATAGTCAACCGTCCATAGCGAGATGAGCCGATAGAATTCATGTGAGTGACTTTTACGCCAGATGCCTCCTTCGACAATATGAGCCGAGGACGATGTCCACTCGAACTGGTGACCGACGTGCTTTCGACCCTAGATAACTGGGTAAGTACTGGGCTGGGTTTGACTTCCGGCTCTCGATTGTTGGTATCAAAAATCTCGAGCGCGACACGGGCGCGTGCGGAGAATTCCCAGATCTTTGGCGTGTGGAAGATCTATAAGGTTGGCAGCACACAAACAGAATCCAAATCTCAATGAAGTCGAGAGTGAGAGTGAGAGTGAGAGTGAGAGTGAGAGTGAGACGTTGTCTGGTAGTCACACAAGCGGATAAAGGCATCACATCAGATATCGAATTCAGTGAACAGTCGATTGGCGCGCTGACGTCTCAGAAGCGGAATCGTTCTATGTAGTCGTAAAGTTGAGCACGGAGATCATGGGCAAGTGTCTTCTGCTGGCACTGCTCCCGTAGCATCAATATCAGTGGTCAGAGGACGTGATGCTTCGGTATCGCTGCTCGTCACTGCTTGTAGCTCGTACTGCCGTCTTCCGGCAACGAGCTTGTAGACTCGGCATTCGGTATTCTCGAATCTTACCCAACGCTGGGTGAGCTTCGAGCAGAAGCCGCCATGGGTCACTACTGCAATTCGCTCCTCTGGACGTTGACTCAAGCGAGCTAGAGCATCTTGCGCGCGTACGTGAAGTGATTCTTCATCCGCCGACCACTTGCCAGTCTTGCTGTTCCAGTCTTCTGTGATGTGGTCAAAATCAAGCATTGGGAACCTTTTTCGCATGATGCCAACGTCTGAGCCTGTGTCGCATGCTTGACTACTGTTCTCTTGCAATTCGGCCATAGTCATGACTTCACTTTGCGGATGCTGAGGTTTGAAGGCTAACAACGCTGTCTCGATGGTGCGTGTCAAGGGAGATGTGACGATTATTTGAGGGCATATTTGGGACCCTTTCCCGAGAAAGGGATAGCGTTCAATCAATTCCGTAGCTTGCTTCTTACCAAGAGCAGTCAGTGGCGCATCCGGGATGTGAAATTCGCTGCGCACATTGTGTTCAGCTTGAGCGTGGCGTATGAGATAAATTGTCTTTAGTCGAGCTGGCGAACGTGGTGCAATAGCCATTGACCAGACAGCTCAGTGGCCTCTGATATGTAAGCGAAGGTCTGTGCTGCTGTCAAATGTCCTCTCTCTAGTTCTCAGTGTAGGATAAAGGTCTACTTAAGCTTGAGTGTGTTGGTGCCAGAAAGTGGATGTCGTCACGGCGCTGTTCAAATTCCCAGCTGTAGGAACAGATCCAAGTCCGCAACAGTACTAATTACAAAGAGTCTGACTGTCAATTGAGTCAGCGCGCAGGAGGCAGGACCAGGATTGAGGATTGAGAATATAAACATGGCCGTGGATGTCATTGCTGGTCCTTGGCAAACTTGAGCGTAAGGGATCCCAAAACGTCATGTACTTCGGGTTCGACTTGTTCGTCAGTGACGTTGTCAAGGAATCGAATGTACCTTTATTTTTCGAATGATCATTAGTGGACATAAGTCGCTTAGTAGGTAAGAGCCTCCGAAGTTTTAATAGAACAGACTTCCGTCTTGACTCATCTGACGCTGTTGGAGATGTGCCTACAGCTGGGTGGCCCACAGAATGCTCTAGGCTGCCCTGCGAACGTCCGGCCACGCCTTTGCGTCTGACTGCAGCAGACATGAATACACAGTACAAGTTTCAAGATGAAAACGACTGTGTCGAAACCCAACAGCCGTCCGGCTGCATCGACTCGTCTTGTCGGGGAGCGTCAGCGTTACTGGCTCAGCTTCCTCGAATTTGTTTGTTTGCTTTGCTTTGCGCGCAGCGCGTCGCATTCTCAGATCGCAACGTCCAACCAGCTGCTATCCAAGCGCGTGCTCCGGTATCAGTACAAATCATCACGCGAGCGGAGCGTAAGACAGGCTAGCATTTTGTCGATAGCTAGTCGGTTCAGCAGAAGTCGGCTTTCAAGCCTTTTGGCGCTTCGTCCATGTCATTTCTGAATGTCATGCCAATGACATCTGGGGATCCGCAGCATGCGCCAGTCTTGGATGAGCGCCGGGGCAGGTATAAGATCGTGCCACGAAGGAAATCGATGGTCTTCTGGCCGACACGACAGAACCGCTCAGCGAGCCTTCTCGCGCCGCCTTCGGAAACAGAGCCAGGAGAAAGCACATGGCTTTTCGCTTCAGCGGTGACTGAGCCAGACAGACGCTTGGTGGAACAAGCGCTTTCTTCACGATGGCGAAGGGTGGGACTACTTTACTGTCTGCCGACAGGTATCGTCTTGCTTTACAGCGCGATTCCCTTTCCGCTGTACCCATCTACGAAGCATGACGGAGTTACGACAGACTTCTGGTTCTTTTTGTTTGTGTTTTATGGCATCTACAATGCCGTCGGGCTGTTGTACATTACGAAGCTATTCAATCTCATCTCAGTGAATTGGTGGCCTGAGGAGCTTGGTGTCTTCTCCTTTCTGCTCTTCTGGTCGGCTTCTATCGGCGTCGGGAGCCTTCTATATCTCATCAAGGACGACTGGGGCACATGGACCCTTACATGGTCAATGCTCACCCTTTGTACACTCTGCCTGCCCGTCATTGCTGGGTTCTTGTCCATCCACAGAGTGCATTTAGAGCGAGCGCAATCAAGAGGCGATCTGACGCTTGCACAACAAAAGCGCATACCTTTCCTGGCTGGTATTGATGTACATGTCCCTCAGAGTTACAAGCGATTCCTCTGGTTCGTCGTTGTGCTAGCTATCGGTCTCGGATCATTTGCGATGGGCGAAACTTATGCCTACATCTGGTTGTCTACGCTGCCGCATTCTTCGGCCGACGTACTGCTCTACGTCTACGTTTGGGTGGCTTGCATTTATGTCCTTGACTCGCTGACGTCCTTTATTATTGAGGCCAAGATCGAATGCTACCCGCTAAACTTTATGTTTCGCCTATACTATGCCTTGACGCATCAGATCTATGTTCGGAACCTATACGCTCGTCTGCGCTCGCCGCAGCAATTTGCAGTCGTCCAAGGCGCTTCAAGCTTCATCACTGTCATCATCGCACCCGTCGTCATGACTTCTATCGTTCACCGGCTGGTCAAATGGGCAACGCGGTCGGACATTGACCTAGAGCAATACCGGAAAAACTCTGCTCGCGGATTCTATCTCAAGACATGGGCAGCAAATACAACCATGTTGGCGTTCCTCGGCTGGGTGACAATACTGCATTTTGGTTCCAACAAGGCTGCATTCCCTTATTACGACTTTGCTCGTGATGGCGAAGCCTATTCGTGGGAGTTGACTTTCATTGCGTCCGGAGCTGTCTGGTGTTGTGAGATTCTCAGCTGTTGGATCGCACGACGCATCATGCAGTATTCATTTGACCTCAATGTCGACAAGACCATGCAAGAAGATCTTAAAACATTTCCAGATCTCTTGCCGGCTGGAATCGTACTCACGGTGTTTGTCTTGATGAATATCCTAATGAGCACGGTGCACTTGAGTTTCCATTAACGCGGACGTGTTACAATTGTCACAGCATTGACAGAGCGATAGCGAATCCATTTCTTGATCTTCGTGTCCCGAACAAATTGATGTTTCTAGCAAGACGCTACTCACTACAACGAAGTGCAAATTGAATGAAGAATCGCAAATAGCTTCCGATGAACAGGGCCAGCAAAAATGAAAGAGTCGTACCTGCACAGAGAGAAGAACCTACATGGCGTTACCACTGTTGCCAACATTGCGCTGTGCTGCATGGTGCTGCTCGTGCATAGCCCAATCATCTCTGCCAGTCATCTGCTGCGCCGGATGAGGAGGGTGGTTACTCTGCAGCTGTTGATACATTGGAAAGCCATGATACGGCGGCGGGTACATCTGGTTGCGGAGAAGCGCAGGAAGTGGCAAGAGCTCACCAGAAGCTTCGCCACGCTGATATGGGCTGTCCCTCGATTGATATCCAGCATAGTTCTCCGGTGCGTAAGACGCGAGTCTCTGTGGTGATTCTGTTGGCATTCCGTGGTAGTGTGAAGGTACAGCATAGCCTGGAGGAGGTGGTGCGGGCATGGCATGTGCGTAGCCCATGCTTGGTAAGGGGAAATAGAACCCAGACTCCTCGGAAGGCATGGGCAATTGCTCATGCGAACCGCGCAGAGAGTCCGTCATATCTGTTCGCGAAGCACCAGAGTCCGCTCGCGGACGAACTCCTCGAGTCATGGGCTCCAGCGCACTTTGAGAGCGCTGACGGTTGCGAGACTGACTGGTAGTGACTGGCCCGTTGACAATGGTATTGGCATCGAGCGCCCAGTACGCCCCCTTTCCAGGTTCATTGATTGGTCTTGGAACTTTGACGAACATCCTGTTGAGCGAAAGATTGTGACGAATGCTGTTCTGCCAGCCGGACTGCTTGCTCTGTCTAGCGAAGTAAGGAAAGTTGTCAATGCACCAGTCGTAAATTTCTGAAAGAGTCAGCTTCCCGTGAGGAGAATGTGCAATTGCATAAGTGATGAGCTGTGCATAGGAGTATGGTTTCCCCTCGACGCCAAGTGTCACATTCAGGTCGAGCTTCGACAAATCAAGCGCACTGTTTGAGCTATTGGCACCAGCGACATACCCTTGAGATGCAGTGTATGGGGTATAGCCGTAATTCTCTGGTGAACGGTTTGGTGAAGCGTAAATGTCTTGTTGTTGGGGAAACGAGGTTTGCATTGGCTGACGCTGAGCAGTGTGCAAGTTGTCGAGCTGACCTGGAGGTGAAACGTGACGAGGCTGCAGGGGTTCCGGAGCCGTCTCTGCCAGATGAGGCAATGCCACGAAACTGTTGGAGTGACTGTCGGCATGATGTACCTGACGGTCAGAAGAGTTCAAATATGCAGGAGTGTACCTGAGGCACGGGGGGAGTGTAGTTGTTTCGCTCAGTCTGAAGTTCCATCTCGGTAGACATGAGACGCTTGATAGGCGTTGCTTTGCTTGACTGGGATTCCCTAATGTTAATGAGGTATACACACAGCTTGATGCACACACAGTGAGTTCATGAAACGAAAGTGGCAGCCAGCAAGCATAAAATACCCTTCTCAAGTGGGCAATTATCTCGGCTTGACTGATTGCTTGTCGAAGTAAATGCAAAACTTGATTGCCTGATTGTTGACAAGGGCTTTCGACAAGTTTATAGGTCTCCTGGGCAAATTGGTTCTCGCTTGAAACGCTGTCCAGTTTCAACCAGATGAGACAAAACCGACCGTTGAGCTGTGAAAGCCAGACGATAGTTGAATTCGCAGTCAAACGTGTAGATGCGAGACGCGTTTGCTACTCCGAATGACTTCGTTATCGACAGTCTGTCGCGCTGCGTTTCGGAACAAGCCGAGAATGCGACGATACCTGGCTGACCGAATCCTTTGATGGTCCTTGGCGCAAGCTAAGTCCAAATACCAGAGAAGCAATAGTATTTGTGCGATTGATTGTGTGGTGGGTAGGGATATGCTTCTGCCTTCACCCTTGAGAAGATGCCGCGTGTATCGGGCGCCCTCAGGGGCTTTCGTTTGACAGGCAATGTCCCGTGTTTGATCGATTCAACTCGGGTCCTGCCCCTGTATCGCAAGTTCGCCTCCCTGTATTGCTGAAGGTCCTGGACATAACTCATAGTGTAGGCGAGGTGGCTTATCCGAATTGTCGTAAGGGGTGGTTCGCAAGCGGCAACCCTTCAGCTTCAATACGAAGTGATCATGCGGTGTTGCATATCTGATCATTCTCCGGAGCCGATGTACAGCACAGTGCAAGTGGTAAAGAGTAGCTTCGGTCTCGCATCTACTCGTCGAGTCAATGTCGACGCAGGAAAAGTCACATCAGTAGGGCAGACGTGCTCAAGCACTCCCTTTGATATACCTCTACATGCCGCATTTAGGCAACTGGGTATTCTCGCGCGACTGTTGCCTGCCCCAGACATTAGCTAGTGCATTTTGTTGAGCCATGAGAAAGCTTCATCAGACGTTCTTCATTTGAGTGTAGTCTTGACTGCTTCATTGTGAAGTTGAGACGTCGACTGGAGTGTTGACACAAATTCGAAAAGTGAAGCACAGACAGATGCGAAGCCGTATACAATGACGCTATTGACTAAATTTCCTAGAACCGACCAAGAGATTGCCTCTCTCTAGCTAGCATACAATGCAGAGTAACCCTCTGAGATCAAGATTTGATACAACTGCCAACAACGGCGGAGGAAGACGAGCTTCCATTTGTCATGCGTCCTTCGGAAAAAGTCATGCTCAACATAGAAGACGCACCGACTGGGCGGCTGGGCGTCGCTTGTAGACTCGGTACAGGCGTCGTGGCCTGGGATCGGTTGTGAATCATGTGTGACTTTACGAGATGACCTGCAGCGAGTGCAGCGCAGAGGGACAGCTCACCTGCAAGGACTGAAGCAGCAACAATACTCGCGAGTCGACGCGCATTATCGCCTGGCTTTGTTGGATGCGGCCCCTTCACACCCAACATATCGAGCATGGCTGATTGAGGACCTAGGATTGTACCGCCTCCAATAGTGCCGACCTCGATACAGGGCATGGAAACAGTAATGTGCAGGTTTCCATCGACATTGTTCATCAAGGTCATGCACTGTGAGCTCTCAACATTTTGAGCGGGATCTTGTCCTGTAGCCAAGAAAATAGCAGTCAGAATATTGGCAGCATGCGCGTTGAAACCACCAATAGAACCAGCCATGGCGCTTCCAATGAGGTTCTTCCGAATGTTGAGATCCACCATTGCATCCACGCTAGACTTGAGGACTGACTTGACGATATCACCGGGCACAATGGCTTCTGCAACCACAGACTTGCCTCGACCCTCAATCCAGTTGATGGCAGCAGGTTTCTTGTCTGTGCAGTAGTTGCCAGAAATGGAAATAATTTGCATATCATCAAAGCCAGCATCCTCAGTCATGTACTTGAGCGCTTGCTCAACACCTTTAGAGATCATGTTCATGCCCATCGCGTCTCCTGTCGTAGTTTTGAAGCGGATGTAGAGGTTTGTGCCTGCGAGTGCAGTCTTTGTCGACTGCAGACGTGCAAAGCGTGAAGTTGAATCAAACGCCGCTTTGATCTGCTTCTGACCTTCGGTGGAGTCGAGCCAAAGCTTGGCTGCACCTGCCCTTCGGATAGAGGCAAATGCGACACAGGGTCCCCGTGTCATGCCGTCTGCTGTGAGGACAGTGATGGCACCACCGCCAGCATTGATGGCCTTGCATCCACGCTGTGTTGACGCAACCAAGCAACCCTCGGTTGTGGCCATGGGAATGAAGATTGACACACCATCAATTAAAAGTGGGCCAGCCACACCGATAGGCAAGGGCATGTATCCAATGACGCTTTCGCAACAGGCACCCATGACCCTAGCGTAGTCGTAGTTTTCCAAGGGCAGCTCGGAATGTTCGAGTGTCTTTGTTGTAGATGTTCTTGAGACATAAGCACGCCGAATTCGAACAGCGCGTTCAAGGTCACCAAGGAGCTTTTCAAGCGCATAAGGTGCAATCTTGCTACTCAACACCAGGGAGGTCAGTTCCTCATCGCTCAAATCACGAGTCTTGCCAGCTTTATGCAAGTCAATGCACTCATCGACAGGCCGCGGCGGATGGATGTCAACAGAATGTCGCGGACTCAGACCCGGGAAGCGGTCCACATACTTAACAACTTCCTTTTGAACGATGGCGGGAGTCGATGGTGTGGTTTGAACAAGACTGCCACGGGCAGCGTTGAGAAGATAGGCATTGAAGACGATGGACAGAACGAGGATGATGACAATCCACTTTGACAAGATTGGGTCGCCAACGGTCTTTGTCCAATTCTCAAGAAACTGGACCAACGCACCGGAGGCCAGCGAGGAAGATGTGTATTTTTGTGGCGAGAGCACAGTGATGCTGTCAACTTGGCTAGTAGCCGCTGTGTTGAGCAAAGCGCCCAGATTGAAGGAACTGGGTGTGTTGGCCGAGCTAGTCACTGTAGAATGATCGGCGAACGGTGTGAGGGCAACTGGTGAAATGTTGAGAAAGTTGCCAATGATGAAAACGGAGACCATAATGAGCTTGAATCGAGTGATGCTTGAATCCTTTACCTTTCGTCCACCAAAGAGCGAAAACATGCCCATGTTTGCCTTGAAGGTAGACGAAATACGATCGCCTGGGCCGCGAGGGTCGTTGGCAAGAGCGACGCGTTCTGCATTTTTGTATGACATGCCTTCTTCTTCGAGAGCTTTGCGAATTCCCGTATGACGCTTGATGCGCAGTACCTCCAACTTGATTGAGAGAATGGCAGTGTAGAATGTGAACAGCAAGAGGCAGTCGAATGCCAGGATGAAGGCAGCCAGGAAACAGAACTGCTGCAAACCATTCACACCGGACATGGCACCAACCACGAGAATTGCAATTTCAAGCGCATAACCTCTCAAAATTGCATGGCCTTTGTCGGCAACACCATTGACGACATCATCTCGGATAGGCCTCGTCGATGTTGCTGGACTGGTGAAGAGGACTGCTTTGGTAAGCAGGAAAGGCTTCTCAAAACCAATAGTGACGACTAGAAAGGGCAAGCCTTCCGAGAGTAGAATGGGATTGATGGGTCTGCCGAGGGCGTTGACGGTGACCAAGGCGAAAATGAATGCGAAGACGGAAGACATAAGTACCGAACTGGCCAACCAGAAGGAAGAGCCAAGACTTCGCATATTGACGAACAGGGAGCCAAAGACTGCGTACATGCTGATGTAACCAATTGCGATGATGATAATGTCAATAGTGGATGCGCGCCGAATGAGCTCGACGGTCTTGTGATAGACATCTTTCATGGATCGTACAAGCCAGAGAATGTCTGGACGAGCATAGACAGGTGTGCAGAGGGTCTTATCAAAGCGCAATCCATCAATACGCAGGGACTGCGCCTTTGCATTGATCTCCTTTGCTGTCGTTTGCTCTGAATGAACCAGGATTTGCAAAGTGCTTTGTGTCGAGGAGGCCGGAAAAGTGAATGTCTGGCAAACATCATCTATTCTGTAGCACTCTGCCTGAAACGCAGAAACAATGGCCTCCGTGATGGGCTGTTGCAGGGATGGGTAGAGAAATTGCACAACAGTGAGGTCAGAATCGGCTTTTGCATTGGACCAGGTCCATCCCTTCGCCAGGCTTGATGTTGCTGACCGTGTGACGCGCCCATCAATGAAGCTTTCGCGATCCGCTATCGTTTCGCCGGAGTATGAGGGCGATGTGTCGAGCTGCCCGGAGCGAATGATGTCCAGGAGATGGAAGTAGCAGAGGGAGCAGGCGACGGAGATGATGACGAGGGTGTGAATGGGGAATTGGGCCACCTGACCAGCCACTGTGCGGAAGACCATCGCTGCGGAGGGAGGCCGTGCTCAGTCGCCTTGGCTGTGGGTCGTGAGGGTGATTCCTTGGGTTGGGTCGTGGATGGGGGGAGAGAAAGGTGGTCTGCTTCTTCTCAACTTTTTTTCGCGTTCGAGTCAAATGAGCAGCACACAGAATAAATGTGTGTAGGCACTGTAGGGTGTGTATCAGCAAGGGTGGACGATGCTACGGTCACTCGGGGCAAAGGCTTCGCAGCTGGACAGGGACTTCTCTTTATTTGGCCAGGTGACTCGTCGACCGAGGCTTGTTGTGTGTTAATTATGCGGGGTCCAATGCTGGATGCAGCAGTATATATGTGCTCAATCTGTCTATAGATGTATTCACGAGCCTGATATGTTGGGCCCTTCCTACTTGGCAATCCTGCGCAGCCTGTCTCCCCTGTGCATTGCCTGGAAGCAGTTTTGATGTCATCCGCTGCTTCCTGAGTGCAGTTGGAGAGCAGACAAGACAGCAGCAACACAGCGACTACAACACACACAGATCTTCGAGCTCATCGTGAATCAGCAGATATGGCTTCCAAGATGTAAGTTGGTTCAAACATACTGCAGCACAGGCTCACATGGCAGGATGAAATGGGGACGAAAGGACCCCGAACTCTACGTGCTCGGCTTCATCTACGCCGGCATCTTCGGTGTCGCAGGCTACCACCTCGGTAAGACACATGCAATTGTGTGCAAGAAGTGAGAGCACAGCTGTTCTGTCCATCCCATGGTTCATCGAATATGGGCGGACAACATGTGTGACTATTATGACCACTCTATGCCGCATTTCAATCAACACTGCACATGCTAACACAGATACAGGCAAGAAGGGAGGCAATGCAAAGCCTGAGGCCAATGTCCAGATCCCAGAAAAGGGTATGCCTTGGCACGATGACGACGAGGGCGGCGACTACAAGTACAAGTACCACCCCGGCGGTGATCCATCACGAGCTCCCAAAGAGGCTCCCGGTGCACTTCACTCACACACCATCATGGTAGCTTTGCCCGATGAGCTGTACGAGAAGTTCAACAAGGCTGATTAGAGATCATCAAGTGTCGAATGTGTTTCACATATAATCTTGTGGTTCTATCCACTGATATTTGCTTCTCACGAAATATGTGCGTGTATGCAAGGCTGTCATGACTGCGAGGCATCTCTCGCTTGTCTTGCGGCTCTCCTCGCTTCCATGCGTCTGACATCCTCTTGTCGTTCCTTCTCATATTGATCGAGATCCTGCTTGTTAGACGACAACTTGCCAAGTCGAGTGGCCATACCGCTAGCCATCGATCTCTCGCTTCTATTGCCTTTGTACGCTCCTTCTCATCCTTGATGCGCTTCGCGTCCTTCCTCGTATCGCCGTAGTAGACGCTACCCGACACCATAGCCAGCACAGTGAAGCCTTGTGCATAGATTCGCCAGCGGAAGAATTGATTCGCGCTTTTTTGATTTCCACGACGTATAGAGACGGAAGCTGCAAAGAGGGCAGCGCAAGTGCCTACAATGCCAATCGGAACCAGCGGCTCCTCCTTGAACTTGCGCGTCAAGCGCTCATATTGGCTCTCTGCTTCATGCTGATCGTCTGTGACGCTCGACGGCGGCAAGGAGCTCATTGCTTGCGAGTCCGATCGCCGACTGCAGACGCCTTTCTACACCCAGTCCGTTAGCCTTCAGCTTGAGCCTTTTTGGTGTCTTGAGGTGTCGCCCGAGTTACGTAATGCGAAGAAGGGACGCGATCAGATGGGCAGACATGTAAAGACGTCGACAATCAGCTGCAGCCCTGCTACAGACCTGCCATTTGTTCAGACGCTGGTATGGAAGCTGATTTAGTTTCTTGATTCTACTCATCTCCAGCTCAATGGATACGGCGTTGCTTGAAGCGTGCATTCTACAGCTCATCAAGACGAACCAAGACTCTACATCTGCTCACGTCGCTGAACATCATGGAGTGCCTTCTGCAGAGGAGCTGGTGAAAATGAAAGCGTCCAGATTCCCTACACGTATCACTGGTATATTGATCTACAACGTCCATGGCAGCCATATGCTGATAATACATAGGAGCGATCGATCACTTTGGTGCGATGGAGCGATGGTCAGCCAGCTACTTCAGACATACGATGGGCTCAGCCACTGTGACTTGTGCGGTGACACCCACAGGCGAGGCTGACAGTGTTCAAGGTGACTACTTTGTGCAACCCTTCCAGGCACGCTGCACCATGAACAGCATGCTTGACTGGATTGCAGAACCGAAAGGCAATGTGCGCTATCTCCAATTACAAAATGGCTCGTTGCAGCTAGAGTTCCAAGCACTGCAGGCCGATGTCGAACCAAATGGCCCATACTGGGCTGCAAGTGTCTTTGGTGAGGGACCGCTTGCCAATATATGGATCGGCAATCACTCGTCAAGAACGAGTCTGCACAGCGATTCCTTCGAGAATCTGTTTTGCCAGATTCGAGGCAGTAAGCGTTTCACGCTTTATCCGCCACATGAGTATCATCTGCTCAACGAGGCCGAGTACACCATGGCATCGTATATGCCAACAGAAGGAGAAGATGGATTACAAGGGACGCTCAACATCGTGCCTGATACACCAGTGGGCAAGATCCCATGGTTGCAGCCGCCTGAACCACCGCACCCGAAAGCGAGGCCTATTCATGTGATACTAGGTCCTGGCGAAACACTCTACCTACCTCCGCTATGGTTCCATGAGGTACAGCAAATAGATGACCCCGATGATGGTCTTTGCTGCTCTGTGAACTACTGGTACGACATGGATTACCTGGATGGCAGCTGGGCTCAGTGGAAGTTCCTGCGAAAGATTAGCTTGCTGGCTAGAGGCATGAACGCTTTGTGTGCACAAGAGCTCGCCGAGGAGGAAGATGATGACGATGGCACTGCTTCAAGTCAAGCAGTCCATTGAAGACTGTAGCGAAGCCACGACGTGAACACGAGTACGATTTCTCAACGCAACGGCAATTTGGCAAAGCTGTTGACGCAGAGACATCAAACGTGCATGTCAGGCAATTTCGTGCAAGGTGGAGTGCTTCCATTGTCGATACAGGATGTGGTCAGACTTAGAATACCCGGCATCTTCCCTTGTGGACGGAAATGATACTCATGAGCTGATTCGTGTGCGCCAGTATCAATAGAGAACAGGTCAGAGGCAGATCGGTCGAACTAGAACCAGAAGCAAATACAATGTGCGATACAATCCTCTCCATCTCTCCTCTTTTCTTTTCTTTTCTCTTCTTGCTAGATGCCTGAAACTTGAGCCAGAGAGGGTTAAGGGTCTCTAGCATAGCAGGTCGTCTCTCCGGGAAGCGGGAGTGAGCAAGTTTAATCCTCTCGGGATCGGTATGCGTCGTCCCTGGGAGCATCGCGCTCAGCCTCACGAGGAGCAGCGTCACGGTCTCGGCCATAGTCACGGTCACCGCGGCCACCTGCGTCACGTCCAGAGTCACGGCCGCCATCACGGTCACCGCCTCGGGGTCGGTAGTTGTCCCTGTCACGGCCGCCGCCGTAGTCGCCACGGCCGCCATCTCGGTCACCGCCACGAGGACGGTAGTTGTCACGGTCACCGCCACCACGCGAGTAAGGTGAGTCTCGTTCGTCTCGGTCGCCGCCTGTATCGTTGTGTTAGAAATCGACGCACATGAAGGAAGTAGAGAGAGAGAGAAGACTTACCGTATCCGCCACGACCTCCACGGAAGCCACCACGACCACCGCCTCCGCGTCCACCACGGAAACCACCGCGGTCACCGCCACGGTCAAAGGCAGGTCGGTCTGCTGGGTCGCTTGCCTTGTCGACGCGGATGTTGCGTCCGTCGAGGTCTTGGTTATGCATGGCTGCTACGGCAGCATCGGCTTGAGGTCCCTCGGCGTAGGTGACGAAGCCGAAACCACGGGATCGTCCACTCTCGCGGTCCTTGATGACGACACAGTCGGTGATTTCACCGAACTCTTCGAACGCCCTGCGGAGGGATTCATCGTCTGTGGCCCATGCGAGTCCGCCGATGTAGAGTTTTTGAGACATGATATAGGGTGAGGTTTTTGTTGAAGAAGGGTAAGGGGGAGTGGTGGGTTGGGGTGAGGGCAGGAAGGAAGGAAGGCGGATTTGTGCTGCAGAATCCTTTTCTCTCAGAATCTCTCTCTCTCAGAAATCAGAATCCTTCTCTCCCCGTTGACGGAATCCCACAGTGGATGTGGTCAGATGGGAGGACGGCCGGGGGATTGCTTGATGAGCAGGGATGTCTGTTGGGAGAGGATAGACTGCAGCATCTATGGCAGCATCTATGGCAGCATGGTGGCCTGTCTCATCTGTTCAGTAGATGCACCACAGTTGCACATCCATAGCCAGAGTACCAGAGTACTGCTGCGACGAGCATGATGTGGCCTCTCTTCTAGTGATGTATGTCAGCCTGCTATCAGGCCCTCCTCCCTCATCCCCCTCTGCCTCTACCCTGCCTATAATACTGTCTATATCTATTCTGCATCTGTCCCCTTCCTGGCTTCGATCTGTCACTGTCTGATCTGACGACGACCCATCGAAGCGACAGGACACCACACCACCACAAATCATCTGTCCCAGGTGCACTCAACTCACCTGGCAGCCCCATCCCGGTGTCTCCCTTCACCGGGCGCACACACCAACTGCACGCATCCAGCAAGAGGCTTACCAAAGATACCCTGGAAGCAATCGTGTCCATACATCGGAGGGAACAGCACAATCACTCCCTGGTGACGTAGTGAAGCATGCCCAGGACCAATGGCAGGGGCAGACATCCACAGAGTCCTCTCTCGCAATCTCCCGTCGTCTTTCCAGATACTTCGCCAGAAGCGACGGAAATATCGCGCTACAATACTTCTACAGTGTCAGACTCACTTACCTCGCAACCCATTTCCATCACAACAGCGATACAAAGGGAGAAGCGGCAGTCAGACGCGTCTGTCCTACCTAAAATCAATACAAGTAATCTCTCGCCCTCACCGCCAGGCACCGCAGAAGACGGCACGCGCAATGGACAACGCAAAAGTGCCTTGCAAGAACTAGATAGTCCAGGGAGTGCCCGCGGTGCGACACTCGACGTGACCAATGCTGTGCGCAGCTTCAAGCTCTTCCACAATGCGCCAGAGGAGCTTATTGAGCTCATCCTCAATCGTATGCGGTCCAGGATGGTGGAGCCGGGTGATGAGATCTGTAAAGAGGGCGAAGAAGCCAAGGCAATGTACTGGATTATCCGCGGCACAGTTGCTGTTGTCTCTCGCGACGGAGAGTCCAAGTTTGCTGAACTTCATGCAGGACAATTCTTTGGGTATGCACAGTCAACAAGGCTATACCATTGCTAACATGCAGTGAAATCGGTGTACTTTTCTCTTGTGCGCGTACAGCAAGCATTTTGGCTCAAACAAAGTGTCTCTTGATGGCTCTCACTTTGGAAGACCTACAACAAGTGCTCCCGCGCTTCCCGAACATTGAACGAGCCATTCGTGAAGAAGCTCAAGAGCGACTCGAATTGACACGCAAACTCAAGTATTCTGCGAAACGTGGCGAGGCAACAAGCTTGCGTGAGCGAATCCTCGCTGTGCCCATGTTTGCCGACCTGCCACCAGACATTCTGCACTTTCTCGGTCTCAAAATCAAGCCAGCCAATTTTGCGCCCTTCACACCCATCCTCGTGCAAGACATGCCGGGTAGGGAAATCTACTTTATTGTTTCAGGGTCGGTGGAAGTTATCGATGCCGCCCGTGCCAAAGTACTTGCTCGGCTGGGGCCCGGCCAATTCTTTGGCGAATTGGCATGGCTGTCGCTCTCGGACGTGCGCACAGCATCTGTCAGATCTGTCACTGCAGTCGAAGCCCTTGTGCTCGAGGATGGGATTCTCCAGGAAGTCTCTAAAGTCTACCCTTCTATGCGCAAACTGATTGAAGCGGTGGCCCAAGATCGACTTGCCATGGATAACCTCATCATGAGCAAAACTCAAGTTCCAGAACAGGCTAGCATAGGATCTGGCACCTTGGCAACTGTTGCAGATCAAGATCCCTTTGGCGTTCCAAGTCTCAAGCGCAAGCTCTCGATTATTGAGGCGCCCATCTCACCCAGACAAACGCCTCGCGATGTCCTTCCCCTCAAGCGACAGAGGAAGCGCAGCAGAGAGGATGAGGATGTGCTGATCCCACAGCCACACATCGCTGGACGTTTACCTGAACGTGTCGTGATGCATGTCATCAAGCAAATGACCATTGCGCGTGCTGCAAAATTGAGGCTTCTTCATTCGACATGGAACGCTCTACTCCTTCGGATGCCCATGCCTGAGCTTTTCCTTGGGGATGTCTCGCGCACGATTGATGATGCCAAGCTCAGACAAGTTGCTGCCTTCATTGGGTCACGAGCTGAGCACGTCAATATATCCCATTGTTCACTCATCACTGACAGCTCATTCAAGCGTATTGTGGCGGCTTGTGGTCCACAGACTAGAAGCTTTGCCTTGGCATCGTGCTGGAATGTCTCGCCACTCTCACTTTTTGAGCTGACTGCACGCGCTCCAAATCTCCGATCTCTCGACCTCTCCAATTGCCGCAAGATGAATGACCAGGCTCTGTTCAAAATCATCAACACAGCGTATCAATTGGAGGAGCTCGATTTAGGCTACTGTAAGCACATTAGTGATCGCAGTATGCATTGTATTGCTGTACATGCCTCACCACGCCTCAGAGTTTTGAAGCTGTCACGCTGCACAAGCATCACAGACGCAGGCTTTGGCTACTGGAGCTATGCCCCGACAGGCTTTCCCAAGATGACGACGCTCATCCTACGGGACTGCACATTTCTGAGTGACAATGCCATCGTTGCACTTGTCAATAGTTGCGGCGCATTGCAGCACCTCGATCTCAGCTTTTGCTGTGCATTGAGCGACACGAGCGTTGAAGTCTTGTCTCTCGGTCTGCCAAACCTCAAAAGCCTTCTTCTGGCATTTTGTGGGTCTGCCGTCTCGGACTCTAGCCTGGGCAGTATCAGCCATCACTTGCAATCGCTTCGCCACTTGAGTGTCCGAGGCTGCGTGCGTGTCACAGAGCAAGGTGTACGCAGTGTGCTTGATAATATCACGACCCTCGAGATCCTCGATGTCTCTCAGTGCCGCAATTTGCCACGCACGCCGAGCAAGTCTGGTGTAGAAATCACCCATGGTGGGTGAAGGGCTGTACTTTAGACATTGTACTTGTACACTGTAAAACATTGTTCTTCTCAACCCATCTGCACGCAGACACTGCTCTACATCCGTGCCCCTACCTCTATAGCTCAGTTACAGTGCCACCGAGGTTATGTCCGAACGTGCACCAGACAACTTTCGCGAGCTCGTCTATAACAAAGTGAAGGAAATACCACGCGGTCGTTGCACATCGTACGGCACAGTCGCTGCACTTGTAGGCTACCCACGGCATTCACGCCTTGTTGGGTCGTGCCTCAAAACTTGTACAGATGAGACAGTACCCTGGCAGCGTGTCGTCTCTAGTATCGGCATCATCAGTCCTCGCGAAGCTGGGCCCTTAGCCACCCAGCGTCAAGCTGAGTTGTTGCGTTCTGAGGGCGTGCATGTCGATGCGATTGATCAAGGTGAAGGCTTTGGCGGAGATGGCGGCAAGGTGGATATGGTCTCATATGGGTGGTACGGTGAGGACTAGAGACCACGAAACCCGATTGTGACTGTTGTGTTTCGCATCGCCCGATGGGCGACGTAGAGCGACGACGACCAAATAGCAGACTTACAGCAGACTTACTTATTGTCGCTGCGAGTCTGTACGGGATATGTCTAGTAATGTGACGAGCGAGGTGATCGATATCTTGCTAAGTCGTGCTGTTGCAGAGACCCTGCTCTCGCTAGATCAGTATGAAGCGATAGACAAAGATGCGCTCTTTCACCTCAACCAGCTCACTGAGCAATTTCTTCAAATGCTACTGCACCGCATCCTGGCCTGTACGCGCGTCAAGCGGCGAACGCGCGCTAGTTATGAGGATGTTGAGCTGGCACTCTTGCGCGAGCACATCAGTACTGGCGCTTTGGAAACAGAGCTCACGCGCGTTGCCGGTAGTCAATGCAAGCGAGCGGCTAGCCCCGTCCTTGAGGTGTGTGCAGACAAGATACCGAAGCGCTTTGAGAGTGCTATGGACCGTAAACTACAAGCTCAGCTTCTTGGGCCAGAGCTCAATGGCAAGCGGCGTGGTATACCACCGTATATGATGGAGAAGGGCATGTTATTACCAGCCTTGCCTCCACTTTACACACACCAAAAGACAGCTGTCTTCCCGGATAGAGTGGATTCGGAGCTGGAAATGCGTCAGCGTGTCCTGCAAGAGACTCAGCTTGTTGAAGCGTCTCTTTGGAGATTAGCAGACATGGAAGAGCAAGCCATTCACAAGCAGCTTGTTGGCAATGGCGAACTTGACACCGTCATGCAAGATGCGGACATATCAGGGAACGACTCGAGCGGTGACGATGATCAAGATCGCCCGACCAATGTCATGAGCAGAACAGCAATACGCCAGATGGCCCGACGCAAACGGCTAGAGGCCTTTAGTCAGGTGTGGAAGGATATGTCGTTTGGGGAGCTCGTCCGGCATCGTCCTACGAATGTCGACACAATCAAACACGCTGGCAAAGTCTGATGAAATGCGCGCTGATGCTAAATGAATGCTATGTTGAAGATGGCCGCTATCATTGTGAAAATGCCGCTTCTGCTGCGAGTCGTTTGCGCATGTCTGGTGACATGATTTCCCAGACGTCGCCGATGACTTGACTAGCTTCATAGACGCGCTTCATGGTGGCCGCGTCCATTCGAATGCCTTCCATATCAAGCGCTTGTAATATATTCCTGACTCTGGTGATGTCTTCGCGTGCGCGTGCAGGGATGTCTGCATTGATGTTTGAGTAAATGCGCTCACTTGCCTCTTGCGTGGTATTATTGTGAGCGTTGTAGCCGCTCTGGGCTGCCGTGTTGGCACTCCCTGTCAGAGAAGTATCGGAGTGCAGAGATACATGGCAAAAGCCGTTTGATCCAAGCACAAGATCAACATGCTGTCCCAGCTGGACCGCACTCGTCTTGGAACGCTGCACATGTTGCGGTGCGATGCGTACGAATTGACCGTTGCGTAGCTTTCCGTACTTGAGCGAGCGAGTATGTAGACTGACACTGCCGTCACCAAAGTAGTTTTGTACCTCTGCCAGCAGAAGATCGCCCTCCTCGAAGAAACTGCGCATGGCCAACTCATCGGTCCCTGTTTTCCTACGCTGAATACCGCCTGGCAGATTGATGCTTGCCAGTTGAAGGATCGCATCTTGCCGCGCTCCGATATCGACCTTCCAGCGTTTGAGACCGACTTCCTTGATAACGCCAACCACTAGATCTCCAATCTCTGGTAGGAATCGTGATTTGAATGGAGTGATGCTCAGCAGTTTATTGACTCTGCTGACGGTGCCAATGAGAGATGACTTGATTTGCGTTGATTGATCGAGTATGTAGGTTCCGTGGCCGCGCATGAACTGCGGGTCGTCTGTGATAAGGTCGCCGGGGATGGTGGTAGAACGGGCTGCTGCAAATGCATCATCGCCATTCGCCTTGTCATCGGCCGCATCGAGGTCCATCATATCTCCATCGGCGTTAGGCTCTTGCACAAATCTCGGCGGCTCATAGCGCTGTGCTGGATGTATAGAGAAACTCATGGGCGCGGAATCACACAGGACTGTCGGATTCGCAGCGCAAGCTCTAGTTCTATGGTTTTTTGGTGTTGCTGCAACGCCAACCCTGGAACTACTCATATGATTCAGCGGTCAATTCTTGGTTGCAGGATGCCGAACAGCGTGGAGATTCGAGAGCTTGAGAGAAAGACTAAACCCATTAGAACTATTACAACGCTAGCACGAATGAGGTGATACAAGTCAAGCAGGCCACCACGACACGGGCACGGCGACAAATGGCTACCTTAGTCTCTTCGGCAGCAGCTGTGTATCTTGGTCAAGCAGTACGCAGGACATTGTTGCGCTGTCGACGACAAGGACCGAGTAGGCTGGACTCAACAATGCCTCAAAAGAGCTTCAGTGGCCGATGTGTATCAGTGCTCACGTGTTGCCACCAATTGAAGGCTAAGACGCAGCACTTGTCGTCGGGCTTCAAGAGCCATGGCGAAGGATATTAGGCCCATTCGCGCACGAAGCACATCTTGCACGCTTACACACTATGTCCGCGGGTGCCTTCGCCTTGGCTTTGTGGAGCTTGACTGCGTCGCTGCAGACTAAATACTCGCCGACCTGCCTACGAAAGCACTTGGTCAAAGCAGATTCGAGAACTTCTAGAAGCTGCTCGGCATTGGCAAAATAAGAGGAGGCATACAGAAGCAGGCGAAGTGTTGTGCGCAGGCGAGTCTTGAGCGTGATACTCAAATGCTTGCCCCTGCATCGTGCTGATGAGTTGGCGTCGCCAAGCTTGCCAGGCAACCACATGACAAGAGTGACATATTTGCCATTTGCTGCGTGTGAGCCTGTCTTGGTTCTTTGGTGGCTCGAAAACTCTCAGGTTTTCATCTGCCAAAGCGTAGATCTGGCCAAGCTGGGCCTCTCAATAATGGAGGTGGTTGTCGGGAGGCACTGCCATGCTCGCTAGGAATAGTCAGCCCTATCCTGTCAAGCAGGACTTGCGGTGCATGCGTATTCTTACTGTGTTTGGCCTCTTACATTGCCTTGACCTTGCCAACGCAGCAATACACCGGAATTGGCGGCTGGGACATCGATGCTTACGACTATCAGCTGACTTTACAAAGAAGTAGAACGGCGACAAGCTGGTTGTGTATTCATGCCATGAATTCCATAATCACCAGTGGGCCCGTCACCACAGTCCATAGCTTGTCATCAGGCACAAGGTTACTGCAGCTTGACCAATGAAGCTAATGAGATCCCGACCACTTCAAGCGAACTTCTAATGTATAGGTAATAATTGTCGTAGACTACTCGTAGTGTTGTGGCTCGCGGCAATATGTGGAGGCCATTGTCAACGAATTCTGCGTCTTGCGGGCAAGATTGAGGGGCCCGATCTCGATGCGATGAAAACTTAATCTCATCGGATGATCAGACTCTCATCCCATCTTGAATTCTGATCAAGCCTTCCGCTGGAGAAAAAGTGTAGATACCAGTCCTGCAAGATTCTTTCAGCTCAAGTTCTCGGATCTAGGCCAGACGTTTGCAGGTTTGTGAAGATTTGGCACTAGCACCGTAGCACCATGGTCGTCTGCCCAATGCCCATACTTTTCGCGTCGTTACTCCACATAGACAAATACGGCAAACGCTTATTCTTTTTGACGAATCGCAAGTGTGCTTGCTTGTAAGTTGCTACTGCTTGGAGGTTGCGATTCGCGAATAGCTATGCTTCAATAATGCTTGTATTGCACAACTTGCACCCAGTATGGCAGTACCCCGCTGTGCCGATATTCTGCTCAACGGCAATGCTATCCATACTGGAAATGCATAAAAGGGCTGCTGATTCCATGGCTTCGACGCTTGACATATTGCCAATTCAGTATGCTTTGCAGCTTATTCACCTCTCTTCTCGGACTGACTACGGTCTTCGCCAACCAAGTGCTGGTGTACAGGGATCCTGAGAACGGTAACATCGCTCAAGGTACTGTCGGCTATGGCTACAAGCAGATTTCTGCTACCTACACGGCCGATAGTACAAGGACTGCTATTACATTCTTGACACGGCACGACCCAGCATTTTTCTACTATGATGATTTTGTCTTCACTGTACAGAATAGCTCTGTGAATCTGCTGCAAAACCCTGGGTTTGAGAGCGGTCTTGCTCCCTGGGTTCTCGTAGGCCAACAGGGTCTGAGCGCGGCTGCCCGAGTCCAGTCTGACCGTCCACATACAGGCAGCTTTGAACTCAAAGATGGCGCTGTTGGTGGCATCGACGGTGTCTCGCAGATCGTTAACACTATTGTTGGAACAACCTATGCTTTCTCCTTCTTCGTCGCTGCCGATGCTGGCACATTCGCACTCAGTCAAGTCATCATCTCTTCTCTTGCACCGCCAACAATCATGCGCTCTCCGCTGTCTGATCCCAGCAACCCAGCCAATCTGACAGTCACTGGAAGTGCTCCTGGAGGCCAAGTCATCACAATTTACATTAATGATGTTCAAGTTGCGACGACCACGACTGGGGTAGCCAACAGCTATACTGCGTCACTCGACCTGTCCAGTTACAATGGCGTGTTGTCGATCACGGCCACGACAACAGCAGGTGGTATCACTTCTGATCGGTCATCCCCTTTGCTGGTACAATATCCGCCCCCTCCTCTTCGATCCATCACCGGTGTCCTTACCGGCCGCACGCTCACAGACATCTTCATTGCTGGAACGACTGATATCGGCACTGACCGCCCGCTGACATACATCTTCACGGAGAATGGTAACCAAGTCTTTACTGGTACAACTTTGGTCACTGCAGCAGGGCGATATGCATTCTCGCGCTCTTCAACCAACGCTGGATCGGTTACGATTAGTGGCACAGATGTCGCGGGCAACGCTGTGCAAACAACAGTGTCGTACAACGCTGTCAACGCTAAGTGCAACCGCGACAATTGTTTGCGCGGTCTCTTTGGCTCCAATGCTGCCAACAACCAAGCCAACTACAATGCCTGCTTCACTGCTTTACCAACCATTACCATCAGCGCTGGCTCTACCATTACTGGTGCAGCAGCTTTGCCAACCAATGCGGGTGTTTGCGACGGCCAGGGTGCAGACAAGCGTCAATCGCGCTACATCAGTGCATGCGCATGTATGGGTGTTGTTCCAACCACTACAACCATTGCTCTTGCTTGATCTTCAGTTCTATATTTTTCTTATTTTACTTCTTTGCTTTCGTTTGGAGCCAGCCGCCAACTACCTGAGCTCACTCATCCATACACGTTCCCGCAGGAAGCTTGGCATTTCTCGCTGAAAGCCCGGTGTGAGACCCTAGACCTCTGAAGATCTGACGAGCCTGTCAAAGCCGGCCAGTTTGTATCTCGAAATGGTTCACCAAGAAGCGTGGCAGAAGCAATTGTTGAAGCGACAAAATTGCCACATCTCTGTTCTAGATTACCGAGAGCATTTGGGGGCTCGAATCTCAGGCACAAGCAAGTAAGAGAGGTAGATGTAGACTGAGGACTTTTGAGGTCTATGTCATAGTCGTATCATATGCCCAATATGTGGGTTGTTGTACATGGCCGCCCCGAAATAAGGAGACTGGCCTCACTTTTGTAAGTCCGCTGCAGAAGGCGTTGAGCTTCGTCGAAACAGCAGAGTTCTGGTGAAGAAACTCAATGCTGGCATGCAAGAGCGTTGATAGATTGAAGAAGAAGGAGGCCTGGCGGAATCAAATGCCAAGACGTGTCATATCAGAAAAGTCTTTCCCATTCAGCCATCAAGCAAACAGGGTTGCACCGCCGGTCTCGACTGCTTCCATCTCTTCAGCACTCATAGCAATGTATCTGTACCGACTCTCGAGCTGCGAACGAGCTGGAACAATTCCGCGCGATGCTTCAGCGTGTTTGCCCGTAGACAGAGGTCCATGCTGGATCGCCTTGGCCCTGTACGCTTGAAACGAGGTTGGAAGCTCGCCTGTAGGCGAGGCTGGGTGTACACGAGGCTCTGTCTGCTCTGCTTTCTCGTCTGTAGGTGTGCGTTAGTCTTCTGGAGGCTTATCAGTTGCTATCAGTCGGGATTTTTCATGATTGATGTCATGCCGCGACGAGCTTTGTATTGGTACTTACGGGTCCGTTTGCCTAGGAACTTGATGAGAGGTGTACGGGCGTGAGCAGCACGGAGGATACGGGTGACCTGGGTCATATCTGTATGGTGTGGTATCAGAGGCAAGTGTTCCGTTGAGCTTGTGCTTGAAATGAATTTGCGGAGGAAGAAAGCCGAGCGAGGCCCGACAGGTATATACTATATAGACGGTGTGAGCATTCTAGACGGCTACGGCCCATACACGACTCACACAGTCATCGCCAGCAGTATAGAGAAGCTCACTCTTGCCATCTGCGGAAAGGCCGCCCCAAGTGACATGGTTGATTTCACTCACGCCATGACCATTCTCCAGTGTCAGGACAACGTCCCAAGTGTTCATACCCTGCTCAGGGAATGAACCATCCGTTCTTTGCTTGTAGATGATAACACTGCCATCTGCACCTGATGTAGCAATGCGGCCGGTATTTTTGCTCCAGGAAACAGTGTAGATGTCTCCCTCGTGCTTGGCTGGCAACTGTGTCTCTTCCTCCCAAACCTGATCCATAGATGGCCTGATGATGGAAGGCAGTGCAGCAGGGTCTTTTCCCTTTGCAGCAGGATCACTCGTTCTCCGCCATATCCGCGCAGTGCCATCACCACTCACACTCACGAGCCGTTGACCCAGTCCATTACCGCCCTCAAAGTCGAGCTGCCAGACAGTGCCATCGTGGCCTTTGAGAATAGCACAACAGATCCAATCATCGCCGTCGTCGCGCCAGAGCCGGATATCATCGTCGTAGCTGCCACTTGCAAGCAATTCTTCCTGTGGGTGCCAAACAACGCACTTGACATCACCACTGTGTTCTTGCATTACACTCACACACTCTGGGTCTTCATAGTTTTCCGCCTCCCAGATCCAGATACTCTTGTCTCTTGAGCAGGTTGCGAGTAATGTGCCACTCGCTGACCAAGCGACGCACTTGACTTCATTCTCATGACCTTCAAGCAGGCCGGCACATTCCCACTCGCCTTCACCCGTCTCTTCATCCCCGACGCAATCCCAGATCCCGGCTGTTGAGTCAAAGGACGCTGTTGCAAGCACAGGCTTTGTCTCGCCGTGCTTCCAGTCGCAACACCGAATACTGCGTTTATGATTACCCTCGACAATACCCATGAGATGATAGTCGTTTGTAGCATAGATACGGACTGTTTTGTCTGCGGAGGCCGTTGCAAGTAGGGGCCGTTGTGGATGCGGTGCGATGTGCCAAACACGGTCTGTATGTCCTGTGAGGGTTGCTTTTAGTTCGATACCCGCGGGTAATGTGGCAGGCGCTGATGCTGCTTGTTGCACGGGTGTATCAACTTGCATTGGATCATCTCTGCTGGCTTGAGATGCAGTAGGCGCTGGTATTTCTTTAGCAGAGGCAGATTTGATGGCTGCCTCTTCTGCAGCAGCTTTCTCTTCGCGGCAGTGACAGCGGTCTGAGGCTGGGACACCGGCGAGTGCAATTTCGATGTGCTTGCCGCAGCCTGCCCATGTTGGCTTGCTGCATGTCTCGCAGGTTGTTCTATAGCACATGTGGTTGTCGGTGTACGCTCGCTGGATGTATGCAAGGAGGAAGACAAGCGGAAGGGTAGTCATCGATCATCATGTAGATGGGTCACTTGGTCAGTTGCAAGGAAGCAGCAGTCATGGCACAGTGCTAGAAGCAGCAGTAATCAGTTCTGCCATGAGCGGGCGACATCCATCGCGTGAACATAGTCAAGACATAGACTCGACACACTCAACAGCACATACATCCAAGGACTCACATCCAAGCAGATCCATAAGCAGCAAACTCAATGTCATCACTCTCCTAGTACATACGCTTCTCAATCTTCCACTGCGAATTGACAGCAAACGCCGGGTCTGCCTTTGGACTCGCCGACTGACCTCTGAGTGTCCCTGTGAGGCGCCGATCGCGCTCCATCATCTGCCGCTCCCAGACGTCGAGGTTGTATCTGTGTGCCTTGCCCTCGTTGGAGAGGGTCTTTGTTGCGCCGAGTAGACCTGGTGGATGTGAGTTTGCTGTGTTTGTGCTATAGGATAAGACATAGACATACCACCTGCTGCTGTGTACATGCCGATGATGATGCCGAAAGGGAGGAGTGCCTCGAATGGGACTGGCATGATGTCCTCTGTTGCTCTCTCTTCTAGCTGTGCTCTCTATACTCTCTTGTAGCAGTAGACAGCAGCAGACTACTAGCAGCAGTAGCGTAGAGCAGAGCAGACACGTGCAGGCAACAACAAGCAAATAGACAAAGTAGTAGCAGTAGAGGAAGTAGCAGCTATAGCAGCAGTAGTGGAGGACAGCAGAGGTGTAGCTGGCAAGGACACAGAGCATGACACCACACCCATGCAGATAGCAACCATGAAGCGAAAGGTACATCTGCCCATCACCCTCCCGACGCTAACAGACAGCGCGACTCAGACTCAGAGTCCCTCTACACAGAAGGCGGCGACGAAGAAGAAGTGACGCCCCAGAGGATCCTCCCTAGCAGACAGTCTGCGCGTTCCCTTGCAACGCAAACCTCCAACCAAGCATCACAAGGCGACCCCATGGACTCGGCCGAAAAGCGAACGCGTCCAAAGCGCGTCACCAGCAGCGCGACCATCCTCTCCAGGACGCAGGACTCTCTTGTACTGCGGCTCAAACTACCGCGCGTCAGGCTACGGGCATTGTTCCTGAAAGCCGCCTCACAGCAACTGCATCGACACACACCGATAATGCACCAACAACAACAACAGCACCAACTAGGCAGCAGTCCAGCCTCGAGCAGCAGACCATCCCCGAAACCGTCACAGCAGCCTGTTCAAAGAACGAGTGCCTTCAAGTTTCGCGTCAAGCAGCCGCAGCCAGTCCCCATCTCACCTCGCCAGCAACGGCAAGAAGCCTTCCCAAAACAAGATCAGCGCGGCATGCTCAGGCAGTTTGGCAATATCCTGACACCTGACCAAGCAGACACAACACGAACGCTGCCTGATGAAAGCGACATTGTCCATTTCGACGCGGCAAAGCAAAAAGCAGAAGAGCTTCATCCAACACCCACCGTCTTGCCCAATCCAGATGAACCAGCATCCAAGGTACGCAGTATTTGGTTTGGCGTGTATGAGATTGACACCTGGTACAGCGCACCCTACCCGGAAGAGTATGCGCGCGAAAAAGTGCTGCACATTTGCGAGTATTGCCTCAAATACATGAACTCCTCCTTTGTCGCTCAACGACATGCACTCAAGTGTCCACATCGCCATCCACCTGGCAATGAAATCTACAGAGACGATCAGCTCAGCTTATGGGAGGTGGACGGTCGCAAGAATCCAGTCTACTGCCAAAACCTCTGTCTGCTCGCCAAAATGTTTCTACAAAGCAAAACACTATACTACGACGTCGAGCCATTCATTTTTTATGTCATGACAGAGTTTGACGAGAATGGTTGTCACTTGGTAGGCTACTTTTCAAAGGAAAAGCGCAGCGCCACCAACAACCTCTCCTGCATCCTCACACTCCCCATTCATCAACGCAAGGGATACGGCAACTTTCTCATTGACTTCAGCTATCTCTTATCGTCCGTCGAGGGTCGTATTGGCACACCAGAAAAACCACTGTCTGATCTTGGACTCGTCAGCTATCGCAATTACTGGAAACTGCGCATGAGTTATGTCCTGCGCGACCTGGAAAGGCCAATGAGTATTGAGCAACTCAGCAGACGCGCCACTATGACCATTGAAGATACGATCTGCGCCCTCGAGAATCTGCAAGCACTGCTACATGAACCCTCGCTCGATCTGTACGCCATTCGCATTGATATTGAAAAACTCAATGGCTTGATTGATGCATGGGAGGGCAAAGCGTATAAGCGTGTCGACAAGACAAAGCTCAGATGGTCGCCCTTCCTGGTAGGTCACAGTCTTGCTGAGATCCTTGCAGACCAAAATGAATTGCAAGCGCAAGAACGCGAACTGCAAGAAAGGGATGCAGACGAGGCGGCGAGGTTTGCTGCAGTGGGTTCAGAAGGGATCGCAGGATCAAGTGTGCCGGCGGATAAGTGGCAGACGGCCTTCCCCTTGGCTGTGAAGCGGAAGCGGCTCTCCTATCACTGATGGATGGGTTATCAATTGTGTTGTATATCATCTTGGCGGTATATGCAGCGAACACCAAAAATATCGGAAGCAAAAGTGGCCACTGTGAGATTGTCTGTTGAGACTGCCGCAAGGCTTGATCGTGGATTGCTCCTATGAAAATTTGTGGACAAGGCTACCATTTATGCTTCTTCAAGGCAGGTAACTTTGGACAAGTGCAAAAGTCCTGGAGCAAGACCAATTGTGTCTAGCTATAGAGGGAGCACGAGTGTATGCATGAGGCTTAATCGAACTACAGTAGTTCAAGGGCCATCTGACATTTCCGTACGGATCAAGTCATTCGAAGTCAGTCTGGAAGGATGAATTCTGATTTCTTTTCAATAAAGCTCAACGAGAGTCATTACGAGGGTGCTTATTGCGGGAACTCTTTGATTTCGTGCGTGAAACCGGTAAACTCTGACCCATCCAATCCAGATTTTCCATCTGCTCCATGGTACAGATTATTCAGATTGTTCTTCAGTCTGCCACCGAGCTTGTCCAAGTCGCAATATCCCGTCAGCTTCGCCCCCAAGCTGGGCCGTTCACGCTCCGTCACTACATAAGTCAAAAGCTCCTTACAGAAGCATTTGTCGGGAGCATCGCCTTCTGACCAACTTTCAACGCTCCATTCAGCTGCATTGTGTAAGCACCCCGTGTGGAGAGCATCATGTAATACAGACACATCCGGGAATGAGACAATAGGGCCAGTGAGAAGACACGCATTTCGACAGACGGGCCACTGTCCCAATGGAACGTTGGTGCGATTGAAGTGAAATTGCACGCCCAATATCGATTGACTGCCAGGCCCAGGGGTAGCTGAAGCCATATGCGAAAGGCTCAAGAGCATGAGTGTCCATGGGGACATGGTTTGTTGCATGGCCACTACTGGGAAAGTGTAGAGTAGTTTGAGGATGCTGCGACGGATTTGTGGACCAACACCCCTATTTATGCTTTTCGATGGCAGCTCTCTGAGCGCCGAATGTGAATCGTCCCGGAGGAGCATGATTTGCTATCGCGTGTAGACTCGTGGCCAAATATGTACATGTGGTTGCATCCGGGCAAAGTCGTACTTTCGCAAAACCCCTGTTCTGGGCAGACCTTGGCGAAATGACTTCGCATCCAGACATGTGGTCAATTTGGTGAATTTTGTTTCAGGGGAGCTGATTTGAAATTTGCTTTTGAAGAAGGATTTGTGGCGTGTCAGCTGTGTCGTTCAGACTCAAGACTATTCTAGACTCTAGAGGACCGAGTCGAGGCCAGCACATCGCATGCAGGCTGCAGATAGATGCCAAGTCAGCACTCAGGAGATATTGTATAGACCTAACATTTGCAACAATGGCCAAACACTGAAGGACACTCCAGCTAATGCGAGACTCTTGCGAAAAGCAGCTGTTTAGTGTCTAGGGATCAAGCTTGGAACACCGAAGCGTGGACCCAGCCATGTGATGCGGCAAGCCAGAAGACACTGTCTGTCAGTGTCGGACAGCAACCTCGCTGAGAAAGGGGCAGAGCTGTGTGGCAGTCCGTTGACATCGCTGCGCACAGCTCTCGTAGATTCAGGCAGAGTCACGAAAATCTTCCATCCGTGACAGGCTGGTATCGACGCTACGAGTTGGGCATTGAGATGCATAACAGAGTCGTATGATCTGCGAGCTGATGGCCACAATACTGAGTCCTAGGCACAACAGTTGCTCCACGGTGCCTTGCAGTGCAACAAAGTGAAGACAGTCATGACAGTCAACTCGAAACACGATGAAGACTCATGTATCGAGTGGCACTTCCAGAAAGTCCTGGCTACGCCTCCCGGTTTGAAGGAGTCCCATCGTGCTTGACACTGTTTCTAAAGACTGGACAAGAGTACCGTCGTATTCTTTCAAATCCAATGCCTGCATCCTGTTCAGCTGCAGGAGATTGTGCAAACGTTTGTATCAACCGCAGTATCACTTCAGCAGACACTGAAGCTCAAACTTGATCATGTCGTGACCAGCTACCATCATTGACACCCGGTCGGATGTTGCAGGACCCACGCTGATATGCTTCAGCTCATGTACTAGTTTGTGTGTAGTCGTCAAATGAAGTTTCATCAACCTCTTTCGTTTGCGCACTTCATTACTGTAGCCACTTCCCAGTCTCGCTCATGTCATATCTGCTGCCACATTTGCGCACAGCCTGGCATGTTGACCAGGCCATCTTGTCGGAAGAAGAGCGCCTTGTTGTCCTGCGTTTTGGAAGGGACGCGGATGAGCTATGCATGCGGCAAGATGAGATCCTCTTCAAAATCGCCGACAAGGTGCGCAACTTTGCCGTCATCTACTTGGTCGACCTGGATGAAGTCAAGGACTTCAACAAGATGTATGAACTCTACGACCGCTGCACCATCATGTTCTTCTTTCGCAACAAACACATGATGATTGACCTTGGCACTGGCAACAACAACAAGGTCAATTTTCTGGTGGAGGACAAGCAGGAACTCATCGACATCCTCGAGACAGTATACAAGGGTGCGCGTAAAGGCAGGGGCTTGGTGATTAGCCCGCGAGACTACAGCACGCGACTGGCGTATTGACCCAGCGCCAATTGGCATGGCAAGTCCACGCACCCACCTCTACTCGCTGTCGCAGATGCCACCGGCCTTGATGACATACACGCACTCTCCCTCAGCCACTTCTGGTGAGTCTTGTATTTTGGCGACACGCTCTTCACCTCTGCCCTTGCGCAACAGGATGCGCGTAGCACTCGCATGCGCCATGACATGCCCGCCAATGGGTTTACGATCAGCACTTGCAAACATGGCAGCAGCTCCTGGATCTGACTGTACTCTCACAAGGTTAGTACTGCTTATAAGACCTCAATCTTACTGGTTTGTGACAAAGACAGCGACATTGAACTCTTCACTCAGCTTGGTTAAGCGACTTAGCATGATGCCGAGTTTCTGCTGCCTATCAGCTAGTTCCCCACGACCAGAGTAGTCCACGCGAAAGAGTGCCATGATGGAGTCGACAATGAGTAGGCGGAAGTTGCCATCGCTTGCAAACAGACCACACACCTTGTCGATGGCATCTTGCTGTTGCTCAGATGTGTATGCTCGGTTGCAGACAATGTTTTCAAGTGCTGCGTCTGCGTCAACGCCAAATCTCTCGGCAATGGCGCGGCAGCGCTGGAGTCAGTGCTGCGCATGCAGTGAAGCTACGACTCTTACCTCTGGACGAAAGGTGCCTTCGGTGTCGATGAATGCTGCTTTTCCCTCTGCGCCACCCATGGCCTTTGGCAACTGCGCGGCAACGCACATGGTGTGGCAGAGCTAGTGGTCAGCTTGCTTTGAGCTTGAGATCGAAACCTACCTGACTCTTGCCTGTACGAAACTCGCCAAAGACTTCAGTCAGAGAGCTGGTCATGACACCACCCCCAAGCATGGCGTCGAATGCTTTGCTACCGGTTGAGATGCTGCACACGCGTTTCCTGGTCTGTGCGATCTCGCTTGCACTTTGGAAGCTTGCTGCTGGCTATTGAGAGACCTGTCAGTCGTGTGTGTCAGCCTGCTTGATGATACGTACAATGAGTTTAGCGCATGCCTCCTTCACCTTCTCCACCTTGACTTCACTGAATCCCTTGATCTTGGCGAGCGAACGTCTGGTGGTCATGACTGCTCCTTGTACTGTGTGTACGCCAGCTAGCTTGAGCTTGGTGATGTCTGCCATGCCGATGCCGTGGTTCTGCAAGCATATCTGCGTCAGGGGGGGACGGTGTGAGGGTGTCCCGAGGGAAGCGTACCTGGAGCTCTTCGATGTCAAGGAAGGAGTCTTCATAGTCTTCTGATGTGTCTGCCATCTTTATCAAGGGGAGGAAAGCAAGGGAAGTGTCTGTCTTGAGCTGTCCAGTGCCAGTCGGTGGGAAAGTGTCTTGGGGAATGGAGAATGGCGCCCATCTGAAGCAGCACGTGAACTGAGGGCAGGCAGTTGAAGAGTCGACGCCAGCCAGAGAGGAGAGAGAGAGAGCTACACCCAGAGAACAGTGACAAGCAAGGCCTGTGCAGCAAATATCTTCACTTGCACATCCCATGGCAGACGAGCTAGCCACATACAGCAGCTCGGGACAGCGGCAAGGCTCTCTCCTACCCATCGCAGCCAACGGAGGCGCAAAGCCAAAGGTCGCCTACTTCTATGACTCCGACGTCGGCAACTACGCCTACGGTGCCGGCCATCCTATGAAACCCCATCGTATCCGTATGGCTCATGCGCTCATCATGAACTATGGTCTCTACAAGAAGATGGAAATCTACCGCGCGAAACCAGCAACGAAGCAGGAAATGTGCCAGTTCCACACCGATGAGTATGTTGAGTTCCTCAGCAGAGTCACGCCAGAGAACATGGAGAACTTTGCCAAGGAGCAAGGAAAATGTATGCTCCGCTTTTTGTATGAGGGCCCAGCAGCTAATTCACAGTCAACGTCGGCGACGACTGTCCCGTGTTCGACGGACTCTTTGAGTTTTGCGGCATCAGCGGCGGCGGTTCGATGGAAGGTGCTGCACGGCTAAATCGTGGCAAGTGCGACATAGCCCTCAACTGGGCCGGTGGTCTGCATCACGCCAAAAAGTTTGAGGCATCCGGCTTTTGCTACATCAATGATATCGTGCTTGGCATCATCGAACTACTGCGCTACTATGCCCGCGTCTTGTATATTGATATCGACGTACACCACGGCGATGGTGTGGAGGAGGCATTCTACACAACAGACAGAGTCATGACTTGCTCCTTCCACAAGTACGGCGAGTACTTCCCAGGCACCGGCGAATTGCGCGATATCGGCGCAGGCAAGGGCAAGATGTACTCCGTCAATGTACCGTTGCGCGATGGTATCACGGATGAGACGTATGCCAGCGTCTTTGAACCCACCATTCAAGCAATCATGGACCATTATCGACCTGGTGCTGTTGTGCTGCAGTGCGGTGCTGATTCCCTTTCCGGCGACAGACTCGGCTGCTTTAACCTCTCCATGAAGGGTCACGCTGCGTGTGTGGCTTTTGTCAAGAAATTCAACTTGCCAACCTTGATCCTTGGTGGTGGTGGCTACACGATGCGCAATGTATCACGGACGTGGACATATGAAACGGGTTTGCTGGTCGGTCAAGAGCCAGAGGGCAATATTCCCTACAACGACTACTACGAGTACTTTGGCCCAGACTACAAGCTTGACGTGCGGCCAAACAATATGGAGAATATGAACTCGCGCGAATACCTCGATAAGATACTGACGCAGGTCAAGGAGAATCTGAGACATACGGCGTTTGCACCAAGTGTACAGATGCAAGATGTGCCGCGTGATGTCGACTACGACTCGGATGCGGATGAAGATGACAAGGACCCTAATGCGAGAAAGGCCAATGGCAAGGCGCAGCGGGACGACGAATTCGATGAGAGCGACGATGAAGGTGCTAAAGCATAGGAACTCAGTGGATCGCTATCCGTGTACCATAATATAACCATTTCTGTGTGGAGCAACTGTGCAAAAATGAGTGACACTAATTGTATGAACGCGCGGACGACCTTCTGAATTAGTGCGCCGGCGCCTTTCTACGGCCAAGCAAGGTCGCATTGTCCATGTTGAGCTCGAAGCCCTTCTTCCTGGATTGCGGTTGCCTTGCTGCTGGAATTTCTGCGACACGCCGCTTCTTTTCACCAGCCAAGGACGTGTTTTGGAGTTTATCCGTCACGCCCTCGACATTGGAGATGCCACGACGACCATGAAGGCCATTGCTGTCTGACGCCTGCTGATCTGTCTCGTTCGCCATATACTCGTCCTCTTCGTCTTCGTCCATGGCATTGAGGTTGGCAAGCCGGTAATTGGCGTGTTTTGCATTATTCCTGCGTGCACCTTCCTCCTCTTGCCGGTGAACAGCATACGTGACATCAAACACTTCACGCAGGGCAACCAGACCGGGAGACCTAAAGTCGCGGCGTGTGCCACCGGGTGTCTCTGGGATGTTGTATCGGCCGCCGGGTGTTTGCAACGGTAATTGATCCATATGTTGCGTTGTGGGTGTTTGTGCATCCAAGCCCGTGGGTGGCGCATCCGTTGCCGGTGCAGTGGGTTCTTGTGTCTCCTTGATCCACGGGTGCTGAAGAAACTCGTCAATCGTGTAGCGCTGATCCGGGTCGACGGTCAACAAGTGCGAGATGAGATCTTGAGCACTCTTGGAAATATCGTCCCACCATGGAGACAAGAATGTGTACTGTCCACGAGCCACCTTTTCTGTGAGCACTTGGATGGACTCGTCATAGAAGGGCGGGAAGCCACAGAGCAGCGTATACAGCACGCAGCCAAGCGCCCACATGTCAACAGATTTGGAATACCGCTCGTCCTTGACAATTTCTGGAGCAGTGTAGCCAACAGTACCACACGGTGTCATGGTTTGTGCGTCCCAGACAACCTTTGAAAGTCCAAAGTCGGCAATCTTGATGACACCAATGCCACCGGCACCTACTCCGGGCAAGAACTCACCCTCGTCTTCCTTTTCTTCGTCTTCACCTGAACGAACAACAGGGTTCTTGGATGGCACAAAATCAATCGGCTCAAAAAGCAAGTTTTCTGGCTTGATGTCTCGATGTACCACACCCTTGACCTCATGCAGGTAGTGAATTGACTCGGCCACCTGAGTGATAACGTGACGTGCCAAATCTTCCGAGAAGTAGGTCAGTCTGACAATCTGGTGGAACAGCTCGCCACCTGAGCACAGCTCAAGCACAAGGTAATAGTAGTCTCTCGATTCCAAAAATTCCAAAAGCTTGACGACATTCGGATGGTCGAGGTTCCGCATGATCTGTACCTCTTTCAAAATGTTGGCTCGCTAGTAGTCTGGTTAGTGTCCATCAATGGAAAAGGAACTCGAGGGGTTCGGCAAGCGTACCTCGATTCCTTTTGGTGCCTTTTTCTTGATGTTTGGATGCAGGTGAGAGTTGCCCTATGCGAGGTTGGCTCTTGGTTCCCAATTGGGTTTTGGGACATCAAAAAAGAGTTCCTAGAGTTTTGTCTTACCTGTGAGGAACTGAGCTCGTATTTGCGAACAACCTTGACGGCGACTGTTTGACCAGTCTCCTTATCTTGTGCCTTGTATACGTTGGAGAAGGCGCCACTGCAGGGTCAGTATGCGACAGATAAGAAAGTGTAGACATACTCTCCCATCTTAACAATCAAGTTGTACTTCTCGAGACCTGGATAGTTAGGTAGCTTACCCTTCGCTTCACGCTCTTCGGCAACGATGCGAGCAGCAGCTTCATTGTACACTGGGTCAACGGCAGCGACTCTGGGCACGGCTGCCAGTGCTGCTTTTGCAGTCTTGTCCTGAGAAGCTCGTTGTGAGTCTACCTTAGGCGCTGACGACGGATTGCTGCCAAATTCATTTTGGCCGGCCACGGGTGACTGGCCCTGCTTGGCTTGCTTTCCTTGCCGGATGAAGTTCTTTAGGTTCTGGTATTAGCTGAATCCTGCACGAGCATGACCAGCTCACCTCAATCATAGGCATGGCTGTGGATGTTTTTGTTTTCTGTTGCCGTTACTGAGTCGTATCGCTGTACGCTGATTTCTCTGTCGTAATGTTGCAGATGCGTTTGCCTGAGGGAGCACAAATAGACAGTGATAAGGTCGGCTTCTGCAGACAATAATCCCAGTGTGTGATCTGGGATGCGATAAGTCTGGATGGTCAATAGATGAAGCCAAAGAGACTAGCCGGGGAGCGACAAGTAGATGCGGGTTTGTAAGCCCTGAATTTGATAGTAGACGAAGTGCGCGCTCCGTTGTGGTCCGCAGCAATGATATGTGGATATGCGCCTTGAGCAATAGTGCAGTGCAATCAGTGTTCCTGGAAGACAAGGAAGAGAAGAGGAGAGGAAGGGAGGATGGTGGTCGTGGCTGTCGGAGGGATGATGTAGTTTGCGCATTCCCGCTGGAGAGAAAGAAGAGCGAGCGAGCGAGAGCCATGACGCAACCCGGCATCTGGGCGCCGACACCGAAGCCGCGGTTTGACATGACGACCAGCAGTGAAAGTAGCAGTAGCAGTGGCCGTAGTAGGCTAGTAGCAGCAGGGCTCAGTTCCATCATCGATCATCATATCGTTCATCATCCTACTTCTAATGTCTAATGCTGTGCCGAAAAGAAGGCCATCTCAATAATCCCTCGTCTTGCGTAGGCGGCTCTTCACAGACACCCAACGCTTCAATCCCTGCTCAGCCTGTCGCCCACGAACAGTCCTGCGGCCCAAATGCAATGCACCAAGAGTCAGCGGCACAATGAAACTCACAATCTTGATGATCCACCAGACTGTATTGTGCACAAAGGGGATGGCCTGGTATTTGAATGTCCACCGTCTGCCTTCACTGTCCCAACGAGCCGTCAATAGCCCAACATTGCCGTGATACTGTCCCATAACTGATCGCACAGTGACCTCTTCAACGACTTGCTCATTGAGTGTCTTTGCCGTTGCAAAGGCCTGAGCATTCCACTTGCTTCCAAACCAAGTGCCTTGTCCGTCTCGCGCTTTGCTGTGAAACGTATGACAGCCTTCATGATCATGACCCGTCAAGACAATACCCCCTGCATGACCAATAGCTCGGTCAAGGAGGGCCGCTGTTGATTCTGGTGACAGATGATTTTGTGCCTTCAGCAGTACTCGTGGAAATTGGTAGTACTCCATGCGAGGCTCATCAACGCAAAGACCCAAGTCCTTGTACAAGGGCACATGAGCCAGCAGTATTGTAGCAGCAGCATCATTTGGCAAGGTTTGCAAAAACGCATGCGTTTGCTCTCGACTTGGCTCATCCTCGGCAGGCCCGTCCAAGTGTAAGTCGTTGATACCAACAAACCGCACAGGGTCTGCACCATCAGGCAGCTCTGTCGATGGTAATGTATAGACGTAATTGGACGGACCAAACTTGTCATGCCAACGATTCAAACGATGGCGCGTCATCTCTCCAGCATAGCCAATGTCATGGTTGCCGCTGATGTTAAAGACCACATCAGATGGCTTGAAGCGTAAGAAGCGTGCCTCCATGCGCTTGGCACGCCGACGAAATTCTGCATCATCGATCCACTGTGAAGATAAGTGATCACCGAGGACAACAGTCTGCGTTGGACGAGCGAAAAAGGCTGTCACTCGATGAATGTGGCCTAGGTAGTGGTCGTTGCCCCAGATATCGAGTGCCCCTCTCCAACCCATTCTTGCAATCTTGGAGTCTCCCTCGAGGTGTGGATCTGTACATCAGCTTTGCACAGCTCAATCTGACGCCGTACCAGTCAAAATCAGTACTCTGATCGGGGGTCTTCCAAAAGGCGATAAGTAGGAAGCACCTCGCAGCACAGGGTAGCAGTAGAGAAAGACATTCAGTAGCACGACAATCACAGCAATGATCTTTGCAAGTTTATCGGCCATTGCATAGGGCTCAGCTTTGATCTTGGTCTACAGTTCAAAGCTCTTTACAGCAACAACATAGGCAGTGCCAGTTTAGAGGGAAGCACTTGAGCAGCACTCAAAAGTACATTGAGTTCTACACTTTGTTTTGCCTGCCACACGTGCTAGAATTCTACTTTCCAGGCGCGACAATTTGTGCAACAACCAGCAGCTGGCAGCAACCACGCCACAAGACTCGTCGGCCGTGCTTGGTCAGTAATCGGCCTGCTTGTCCTTCCTGTGGCAGTAGGAGCTGGGATCCTTCTGAATTGCTAAGCCCCAAGAGACTGCCTTGATTGCACGGGAACTGGGCAAGAGCGACGACGAAACAGATGCCGCCAAAACGCGCTGCACCACCGCCTCCTCCACCTGCAGCCAGTAAAGGAGCGGCGAGGCCACCTCCTCCGCCTCCACCTCCTGTTCAAGCGATTATCGATGAAGAACGTGCTGCCAAATTGGATGAAAAGCAACGCAAATGGCTTCGCCTACAAAAGCAAAAGTTCAACAAGCAGCGCAAGCTCGGCTTCATCGAGACACAAAAGGCTGATTTACCGCCGGAACACTTGCGACAGATTATGCGCATGCACGGTGATATGAGTAGCAAAAAGTTCAGGGCCGGTATGTGGATTTTGAGTCGTTCGAGTTGTGCTAATAGACAGACAAACGATCCTACCTTGGCGCGTTGAAGTACATGCCGCATGCAGTACTCAAGCTACTCGAAAACATGCCCATGCCATGGGAAGATGTGCGCGAAGTGCCGGTGCTCTATCATATTACCGGCGCCATCACGTTCGTCAATGAGGTGCCGCGTGTCATCGAGCCCCTCTATATTGCCCAATGGGCAACCATGTGGGTCATGATGCGACGAGAAAAGCGGGATCGAAGACATATGAGGCGTATCCGACTACCACCTTTCGATGACGAGGAAGCACCACTGCTTGAGCAGGTCCCGGAAATGGCAGAGCTCGAGCCGCCTGAACCTATCCAAATGGAATTTGACCCAGAGGAAGATGCTGCTGTTGCAGAATGGTTCTACGACCATAAAGCCCTTGCTGACACGCCCAACACCAATGGCCCAAGCTATAAAACCTGGAACCTCAACCTCGACCAGATGGCTGCTCTCTATCGCTACTCGCACCAGCTCTTGTCCGATTTGACTGACAAAAATTACTTTTACTTGTTTGATAAGAAGTCATTCTTTACAGCGAAAGCACTCAACATGTCGATACCGGGTGGGCCTAAGTTCGAGCCTCTCTACAAGGACACGGCAGAGTCGAGAGACGAAGATTGGAATGAGTTCAATGACGTCTTTAAAATCATCTTTCGACATCCCCTGCGGACAGAGTACAAGGTGGCCTTTCCCTTCATGTACAATTCCTTGCCTCGGTCCGTCCACGTCAGCTGGTACCACGAGCCAAGCAGCATGTACATCAAGGCTGAGGATCCCGAGCTTCCAGCATTCTACTACGACCCTGTCATCAACCCCATCAGGCGACTTAAACCTGCCAACGAACTTTCGCCCCATGAACTCGACATCTTCAATGAGGATGGCGAGGATGATTTCAAGCTGCCAAAGACAGTCAAGCCATTCTTGAATGCTTGTCCCTTGCACAACGAGATGACTGCCTCAGCTATTGCGCTTTGGTGGGCTCCTTATCCTTTCAATCAGCGCAGTGGCAAGACGGTGCGTGCGCAAGATGTTGCGCTCGTCAAGCAATGGTATCTTGAGCATTGTCCACCAGGTCAGCCTATCAAAGTGCGCGTCTCCTACCAAAAACTTTTGAAGAATTACGTGATTAATTCTCTTCATGAGAGAAAGCCAAAGGCACATCTGAACAAATCACTCTACAAGCAGCTGAAAGCTACAAAGTACTTTCAGAGCACAACGATTGATTGGGTTGAAGCTGGGCTGCAGCTCATTCGTCAAGGCTACAATATGCTCAATCTCTTGATTCATCGCAAGGGTCTCACGTATCTGCACTTGGACTACAATATGAACTTGAAGCCCGTCAAGACACTGACAACGAAAGAGCGGAAAAAGTCACGATTTGGAAGTGCCTTCCACCTCATTCGTGAAATCTTGCGTCTGACAAAGCTTCTTGTTGATTCACAAGTACAGTATCGCCTCGGCAATATCGACTCATTCCAACTTGCAGATGGTATTCACTACATCTTCAACCACGTTGGGCAACTGACCGGTATGTACCGCTACAAGTACAAACTCATGCGTCAGATCCGTGCGTGCAAGGATCTCAAGCATTTGATTTACTATCGTTTCAATACTGGACCTGTCGGCAAAGGCCCTGGCTGCGGTTTCTGGGGACCTGCATGGCGTGTTTGGCTCTTTTTCCTACGTGGTATCACACCACTCCTTGAGCGCTGGCTCTCCAATTTGCTCGCGCGTCAATTTGAAGGACGGCACGGAAAAGGGGTGGCCAAAACCGTCACAAAGCAACGTGTTGAGTCCAATTATGATTTGGAGCTTCGTGCATCTATCATGAACGACATCCTCGACATGATGCCGGAAGGTGTCAAGGCAAATAAGACCAAAACTATCTTGCAGCACTTGTCAGAGGCCTGGCGTTGCTGGAAAGCCGGTGTCGGCTGGCGAGTGCCTGGTCTCCCTATCCAGGTCGAATCCATCATCTTGCGATATGTCAAGGCCAAGGCCGATTACTGGGTCTCGGTAGCTCACTACAATCGAGAGCGTATCCGAAGAGGTGCCACAGTGGACAAGACTGTTGCCAAAAAGAACTTGGGCCGATTGACGCGCCTGTTTCTCAAGTCTGAGCAAGAGCGGCAAAATAATTACCTCAAGGATGGACCGTATGTGTCAGCAGAGGAAGCTGTGGCGATCTACACAACAACGGTTCACTGGCTAGAGTCACGGCGCTTCCAGCCTATCCCATTCCCTCCGCTCAACTACAAGCACGACACAAAGCTGCTCATCTTGGCCCTCGAGCGACTCAAGGAGTCGTACAGCGTGCAGGGTCGTCTCAATCAGTCGCAGCGAGAAGAACTTGCCCTTATTGAGCAGGCTTATGATAACCCGCATGAGTGTCTCTCTCGGATTAAGCGACTTTTGCTCACCCAGCGGTCATTTAAGGAAGCGGGCATCGAATTCATGGACAACTACAGCCATCTCACGCCAGTCTACGATATTGAGCCCCTCGAGAAGATTACCGATGCCTACCTCGACCAGTACTTGTGGTATGAGGCTGACAAGCGCCATCTTTTCCCGTCATGGATCAAGCCATCAGATTCAGAGCCACCGCCCTTGCTTGCGTACAAGTGGTGCCAGGGAATCAACAATCTGAGTGACATCTGGGACACATCAGATGGCAGTTCTGTGGTGATGCTGGAAACGAGCTTCTCCAAGATGTATGAAAAGATTGATTTGACATTGTTGAGCAGACTGACAGGGCTCATCATGGACGCCAATTTGAGCGCATACTGTACTGCCAAGAACAACATTGTCCTGACTTACAAAGACATGAGCCATACCAATTCGTACGGACTGATTCGCGGATTACAATTCAGCTCGTTCATTGTCCAGTACTACGGCTTGATTCTCGACATACTTATGCTCGGTCTGCACCGCGCCACGGAGATTGCTGGACCGCCAAACATGCCGAATGACTTCTTGCAGTTCAAGGATCGCGCTACCGAGACACGACATCCTATTCGGCTGTACACGCGATATATCGACAAGATCCACGTTGTCTTCAAATTTGGACCCGAGGATTCGCGGGATTTGATTCAAAGATATCTGTCGGAGTCTCCAGACCCAAATTTTGAGTCTGTCGTCGGCTATCACAATAAATCCTGTTGGCCAAGAGATTGTCGTATGCGTCTGATGAAGCGTGATGTTCACTTGGGTCGAGCAGTCTTCTGGGACATGAAGTCACGGCTGCCACGCTCGCTCACCACACTCGAGTGGGATGAGTCTTTCGTTTCAGTCTACTCGCGAGACAACCCAAACCTGCTATTCTCCATGTGCGGCTTCGAGGTTCGAATCTTGCCAAAGATCCGCAACCAGAATGAAGAATTCAGCTTGAAAGATGGCGTCTGGAGTCTTGTCAACGATGATACGAAAGAACGGACCGCGCAAGCTTTCCTCCGCGTCAGCGAGGCCGATCAACAAAAATTCAACAACCGCATTCGCCAGATTCTCATGTCGTCTGGATCAACGACATTTACCAAGATCGCCAACAAATGGAACACCGCGCTCATCTCTCTCCTCACTTACTATCGAGAGGCAGTCATCACAACACCTGAGCTGCTTGATATCCTGGTCAAATGTGAGACCAAGATTCAGACTCGAGTCAAGATTGGTCTCAATTCTAAGATGCCAATTCGATTCCCTCCTGCTGTGTTTTACAGTCCAAAAGAGGTCGGTGGATTAGGCATGCTATCGATGGGTCATATCCTGATTCCGCAGTCAGATTTGCGATGGTCATCCCAGACAGATGCTGGCGGCATTACGCATTTCCGTTCCGGCATGTCTCATGACAGTGAGCAGCACATACCAGCTCTTTATCGCTACATTCAGCCTTGGGAGTCTGAGTTCAAGGACTCGCAGCGCGTTTGGGCCGAGTATGCGCAGAGACGACAAGAAGCAAATGCGCAAAATAGACGTCTGACATTGGAGGATCTCGAAGATTCATGGGATCGCGGTTTGCCACGAATCAACACCCTATTTCAAAAGGATCGCCACACCTTGGCATACGACAAGGGCTGGCGTGTACGCACGGACTTCAAACAATATCAGCTACTGCGCAACAATCCGTTCTGGTGGACGAGCGCTCGGCATGATGGAAAGCTCTGGCAGCTCAACAATTACCGTACAGACATGATTCAAGCACTGGGTGGTGTCGAAGGTATTTTGGAACATACAATGTTCAAAGCGACCTACTTCCCATCATGGGAAGGTCTCTTTTGGGAGAAAGCGTCCGGCTTTGAAGACTCGATGAAGTACAAGAAGCTCACCAATGCGCAGCGGTCGGGTCTCAACCAAATCCCCAATCGTCGATTCACCCTGTGGTGGTCGCCCACTATCAATCGTGCCAATGTCTACGTCGGATTCCAGGTTCAGCTCGACTTGACGGGTATCATGATGCATGGCAAGATTCCAACACTCAAAATTTCGCTGATTCAGATTTTTCGTTCTCACTTGTGGCAGAAGATCCACGAATCAGTCATCATTGACTTGTGTCAAGTATTTGACCAGGAACTTGAAGCGCTGCAGATTGAGCAAGTACAAAAAGAGGCGATCCACCCGCGAAAGTCCTACAAGATGAACAGTTCTTGTGCGGACATTACACTCTTTGCAACACACAAGTGGAATACATCAAAGCCATCGTTGATCAGCGACAATCGCGAAGTCCTCGACGGAACTGCCACCAATAAATTTTGGATCGATGTACAGCTTCGCTTCGGCGATTACGACAGTCACGACATCGAGCGTTACACTCGAGCCAAGTATCTGGATTACACGACTGACTCACAGAGTATCTATCCGTCTCCAAACGGTCTAATGATTGGCATTGATCTTGCCTATAACTTGTGGTCGGGCTTTGGCCAATTCTTCCCAGGTCTCAAGCCATTGATGCAGCAAGCAATGGGAAAGATCATGAAGGCCAACCCTGCCCTTTATGTCTTACGAGAGCGTGTCCGCAAGGGATTGCAGCTCTATTCTTCAGAACCGGCAGAGGCGTACCTCAACAGTCAGAATTATTCTGAGCTCTTCTCTAACTCGACAATGTGGTTTGTGGATGACACCAATGTTTATCGTGTAACGATCCACAAGACCTTCGAGGGTAACTTGACTACGAAGCCCATCAACGGAGCCATCTTTATCCTGAATCCTCGGTCCGGGCAGCTCTTCCTCAAAATCATTCACACAAGCGTATGGGCTGGACAGAAACGTTTGGGTCAGCTTGCCAAGTGGAAGACCGCCGAAGAAGTTGCGGCACTGATTCGCTCGTTGCCAGTTGAGGAACAGCCCAAGCAGCTCATTGTCACGCGCAAGGGTATGTTGGATCCTCTTGAAGTCCATCTTCTTGACTTCCCGAATGTCACGATTAAGGGATCAGAGCTGCAACTACCGTTCCAAGCTGCCCTCAAAATTGAAAAGTTCGGAGACATGATTCTGAAGGCGACTGAGCCCCAGATGGTCTTGTTCAACATGTATGACGACTGGCTTAAGTCTATCAGTTCATACACCGCCTTCTCTCGGCTTGTACTGTTGCTTCGTGGCTTGCATGTCAATTTGGACAAAACGAAGCTCATTCTCCGACCATCAAGGGAAATTGTCACGCTTGAGCATCACATCTGGCCAAACCTGACAGATGATCAATGGGTTGATGTCGAGTTGCAATTAAGTGATCTTATCCTAGCAGACTATGGCAAAAAGAATGGCGTCAACGTCGCAAGTCTAACGCAGACTGAAATCAGGGACATCATTCTGGGAGCAGAAATTTCAGCTCCTTCCGCTCAGCGACAGGAGGTCGCCAAGGTCGAGGCTGGTCGGGAAGCTGCTCAGCTCACCGCAACGACTCATTCGACTACCAACATTCACGGAGATGAGATCATCACGACCACGACATCTGCTTATGAGCAAGCTCGAATCCAGTCCAAAACAGAGTGGCGAACGCGTGCAATTGCCACTACTAACTTGCATCAGCGCACAAAAAACATTTATGTTGACTCTGATGATATCAAGGAGGATGCGCCTTTCACCTATATCTTGCCAAAGAATCTGCTCAAGAAGTTCATCACGATCGCTGATATGCGCACTCAGATTGCAGGCTATCTGTACGGGGCGTCGCCACCTGACAACCCAGCTGTCAAAGAAATTCAATGTATTGCTATGGTACCTCAACGCGGTTCGAATATGACGGTCGAGCTGCCAAACAAGCTCCCTGACAATGAGATGCTTATGAAGGGGCTGGAGCCACTTGGCTGGATCCATACACAGGACCGTGAATTCAGACATCTTACGTCCAATGATGCAACTGTTCATGCGAAGCAGTTAGCAATGCACAAGTCGTCGTGGGACCACAAGACCATCAGCATGACCGTCAGTTTTACGCCTGGCTCAGTGTCTGTTGGTGCATATCACCTGACTGAGCAGGGTCGTGAATGGGGTGTCAAGAATCAGGACATGGGAGGCAGTGCAATGGGCTATGACGCGGCGTCCATGGCAGAGAAGGCACAAGTGCTATTGTCCGACCGCATTATTGGCTTCTTCCTCGTGCCTGAAGAAGATCGCTGGAATTACCATTTCAACGGAGCAAGCTGGACGCCTGGCATGTCCTACAATGTCAAGCTCGACACGCCCCTTGGCTTCTTTGATGCTGAGCATCGTGTGATTCACTTCCAGCAGCTGGATGAGACGGCGCCACAAGACACTGATCGTGAGGACTTGTTCGCATGAGAGTATTAAGACGCGATGCATGCTATCCACGCTACGTAGCCAGCTATCTGTAAATGAGCATTTGCAACCATGTTCAATTCGTCACCAACACTAATCGTACAGCGTGTCCTTCAAAAATGTAATCGTCCTTGCCAAGGCATCCCTTGACGCAGCCGCGGCCCCCTTCTTGCTTGGATGGAAGCGTGTGCAAAAGCCATGCTCTGTGGTGGGATATGTCACAAACTGGCTCTCAAAATACTTGTCAGCGAGCGCCTTTTGCGCAGCCACCTTCTCTTCTGATGTAAATGTGCGGTCTGTATCGGCACAGAGCCATAGTGTTGGTGTCTGGATGCCTGCGACCTCGTCTGGCTCAAGGAAACTTGGACAAGACACGACTGAGCAGCGCACACGACCTGCTGCGTTGGCAATGACACTGTATCGTCCTCCAAAGCAGTATCCAACGCAGGCGACACCAAGCCGCGGCCGGATATTCTCTTCAACGTAATCTAGAATGCGCGCACAGATGGGCGCAGTTTGTGCCTTGTTGTGTACTTTGCACCATTCGCCAAATTGCGCTGCTGCGCTAGGTAGTCCAAAATCAAGCTGATCACCCGCATAGAGGTCTGGCATAATGACGAGGAAGCCAGCATCGGCAATCTCGTCGCAAATAAGCCGTGTATTGGTGAATTTATAGCCAAACAAATCAGGAAACACAATCACACATGAGCTGTCATGTTTCCTTCCAATCATATACACTTGCGTGCCATTTAAAGTCGTCTCGATACCGCGCGGCTCGGTGCCTTCGCTAAAGGGGCCTGCGGAGAAGTTGGATGCGTGGCTGTAATTCTGGATGACGGGCGCTTGTTGCTGCCGCATGTCGCGCCCAGTCGCTGCAGTAGAAGAGGAGGATGCGGTAATGGAGGACGCTTTGCTGGATGTGTTGGGCGCTATGTCTGCTCCGCTCTGCCTTTGTTGTGACGGCGAATCTGCCAGAAACTGCGCGGCCGACACCCTTGACGATGTTGCGCTGTCGTGATGAGCGCCTGCAACTTGCGCTGGTGCGCTGACGGACGCCATAGAGGGTGCGCTCTGCTTGCGGATGAGACTCGCGGTGGAGAGGCTGAAGCGGTGGTGCTTGTGCTTGTTGGCTGGTGCTGGTGCTGTTGTTGTCCTGGTGCGGCGACTGAAGCGAAACTTGCGACGCACAAAGGGGAACGAGCGCCAGCAGCGACACCACATGACAGACGGAGGATACAGCACACGATTGAGATTAGTATGGTCGAGCTAGGCTATGTAGATCACGAGCTGACGGAGGCGATATATTTAGAGCCCCGGCATTTGCACTGGCAATTCGGGGCCACACAATATCCGGCCATATCTTCATCCAGGTCAAGTGCTGCTTTGCATGCTGCATGCGAGGCATGACTGCATGAATGACACCAGGACGCATGACCCCGTATCACCTGTTGACAAATGATACAGACAGCCGTGTTGCTACACCGAACACACGACCACATGGAGTCCTCTGCCGCCGCAGCAGGAACGCTACTATCTTCGCCAGAAGGGTTGCGCTCCCGAACCAGGGGTGCTTGCTTGTGGCAGCGGGCGCAGCTCAAGTAGATCGTCGTATCACCCTCAGCAAAGGCACGCACCATGGCTGAAGAGGTCGTCTTGATCAGTTTAGCCGCCTGTACAAAAAGGCGTTGCCGTTGAAGTAGCTCTAAATAGCAGTAATGCCATTCATCGACCAGGGGTTCTTCAGTCGCCACTTTGTCTTGAAGGACAAGCGTCATCGTGGAGCACATCTGGACATCGCCAAACTCTCGATAATATGACAAGAGCCGTGTAGCGAGTTGCTTCAGTGCCCAGGGTCGGTCGTCGGCCTGATCAGGGGTCAAGCTCGAACGTGGCTGTGAAGTCGCCAGAGGTTTCAAGGTGGCACCGCTTCCTTCTGTTTCTCTGGCCATTGGCGTCATGACCCCAGTCGAGACAGCATCTGATTGAACACTTTCAGTGGATGATTCAAAACTGCCGAAGTGACCCAAATTGCGATAGTTGGTGGCAGCCTCTCCCCATGCATTTGTGTCTGAAGCACTCGAGCCAAACGAGTCCGGTGCAATCTGAGGCGAAACAGACTCCGGGAGGGAAGTCGCTTCGCTGTCCAACGATGCACCCTGTCGTGTGGACTCCAATATTTCATTGGGTGGTAGGGTCGTCGAAGAACGTTGGGAAACGCTCGACCCGTCAAGCGACATAGCCGTGAGAGGTCGACCTGGAAGCGCCGATATAGCGAGTGACAGTGGGGATGCCAGGACAGCTTGTGCATCTTGATACTTTGGCATGATGAAAGAGTTTGCCGGTGAATTTGCACGGACTGTAGATAGCCCGGACTCTGATAAGCCCGGGTTTCGGAGCCGTTCGAGGTGTTTATGTACCAGATAGTCTTTGTGAATGTGGGATGATCCTGTGCTGTTCTTCTTGGCTTGCACTTGCGCGTGCCGCTCTCGACGCTGTTGCTGTGTCAAAGCCAGCTTGATGAGACTCCAAGACTTTTCAATCTGATCTTGCTGTGCTCTTTTCGCAACCTGCGCGTTGTGTAAGCAGCTAGCAATCGGATCATGGGAAGAGATGTCGTAGTTGATAGCCAGATACCGGAACAGTTCCACCTGGTCGTCTTCTGGCTCGATGGTGGCGAAAGACTGGACTGGCTCGTAAGCCAGCTCGTCAGCATCAAATTTGGGCCCAGTGTCGGACCGCACAAGCTTTTGTCGCTTCTCTGCAGTGGACGTATCTGCTTGATTACGCAGTTGCTGGTCAACCGCCTTGTCGATTTGCTCGAGTCGAACTTTGTCTGATCGTCTACTGCCCAATGTGACGGCGATGTCATTGTTACCATTCCAGCTAAAAGAATAGTGCGACAGATAATCAACAGGCGCGGCTCCGGTGTACACTGCATGCTGATGGATGTGACGATCTTTTGAACATGTCAGTAAGGTATTGTCATCGCGCCATACAATTCCAGTCGCGGCTGCGCTGTGTGTTTCAAAAACTCGGCTGGCGAGGTATGGCCGTCTCAGGTTCCACAGACGAACCACATTCTCCATACTAAATGAGCAAGAGGCAATATCGAAGCTCTTTCGAACATCCCCTGGCCGCCAAGCCACACGAGATACGGGAGCCAGCGTATGTATGGATGCCACCGGCTTACGTTGGTTGCTGCTGCCAATATCCCAAACTTTGATAACTTTATCACGTCCACCGGTAGCGACATGTCGTCCATCAGCGTGCCAATCCACTGCTAGGGCCAGGCCTTGATGAGCATTCAATTTGCGTTCATACATTGATGGCTGTCGCAAATCCCATTTTTGCAATGTCCCATTATCAAACACAGCAGCGAGTTCAAGCGCATTCGATGCATTGAATTGCACATCGCGAACCGCTTCAGCTCTACCTTTCAGCGTAAATCGAGTGCCATGTTCACGGTCTCGCAGGTCCCAGAGTTTCATGCTCCCATCTTGAGAAGCTGATAGCAGCCAGCTGCCGTTACCGGGATTGAAGGAGAGCCGGTTGACTGCCCGTGAGTGGCCGTTGATGACACGGTCCATTCGCCTGCTCGACTCATGCTCCGCATGCCATATGACGATAGAGCCATTCGTTGTTGCAATCGCAAGCATCTTTGCAGTGACATCCTTGCCCCACTTGACATCGTTTGATGAGTAGTTGAGGTTGACCTTTTGTGCGTCGCGCAGGTTGACTTCCTCTCGTATGCCGTCAGGATTTAGCGACACGATTTTGAGTAGCTCACGACCCGCCACAGCAGCTCTTGTTCCATCAGAACACAAATCAATCGCATTGATGGGTCCTTCCGCCTCATAAATCATATTTCCCGCGGTGGCAGGCGAGCGCAGCGTATCCCGGCCAATCTCACCAGATTGTTGGTCCTTGGTGGATCGAGCGGGACTTGTGCTCGGAGCACCATACTCGGAAGCAGACTTTGAATCACTACGTCTTGCTTGTTGTTCTAGTGCAGCTTGAGCGGACGCAGTCGCCGTATTGGGCCGTGATAAGATGCGAGCATAGCGAAAGACGGACGAGGATGATTTTCGTTCGTTGCTCATAGTCTATTTACAGCATTCAAGCAAATCCAAGTCATGGGTGAGTAGACAGAGCTCTTCTTGGTTGATCTTGGTAGCGGCTAGCCACGAGCCAAGGATATTTCTTTCGTCGCGATCGACTCCGTGGTCGCCGCAAGAGTGGAGCACAATCTATGGTATTCAGATGGCATGTCTTCGTCCTTGTCATCTGGGCAGTTTGAAGCATACTTGGGCTTTGATGTAAAATACTATGACGAGGCCGGCTGAGCCGACTCATTTTCATTGAACAGATTGAGTCTTTGGAGGAACCAGCCGAAGACGCCGAAGAATCGGATCATGCAAAATTGATGATAGTGGTCTATCAACGTAGCCCCTCAGATGACAACCTTTGATGAGAATATCAGCTTTTTGCAGTAAGCTTTCAAGAGCATGGATCCTAGGAGGATTACAAGGTATTGCCAGTCGATTAGCAGCAACCTCTCGCTTCAAGTCGCGATACAACCTCCACGTCTTCAAGAGGAACCAGTTGCCCTTCACGTCAGATGCCTTCACAATGACAGGCCCAGGTATATGGTCTAGGAGCTGCCAGAGCCAACATCGCGTAGAAGAGCCGTCGCATCGTGGCAAAGTGCATTCGGGGCATAGCTTGCGCCTTTTCTCCAGTGGTTGCCATGTTGGTGCTATGGCCACTTTGGGAACCAAGTTTGCAGTATGTGCTTGGAGCGCGGAAGGCATAGCTTGGGTTGCTTCATGAACACCGGGCTGCCATTGCACAAGCTGGCCTCCAGCGTATTTTGGCGCAGCTTCGGTCAAGGTAGCAGACAGAGACTTGACAGCGATATCTCTTGTTTCATCAGAACACGAAGAAAAATCAAATACGGCAGGACCATCGCTGCTGAGGATCACAGGTGATTTCATTGAAGCAGTGCTAGCCAGATTGAGACACTCAAACACCAAATAGGAGGTGTTGGGAAACGCAGGTGCGAATTCATCTACTGATGTGTCGTCGGTCGTGAGAGGCTGGTTGAAAGTAGGTAACGATGACAGTGGCAGTGGCGTAACGAGTGGTGAGCATCCAAGACACAGTTGCTGCAATTGCATATTGAGGCGGTTGCACTGTTCAGTCAACACCTGATATAGGCAAATCGAGCGCTGACGCTTTTCTGCCAAGTTTGCGTAGTTATGAACGCATAGTTCCATTTCTGGATCCTTGCCTACCTCTTGCACTCGATGGTATAATTCTTGCATTCGTAGACCGATCTTCTGTATCTCTAGATGAAGGATCTCTTGAGCAAGCTTTGAACGAGCATATGCTTGATTTAGCTTGTAGTGTTCCTCTCCCAAAATGTGTATGGACGCGCCCATCGCCCTGGACGACTCTAGCACCCTGTCCAGTATTCACTCAAAATCTAGTCAGCGACATGGTTTTCTAGCAAAGCGATTTCAGGGATGTTGGGGAAAACATCCTTTGAGCTACATTTTGCTTCAATGGTTGAGCTTCGCAGGAGGTCGTAGCGCATGTGTTCACTCCAAGCAAGGTAGTATCTGACGGCATGTCCAATGCTCTTTGACAGGCTCCAATCTTTGGATGGTGGGGGATTGAATGTTCAGATGACGCAAATCATTCAACGCGTTTCGCTATGTGTGATACAGACTCGCTGCTCATGCGCCTTTCCCCCTCTCCAACCCACATCAATCACAATATCGGAAGGCATACAGTAAGCTGGCACTCAGCCGTGCATGCGATGCCAATAATGTCAACAAGACCTTTTCCGGGTCAGTCAACCCTTTCCCCACAGTCGCCCAATCATGACGACTGACAGCCACAGCATTGAAGCACACCTTCTTCAAAAATCGTCGAGCAGATTTGTTAAGCAGAAGGTTGACATCCTGATAGCGGTATCCGTCTTGATGCACTCCATAGAGGCGAAGCACAAAGTTCCAGACTGCTTCGCGCAAGGGTCGTTGGTCAACGGGCCCATGGCTGTCAGAGAACAAGAAACCCTCATCCATTTCACCAGCAGCTTCTTGAGCCTCCGTCAGTGTCTGCTCCAAGATCCTTTCCAGACCTGGTACGATCCTGCCGATCAATGGACAACAACGGTCTTCCCAGTTGAACTCCGATAAGTCCAAGATTGAATATTCGTCGGATGTGATGTCAAATGTCTCGTCTGAAATATCACCTTCTGGCCTGCAGTAGCGTGACATGTCTTCCAGGATTGGATTGACGGGTATCTTGGCCGCTTCAGCACCACCGTCCATGAGATCACGCACCTTGGACATGGGCGAGAGCACCGGCTGAGCGTTGGGTGAGACATCTCCGTCCGGACGCGGCCACACTCCTGGAGACCCGTGAGCAGGGGCAGAGGTAGAGAGCATCGACTCATCACCAAGATCATCAATGCCACAACGCACAAAATCGTCTCGCACTGAGTAGTCGCGAATTTCTCTGATTGCCGTTTGTGGCCGACTGCTTGAATTTTCTTCACTTTGCTGGTTTTGATGTTGGCCACCGACGCTGAGGCGTCGCTTCCTCAATAGACTAGGCATAGACTCGCCCTCGCTTCCATTGCTCAACCGACGACTAAAGTCCACGACTGTCGGGATAGCCATCATGCTAGTGAGGGTTGTCTTGGAAGCGTACGCATGCGGACTTGTCATGAAGAGCGGCACGACATTCAACCCATCTCGCTGTTCTCCAAGATCCAGTGTATGTTGATTCCTTGTCGCTTTTCTGATGCACGCGCCACCAAAAGTGTCCGGCTCAGGCACAACGCCGCAACCGAGCACAAATCGAGCCTGCGAATGAACAACCGTCAAGATGCACATAGCCTGGCACAGCTCGCCCATAGTCCACTGATCAGATGTATGGACCGCATCTTTGGATCTGCCCAGCAAATCTTGGATATGCGCTCTTGTCGTCTTCCAAGGTTGATGCGCCAAGATGGAGTTGACAATGGCTAGCTTTTGAACACGACGCGGTGCCTTATCGATCCCTTCGAGCCATTCAAGGTGTTCGCCAAGCTGCAGATACTTGTACGTATAGTAAGAGATGTGATATTGGCTTTTGGACTCAGCAGCGGCCATCAAGCACAGGTAGAGCCTGGTGACGCGTTGCAAGGGTGTACCGGTCTTGCGAATCAGCTCGTCATGCAGCATGATGGTCGTTTCGTAGAATCTTGGAAAGTACGACAAGATACGGCCGAGGTTGGTGATGCGACCACTTGCTTGGTAGCAGCTGATATGTAGTTGTCGCAACGACGGGCTCGCGCGGCGTTGTGTCTCGAAACCGCCCGCCTGTGAGGTTGTTCGTTTCCTGCCTAGTGCTGGTCGAGTCAATGAGGACGGACTAGCAATGTCCATTGAGAAGCGCGCACGGCGTCCACCGACTGGGCCGAGCAAGATATTGTCAATGTCAGAAGCATTGGGTGCATGCGTTTGTCTCTTGTTGGGAATGCGTCCCGAGATTGGTATAGGGTCAATCGAGTCAAACACTTGGCTGTCAAGAGAGCCGCTGTCTTGCAAGTGTCTATTTGTACTGGGCGATACAGCCGCAAGCGACGGGCTTTGTGCTGACCGACTGTCTAGTTGATCAGAAGGGCCATCGAGCTGACTGCTGTCGCTTTCTTCGGAGAGAAAGCTAGATGATAAGATTGCATGCGACCTACCGAGACTGCTCTTGACAGACTGACTGGCGATGGAGAAGCTACCAGGCCGCTCACTTGTCTTTTCATGCCCATACGCGACCGTTTCCTTGAGTGGAATTAGCCAAGATGGAGACTCACACACTGGCGACGGTACAGGCGCAGAGAGCTTTGACACGCGATAGAGAATGTAGCGACATTTGCGCCGTACATCTGCAAAGGGGCAATCGATGCTTGCGCGCAATATGAGGACCAGATAGGTTTTGAGAGCTTCTTGCAGGGCAATCTTATCAATTTTGGGCGAGTCACTTCGGGCCTCAGGTCCGTACATGCTGTAGTCTGCATACATGTTGTTTGAGAAGCCGTTAGGTGATGTAGAAACTGGAGGCTGTTCGGGTTCCGGCAAGTCAAAGTCCAGAGGGAGAGATAAGGAAGATGTGCTGGTCAAGACATGATCTCGATCAAGCGTATCTGTGAGCATCGGAACCAGTCCATCAGTTTGGACCTCCTCGTCGTTGTCGAGAGGAAAGAGACAGCCATCGACTAAAGAATCATGGCGAGCAATGGAGCCGCCTGCGTCTGGGTCACGTCCAAGGCCATTGAGACCCGATCGGCTGTCATATGCCAACCTGGTCCAAGACTCGACATTCGCGAGGAGTTGTGCTAGGGCCTGGGCACGGGTCTCGTAGCTATCCGATCTCAATTGTTCAAAGAGTGCGTTCCTGCGGCTGACTCGATAGTCGACGCTATTGACCTGCCATTCGTCCTTGTCGGTGTGATGCGGACGGTAGGTCGAGTAAGGCATTGACCTCACTGCTCACCGATGCTAGCTCAAGGAAGAGGCCGCCGTGATGGTGTGATATATAGAAGCCTGGCAAGGATAAAGGGCGAAAGTCGTGGGATGCTGATAAGGAGGCCCGTGTGTGATGCACTGAAGTTTGCCACGAATTGACAGAGCACTTGATTCCTTGAGTGCTTGTATGGACCTTGCTGCCTAATGCGTGGCTGTCCCGATGCCTGGCCGTACTTGCCCCGCGTTCGCCCCTGCGTGCTGTGTGGTGTCTTGTTTGCGTCGATGATGTCGTGTCTTGTGCTTCTCCCCACAGTGGCCCACACAGCAGCAGCGCATTTCCCAACTTTCCTTGCGCCTTGAGACTTCCCTCTTCCCTCTTTCCTCCCTTGGTCTACGCAGCTTCCTTCCCTCCCTTGCTGCTCACTAGAGCGTAAAAAGCACAAATACTCGTCGTTTCACTGTCTGATGACGTGCACACACATGCTCAGGCGCAGCATACTCAAATCAGCTTCTACAGCGCCATTGAGAAGCATCCTAATCGCTCCTATATACCAGCAGAGTCCCTCAAGACACCGACCAGCAGCTTACTCTCAGAATCGCTGCTTCTCTCTCTCCAGCCAACGTGCAAGCCAAAATAATGGCGGTTTGAAGCCTCGTCCAGATAATGCCTTCTTTGAGGATGTCCTCGCAGGCGGCCCAGCACCACCCGTGCAAGTCGATGCTGTCCTCAAAAATGGACGCGGCTTTCAACTCTCAACGGGCGTGGAGGTGGGTGAGGCTGTTTTCATCCTGAATGGTGAAGGCCTGCTATGGCGGCCACACGTCAAGATTGACAAGAAGAACATCATGACGATTGACTTGGAGGCCTTTGGCATCTTGGATGTGTGTGCAGTGAAGCCTGACATGCTCATCCTGGGGACTGGCCTACGGAATGAATTTGTGAGTAGCACTGTACGGGATCACTTGCACAGCATGGGGATCCAGGTGGACACGATGGATACACGGAACGCGGCGAGTACGTTTAATGTGCTTGCTGCAGAAGGCAGATCTATTGCCTGTGCACTCTTGCCTGCCTAGTCATATGAGTATACACACAGTATAGTGAATGAGTCAAGGGAATGGCTCAATGTGACTGTGTCGCTTTCCTCTCACGTGTCCATTTTTATCTGGAAGCAGCCAGAGCAGCGATCATAAAGGCATCAACCTGTCTGTCGCTTAGCCAAACGCCATGGCATCCTTGCAGGAGACAATCCTGCAGACGCTCGACAAGGATGGCGAGATACAGGATACCCGTGCGTTGAGTGAAAACCAGACTGAAGTCGGCTCTGTCTTGCGCTCGCTTGAATCTAAAGAAATGGTCGTCTTCAAGCAGCTCGAGACTGATCGCTGGGTCTTGTCGAAAGAAGGGCAAGGTATTGCTGAGAAGGGCAGTTATGAGGCTCTATTGTTTGAGGCTGTTCAGAAGGCAGTGGGTGGACTGAGCATCAGCGATGTCACCACTGTGCTTGGCAAGGACGGCAAGATTGGACAGCAAAATGCGCTCAAGAAGAAGTGGATCTCTATCAACAAGGAGACAAAGACGCTTGAGCCACTGGTGGAAAGTATTACAGATACAACACGACGGGATTTGCAGCAAGTGGCAGAATCAGGCACCTTGGCTGATGCTGCAACACTGGCAGACCTCAAAAAGCGCAAACTAATTGACCGGACAAAACTCATCTCCTACCGTGTGAGCAAAGGCCCGCAGTTCTCACTGACGGTGCAAAAGCTAGAGACAGACTTGACGTCTGAGATGGTCGCATCTGGTGCGTGGAAACAGGCGCAATTCAAAAAATACAACTTCAATGCGGCAGGTGCTCCTGTTCGTGGTGGTGCCTTGCATCCGCTCCTCAAAGTACGTGAAGAGTTTCGCAACATTTTCTTTGAGCTGGGTTTCCAAGAAATGGCCACCAACAACTTTGTCGAGAGTTCCTTTTGGAACTTTGATGCGTTGTACGTACCGCAGCAACATCCGGCAAGAGACTTGCAGGATACATTCTACATCAAGGGTCCAGCACGGACAACGACATTCCCAGATGCAGCGTATGTCGAGCGCGTCAAGACAGTGCATCAAGATGGTGCGCACGGCAGTATTGGCTACAGATATCCCTGGGTCTTGAATGAAGCATCCAAGCTCGTTTTGCGCACGCACACCACAGCCATTTCAACGGCAATGCTGTATAAACTTGCCAACCAACCCGGCGGTTTCAAGCCAGCCAAGTACTTCTCCATTGACCGCGTCTTTCGAAATGAAGCAGTCGATGCCACGCATCTTGCAGAGTTCCATCAAGTCGAAGGTGTCATTGCAGACCGCAACTTGACACTTGGTGATTTGATTGGTTTCATGGAACAATTCTTTGCCAAGATGGGTGTTCACAATCTACGCTTCAAGCCAGCCTACAATCCTTACACAGAGCCATCCATGGAAATCTTTTCCTACCACGAGGGCCTCAAGAAGTGGGTTGAGATTGGTAATTCAGGCATGTTCCGTCCAGAAATGCTGGAACCGATGGGATTGCCCAAGGATGTGCGTGTACATGGCTGGGGTTTGTCGTTGGAGAGACCGACTATGATTAAGTATGGCATTGACAATATCCGCGAGTTGTTGGGTCACAAGTGTGATTTGGACATGATTGAGTCGAATGCTGCTGTGCGGCTGGATAAGGGCAGCATCTCGGCGCGTGGCTGAGGGGCGGTTGCTCATTGAAGAAGCCAGCCTCATGAAGACCCTTCAGCAGCGATGTGGTCTGCTACGCGGTTTGAAATCCGACGAATGACCTCTTCCTGTGCAGAGACGCCGAGATCAAGCGAGACGAAGCACTGCCGTTTGTGTTTTCGCGCTATATTATCAGCATCTATTGCGTTTACCATTTAGAAGTCAAGCACCTAGCAATGTAGCAAGTCTATCTGAACGATCATCTGAGCCCATATTTGTGATGCGGGTCTTGAGCAGTGCAGCAGTCGGGGATGGAGCGGGCATGGCTACAGTCGTGGCACCTAGCTTTGAGGTTCCTGTCGATGCCCAGAGCATGAAGCTTGTAGAGGGATAGAGAAATGTGAGTTGGAGATGTATAGCGGGCAATGTAGCATCTTGTGGCAGTGTCTCTTGGATGACTTGCATCTCTGTCATTTTGTCAAGTCTAGCAGCTAGACTACTGAGCTAGTGAATTGCAGTTGTTGCAAGTAGTCCAAGTGAGTTCGTTTCAAAGTTCCAAGTCGCGTCCAGCTGCTCCAGCAACGGATTGGACACGCAAACCACCACACAAAACACAGACAGAGCCATGCTGCGTGTCTGGGCACTGCTCTTGAGCTCACTGCTTCTTTTGGTCCATGGCCATTCATTGACTTTGCATCCACACAATCGAGGTACGTATTCCCCCTGCTCCTGCTCTTTGCAAAAGTCCTCAAGCCAACATCACAGAATGCTTCCATGAAGAGCTCAAGCAAGGCGACCATATGGTTGTATCCTTCCAAGCAGACCTCGGCGGCGATATGATGATCAACTTTTGGATGTCAGATCCACATGGTAATATGCTGAATAGTCAGCCTCGTGCGAGTATGGGCGAACATTCATTTGAAGCGACACAAGCTGGCAAGTATACTTATTGCTTCCTCAACGTACGTCTCCTTGATCTATGTATCAAGTGAGAGCACGGACTAATGCTGGTAGGAAGGCAATGACGGCGCAACAAAGGAGATGAGTTTCAATGTGCACGGTGTGGTGTATGTTTCTGGCGACGACCCAGACCACCAGGACCCACTTGAGAAGCAGATCAGGGAGTTGTCTGAGTTGGTGGCACAAGTCAAAGACGAGCAGGAGTACATGGTCATTCGCGAGCGCGTCCACCGCGACAGTACGTCCAATTCACTGAGTCTTTCTCTGAATTGATTTGCTAACGAGACAGCCTCTGAGAGTACAAATACACGCGTCAAGTGGTGGTCTATTGGCCAGACTATTTTGCTGATTGTCGTCTGCCTCTTCCAGGTGGTCTATCTGAGTATGGCCCTCTTCTCTTTGCAATGCATACTAACTCTAGAACGCTTCTTTGAGGTGAAGCAGCGCCTGTAGGCCCCCTCCCTGGGTATCTGCTGTCGATAGCAGGTCAATCCATACCTATCCACTGCCCAAACTGTCGCTGTAGTTGAACTTTCGTCTCACGGATTTTTATCTCTCGGCGATGAGCGACAATCAAGGAGAAGAGCAATAGTACTAGTCTAGTAGCTACTGTTGCTGCAACCTTGGCAAGCTCAAGATAGAAGCGACTAGATACTTTATCAAATGAGCGCATCAGATATCGAGTTCCTGCGCAGCCAGCTCCGGCAATACCCAGACTTCCCGCAAAAGGGTATCTTATTTGAAGATATCCTCCCCCTCTTCAAGTCACCCAAGGCCTTCAAGCTCCTTGTGCACTCTCTCGCCAAGCACATCAAGGAGACACACGGCCAAGTCGATGTCATTGTGGGTTTGGATGCACGCGGCTTCCTCTTTGGACCGACCTTGGCGCTTGAGCTCGACGCTGCTTTTGTACCGGTCAGGAAACTCGGCAAGCTACCAGGCCAGTGCGTAACGGCAGAGTACATCAAGGAGTACGGCAAGGATATCTTTGCCATGCAGGAAGATGCCATTTCACAAGACCAAAGAGTTATTATTGTGGATGATATTATCGCAACGGGAGGCAGCGCTGGTGCAGCTGGTAAGCTGGTCAAGATGGTGGGCGGCAAGACAATGGAGTATGTGTTTTTGCTGGAGCTGGACTTCTTGAAGGGAAGGGATCAGTTGGATGCGCCGGTGTTTACGCTGCTCAAGAGTCAAGAGACGAAGCAGCTATAGATGCTGGCATGGTGAGTCCTGGTCAAGCAGGGATACCCATGGCCATGGACGCCGTCTGCTACGAGACACACACAGAGCTAGACACATAGACAGCAGATGAAGGCAGCAGGCATGCAGGCCCTCTCAAGGCGACTCCATCCCTTGCCTTCCTTACACAGATACTCCGTCCACGCCCCAGCATATGCACTTGGTTGTGCTCGACTGCCGACCTCGACCTCCACCCACATCCTCACTCGACACGCAAGCACCACAATGTCCTCAACAGGCTGGGAACCCGTCAAGACCTCGGCTGAATGTGCACCAGCTGCAGGCCCGTACTCAGCAGCTGTCAAAGCCAATGGCATGATCTTTTGCTCTGGCCAGATCCCCGCTGATCAAGACGGCAACCTCTGCCAAGGTACGTACAGCTGATAATACGATAGATTGGGGATGCGAGTCTAACGGAGTAGGCGATATTCAGGCATGCACAAAGCAAGTCATCGCAAACCTCGACAATGTCCTCAAATCAGCTGGCTCATCCCTCGAAAAGGTTGTCAAGGTCAACATCTTCCTCGCCAGCATGGATGACTTTGCAAAGGTAATTGAGATGCTTAGATGTGCTCTGGAATATGATCGCTAATGCTTGAATAGATGAATGAAGTGTACAGCGCCATGCTGCCAGACCCAAAGCCTGCACGATCGTGTGTCGCTGTCAAGACATTGCCAAAGAACGTGTCTGTTGAGATTGAATGCATTGCATTGCAGTGAGTCTGCGATTCAAGACCGCTTGGCGTCAAGTTGACTTCATATACCATGCCGTAGATGTTGACGAATCAAGTCATGCTGATCGCTTCTCATCCACGCCTGCCTGGACTCTGACTACGTTCGCGACTCCTTTCCCTGCGTGACGACTTTGGCCGTCCCTCCGTCTCTTTCTCTCTGACCTCTACAGGCGGCTGCACAAAGGCAAAGTCAGCTTGCAGCGTTTGTCCCAACAATTTGAGTTCTTGCCTCTTTGCTTGTTCGATACACGCCTCTGCCTCTTGCCGTTTCGCATACTCACACAGTGCATAGCCCTTGACGTAGCCTGTCCGTCTATCCAAGTTGAGTTGCAGGTTGCGCACGGGACCAAAGTCAGCAAGAAGATCTTGTAGGTCTTCCTCGGCAGCTTCTTCATGGACATTGGTGAGTGCTACGACCCAGCCTTCGATGGACTCTGCAGGCTGGCGCGTCGAGGAAGAGGCCGCGTCGACTTCCATAGCATCCACCATGATCCCTGGCGCTGTTCTCAGTTGATGTCTGTCTAGATAGATCTGTGGGCGTCGCAGTCGCGAACTCCACTTGACCAGCCTACGCCAGCGGAGTTGAGCTTGCTCTCTGCTCTCTCGCGCTTTGATGGAATACGATTCAGCTTGCAATGAGGATCAAGCTGATGCCTTCATGCTGCTGGCTATGAAACTGCAATAGGTGACCCTCGTCACTTGAAGGCTTGAATCTGCTCTATAATCATCCTCAGCTAGCATGAACTACCTCTCCTTCTGCATTGAATATATCTCGAGGCCCTGAAGCCCAGCAGAGACTCACGCATCTCATCTACCCAGGCCGGCGTCTACATGTCCGTCCATCCGATGCGCTTTGATAGATGCGGATCGCCAACTGACGTTAACGGGTAGCTTGCGGCCCGAGAGCGCGACGGTCCGACGGATGGCAACATCCTTCTGAGGCACCTCGCGTCATTTCTGCGTTCCTTCAATACTTTGGTCAAGAATCGACCTTGACACCCATTTGGATGCTTGTGGGGAAACAGGTGGAGAAGATTCTTGGTGCAGCATTCGGTTGGTCGACGCTATCGTGCGCTGCTGATGAACGCGTGGAGAAGATTCTTGGTGCAGCATTCGGTTGGTCGACGCTATCGTGCGCTGCTGATGAACGCGTGGAGAAGATTCTTGGTGCAGCATTCGGTTGGTCGACGCTATCGTGCGCTGCTGATGAACGCGTGGATGCCATGTCTAATCCAGCGCAACACGAACAAGAAGTTCAACGCAAGATTCGCCATGCCGAGCGGCGAGCGCGAAGGCGTCACCAGTATTGAAGTTCCTCCCAATGAAAGAAGGCTCTTCAGCTCGCTACAAAGCTAGGCGCAGAAACCGTCACATTTGGTGTTGAAGCGAGTTCATTCAGGAGCGGCCTCAATCAACATGGCATGAAGATGCGCTTGCTCGAGAGATCCTACAATGCCATCTCGAAGCCATTCAAGCTGCAGCAAAAGTCAGAGTTTCGCAGGAAGCTGGGAGCGACGGATGACCCTGTCTACATTTGTTATCCAAAGGGCAAAATGGGAGCTAGCGCCATTCGTGCCATCATGCGATTCTTGTCGGATGATCCAGACAACAAGTAGTGTGTGTAAGACAGGTCAATGCTGATGTTTCATGAGTGCTAATGCATGCTAATTCTTGTGTACGTGATTATCGCCAGGCGCCCGCTCCACCAGATGATGCGCGTCCTGCTTTGCCGAGCCCACTACCGGCCGACGCTAGGGATTGTCGAGCAGCCGGCTGACTGAGAGACGACGCAGATCGACCAGATGGAAGGTGATTCTCCTTGTTTTGCAATTTTGCAACGTCACCTTCGACGCTGCTGCTACTGGCGCTGCCGGGCATACCGGCCTCTGGCATCATGGTCGATAAGTTGGCCAAAGCCAAGCTTGACAAGGATGATTTGAGTGGTTTGGCGTTTAATTCCTTCGACATGGAAGCCGATGCTGAACGATGGTGTGATGAGGCGGACGAAGGGCGCGTATACTCCTTGATGGGACGAACAGGAGGCTGCATGAGACCATCATGGCTCTCGTTGGCGTCTATTTGCTTCAGTGCACCTGGATCAGAAGCAAAGTTTGAAGGACGTGCAGCACGAGACACACCGCCTCCTTCCGTTCGACTGCGCTTGTGGCCAGGCGGTGACGCAACTGGCACCAGACTACGTCGCTTGGACAAAAAGTCCGGCTTCATTCTCGCGCTCCCGCCACCAGCTGCAGTACTAGCCATAGTACCAGCTGTGCTTTCTCGCAATGGAGACCCTTCACCATAACTGCCAAAGGACGTTTCTTCATTCTCACCCCAGCGTACACTCTTCTTCACACCACTTGCCTTCTTCTTGGGAAAGACAGTTTGTGGTTTCGATGATGTACGGACACGAATGACGCGTGGCGATGCGCGCGGTGATGAGCTTGAAGACAGTGGTCGGTGTGCAGGGTGTGAGCGCATTGGCGAAGCAAATGGAATGCGGGATCCTTGCTTGATGGCCAAAGCTCGCAAGGGACTCAAGGCAGAGGCTGCTTGAATTGTGCCATTTGCAAAACTGCTCAATGTCCGAAGAGCCTTTTGATAGGTTGCCGTGTACAATTCTGCATACTGCGCTGCTTCTTCCTCCGTGTCACCGCCATCGGTCGTGAGGCAAGAAGCACTGGCCATTGCAACACCAAAGGCACCGAGAAAGACGCTGCGAGTTGTTTCAAGAGACTCTCGAGAAGCACGCATCTCGCCCTCATAAGACTGCTCGGCAACCTTGTTTTTCAGCAAACGCGCCTCAGCTTCAATCGCCTTGCAGAGCACTTTGGAGGAATCGCCTTTGATGTTTCGCAGAAGCGACGAGAGAACAGTGTCGATAGCCATGACTGTTGAGCACGATCGCAGACTTTGCTCCAACACGACACGCTGGTGCTCGAGCTCTTTATACAGCACGGAACAGCGTTCTCGTACGCTCTGGAATTCAATTAGCCCATCACAGTAATTGGCATCTTCAGAAATGCTGCCAAACGCATTCATCCACGCCCCCACCATGGTCATTTGCATTTCTATCCGGCGCAGCTCGGCAATATCGCGTGGTCGCTGTTCACGCGCATGGGAAGTACCATCATAGGCAGAACGCAGCTGACACAATGCATCCTCATACCGCATAGATTGCAGCTTTGCTTCTCGGTCAACTTTGTTGGTGTCGTCATTCGTTTGCTCACTAAGCTTCTTCTTGAGCTCTTCCACTTCTTGACGCAAGTCATAGATGATTTTGACGTATTGCCCGACATGCCTGTCCACGGAAAGTGTATTGCGAGAAACTTTGGTCTTGATATTCTTTGCGCGATTGCCATACTTGAGCGTGTTGTGCGTCTCATCATAGTGCGCGCTAGATGGACTAACACACACAACCATGACTGTGCGACAATTGCCACCAAGTGAAAATTTGAGCAGCCGCGTCAATTTCGAGTCGCGGTATGGAATGTGGCACTTTCTGTGAGGGTCACACAGGGCATTGATGCAGTTGCCCAACGCCAGCAATGATCGGTTGATGTTTGCACCTTCGAGCAGTCGATCACCTCTATTCTTGGTAACGGAGGCGCGTTCACTTCCTGCCAAGTCGATAATCGAGAGTGTGGCCATGACGTGGTCTTCCTGGATGCTTGCCGTGCGCGCCTTTTGAGAGACGTTGACTTGCAAGACTGCATGAGATCGTGAACTGACGGCATTCGCTTCCGTTGGGGAAATGGTACGATTGGCATTGCCCATGAGAATGAGCTCCATGACATGCTCAACAGATTCTGGGACATGCGTGCTCAACCCTGCAACACTTATTTGCTTGTTGGCATCTTCACGCAGGCTGAGCACTTTGTTGCTTCCACCGGGAATGAGCAAATCACGAATCGTCTCATTGTAGATTTCCAGATAGGTGATGCTGACATCCACCAGCTTATCGTCCTTGAGAGCTTCGATGCGCGCAAAGAGTTCTTCGAATGTCTGAAAGATGAGACCAGGATCTTCTCTGGTTCCCGAGATTGTGTGTGTTTTGCCGCAGCCTGTCGCGCCATAGGCAAAGACAGTCGCGTTGAATCCATCGAAAATGCCATTCAACAATGGCCGGCTTGTATGCTCAAAGACCTCTCTTTGGGTCGCAGTTTCATCAAAGATGTGATCAAAGGCATAACGAACATCCTTGATCTTCTTGCCGGGCATGAGGGACTTGGAGAATCGCGCCATTGGATTGCTGTCTGCTGGATCAAAGACCAGGACGCGTTCGTCGAGCACTTGGATGATTTTGCGTAGTCCTTTGGCTGTAGGCGTCGGCGTGTTGCCAGTCAAGGCTCCCTCTGCAAATACTTGACGCTCCTCCTGCTGTGGCTGCATCTGTGATGTCTCGCGCACGGTGAAGGGCCGCACTCTGATGCTTGACATGTTAGTGCTGCAATACGTTTGGCACACGACTTACTTGACGGAAATGCTCGACTGCTCCATCTTGACTGAATGCCAGTGAGTCTGACCCCTCGAGCTGCCTGTGCGATGCGCCGCACGTCGCTGGCCTGTCGTGCTTGTGATACTGCCTGTTGAGTGTTTTTGTTGTGAAATCGCTGCGTTGCCAGGCACAAAATTAGGCAGTCACAAGATTACCATGCTCTGCTTGCCGGGCAGACGGTACCTGACTGCAGTGCACCCTTGATTTACGCGAGCTTCGTGGACCTCATCAGTCTTCATAGTGGCAAAGAAGGGAAGGAAGGCTCCATTAGATGACAGCGCCTGACCTATTCATACTAGATCTGCACCTAGACTGCGCTCGAGCGTCGATACAATTATCTATTGCTCCTGCTGCAAGTATTATACTACAGGTCGAGGTGCCTCTCTTAGGAGTCAGTTGACTGACTCATAGCTGATGCAAGTCTTGTGCATAAAACTCAGTCAAGGCAGCACCAGGTCTATGTGAGCGACAGCTGACGGAACTCATGACCGAGCTCATAAGACAGCCGCACCATCATATCGCTATATCTCGCTGGAGTAGCAGTCTGCCCATCTTGTCCCGCCCGCGCACCAGAGTGCAGACGTCCTGGCATCTTCAAAGCGGATCGAGACTGACAAAGGATCTGGCCTGACGCAAGTCACGACTCACGAACAAGTCTCCTGAGTCTTGGCATATCACGCACGTGGCATGCGCTGGCTCGTGCGTGAGTAGTGAACAGCTGGCAAGCTGTAATGCCTGTTGCTGGCAATATTCGTCCCCCATGCATGAAAGAGTGCGAAAGGCCGTGTCCACTGTCTCAACTCTGAACTGCAGCTGTTGCTCTCCAACAAGGAAATTTTGTTTGGAGTTGCAGGTGTCTGCATGTCCTCGTGGTATACTACATCATTGCACTTGTTCTTCTGCCAGCCGGTGCAGTGGCCGATGGAGTTTTTCCAGAATGCACCCCTGAGAACGGCGCACATTTCAAGCTTTTTGGGGCGCGATGGTCAAATCGGGCTGGGTTTTATGGAAAATACTGTGATGAACAGTGCAAGACCTTGTTCGAGGAGGGCCTGAAAAAAGGTGGATTTCCTGCAAAGAAGGTTTCTTTCTGCCAGGAAAACAACTCGCCGGCAGTCGTCAGGTGTACCTGGAAATACATAAAGAACACCGACTTCAGGAAACTTAAAGGCGTGGACGTCTGTGAGTGTGACTACGAGTTCTCGATCAGTAAATTGACGTCCACTGACAAGTGTAAGCGCTCGAAAATCTTGTCGCATTATTACGACAATATGGAAGGACTTTCACTCAAAGCGGATCTCCCAGGCCTTTGCTTTCATGCTGATCCGGTTTCCACAAACAAGAACCAGTTCCTCCTAAACTACTCTGGCTAGTAAAGGGAGGAACTATCCCTGTAAGGGCTCATTTCTTTTCGAAATTCAACTTTCATCAGCATTCTTACGACATCAAAAGCTTATCCTTCTCAATCCCATTCTACCTATTGAGCTTTCACTTTGGGATTTGCAGCAATTCACGACATTGCGCAGCTCCCATTTGCAATCTCTTGTCCATCGATCGATTGCAGCCTGAGGGTTGAGATCAGCTAGCCATATCATAATGATTCATCTGTTCTTCAATCTACGTGCAAGCTACCATCTATTTGACATCCTCATAGCTATTGTGACTAATGAATGCGGGTACCTGGAACAATTAAGGCTCTCGATCAGATCGTCTGTAACAACGCATCTGCAAGCAATACACAAGCAGAAGGAAGGAAGTCACATCTTGCTAACGCTTGTCTATCCAAATTGCAAGATGAAGCACATCATGAGCTACTCCAACCATCAAAGGCTGAACAGCGGCTCAAGAGATGGGCCGATACCGTGACCAGCTCGATCAACACCAAACTCCTCATTTTCACCTGTTGAATAATCACCATCCATACTCGACGCACTGCCACCAATTTTGCCAAGTCCACCAGCACCTGTTGCGGCCGTCCTGAGTTTCTTCCGTCTTCTCTTCTCCTTGCGAGACAATGATTCTGTGTCGCATTCAAGCACAGGTACCGCAGATACTTTCCGTGTATCTCCTACTTTTGGAGGTGAAGAGAATCCATTTATCCTTCACGGAATCCTCCTTGTGCACATTCGGTCAATTTTGTTGATGTCGACGGGACGCGCCAGGTGCTGCAATGGTGGGCATTGGTTCAAGCGGCGCAAAGCTGTGGCCATGTGCATCGACCTCACCAGGTAAAAGGAAATCATTCGTGTACATGATGTCATCCAGTGAAGTAATGGCTACCCTCATGGCTTCTGACCGAAGATACGCTTTCGCCCGTTTGAGGTTTGCATTGGCAATCTTGGACGCTTCTGTTGCTGCGGCGAGGGCAGCGGCAGGTGTCAACTTGATGCCTGTCATGGCAGACATGACGGGTGCGGCTTTTGGGGGCGCTAATGTGTGTGCTGGTGAGTTGGAGGTGGAGCCATCAATCACTGCGACTTGTCTGATTGTGTCGCGGTTTCAGGTGCCGAGCATGGGTGCCTGACTCGGTGTGGTGAGATCTGTTGACGTATTGAGGAGGTATTGACACGCCGCTTTGGTTGGTGTTGTGTCGTCAACGAAAGAAGCTCGCTTCGTGCGCGATGTCAAGTTGGACTTGACAAGTGCACGCGAAGGTGTGGTTGGATTGAGCTGTTGTTTGCTGCGTTGTAGTAGCATCTCTGGTACTTCGCCGTCCGTTGTGCTGGCATCAGAGTCGCCGTCGACTTGATAGGCATGACCATGACTTGACCCGTCAGGAACGCTGCCTGTGCCGATTCTTCCTCGGCTATGGCATATTGCGCCGTGTCTTCAAGCTCCATTTCTCTCTCAAATTCAGGATCATCAATGGCAAAGAAGCAATCTCAGCCTATCTCGTCATCATCATCTCCGTCTTCATCGTCGTCGCCATTGCTCAAGTGTAATGCTCCGGCCATTGAGGAGTGCGTCAAAGTCTCCGAGCCAGTTCTCTTCTGGCAAGACAAATGAATGTCGTGCCGTGACGCTTCCTCGCTGCTTTGTTTCTTCTCCTGCGACTCACAAACCCCGAGCTGCTGGTCACTGGCTCTCTCACTCACTTGTAGATGCCTCCAGCTGACATCCCTGGCTGAAGATGTCTGTCTCCGCTGATAGCCAGTCTCTGTCTCTTGTTTGGCCTGGAATGCACCTGCTTGGACACCCAGAGACTCAGATCAAGTAGCAGCAGAACAAGCGGGGGAGCAATGGAGCAATACAGCTTGCTTGTGGTCTTCCACCGGCCATTAGGCACAGTCCATTGGAAGGCCGAGTAGTAGCCAGAGCCAAAGTCTGTAGATGCGACTGCCTCCGGGGACTTGCGGTGGCGCCAGCCAATCACACGCTGCCATCTAATCTCTACCCAGCTACCGAGCACTTGAAGCCAACTACACCTGCCTCTAGCTAGCTACCTTCAGTCAATCTGTACTTCATAACTTCTCTGCAAGGCACACTTGAAGCCGTTGTTCTGCTCACGAGGCCTGGAGATCGCACGCGCTTCTATCAGAATCCTAAAGCTGGCTATGCAGGCACAAACACACACATCACACCCCTTGGTAGAGCTCAAACTTACAACACGAGCCAATGAATACGCTCACGCTATAATGATGCAAACAGCTCGAGTCAAATCACTGGCATCTCAGTTGATACAATAGACCTTGCACAATCGACTGTGTCGTGTGATGCAGCGACTGAGGCTAATGTCATTGTCTTCTCTGCCTATTCCATGTGGCAGGGCATCTACCCGGCATCGCTTCTATCCAATGTGATCTTGTCCAATGGAACGCCTGTTACATTACCTCTGGGTGGGCAGCAGTATGGAGACTGATAAGTTTGAGCAATCGCCCTTCTCAGGACCTTTGCTAGTTGTCCCGCATGCAAGGACACGCGCAGGTGAGATTGGATCAAGCTGTTGTTTGCCGCGTTGAAGTAGCATCTCTGGTGTTTCGTCATCTATGTCCTCACAGGGTCAAGAATCTAAAGCATTGGCAATGTTGCCGGTCGCGGAATGATGTCGCACACCGAGGCCATAGCGGACCTTGCAGACACACCGACGCCTCGCAAGATTAAGCACTACTCGCTCAGCTACAAATCCTTCTTCTCCCTCTTCAACATAACTGGTGCCGCCGAAACAGCACCTGAGCTACAGGCAGTACCGGCGTATAGCAGCATGGCGGCGTTTGAGCTTCGCAACTTCTCGTCAGAACTCTACATCAACTTGGTCTTTCGCAAAAGTTCTGATGCAGGGACACAAGCAGTCTCCTAATCAGTCTTGGGACAGCAACAGATCAAGATGTCGGAATTCATGGCAACTTTTAACAGCTCTACCATTCATTCAACAATCGAGTGGTGTAAGGTCTGTAACCAGTCTAGCAGCATCAATGGCTGCGATAAATTGTTGCTCGCCGATCAAATCAGGACGACTTCAGGCGGCCTGCCTAGTCATCGCGCATAGTGCTTGACAACCACAACTAACACCCTTCTGATTCGCGATTTGCATCTTTTCAAAGGTCGCAGTTAACTCGCAAAGGCAAACTTGGCCCCGACCAAGTCCGTTTATCAAGTGGTTGTCAAGCGCTAAGAACGGTGATTGACATGCTGACCAGGCAGGACGAGCGCACTGACAGAGCAAGGCGAGACGCACCATCGTGAACAAGCTGCCTTTCGGCTAGATTGCGCTCGATTTGTTGTTCAGCTTGAGCTCCTGCGAGTCTTACATTACAAGTCGAGGTGCCTCTCCTAGCAGTCAGTCAACTGACTCCAGGCTGGTGCCAGTCCGGCGCGTAAGTCTCAAGCAAGGCAGCCAAAGGTCTCTGTGAGCGACAGCTGACGGAAACCATACGATGAGCTCACCGAACAGCTGCGATGAGATGTCGCCATGGGTGTCTCTCTCGCTGAAGTAGCAATCTGCCCACCTTGTCCCGCCCGCGCACCAGAGTGCAGACGTCCTGGGAAATCGTATATGCCGTACTGGCATCTTCAAAGCGGATCGAGACTGACCCGGGATTCGGCCTGACGCAAGTCACGACTCACGAACAAGTCTCCTGAGGCTTGGCATATCACGCACATGGCATGCGCTGGCTCGTGCGTAAGTAGTGAACAGCTGGCATACTGTAATGTCTTTCGCTGGCAATCTTTGTCTCCCATGCATGAAAGGGTGCGAAAGGCCGTGTCTAGACCTTGAACTGCAGCTGTTCCTATCTAGCAAGGAAATTTTGTTTGCAGTCGCAGGTGTCTGCATTTGCTTGTGGTACTACATCACTGCGCAAATAGCCTCGAGCCCGCAGGGTTGCAAATACTGCGACAAGCACGAACAGCTTCGCAAGACTTACGAGCGCATATGGATGAACCAATCTGTTACAGCGAACAGACTGACCACCTGAGCTTGTGTCATCTCGTCAGAATGGGCTTCTCTATGTACTGCTAGTCATATCTATTGGTCAAACTCAACACATCGGCATCTCGAACAGGCTCTCCTGAGACGGGAGAAAGTCACGACACGTTGGCAGATGCAGCTGATTTGTCACATATCTGCCCAGCTCAGGAGTCTGCTCTCGCAAATGCTCAAGCAAATACGCAAGCACATGGCTAAACGAAGTTGATTAGAAATCGATTCAGGGATGTGCTGCAGATGAAAGGCATAAATAGGGACCATGTCCGCCTAGTTTCAGTCTTGGCAGTCTCTCCCCTCTCAAGATCCAGCCAGCTGCAACTCCCACAACCATGTTTCCGTGGCCTGTTCTGCTGCTGAGCCTTTCGCACCTAGCTTCTGCTTAGCCAGAAGCCGATCCAAATCAGAATATGTGCTATAAGGTCGCCTACGTGGTCACCGCCGTACTGCCACCGGTTGAAAAAAGCTGCAATGATATGTGCCTGCAATATACGCCATACATATATGATGACGTTTTGAAGACAGTATGCTCTTATGCTCTACCAATTTTATCAGCATGGTCTGTCCAGGAGTATACGTCTGCTCAAAAAAACGGCTCACCACGTTGTGCCTGCACGATGGTGGCTTTGTATGAGAGAATGCATGCCGCTGAGTATGTTCAAGGCATGGATTGCAAACTAAACGCTGTGAGGACGAGAATTGAGAACAGGTTGGCGTCCGACTCGTATGCAACGGTTTCTTTAGCTTTGATTAAGGAATCTCGTGAGAAGACAAGATGCACTTAGCGACAGCGGCTTGAACTGTTCGAGATGCCTGGTAGATGTACGAGACGATAGTAATCGCTTTGATGTTGAGGACGCACACGCAATGAAAATTATGGAAGCAGAGCATCCTGAGCGCATGATTGCTGGCGTCCTCGAGCTCGCACGGCCACTGAAGCATCTCATGAATCTGGTCATGAGTCTCAAATGCATAGATAGATTATCAATAAAATGCTTGGTGCATATCTTGCTGTTTCACTGCAATTGAAATTGTTGATGAACGAGGAAATCACATGTCAGCAACACATCTCGAGAACACAACAAACACAACGCAGCAAGGTACAACATCCCTCGACACTGGCTACATTCAACAGACGCATACCATGTCAAGTGTGACTGAGCCGCTACAACCGACCCTCAAGGGCAATCAAGAGCGCACGACACCCTTCAAGAATGACATCTTCGCCAAACCTACACCAGACAAGGTTGCGCGGCTTCGCAAACGCCCAAGTCGTCCCTCTTCTGCACAAACGGATACAGAGGGTGATTGGATCTCTGAAGAGAGCAGCCCTGCTGCTGTGAATGGTGGGCGCTCGGCAGGTTTGCGATCAACGTATGGCTCGCCGTCCCTTCGAGCGCGCAAGTCTACCGCTTCGTTACGATTGAAGCAGGAAGCCATGAAGCACTCGAAGCGTGGACAGGATGAAGAGCGCTGGATTGCCTTGCTTGAAAGGCAGAATGAGTAGGGATTCGTCGACTTGTTGTGTTCATGGCTGACTAGAAGGGAACTGCTGTCGCAAATCAGCTTGTTGACAAAGGACCTGACACAATCTGACAAGAAGCACAAGACCATGCTACGTCGTGAGCAAGAGGAAGTGGCACATTTGCAGCAGGAACTCCGAGAATGGTACTTGTCCTTGACGCAAATGATTGACATGCTAACAAGGCAGGACGAGCGCACTGACGGAGCAAGGCGAGACACACCGTCGTGAACGAGCTGCCTTTCGAAGTCAGCTGGTGGATGTGCGTATCCATGCAAGCAAGAAGGAAGCGGAACATCAATCACGCCTTGCGTCACTCCACCAAGATCTCGCCACTTTGGCGCGCGAGAAGGAAGCGGCGGTGCTGCGAGCAAAACGCAGTGAGCAAGAGCTACAGTATGCAAAGCGACGCAATGCCTCGTTGGCAGAGGAGTTGCTTGCCAAGAAGACGCTCGAGTTGACGGTCGAGGGACAGCAGCGATACTTGCTAGAGTTGTCAAGCGCATTGGATCGCATGCAGGAAGAACAGGGTCTTGCATCGCCCGTCTCACAAGCTGCAACGTCGCATATGGAAGGCTTGTCGCGGCAGAGTCGACCGGGTAGCTTGGATGGTCACGCTCTCACACAAGAAGTCTTTGCCAGTCTTGCGTCTACAGGCTCCACTTCATGCTCAACCCGTCGTCTGTCACGCGACTCGCCTACTGCAATCAAAAGGCTGTTTATGGAGCATTTGACGAGTCCTGCGGATATGCCGCCGAGTCCGCCTGCTACGACCTGTGCTGAGCAAGAAGCCTTCTACCTGCCACCATCACCTGCATCTTGCATCTTTCAACCCTCGTCGCTTCGTCACAGGCGCAATACCTCACTATGGGCCGAACTCGGTGCATTGCAGGATGAAGCAGAGGCCGAGTCTCCATCAAAACACACTTCTCGTGTCTCAACAGCGAATACGTCTACGTCGCTGACAAGCACTGTGGCTACGGAACCAGTTCAACTACAAGTGTTGATGCGACCTATTGTACACATTCGAGGCATGGCGTTGGAGAGAGCGACGCGTGTGGTGCTGGTACTGAGTGCTTGGCTCAAATTCCTGATTGTGTTGATTGCAGCGTTTGCGTTTGCGGTGTATGAAGGTCCTGCGCAGTGGCGACTTGGCTCGAGCCAGTCTTCGAGTATGGAGTGACTATGCTTTCTTATGATCTGTATTGATATTGGTATTCTTTCAGCTGCTTCTGACATACTGATATGTGCATGATTGTTATAGTCTGACGCTGTTGTGTTGTTTGTACGAGCCCTTAAAAACACGCGTCATCCTTAAACGCGTCTGGGTTTGTTGTGATGGAAATGCCAAAAATAATCAAATTCCACTGGCCAAGGACATGTGCACCATGCGATCCATCCGGTGTAGTGTGATTGAGTAGATGACGCTGTGGATGAGTGTGCCGGTGCTGTGCTAATGTTGGCAGCCAGTTGGCTCCTGTGAATGATGTGTCTGCCTGTGAGAGTCTTTGTGCAACAGTGCAAGTAGTCAATCAGCCAGCAGTCAGCATTCTCCTGCCCCTGTCCTTCTTTCCCTTCTGCCACTACGACACACAAACAAGCACCCCAGAGTCTCAGAGTACTCCCTCTTGCACACTCGCTCGCCTGTATAGAAGCAGCGTCGCACTCACACTCACACACACTCGTTCACTGTGCCACACAAACAACAAGATGATGCGCATCACCACCCTCCTCTTCACCGCCTTCTTCACGCTCCTCTCCTCCGTCCTCGCCATTCAAGTCACCTCTCCCTCACAAGGCATCACCTGGACCGTTGGTAGCACTGCTCAAATCACCTGGTCGAGCGTCAGTACCGACCCAACCACCGTGGATGTCTACCTCGTCAACTTTTCACGATACCCAAATAGCATTATCATGCTCAAGAGCAACGTTGCTGTGTCGGGTGGAAGCTTGGCGATTGATGGCACATACTTGCAGCCTGGGACTGGATGGCAGGTGAATTTGGTGCCACAGGGAAGTAACTCGCAGCAGATCCTCGCGCAAAGTAACCAATTCACAATTGCTGCAGGTGGTGCAGCGGGTCAGACACCGACTGCTGCGACAGGGACCGTGACTGCAGCTGCTGTTGCGCCAATTGTGACGAATGGCAATGCCACTGCTGCTGGTGGTGGTGCGGGTGGTGTTGCCTCTGTGCCGCGTGTGTCTGCTTCGTCTGCTGTGGGTCTGGTCCAGGTTCCGTTGTTCATGCTGGGTGCTGCTGGTCTTCTGCTCTGTCTCTAATCATCCTTTCGCCCTGTCTGTAGCCTCTTTACCTTAATACTCATTCTGGACTGAATTATGTGACTGTCTATCCCTCGGACTGCTTTTTGTGGTCAACAGAAATAAATTCAGCAGCAGAATCAGACACTCAGAAACAAGAAACACCTGCGAAAGTACCAAGGCAATAGACAGAACAGCAACGACACCATGGCAGGAGGTACTACAGTCCGCGACGTCAAGGCAGACACATTCATCAACGCCTACGCAGCCTTCCTCAAGCGTTCAGGAAAGCTCGAAGTCCCTACCTGGGTCGACACCGTCAAGACTGGAACAGCAAAGGAACTTGCTCCTTACAACCCAGACTGGTAAGCGTGCCCTGCATTTTGTTAAAAAAATTGCATGATGGCTTACACTATCTCTAGGTATTATGTCCGTGCAGCAGCTGTAGCGAGGCACATTTACCTTCGCAAGAGCGTCGGTGTTGGCGCTCTCAAGAAACTCCACGGAACTGCCATCAACCGTGGTAACAGACCTTCTCACCACCGCGACTGCTCTGGCAGTGTTCAGCGTAAAGTGGTACAATCACTTGAGAAGCTCGGTGTGTTGGAGCAATCTGACAATGGTGGCAGGAAGATCACGGAGCAGGGACAGCGTGATTTGGACCGTATCGCTACATCTCTCATGGCTGATGACGAGTAAACTGGCTCTTGTTCTTGCAACAAGCAGTTTATCTCTCTCAGGCTTGTCGGACTGAGCCCTTTTTCGCGGCAAGTCTGATCTTTTTGCATACCAGGTGTCTTCATGATACCACTTGGGTCTCTCTCTGTCGTGTACTCATGAACGGAAAGGCCTCATAGCATATCCATAAACAACTGATGTGCTCCCCATTCCTTCTTTCTCTGATGATCATTTTGTGATGACCAGCTTGACCTAGACGACAACATCTTGCGCGACGTCACTACTCCTCCACATACTCCAATTCTACAATCAGCATGCATTCATGAAGCTCATTAGGAAGAACCTCGAGAAGGATGGCAGCGGCGGGATGACGCTCTACCCAGAACAGCCAGAAGACATGTGGCACGCGTATAACCTCATCCAACAAGGCGATCGACGTACGACCATACTTCAAAGTTGTAATGCAATGCGCTGACAAGCTAAAGTCAAGGCAACGACACTCCGTCGTGTCACTACAGAATCAGCAACAGGCTCAACGACCTCTCAAAAAGTGAAAACCACACTCACCATCTCTGTGACGAAACTCGATTTCGATACTGCTGCGTCTGAGCTCCATATCGCCGGTACAGTCGCTGAGGAGAATGCCTATGTCAAGCGTGGCGCACACCATACACTGGATCTGGAACTATTTCGAAACTTCACACTCGAGAAGGTTGAATGGGATTCAATGGCGCTTGAACGTGTTGGACTAGCATGTGATCCTGGTCGTGCAGCACAAGTGGGTGCGGTTGTCCTGCAAGAGGGACTCGCGCATATCTGTCTACTCACTGAACACATGACGCTAATGAAACTACGCGTAGAGATGCCAATCCCACGCAAAGCGCGAGGCTCGAGTACGGCGCATGAAAAGGGGTTAACGCGGTTCTACGAGACGGTATATGAAGCAATGAAGCGATTCTTCTTTGATGCCTTTGGACAAGAGGAAGGTCTCAAGGCGATCTTGATTGCCTCACCCGGTTTCACGGGTGAAGGCTTGCTCAAACGTTGCATGGCAAAAGCAGCACTGGAAGACCGCAGGGATATTCTCAAATTCAAATCCCACTGCATCCTAGCGCACTGCAGTTCAGGACACCTTTTCAGTCTTGCTGAAGCACTCAAACAACCGGGCGTTATGCAACAACTAGCAGATACGAAGTTTGCACAGGAGTCACAGATGCTGGAACGCTTCTACAAGATGATGGCGGATGATGATAATCGGGCTTGGTATGGTCCTGAGCATGTTTCTAAAGCTGTTGCTGCGGGTGCTGTAGGGACGTTGATGCTTACAGATACGTTGTTTAGAGCGCAAGATGTTGCGACGCGGAAGCGACATGTAGCGATGGTGGAGCAGGTGCGGGATGCAGGGGGGCAGGTGTTGGTGTTTTCGAGCTTGCATGAGAGTGGGAAGCAGCTTGGGCAGTTGGGTGAGATTGCTGCGTTGTTGACTGTTCCGCTGGCAGAGGAGGATTTGGACCTCGTGTAGCTGTCTGTTGTCTATCCTAGTCAAACAATATATCAGTATATAGTATAGCAGATAGCAGATAGCAGACAGCAGACAGCAGACAGCAGATACTCCTTGCTCCTGACGAGTACGACAGCAGGCCCATCTGACGCACTCTCGGCCGGATCTGGCAGCGCAATCCAGTGGAATCCATTGTGGTCCTTGTCCACGCGGGCGGCGGCTGGTTGCCGTGAGCTCGACTCCACGACACATCTACGTAGATATCCCTCGACATACTCCATCACTGCCAAACTACACCATGTCCGGCAAGCAGCATGAGCGTACACAGTCGGCCTTTGCCTTTGACAACACGGCCACCTCCCAGGCAGCCAGTGCCATGAGGAATGAACTCAACAAGCTCGCAGAAACCGTCGAGGACCCTGCCCAGCGAAAGGTAAGCCTCATTAGCCATCTACAACGTAGTAAAACTAACAGCCTAGCACTTTGAAACAGAGATGGACAATTTCTTTGCCCTCTTCCGTCGATACCTCACAGAAAAGACCAAAGGCGACAAGATTGAATGGGAAGCCGTGCAGTCTCCTAGTGAAAAGACGGTGGTGGACTACAATACCCTCGAGGAGTCACCCGAGGCCAAGGCGTACCTCGACAAACTCGTCGTCCTCAAGCTCAACGGCGGTCTGGGAACCTCTATGGGCTGTGTGGGACCTAAATCCATCATTGAGGTGCGTGACGGCAATACGTTCCTCGACCTGAGTGTGCGTCAAATTGAACACCTCAACCGCAAGTACGGCGTGAATGTGCCTTTTGTCCTGATGAATTCCTTCAACACAGATGAAGATACCGCTCGCATCATCAAAAAGTACGAAGGCCACAATATCGATATCATGACCTTCAACCAGTCTCGCTACCCGCGCGTCAACAAGGATACCTTGCTGCCTGTTGCGCGTAGTGCCAATTCGCCAATTGGCGACTGGTACCCACCTGGTCACGGTGACATCTTCGAGTCCATGTACAATGCTGGTATCCTCCAACAGCTGATTGACGCTGGTAAAGAAGTCATCTTCATCTCGAATGTCGACAACTTGGGTGCCGTGGTGGACCTCAACTTGCTCACACACTTCTTCAAGTCTGAGGCGGAATACGTCATGGAACTCACAGACAAGACAAAGGCTGATGTCAAGGGTGGTACCATCATTGACTACAAGGGTCAAGTTCGCTTGCTCGAAATTGCTCAGGTGCCCTCACAGTACGTGGAGGAGTTTAAGAGTATCAAAAAGTTCAAGTACTTCAACACCAACAACATCTGGGCCAATCTCAAGGCCGTTCAGCGTGTAGTGGAAAACAACGAACTCTCCCTCGAAATCATTCCAAACTTCAAGAGCATCTCTGCCGATAAGAAAGGCGAGTCGGATATTCCCATTGTGCAGATTGAAACGGCCATTGGTGCCGCCATCAAACATTTCAAGGCTCACGGTGTCAATGTCCCTCGTTGCAGATTCTTGCCAGTCAAGGCATCCTCTGACCTCATGCTCGTCAAGTCTGACTTGTTTGAGCTCAAGCATGGTGAGCTGACCATTGACCCTGCACGATTCGGCGGGAACCCACTCATCAAGCTCGGCTCACACTTCAAGAAGGTCAGTGACTTCCAGAAGCGTATTCCATCAATCCCAAGGATCCTGGAACTCGATCACTTGACGGTGACGGGGAATGTCAAGTTTGGTAGGAACATGACACTCAAGGGAACCGTCATTATCGTCTGCAACGATGGCTCTTCGATTGAGTTGCCTAATGGCTGTGTCCTTGAGAACTGTGTCATTACAGGATCCTTGTCCATCTTGGAGCACTAGAGTGGTACTGTAGACAGCTGTAGCAGTGTAGCCTTTTAGAATTGACTCTTCGAATGCTGTTCCATCGTGCCATCTCATCAATCCTCATGAAAAGCGCGACACAACCGCGGACATTCTAGCTTCCATTGGAGAGTGCGAGACGGGGAGACGGCGCGATGGAGATGCTGGTCGCCGCTCTTGAAGCAGCTGCGTCAGGCAGTATGGCCAAAGAAGCAGAAACGTACCTGCAACAAGCGGAAACACAGTTCCCTGGCTTCTATCCATCTCTACAACGCATCTACCTTGGTCAGCATATGACAGCTGTCAGTGAGCCTGCGCGCATCCTAGCTGCCATTACGCTCAAAAACGGAATGGAGCGGTATTGGCGACGTTCAGCGAAACATGCCTTGTCGGCAGAGGATAAGCAGCAAATTAAAAGTGCACTGCTGCAAGGTTGTAGACAAGACATTCCTGCGCTTGTATCAACGCAGAATGCTGTTGTTGTTGGACGTATTGCGCGTCAAGAGTTTCCTAATGACTGGCCAAACCTGTTTGAAGACTTGTTGCAGGCAATCATGGCGGTCCAGCATGAAGAAGACGCATTGATTCGGCATCTACGTGTGCTCAACCAGGTGGTCAAGGCGTTGTCGTCTGTTCGCATGACTCGGCAAAGAGACGCCTTCCAACGTGCCGTGCCACCTGTTCTGTCGTGCATCACGCAGGCCTATGAAGCAACAACAGCCAATTGGCTCAGGAACGGCGAAAATGCTGCCATGCCATCAGATCATACCTTGCTCATTGCTGATCTGGCACTCAAGATTGCACGAAGACTTGTGTGTCATGGCTATGAGCACCCTTACACGGACGATACGTGTCGCCACTTCTTCTCACTCGCCGCATCACATATTGATCCGTTGTGGCAACTTGTTGCTGTGCTGAATGAAGAAGACACCTCTCCCTCTGCACAACGTCTTCGCAGCCACCTCGTCCATGCTGGCAAGTTCTTCCTGGAGCTGAGCAGCAGTTCAATGGAAAGCTATGCCATGAACTACGCCTACGTCCTCATGCCAGGCTCGATGCAGCTCGTCAAGACATACTGGTCGATGGTCGTCTCCGCTGCCGACTCACCACATACCACCATTCGTAAAGTGGTTGTACAGGGACTCATCCTCATCAAACAAAGCGTCAAGCTCGTTGCTATGCCCAAAACAAACCTACGCGTCATGCGCGGCAAGGAGAGTGCAGATCTACAAGCAGCGCTGCATATGCTCGAAACGGACTTGTTTGCACCGTCGAGTCTGGGTGGTATTTTCGAAGCGCTCGTCACACGCTTCTTGCTCTTGCGAAGGGAAGACCTCGAGCACTGGGAAGCGGATCCTGAAGAATGGCTTGCGTTGCAGGAAGAAGGACACTGGCAATTCGAAGTACGACCATGTGCAGAAAAGGTGTTGCTTGACTTTTTCGGATCTTTCAAAACACAGCTGCGCGAGCCACTCATGCAGGTCTTGCAGCAGACTGCAGGTGCTCAACAAGGTGACGCATTGCTCATGAAGGAAGCTCTTTACAATGCGCTTGGTATCGCCGCGCCGCATTTGTATGATCATTTTGATTTTGATGGGTTCTTGCCTGTGCTTGAGGGAGAGTGTGCGGACCCAGTGCGAGCTCCAATCTTCAAACGACGTATTCTTGTGCTCATTTCGCAATGGGTCACGGTGCAGTGTAAGGCAAGCAGTAGACCGAGCCTGTACCGCATGATTGGTAGCCAACTCGATGCTGCTGACCCCTGCTTAGCACTCGCTGCTGCGTTTGCAGTTCAGCCAGTCACGGAGGAATGGGATTTCGCTGTGGAAGCATTCTTACCCTTCAGCAAGCATTTTGTCTTGGGTCTGCTCAAGATTTTGGCAGAGCATGTTGAGCAAGCAGAGTCAAAGATGAAGATTCTCACTAGTCTCGGCATCTTGTGTGAGCGCACTGGCACGCACCTTGGTGCTGAAGAGTTGGATGCGTTACTAGCGCAAATCCCTCAAGAATGGAACAAACTGACAACGGGTAATGAACATCTCGTCAAGGTTGCCTTGCTGGGATTATTGAGTCGTCTTGTGCTTTCATTGAGGGGACGTTCTGCTTTGTGTTATCCACTTGTGCTGCCATTGATTCAATACTCAACGGATCCGACGAACTTCGAGCATGTCTATCTCATGGAGGAGTCGCTTGAGCTCTGGCATGCTACATTGCAAAACGCAACAGAGCCTCGCCCGGAATTGCTGCAATTATTCCCCATTGCCCTGACAGCATTGCCGCAAGCAGGCGAAAATCTGAAGAAGATCCTCTATATCATCGAATCGAGCATCTTGCTACTCGGTGATGGGCTCGCACAAGCCGGGTATGCTGGACAACTGGCAGAGTCCATGATATCACAGCTTCCAGGACTAAAAGCGGATGCGCTGAGTCATTTCTGCCGAGTTCTTGGCCTTGGTGCGCAAGTGTGGACCCCGGCCTATCTTTCGGATGCACTCATTATTCAGCTAACAAGACTCTGCATTGCAGCGCCGCAAAGGGGAGACAATCTCATCACCGTTTGCTATCTTTGTCTCATCTCACAACTTGTGCTTGCTGAGCCACGACGACTGACTCAATCCTGGTCCTCCTCAGGCGAGCCACTTCTACAGCAATTTGTGCAGTGCCTCTTTGAGCACTTTGACAATATCGGACATCCAAAGTACCGTAAGCAAGGATGCATGGCCCTCACCTGTTTGCTTCAAAGTGGCGACCGTCATTTTTCCGACCCTACCGTTGTTGCCCAAGTCGGGAATGTATGGGAGGACGTCTTGGCAGAGTGTCAAGCGAATGGCGATGACTTGGTGTATTGGGTAGAAGACGCCAATTTTGTGGAGGATTTGGCGGAAGAGGCACCGGAGATGGAGAGGAGGAAGGCGGTCTCTGCTGCGCAAGCTGTGTGTCAGGTGCGTCTCAAGGAGTACATCAGGCAGTCTTTGCCTCTTGTGGATGCTTCTCTATTGGGTGCGTCTTTGAACGGGCTATTGCAGTAGGTTGAGTAATATGAGTGGAGCACTGAAGGATATCGGATATCATGCATACTAAGGTCTGTCTATACCTACCATGCCTATACTGTGCTCCGAGTGTAGACCACTCGGCCATGACCATGTGCCCTTCAACCTCGCACAGTCATATTCCGATGGTATTGAAGACAAGACTGACGGAGGGATTCGGATGCGTGGCAAACAGGAGGCCAAACATGAGGGCTAGTTTGAGTCTGGCGAACGACTCGGCCATGACTGTGGCGAACAAGCTCAGTTGCTAGAAGTCAGACCGCAGCAGTTGAATGAAGGTCAACGATATGCTTACAATTGCATCATCGAAGGCATCGACAACAAAAACTGTCTCTCTTTCTTTGTAACAGGGCCAGGTGGTACTGGGAAGACATTTCTTTAGAAGCATGTCACTACCGTGCAAAAGGTGAAATAACTCTTTGCGTTGCCTGCTCTGGCATCGCGTCGAATCTTTTTGCCAGGGGGTACCACAGCGCACTCTCGATTCCGCATACCTTCGAAAGCGGGAGAAGGGTCCACCTGTCAGATCTCAAACCAGTCCGACACTGCTGAGCTGTTGCGGCAAGTCAAGCTGATCATCTGGGACGAGGCACCTGTCCAAATCAAGCACGACAATGCTGCAGACAGTGTCGAAGAGAGCTCTCGAGATCCGTTCTTCGCCACCCAAGCAAATGCGGAGCATCTGGCCACTTTAGAACCAGCTTCCCTTGATCCGAGCTGCTTGCGTTTGAGAATTGGCGTGCCGGTAATCCTCATACGAAATATACGGCCGAGTGAAAGGCTCAAAACAAAAAAGTAGTCCTCCTCGTCGCTGTTCAACCTGAAATGGTAGAGGTCTACTTCTTGGCCTTTTCGTATCCCAGTCAAAATTCGACATCTGATGAAATGCCTCAAAAGCTGAACCACCTCCAGCCTCGTACCGTTGCAGGCCGTATATACCGTATGAGAATGACAGGAACGCCGACTTTCAACCGCAAGCGACTTGGAGGAAGCGATGCTGGTTCCAATGTGGACAGATATTCGGCATAGGCTTGGATGGCCAGGAACAAATCCTGAGAGTTCTCTTCGACACTGTCTGCAGCATTGTCGTGCTTATTTTGGACAGGTGCCTCGTCCCAGATGATCAGCTTGACTTGCCGCAACAGCTCAGCAGTGTCGGACTGGTTTGAGATCTGACAGGTGGACCCTTCTCCCGCTTTCAAAGGTATGCGGAATCGAGAGTGCGCTGTGGCACTCCCTTGGCAAAAGGATCGACGCAATGCCAGAGGAGGCAACGCAAAAAATTCTTTTACCTTACCTTTTGCACGGTAGTGACATGCAAGGGTCTTGTAAAGAAATGTCTTCCCAGTACCACCTGGCCCTGTTACAAAGAAAGAAAGACAGCTTTTGTTGTCGATGCCTTCGATGATGCAATTGTAAGCATATCGTTGACCTTCATTCAACTGCTGCAGTCTGAGTTCTAGCAACCGAGCTTGTTCGCCACAGACATAGCCGATTTCTTCGGCAATCAGAAGGTTCATCTGTTGTTGGTTCTCCCACGCGTACTGATAAGCAGGGAAATTGCATCATTAGCAAAAGAAAACATCAAGATCGCATCAAGTGCATACCAATTTGGACTCAAATGCGCTCTCGAGTGGACTGCTGGTTCGAACTGTTTGTATTTTGAGGATCCATGGAGCCTTTACGCGTTCAAATGTAATAGTAAGAAATCAAGACCACGTCGTCTTCCTTTGGCAATTGGGCAAGTTCTCAAGCGATGGACTTGCTGACGTGGACGTTGTATCTTATTCTCGCTGCTTTGCTGGCAATGTCTGGCACCCTTGCAGTCGGCTCACTTGGCAACAGGGGGAAATGAGTGTAGCAAGTTTGACACGCGATCAGCTGCAAGAAGAGCTGTTAAAGGAGCTACTGAAAGAAAGGAGCAATCTAGGCTGCAGGTCAATCCGACTGCATAGCTCGCAGCTCATGGCAGACAAAAGTAGGCCCGGCCGTGATATTGATGGATTGGCCATTGTGTTGCTTTTATAGCGTCATCGAGTCATTATGAGCTTTGGAACTCTGGCTATGAACATGAGAGGAAAGGAGAATCGTATAAAGATAGCCCCACTAGCAATTGCATCATTTGCAAGGAGCTAGGTGGCTTAGCTCGACATGTCGAGTCACGTGAGATTATAGCAAAGACTGCACTTTCGCTTATCATCTCCTAAATATGTCATGATTGCATGCGATATCGTAAGTCAGCTTTTGACGTTTACCAACAATATATAGTAGAAGTAAAAGTAGAAGTAGAAGTAGATTTTGGGATATTCCAATTATAAAATGAGATGCAGCGAGCAGATTGACCACCTGAGCTTGTATCGTCTCGTCAGGACGGACTTCTCTGTATTCCGCTAGCGATATTCAATGGTCAAGTTCAACACATCGGCATCTCGGGCAGGCTCTCCTGACTCGGAACAAAGTGACCACATATTTGCAGCTGCAGTTGATTTGCCACACGTCTGTATAGGTCAGGAGTCTGTTCTCACTCTCGCAAATGCTCTCGCAAGTGCTCTTGCAAATACGCAAGCAAATACGCAAGCAAATACGCAAGCAAATACGCAAGCACATGGCTATACGAGATTGCGCAGATATCGATTCAGGGATGCATATGTACTGCAAGTGAAAGGCATAAATAGGGACCATGTCCGCCCAATTTCAGTTTCGACATTCTCTCTCCTTTCAGGTTCCAGCCACCTACAGCTCCCACAACCATGTTTCAGTGGCCACTTCTGCTGCTGAGCCTTTCGCATCTAGCTTCTGCTGAGCCAAAAGCCGATCCAAATCAGAAGATGTGCCGTAAGGTCTCATACAGTGTCTCCTTATTAAGGGATCGTTCTGAGGTTGCCAATTGCTCTGACGGGTGCAAAGATCTTTTTGAGAAGCTGCCCCAAGTACTCAAAACAAACTGCTCTTATGGAGACCCACGCTTGCAGGATGCCAACTTCGACAGCGATTACTCAAATACACCAACTTGTGACTGCTTGATCACGGCTTATTTTGACAGAATGTCTACTACAGATTTGCCGGGCTTGAGTTGCAACGTAGACGATGTGAAGACGAGTTTGGAGACGCACTGGCGGAGTCAACATAGACAAGGGATATTTATAAATGTTGATGGGATCTCTAGTAAAGAGACGGACTGCGCTGATGTCGAAGATAACGACTGAAAGTGTTCGAAATGGCTGGTAGGCGTACTAGACGATAGTAATCACTTTGAGATTGACGATGCTCGCTAAAATAGATCTATATGGAAGTCGGGTGTCCTGCACATCTTCTTGCAAGCGTAATCAATCTTGCTCAGCCACAGAACAAGCTCATCAACCTAGTCTTGACTCTCATATGCCTAGATAACTTGATGATCAATGAACTGCTTGGTGCATATCTCGCTGTTTCACTGCAATTGGAATTGTTTCTTGACGGAGATAAATGAGGAAACCACATGTCAACGACATATCACTCGAGAGCACAACGCGGCAAGGTAACACATCTCTCAACACTGACTACATCCAACAGACCTAGACTATGTCAGGCGTGATTGAGCCTCCCCAACTGACACTCAAGGGCGATCAAGAGCACACCACACCCTTCAAGAATGACATTTCGCTAAGCCGTGGCACACAACTACATGGCTCTACCAGTGTTGATCAAGTTTCATTCTCATTTCAGATCTTGATGTTCTCACTAGCTTTACTGAGAACTGGGCTTGAATGAGCACATATAAAAACAGGCCATCGCTGCTGTCTGTTCCTGGCCATCTGATAAATTCTCGAGAATAAATTCGCAGCGAACGAGCAGAGGAAGCAAGACGAAAGTTCACCACATCGGAAAGAGGGCAGACTCGGTTTGCTCTCGCTGTCTGCGGCTCGTGTATCGTCGAGTAACAGATTGATCCTTGTGGGAGACAAAAGACGTGTGCTTCCAAGAGCTGCCGCCGCGAAACAGTCTGGCGATGGCTCCATGGCTGCGTTACATCTTGCTCCGTCCATCATTTGAGCTTGACTATTCGTCTGCACTTCAGTGTCCTTCTCTGATACGAAGCTTTTTTCTTTGTCAGATGACCTTGCTCATAGACAGGACATCATTAGATATAGCGTACAAAAGGTAGATGGATCACTCCCTTCATCAATGTCCACCGCGTCCACGTCCTGCACCGCCCCGACCACCACGCTGACCGCCGCCTCCCCGTCCACCACGGTCATTGCGTCCGCCATATCCACCATTCCGTTGACCACCACCGCCGCCGCCGCTAGCATTCTGTGCCCTTTGCCGCGCTTGATATTCTGCGCGTTCGCGTTCTCGAACCTTGTCAATCACGTCGTCGGGGACACGGAGGTATTTGATGTTACTGCCACGGATGTAGACTTCTGCTAGTCTGAAGAATCGGTCGCCGTCCTGATCTGGTTAGCCCATCTGTTTATTACTAGTTGTCCGCGTATTGCTCCATGTCTGATAGTGCGACTGCCAAAGAAGACCTACTCTCGATGTCTGAATGACTTCACGTAGTGTCAGGTTCATGTAGTTGTCGCACTGTACGAGATGCCCGTTGAATGTCTCGCCAGATTTGAGCTCGACGAGCATCGGGTTGCCCTGCGCCGTTGTAAGCAGCGAAAGCGGCAACTAACATTGTCAGCCAAAGTGGACTCAGTCATTGCTGCGATCTCTTACCATGATGATCTGTCGAATCTAGCAAGCCTCTGGCTGTCTTTGTGCAAAGAGAGTCTCTTCGAGTTGTTGGTCGTTGCGATTCTTGACGTCGAACTGCAAGCTGGAGCACCACAGCGCTTCATCTTCATGTCTCTCCCATGAGCTCAGCTTCAAAACGCAGCTACGAACGTGCAGGCCCTCTAGAAGACCAGGCGACTAAGCGGCAACGGCATAATGTCCAACACGGCATCACAGAACAACAGGGCCCATCTCATAGCGGCGGTGGGCGCTCACACGGACGCGATGGTCGTGCAGCTGCGATTGCAGAAGCCTCGCAGATGAAGGAGTGGCTCTCCAAGGAAGATGATTTCGTTTTGAAGCAGGCCAAGAAGCGAGCGGCCATTCGTGTGCGTGAAGCAAGGGCTAAGCCGGTCGATTACCTTGCCGTCAATTTGCGCTTTGTGGACGCCGAGCGTGATGCGACGGAGGAGAATGAGCTGGAGGAGGTGGACATCACACCCAAGGAGCCTTCTGCATATCTACATGCGCTGCATCCGCAGGAATTGGATGAATTGGAGAGGGATGTGCAGGATTTTTACAAGCTAGAGACGCACAGACAGAACAAGGCCTACTGGAAAGCGCTCAGGGTTGCATGCGAAGATCTACAGGCGCGCAAGAAGGAAGCCAAGACGAGTGATGCCCGGACGAGCAAGACTGTAGGTGAGGATATCGACCGCATTTTGGCCAACAAGTCTTCAGACCAGCTCATTGCGCTGGAACGGTCCATCAACGAGAAGCTCGATGCGCGCGCGTCTATAGACGTGGACTACTGGCAGCATCTGTTGCAGAGCGTCAAGTATAAGCAAGCATGGACTCAGCTGGCGGAAATGCATGCACTCATCGTCAAGGCGGCAGATGAAGAGGCACGTCGCAAGCAAGTCGTTTTTCGGAATGGCAAGCGCGCAGCAGCTGAAGCACCTGTACGTGTCAAACTCGATACCGTCGGTGCCAGTATCAAGTCTGGGCAATCGACTGAGCTAGACTTTGAGTCAGCTGCGCAGAGATTGTACAGGCAAGAAGCAGCGTCGCAGCTCAAAGACGACGAGGAACTCTTCAATCATGAATCTGTACGAGCGCCAAAGAGACCTCCCAAGTGGCTGGCCAAGTTCCCTAGCATTAAACCCATCAAACCAAAGTTCTTCAACAGAGTGTATGTCGGTGTGGACTGGACAGCATACAACAAGGCGCACTATACGAGCGAAGACCCACCGCCAAAGACAGTCTGGGGTTATCGCTTCAATATATTCTATCCTGACTTGGTCGACAGTACCAAGGCGCCGACATACAGGATAGAGCGGCAGCTGGGACTCAAGTCAGAGGGTCCTGGGTATCAGGAAGACTTGTGCTTCTTGCGATTCACTGCTGGGCCTCCATACGAGGATGTGGTCTTTGAGATTGTCGACAAGGATTGGGATCACAGCAGCAGATTTGACCGTGGATACAAGAGCAGCTTTGACAAGGGCATCTTGCAGCTGCACTTCAAGTTCAAGCGTATCACCTTCCGGTCGTAGCTGTAGGCTATGCAATCTATTCGATGACCTGTACATGTAGCTGCTTGCCCCAGATATTGATAAGATTTTATATTGCCCAGGTGCTTGCTTGCTTGGCAAATAGGCGCAGCAACGACAAAGCTCATGACAACCAAGCTGCCGCCCTGGTCTTAAGAAGCCCAACATGCTGCCTGCTACAATACGCGACTGACAGGGAGACGCCGGAGCATGGGCCTCTTCAGCAACAAGAAGAAGCGCAGCTCACCGTCTCTTCGCGTCTCCGACCACACTCCATCGAGTCCTGCATCTGCACCTCGACCTGTTGCATCAGACCATCATTCTGCACAACTTGACCTTGCTATTGCGCAAGTCATCAGTGCGCTTGAACAGCGTGGCTTACACTACGACCCGTCACGATGTCGTACCCTACTCATGGGTCGATTCTGCCACGGCGACCCGGGGCGTGCCGTCAACCTCGCGTTAGCTTTGCGCGATGCAGAGGACCTGATCCTTGTGGAAGCACATGCAGGAACACTACTACAGGGAGTGGAGAATCTAAGCGGCACAACATGCTATCTGGATGCATTGCTATTTGCCATGTTTGCACGAACGGTGCCCTTATTCGATGCTTTGCTCTATCAGGACCGGTCAGATGTGCCTGAGGCGACGCGGCTCGCAGTCAATTTGAGACTCTTTGTCAATCTTCTACGGACAGGACATTTAATCACTGGTGATCTCGTATCAATGATACAGACATCCATTGCTGGTTGCGGTTGGCAAGATGCGCTGTCCAGTGGCCAGCAAGACACGTCTGAATGCTTTGGCTTTATTGCTGAAGTGTTACAAATGCCGACATTGACCTTCAAAGTTTACATCGCACATGGCGGCAAGCAAGACGCAGCTGACTTTAAGATTGTGCAGGAACGTTTCCTTGCGCTGAGTGTGCCGAAGCCACCGACCAAGCATGGCGCCATTCCGCCTGTTGAGCTCGTTCACTTGATGGATGCTTATTTTCACAACAAATTGGAAGTGCGACGGCCTGTTGCACGGAGTCGCAGCACACTCATGTCGATTGCTGCCGTCAATGGGTTTCCCACCGAGAAGCAGGGAAAGAAGGACAAGGAAGTCACGATGCAGGCTTGGGAGCTGTTTGAATTGGTGCCTTACTACTCAGCAAGCGACAACTCGCCTCGGCAACAAGCTCTAGCCAGAGAACCTCCCGTCGTTGGCATTTGCCTCAAGCGCTACTACTTTGATTCCCATGGCAATCCAGTCCTTAATCCTACGCCTATCATCATCCCAGAATTCATTGACATGTCCTCCTATGTCGATGCCGAAGCGAGTGCCAGCAAGACCAAGAAAATCGTCAGACTACGCCTCGAGTCTGCCGTTTGTCATCGTGGTACGCGCGTAGCGAGCGGCCACTACGTCTCCATCTGCAGAGCAGAAGCTGGCATGTGGCTCCTCTTCGATGACCTGGCACATCCGCATCGCATTAGGCAAGCAACGTTTGGCGAGCTCTTTTCACGGGAAGTGCCGTACCTGCTCTTTTACCAGCTCGAGGTATTTGAGACGCGTCCAGCGCGACCGATGAGACGAGCACCCAGTGTACCAAACTTTGGTCAAGTGGTTAATAATTCGTCTGACTCTCTTCCGCCACCGTTGCCGCCAATCAATTGGCGGACGCATCCTCTGAGACAAGCGCAGGAGGGAATAAGTGTGCCTTCTTCGGTCATACCGAGTTCTTCTCAAGGGGCACCTTATCCAGTTGATCGAAATATAGAGGAGAGGACAAAGGTATACTTTCGTTAAATGGTCTATAGATGCGTTACAATACACACTTTCATGTGTCTGACTTCTCATTGGCTTCGGATGTCAACTGTGCTTGCCTTTTCAACGCCCTCGGCGTATCCATCTTCTCCATAATCACCTCAACAAGCTGAATCTTGTCTGCCTGGCAAAACTTTTCGTCCTTGAGCAACGCCACGACATCGTCCTTGGTGGCAACCTTGTAGCTTGCTTGATGCTCAGAGGCACAGCCAAAGAAGGTGAGCAAGTTTTGATACTGCCAGCCCGTGTTGATGTCGTTATAGGCTGCATCTGGTCCATGAATCGCACGTTCGATGGTGTAGCCTTCATTGTTAAGGACAAACAAAATAGGCTTGAGACCATGTCGAATCATGGTTGAGATTTCCTGAACAGTGAGCTGGAGACTGCCATCGCCTACAAAGAGCATGCAACGACGACCCAGCTCCTTCGCCGCAAGCGCAGCGCCGAGTGTTGCACCGACAGAATAACCGATAGAACCCCAAAGGACCTGATTGACGGCAATGACATTGTCTGGGAATTGCGTATCAATCAGACCAAAGTTGGACGTACCCGTCTCAGAGACAATCACATCACCAGATTTGATGAACGTCTTACCCAACGTCGGCCAAAACCAGTCTTGCTTGATGACTGGACCTTCCTGAGCTTCAGCAGGCACTTTATTCTCAAAAGTTGGGACATTCCCCTTGGCGCATTGCTTCACGTCAATGGATGTTGCCAAACGCTTGAGAAGTGGCTGCATGCCGATATCTGGGTATGTCGCATACTTGATTTGTGTTTTGTCTGAGTGAAATTCAACGACAGCCTGCTTGTTGATGTGATAAGAGAAGGAACCCGTGTTGAAGTCAGACTTGAGGGCCCCAATACTGAGCACAAGATCTGCAGACTCAACTGCTTCCTGAATATGCGGTTGTGTGATGGTGCCAATGTAGATGCCACCAAAGAGCGGATGTGTTTCATCCACGGCAGACTTGCCCATGGGCGTGCAGAAGACTGGGAATTGAGTTGCCTTGATGAGTGCGTGCACTTCATCCAAGACTCGATGGCGAATAGCACATGCATCTACTAGAATGATGGCCTTCTTCGCAGCATGCACGAGTGCTGTGATTTCCTTGACAAGGTAGTCTTCCACCTCTGCATCATTCTGGGGGATTGACAGATCCAGTGGCTTCTGTAAGAGCGTATCGTCAATTTCCTTGTATGCCATATCTGTTGGTAAACCAATGTAGACAGGATGTGCCTGAACAAAGCACGCTGCAAGCACACGATCGATCTCTGTTGGAGCAGTGTGAGGATCCGACAAGTTGGTTGTTGCAGCAGAGATGGACTTGGACATGTTGGCAAAGACACTAAAGTCGCCATTGCCAAGAGTGTGATGGAGCAGAGCGCCAGACTTTTGTGCTGATGTGCTGGGTGTTCCAACTATATGGGCAACAGGAACATGCTCCGAGTATGCGCCTGCAACGCCATTGATGGCCGAGAGTTCGCCAACACCGAACGTTGTCACCAAGGCCGCAACGCCCTTCTTGACACGAGCATAGCCATCGGCAGCGTAAGCAGCATTGAGCTCATTGGCGCACCCGACCCAGTTGATTTCCTTGTGCTTGTCAAATTCATCAAGGAAGGCGAGATTGTAGTCGCCTGGGACTCCAAAGACACTCTCGACGCCGAGCTCTGCTAGCCTTGTGAGCAGATAGTTGGCCACTGTTGTCTTTCCCATAGCTACGAGCTGTTCCTGCTTGCAACCGCGAAGCGCTGTCTGCGTAGTGGTGAACCTCGAGGGTTTTCGCGATCGGTTGATGTCATCGCTCCCTCGGCATTCGCCGCCCAAATTTTAATCGCTGCAATCCATCCATCATCTACAGCTACACATTTATCCAGCTACAGAAGCTCTCTCTATTGTGAAGATAATGTTCTAATTCTTTGATCATGGGAGAAAACTCAGCTGCCGCCACCGTCTTTGCTGTGGCAGGCGCCATCTGCTGGTCGCTCCAGCTTGTGCCGCAAATTGTGCTCAATCACAGGCGAAAGACGACCGATGGCTTCTCAGGCCTTATGATGCTCCTATGGGTCCTCGCCGGCTTACCACTTGGTATCTACAACGTCATACAAGACTTGAACATTGGTCTACAAATACAACCTCAGTCCTTTATGGCGTTTGCGTTGGTGTGCTACCTGCAGACATTTCACTACAGACTTGGTTGGACGTATACAAAGTCCGGAGTCATCTTTCTCATGTCAGCTGCCAGTCTAGCTGGCCTTGAAGTAGCTGGGATTGAGCTCCTCAAGCTTGGTCGACGCAATGAGGTTGAATGGCCCGTCACGCTTGTCGGCGTTTGTTCAGCAGTGCTCATCAATATCGGGCTCTTGCCACAATACTGGGAAATTTACAAACGACGTGCAGTGATCGGCGTGTCCTACTTCTTCCTCTCAGTCGATACGGCCGGTGCAGTGTTCAGTTTCATTGCCGTCGCGCTTGCCGATGAGTGGGACGTTCTAGCGGCCGTCTCGTATGGTCTTTTGGCACTTGAAGAACTCGTCATCTTTGCACTTGGCTTTGCATTCTGGCTGCGCGACAGACGGCGTCGCAAAGCAGGTCGGATTGCAACGACTGATGAGGAGACTGAGATCGAGGAGATTTGTCAAACAGAGAGTCTGACGCGATTGCCAGGGCCAGAGGCTGAGCCGGACAAGATAATCAGTGAACACGGCAAGGTTGAAGCACTGAAAGACGAACGCTGAGTGGAGTCTTCCTTGTCAGAGCAATCAGCAAGCGCAGCCAGAAAATCGCCATTGGTTGGCTCTGGTAGAAAGACCGGTCCTGAGTACCAGAGTTACGGTTTATCGGCTGGACCGCCTGGCGCCAACAGAACCCGTATCCGTTGAGCACAGACTTGCTCACCGTCCTACTGTCGTATTGAACGCAAGAGACGTAAGACGCCAGGAATAGGCTGTCCGATGATGACAGCCATAGACCAAGTCTGGTCATGTGAAGATGGCTCCAATGGAAGGAGCCGTTGCTCGAGCACAACTCCTAGGGTGACAGACTGCGGCTGATTCTGCTGCAAGAACTCAGTGAATGTCGCCTGCTTCTGTTGATACGAGCGAACGAACAAGTGATGAAGTTCAGACACCAAAAGATTTATTAGATAGAGCAGACAGCCTACTTATAAATTTCGATCACTCATTGCTTGCTGATGGTTTCCTTGACAAGTTCAAGATTCATCTGTCCACTCTGACCCCATCCGGTATCTGGCCTGAAGCGCTCGTACATGTGAAAGGCCTTCATTGCAAGAGTCTCCTCATCGCCTGACCAAGACTCGAGCGACTCCTGCATGAGATCCTTGGTTTCAGCATAGCGATCCTTGAATTTACCCTTGAGGTAGCCTTCTCCAGGTGGTTTGGCAGATTTCCCAACAAGAGCCTTGCCGTCCTTCATAGCAAAATCGAACTGCATGACAGAGATCATCTCATTTTCATCATGCGATGCTCTGGGCTTGTCCTTGTCGCGTGGTGCAATCTTCCCAATAGCGCGTCCCTTTGCAAGCGCGCAGACACAGGATACAGCTGAGCCAAGGGACAGGCATGTCTCCCACGAAAGATCAGGGTGCTGTCTCTGAGCAACACAAGCAGCAAAGAGATGCAAGACTGGCGCACGATTGATTTTGACGGGCTCGGGACGAACGTCTGTTTCGTCGTGCTTTTTGAGCTGCTTCACATCGACATGTTTTGACCTTGCAGCGCTGGTCTTGGGATTTTTGTCGTTTTCAGCCTCTTGTTTCACTCTCTTTGCGGGCGTCGCCTCTTGTCTCCTCGCGCGCTTTTTACTGGCAGCCTTGTCCTGGACGACATCTTCAAGCTTTGCTTGATGCAGCTTCCCCCTGGAGCGTGTGTTGACCATGGTTGGTCCGTGGGCTATGTGTGGGCCAGCTGCAGCTTGTTTCGGTCAAGGCACAAGCTGAGGTAGTCTTCAACAAGAGGATGGAAGCATCGAGTCTCCTGATTCTCAATCAAATCAGGCGCTGCGAGGGCTTCAGAGTCAGCTGGGTGAGCTGGATCGGTAGTTGGTCAAACTGTGGAGATCTCGAGCCACAAGCTGGCCACAACCACTCAACCTCACACCAAACTCACAACAACCCATCATGTCCTCAAGGCCACTCTTGGAGGAGCATGACGACGTGGATGCCAATCATCACAAGCGATCCATCCGCAACCGAAGACTCAAAACTATTGCAGTGTTCTTGTTCATGGCGCTAGTAGTCATCGGCATTGTAATTCCTGCTACCTTTGCCAATGGCAGGGCGAGTGACAAGGCGCCACCAAAGGGGAAGTAGAGCCTCTCGTTCTGCAATTAAAGCGATGCTGAAGAACCAATCAGCGACTCCATCTATGGTCTTCTGCGCAAGTGCAGGAAAACCGCCTCGAGCGTGATTTGCAGTATTTGTTTGCTGCACCGCATTGCACAGCACGCACTGTTGAATCACAGACAAGGTTTCATCTGCGGATGCGAGGTCTTCCTGCTTGGACTGCGCTCCAGCAACACCAACTCCCAATTTAAATCTTCTGTGCATATTGATGGCCATGGGCGCAATCTCGCTTCGTCGTTATGCTCAGCTGCAGTACTTCTAGCAGATACTTTGAATCCAAAGCAATCTTACTTGCGTATCCAAGTCTATCTGCCGCCCCTTCATCTCACCGTTCACGTATCAATGAAAATTGGAAGTGAAAATGGTAGCTAAACTGGTATGAAAATGATATCTTGCTAAGTGGTGCTCATTGCTCAGCAATGAGCCATGTTGTCAACAGAGGTAGTCCAGCTCACCCTCGTTGTCTAGTCAGTGCCATCGCAATGTGGAAGTCTCACTTGCCGCCTGACTGTCCACCTGTAGCTGTGTTGTCGGTGGTCGCTTCCTTCACTGCTTCAGCGACAATCAAGGCCTGCAAACATTGTCCCTTTAGGGCATCACCGAGCCCTTTGATATAAGAGGCATCCTTGACGTAGATCTTGAATTGGCCTTCCTTTTCCACCCATCCATTCTTGCCAACATGGGCCTCCTTGTTGCAAAGGTACCAGCTCGACGCCTCACTTGCCTTGAATTTCGTCCAGGTCTTCCCGTCATTCGTCTTAGTAGTAGTGAGCTTGAAAACGTCATCCTTGACTTCGCCTTGCGAGGGCTTGTAGGGCTCTGGTGTCACCCCTTTTTTCTGGGCTGCACTCCTCGCCTCCTCCAGCTTCGAGATTTCGTCGTACTTGCCCTTGACTTCCTTCCAAGTCAATTGACCATCCTCGGCCAGCAGCAGCTGTCGGTCGGTGTTGCTTCCCAAGAATGCAAAGCCGTTCTCTGGACCAAGTTCGAGCACAACGAATTCACTGTCGCTGGAAAAGGTATCGCCTGTTGTTTCACCAGAACCAGTTGAATTGACGTTGGACACGACAGAGTTGTCATCCGTTGTCTCTAGAGGATAAAACTCGTCTTTGGAAGTCTTGGCCTCGAGCGAGTAGGTGTGGCGCTTGACCACTGGCTTCGTATCTGTCTTTTCCTGACCGATGAGTTGTCTAAGGATTGTTAGTGACTCGTTCTCAATGAGATGATCAATCGTACTCGGCATTGCCATTGATTTCACTGTCACTGACATCCAAGTATTGGCTCTCGGGTGCAGGTGTTGCAGTAGGGGTAGGAAGGAGGTCTGCTGTGCCTGAAATGCCAGTAGGATCAACCTTAGTTGTGGGCTTATCGGTATGCTTGGGATGCTTAGGCTTGGGGGAAGCACTCACGAGGAGTGCCAAGCTGAGCATTGCATTGAGACCAAGAATCGTCTTCATGATTGCAGAAGAGTTGTTGAACAAGTGGAGAGAGAGAGAAGAGATGGAGATCAGAGCTTTTATACCTGAGGAGAGATGCCTGTCGATTAGGCCACGCTGTCGAAAGACCACGTTGTTTGTCATTCGTCCAATAAACAAGGGGTCAGGCAGCATAGCCTGGCATGCTCATTTCCCGGCTGCAGACAGTGATGGCCTGACTTAGATTGCCTACTGGAAAGCACAGACATAAATGAGCAGGCGCTCTAGGATGCACAGACAAAAGTGCAGGTATGCCGCGAGTTATGTATAGGCGACCGCAGTAGCGACAGGATTCAGCTTGCCTGTGGAGCTTGCGAATAACCCTCTCACTCCGCAAGATTGATGCAAAGCGAGATGAGGTGTTTGTCTTATTTTCATTCAGCCCCTGTGTTGGTCTGCATGTGTGCCATTCTGTGGACAGGAAGTTCTCGCGTGTTCAATGCGCAGTGTCCGGCAGATTGCAGCCCGAATCATTTCAGGGGCAAATTATATGTTTGTGCCCATCTGCAGATGATCATGATCCATCACAAACCGCACAGGCCAGCATCTTTGCCCAACTTAGGGCCAACCAAATGGACACGCATGCGCCTATATTGTGCGAGAATGTTTGAGCAATCAGATTGTCTTTGTTGCTTGGGGATTCTATTGACTTTGACACATATTGCAGGCGACCTGCTGTTCTCGCAATTGCCCTTAGCTTCGAGAGTATCCGTCCTCCCTGCTTCTGAAATCGAATCATAAGCCTGGAAGATGATTCGATGATCGAGTCACTGAGTCAGTCGAAACCCGAATCAGGAGACTGCCATTGTGCCCCACGTGCATGCCTAGCAATGATGTGCTCTCAATCGCACCACAGCTTGCCACGTACGTGAGCGCTAGCTGATCAGCCTGCCCAGAGCTAGTGAGAGTAGCTGTGCATCATCATCTGCACCGGTAATTCTCTATAGCGGTCATAGACATAGCCATGAGCTTCTTTGGGGTACAGAGATGGTGTTCGCTCCCTGCAGCTGCACATCTTGTATGTACACCGGCCGCGGTATGAGAGCTGGAGTAGTATCTATGACGTTCGAAAAGAGTGTGAGCGACAGAGCTTCATAAGACATAGCTCACTCGAGGGTCCTGTCTATCGCTCCACGCTACAGCTACAACTAACATAATTAATCGAGAGGTCTTCATCAAGCGGTCACAATATGCGTTGAGCCAATTGCAGTATTGTCCATACGTGATTGGAGAGGTCAAATGATACATGGATCTGACCTTACGACAATCAGCTGTATTTTGTCCTTTGACCTTCCCTCGGCCCTTGTGCTGGAATACAATCAAGAACGACGAGTTATAGGCTGCAGCGTAAAAGTCAATGGTATTGCTAGAGACTAAACTAGACGACAAACAGAAAAGCTACGTCAATGGCCGTAGCTTGCTCGCGCCATATCGAAGAGTCTAATGGGAAACAGCCCTGATGTAGATCGGGTGGCAAGCGGTAGAACCTTTCAGGAACAGATAGAGAGGCTCAACTGAACCTGGCAGATGAGTCATCAGAGGAAGATCGGACGAGGTGGTCCCCTTCGAGATCTTCGTCGAATCGCCTTTAGGACAAGCCGCGAAGGTTTCCATTACCGTAGACTTTGACTTGGACTTGGACGTGGGGCCATTGACGAAGATGTGATTGAATGTGTCGTCCTTGGATGTAGATTGAGCCATGGAGAAGATCTTGGACCTCACCTTTACCTTGGGCGCCATGTCGAGGTCACCCACTTTGAGCAACAGTTGGCCATTTGGAGTCACATAGACGTACTTGTCTTTTTCCCCCTTGAGGTACAATCTTTGTCCGCCTTGACCGGGCTGAATCAAGAAGTCTGCTTGGAGCTGCTTCTCCGCCGTCTTGCTTTGGTCAAAGCCAATGGACTCATTTGTAGCCCCGCTTGCACCATGCTTTGGTGAAGGAAACACCGCTTCGAGCTGAGCTGTCCAGAACGTAGGATTTGGAGGTCGAATCTTTGCTAGCGAAACCAAGAAGACTGGTGCAGGCAACTTCGTCTGACCAGGCTGGAAGAGGGGTGGGATGACCGATTTTTGGGATTTTTTGATTTGTCCATTGCCTGGTGTTTTGAGTGCTGCCCCAAGGACAACATCTGGTAGGAAGCTTGCCATCCAGAGCCAGATGACTGCGCACAGCATGATTTTGAGTACTGCTGAGAATGTGATGGCAGGAACGTGAGTCTTAAACGAGTAGCGAGCGAAATTGATGTGCTGGCAGATTGATTTCTTCAGGGGCTCTCAAATACGACAGTAGTGTCCTTGAGCATGCACTGATGTGCGCGGTAGAAAGGTTGTACTCACACACATGAATTCATTTCGTTTTGCGCGAGTTCAACTAGCCCCTGACAAAGAATACCATCGCAGGCTTCGCAGCACTAGCAGCATTCGACAAAGAGAATGAGGAACAGAGCATCAGGCGCCGCCGTGAAGAACCGACAGACAGACCCAGCTGTGCGGAAAATTGCATCATGCCTAACTAGTGAAGGTCGATTGGGCCTCAGAGCTGACCTGTACTCCTCATGTACCGCAGAGGCTTATGGTCCTCTGGCGCACGTAGACCTACGTGTTCAGAGGGATTTGATGCGAGCGCTTTACGAACAGACAAAGGGGCTGTTGACAAGCTGTCGCTACTCGCACGGACACGCGGCAAAGATGTCTCCTGAATGGCAAAATTGCGATGTCGCGAGATCAGCGGATGAGCACCACTGGAGTTGCCGTCAAGCTCCCTGTACTTTGCCGTCCGCCGTGGAGTCTGTTGAAGTAGTTGCGCTGGTGTCGTGGAAGAGCCGAAAGCCTGCTGTGTTAGTTCTTGCAGCGAATGTGCGAAACATACTAAAGGTGACCTGCTCCGAGTAGGCATAGATTGAGGCAACGGTGTGATGCTGCGAATTGGAACTGACGCGTGATTGCTAGACCAGTGAGCCAAGAAGGATGCAAGATCCTGCCATCCTCCACCGACACGAGCCATGACGCGAGAGCCAACAATGCGGCAGTAGATGTCTTTGCAGGAACCATCATGCTTTGAGATGTTATACCAGCCGTGAGTTTTGGCATGATTTGCTGTCGAACCATCATTTTGCATCAGTTCGCGTGTAGACTTCCGCAAGACTTGATTAGAACCTTGTAGAACGTTGTCCACAACCTGCTGCACCTGGTCATCAATGCTGAGAGTTGGCGCTGGCTCGACTTTGGATGGCTGACGGATACTCGGGTCGGCCTCCAAAGAAAGAGAGAGATCACTCAAGACAGCCTCGGATCCAAGGCTTTTGGGATAAGCCTGCCATTGAGTCCTGCTCTCTGAGAAAGCCTGTAAGGAACCAATATCAAAGCTGTCATCCTCATCAATCTCTGGGCACGATTCAAGCGTATCAGAGCCAACGTAGATCCTTGAACGAGTGCCGGCGCGGACTGGCTTGTGTGCAAATGTTGGGCTAGCCACAAGGAGCTCGCTCCATGACTCTGGCAGCAGAATAGTATCCAGCACTGGCGGAGGACTCTTCGGTATTGGATCTGACTGCGCACTTTCAGTCAGACGATTGAGCCATGTCGGAATACCCCTGTCAGACAAGGCTTCTTGTGCCGCTTGGTCTTCAGAGCTCCCCTCGTTTCCAGCATCAGCCTCTTCCAGCGTAGCTTCTTCCATCTGCTTTGCCTTCAGCTCCATCACGTCCGTTTGTTGCAGGTAGAGCTCCGGTATCTCTTCCCAAGACACATACACTGCCTCGTCCATGATTGTTGCAAGATTGGTGGTCTCATATAGGAACTTTGCATCGTCCTTCTCCGCCTCAAAACGGAGCAGCTTCTGGTACGTATCGTGCCACTCCTGCAGCAGACGATAGACCGCGCTTTGGGCGAGGAAGAATTCGAGCTGTTTATACAACCGTCCATAACGAGGCAGGAGCATCAAGATGAGATGTGCTGAGCGCAATGCATCGCTCGATATCAGCGCACCCTTTGTCATAGCTTCCATCACTGCAGCCTTCAGGTCCTCGATGTGCATTGCATCCAACCGTGTAAACATCTTTCTCGCAGGCTCGACCACCTGCTCCACCTGGTCATCTGTGAGAGTCGCGAGCTTCCAATTTGACTCTTGCCACGCAGCAGTGGCGTCCAACATGGCATCCACGCTGCTGATCACTGCGACGAGCCTGCGATTCAAAGCGGTATCGAGTGGCTCGGGCTCGGCCTCTCCCATTGCATTCCGAGCGCTTGCAGAATCATCAATGTGCGCATGTTCGTCCGTCTCATATTGTCTGCGGTTCGAGGCTGGCATGTGTCTGGAGTATCGCAGAAAGGGTCAAACGTGGCAGAAGCGTCGAATGTGTAGATGATCCAAGCTCGCATTCGCCTGGCCTGGCGGCGACACGGACGTGTGCAGGCTGACCCTGATTGTCATGTTGTATTGTGCCTCGTGCCCTCATTGCTTGCTCCTTAGTTCTATTTGCTTGTCAGGAGCTGAAACGCAGGAGTGCCCCTTCTTCGTGTGGGTGTCGAAGTCGCGTTGAAAGTCGCTCAACCTCGCAACCACAAGCGTCGTCTATAGCCGGCTACTACTGCAGGAGCTCTGCTGCTCGAGCTACACTGCCAGTCAGTGCCAGATGAACTACAGAGCCTGGGACGAGGCCATTGAGGCTGCTATTTCCAGTCTACCTCAGAAAGAGACACGCTCGCAACGACTACTCGCATTGCATCCAAAAGCCTTGAGCACTTTCAGAGCATCACTCGCAGGTACCTCCCTTGCCAAACCACTCGCTCCTTTCCAACAGCACCCGACTTACTTGCTGCGCTATCTACTTGCTGAATGGGAAGATGCAGACAAGAAGCCGCGCGAGAATCTAGATGAGCTTATTGGGCTCAGTACTGAGCGCCTCGTCGCCTCACAGGCATGGCGAGCTGGCAAAGGTGAATGTTGGAAGACTTGGGGCTTTAAGGATATGGATGACATGTACAAGAACTACAAGACCGCCTCGGATATGGAGCGCAGAGTCAATCAATGGTATCCTCAACGCTTCTTCAAGCACGACAAGACTGGCCATCCAGTGCATTACGAACTGATGCCAAATACCTACGAAAAGGACCTGATACCACCCATGACCATTCGACGAATTGTCAACAATGAGCACACTCTCCGGCATCGGGTCCCCCTGCTCAATGCGCCGCCAACTCACCTTGGCAATGATCCGGCCATACCGCAAGATCATTTGCCCACAGATCGCCCTGATGCCCTGTCTCGGCCAATCCTTGGCGTCACTTGGATCATCGACGGTCGACGCCTGAGTCTCTGGTCGTCAAGCGCAATATACAAGACGGGTACTCAATTGCTTCAGGCTTCAACAACGGTGACTTCTGCTCACTATCCTGAACAGGGCAATCGTGCCATCATCCTCAATCTCGGCAGTGTATGGATGTCTTTCTACAATCTTGCGATGAAATTGATGCCAGCCTCGACGCAAAGTACAACGAAATGCTATGTTGGTCGCGACGAATTGGATAGCGCGATTGGCTGGGACAGTGTGCCAAAGATGTTTCAGGATGACAAGGTGTTGACTCTGACGGAACAAGAAATAGCACAGGCAAAGGCTGATGATGGTCCATTTGTCGTCTGAATGTCTCTCCTTCATCATGAGATACACAAATAGACATGCTCAATTACGTTGCGTTAACATCTTTGAACCATAGAAGCATCGACTTCACATTACACACCTACTCTTACATCTAAAGTGTCATCAAATCGCTAATCGCTTCCAAATGACTTCCAATATGTCGGCAAGACGGCATCTTCCAAGGCCTCCGCCGTCAAAGTGACTGCCACACAGTCAGTCGAGACATCTTGCTTCTCAACTGCTGCGTATGCCGACGTATCACGCACAAGGAGCTCATAATACCTGCCACTGGACTTGCAGGCCAGCACCATTGATTGGAGATCAGTCTCTTCCACTGCCCCATTTGGTGCGGGCCTCAATTCACCGTCTGCGGTCCGAGCCCAACTGAAGACATCCTCTTCGACCTCATTCGTGTCGGCAGTGAGTCCAAGAATAGCAAGCTTATGCGACTGTCCAAGGTGAATGACAATTTTTTGGGTTGGATAGTCAGCTGATCGAGACTTGCCCTTCGTTGTTGCAAGACTCAGACGTTTCTTGGTGATATCGCCATCTTGTATCGCTTCGTCTAGTTCAAAAGGTACAGCTTGCCTCCAGAGCTCGTCATCATTCAACCGTGCGGCGACACCATCGGGAGCAGCGACGAGATAGCCTCTGTAAGGAATGACAACAAGTGAGTCCGGTAAGCTTAACCGACGTCCACTAGGTTCCTTCTCAGTCGCAGAGACTGTAATGCGAAAGTATTTGGCAGCCTTGTGCTCCGGTGGCGTGACCATGATATCCTGAATCGAGAGAGGAGCAGAATAGACCATACTGATGCGTATAAGCGTGAATGCGAGGTAGTACTGTAGAGCTGTGTATGTTGCCTTCATGATATAAGATTGATGATGAAGGACATCGACATGGGGAATGAGCCTTTAAGTAATGCTCGAGTTCGATACGCTGTGCTGCAGGCGATAGCATTACCCCAAGCTCTTTACTTATCAGCTATCAGAGATAGTGTCTCGACCAATGATCAGTGCTCTGTCATATCTTATTTGTCGGCGTTTGCTGGGAAGGCATAGTCTGCGCTGGAGGATCGAAATTCAGGGGTAAGACTTTTGATTCGTAGATTGTTCTTCTTATCTTCTGGCGAATGATGACACGTAGCATTCTGATATCTCTGATACTATTTGACCAAGGCTATTGCAGCTACAATCCGCATTGTGTCATATCTTCTGTAGCCATAGCATTTACACCATCGGACATTCGGGATATCTTGAAGTTCTTAGCTGGCTAACACTGAGACCTGTCGCTGAACACTGCTGCAGTTTTGTATGATCCAACTGGATGCAGGCCTAGATGACTGCTTCGCATGCGACTGAAGGAGCTTTCCCTATTTCCCCGCGGGCTGCGACGCTTCGCTTGGCGAGACCATGTAGTATCGCGATCGCAGATGCTCGTTCGTATTCGGATGTGCCTTCGCAAAACATTGATATGCCCCTGAAAACAAGCGATCGGATCTTCTCGGTCTAGCCTCTCGGCAGGCTCGCCATGTGCATGCCAGAGGGAGATGCCGCTGAGAATAGCCTGAAGTCGGTCTATTCAGTTGGCTTGAGCGAGCATGTTGACCAGAAACTACAGATCGGTCAAGAGCAATCACACAAATGGCTCTTGACTTTAATTGCAACTATTGTTTTGCTATTGTGATGGCGCATTGGGCCGGACTTCATGGATCCGCGGTCTCGGAGCCATTTGACAAGGGGTCGCTTTTGCAACTGCCAAATGCAGTGTGCGCCGGCTAGACGATATCCGCGGCAGTTGGGCCCGAATTGGTTGGTCACCCCTGTTCAAGACCTGCTGACAAGCCTTAAAAAGTGACCGATGTATGCGACGATCACTCTGATCATTTGGTCGTTTGCATTATCTTGGCATGTTTTGCCAAGTGTCTTTGCACATAACTGTCGTCAGATTGCACTAGTCAGTTGGGCCGATACCACTAAGCCCGATTATGCATTGCTAAAGGTCGTCTGTCACGATAACACAGAGGCTGCCCCGGCCGACAAAAAGAATAATCCAAAGGCAAAAGGCATGACAGACATAAACGCCCAAGCTGAACATTATGTAAACATTACGCTTACTGATATCACAAATGCAGACTCCACAGGCTGTCTGAATCTTCAGAACTACCCAGCGATCCGGAATTCACTCTATAATGTCGGAAGCAATTATAAGCACTATGTTCGAATCGACACGTACAAGGCCGACAATGGCACGTGCTACTATCCCGTGAATCTGGCGATACTATCTCGGGTTCACAAAGATAGGGGTTGCGACTGGTCAGCTGTCGAGAGCAATCTAATGGCAAATGCCATTTTCCAGGATTCTGGAACGGTCTTTCCAAGATACAAAGTAGCTGGAGATCCCTTCTTCTACACCTGGGTCTTTGATGACGATTTTCCAAATACGCATGTGGACGCCCTCAACACAGATGTGCGTTGCAGTAAGAAGTGATGGTAAGTTTGCTATATGTACTCTTTGCAGGAAGCTAACATGACCAGCTTTACCTTTACCTTTACCTTCATGCAAGACCAAATGTATACCTCGACAGTCTGCATTCGCCACTGACGTTCGCATCTAAAGCAATTGTTTTGCAGCTTTGCTTAAATTCGTACACCCGTATCTCATATCTTACCCTTTCTTAAGTACAGCTGCAGAATTGAAACAGAATCTTTTTTGAGCGCACGGTGGTCGACGTCTCCCTTTGCAAGGTTGCAAGGGCGTGAAACGTCAGTCTTGCTCAAAGCTCCTCCAAAAAGACAATCAGCGCCACTGTCTGCAATTGGACGTACACAAAAATGTTAGATCAAGCTCGAGATACCCGTCAATGAGCTGTGACGAGTCGAGGAGCAGGTTCAAGACTGTGGCGAAATGGGCCCAGAGAACTGCTTGAGTTCCTCTCGCTGGCAAACGCATGACTCGGCTGGAGTTCGACGCAGAACAGAACCAGTGACCAGGTAGCTTGCACGCTGGAACGACAGGAAGTTACATATTGTTCCCCTCTTCAGTGCTCTTGACTCAATCTTGACGGTGTGATGACTGATTGACACATTGCGATACAAGCAGTGCTAGACCTAAGCATGAATGCACGCTTCTTTCAGTGGAGAAGCTCTAGTGCACGGCCTTTTGGAGTGCCTCAAAGCCATCGCGCGCGCAAGGCCCTATTAAGACGGTTTGGGGTTTCATAGCATGGATAGGTTGAACGAGGCCAAAGAAAGTGTACTGAGTAGCTTCAGGCCTGATATTGGGCTTGCAGAGAGATGAAAGAGAGTATATACAGCGAGGTCTTTGGTTGTGAGGTTTCCTGCACGTGCGCCTCTGTCATCATCGAAAAACAACCCGACGCCAGACTAGCCGTGGCGACATCATCCAAGAGTGGTTCGTGCGCTCTGAGAGACACCGCTTCTTGCCAGTGGCCGACCTGACTCACGCCTTGTTAGCAGCGACAAAAGCATGGGCAAACACGATGACTCTGGGGAAGTAGCCCTCGAAGATGATCAAAAAGTAAAGCCAATCCGTGCGCGCCTGTACTTCTACCATTCGGCACCTACTCGTACGACAAGACGCTAACGGCAATGTGTAGTCTATCATCATGGGTATTATTGGCCAACTAAGACCGGGCATGGATCTGTCCCGGATTACACTGCCGACATTTGTGCTGGAACCCAAATCGATGCTCGAGCGCATCACAAAGTACGCGCCTTCTTCGACCGCAACAAGTACGACAATGCTAACGATCTAGTTTCATGGCTCATCCAGAGTTTCTCTTGCCTATACCGCAAATTGACGATCCAGTCAAGCGGTTTGTTGAGGTAGTGCGCTTCTACATGGCAGGCTGGCATATCCGTCCAGCTGGCGTTCGGAAGCCCTTGAACCCGATACTAGGCGAGTACTTTGCCGGTTACTGGAAGTTCCAAAACAATACAACCGCCCTGTACATTGCCGAGCAAGTCTCGCATCACGTATGCTTTGGGATTGCGCTTGGAGCGACTTTTGCTAACCTGTCAGCCTCCCATTTCTGCGTATTTCTACTATAGCCCCGAAAACCACATCCGGGTGGATGGTGTATTGAAGCCGCGTTCCAAGTTTCTTGGCAATTCAGCAGCGAGTATCATGGAGGGGGAAGCGCTTCTAACTTTTACAAATCTCAAGGAGACATACTCGCTCTCGCAACCCAACATGTATGCGAGGGGAATTTTGTTTGGTAAGATGCGGATGGAATTGGGTGATCACTCGACTGTTCGGTGTGAGCAGACTGGCTTGGTGGCTGAGATTGAGTTTAAGACTAAAGGCTTCATCAGTGGCAAGTATGATACTGTGTCTGGCATCATTCGCAATGAAAAGACTGGTGACAAGTTGTTTGAGATTGAGGGTAAGTGGTGTGAAAAGATGACCATCAAGGATTTGCATACGAAGAAGACAGAGACGTTCTTTGATGCGACAGGTGCGCAAGAGACGCCTATTTCGGCCAAGGCAACAGACAAGATGAATCCAGTGGAGTCGCGGCGGTTGTGGCATGAAACGATTGAGGCTGTCAAGGCGCGAGACCAGGTGCGCGCAACGAACGCAAAATCAGTGATTGAGGATGCACAGCGCGACAAGGCGAAAGCGCGTGCTGATGCAGGCGAAGAGTGGCACCCTCAATTCTTTGACAAGACTGGCCCGGAGGATTATGTGTTTAAGGGATCACAAGGCAAGACTGGCGAGCAGCTCAAACATTTGATGGAGGAGATGGCTGGTGGTATTACACAAGAGACGACATCAACGAGTCATGCAAGTCCTACGACAACTTCATCGGCTCCTGTAAGCCAGCCTGGACGGGTACCTACGCCGACACGGACTTTGCAGTATACAACTCAACAGCCTGCAAGCCCAAGCGCCCCGCAGCCTGGTGCATTACCGCATGCAGCGACGCCGGGTGGAAGTCCTGCTGCACCAGGCTTGAAGCCGTCTCTGCATCCAGTGGACAGCGAGAATCAAGTATTTGTTGATGCACAGGAAAGCTTTGACAAGCTGACAGTTTCATAAATTGGTTATATGCGTTTCCATGATAGATGTTCGTCACTGGACCTGATGCCCAAGTGCTGTACGTAGCGAAAAGAGTTGGCCTTTATCCCGTTCATGATTCTGATCCAATAGCTTGTAGCATCTCGCGACAGCCACTCATGTCGCCTTCCAAGTCACTGTACAGCGCTGCAATCAAGGATCCATCGACATTCGGGAATGCTTGTTCAAGCGTGCGTTGATCACGATCTTGCTGTGAGGCGCCTTTCGCTTGCTCGTAGACTTGAAGGTGCTCTACTTGTGCTGCAGTGTCGGTCTGGTCGCCTGCAGCGATTCGTGTTGCTGCTGCGCGATTCGAATCTGCTTCATAATGGTCTTGCGGCGTGTTGTATTGTGGATATAGGGCTTGCTGATGCTGTCCATACTGCTGATGCTGTCCGTACTGCTGATGCTCCCCATGAGGACGCTGAGGCAGTCCCGGCGCAACTGGATAATCAGGCGCTCGTCCTCCATAATACTCACCAGGCTGTTGCATACCAGGATTCCCATGACTAGCTTGCGATTGTGATTGAAGCCCTTGTACGCGTCCTACTCTGCCATCCGTCAGCCTGACTTTGACGCCGCGCGGGTGATCGCCGCGTGTGAGGAGTTCAGCGACGGTGCCTGTCACTTGGCGGCCTGTGGGCTGGTCTTGCTTGAGAATGATGCTGACTTGTGTACCGACGTGGATCTGGCTTGCACGGGGGACAGGCATGCTTGTAGACTGCTGGAAGAGTGAACCCGGCTGTCCTGGACCCTGGTCGATAGCTGGTCCTGGTTGTCGCTGTGGAGGAGGAGCTCACCTGAAAAAGTCAAGAACAAGAGACAGCAGGATCCACCAAAGTATACTCAGTACAGTGTGTTCACGATGCCCAGAAGCGAGATCCTCTCTCCAGAAGGCCTCAGGTCAGATGGAAGGCGCTACAATGAAATCAGACAGTTCAAAGCACGCATGTCGCTACCCACCTGCAGCAGTTTCGACGGCTCAGCACTCTGCGCCATGGGCCTCACCACCGTCCTCTGCACTGTCTCTGGACCACACGAACCAGACGCGAATAAACGTGCACAGATGAAAGCAGATGCAGCGTACCTCCATGTCGACTATACCGTCCTTCCATTCGCCGGTCAAGATCGCAAGAAAGCTGGTAGGACGGATAAACGCATGCAAGAGATTTGTTTGGCGCTACAGCAGACATTCAGCCAAGCGGCCATCTTGAAGTTGTATCCGCGTACACAGATTGACGTGCGATTGCAGATTGTCCAGCAGGATGGTGGTGCGTTGGCGTGTGCTATCAATGCAGCCACATTAGCGTTGATTGATGCCGGTATACCACTCTACCATTTCATTGCTGCGTGTTCAGTCGGAAGTGCCGTGAGTGCGGCTTTTACAGGTGCAGCGACACAGTTGGGTGCTGGAACGGCTCAAGCGTTACTCGATGTCACTGCATTGGAAGAATCAGATATACCTTGGTTGACACTTGCAACAGAGGGTCATTCAGGCAAAATTAGCTTTCTTCAATGTGAGACACGCTTGGGTTTGGATGCGTTTGATGCGTGCTTGGAGTATGGCGTCTTGGGCAGTCAAGCTGTACGTGGGCTATTGGAAGGTGTTTGCAGGGAAGCCGGAAAAGAGTACAAGGCAAAACTCGAAAGATAGCCTCATGTCCCATCAGCAAGAATGGCATCTATGGTTCAATCGACTGTTGCTGCGATTCAGGCTTCAGCGCAGGTTGTGCCTCTGGCTCAAAGGAAGCCTCCACAAGGCAATCTGGAAACTCGACTTGCAAGAGCTCTGCAAGTCTGCGAATACCCCAAGCTTCAGCTGCGCGATGTCCGATGAAGATAACAGGCATACCTAAAGCTGCTGATCTTTCTAAACCCGCAGGCCGTGGCTCGCCAGTGATGTAAAGTACTTGGCTGGCAGGCACAGGATCAAATGCGTTACACGTCGTCCAAAAGTGCTCGGCAACTTGATTGACTTGCTCTTCTCCGAATGCATTCATCAAAGCGACAGCTCGCAGGACACCTTTCGACCCTGACGCGACGGTCTCCAGCGCCTCTTCTTGGAAGATGTGCGCCAAGCGATTCTGTAAGTCATGCAAACTCTGTGAATCTTGCAATACACCCAATATTCCAATACGCCTCTCCGGATCATTTTTGTATCCGGAAAGCGTGACTAAGGTTTCAACCTTACAACCCAACAAGCCAGCCAAGTGCGGGTTGAAACCAACAGTCAGTGTCTCATCGAAGCGAAAATGGCTCGACAAGACTAGACAGCCGTGTGGCACGCGATGTCGATCGAGGGCCCAAGGGCGATGCAGAAACAGACATGTGTTTGGTGTGAGACGGCTATAGAGCCCCTCTGTTGCAGTGATGCTCAGCAGCAGATGATGGAAAGGACGACGCCTTCCTGGCTGATGGTAGATGAGCTTATCTCTTGCATTGCTCGCTTGAGGCGGAAGTAGCTTAGCAAAGAAGTCTAGTAGAACAGCTTGACTGAGGCCCTTGTTGCCATCAGAGCCCATCCACAGTCTGCTCGAGGGAAACCTCACTTTGGCTTTTGGTCCTTAAGCTTGGGTGTAGAATCGACGACATCATCGACGAACTCCGCAATTCCGCAAACCGAGATCTGGACGACCCAACGGCAACCATGGCCTCGACAGACTTGGTAGGCTCGTACAGCTTCACAAAGACACAGACGATCCAATATGGACCAAACTGTATCAAGGACGTTCTTCCTGCACTATTTGATAGGCTACAAGTCAAGAAGGCCTTCATCGTTACTGGCAACTCGCTCAAGACCAAGACCGAGGTCATCAAGCAGATTGAGGGTCTGCTTGGCGATCGCCACGCTGGTACATCCACCAAGATATCTCAGCATACACCGGAAGAAGGTATTCGTGAAACATTGAAGGCAATGGCGGACGCGAACGCCGATGTGTTGCTCTCCGTCGGCGGTGGTTCTCCCATCGATGCTTGTAAAGCCATTGCCTATTTTCATCACGAAGAATCTGGTCATTGGCTCAAACATATTGCTGTTCCGACAACTCTGAGTGCTGCTGAATTTACCAGAAATGCAGGGTATACGCGAAAGGGTAAGAAAGTCGGCGTCAACCACCCACAACTCGCTCCCGATGCAGTTATCTTGGATGGGGCGCTCACACTCTCTACACCGCTCAGACTGTGGCTCTCAACTGGCATGCGTGCCTTGGATCATGCGGTTGAATGTCAAACTCGTACATACACGCCACCGCCGATTCGCTCGCTCGGCCTGGCTGCAATTCAGAAATTCTTCCACTTGTTGCCAGCATGCAAGGCAGACCCTGATAATGTCGAAATTCGCCAACGCTTGCAGATTGCAGCGTGGGAATCCATGTTTCCATTTTTGCAGGAAGAATCAAAGCAGTCTGGATTTGGCTTGTCGCATGCACTGGGTTACATGCTTGGCTCGCCATACGGTATACCCCATGGCATCACCTCTTGCTTGACCCTCGCGACTGTTGTGCGATGGCAAGCTGACCATGCGTCTGTGGAGAACAAACATAGACTAGCACAAATTTTGCTCCTGCTGAACGAAAAGCGCCTTGGATCTGTGGAAGACGATGTAAAGCGCGTGGCAGAGTTGATTGATGGGCTCGTTGACACATTGGAATTGCGCTCTGGGCTGGTGGAGGCTGGTATGCCTCGCGAAGACTTGGACATGGTGATCGAGGGAGCAGGACTCAAGGATCAAGATAAGGCAGACATGGCCAAGCTTCTTCAGGCCCGTTTATAGGCGTCGTAAATGTACAAGGCAGACTGGATTGCACACATGTTGAGTAACCTGTCCATCTGGTGCTCTCCAACTTAGCCGAATTTAGTTTTCGAGGTTTGAACGTACAAACGACTCACTCGACAGATCCCTTGCTCAAAAGAGAGCTGAGCGCCTTCTCGCGCCGGCCGCTTGTGCCTCTTCTCTAACAAATTCTTTCACAATCTACAAACAGCTGTCTCTTCATCCTCAAGCGCGCTCATCATCCCTAATCAGTCTGTGTTTGACTTCTTAAACAGCTTCTTGTGTACGCTTCCAAAAAGCAAAGTACAGTAAAAAGAATGCCTAGAGGCTACCCTGGCACTGGTTCGGGTGCTCACAGTCCTGTCATCAAAAAGGAAAATGGTGCCAAACCATATAAACATAGCGCGCATGCCCGGGCCATCACTGCTACTTCGAGCAAACGGCCTCAAGTATACTGCGTCACAGAGCTAGAATGGGATGAACGTATTCCGAATTGCACGCAGAGTGATGTCAAGCTGCTAGGATGTTTTTCAAGTATCGAAAAGGCGAATTCAGTCGTGGCCGAGTGGCATACGCGAATGTATGTACCCTTTCTGACTGCATCAATTTCTGACGATAGTTACGTGAAGAAGAGTGTGGCTGAGTTTGATCAGTACCAGCTTATGAAGGATCAAGGCCTCTGTCAGCTCAATGTAGCTGTTGGCAGACAAACATGGCAAGTCGCCGTTGAAGCTGTTGAGCTCGATGAAGAGTTCACCATGAGTTTACTGGAGAGCAATAATCCTGTACAGCCAAATGGTACGGCACAAACTACTTTTGACCCGCCAGAGTATAGCTCGCAAGACCACAAGAAGAAGCCAAGCAGGCCCAAGGCGGAATCTGTCACGCCGCTGTTGCACTCTCCACACGCAACCTTTTCATCGGCAAAGCAGGCTTACGAACATGGAACGCCTTCAAAGGCCACGACATCTATACCTACACCAGCGTCTGCGTCACGAGTTGGTCAAACAACGCTGGCAAAGCAAAGCTCTGCAGTGAAGCATAATGGCGTCAAGCGCAAATCAGAAGCAATGAGAGATGGCTCCGTGTCGCCTGCCAAACCAGCGTGGATCGATACAACCATGAAACCCATTCCACCGCTCACGAGCAAAAAGGACACATCAGCTGCCCCGAGGCCTCTTGGAGCACCAGCAGCACCAGCAGCACCAGTAGCAACAGCAGCAACAGCAGCAACAGCACCATACAAATCAGCTCCATCGACACTTCAAAAGCCACAGTCAGAACCAAAATTACTGCAGCGACCGCCAACTGGGAGCACGCTTTCGTCACTACCGCCCACACCAGAGCCTGTTAGACCGATGCATGCACCGTTTGCGTCAGCCAGTGCTGCGATACGGGTCTCGCGAGCATCGGGTTCGTCGGATGAGAGTGAAGTGGATAGTGATCTTGAGAGGCGGCGGAAGAAGAAGATCAAGCGGGAGCTGCAGAAGCTGGGCGTCATAGTCGGCCAGACTTGATGTGTCGAGCGTATCTATAGTGCCATCTTCATACTATGTATTTTACTGTTTGACCTAGCTGTAGCTTATTGACCTGAATCGTGAAGTTGAGTCGCTGCCGAAAACAGTTCGATGACGGAGCACGACCGCAACGACCGCATCTACCCAGCAAGACACACCCGGGATAGCAGCCAAGAGGGAGGACCTTCGTCATGGACTCCTTTGCCGATACCGTGTCAAACTTGACGGTAAGGAAGATGCTTTTAAAGAAAGCAAAACTAACGGAAGCTGTACGACATCAAATCCGCTGTACGCAAAGTACAAAATGGTATGGTTGACGGGCAACGCGGCTCAAATACTGACTTCTAGTGGTCATGAACTTCACAGAAATGGAGGCCAAGGTCCGTGAAGCCACCAACAATGAACCTTGGGGTGCCTCGTCCACGCAACTCGCAGAGATTGCGGATGGCACGCACAACTTGTACGCTTCTCCGACGTACCTGTTTCCAGCCGATGCTAACGATGCAGCTCAACATTCAACGAGATTATGCCCATGATATACAGACGATTCACTGAAAAGACAGCTGAAGAATGGCGGCAAATTTACAAGGCGCTGCAGCTTCTAGAGTATCTCGTCAAGAATGGCTCGGAACGCGTTATTGACGATGCTCGCTCTCATCTGTCTACCCTCAAGATGCTCCGCAACTTCCACTATATTGACGAAAAGATGAAGGATCAAGGCGTCAACGTCCGCAACCGAGCCAAAGAGCTAGTTGACTTACTGCAAGACTCTGAGCGTATTCGTCAAGAACGCCGCAAGGCAAAGTCTGGTCGCAACAAGTTTGGTGGTGTCTCTTCGGATTCTGCCTTCATGACGGCTCAGCACTCTGGCGGCTTTGGTGGATCCGGTAAAAAGTACGGCGGCTTCTCGTCAGACGACTATGGCGGCGGCGGTGGCGGCGCCCCAGAGTACAGCAGTGGTGGTGCATCGAAAATCTACGGTGACGGTGGTGGTACGGGCGAGGAGACCTTGGGCTACGGTGAGGCTTCCGGCGTCACGCGCAGTTCCTCGACAGGCGGTGCGCGCCGAGAACGCTCTGAACGACCAAAAGCAGCTCGTCCTGTTCGCGGATTCGCAGAAGATGCTCTTGGTAGTGTTGCTCAACCAGCCGAGCGCTTCGATGAATACGATGAGTATGATGAAGGTGCGGCAGGTGGCTCTGGCTCTTCTCGGCCCGCTGCAGAACGCCAGCCGTCATACAAGACGACCATTCCAAAGCCTATTCCAAAGAAGGAAGAAGCAAAGCCCAAGGAAGTGGATCTCTTCTCATTCGATGACGAGCCTGCTCCTGCGATTGCTCCTGCATCGTCAGCAACATTACCCAAGCTAACGACATCTGCACCCGCCGCTCTAGATGATGACGATGAGTTTGACGATTTCCAAAGCGCGTCCACGTCAGTTGCTGCACCACAACCAGCAAAGCAGGCTGCTATGATGAGTGTGATGGGTCCTGCATCGCCACAGAAACCGCAGTACTCTGGCTTCCAAAGTATTCAGCCTATGCAGGCGTCAAATTCTGGCGCAAGTAATAATGCATCGTTGCTCGGTGGATTGGCAGGACAACCGACCTTGCAAGCGCCCAGGCAACAACAGCAGCCCTCTGCACCGACAGGTCCAAACTATTACGCGTCCGGTCTTTTTGCAACACAAACAACAGGCAACAAGCTTCAGCCAGTCGCATCTCCAGCAATATTGGCAGCACAGCAAAAGCCCAAAGCGGCTGCTGGTGATGCCTTTGGGGATTTGCTATCTGGCTTCAAAAAGTCAAGCACACCGACAAAAGGAACTTCTCTCTCTGAGATGAACAAGCAAACTGCTTCAGCTGGCATCTGGGGTGCATCTGCGCCAAGCAAAAGTGCAGCGCCAAAAGAAATGGACGACGAGTGGGGAGACTTCAACGGCGCTTCTGCAGGCAAGCCTGCGGCTTCTGCTGGCCAGGGAGGAAACAATGATTTACTGTTTTGAGTGAGCTGCTATTGTACTGCTTTGGCAAGCTGCAATCTACACAGCGGCCTGCCATGTGAAGCATAAGCGTCGTTCATAGAGGAGGCGGCAGATGAGCAGGGCTCATAACATAGGTATCTGATTGTCTGTCTTAAAAATGTTGATCGGTTCGAGCTTGCAGGGATACGTCGAGCTTTAGGAATTTCACCGTGATTGCTAAACTAGTACAGCCTGACTTTCGCCAGCAGCTACGGCATCGTGGTCACCCACGACAACATCGATTCAACATGCTGCACCTATCATGACTCAATTGCGCTTCCAGATCACTGCTCGCGTTAAAGTTGTAGCGGGCACGTTTCGAGATTTTCCTTCAGACAGATCATTCGCGCGACCGCCACATGCGGAGACGTTCGCGCTGCGCTTGTACAATGTCATCTCCATGCGCGCGAGTGCAGCCGAGTCTAGCAATTACAGCTGCATTCCAACGCATATCGTCAACAAGTCTTTTCAGTCAATTGCAAGCCAAGACGAGATCTCTTATAGATCAAGAAAGCATATCAGTATGTCGCAACGGCATCATGTCAGTAATTTAGAGCCGATGTCCGCATGCAAAGGTGCTCAGACAAGCTTGGACGCCATAGCGCGCACCGACATGTCATCAATCGATCTATTGGGAAATCTTACGCATGGTGCCAATCCACAGTCGAGATCTCTCTCCATGCAAGGGACCTCCTTCGATGGACTTTGGCGTATCTATGACACACCCATGCGAGCACTGACACGGCCTGCTCGCAGGACGCAGCCCTTGCTGTCAAAGTCGCCGTTCGCGGTGTGACTGCGTCAAGTCCAGAAGCTTCTTTCTCCGGAAGCGGCGAATTTCGCTTCCCTGGACCAATCAAGGCTGCCTCCATAGATCTGGAGTTGGCAGTTGGCAGCTCGCTCTTTGTGTCAATCTCGAAAATTTGGCGTCAGACAGACTCAGACTCCGCTTTCAGGCCTCCATCGTCTATGGTGTACTACAGCAACACGGGCCTCCCATCGTTAAGTCGTGCACAACTGACACCTTGGAGAGGATGACATCTTGGTTCCATTAAGCCATATGTCTTTGGTTTATCACGCCAAGACACTTCTGCATCGATCTATATAACAAGAGACAGCTGCCAGTTGACCTGCTAAGCACGGACGCAAACATTTTCACACTAATGCAGTTCTCCCTTGAGGTACTCGCCGTGTTGGGCTCCGTACAAGCATTGGCTATTGACAGCCGGCGCTCCTCAACATCAAGCAACGAACACTCGTCCTCGCGTCGGTCCTCAGTCGATAATGTCTACAGCGAACACGACAGCCCGTCGTTGTTTGACCTGGTCAAGAGACAGAATCGGCCAAAGGCCGTTGCGACGAGCACTGCACAAGCACGTCCCTTGCCAGTCACGACGAGCCCGCCTGCTGCGCGACAGCCGCCCGCAGCGACATCTTCGTCCGCGCGGAGTAGCAGCCAGGCTGTATCATCAAGCCGTTTAAGCAGTTCGACGCTGTCTTCCTCGAGGATCACCACTTCGTCGACGCCATCAACGTCAAGCACTAAAGCGGCGTCGACGAGCTCAAGTTCTTCGCCAAGAACATCATCCACCTCGGCATTGACGTCCTCTGCGAAGCCTTCCAGCACGCAAATTTCGCCCTCGTCTGTCAAATCGGCAAGTGCATCAGCAGCGATGACCTTGATCGATTGGGGTTGTTGGCAGGACTCCGCCTCTGCCAGGACATTCACTGGACCAACCTATACATCCGGCACCAACAACACCGTCGAATCTTGTGCATCATGGTGTTCAGCACAGGGCATGCCCTTTTCAGGCACAGAGTACGCTTCCGAATGTCACTGCTCACTCACGGCACCGACATCCGCCCAAGCTTGGTGGTGCGATATGCCATGCAGTGGCAACAATGCTCAGGTATGTGGATCTGGTAATGCATTGAGTGTCTACTACTCTGCCATACAAGATACCTCTGCCGGCTTCAAGGATCTTGGTTGTTTTGCAGATTCGTCAAGCATGCGAACATTACCGGGTCCATCCTACAGGTCTGGGAAAATGACCAACACAGCTTGTTCCGCGTACTGCAACTCACAGGGCTATGGTGTGTCTGGTACAGAGTACGGTTCCGAATGTTACTGCAGCAGAGCATTACCCTGGTCTGCACCTGTTGGTTGTGGCATGCCTTGCTCTGGCAACACGACAGAGATATGCGGTGATGGCAATGCACTGAGCGTCCGCGTGAATGGAAAATCACCGCTGCTGACAGCAGTAGCCAACCCCAACAACACAACCGGTTCATTCAACGCAAAGGTAGATTTGAACCAGAAATTTTCATCTTGGAAGACATGGAAGGCACGCGGCACCAATCTTGGTAATTGGCTGGTCTTGGAACGCTGGATGGACCCCACTTGGTTTGATCAAGCAAGTGGCAATGTCGGTGCTGTGGATGAATGGACATTTTGTCAAGCACTTGGTACGGCTGGCTGCACCTCGCAACTTCAGCAACACTGGGCATCTTGGGTGACACAGTCAGATATCTCACAATTGGCAAGCGCTGGTCTCAATACACTGCGTATACCCGTTGGCTTTTGGGCATTCATCGACCCCATTGCTGGAGAACCCTACGTGCGCTCCACACAATTGCAAGAATTATCGCGCGTGTTGGGTTATGCGCGCGCTAGTGGTATGACCGTGACGCTCGACTTGCATGGCTTGCCAGGATCTCAGAACGGAGCTGATCATTCTGGTCATATCGGAGAGATTGCTTGGTACACGTCTGCCAATCAGCAGCGCTCTCTACAAACTGTACAAGCCGCTGCGACATGGCTTGCTGGCAGCGGTTTTGCTGGTACGGTCACTGCCTTTGAGGTTGCCAATGAGCCAGCAATTGCAAATTGGGATCAATGGCTTATGTACAAGGATTTCGTCCTTGCATCCCATGCCATCTTGCAAAAGACCGTTCCAGGAGTCGCCACCATGTTTCACGATGGCTTCTGGGCACTCGAACCCTGGAACCAGTTCTTCACAGCTGCAGACAACGTCGTTCTGGACACACACCGATACTTTGCATTTGCACAAACAACCTTGGAGCAAGCTGTGAGCGATGTTTGTGCGTACGTTGCTGATTTCCAAAAAATGAATATGCCAGTCTTTGTGGGTGAATTTTCACTCTCCATCCAGACAACTGCCGCGGACTCTGCTGCAGCGGCGCAGAATGCACTTGCGTTCTTTGAGACACAGATGCAAGCGTGGACACAAGCAGCTGGGGGTGCCATGTGGTCGCTCAAGGCGATGAATGCCGATGGGAGCCAGAATCTTGGATGGTCGACGTCTGGCCTCATTCAGTCTGGTTTGTTTGGTGGGTTGAGTGTCTGGGACTTGGCAGGAGCACAGTGTGCTGCTCCTGCTGCATAGTATAGCGTATAGCATTTGATATTTGAACATTGATAGCGGAGAGTCATGCGTTGATGATTGAGGGATGACTCATGCTGTCCATCTCGTCGGGTCTCCACTGTCCAAGCGTGGTCGCATCCAACGACACCTTCCACCTCATTCTACTCCTCATACTCTCTAACCTGCTGCGCTTCGTCTTTTGTAGCGACTGCAGATTGCGCAAAGACTCTATCAAGCTTCACTTGTGCGCCTGTGTCTAGGATCACTACTCAACAAGCGCGCGCGCATCGTTCTCTTATCAGCGCCACGCAATAGTACTGATTGTGCGACACGACCATGTCGTCGCCCAAGAGACGGTAAGCTATCCTTCTACTGCTTCACTCGTACTAACCTCCATCAAGGATCGAAACAGATGTCATGAAGATGCTCATGTCAGACTACGAAGTCACCCTCGTCAATGACAACATGCAAGAATTCTATGTTCGTTTTCACGGCCCACATGAAACGCCCTTTCATGGTGGTTTATGGAAAGTCCATGTGGAACTCCCTGATCAATACCCATATAAATCTCCCAGCATCGGCTTCATGAATCGCATCTTTCATCCCAATATCGATGAGATCTCCGGGTCGGTGTGTTTGGATGTGATTAATCAGACTTGGAGTCCCATGTTTGATATGATTAACATCTTTGAGGTGTTTCTACCACAGCTACTACGGTATCCCAACCCAAGTGATCCGTTGAATGGCGAAGCGGCAGCTTTGCTGATGCGGGATCCTCGAGCGTATGAGACGAAAGTGAAGGATTACCTCAACAAGTATGCAACAAAGGAAGCCGTGGATCATGCTGCGAGTGATGAGGATGAGAGTGAAGATGAGAGTATGTCCAGTGCCGGCAGCTATGATGATTCTGATCAAGAAGCAGCCGGTAAGATGGATATATAGCGATTGCTTCGGAACAAAGAAAGGAGCATTCAGCATTGTTCTTCTTTTCGCTATGTATGCAGGGTCTTGCTATCTCGCTGGATGTCGCTATGACTATCGTAAAATGCTTTCATGAATCACGTCGCACCCACTCTTGCAGGCTTGTTGTCCTTGGCAAATCAAGTCGCCAACTGTGCATTGATCTCATTGACTTGCTGTGTCCAGCTCTGCGTCACTGCTTCCCTCGCATTCGCTTCTGCTACTGTTTCAACATTTGACCCCAACTTCCTCCAAACATCGGCCCAGCCCTCGACACAATCAGAGAGCTGGGCTGGATCTAGCGTGGTATACCCAGAGCTCGTACAAAACACCATGCCCAGATACCAAGCTTCCAACAACACAGGAATGAAGAAGACTTCGAGGTATGGCGTGCGTGGTCCAAATCGATAAGAGGCAAAGAGTGAACTAAACGTCGGTGACCAATTCCGATGCATCAAACCCAACAACGTCTCTAGATCCTCAACTTGCTCACTTGCAATGCGTGGCCAAACCCAACTTGCCTCTTCCTCACCGAGATCCAAGCAGAGTTGTCGAAAGGCAAGGGGAGGACAGGCTTTCAGGATGGTTTCACATACTTCCTTCAGTAACCCATACAAAGGCTGGTTCTCGGGCGCCACTTCAGCCGTTGGATCAAATCTAGGCGCCCCGCGTGGTCGAGAGATCCTGGGGAGTGTTATACCGCGTTGTGACTTTGTCAAGATTGGCCGCGTTTCATACGTTGGTTCGTCTTTGATTAAGAATGCATCGAGTTCCGCGAAGGGATCGCGTTTCTTGCGACGAATGGATGGAGGTTCCATTGTTGTTGGTTGTGCTGAAGATGTCGTCTGTGGAGTGAATGCTAAGACTTTGTCAGCAAAGGATGGACTCAGGGGTTCTTCCTTTTTCGGAAGTTGAGGGAGTATAGCAACTTACACATGGGAGTCGTGGTGACATTCTCGGCTTGTCGTTGAGATGCGTGTGATGGTTGCTGGAAACCACCGCTTGAGAGTTGCTCGGGTCGTGGACCTTGTGGTTGTCTGGAAGGGTGTTGTTGAGCAGGAGGGTGATTCTGGTAGCGTTGTGGGTCCGGAGTGGGTACAGCGCCTTGATAGGGCTGCTGTTGAGCTGGTCCTGGCGTACGCTGTAGTCAGTAAGTGGTCAAGCCAAAACTGATAGATAGGGAGGTACCTCAACGTCCATAGCCATATGCTCATCGTCATCATCATCCGAGTCGAGAATGAGCTGCACAGATTCTTTACGAGCGAGGTAGTCTGATGTGCCTTGCTTCCAATTGCCCAACACGCGTCGCAGTACATCGTCAGGTTGGAGTCCATTTTCCCAAACCATGCTGCCCATGCCGAGGACCTTGAACTTGTTGCCGAGATTCACATCATTGGATAGCAGTGTGACTGGCACCTTGCGACGTTCTTTGATGTAACGCGCACAATCCAAGATCCCATCATCGTTGATTTGGTTGGGATCAATGATTTCATCAATCTGCTGAGCATACAGACCCTTTGCATGCCCGAGATGCTTGCTGATGAACTTGTTGGCACGCTGCGCTTGTTCTGCAACAGAGATGGATTGACTGGTGCCGGTGTAGCGCTTCTCTTGTAATTTGAGGCCGTCCAACTCACCAAGTGCCACCCAGGGCAAAACTAGCAAGACACGAGACTGATCGAATCGCTGGATGAGTCCTTCGAGCAAGCCGAGGTGAGCGAGCCAGTAATTGGTATCTACCACAAAGCAGCGTGCCACGGGTTCGGGCCAAGTAGCGTCGACGATGTTGGTCACGAGCTGATCACGAGATAGATTCGTCTTGACGCGTCCCTTGCGTAGTACGCCCGTGAGCTTCTCAATGAGGGCAATCTCTGTCATGTCTGACATGACGACGTCTCCTTCTATGTCGAGGCGGGGTGTGTACTGGAGAGATCCTTCTCTTGGGAGGAGGGGTGTGGTGCTGAGTACGACTGATTCGTGCCAATCTCTTGTTTCTTGTGTGTGCTGTGACCAGTCTCTGTGTATGCCTTGCTGCCAGGGAGGGAGCTGGTGTGCAAGAGGTGGTTAGCAAGGGTGCTTCTGTAGTGTGGATGGTTTGGTTGAGGGAAGGAAGAGGAGGACGAAGGATGGGTTGCCCTTTTATCCTCTCATGCTGCTTCTCAACGACGCAAGAGACATACAGGAGGGCGGTAGAAGGGGAGGTTCTGTTGGAAGTGCATGATTGCCTATCGCAGCGGCGGGTAGCAAGAAGAGAGCAGCGACGGCAGCAGTAGATAGAGTCCAGTATAGGGAGATCAACGTGTGTACGACAGCAGCTGCAGCATCAGCAGCATCATCATGAACAGGGACGGAGTTTCAGGGGGTGAGCAGGGAGACGAGAGCAGAAAAGAGCAGAAAATGGGAGAAGAAAGGGAGAGAGAAGGGGGAAAGATGAGGGAGACACGGGGACAGTGCACAAAATTCATGCCAACTTCATGGACACAAATTCAGATTGCACGCCAAATAGTCTACAACATGCACTACAGAGAAGACACCTGCACCAGGGCCTGCTCAATATCAGCAACCAAGTCACCAGCATCCTCCACACCAATCGACAGCCTCACCAGCGTCCTGTCACACTGCGAGTCACTCATCGTCCGCCACTCAGCAAGAGACTCAACACCACCCAGACTCGTCGCATGGTGAAACAGCTTCAGCTTGTTGGGGAAAGTCGATGCCTGCTTCTCGTTCTTCAAGTAAATAGCAAAGGTAGGCGAATACCCACCTGGCATCTGCTTCTTCACAAACGCAGCACCCTCGGCCTCCTGCAACGAGCCATGCACTACCTTCTGCAACTTGCCTTCCTTCACCAACTCTGCCATGCGTGCAGCCACAATCGCTCCATTCGCAACTTGTCGCTCAATTCGCATCTTGAATGTCCGTAGCGATCTCAACAACAACCACGCCGTCTGACCAGACATGGCTGTCCCCAAATTTTCACGATCATCAATCAAGTGCTCCTTGAGGCTCTCTGCATCACCCAACCCTGGACGAGCAGCAATCACACCAGCCAATAAATCCGAATGGCCACCGAAATACTTGGTTGCAGAGTGCATCACCCAATCGGCACCTTGCTCAAATGGATTCTGCAAGGGCGGTGGTGCAAACGTTGAATCAACACAAACCACAGCACCGTGTTTCTTGGCAATCTCAACATAGTGTGCGATATCAGTCACTTCACCCGTTGGATTCAGCGGCGTCTCCAACCAAATCACATCTCCCTTGCCAGGTGTCACTGTGTCGAGTGTATCGAGGTGATGCACCTTCATTCCATTCAAGCGAGAAATAATCCCAGCAACGCCCAGTGTGCCATGATACCCACCATGTTCAGCGCGCTCAAGGAAGATTTGTGCAGGATGCAAATGACACAAAAGTGCCATGATGGCTGATAAACCACTCGCATACGTCACTGTGACTGAACCTTGTAGTAACGTATGCAACACTGCCTCGCAGCGTTCAATGGTAGGCACGCTCAGGCGTGAGTAGATGGCTGATTGGACTTTGTTGTCGGACGTGTAGGCGTAGGTTGTTGACATGTGGATGGGAGGGGCAACATCACAGGCTGATTCGATATGATCATCTGCGTGGATGAGGGAAGTTGCATTCATCTTGAACCTGCTGTAGCTGCTCAGTAACTGACAGATGGTGGTGGTGTCGCGCCTTTAAGTTTTCGAGATTCGGCAGTGCCGGGCGAGATGGCCTGGATAGTGAGTCAGTGAGTCATGGCCAGCTGCAGGCGTATCCTTCCATGTCCTTCTACACAGTCAGCCGGGACAGGTATGCCCACCGTCTTGTTGCCCGTGTCGCCCGTCTCTCCCGCACCAGGGCCTTCGACTCTTCATAGACGTATAGACCTACTAGTGTGATGAACAGTGCATGGTGCAGTATTGGCCAAATACATGGTGCAGAGGCTTTGGCGCTCCTCCAACAAGTCTGACAGTTACTTGACTATTGCTCCATATCTTGTAAGCGCTACTCGACTGACCCGAAGGACTTGCGTGTGTCTTGCTTGTGCTTTGAACCTTCAACAAGGTCTCAGTCGACTGCAACACCACACGTCACCGAGAAGTGCTTGATACGACTGAAGCTACAAAACATCTACTACTGATACGCAAATCATACTACCAGCTATCATCTACCATACGAAGCTCACAAGCCATGACGGCCGCTCAATCGCTAGAGGACTACCTCCATGCTTCACCAGCAACAACGCTTGCATCAGCAGACTTTGCTAAATACATGGACGAACAAGCAGTCAGTCTCCCTCATCTCCGTAGACTCTTCTCAATACCCACCGCTGCGTCTCTCACGTCAACCACAGTACCGCAGAACAATGACGACAACGATGCGGTTTATTTCTGCGGCAATTCACTCGGTTTGATGCCACTTGCAGCACGCGCCCTCGTCACCGCTGAATTGGACGTTTGGGCAGGTCGTGGTGTCTTGGGACATTTTGATCATCCGCATCATCGACCATGGAAGGATATTGCTGATTTACAACAAGTCACGACAGGCACTGCCATGCTTGTGGGTGCACCACCCTCTCAAGTCACTGTGATGGGAGCACTCACGAGTAACTTGAATACATTGCTTTGTGCATTCTACAAGCCACAGGGCAAAAGAAGGAAGATTCTATTTGAGCACAAGGCCTTCCCATCAGATATGTACGCATTTGCTTCACAAGCGAGACTACATGGTTTAGATCCAGAAGATGCATTATTGCCGCTGGGACCAAAAGAGGGCGCATACTGTCTCGATACGGCAGATATACTGGAAGCCATTCAACTTCACGGTGATGAAATTGCAGTGGTTCTCTTTTCGGGCGTACAGTATTATACGGGTCAATTCTTTGATATCGAAACCATTACACGTGCCGGTCATGAAGTAGGCGCAGTTGTTGGTTGGGATCTCGCACACGCGGTCGGGAATGTTCCGTTAGAACTGCATCGCTGGGAGGTTGATTTCGCATGTTGGTGTCATTACAAGTATGTCAATGCTGGCCCTGGTGCGATTGGTGGGATCTTTGTGCATGAGCAGGCACGGTATCCTGGGTCATCCTCAACAACAGAGAATCGCAATACGCGAGGTTTGGCGGGTTGGTGGGGACATGATCCACAAACACGCTTCAATATGGATCCAATATTCGATCCAGCACCTGGTGCTGCCGGTTTCCAACTCTCCAATCCTTCTGTCCTGAATGTCGTTTCGCTCTTGGCAAGTCTTGATGTTTTCCAACAAACGAGCATGCAAGCCATCAGGGATAAGTCGGTCTTATTGACGGGATTCATGGAGCATCTCTTACGAGCTGACCCGGCATTCGAACGAGCCGGTTCAAGACCTTCCTTCAAGATCATCACACCACGAGATCCAGCAGCGCGTGGTGCACAGCTTTCTGTATTATTCTCACCGACCGGTGTGATGCCATTTGTGATGGGTTATTTATTGGATCGTCACATTGTCGCTGATGAACGTAAACCCAATGTCGTTCGTCTAAGTCCTGTTCCCTTGTACAATACCTTTAGCGAGGTCCTTCAAGTGATTCAAACGCTTTCCGCTGCATTGGAGCAGTATGATGCAAGTGAGGCAGGAACATTGGCATTACAGCAGACGACCTGATTGTGCTATTACGAGAAAAAAAAATCATAGACAGGTTTTATTGAACATTTGAGTCTTGTACAAGGGAAGGGACCAGGTGTATGCAAACCCAAAAGAAAGTAAATTGGTACAGGACCTCCTTCTCGTCTGTATTGTGTTGTATTGTGTTGTGTTGCGTTGCGTTGCGTTGCGTTGCGTTGCGTTGCATTGCGTTGAATGACTGGCTTGGAATCGGCAAAGTGATAAGGTCATGAGGGAAGGTCGTCTTCCATATTGCGAAACTCTGCAGAAGCCATTTCCCGTTCTGCAGCCGTCAAGACATTGCGAAGCTCTTCTGTGAGTTCAGTCTCGTTGTTGTCGTCTGAGTGATGCGGTTCGTCCACCCAGCCGTCATCCTGCGCAGCAACACCGTCAGATGCAGCAGTCGATATCGCTTCACCCTCTTCTTGCTCCTGTAGCGCCCAAACTTCATCATCCCCCAAGAACCGCACGTACTCTTCCGGGACCAGCCCACAATCACTCGTTACTGGATCCACGGCCACCAACCAACCGAGTCCATGCATACTAGAGATGAACACCTGTTGTCCCTCCACCAATGCGAATTCATTCTCATGCTCCGGTGTGAAATCGAATAACGCTATCGCTCGACCATGTACTTCGCCTTCTCCCAAGTCTTGCGCATCTTCTTCCAGATGACCACCGGTAGGGGTTGTACCACCCGACGTCGGAGCAAGCCAGGGCGGTGGATCCGTCCAGCCACTACTCGAATCATCCACATCGCGTTTCTGCGTATTTTCAGGTAGTGGCTGTGTTGCCGGTTTCGCGCGTTGAGCAGCAACTATATCAGCTCGCCGTTGTGCAGCTTCTCGATCCGTTGCATCACTCGGCGCAGTCTCCGTGGATCGCAGAAAGAGTGGGTCATCGTGCGCATAGGCAAAATCGCGCGGGATATACGCCAATTTTGTGAAGTTGCGTTGTGAGGATTCTGCGTGTAGCCGTGTCCTCGACGGTGATGTAAGGATGGGTAGTGGTGGCGGCGTTGACTCATCTTGTGTTTCCATTTATAATGAAGGATCTGTATGGTCGTATACTGAGATCTAAAGGCCGCCAAAGCAATAGATAGGTAGAATGTACAATTGGGTGAGCTCGAGTAGGGTCCGCCGAACGCCTGTTGTTCAATGCTTCGGAGTCGCCTTTTGAGCGGATAATCGATGAGGAAAGTTGCAGCAATGCCGATACCAGGGAGTGTGCAGAGATGCGTGGGCGTTATTGCCGCAGCAGGAGAGAGGACAGAGGCCCAGGGAGGATATACAGGATGCCGGGTAGGGTGTCGGTTGTGCGTCGTTGCTCGTTTGCGCATCTTGAACCGCAACCAAACTCTCTCTGCCCTATCTGCTCTCTCTGCTCTACTTTATCTACTCCTTGAAAGTTCCCTTCTATCTACTCTTACTGCTCTACTGTATCGACATCGCTTCTCTCCTACTGCTCAATCTCCGCCATGACCTCCACAGCTGCCGACGCAGAAACCAGCAAAGCACTGCGCTTCGCTACTGTATGCGCCTCCAACAACAACCGCTCCATGCAAGCCCATAAAGTCCTGAAAGACGCCGGCTACAACGTCTGCTCCTATGGCACAGGCAGTGCAGTGCGTCTACCCGGTCCATCCATCGACCGACCAAACAATTACAACTTCGGTACACCGTACCAGCAGATTTTTGAAGAGCTCAAGCAGCAAGATACAAGGCTCTACCAAGCGAATGGTCTCTTGGCTATGATTGATCGTAATCGACACATCAAACGTGCACCTGAGCGATGGCAGGAAGGGAAGGAGTTCTTTGATGTTGTCTTTGCCTGTGAGGAACGCGTCTTTGATGCCATTTGTGATGACTTGCTCTTACGCAGTAGCAAGCCCGGTGTGGCGACAGACAGGATGGTGCACATCTTCAATGTCGACATCAAGGATAATGCAGAAGAGGCCTTCAAGGGCGGTGCAGCGATATTGGAGCTGGCGAATGAGTTTAGTGCAGCGGAGGAAGAGCTGGATGAGGCGATCCTGGATATTGTTGCTGCGTGGCAGGAGAGGCATCCGCTGCTTCCAATCCTGCACAGTGTGCAGTACTACTAGTCTAGTCTATACTAGTCTATACTCCATACTAGTCTAGTCTAATCTATACTCTATACTAGTCTAACCCCCTGTCGGCTGCTGATGAAATGTGCAACAAAAAATACAACACAAAAGAGACAACTACACACACAGTACACAAACACCAAGCATCGCTACTCCGGCCCCTTCATGAGCGGCTCGCGCTTTGCTCCTGGAGAGCATGCAGGGCCCTCACAGTATAGACAACATCCACCGGGACAGCCTAGTAGCAACAACAGCAGCACTTATCAAAACCCTGCATCGCCAACGGGCTTTCGGCAAGCATCGAGCGGTAACGTGTACGGTGCGAGACAGCAGCCGTTTTATCCCCAAGGGTCAGGCGATACTTATACTTCTGGCGGTGGCGGACACGCATACCAGCGCAGTGTCAGCGAACAAAGTAACCACACCTACCACAGCGCATCTGGCAGTATGGCAGGCAGTACAGCGGCTTTAGACCGTCAGTGGACGCCAGCCCCACGGATACCTGCAAGTCAGTCAAGTCTTGCTGGTGTACCTGGAGAAGATGCCATTACGCAAGCTGAACGCGCTGCGCAACGGCATTGGCAGGTACTCGGACAGTTCCTAGGCAAGGACAGAGAACCTGTACCCCCGAGGATGGTGGTCAAGGCGCGTGAAAAGCTGACACGTCTCTCAGCGACACAATTCCAAGAACTCTCAACAGATGTCTATGATGAAGTGCTTCGTCGTCAATTTGCAGCACAAGGCGGACCAGGACCTCCTGCACTCGAGCCTGATGCCGCTTACCACCCAAAACGCAATCAAGCTCGGGAACGACTGTCTGCGCTGACAATGACGCGGTTTCGCGACTTGGCAGCGGATGTGTATCATGAGATTGGCAGGCGGTTTCCTGATGTTGCGCGGCAGTCCACCGATACAAGTCAAGATGCTCGGTCGCGTGGCTCTGCTGGCTCACAACTACCTACTTCACCCATTGCTGAAAAGCCAAAGCCTAACTTGCGAAATACGACATTCATCCCTGTCAAGTCTGCGATGGTGGAAGATGATGACGGCGATGAAGACCTGATGGAGCAAGTCCAAGCTCCAATTCGGTCAAGAGGGACAGAGTTTGATACTGCTTCCGCCCAGTCGAGTGAGTATGGCAAGAGCTCACCCATTGCACGAAGTCAGACGAATGGTGATGCACCAGCCAGACAAGCTGACCGATCGTCTGAGTTGCGCATCAAGGAACTCGAAGACAAATTGGCGGTGCTTGAAGTGACTGCACGAGAAGCATCTGCCCGCGCGGCAGGACGTGGTGATCTTGAATCAGCGTTGCAAGAGGCACTCGAGCGCAATGACAAGCTAGAGTCACAAGTGCAACAGCTACAAAAACAAGTCAAGCAGGCCGCTCCGCAAGAAGAGTTGGATCGAGTGAAGAAGTCATTGACGGACCAGCAGAGTGTTGAGACGGAGATGCGTCAAGCACTCGACAATCTCATGATTGACCTTCGCCAAATGAGTGATCGTGAATCAAGTATGCAAGCACAACTCGAAAAGCTTGCGCAAGACCTACTTGAGCAGAAACAACAGACGAGCGCTTGGCAAGCACAAGCCCAGAAATCAAAACTGGCATTGCGACAAGTCAAAGTGACATCTGCATTCTTTGCACCTGGCGGAGGGCTTTCAGCAGATGGCACCACCAATGGCATCGTGGCAGCTGCTGCAGGTTTAATTTCAACGTCTGGTGCTATTCAAGACTTGTCATTCGCTCAATTCCAAGGCGGGATTGATGAGCTGCTACGTGTCGCACGGATGCAACCGCAACTTGTACTGGAACCCATGCGAACCCTCGTCACGGCAACCAAGGCCATTCAATTGGATATCCGACAAAGCGGCATCGAGCAGAGCGAGGAGAAAGTGGCCAAATTGATGCTTCGTCTAAGCAGTACAGCCAATAATCTCATGATTGCCTGTCGCAACCACGTTGGCAGTGCAGGACTTTCGCCAGTCTCGCTGGTTGATGCAGCTGCGAGTCATTTGACAAGTACTGTCATTGAGTTGGCCAAGATTTGCAAGATTCGCAGTATTCCGCAGCAAGCAGAGGTGGAGCCTGAGTTACAGTTGCCAAGAGTTGCAACGGCTGTCGCTCAAAAAGATGTGGATGACGATTTGCCCTTCACACCGCATGGTCAAGCGGAAATGCCACACAAGATTAGCTTCCAGGTGACTGAACCACCACCAGCATCACCTGACCGCGCACCACCTGCACCACCCTCAGCAGCCACAAAACGAGACAGCTTGCAAGACCTCAAGGTCTCCCTCGAAACGCAAACTGAGGCTATTGTCACATCCATCCAAAAACTCCTCGCTGCAATTCGAGCAGATCAAAAGCCAGCGGTCCTTCAGCAATTCATTGGCGATATCGTCGTTTCAGTCACGACTGCGACATCTCTCCTTCAGCCAGCATATCTCTCCTCTGAGGAGTCTCGCTCATTGCGGCAAGAGCTTCAAGGGATTCGCGTGGCGCTTGAATCATGCTGTTCTCGCTTGAGGAATATGGAGAATGGCGCTGCTGAACAGCCTGCTCATGGAGCAAGCAAGGAGTATAAGCAGCGGCTAGCAGGCGTTGCGTTTGATACGGCCAAGCAGACAAAGGAGCTGTCAATGGCGCTTGAACGCGTTGATGCCGAAGACTTGACTCACGATGTACCAGATTTGACATAGCTATTTTGAGCGATCTGAATGCGAGCAACGAGCTTAAGTAAGGGGATTTATGAAGATGTGCATTTGTCTGAATTGGAGCGTATTGAACTTCCCTACGCACAAGAAGTACAAGTCCCAAATCGAGATGAGCTTTGCCGAGCTCATCAAAGTCCTATGTTTCAGATGCCTTGTCACCTGAAACACCTGGTTTCACCTCGCAGCTATTCTTCTGTGCACATTCACAGCGATCGATCTAGACCTCGTCATCAATAACATAGAACAACTCTTTCAGCATCTTCAACAGTCTCTGTCTTCCGGCTCAAGTCCATTAATCTCGCCTGACCAATCTGAGATATTTCTCTGTCTCTTGGCGCGTCTGGCTAGACGTCGGCGGCGGACTCACGTCGCCCATAGTCTTCGAGACTTTGGTGTTGTTGCTTGTCTTACTGGTCCAGGGTTCTACTCGTAGTCGATAAGATTAAGTGGAAAGCCTTCTGCTGCCTCGTTCTTCAGTCACCGACTTTGTACTGTGGTGAGGTCATCTATAAGTACCTCTGTTGTTGCCTAGTGTCTTCGACGAGGACTCGCCCTGCTCTGCGAGACACCTTTAAGCCCAATTGTTACAATCGAAGCGATCGCAGAACTATTTTCAGAGCTCGGCCGCAGCAATGACAAATTCTTCAGCCTTGATCATTACTTACTCTGGGCTTAAGCTTAGAACAATGAAGCTGGGAATATCAGGAAGGCTTAAGGACTACGGAATACGTAGATAAAGGCCTATAGCTAAGCCTAAGTAAGTTTTGTTGTGAAAGTAAGTCCAGCGACAAGATTTGTTGTGCGTAGTAAACATAACGCGCAAGCTTCAGGCCTAAAAAACCCGGTGAAATAGGGAAGCATGAAAGCGAGATACCACGTCCACATCATCCGAAATGAGGCGTCTGGCAATGCACATTTGTATTGAGGCCATACAAGTGCATTTCCTCCGGCTTGTTGTCAAAGACCCAAGAATAGAAGAAGGAATTCGCTGGTGCTTGTGTAAGCGAAGCTTTTGATAGTATGTTGGTGCTGTTGAAATAGGCGTTGTTTGTTAGATCGGCGTTGATGTCATACCAGTTGCAGCCTCTATCTTTGTGTACTCTTGGAAGGACGCTTGCAGCGACAGGATACCAGCAGACAGTATCACTAGGACGGTACGAGTTAATTCGAAAATCGAATCTGTTCGTATAGACAAAGTACCTTCTCATCAAGAAACCATGTGGATCGGATGTATCATATCGTGGAACCTTAGGATATAGAGTCATAGGACCGTACCTCTCAGAATTCAAGCAACCTTTGGTATCTGCCTTTGTAATCGATTTTAACGCTTCGTACATCTGTTGTTCTGCAGGTAGTACAAAATTGAAGATACTCTCGGTTCGAGCCTCAACTGTGCGTACGTTCTTGACACAGCTGTCTTTCATGTGCTGATGAGGGCTTAGCCCACCGACGTTGACCCAACTGATCAAAACGATTTGCCGACAGTTACGTGCCAAAACACCGAAGATGCCTAGTGGTGATGCTAGCTGCAGTAGCAACAGAGCCATGTGCATCATCGGCGTGAGCTATCGTGTAAGTGATTGCTTAACGCTCAGTTCGATTTGGTTGTGCTGTTTAGAATCGGTGAACAGCTGCTGCGCGGAGAGGAGCCTTCTTATCACATTTCTCTGACTCTTCTCAGGGGCTGATTGCATTCTGGAGTTGCACTTGTGTTTTGTCGAGCGTAGTATGATACAGCTGCAGGGGCGCAGCATCAGACTGCATATTCGGAACTGACGGATCGATTACTTGGTGAAGTGTCGTGACTAGCTAGAGAACCATGCTGCAGCTGTCATCTGAAATCGAGTGCTATACTTTAATAGAGTCATGAAGAGCGACTAGTCAGAGATCACCTGCTGGTTTGAATGGTGATGTTTTACTTTTCATAGGGCTGAAATTGACACGCATATGGTCATCTCGTCAATTCGTCACGGTCAACAATTGTTACTTCGTATTGTCAAACAAAGTCTCCTGCTTGTAACCCACGCGACGGTGGGGTTGTCTCTTCTTTCACATTTTCTAGCCTCAGCTGAGTGTGCTGGGTTCGCGCTTGCAGACATGATGTGTAAGCGTGAAGAGGATGAAGAGACACTGTTGTGTCTGTGATCATCTATATAGCGGCGAGATGCTTGGCAAGGGCTGGTCTCTCGTTGGCACGCAGGTAGCAATCACGTTCAGCTAGTGTTTGTCGAGTTCATGGAAGTGCTGCGCAATGGCATGTGCAGCAGATGATGTGGTGAAACTCGTTTTGAGGAGGCATCTAGCAGCATGCCGCAGAGCAGCCTGAGCGGGATACATACACTCAAGCTTTGACCACGGCGTCCTATATATTCAATTAGGGAATGGCTCTCATGGGCAAAACTGACACTTGATCTGAATGAAACGTCCTACAAGAACAGTCTTCTTGATTGGACGCTGAATTCACCTTTTTGACAACCTCCGAATATGTGACTGTCAGCAGCCAAAATCACGTGCATAAACAACACGACGAGATGCCGCACAGAGGAATCCGCACTCTCGCCGCCCATCCTCCCTGCCTCCTCCATTCTCGACGCAACACACCCAACACGCAGCAGTCCCAGCAAGACACCGAGTCCACCCAAGCACTCTCACCGACCATGCCATTTTTATCCTCCGCCAAGCAAGGTGAGCCTGGGAGCGCCCAGAAACAGGGCCAGAAAGGCACCGAGCATTCAGATGCATCCAACTTCTTCCTCAACAAGACTTCAGATGACGCCGCTGGTGGTGAGGAGACCCCGGCGGACGAGCCTGCCAGTCCTAGTAAGAAGTCGAAGCGCGGTGAAGCAAAAGTCAGCGCAACGACTGAGACTGCCCCACGACGTGCCAGTGCTCGACAAGCCTCCAAGGCTACGGAAGTAGAGTTAGCTCCTCCCGCTGCTGCTCGAGGACGCAGCGGTATCGCTAGTGCATCTGCATCGACAACACGCAAGCAGAAGGGGCCCAAGGCTGATGTACAAGACAGCAACGATGTCGACGCTCCCGCAGGTGATGACGTGGAGATGTCGGCCAAGCAGGACGAGGAGCTTGGCGAGGCACCGACAGAGTCCTATATTGCTGCACGCGCTGAAGCTACAGATGACTTCCAATCGACCATTCAGCCTCCTCTCTCTCAACTCGCCAAGCAGTTGCGTAAGCAGAGGGTCGGCGGCAACAAGCGCAAACGAAAGGGTGGTCGTAAGACAAGTGAAGGCGCCGCTTCTGCATCGGACGATAGTGATGCAGACCCAGACGCAGTCGTTGACAATGGCGTTGATGACGATGATGAAGAAATGGAAGAGAAGAAAGTCAAGACCAAAGCGCCACGTAAGCGCGGACCTGCCAAACCGCGTGTTGATGCTGATGGCTACCCACTCAAGCGTGCCAAGCGAACGCAGAATGGTAAGCCTATGCGTGTGATTTCTCGCAAGGGTGAAGGGAAGCAACGCCCTCTCGTGAAGCAAGATGGTACGCCTGCTGTTGTCGATACGCCCAAGCACAAGAAAGTGGAGGCAAAATGCTACGAATGCAATGAAGTGCAGACTTCAAACTTTAGGCCCATCGTGTCTGACTACGTTGGCAAGAAATCCAAGGCTGTCGACCAGATTCCTCGCGTCGTCGTCTGCAACCGATGCTACTGCAAGATGGCTCCTCGACCCGAATACCTCAATTGGCGTCTTGGCCTGTTGCGTACACAGGTTGAAATCTTTGCACAGCATGGCATTCAGTACTTCCTGTGCGTTCGATTCGACATGGAGTCTCAGAAGGATCTCGAGGCTACCCTGGAGTTCATCGAGTACGTGCGGGATGCCCTGCGAGCTGGCGAAGAGATTGGTGGGCTCAAGGTGAAGCCAGTGTTGCCAAATGTTAGCCACAACAACACGCCCCGTCGCCATCACTCGCCTGACATGCAGCAGGCCGCCATGATGCACCACCACCAGCAGCAGCAGCAGCAGCATCACCATCAGCAACACCAGCAGCAACACCACCACCAACTTCACCATCTCCAGCAACAGCAGCAGATCCACCCAGAATTGCAGCATGGCTTACACAACTTGCAGCAGATGGCCAACCAGCCCCACATGCCTCAATTGATGGGTGGTATGACGGAGAGCGATGCAGAGATGGCTTTGCGCCAGATGCAGCATGGTGGACACATCCCTGTGCCCGAACCCATCTTGGAGATGTGAGTGGCGTGTTTCGGGGTCCGTTGTCTATATCTTTATGCAAAGAAAGTATCGTTCCATGCTCGCCAGAGCATTCTATCATAACTTACCTAGTACTCTTTATTTTCTGCTATCGTCTATTCCGGAAAGCCTTTATGGCCACATCTGACTGTACAAGTATTCATTTCGATCATCTCTGAGGAGGACCGACCTTCCATCTCGGTCCTGGCTGCTTCGAAAGTACGGATCCATTTCATACTTGGCACGCCAGCTTGCTTCCTTTTGTTGCTCAGCACTGACTTCAGCCTCAATGGAGATTGGGTTCTCGCCAACGACAACCTTGCCTGATGCTTGTGCTGTGATGTATTGCGCAAGTGTAATGTTGGACAATATCAAGAACCGCGCCAACTCGACCTTGGCAGTCGGTGTCAATGCGCCAACTATATCAGGACAAGCCCACGCATGTCTTGAGACTGCAACACTGCGTGCATACGCATGTGTCGAGTCGGCCACCAAAACAGACACAAATAAGGTTGAGCGTAGATGCATGATCCAATCAATAATCTCACCTCGATCAAACCGCAATTTCTTGATGGCTGCAAAGGCTTCTCTGTCTCTTGGGTTACTCGTGGCTCGACCCGTACTTGTGACTCTGACACCGGACTCGGTGACATGCTCTATCGCGGGTGATTGATCCGGTGAATGCATGAGTGAGATGCGCGTCTCGACATGATACCCTTGCTCTTGGGCGAGTTTGATGGCTTCTGTCATTTCAGCTCTGACAACTTCGCCATCATGATCGCGCGTTGCCAGGTAAATGGCTCTGGTATCGAGTGCTTTGACTTCTGGCTGGCTGAGAATCCCTCTCATTTGCTGAACTGCCGTTTCATCATGGACCAGTACAAGTGAGAGGTAACTCGGTGACGTCGTATTCTCTCCTGGGAGTGTCGTCAAGTGTGGCGTCGAGTGTTTCATACTGTCATATACATGTGCTGCAAGGGACCGGTAATCTCGTGCTGGAATGAGCAAGCGACCCCAATTGGACCAGAAGTCAACTGTATCGTATAACGCGGGCCAACCCCAATGAACGGTGAATAGATTGATAAAGACGGGCATTGTTTCTGTTGGTTGTCGATCAACCTTGCTTTGCATATAATCACGAATGGCCGCTTGAAAGCTGTACAAATTACCCATGGCATGTTCTTGTATACCAGGAACATTGCGGAGCCCTGGTAAGTCGTAGGGATCGAGACGACCCGGAGTCGTCGTCAATGCATCATAGTTTGGAATCTGCTGCTTCGTTTCAACAAATTGCATCTGTGGGCACGCTTGGCTGATTCGCTTTCGAAAGACAGTCAAATCGAAGTAGCTTGAGAGAGGGCCGAGCTCTGACTGGTATCGAATACGCGGCATCACCACACTACCGCCCATCTGAAGTGCATACCGTAGACAGAGGAGGATCATGTTGCGAGACTCCCAGTACTGGGTGTCCTCGGTGACACAGCCAAAGTATAGGCCAGGGATCTGTTGTGTTGATCGACAAAGTCGTTGGATGGAAGAAGGGTCCCATTCGCCTTGTGGCTCGAACGCAGTGAGCTGTTGTGTGGTGAAACGGGTCTGCCAAGCCTGACTACCCGCCTGCGGCTGCTTCGGCGCTGCTACGACGTCTTTGAAAGAATCCGGCAGCTTCATCTCAATATCACCTCCCCACAATGCAGCATGAAGCACGATGAAAAGGCCAAGAAAGAGGGTCAGGTCGAAGAAGAGTAGACGTGCTTTGCGGGAAATGCGCTGACCGAGAAAGGGTTCGAGGCGATCCTCGAGGGATTGTGAGAAGTAGGAGGAGGGTCGCCATGCGGACTTTGACCTGTCGCGCTCAAACATGGCTGCCGCGCTGGGCCCGTCTTGCTCGAGAGCTGTACCGTCGAGTGTGTCGCTTCTTGGTCGCGCCAAAATTCAAGAAAGCGACGCATCAACTCGCAGGAACGATCTCTACATCTACTTCAGCATGCCGAACCCAAAGAAGAGGGCAGAAAAGGCAGAGGCAGCGTAAGACTAAAGATTCATAACTTCTTCACTGACAAGACAGTTCTGGCAAGAAAAATGCAGCAGAATCAGTCAAAAAGGCCGCACAGGAGGATGAGCAGTGGTCCAAAGGTGCAAAGGGAACATCCAAGGCAGACAAGGATGCAGAGAAGCGTGCAGAGCAACTGAGGAAGAAGGAAGAAAAGGCAAAGCTTGAGGCGGAAGAGGCAAAGAGCCTTCCGAGCAAGCCGACTGCCGCCGCTCGAGGCGCCGACAAGGCTGCCGCACGCAAGACTGGCAAGATTGATGATTTCATGAAGGATGCGGGCCTATCAACAGCCAAGGCTCCTGGCTTGTCTGCAACGAATATCGACGATGCGCTGGATGCATTGACCTTGTCGAGTAAGGCGAATAAAGGGTCCAAGGGGCTGTCTGCATCAGATATTGATCGCCACCCAGAGAGACGCTTCAAAGCTGCTTATGCTGCCTTTGAAGAACGCAGGATAGCGGAGATGAAGGCAGAGAAGAGCGGACTCCGGCTGCAGCAGATGAAGGATGTGGCATACAAGGAGTTCTCCAAGCATCCTGACAACCCATTCAACCAGGTCACTGCGGATCACAATGCAAGCAAGGAGGAGTTGGCTGCGATTGCTGCTGCGGAACGGAAGAAGGTCGAGGATAGGTTGGCGAAGTAGTTGTGGCAGGTATCGGCAGAAACATCATTGCTTCTGAGGCTCGTTGACCTGCAAGTACGAGTAATGATATCATGTGGTAGGCAGCTGGCCACTTAAGTAGTAAATTCCATATGAATGAGCGAGAACGCTTGAGTGCATAGCGAGAATGGTCGCACTGCTCTAGACGGCCTGCTGAACGAGACAGATGTCTGTCATGCTCGACATGACAAGGGGATCAGAAAGATTCGTACAGCATCCGCCTTCTCGTTGCGCTAGTGGTTGATACGACACGCTTGCAAGAGTAAAACGGAGCCATAGTAACAAGGGTATCTCGAATGATGCCTATCTATGCATGCATAAGCACAGCAGCTGAGCGGAGACATTCATGGTCTACGCCTAGATACATCTGGAAGAAGCGAAAGTCCTCATTTCGTCCAAGGAGAAGCGCTCCTCAACGGCCAGCTGCAGCTGTCACTGAGTCTGAGGCTGACTGAGCTGTGTTAGCCTGTGTGGTCTTGTGTTCTCGTCGTGCAACTGCAACCAACGCCCACAACAAGCAACACCCAACTGGCGCGTCACGGAGCACAGGCCAGGCCATGGCAGACCCGATTCTTGCCTTCTACGGGATCACGTCGCATGCGCCAGACGTCTGGCAAGATGTAGACCAATCCACAGTGCGCAACAGTGTGTCGTCCACAACAAAAGAAGTTCTTGGATTGGACACCAATATACCAGCATCACTCAGCGCTGCAGGTATTCTTCGCGGCGGAGATGTCCCTACAGAGTATCAAGTCTCGAGCAAGCACTTCAACGCGCGCAGCTATATTCGCGATGTTCATCGTAAAGCAACGCCGAATGACCTGAAGCGTGGTCAAGCCAACTTGCTTCGCGAAATCGAAGACAAGTCTGGTAGTCTGCGGTCACTCGTTGAAGACAACTTTGATCGCTTTGTTGGCAGTAAAGGGACGATTGATGATGTGTATGCACAAATCTCGAGTGAGTTCTTGAAGCGAACGCCGGCAACCAACAAGAGTCCCGTTAAGGAGATGCCGACATATATGCGTCGACCATCTGCTTTTCAGAAGGACAAGAAGGAAGAGCCTGAAGGTGGCATCACCGATCAAGTCAAGGATAAGCTGTATGATTGCTCAGCTCGTGCAGCTCAAATCTTTGAGCCCATGGTTGAGAGCAAGCGGAAGGCAGACAAGCTCAAAATGTCGCTCGGTATTTTGGACCGCTACAGCGAGCATTTTGCACTGCCATCTGTCTTGATGAATCGTATTGAACGCGGCGATACGGACGGTTTGCTCAAAGCTTTCAAGCAGGGCAGCACTCTATATGATGAAACGCACAAGAGCTTATCATCCGCAAATCCAAGTTCAGCAGCTGCCTCCAAACGCGATATACGTGCGCTTGCTCGTGTATGGGCAGAAGTAGAACGCGTGATGAAGGCCTATGAACAAACTCTTCTACGCTCACTCGATACGCTTGAAAAGCCAGACCGAATTGTCAAGACGTGCAATACTCTGTTGGAATTGGGCGTTGCAGAGAATCCATATTTGCGTGCTTATACGCAAAGTGTTGCCCGTGTCAAGGAAGAGAGTAGTGTTGCCTTGCAGCGGACGCGCACGCATGTCGAGATTCTTCGGCGCAATGTTGAAATCCCGAGATTGAAAGGGTCTGCTGTGGAGCAGAAAAAGACACGCATCACAGCTTTACACAATTTCATCTCGGCTGAGCTTTCGCCTGCCAGTGCAACGAAACTTCCAATGACGGAGAGTGCGTTGACGCTGGATATGGGCGAAGTGGCAAATTTCTGGAAAGCCTTGGATGCATTGGTGGATAGTCTTTGGACAACACAAGTACAGCGAATCGCAGAGTCATGGTCTGTCGTACAAGAGTTCTGTGGAACTGGCTCAGGATTGTCTGGTGGCACGCGTCCATTGAACCTGCTTCCATCTGGTCCACAAGGATCTTCAAAACGTCATCACATCTTTTCGGCGACAGAGAGACAAGCAGTCAGCACGCAAGCTGAAGAATGCGTCGCCGCGCTCTGTACCCATTTTGCAGAGTTCTGGCTGTCAAAGCCCATCAAGGATCTTCCGTCAATTTATTCCCCTGCGTCTGTGTCAGAGTCGCCCGTCACACCACAAACTTCAACCGAAGGCCCCACCTTGCCAACGTTGCCGCCCGATGCTGCAGATGCAGAATTTTCCTTCTTGACAGGTTACGCCACATCTGTTTCTACAGTCGTTCGGCTCACTCACATCATGACGCTCATTATGGATGGCGCACATACCCTCAAATCTCTACGCATCAGCAGCAAAATTGACGATGCATGTCGCTCTCTCGTCACAAGTATTCGTGAGCGCTTCATTCGCGCCGTATGTGAAGCGTGGCAGGCGGATTGTGAGCACCTTCCACATCTGGAAACTTGGCACAAACTTGCCCATCAGAATGTTCTGCCAGGCGCGACTCCACCTCCACAAGCTCGACCTACAACGCAAGTGGATGGTACTGCCTTTCCCCAAGTCTTCTTTGCGCTTCAGAAAGCCTTGGTGGATGGTATTCGCGCGTTGGCCTATGCAAATGGTGCAGGTAGTCAAACGGGATCACCGGATATGGTGCTTGGTCTCAGTCAACGGCTCGTTGGCAACATTCGACAACAATTCTTCAAGAATGTGTATACCGTCACGAATGGTCTTATGACATTGACGTATCAGCAGCCACCTCTTGTTATGTATCTGGAAGCGGACGTGGTGCTTGCTGATTTGGATGTCGATGCAAAGAAGCTCCTGACGCTTGCGAATCTGGGTGTCATGCGGCATAGCACCGTTGAGCGTATGGTAAACAGCTTTGAGAGCGCCTTTCAAGTGGGCATTACAGAAGATGTCGGCAAGATTGCATCCATGCTGAAACAGTATGACGACAAGATTTTCAGCAACTTTGGCAAGCAAAAAGCATTGGAGCTGGAAGGGATTGTGCTTGGCCACTTTAACGACATTTCAACATCACAACAAACGCGGCCGGCGGACAGCAGTGCCGAGACGACCACCAAATTCGATGTGCTCCGGTTGCCCCTACCAACGGATGTGTCAAGTTATGCGTACAATTTGGTTCTGTTACTGGTCAAAGTCCATGCGCAAGTGAGCAATGCCACGCCGCTCTTGCTACAACGTCTCTTGACGTACCTGGTCGACTATGTCTATGAGACTTTTGCCTCAGGTCTTAGATCGCTCTGCAAGAAGTGTACGTTGGGTGCATACATGACTTTCTCCATCGACCTCGAATTTCTCAACCTCGTCCTCAGCAGTTATGTGAGTACACGAGCCATGCAAACGGCAGAACGGCTCTTTCAGGAATTCGGTGGGCGCTTGGTGGAGGAAGCAGAAAGTGGGCGACAAAAGGAAGAACCGGACGTCAAGCGCATCTTGAGCAGAGCGAGGCGTGCAGTCATGACACAAACGAGGGTATTCAGACTTGAAGAAAAATAGAGGTTTCTAGATACACGACGTAATGGGGCTATTTCAAATTGCTTGCGCTCAAAAGACGTTCATTTGCAGCATCAGCTGACGCGCTTGCCAATAAAGGACTTTGCTCACTGGCAGAAGCCGTCTCTTGTGCTGGTCTGCGCGTGGCTTGTCTATGCTGCTTGACCAGCTTTATGAGCTGCCTATGCGATAAATCATCTAGTACAAGCGCACGTTGCTCTGCCTGCTGCTCCGCCGACAAGTTCGAACTTGCCTGATCAAGACCCGGCAGCGGCACATGATTTTCTTGCAAGTAGCGCTTGAGCTTGGCAACGGACCATTCGCTTGGATTATTGGAAGCTGCTGCAATCTCTGGCTCGAGCGGGTCGCTCCACATGGAGAAGGCGGTGCCGAGCGCGACAAAGCCAACGAACCCATAGAGTAGCGTCCGTCCAATTGGCATCTTGTCGAGAAGTTCTTGCTGGGTGAAGGACCAGCTGCGCGTATAGCTAGGTGAATCGCTTGAAGTACTCTTGTATCCGATGGGCCACAAATAGTACGAGGATGCTGAGAGCGATGCGCCGACCCTCGATGGTAAAAGCGAAGATTGAGACTCGCTGTCAAAGGTTAGGAAGATGGATGCGCTGTTGCCTGCGTGATGCTCTACCATGTACCAGCTGCTGGTGTCATGAAGCTGGATCTGGAGGTGTCAGTGCCAAGAACTTACTCAGATGGGCTGGACGCTCACTGATGAACTCAACACGCATCTGCACATGGCCAATGCACGCAGAAGTGACCTACTCCTGATTGTCTTGTGAGAACTCAGCCTTGCAGTAATTTATCCTGTTGAAATACATAGATCACGTCTAGACTCATGAAGCCGGCCAAAATACGACCACTCAGAGCAAACCCCCGAAACTGCGCATGGTCAGCATGAAATGCACCATTCACTTGACGTCAACGAAAGAGAATGGTCTCGCTCAGAATACGACTTAAAGGAAACGGAAAGACGGAGATCCGAAAAGCATAAGAGGAGGCTCTCATCCACCCTTTGGCCAACATTGAGGAACTTCTCAGCACTTGCATTACGACCATCAGCTTTGCAAATGAACAAATCCCACTGGTCGCTTTAGGTTTTGTTGTTTTGTGGCGGATTGGTCACCACTGCTGCTGCTGCTACTGCTGCTGCTGCTGAAGAGATTGGAGGGCGGGATAGTTAGGGTTGTCTGACTTTCGAGGTACTGTATCTACTCCCGGAGGCCAGTGAAGTAGTCAGTGATGCCAACTGCCAGCGACAATGCAACACAAAGGTTTCGAATATTGTGCAGCTGCTTAATGGTAAATGGCAGTGCTTGGACCACCTTGGTGAATCAGGAACAGCCGTGCCTACGAAGTGGGGGAACAAGATTTGCAAATGTAAGATGTCGGCCAACGTTTCGAGCTCGGCGTCTTGCAATTTGCGATCGATCACAAAAGCGCTCAAGGATCAATTGACTGCGAAGTTCCATTTTAGCCCTGAACAAAGGGATTGTATTTTTTTTGCTTAACAGCATTTCCAATTCTACTCAGTCTTTGGCTTGTGACTATCAATGCCAAGGATCCACATCGCTATTCGCAGCTTCATTCAAATAGAGATCAAACCCTTTTTTTCTTATTACCTGTCGTCACAGACATGACGTGTACACATGCATGTTTCAAGCTGCATACAAGTCTTTTCATTTCTAGAGCCAAAGATACGCATAAGGAAATTCCGTGTGCCGTACGCACATCCAAGCGGATAATCTTGCGAGCTGAGCAACGATGGCAATTCGGCAGCTTGTAACGTACTTGGCAATTGAAGCATTGCAGTCAGGGTAGCAATCAGACAGATGAGACGTCCAACTACTGAGGTTGAAGCTCACAAGAGTAGGATACAGATTGCAGCAAGGCCTGGCGTAGTCGTGGAGACTGATATCGAACTATGTCTCGCGAATGAACTTCTTCCCATCTGACCAAAGTGACCCCGCAATGCCGTCGCCTGGACAGCCAACCGCTGCATCGTTTCCTACAGGACGATAGCCAGATCAATGACAGAGCACAAGGACCTTGCCTATTACAAATGGCAGACCAAGTTTTGCACTCGCTTCGGCGACAATGATCAGTATGGCCATGTCAATAACAGCAAAATGTATGAATATGTATGTTGCCCATCATGATAGAACATACTGATACGTCCTGCAGTTTGATGCAATCGCCAACAAGTACCTGATACTGCGTCAGTCATTACCTATTCATGCGTGAGTGCTGACAACAGATGCGGGGTTGGATCCACAATCGGCGACAGAACCCATTGGTCTCGTTATTGCGTCTGGCTGTCGCTATTTTGCGCCCTTGGAGTTTCCGGATGAACTCATTGGAGGCCTGACGGTAGGAAAGCTTGGCAAGACGTCTGTCACGTATCACATTGCTGTATTCAAAGAAGGAAACGACACTGCGGCGGCGGCAGGTCACTTCACACATGTGTTTGTCAATCCAAAGACGCGGCGGCCAGTACCTATCAAGGAGACGATGCGAGATGCCTTCTTGACGCTGCTGAGTAGTGAAGCAAAGGCTCAGCTTTGAGGAATAGATGCGAGTCCTTTGGCAAGCAAGAAACGCCCAACACACCAGCCATACCAGATGAGGTACACTGTTCCTGTGACACGTATTACATGGCTGACAAGAACGAAGCTGGTAGACTATGTAGAAGCCAGATATCCTCGACTCTTGACAGAGGTAAATGAGGATATCACATGTCAGCAATGCAGCACTCGAGAACAACGCAGCAAGGTACACCATCTCTCGATACTGGCTTCATTCAACAGACGCAGACCATGTCAGGCATGACTGAGCCACTACAACCGACACTCAAGGGCAATCAAGAACGCACTACACCCTTCAAGAATGACATTCTCGCCAAACCGACACCGGACAAGGTCGTGCGGCTAGACAAGCGTCCAAGTCGTCCCTCGTCTGCACAGACGGATGCAGAAGGTAATTGAATCTCTGAGTTGAATAGTCCTGCCGTTGTGACTGGAGAGCTCTCGGTAGAATCGCGATCAACACATGGCTCGCCGTCACTTCGAGCTCAAGTCTGCTGTCTCATTTCGATTGAGCGGTGGGTTGCATGACTTGAAAGGCAGCATGAGTATGGTGTCTTCAACGGCTTGTGTTCATGACTGAAATGCTCTCGCAAATGACCTTGCGGACAAAGGGCTGGACACAATCCAACAAGAAGCACGAGACGAAGCTACGTTGTGAGCAAGAGAAAGTGGCACACTTGCAGCAGGACGTCCAAGGATGATACTCACTTTGACGCAAATGACTGACATGCTGACAAGGCAGGCCGAGCGCACTGCTAGAGCAAGGCGAGACGCACCGTCGTGAACGAGTTGGCTTTTGGCTAGACTTGACTCGATACATCGTCCGACTAGAGCCCTTGCTGCGAGCAATACATTACAATTCGAGGTGCCTCGCCTGGCAACCATTCGACTGACTCATGGCTGATGCAAGTCCTGTGCATAGAGCTCGGTCAAGACAGCAAAGGGTTCATGTAAGCGACAGTTGACAGTATTCTTACAGCGAGCTCACCGAACAATCGCAATAAGATGTCGCTATGGGTTTCTCCCTCGCTGGAGTAGCAGTCTGCCCACCTTGTCCCGCCCCGCTCCAGAGTGCAGACGTCCTGGAACTCTCGTATTCGTCGTACTGGCATCTTCAAAGCGGATCGAGACTGACAAGGTATCTGGCCTGACGCAAGTCTCGACTCAAGGACAAGTCTCCGTGGTCTTGGCATATCACGCACGTTGCATGCGCTGGCTCCTGAGGGTAGTGAACAGCTGGCAGACTGTAATGCCTTTAGCTGGTAATATTCGTTCCCCATGCCTCCATGCATGAAAGAGTGCGAAAGGCCGTGTCTAGACTCTGAACTGCAGCTGTTCCTCTCCAATAAGGTAATTCTGTTTGCAGTTGCAGACCTCTGCATGTTCTAGTAGTATACTACATCACTGCACAAACCGCCTCGAGCCCGCAGAGTTGCATATACTGCGAGAAACACGAACAGATATGCAACTTTGCAAGACTTACAAGCGCATAATAAATGGTCCGATGTGTAACAGCGAACAGACTAACCACCTGAGCCTGTATCGTCTCGTGCGAGTGGACTTCTCTACGCACCGCTAATGATATTTATTGGTCAAATTCAACACATCGGCATCTTGAATAGGCTCTCCTAACATGGGAGAAGCCACCACACGTTTGCAGCTGCAGTTGGTTCGTCACATGGCTGTCCAGCTCAAGGGTCTGCTCTCGCAAGTGCCCAAGCATATACGCAAGCGCATGGCTAGATACAATTGATCAGAAATCGATTCAGGGATGTGCTGCGGCTGAAAGGCATAAACAGGGAACATGTCCGCCCATGTTCAGGCGCAATACCCTCAACCCTTCCAGGACTCAATCACCAGCTTGGGCAAGCATGTTTCAGTGGCCATTACTGCTGCTCAGCCTTTCAAACCTAGCTTCAGCTAAGCCAAACGCCGATTCAAGTCTCAATCAATGCCATGGGGTCACATACGATGTCGTTTTATTACTGGACAAATCGGAGTCCGGTTACTATACACAGTGCGATACTTCTTTCGACAAGCTGCCCCAAGCACTCAATACAATATGCTCTCATGGAGGCTCTCCTCCACGCTTGGACGTTCGGAACACAGGCTCTCAGGACGGGCACCCAATAATTTGTGAATGCATGGTTCAGGCTATCTTGGACCAAAAGTATACCGCAGATGTGTCGAGCACGAGTTGCAACATAGTCGATGTGAAGACGAGGTGGGAGGAGAACTGGAAGACGCAACATCATGGGAAGCTTTCTTTGGAAGTACGTGGGAACCCGGGAAACAAGACGAACTGCGCTGATGACGATGATAAGGATGTTGACAGCTGAAACTGTTCGAGATGACTGGTAGACGTACTAGACGATAGTAACCACTTTGAGATTGATGATGCTCGCTATGTAGAGAAGGGGCATTATGCGCGTATTATTGCAAGCGTAATCGGTCTCGCACAGCCATGCAACAAGCTCATCCAGCTGATCTTGAGGCTCAACTGCATAGATAGCTTCCTGCATCAGGCATCTTTCGTTGTTCCTGCGATGGTAATTGTTTCTCCTGACATTTCCTTGGCGTGCGATCTGCCCAAAAAAGTTGAACCTCGCACGAAGCAGCGCGACAGAAGCTACACCGCAAACGGACATTGCACAGGACAGGGCCATGCAGCCGCCGAGCCATGGAGGCCAGCAATCGCATGCATCCATTGCTGAGGCCAAGGAAGCGATCGGGACGGGTCATTTGGTGGCTATGCAGCGGTATGCCACCGAAGGCAGCAAAGAGGATCTGGTGACCTTCTGGACACGCTGCATAGCGAATAATGACTCTGCGACAGCCACAGCCATTGTGAAGCTTCTTTCTTCAATGCTTGTCAAGTCTGATGGAGAGACTGGTTGGAGTGCGCTTGGTGCTACATGCATCCGGCGAGTGCTTGCCGAGCACACGAAGTCCATTCTTCGCAATGTGTCTTCTGGCAAGGCTGTTTACATCAATCCTACACTACGACTGCTCATCACCATGGTCAACTACGATGTGGGCAGTCTGGCGAATGAAGTGTATGCGGCGGTCGATATAGCCACCTTCAAAGGCTGGCCAAAGCTGCTGAATCGCGCAGGGCCACCTCGTAAAGAGCAAAGGGTAACCCTCGGCAAACGCAAACGAGAGGAAAACACGAGCAGCAAAGAAGCTGTACGTGGTCTCTTTGTCGAACTCTACTTTGCGTTGCTGCACAATCTGCAGCCAACGCTCAAGGCAGAGCTACTGTCCCATCGCCAATTCACGACTGAGCTATTCAAGCACATTGGGCAAGACGATGCGTTCACCCTCAATAAGGCACTGAAGGGAATGACGCATGTGGTTGAAACGCATGACGTGCCGCGCACTGCCAAAGTCAAGTTCTTCAATGAGTGGACGCTTGAGCGCCTTGTGTCGCTTTACACCAAGGATTTTACGGCAGATGAGGAAGAGGATGCTGAGCATCTTCAAAGTCAGCTACGGCAGGCCCTTCAGACTTTCTTCCTCCATGCAACAACCATCTCCAACGAAGGCATTAGTTTTGCGTCCCATGGGTTGCATCCGCCAGCGTCATTTCCTAAAGTCAAGCTCTTCAATCCAATATTGGGTGCGTTTTGTCTGACTTTGAAACCCCTGGCGGACGACCTACAGCTTGAATTACTTCTCAAGATGTTGGCATCAACGCCAGAACTCATCGCGCATTATCTCAACAATGCCACTCTTGATCTCGATCCCCAACTTGAAGTTTCGTGGATTGGTGCAATGAGGCTCTTGGACTCAATTCTTGCATTGCCGCTTCCTGAAGATTACGATACCAGTATTATTGACCTGCAACCCGTCCCTGCAAAGCTCAAGGCTGACAACTTACTACCATCAAATTTTTCTAAAGTGCTTGTCAAAGGCTTACAGCACGAGTCAGACCTCGTTAAGCTCATGACAGCCAAGACATTTTGGTCGGCACTCAAGAAGCTTATGAATGCACGAACAGCTGGACTCGTTGATGAGTCTGTGCTTGAGCTTGTGCAAAGCCGGTGTCCAGACTTGCAGATTGTTTTGAAACTTGCGACGCAGTCTACTACCGCAGAGACGTCGGAAGAAGTGATCTTACTGCGTGAAGTGTGCATACTCCTTCTCAATGGCTATGTCATGCTCTTTGAACATATGCCCAGTTTCGACTTTGCGACGCTCTTTAGTCTCATTTTGTCGCCTGCTGACGGGACTTTGGTCACCGACAAGGAAAGAGATACTGTGGTTGGTATGGTCTCATCGATCCGTGGGCTTCCTTGGCTACAGCGCAAGAAGGAGACTGAATCAGTCTTTGCTACGCTTCTCCAAAATGTCCTCAGACTCAACACCTCTGAGGACGCCGCGAGACGAGCCACCAGCTCACGCGTTCTTGATGCACTCATTCAACAAGAGTCATTCATGTTTTCAGAGACGCCGGTTTCAAAGTCTGAAGCGTTGGTTCGATCGCTCCAGCCATTTGAGCCCTCAGAACAACAATTGCTTGTACGGTTCGTTGAAGAATGTTTTATTCGTTTCCAGGCTGCTCCATATCGCTACTACGATCAATTGGTGGCATGGGCGGCAAAGAACGAAGGGAACTCAACAGACTTGACCGCCACCATGAGTTGCATCTTGCTGACCCTGAAAGAACAATTACAATATCAAACCAGTCCTTCCGCAAGTCAGTGGCTCATATCATTTTGTGGGTTTCTTGCCAATACCGGGGACGATTGGGCGTTTTGCGAGCACGTTGCTTGTCAACAGATTGAGTCGTCGCATAATTGCAATGATCTGTCTTTGTGGAATGCACAGTGGCTCGTTGTGTATCTTGGCGATGCAGAGCGAGAATATCTTCCTGCGACGATTGACAAATGGACGCTGTTGCAACAAGTGGTGGATCATTTGGAAGAAGCAGACTTGCAAGTGCTCAATGCTTGGTTACTAGAGCGTTGGCTCAGGCCTCTATCGGAACAGCCTGAAGAAAATGTTCTTCTCATGCAATTTGTCATTTCTCTTTTCAGTCAAGCTGATGTGGCCAAGATGCCTGATCTCGCACATCTTCTCAAGGAACAACTGATCTCAGGCTCATCGCTTGTGGACTGTTCGTCTCTTGTCCCTGCTGATTTTGCATTGTCATGGCTTGGTGAATCGCTAGAGGGAGGCACCACGGCCTTTCAATTGCTTCCCTGTCTTGATCGAGCGCACCCGGTCACAGGTCAGCAGTTCAGCGTTCTTCTTGGTAAGGCTTCAAATGACGAGAGTGCACTGCGAAACATCGCGAGACTCCTTCGCAATGATGCTGTTGTCAAAAGTGATCTTACCTTACTGGAGACCAGCTTGACCAAGACAGCCTATCCAGAGGCAATGGCCGAAGTTCTTGCAGAACTGGTCACGGAATTCCCAAGCACAATTTCACAGGCACTTCAATTTGCGAAGATACACGGGCCACAGACGACCGCATCATTATTAGCCGCATTGCTCTCGCTTGATGAAACAAATGCATCCGTACTCGCAATGCTTCAAGACCCTGAAGAGTATTATTGCAAGACTGATCTAAGCAAAGAAGTCGACGATCCGTGCCTCCTAGCCTTATTGCACGAATCCAAGCACCTACGTCAGCAGTTGTCCATGCAGCTGACTGCCAGCTCTTCCCTTCTTGGTCTGCGTGTCTTTGTGGAATTACAGTCTCACAAGGACAGTGCTGACGACGTTCAAGCAGTCGCTTATATGCAGCAAGTCTTCGATGGCCTGACAAGGTCTTTTGCTGAAGATCGTGTTGAGGAAGACAAAATGCTATCAGAAAGCACGCTCGCTTACGTTGACGTCTTGGCCACAAGTGTCACCAAGCTTGGTGCGGATCGCCTTGTCAGATGGGTGACCGTGACGAAGCTTGCACCACTCGTCGAAGCAGCTCTTGCAAATCAAATTCAGCATCCTGCAGTCATCCATCTTTTAGCAGCGCTCGCTACTGCCTTCTTTGAAGCGTTTCCTTATGCCAAGAGCGCGCAAACAATTCTCGCGCATCAAGATGCTCTCTTGCGCGGAGAAACACGGGTCTCCTTAGCTGAGTTGCTTTTGCGCATGCTGCAAGTTACACCGACTTGTGCATCGGTCGCCTGGCTTGATGAAATTTTGAGATTGTACTCAGGCTCGCTAGATGCTTTTGATCAGGTCTTGTTCAAGCTGTTGCAAGCACTTGAAGGGACGCTTCGTGTTTCTGTCGGGTCGCGTATCAAACATTGGCGGCTAGAGGAGACTCGAGCGAGTGATAGTCAGTCTACAGACTCCCCCACTCGTGCCAAAGCCGTTGAAGTGGTCCTCAGCAAGCATTTGGCGCTCAGTACATTGACACACTTTGATGTATGCTTGGATTTGGCTAGAGAACCTCATCAAGTCTACAATTTACGCTTCATTCTGCCCGTCATTGCTGGCTTCCTCTATGCCGATGAGTCGATGGAGCAGCTCAGATTGTTGCTCGATCACCATGCGCTTGGCCTCGTCTTCCTTGGTTTGGCTCACCCAGAGCATGACGTGCGCTGCACTGCTTCATCTACGCTTGCACTGTTTGATCGTCTCATCCGCGCCTCAAAGCTCCGAGAAAAGGTGCAGCTGGAGACGCTTCTGAGTGCTCTCCAAAATGCCACAACAGCAGATCTTTGCAGTATCACAGGAAAGCCTTTGCCACTACTGACGGCCGTCTTTCTAGCTTTGTCGGTACCGGTACTGACCATGTCCTCCGGTATTCATCTCTATGATAAACTCAATCGATTCCTTCTATCGAGACCGGCATTGGATCTGCTGGATGTACCCATGCTCATGACACTCTTTTATTCATCTGGTGCTGGAGCGACTGGCGCTGGCGATTATGGCAAGGAAATTGTATGGCTTCTTCGAATGCTAGTCGCTGGTTTTGCAGATGAGAGCGTGTTGACGGCACACGTGGAGGAGGAGGCGTTGCCTGATGCAGATGAGATGGAGGTTGATGGAGAGGTCAAACAAGCACACGCTTCTCTCTTCCTGGAGCCGTACAAGCGCCGACACGTTTTGCCACTCGTCATGGGTCTATTCACGGCACGCACTGCAACAATACAAATCAAGAATCTGGCTCTGGATCTGGTCGCACGACTTGTGGACAGTGCTTACTATGCAGCTCAACGCCAGAAACGAGGTGGTGCTGTGCGCCTCTTGCGACGATATGGTATTCGTGTGTGGCTCGCTGTGCAAAAGGCTTTGTTGCAGAATGAGTCGACCAGGACTGGCGCTGCAACGACGTCCGGCAAACGGGCGAAAGAAGGAGCGAGTGCTGCACGTCGTCGAGCAGAGGCGCAAGCGCTCCTAGCGAGGCTCAATCACTTGGAAAGTCAGATGGAAGAGATATCATCTATGCCATAGTATGCAAAAAGTCTACTCATGTTGGCATATTACTGCTCCATCATTTCCTGGCCCTCTTCACCGCCCTCGGGCTGTTGCTGTGCCATTTGCTGTTCCTGAGGTCCACCCATTGCTTTACTCTTACTCCTTGACGCTGAGCATATATCATCCACACGAAGCAGCAAACACGCGCTTTCAATGGCGGTCTTGATGCTCTGGACTTTGACGGCAGTCGACTCATATACGCCGTACTCCTTCATGTCCACCACTTTACCAGCCTCACCATCGATACCCCAAGTTGGGCCACCCCCAGCAGCTAAACCAGCAACATGCTTTGCACGCAATGCAGTGAGTGCTCTGATCGGATTACCACCACAATTCTGTACAAGTGTGCGAGGAATAACTTCCATGGCTTCCGAGACACTCTTGATGCAATTAGCACCTACGCCTTCTGTTTGTCGGGCGAGATCGGCCAGCGCGACAGAGACGGCAATTTCTGTGGCACCGCCACCGGGTGAGAGACGTGGGTTGAACATGACATTGCGCGCAACAGACATGGCATCTTGCAAGTTACGTTCGAGCTCGTTGATGATGTCCTTCGATGGACCCCTCAGCAAGATGGTGCATGCTTTAGGGTCTTTGCACTTTGTCAAGTACGTGAAATATTCATCTGCAATCTTTTGCACCTCAAAGAGACCGCAGCCTGTACCGACATCTGCATCGCGAAGGTCGGCGATATTATTGATAATGGTGGCGCCTGTTGCTCGAGCAATACGGTTGTTGTCTGTTTTGCGAACACGACGAATGGCAGTGATGTTTCCCTTCATGAGGTAGTGCTGTGCCAGGTCAGAGACACCTTTTTCGGTCAAGACGAGATCTGGCTTCACGGCCATGATGCTATCGCACAATTGCTTGATTTGCTCCTCCTCAATCTCCAGGATACGTGCCCAATCTGCCTCTTTTGTGATTTCAATGTTGGTTTGCGACTCGCCCTTCTTGTACTCGAGCGGGCAATCCAGTAGAACAATACGGGGATTTTCAATCTTGCGGCGCATGTTTGGATGAGTGATGTCCTTGTTGAGCATGACACCATCCAAGACACAACACTCCTCAATCTCACCACCGGGGATCTTTTCAATACGCGCATATCGCTTGATGTCTACCTCGCGCTTACCAGAGTGTTCAGTTGTGACGCAACGTACGGCACGCAGAGCAAGCGAGACCATGAGATCAGACCATCTGCTAGAGAATTTTGTTCCAATGGACGTCTTGATGATTTGTGACATTTCCTCATCAGAGTCTGTATTGACCTTGACTGAGATTTGCTCGATTGTCTCAAGGGCAGTCTTGAGGGCTTCCTTGAATGCGGCGATAATGACAACGGGGTGGATGTTGCGTTCGAGATGCGGTAGGGCATGAGCGAGAATCTCACCAGCCAAAATAATGACAGAGGTGGTACCATCACCGACTTCCTCATCTTGTGTGCGAGAAAGCTCAATCATTGATTTTGCAGCAGGATGAGCGACTTCAATCTCACGCAAGATGGCATGTCCGTCATTTGTCAGCAAGACAGAACCCATTGGATCCAGCAGCATCTTGAGCATGGCCTTAGGCCCAAGACAGGTGCGAATAACATCGGCAACTGTCTTTGCGGCTGTGATGTTGCTAATTTGTGCTTTTCGGCCGGTTGTTCTTTGGCCGTTGCCGATATTGACCACCATAGGATCTATCATTAGCTTGAGAGGTCGCAAAAGCAAGAGAGACACGTACTCATGGCTGCTTGAGCTGTGGTGTTGAATGCTCGCTGCTTCTCGCTCGTGAAAATTGAAATTCGCGTCGTCGCTGCACGTGCGCAGATGGAACTACACTTTGGGCTGTCCAATTCGTCGAGTTGTCGAGTTTTCGAAGGAGGAACAGTATTCTACAAGGCCTGATATACCTACCGAGTGATGCTGGATCATAGGGCTGCTCGACCTAGGTCTTGTGCCAAATATCAGTTCAAGTGCTACAGAGATGCTTTCTAAAGAGAAAGTGCAGTGATCTACCTTCACATCTGCTTCTTTGCAGTGGCTTTGGCCTGCTTTGCCTTTTCCCAACCAAGCTCATTCGTACCATGCACCCAATCCAATCCATACCTGCCAAACGGTGTCCCTCCGAAATTGACGTTAAACTTTTCATGATGCAAGTCATGATGCAGCGCACTCGGCAAGCCAAAGTCATACCCAGAATGTACTGTAGCAGTCTCATACAGTTGCAGTGCCAAGAATGTTGCGTAGCTGAGGATATGCGCCTTCATGATGACAAAAGGTAGTAAAATTGGTAAGACATTGGCGATGAGGTGTTCCACTGGATTCGCATACTGCGCTGCGAATGCTAGAGGCGCTTTGAAGAAGTGATGCTGCTTGTGGAAGCGGCTGTAGAGATACTTGGTGTGGAAGAGCCTGTGTGCATAGTAGAAGCCGACTTCTCTACCAAGGAAGCCGATGATCATCTCCTTGAGAAATTGTACCAACGTAGGAAGACGTGGTGTGATTGTGAAAGAAGACTGAGAAAAGCTGGCTCCACCTTGCAGTCTCAGGATGGCCAAGTGGAAGAGGGTTGAGGTGATGTTTGCCTTGACAACATGCGCAATGCAATGACTCACCTCCTCCTTGGTCGGCTGTCGTTTTTCTGATTGAATCTTGTGTTTTGTGGACCAGGCCGGGAAGAGAATGTCAATGAGGAGGTAGGCTGTGGCTGGCCCATAGAAGAAGAGGATTTGGCAGGTCAGAGTTGTGGAGAATTCAATGAGACCTGGCGGTAGGTGGAAAACGATGCTTGACCAGGCCGCCTCGACCACATCGTGAACATTGCTGAGCGCGTTCATGGCGATGCCTGCAGTTGTGTTGGCTATCTTTTGAGCAGATCTGTAGCTAGTAGCTGTTGAGCAGATGTCTTGTATTTGTGCCTCGATCACTTGCCGGCTTGTGGCGAAAACGCGGAGAAAGAATTCGAATTGGCCGGCACAGACTCGACTTGAGAGCGCCGACTGACTGGCCATGGTGTCAGGCACATATGTATAATCCGGTGTAGATGCACACGTCAGGAGCATGCCGAAGGACCATACCGTACTCACCGATCGTAACATTTTGAGCACGAGCTGCAAATTGCCTTCCATCCTTGTGCAGATTGGCGAGCATGAGGCCCATCAGTCTAGCTTGCCAGCAACAAATCACAGGGTGTTTCGCACATTCGCCTTGATGACTCGCCTCTGAAGTACCTGCTAGTAGACAATAGTCTGAGGCAGTGCTTGAAGTATGTGACCAGTAGCTTGCGTGGAAGATGATTACATCTGGCTTGTGAACCAGAGTGGCCAACACCGTTCAGCGCATTTGGCAGACTTTGACTTCGACACGACTGAATCTAGGCGATGATATCTGAACATCAAAGTCTCTTGTTTTCTGCTGATGCCAGGACCAGGCCATAGCAGGGCGATTCAAGTGAAGGTCTAAGTGCAGGTCTATACCTTAAAATCCATCTCGTCATTGTCGCCAAAGATCACGACCAGAGAGAGACACGGCACAGTGTCACGGACCATATCTACGGCCTTCGCAACCTTCATTCATTCAGCAGACAATCCCGGCTCCGAGCACAAAGTATCATTTCGCCTGAGAGTTCCGCTAGCCCTATTGGAGCGAGCACACCATGTCTGCGCATGCGTTCGTCGCACAAGTCTCCGACAACATCTCAACAGGCTATGCGAAGCTATCGACGCGCGCCCTGACGCGCTACATCGCCGTTGCTGCGGGTCTATTAACTATTTTTGGCTGGGCCAGTTATACTTTATCACCATCAGACGTCTACAGTCAAATACCAGGCTTAAAGAGCAGCGCATCACATGTGTTAGGACCCGAGCAGTACCTCACAGATGGTACTTCCATACGACTGAACTATACAAAAGTCGCTACAATCATCGAGTTGCGCGACTTGCCGCATTTGTCGAATTGTTTGCTCAATTACCTGACCGTTGCACCAAAAGATTGGCCAGTTGTAGCATGGCTGTCAGAGGACAATATCAGGAGTATTCAGGAGGCACCTCTACTTCAGCCGGACATCCGCTCTGGACGGCTCAATTTGACAATCATGCCGCCAGAGTCCATTGTTGATGGTGGCGATGCGCTATCGCATTTCTTGACACAGCCATGGTTTTGGCACCAATTTCATCCATTAGCAGAATGGATGCTCTTCTTTCAAGAAGATTCTGTGCTTTGCTCGCGCTCAACAGATTCAATCGACAACTGGCTCGGCTTTGACTGGGTCGGTGGCAATACATTCTGGTCACGCGCCGGTAAAGGTGCGAATGGTGGCCTCAGTATGCGCAAGTTGAGCACCATCAAATTCATCACTGAACACATGCCAAATACATTCAACACAGCAGAAGATGTCTTTTACATGGAACGAATGCTTTCTCTTCAGCATGACGACAAGGAGTACACCGACGTGCCTTTCCCAGGCGAGATTGTCTTTCCGATAGATCGACACTTGAATCAAGGCATGTTTTCCCTTGAAGTATGGAATGATGCTGCTTTTGAGATTGATCCACGGTTGATGAAACCACTGGGTTGCCATACGTACGTGCCATGGTTCTTTCATTGTTTCAACTAACCGAAAGCGGCGGAAGTGTCGCTGAGCTGATTCTGTCTGGTTATCAACCGGGTATACAAGACTTGAGTGAGAAGAACCGAGTTCTCATTCACCACTGGTAAGTTGAAAGGCCACATTGTACTATGCTAATGTGTCTAGTCCTGAGATTCTGCGACTTCTCATCCTCTAATGGACGCTCCATATTATGCTCTGCATCGTACTGTCTCTTCTCTGTTGTATAGTTAAAGTAAAGAGTCATAGTCTTGCCCCTGGGCACTGTCTTGAGCAAAATGTGACTGCATGACTTTCCTTTCCCCCTCGACCACACCACGGCAACGACGTCTCAATCCATCTTATCACTCACCTGTCATGGCATCCAAGAAATCAGCGCAAGACCTCCTCGCAGGCTTCGATGACCTACCAGACGATACAAACGCAACACCAACCACAACCGACACTCCCAACAACGCGAAAAGCGCAACAACCACAGGCGGTGATGACGATGAAGCCAACATCAATGAATTCCTAGCAGAGTTCTCACGCGATCGACCAAGTCGGCCTCATACACCTCGTACGAATCAAGCGATACGATCGTCTGCGGCTGTATCTGCCTCTGTGTCCAAAAAGGCGAGTCCACGGTCATCGAGTGATGCAGTTACAGCGCCTACTGCAGGCAATTCTGGATTATCTGGTGAAGCGCGTACTGCTAGTCCTGCGACATCAATAACTGAAACGAAATCAAAAGGTGATGAAGCGCCCACGACGGCCGCATCGTCTTGGGGAAGTTGGGGTGGGTCGCTTTGGAATACGGCTTCTGCACTCGCTGCACAAACCAAGCATGAGGCAGAGAAACGACTAGCAGAGTTACAACAGAGTGAAGAGGCGCAGAAATTACAAGCACGTCTACGGGCTGTTGATTTAGCGAAAATTGCAGCAGAAGCAAGGACGTTAGGTCAAGGTGTGTTGGATGCGGTTGCGCCGCCTATTGCGGGTGCAGAGGTCTTGATTGTGCATGTTACGCATGACTTACAAGGTGTACGTGTCAAGAAGGGTGTTGAGGAGGCTTTTGAGCGCGTGATGGAGCAAGTGGAGGGTGGGCACTTGACAGTGCTCGCCAAGGACTTTGCTGGTGATCTTGCACTAGAGCTGACACAGGGCGGTTTGAAGGATGCCAGGAAGCTATGTGAAGCGACTGTTGAAGATCTCATGCGCGATACAGCAGATGCTGGAGCAATAAAGGCAGAAGAGAAGGGTGAGGCGGAAGCAAATGCTGTACCGACTGCATCTCACATCTACCTCGCCATTCAAGCCTACACAACAGAAGATGGCGCTGAAGAAGGTGCGTCAGTTGTGCAGATGCTCTTGACTCTGACAGACCCGGCCAACAAGATCAAATTTGCAGCCTTGTCGCAAGCAGTACCGCAATCTTGGCTCCAACTCGCACAAGTCGAACTTGAAGCTGAGACGCAACCTGTCGAGTGGGTAGCAGATCTATTGACGCAGAGTTTGACGCTTGCAACGGGTGTGTTGGCACAGCGATATGTTGCGAGGCGTATGGGCATTGATGAGTCCAAGACAGCGCCTGGAACACCAAAGCCGGGACAGTCATCACCACCCAAGGCCAAGTTGGCCTCTAAGCAAGCTGCTGAAGCAGGTTCAGCAAGTCTTGGCCTATAATCGAAACTATGAGCAACGAAGTTATGTAGCGTAGCGTTGAAGCCGCTTGAACAGCAAACACTTTTGTGTCAGGCACATGACCATGACGTCTATGCGATCGATCGAAGCCATTTATAAGCCCAGCAAGACTGCCTGACTTCGACTCTGACTTCACATTCCTTCGTCCATGTCTGCCATGTTGAGGTCTGCCTATACCAAGACACTCGGTCCACAAGGCCGTCAGCGCGCTGCTGCCTTTACGCGCAAACATCGTGATAGTCTTGTGATTGGCGCTGGCGTTGCTGCCGTCTGTGGATATTTTTATCAAGTCAGCTATGCTGATCATGGACGCACCACAGGTCATACCTCTGGAAGAGTCCAGGAGACTGTTGAGGGAGTCAAGAATTATGGCGGGAGTGGCGTGACTGCTGTACCATCGACTCAGAGTAAGGAGTCTTCACGCAGGTGGTGAGCTTGCGTGTCTCTGTGTTCTCCAAGAACAGGAGAGCTGATGGATGGCAGAAGATCAGGGAGGCGGCGTTGAACGAGGTCGAGTCGCTGCAGGAACAAGCTTAGGAGCAGAAGAGACGGGTTTAGTTGAGGCTCGTTCACGATCAGTGCAGAAGCGGTGAATTTGAAAGTATTGGCAGCATCTGTCAGTAGAGCTATGAATGAAGCGTGTCTAAGCAGTGCAGTGAGAGCATTCTAAGCGGCCCTGAGTATGGACAGTGCTGATGTCGGTGTGGTCTGTTGGCGCCGTCGTTAACTTGGAGCCGGAACTTGGCAGACCGCGATTTCATCCACGCACCACTCCTCGAGTCCTCGCTTTTGTCTGCAATCCCTTGTAAAGAATGCTGCTATAGTTCCAGCTCAATCATCTATTCTCAAAAGGCTCCATGGAAACTGTCCATGACTATGCCGATCCAAAGCGCAAGAAGCGCGTTTCCTATCATCACAAACCCAGTGTTGGGAACTACCACTTTGGCCAAATTCACCCGATGAAGCCGCATAGACTCGCCGTCACTCATGCTCTTGTCATGTCTTACGGCCTGCATGAAAAGATGGATGTCTACTCGCCTCGACAGGCGACAAAGAGCGAGCTCGGTATGTTTCATACGCCCGAGTATGTCGACTTTTTGTCTCGCGTCACACCCGAGAATGCGTCCGATCTGTCTGTTGAAGAGCGACGCGTTCACAATATCGCTTCTGACAACGGCAACAACGGTGACTGTCCTGCTTTTGCAGGAATTTGGGATTTCTGTGCAACTTACACTGGCAGCTCTCTCAGTGCTGCACGGTCGCTCTTGAACGAGTCGAGCGATATCGCCATCAACTGGTCAGGCGGGCTACATCATGCTCAAAAGAATGAAGCGAGCGGGTTTTGCTACGTCAATGATATTGTCATTGCGATTCTCTACCTCTTGCGGTTACATCCACGAGTGCTCTATATTGACATTGACATTCATCATGGAGATGGTGTTCAGAATGCGTTCTATAGCACAGATCGCGTTCTAACACTATCCTTCCACAAATTTGTTCCACAAACATCAAGCGAATACTTCTTTCCAGGCACAGGCAGTCTCAATGAAACTGGCGAACGCAAGGGACAGCACTACAGTATCAATTTCCCGCTGCAAGACGGCATCACGGACGATGCGTACCTTGAGATCTTCAAGCAAGTCACAAATCTATGCGTGGAGAGTTACAGACCAACAGCTATTGTCCTGCAGTGTGGTGCCGATTCCCTTGGCTCCGACAGGCTGGGCCGGTTCAGTCTGAGCATTCAAGGACATGCTGCGGCCGTCAAGCACATCAAGTCCATGGGATTGCCTGTTCTTGTGCTGGGTGGCGGTGGCTATACTCTTCGCAACGTCGCTCGCTGTTGGACGGCAGAGACGGCTGTCTTGTGCGACACGCAGCTTGAAGAGACGCTACCAGAGACGCCGTATCATGCCTTTTTTGGACCGGATTATTCATTGTACCCCAATCTGCGGACAAAGCTGGAAGACATGAATACGAAAAAGTATCTCAATGATGTGGTTGCACGCATCAAGGAGGATTTGCGGTACTTGAATCATGCACCGAATGTACTCATGGAGTGGACACCGGATATGTTCGACAACGGCATTGATGAAGATCGTAAAGATGAATTGGATGAAGCCCTCAAAGACAGGCGGACAGTTGAGGCAGGAGCACAGGAACGGAGACGTGGTCTCGTCTGAGCTGGTCATGTACGTAGAATGTAGCAAATCTACTTGGTGTTCTCAGTTCTGGTGTCTTCGAGAATCTTCGCTCAACTTGCAACGCGCGACAATTTACTTGCGAGGCAGACACACGAGTAGCGACATCATCAAGCACTCACTCAAAGGAATCCCTATGTCTGCTGACGAGTACAAAGCAAAAGGCAATGCCGCCTTCTCAGCCAAGGATTTCCCCGAAGCCATCGAACATTTCACAAAGGCGATCGAACTCGACAGCGCCAACCACGTCCTCTACTCCAATCGATCTGCATGCCACGCTTCCTTGAAGCACTACGACCAGGCTCTCAAGGATGCTGACAAGTGTATTGAACTCAAATCTGACTGGGCGAAAGGGTACACGCGCAAAGGCGCTGCAAGTCATGGTCTGAATGATTTGGAAGCCGCACGTGACGCATATCAAAAAGCCCTCGAGCTGGAGCCGAGTAATGCACAAGCAAAGAGCGGCATGGCCTCTGTGGATGCACAAATCAAGCGCGAGATGGAAAGTCGTAACTTCAGTGGCTCTCAAGATCCCTTTGGTGGCATCACACAAAAGCTCAATGATCCGGGCTTCTACCAGAAGATGGCGGCCAACCCGAAGACAAGTGCGTTGCTCAGCGATTCGACATTTATGGCAAAATTGGAAGGCCTCAAGCGGAACCCAAACGCGTTGATGCAAGAAATGGGCGACCCGCGCATGATTGCGGTGCTTGGTCTCCTGCTCGGCCAAGATATCGGTGCTGCCTCCGAAGAAGACATGCCTATGCGAGATGCTGAAGAGGCCGAATCTGATGCACCTAAGTCGGCGTCTGCAACACAGTCAAAGTCAGAGCCTAAGAAGGAGGAAGCACAGCCAAAGGAGGAAGAGCCGAGCAGTAAAGTCGCTGCTGACGAGGAGAAAGCGTTGGGCAACAAGGCCTACGCCAAGCGATCATTTGACGAAGCCATCACGCACTACGACAAAGCATACGAGCTGCACAAAGATATCACATACCTGACCAACAAGGCTGCTGCTCTCTTCGAAGCAGGCCGTTGCGAGGAAGCAATCAAAGTATGCGAGGAAGCTATCGAGGAGGGTCGTGAGGTTCGTGCCGATTTCAAGCTTATTGCAAAGGCCTTCGCACGCATGGGCTCAGCATATGAGAAGATGGGCGACTTGCAAAAGGCCATTGACAAGTATCAGCGCTCTCTCACTGAACACCGGACGCCAGAAACGCTGAAGAAGCTCAAGACTGCCGAGGCAGCTTACGAGGAGAAGACGAAAAAGGATTACGAATCGCCAGAAAAGGCAGAGGAAGAGCGTGTTGCTGGTAACGCGGCGTTCAAGAATGCTGAATTCCCAGTTGCCGTGAAGCACTACACTGAGATGATCAAGCGAGCTCCAGCAGATCCTCGCGGTTATGCGAACCGTGCTGCTGCGTACATCAAGTTGATGAGTATGCCGGAGGCTGTCAAAGATGCCGACGCAGCCCTCAAGCTGGATCCTACTTTCGTCAAGGCATACATCCGCAAAGCGACCGCTTTCTTGGCCATGCGAGAGTACTCGCGTGCTTCCGCTTCATTGGAAGAGGCTACGGCTAAGGACACTGAGAAGAAGCACACCACAGAGATTCGAGATTTGACGTACAAAGTCCAGCAAGCGCTCTATGACGAACGCAGCAAGGAAACTGAAGAGCAATCGCAAGCACGCATTGCAAACGACCCAGAGATTATGGCAATATTGCAGGATCCAGTCATGCAGAGCATCTTGCAGCAAGCACAAAGCAACCCTGCCTCGCTGAATGAGCACATGCGTAAAAATGCGGCAATCGGCGCCAAGATTCAGAAGCTGGTGGACGCTGGCGTGATCAGGACGCGCTAGGTAGGTTTAGCTGATTTTGGGCTCTATATAGCAAAGCATGACATACACGTAGCATCTACCTCTACTTTATGAAATGTGGTTGGCGTGTTTAGCTTCAGGTGGCGGCCTGGAGGGTTGCTGCATGTGCACGCGTCATCTACGCCGTACAAACACAACACATCTACTGAGCAATCTGCTGCCCTGCTGCCATGAAACAAGCTGAGGAAGTCTCCGTGCAAGCTGCATCCCACGGGACTTTACTCAATACATCGAGATTAGATCAATTGATCAATAAGCTCGAACAGAATGCGCAAGTCGCCATCTTGCCCTCAGCTGCAAACAAGCTTCGCATACTCTTAGACGGGCCGCAGAATAGTCTAGCTTCACTTCATGTCGTCGCTGATTTCGATATGACTCTGACGAAGCACTGGGTTCCGGCAAGACGTGATTTTCATGATGCGGATGCTGAGCCCGTCATGGAGAATGCGCTTGAGCGCAACATCAGCAGTCATGGCGTTCTTGAACGTGGTGAACATGTCAATAAGGAGTTCGCTATACATACGCGTCAACTCTATCATCACTACTATTCCTATGAAATTTCGACGAGCATAGGTCACGAAGAGAAGACCAAACTCATGATTGAGTGGTGGACAAAAGCACACGAAGCGATGATTGCAGAAGGCTTTACACGCAGATCTATTGAGCGGCAAGCAAGGGATGCCAATATGCAGTTCAGAGCAGGCGTCAAGCAGCTGATCGATTTGTTAGATGCACGGCGAGTCCCATTGCTTATCTTCAGCGCAGGTATTGGCGATGTCATCGAAGCCCTTTTGCGAGTCAATGACCTAAGCAGACCAAAACAAGCCATTGTATCCAACAAGATGCGATTCAGTGATGAGCATGGAAGCAGCAATCCAACATGTGTCGACCTAGACGCACTGCTCATTGGATTTCAGGAACCGTTGGTGCATTCACTCAACAAGGGCGAGCGTGTTGTGCAATCTCACTCAACGCTCTCACAACAAATTCACGAGCGTCGTCAAGTCATCTTGCTAGGTGACTCACCAGGGGATGCGCAAATGGCTGCAGGTGCCCAGCACGATGTTGTTCTCAAGATTGGCTTTTTCAACTTTGGCGACGAGGCAAGAAGACGAGAGTTTGAGCAGGTCTTTGATATTCTCGTTCTTGGAGATTCGTCAATGGACCCTGTCATTGAATTACTGCAGGCTATAGAAAGCGCATGAATGAGATAGACTAGCAATATGCACGGGTTGATGTGCTTTCGCTTTCCCATCTGGTCGTAGCCACCTAAACACTTGACGAACAGGCTTGACTGACGTTGACATGCAGATGCTCCATCTCACAATTGCCATGTCGACAGTGCATAAATGCTGAGACGCTCTTTACAATGTAGACAAACTGCCAACTTGGCTCTACGGCTTCGCTTACTGCTGGACATCCGGCAGCAGCAGCGTCGACAGCTGTCGCAATTGATACAAGTGCCTGCAATCTTTGCTGGCCTCGCTCTAGCTCTCTGGGCATGGAAGTGCCTCATGCTTGTGGTATTTCAGAATAAGATTATCTATATGCCTTATATCGCTCGCTATGATACAATGCATGATGCACTCTTTTCCGCTGCAGGCCCTTGGAACGTCGCGAGTCTAAACAGTACAGATGGCACACGGCTCAAATATCTTGAATGCACTAAGCATTCGCACACGAAGGTAGCTTTGCGACGGAAGTATACGACCATCTTGTATCTTCAAGGCAATGCATCAAGTATTCCAGCCAGGCTACCATATCTCGGAAAGACTCTAGATCTCCTGAGTTCTTTAGACCACGACAGAACTTACAAGCTACAAGCTCTCAGCTACCGAGGCTATTGGCTCTCGCGTGGCCGTCCGAGTGAGAGAGGGATCCTACGAGACGTGGAAGCCATGTTGCACCATCTCTCTTGGGAGATCTTCCAGTCCAGCAAATTTGATCTTCTAGACGAAGTCGAGATTATCATTTGGGGACATTCAATTGGTGCTGGCTTCACTGTCCTTTCACTTCAGAAAGCACTCGACATCTTTGAACGTGATGTTGCAGGGGCTCATATTCGCGTGCATATACGGCTGGTGCTCGAGACGCCCTTCGTCAATACCAGGAGCGTCTTGCATGAACTGTATCCGCAGAGATGGCTTCCTTATAGATACCTCGGACCCTTTCTGAAGACCAAATTGGACATGGCCCGGGCTTTGGAGGGTCTTACATTAGACCAGCTGAAGCGAGTCAATCTCATAAGCGTACACATCATTGCAGCGGGCGATGATGAGATCCTTGGAGCCCCTAAAGGATTGCCAGCCCAGGTACATCAACTGATGCAAGCCAAGCTCGGTTCGCAGGGTGCGTATGTCACTTTCGATGACATAAAAGGACTCCATGCCAGTCTCTTGACGATGACATCGTTTCAGAGCCGGCTAGCACAAAGACTGACTGAAAAAGGTGCTTCATAAGGTCATCATGATACATAAAGAAAATCTAGATTGTGAAGGCTCCCTTACGGTAGGCAAAACTCGACAATATCAGCAAAACTGCCACCTTCGTCCAAGATCTGGAATGCTCTCAAAAGTTCAGCTTCTGTCCAGTCTGCCAGTAATGGAGCACATCCGACGCCTGTATTGCGTGTTCTGATGAAGGGATCTTCGATACAGATGCGCTTGTTGAGCCAATCTGCCGGTGCACCACACTCTGGTTGTTTGGCCTTTGTTGCTTTCGACAGGGGTCTCTGCCTCAGCGGATGACTGATGGTGATGACTTGTTGCTTAAAGTTGAAAAGATGCGCATAGTAATGAAAGAAACCAAGCAGTAGCTTACCAACACTCTCTGTGTTTTGGGATCTAAAGATTGGATCTGCATCGTAGGCACAAATAACCTTCTTGCCCATGTGCGAATGTATATACTCGCTCAGCTGTGTAGTTGGATCGTCAGTTGCCTGCAAATTGGGCAGAACCGGTGGTGAAGTATGCTGCAAGAAGTGGATGAGCATGAGTGTCCAGGAATAGCTCGATAATGTGCCTTCACTTGGATTACTGATGCATCGCCGCTTGCACCAAGTCTTGAGGGCAAATGCTAACGCTTGGAATCGTATATCAAGTTCGGCGTATTTGCGAATGAGAATCGTGTTCTCAATAGCAATTGCGTTCTCAATAGAAACGTCCACATGTAGGTTTGTTGGGGGGTGCACAAACTTGACAACAGGTACTTTTGCGTGGTCAATGCACTCAACCATCTTGGCCCAACCCGTTCTCCTGAAACTATTGGCGAATTGTCGAACAGAGACGTAGGTGGGTGGTGGAAGCTTTGTGTAGAAGCAGCACAGATCGAGGTCGCTCCTGGGTGTGTACAATAGATTGCCTGAAGAGCCAAAAAGCTCGACTTGAAGACCTGCAGCTCGGAAGTGTCGGTTGAGGAATCGCTGTAAGTCAAGGACGATTTCCTCACGATCTCTATCTGACTCGGCTGTAGGACGCAGCGCTTCAAAGTTTTGACGAATCTGCGACTCGAGTAGACCGGATGGACCACAATCTAACGGTTCACGCCTTTGACGCGGCTCAATCAAGTAAACACCTCGTTTTGTGCCAACGTAAACTTCGTCACCACGCTTGGTATGCGTTCGGGATAGATAACCGCACTGCACAGCCATCTCAAGGAGTTGAAGACGGCCACCAAAGGTCTTGACATAGTCTTCCTCTTCCTTCCTTAGCCTTGCAAGTTGTTTGTCAATGTCACTGTGCACAAACGCCTGCTTGAATCTGAAAAGCAAGGTCATGCTTCGCATAAAGGTGATGGCCCTTTTCTCGTATCTACCAATGTCATCGAAGCTTGAGCCCAATCTCTCAAGGACAGATGGCAAAACCTCCAGCAGCATCTTGTTTGAGGCTTCTAAGAGGACGGGCGGCTCTGGAGGAACAAGGCCTTCGTCTTCCTCTCTTTCGATCACTTTAGTCTTCTTCCCTCTGGCGCGTGGAGGTTTGGCTTTCGCTATAGTAGCAGCCGGCTCTTGTGCAGCTGGAGAGTCTACATCAGATGCTTTGTGCGATACAGGAACATGTTCCTCAATTTGCGGGAAGCTCATTGTGAAGGACTGGAAGCTGTTACCCAAATGCGCCATCTCTGGTGGCAATTCGTTCCGTTTCAGAGTCACGCCTCCTTGAATTGTGGACGTGCCACTACTTGACTGATTCTGCTGCTCCATCTCCCTACCTAATCCTGGGAATTTCATCGTTACTTGCGAGAATTGGCCATAAGGCGTGTCGATCGTTTGTACAGGCATAGGATTCCCACTTTCACCTGGACGTCCAGAGAAGGGCGTAGTACCGGAAGGATAGACTTCCATCGTCATGATACCACCACCTGAGCCGTTGATGGGCTTTTGCGATGGTTCATCCAGCGCGTCTTTGTTTGCTTTCGATGAGTCTGACATGTTGCGCGAGGGAGGTAGAGAGGGACAGTCAGGGACCCGGTGGAAATGAGGGAGTGACCGTGCAGAGACGATGCTGCGTCGAGTGAGAAGAATGGCTGATGACCCGAGGCGCTAAGATAGGATGTGCAGAATAAGGGTCGCGTTGTCTGTGGGTCCGAATGATGTCGACACTTTCAAAATTGAGAAGACTGCCACGGCCAGAAGCACAGTCAAGAACTTGGATCAAGGCCGAGTTCCAACACAGATGCAGGGGTCACTATATGAGAGTATGAGAGAGAGGAGATATGTGTCAAGATGCAGCAAGTCTTAATTCTGCCTCGCTGCAGGCTGCTCAGGCTGACTAGTAGGCGGTTGTCCAGAAGACCCGAGCCAGCCAACAATACTCGTCTTCATGCCTGCCATCATCTCTGCCTCTTTTGCCTTTTCCTCCGCCAGCATCTTTGCACCATTATCCTTCAAGTACTGCATATACTCCTTATGTGCTGCTTGTGCACGTTTACGTTGTTGATCCATGAAAATCTCCACGGGTGCTTCTTTGCCTGCTTTTGGTTTACCACCAAAGAACCCAGTTGACCGACTCGTCTTGCGAGACTCTGCGATTTGCTGCCGTAGGGCATTCTCACGCTCCATATACTCTGTAGGGATGTGCTTACCCTGGTAGGATCTGAGTGCTTGTCGAACGTCGTCCACCTCGACTGCTGCAAGATACTCCAGGAACGGCAAGTGACTGAGAAGTTCCTTTGCATTGGAGCTAGGCCCGACATCTCCCTTCCATGGTTCGAGAATGATGGCATTCTCTGGCTGAGCAGAAGCAGCATCTTTGTTTGTGTCCATGAGAATGACACGTTCGAGTGCTCTATTCATGTAGCTCAGATCCTTGATGAATTTGCCATCTTCATACCGTGCAGATTCGCGAAACAAGGTCGCCGACAGACTCGAGCGGTAAGGGTCAAGCTTTTGTACAATAGGCAACGCAGTCCCTGCATATTGATTGGTAAAGACGACAATCTCGTAGTACTGTGAGAGGTAGGAGAGGAAGTAGTCGAGGCCGGGCCGTTTCGCTGTCCGCCAGCCATACTCACGCGACCAATCACTGTGGATGAGCAAATCATCCAAATCCAGTACAAGCGTATAGCGTCTTTGGTAAGGCTCGGGGAGTGGATCAGGCAGGAGTTTAGCAAATGCTGGCTCTGTGTAGTGCTTCACTTGTCCTGTAAAGCGTTCCTTGAGGCGCTCATAGATGGCACCCGGCGTGTATCCCTTGATCTCTGAGTCTGCCGACTCTGAAGCGAGATACGCAGCACCACCCAATGCACCAAGCAAGAAAATGCCTAGAAACACATTCGCCATGCGTTCTCGCTTTCGGTCGGCTGTGGATTTGTATCCGCCACCTGTCGCCTTTGTCGGCCGAGCAGGCGCTTCTCCTGCATCTTGCAACATGGCAAGCAAGTCTGGATTTCCTTCGAGCGATGGCGGCTTTGCATCACCAACAGGCGGCGCACCCCCTGCAGGCAACGGTGGTGGCTGCTGTGCTGATTTAAGTGGATCTTGTGCATCGTCGGGAGAGGTGTTGTCTGATGTTGGCTTCTCTGAGGCATATCGCCGGCTGCTGAGCAATAGCCCCTGGGATGCCTTGGTCGGTGCCCTGATGGCAGCGGCAAGACACGTCCTGAGCATGTCTCTGGCTAGCTACAGACCCTTGCTGTCTCTGGCTTATGGAAGTTGGTCTCCTGGTGAAATTTCCAAATTTGATTTCTGAGCCAAAGAACGACGACAACCAGAGAGAGGGAGTGGCAGACACGGTAGGCAAGGTACAGACTGTGCAGCGCAGCAGGGGAAAGGCACATCAGGAGACAGAGCAGGCAGAGGCATCCATTCGAGGCTTCCTCAACCATTCGCCCGCACACCTCCCTCATTGCAGTCCATGCGCAGCAAGCAGCCAAGCATGAGATGACAGGCCAGCATCGCTCCTCCCTTGTGCCCTTCGCAGGCCTTCTCTGGCTCTTGCTCATATGCGCAACCGCAGCGCAGAGTAATCTCAACCTCACCTTTACCAATTGCCTCAATCCGCGATCCAGAAATGCATCCACACCGCTCTTTACGCCGTTGCGCGTCGTGGCCGACCTCAATACAACCTCGCAACGGCTGCGCTTCTCCATCTACGGCAACGTTACTGGATCTATTGCTGATACAAACGAAGAGAACACGCTTGCCAGTGCATTGACAAATACAATTGAAGTGTCCGGCTACACTCAACGTCGTGTTGAAGAGCGGCTGTGCAATATCTCCTATAACGATGCTGCCATCTATGCTGGCGCTCGCGTCAAGACTTGCCCCGTTGGACCGGGCCTTGCGCATCTAGAGTTTGAGACGCCGCTTGATTTCGGGTATACCTTTTCCAGCATCACCAACACCATTCGCATTAATGATCCAGCCTCAACCAACTACGAAGCCGGTTGTCTGCAGGTCACTGTGACGCCTCCCTTCCCAGATGATCTGGACGCCATCCTCACCTACGTACCGCTTGCCATCTTGATACTCGTTGGTATTAAGGTTGTCCTTGTGGCTGTGCTCAACCCCTGGTCCGGTACACTTGACCCTTACCGCTCCTTCTCAAATTTTGGCATGGATACCAATGCCTTGCGGATGGCGACACCTGGATTCTCGGATTGCTTGGCGTATATCCAATTCGCAGCGTATACATCCATGCTTCGGCTGAGCTATCCTGGCTTTTTTCAGCTCGCCACCTCTCGCTTTGCATGGTCACTGCTGTTGTTTGAGTCAAGTCCCATTACCAAAGCACTCAATTTTTTCCCACAGCGTAACAGTGACATCGCCTCCTTCATCAACCACGTCGGTGCCGCTCGACAAGATGCCTGGCGGTCGTTCATGATTTGGTTTCTCATCATTGAAGCATGCGTTGCTGCACTCGTGGGTATACTCGTGGGACTCTGGTGGCTATTGACGCCGTCGTCAACGGACTTGACCATGAAGAATCTTCCGTTCCTTGGAGGTTGTTTGCTTCGGATATACTATTGGCTGCTACTCCCACTCAGTCTCTTTACCTGCTACCAGCTTGTCACTGCCCAACAGAGTAATGCAGGTCTAGTCGCAAGTGCTGCACTCGTCCTGATGATCTTTGTGGTCTTGTTCCCGGTTGGCCTGCTCATTATGCTGCCAAGACATCAACCGCAGCAAGACTTGTTTGAAGACATTTCGCTTCTGAATCTCTGGGGACCGCTCTACAACACATACAGCGAGAGCGCCATCCTTGTCTGGATTCCGAATATGATTCTTTTGATTGCTAGAGGTATGGTTGTGGGCTTACTCATCAACTATGGCACGGCTCAGATCGTCCTACTCATCGCTATTGAGGCATTGAATGTTGCAGTCATCTTTTGGAAACGACCTTGGCCGGCCACTACAAATACGACCATCGTCCAGCTCATCATGAGCAGTTTCCGCATCGTCATTCTCTTCCTCATGGTTCCCTTTATTCCAAGTCTGAATATCGAGCCTGGCCAGCGCGAGTGGATTGGTTACATCGTGCTCATCTTTCATGCCATCGTCATGATCTTTCTCGTATTGGGCAATTGCCTTCTGACGCTGCTTGAGTTGGCTATTCGATTGTTGGTGATTGTACCGCAAGATGAAGGTGCCAAGGTCATCTTCGGTGCTCGACAATTGCGCTCTCGCAGACGTCCAAAACAATTCGCTTCAGTCATCTTGGGCAATGGTGCGAGCAAAGATCACAGCATGTCGCAACAACAGTCTTTTGCAAACTTGCTTGAAGCAAAGGAAGATTCTCCCTTTTTCAGGAGACCAAGGCATGGTACGCGTGCAGAGTCAATCGTGGGTACGACACAGCATCGTGCAAGTACACCGACAGATGTTCTAAGTATGAACGGTGAGTCCATCACGAGTCGCGCGAGTCCCCTCGATCCACCGCTGTCCGGTGACGTGCGCAGCTCAAGTTACGTACGTGTCATGCCGTCTGAGAGTTTCTTGCTCTCTCCCTCACGGCCACACCTACACTCTCGTCCGACCAGCTCAACTACACATATTGCCGATGCTGCAGACAAGTTGGATTCCTATGAGCTCACACTTGCCCCCACAGAAGATGCAGAACGACGCGGTGTTGATTATGCCGTTCGAGAAGCAGATATCTATCACCCACAAAATTCAGGCGAATTACTTGGACCTTCCAAGAAATTGGGGACAGGACCAGCAGACCCGGCGGGTGTTCATTTCAGACGCTTTAATTGGACACCATGGCGACGAACACGACGGAATCCTGAGAAGGGGAAGTTTGTGGTGGTGCGCAGTTCACCCGCCATGACGACAGGTAGTGGTGCGATAGGTACTTCTGGGTCAGCGTTGCAGCGACGGTCGAGTAGTCTGACAAGTACAGGACAGCCTGTCCACTTGACAAGCACTGAAACGAGTCGTGTGGGACCTGCATCGCCAACATATGATATCCAGGAGCAAGATGAGGAGGAGTACGATTCTAGCCCTCATGGTCTGACTGGAACGCGACCGAGTATCAAGATTGATACGAGCAATTATGCTGCCTTTGACTCTGTGGCTTCTCCAGACTCCTTTGAAATGATCTCGCCCTCCAACGAGCAAATGCAAGCACGACTACTCAATACTCAACATGCACGACAGCAAGGGACAGGCAGCAGTACGAGTCGTGAGACAGACGCAAGCAGTCGTGCAACAGACCAAATGTCCACCACGGCCGACTTGGCTATGCTCTTACAACGACCCACTGTGGGTGATCGCGTGGATAGCTATCGATCGCATACATCACATGGTTCTGTCCCTAGTGCACGAGTCAGTAGTGCCGTTCGAACGGGTCCAGGTGTACAAGCTGGTCGGTCAGCCCAACTCATCAACCTCGACTTGGATGCTTGATTGAAGCGTATGCTCCATATGCTCTATTCGTTTTTACTTTGATTTGCGAGCATGTCGAATTTTCTCTGTTTTTTCCTTTACTTCTTTAGATTAGGCTTCGGCGAACGTAGTGGTTTTAGTGTTGGATACGCATAGCTTTTGGTGTAGCAGGCAACCTGCAGCATTGAGTGTACGCCGTACGGACCGTTTGGTTGGACTTTGACCACATCGAGTGCGTTAAATTGACAGCGCGTTTAGTTTCCTGGGAAGGCAAATGGGCGTTTCCGTCATGGAATTGCCTTCTTGCTGCAGGGACGCTGGAAAGCCTGAACCTCGGATCCCGGAGCAATTGACGACAGAGTCATAAAACTGAGCTGCTCGCCGCGAGCCTTCACTATTTGACCTCTTACTTCTGTTCTACACTGCTTTTGCATCAGAGTTTGTGCTCTTTTCTTGCTGCTTCAAGCATCTTCTTGGACATGCATGCTAGAGGTCGTCTATAATGCGCTTGATTATCCGTCTAGTCAGTGCACTCGGCATTGTTGGTTGCTTAACGCTCCTCTATTTACACGCTCAAAGGATCGCCTCGGGTTCTCTACCAAGCTTAGCCTCATCTCTCTTTGGTGTATCAGACAATGGACAGCCAGAGCCATACGTCTATCCGCATAGAGAAACAATTGGCATCGAGAAAGTCGACATCAAACATGTTGCGGTGCCATCAGATGATCCAAAAGTCTTGAAAGCGGGCTTGACTGCCGAAGAGACAATTGAGAAGAAGATCTCTGGTGGTGTTACAGCAGTGCTACATCCACAAAAAGAGGAGGGTGCTCAAGACACAGTCTATCAAGAGCTTCGCGTGGCACTCGACGCAGCGGATCGCCTGGAAAAGGCACCAATACTGAGCTTTGAAAAGTCGCTACAGCTCAACAAGGAGACATGCCCGTTACAAGGCTACAACTACGATCGCGCAAATCTCAAGGGTAATTACAAGCAATGGTCAGCTCTTTCAGACAAGGACATTGCTACTTTCCGGCATAAACTGATCATGGGATTGCGAGAAATTGGCATCCAGTCTGACAAGATGCCACAAGCACTTATTGAATTGCGCCTGACTGAATCAGAGCGCAAAGATAAATTGCTTGGACGTGGCATCGTGTTTTCCGCAGGCGATGGCAATGCCTTGCGACGTGTGCTGCTGAATGTCAAGCTGCTACGGGAGCATGGCTGCACTTTGCCCGTTGAAGTGTTTTCCTGGGCTTGGGAGGCCGATGCACTACCGGCAGAAGTGATCGCGGAATTGACGCAGTTGAACGTTCGGCTCCAAGTTGCCTCTGGTGGTCTTGAAAAGGCTGACGGCTGGAAAGACTTTCGCATCAAGCCGCTTGCCATTCTACAATCATCCTTTGAACACGTCCTTTGGCTAGATTCAGATTCCTTCACTTTGCGCGATCCAAGCTACCTCTTCGACTCAGCCATCTTCCGAGACAGTGGGCTCTTACTCTGGCCAGATTTCACAAAGTCGCAGCCTCGAAATCCAATATGGCGCATCATTGGGCAACCATGCAGACCGGAGCACGAAGGCGAGTCGGGTCAAATTGTGATTGACAAGCATATGCATCGTGCTACACTGCAGCTCGCAACGTGGTTCGCAACCACTCAATCTGAAGACCAGAAACTATGGTACAGCCATTTTGGTGGAGATCGCGACTCATTCCGCATCTCAGCTGTGATTCTAGGCTCACCATTCAAGGGTCCTCGACGACTCTTGAGTATTGCTGGACAGCAGGTTCAATCGCAGCCGCTCGCAAAGACAGCCTTGCCCGATGAGAAAGATGAGAATGGCAAACCAATTCCTGAAGATGTTAGAGAAGCCTTCCTGATTGAATCACGAGTGCGAGGTTTGCATGCTGCCGGACACACCATGCTGCAATATGACATGGACGGTCAAGCGCTGTTTGTTCACGCCAATCTCATCAAACATGGTGCATTACCTCGAGATCAGCGGATCTGGAGTGTGGTTACTCGATTACGCAATGATCGTATTCCTGGTGGCAGTTATGGATCGTTTGCTCAAGAAGCTCCTTCAACAACCACCGAAACCTTTGACGAGACTGTTGCACGAGGCGGATGGAAATCCGATGAAGAACGACATCAAGAACAAGAAGCCCTTTTTGGTCAGGCATTTGCAAACAAAATTGCACCGCCGGAGAAAAGGGACGCGCCCATGGATATTCAAACGACTGATGTGCAATTTGGACGCGGTGTCATTATTCATGTTGCGCAGTCTCCTCTCAGTACAATGATGCTTGACCTGGCAAAAGTGCTCAACACGGGTGAAGCCGTTCAGGTGGGCACAGAGAAGCCAGATGGATCATCTCCTTTTGTGATCGAGCCAGTCAAGCCAGGTGATGACTTGTGGCGATTTGAGGACCTCTATCTCAAGCTAGGCGGTACTACTTGAATTCAATAGCATGATTACAATTTCTTTCGATTGATCCCCTCCTTGTTACGCGTTGTGCGCTGCATATCCCCTTGCTGTCAAAGATTTCTCGCAAAATCAGTGGATCAAGCACCACTGAACCCTCAACAGAAGCCGACTGCTGCTGGTACCAAGCAGATTCAGCCATTGATTGAGCAAAGTCCTCGAGTACAATCGGCTCAAAAGTCAGAATTTTAGCATACCATGCATCACCCTCTGCACAGACACCCTCAGTCAAGAACTTTGCAACATCTGCTTGAAACTGCACTTGGCGCTGCAACTTGTCCTCTGCGAGTCGGACCTTATCGAGATGACGTTGAGCTAGCTTTTCGGCAGCTTGAGAGGCCTTGAGTGCTGTCTTGTCAGCGGCTTGCTGGGCACGTATCGCAGCACGCTCTTCTTTGCTCATAGCTGGTGCTTTCGCTTTCTTGGCCGGTTGAGAGACAGTCAAGTCAACAGTCGGCAAGGCTTTCTTTGAGGGCGATGCACGCTTGGCCGACGCGGCTGCACTCGTCGTAAAGGAAGAAGATTGAGCGACAAAGCCATTCTCAGCAGCATGACAGCGCGTCAATAATGCAATCATTCCACTTCGCTGCTTGACAGTCTTGAACCCAAAATGGTCGAGTTGCTTCGATAGCTGCTTGTCACTGTATCTGTCGTAATTCGTATGAGCGTCTCTAGCTTGTGCATCGACGTTGATTGCCTGATCGGCATTCACGATGACCCGATTCGCTTCCAAGGGTTCCGGGCGAATCGCACTGTCTGACAAATCTATCGGTCTCCTTGTATAAGTACCAGTACTTGACGTTGTAGGAGTGCAAGGGGCTCGCTTCTTAGCAGAAAGCAGCTGACGAAGTGGCATAGCATCTTCTTCCTCTGAATCTGGAATCAAAAGCATAGATTGATTTGCAGGCGGCGTCGAAGATGCAAGAGATCCATATTGACGATTCGTCTGCATAACGTTGTAGCTGAAGTGCTCAGCACGAGACTCGCCCAGCGGCACTTCGTCCTCAGATGAGCTGAGCACAATTAGTGAGAGATCCTTGTCGATAATTGTAGGCACAGGTATGCTGGAACAACTGTCATCGATGCAAATGATCGAATGCGGAGATGAAACTCTGCGATCGTCTTTTGATGGCGTGTCCGGCACGCCAGGCAAAAGAAGAGCCGAGATGGGCGATCGTTCGCTCTGATGTTCGCGATTATCAGCATGACTGCCAGATTCTTCAGCGCTTTGCGGATCTACTGGGAAATCCTTAAGCGTTTGACTTGCACGGAACGGGCTGTCCTCGTCTGCGACCAGGAACGAAAGGTATTCTTGCGTAGACGCAAATTCATCAACTGCCGACTTGTGCTCTGTTGCTGATTCATTGTCTGCCAAAGGCTGCGACGATGCAAGCAAGCCTAGGACAGCATCTCCATTACCACTTACATTCCATAAATTGCGACAGATGCCATGTAACCGGCTAATGAACAGGGGCTCAGCCAAAGCACATGCAGATGGAACAGTGAAAGTAAACTTTTGCAGCTTGTATTGAGACAGAAGCTGTGAGGGGACTACAAGTGGCTGGATGATCTCACTTGAGCGTCTTCTCTTTTCCCGCACGGAAATTGACGTGCCGGACTTGGCTCGAGAAGGCCGAGGCACGGCAGGCTTGATGAGGGAGAAGTAGTCCACGATCCGTGCATTCTTTGCATGTATCGACGGACTGCTGTCCTCGTGCAGTCGCACGGCTAGTTCGGTGATTGTCTTGGCGCGTTTCGGGAGCTGAGCCTGCAGCGCTGCAGCCGCTTCCCTGTCAAGCTTACGCTTCAGGGCGGCCTCCTTTCTCCGTCTTGCTACAGCCTCCTTGTCAACCGTCGAAGGCTTAGCAGGGCAGCCTGGATTGAAGCTCGTGTTGCTAAAGCCTGTAAGCACTTCGCGAAAATCACGCACTTCCGACTCGTGCTGCGTGACCGTCGTCACTTTCTTCGACTTTTTGGACCGGGCTTTATTCAACAGGACGCGTGGCTGTTGCGGTAGCCTCGTTGGCCGTGTATCTACCATATTGATAAATTCATGTTGAGAGGATCTGAGTGGCGACGAGCTGGCAGCTGCTCCAATGTGGCAGCACATGCAGGCCGTCAAGGGAAGATGCCGCCAAATGGGAAGCTTGGACAGATACAATGCGCAGAGCAGGCTGCTGGCGTACTGCGCGCCGGAGCTGTCGGAATCGGGAGTCGAGAAGATGGTCTGTCGGTTGTGTTGATGCGCGCGATGTGGCAACGGGAATTTCGTCGCAGAAAATCAACTCGCAGCGCTGGCCGTAGCCTTCTATACGCCGTGGCCATCTATATCATCTATTGAGCCGTCTACACGTCCACATTTTCCATGTTCTTGTCCTTGTTGTATGCTTCAACACCCTCAACTTTGAGGTGGCTCGCATCGGCGTACAACTCGACAGTCATTGTCCGTGTGTCCAGCAAAGTGACACCGGTATTGGGACTCGCTGCATGCAGCGGCAGCTCATCCGATGCCTTGAAGCCAAAGGTGGTCACCAGCGAGCCTGTCAGAGCAAGTAGAGTGCCGCCATGCGAGCAAATCATTGCAACATCATCGCTGTCTCTATCTGCGTAAAGCGGAAGGACATGCTCTTGCCAGAATCGGGCGGTACGTGCAATCAGAGCAGGCGAGCCTTCACCAAACTCCCATTTGGTTTTGCTCTGTTCTCTGCAAAGCTTCTCTACAAGGTCTTTTGAGACGCCCTGTAATTCTGCCATGTAGCGTTCTTGCAAAAGTGGCGTGTATACCACATCGTCGAGGTCAATCGGCGAGGGACGCTCTCGCAGTACATGCGCAAGCGTCTCTTTACACCGATCTAGATCTGAGCAAAATATTTGATTTTCCGAAGGTTTAATGGCCTGAAAGCGCCGAGCGAGCAGTGAGGCCTGGTGATGGCCATGGTTGTTCAGAGGAGTGTTAAGAGTTCCTTGAATCACTTTAAGAATGTTGCTGTCTGTTTGAGCATGGCGGAAGAGATATACCTTCATAAGTTGAGTAGAGAGTCGTGCACAGTCTGTATATACGCTGATGAGCCTGTGCAATCGGGATTATGCGTAGCAAGGAGCCTGATGAGCTTATGTAGGTCTGTGCAGCGCAGGATCGTGAAGATGGCAGTCTGGCCTCTGGAGAATTTCTGACAACCAACCTCACCAGGCTCACCCTTGGCCTCACGTTCTTCACTTCCTCAAGCTTGCCTCACTGCCTTCCAACTAGCTCAGCTAATCTGTTGTCGCGCGCGCCTGCGACATGCATGATGGCGCATCCAAGCTAGACATTGAAGCTGCTCGTCATGATACTCCGCGTGTCAGGCGCAACTCAACAGATTCCAATGCAGAGTCCAATCACTCTCAAATCAGTGCCATGCATCTAAGCGAATCGTACTCTCGCCCAGTCTTTGTCTTGGGTTCTCGTCCGCTGTTCTTCTCTGTTGAAGAACCTCTGCCTCAAGGCTACTTGACGCGTGATGAACGTCAACAACTGGACGCTCAGGAGCAGACACTGCTTGAGAATAACGATTTGCTGCCAAACCCAGCGGCTGTGCTTGACACTGTGATGGAGATCGAAGAGCCACCCGAGCCAACTCATGATCTGGAGCCGAGCGAAACGACCTCGCTCTTGTCTCGCGTCCAGTCGCGTGTTGCCGAATCATTGGTTGAACAGCCTGGCGACTCACAATCAGTACGCGAAGTGACACGGGCAGAGCGTCGTAGACGATGGGAGGAAGCTGTCACAGGACAGCAACTCGACACGACATGGAAATACGAGGCGAAACTCCTCTATGCTACGTCTGTTCCCATGGTCGTCACCTTCATGCTGCAGTATTCACTTCAATTTGCCAGTATCTTTTCACTAGGAAGACTCGGACGCGATGAACTTGCTGCTGCGTCTTTGGCAAGCATGACGGCAGCAATCACCATGATTTCTGTCGTTCAGGGGCTTGCTACGTCACTAGATAGTCTCTGCTCCCAGAGCTTTGGCGCCAACCAACCATTTCTGCTCGGACTTCATCTACAGCGCGCCATGTTGCTTCTCTTGCTTTGTCTTGTCCCAATTGGCACTCTCTGGCTATACAGCGAACAGCTTTTTCTCCACTTTGGTCAACCTGCGGAGATTGCCATCCTCGCAGCCCAGTACCTGCAACTCTTACTCATCGGTGCACCTGCATTCGCACTGTATATTGCTCTCTCGAAGTTTGCAGCCTCCCAGGGCAACTTCTCCATCTCGACATATTCTCTGGTCTTGGCAGCGCCACTCAATGCCATTCTCAACTATGTCCTGGTTTGGCATCCTGAATTAGGTATTGGATTTGCCGGTGGACCCATAGCAATGTCCATCAGCTACTGGACCATGTTTCTCTCAATGGTCTTGTTTATTCGTTACGGCAAAGCCAGACACGCTTGGCACGGCTTCTCCAAGCAAGCATTTACCAACTGGGGCCCCATGCTACGTCTTGCTGGTCCAGGTCTTCTCATGTGCACGACTGAGTGGTTCGCATACGAATGTATGGCCTTCTCAGCATCTCTCATTGGTGTGGTACCGCTTGCAGCACAAGCTATTGGCGCTACAAGCATCAACCTGATTTATCAAGTCTCATTTGGAGCCAGCTGCTGTGTCGCCGCCAGAGTAGGTACCCTTCTCGGCGCCGGTCTTCCAAAACCTGCTCGTACCGCGACCTATGTTGGCGTGGGTGCCTCAGTGCTCATCGGTGCTACATCAGGCCTTGCCATTCTACTTCTTCGCTTCGATTGGGGCCGCCTTTTCACTGATGATGGAGGTGTCATTCGAGCAGCAGCCAAGATATTGCCACTCTGCGCATTCTTCAACGTCTTTGATTGTGTGCAAGTCCTAACATCTGGCGTTCTTCGTGGTCAAGGGCGTGTTCATATCGGTGGGTGGCTCAATCTAGCTGGTTACTATCTCGTTGCGATTCCTCTCGGCTTGCTTCTTTGTTTCACGTATGGATGGGGACTTGCTGGTTTATGGACGGGTATGTGTATTGCCATTGTCCTCATTAGTGGCGGTCAAGCTTACTACGTGCTTTCAGCAGACTGGCAACAACTTGTGGAAATGATCCAGATGCGCATCTTGGCATCGGGTGAAGCTGCGGCGCACAGGCATCTTGCATGAGTCTATGTACGAGTTGATGTTTTCATGATCCTTTATGAGTCGTATCTTGACCCTCGAGCCGTGACAGGGTTTGCATCTCCATGTACAGTCGAGGTCATTTCGATTTGGTCCCTGAGATCCTTTTCTTGAGATTCTATACGGCTCTCTCGAGGCGCCTGCAATGCGATGTACTCAAAGACCACTTCCTAGCGAAAGGGTCGACTTGAAGGGTACGAGATCAGCAGTGATGAGAGTGCTGAATTCGGTTGGCCAGCTGCGCAGCTGCGGTCACTACAGCGCTGTTGACCCCATGATTAAATATGCTGAGCTTCCAGCCCCTGATACTGGCATTGGGATCATACACACTGATGCGACTGTTTGTCACCGCCTAGCAGTAGGACATGTGTCTGGAAATGAGTAAAAGCAGCAAGCTGAAAGGTCTTTGACAAGTTTAGCACTTGCTGACGTGGCAGACATGACTTGTTGAAGAGAGACCCACCACAACCAAGACTATACCAGAATCACACATATGCACTGGTCCAAGATTGTCCTGCTGAGCATCAGCCAATGCGGTCTCAGCAGTGCCAAAACAGTAGAGGCCCTCTGTGAGATTTCGTTTCATCAAACTCATCAGGTTTCAGCAGACACACCAAATCAAGGTCGTGTGAACTGTAATAGCGAATGCAACAAATTGATCGATTCGACTCATAAGACCTTTCCAGTTGGCAATTATTGTTGGGCAGAGAAACCGACCATCACGGTCACTGGCTTGAGATTGATGAATGGGACTGCAATATTTATGAAGGGAGCATGCGAATGCACCGTCAGTCTGGTATACGAGAGCATGCCATCGCAGTCGTGCATTTTACGCAATGCCCAAAAGGACCTCATGAAAGAGTGGCAAGAGAGGAGCCCGAAGGTTAAGGATATCCCACGCGATGGTTTGGAATATCAGCCTGAACCGGGTTGCTAGGGCCTAGCACATTGGCAATCAAGTCGCGCAAAGTCGTCAGACCAAAGACACAAACAACACAAGAATCATTCAGGGACAGCGATGCCGCCCAGTGGAGATTAGGCTTTGCCAATACTTGGTCAAACAGGCTATCATAGGAGCAATTGAGCTATGTCACCTGAACTAGATCTTCTTGAGCGTATGTATGTGTATGTGTTGTTGTTGTCGCCTCGTCTTGTTCAGATGCGCACCCTATTATTGACTCAGCAGCCCATCCAATTGACCTGATAGCATACCAACGCAGTGATCTCCTTCCAGCAATGATTGAAGAATGACAAATATCTCGCAGGCTACGTGTAAATGCTGAAAGAGTCAAGATATCTGAGAGGGGAAGTGCTTGTTGTTGTTGAGCAAGCCATACCACGCTGTTCATTGAGCAACGGCGTAATCTTGTGCTGGAGCAGCAACAGCATCGCCGCCATGCACCATCGCTGCACCAGCTCGACTTGATCCAGCAATCTGCGTCTTGCCAAGACTCCAAATCAGGGCCGCAGCACCGGCCAAGCCGCCAGCGTTCAAGGCCGGCCGTAGACCTCGAGTTGACTTGAATAGAACACCTGCCACGAAGCCACTCGCAACCGCATTCATCGTATCATGCCGACCTCGCACGGCACCGATACCAGAATTGATGAGGTTGTAGAGGATGGCTACTACGCCGCCAGAATTGCCAAGGAAAGGCCCGCGCCTTGTGACACTATTGAGGACTGTATTGAGTCTGAGACGGAAGGAGTCGCTTGGTTTTGAGTTTCTCAGACCCTCGATAATGCCATAGGCGCCTCCGAGTCCCAGGCATGTGAGATAGGTGGTGCCTGTACCGTATGAAAGATCGTCTGACCAACCGCGCGACGGCAATGCAGTCTCCGAGCCGGGCAATGTGTTGAGTGCTTCATCTTCGAGCGTCAGATACTCGAGTGTGTCGTTGAGACCTGCGAGAGGATGTAGCTTGCTTGCATCGAGTGTGGAAAAATCAAACTGCGGCGTCGCTGTCGGCGTTGCGTTGAAGTCTGAGGAGGGTGGGTCAACGAGACCCGGACCAGCGCTCGATGAGCTACTGGGTTGTTGCGGCTGCGCAGAGCCGCCTGCTTTTGTGCTAAAGAGCCAGCTCATGTGGATTCAAGGAGCTTCTTCTGCTGTATACCTTCTGTGCTGCTTGACATTTTTTGGTTGGACTGGGAGGGGGACACGTGAAGCACCAGATGGACTCATTCAGGGCAAGGAGCATCCAGCAGCTTCAGCTATTCGTATCATGACCGATTGAGACCGACTCAGAGGAGCCTACCTATGGTCTCTAGTCAGAGGACGCGTCGTTGGACCGCTTTCGAACAATTCCTTCCAAGAAGACTGAATGAATGAACCCGTCTACGGTATTACTCAACTGTGAAGATCAATAAGGACTACTAGCTAAAAATGAGACCCTCAGAAAGAGTGCCAAAGGACGCAAAGGCGTAGTCCTTGAAGTAATTTGACCTCGCCTTCCAAGGCCCAGAATCAGCTGCCTTGGGCAGGATAGATCTGTTCTTTGTGACGTAGGTTGAAGACAAGTTGAAGACGCTCGAAGGTGTCAAACTTGCGGGATCCTCCACGTGAGGCGTCACTGCCTTTTGTCCACGCTCACGCATGGCTTTGAGGAGTCGTGTGACCACGAGCGCAGTACAGTCTGCGCCCAACGTCCAAGAAGCATTCGTGTAGCCGAGAACAACAGCGAGGTTCGGGCAATCTTGCAGCATCATACCACGCCACAGAAACTTCTCAGGAATTTCAAGTGGCTTATTGTCCAAGGAAATCGCAGCACCGCCTGCCATCAACAATTTGAGACCTGTTGCCGTGATGATGATGTCTGCATCCAACTTCTCGCCATTCTCCAGCGTAATGCCGTTCTTCGTGACAGTTTGAATCTTGCCAGTAACGACATTGGCTTTGCCAGAGTGCATAGACTGGAAAAAGTCACCGTCGGGGGACATGCATAGACGCTGCTCCCATGGGTTGTAAGATGGATTGAAGTGCGGGTCGTGCGGCACATTCTTTGGCAGAGCCTTGGTTGTCGCTGCACGGATAATCTTGCGGGCAGCATTAGGGAAGGTGCGGCAGAATGTGAAGAAAACATAAGGCAATATCAGGTAGCGGAAGTAGTCGTAGCCCCAACGAAGTCCACTTGGCACAAAGCGCGGCAACTCCTTCTTTGCATTGGGCAATGTCATGACATACCCGGGCGAACGCTGCAACATGGTGACGTGTTTTGCCTTCTCGGCCATATTTGGTAGGATGGTCACTGCTGTTGCGCCGCTACCGATAATCACGACCTTCTTGTTTGCATAGTCGAGGTCTTCTGGCCAGAATTGTGGGTGTACAACGGTACCGTCGAAATTCTTGATGCCCGGAATCTCAGTCTCAAGAGGCGACTTGTAGTCGTAGTAGCCAGTGCCGAGCACAAGGAAGTTGGCAGTCTGCACGGAGCGCTTGCCGTTCTTCTCCACAGAGACACTCCAGACGGACTTTTCAGAGTTCCAGTTGAGTGCCTTGACACTCGTGCCATACTGAATGCGCTTGTCAATGCCGTATTCTTCAGCCGCCTCAGTCATGTACGAGACAATCTCGTCACCCTGCGCAAAACGAGTCTTGCCACCCCAAGGCTTCCAAGGGAAACCGAAGGTAAACAAGTCGGAGTCTGAGCGCACGCCTGGGTACTTGAAGAGCGACCAGGTTCCGCCGAGTACGTCGCGCGCTTCAAGGATTGTGTAGTTGCATCCCTTGATTTCTGTTTGCAGGCGGTACCCTGCATTGATGCCGCTGATGCCAGCGCCAACGACAATCACATCGTAGTCTGAAGCGGAGGCCATGGTGAGTAGTGGGGATGGTTGTGTTGACGAGATCTGTTGAGCAGGTGAGTGAGTACTTATCAGCTCAGCAAGTCACTCGACTTCGAGTCTCAGGTTTGGCCGGCTCCGAGTGCAGTCGCCCGAGGCCTGAGGCAGTGACTCCAGTGAGAGCAGCCGCCGCCTTGTTTCAATTGGGCCGCCCACGCTTCTTGAGCGAATTAGACCGAGCGCGCACTGGCAGTCTGGCAGGGTCTGGCACTGGGCCATTGCTCGCTGCTCACTGTGGGGAATGGCCGAGGCTCACAGGACACACTCAGATGACACAGCACTGGCAATCATCACATATATCATATATGCTGCCCTGCCAATGCATCATGATACTCCTCAATACCAAAGCACGCATGAGAAGGAGCAGCGAGCTCGCTCATCAAAATGTGTTTCTCGCCTTGTCATCCTGTCACAGTATTGACGCCCGCCTCCTTCATAGTGCCACGCCACATGTGTGATGGTGCAACACAACAGGACAAAGCATTGTGTCAGGGGTAGTGCGAGTCAGGGTCTTCTGCTTACACTTGAGCATTGAAAAGCGGTCTGCCAGGTCTGCTTTTCCGCGCAGGCAGAACAGAATAGAAGGAGCCGAGTTGAAGATGAGCCGGACCAGGTCTTGCACAGAGCTTACTCCATCAGACATCGCACCAGACTGGCAAATGGTGTCCTCTCCTTAATCGACCTCTGCAGCATGTCAGATACGACACAATTTCGCAGCCACGCAGTCTCTTGCGACCACTTGTTCTCGCCTGTTTGATACGACACGACTGCAGCTGCAGACACCTACCCCTGACACGCAGTGAGAGCTCCATTCTGTCAAAATTCTGCCAGCACATCATAAAGAGGGCATCCCGCCCACTTGACTTCTACCGTGGACCACCTGTTGAAATAGACAACACAAGCGTGGGCTTGCGCTGTATCACCATTCAACAACCTCAAGATGTCCAAGGTACGAGAGCAAGCCACGTTGGCCATTGCAGTGCTGCTGTCTACTCTGATCTGCCTTCCATCGGTACTCGGCAACCCCGAAGCTCCTCTGTATGATCAAGCTTGTTGGTTGCAGCTGAGCGAAGATACATCGCCAAACGCTTGCATCTTTCGTCCCGTCTGTCTTCCCAAATACACTGTCAAATTCGAAGACCTTGCTCTGCCAACGTTCGACGGCGTATACACAAAGGACGCAATCCCTTCCAAAGATCCTGCCTCTTATCCTAAGTGCTATGGCGTCAGGCGCGATGATTTCCCGAACTGTCCAGCTGACTGGTTCACGACCGATCTCTTCGCAGAAACCCCTAGATTTGGCCAGTTTTCACGTCAACCCCAAGTGAAAGAATACAACTATGCCATCGTTTGTGAGAACGCCGATGGAAAGGATGTAGACACGCATAACAGTTATCCAGGTCCAAGTCGAGGTCCAGATGGTTTCGGCTACTGCCGTTTCGAGGTTGAACGCTCTGCAAACACATTGGCCAAGTTTAGTGGCTACTGCTATGACGCTGCACCATCAAGTCGACCGAATGAGCTCTAGTTGCAAGGGACCAGCGTCACTACATTCATCAGACCACCAGATTATCTGAAGGTTTCCTACTTAAGTTTAGCTATAGCCCAGTCTCAAGTTTACCTGCTTTCCATTCGCCGCCCATTCAGATGGGCCTTTACATGTACGCTCTCCTTCGTCTTTGTACTTTTCGCAGTGAGAAGATATCAATGCTATGATCAAGCTTACTGAGGTAGCTATTCGTATACTGGTGTATCAAGCATCCTTGTGGCACAGACTACCACCTGCCATTGCCATACTGCTGCAGCTCCTGTGGTGCAGACTGCTGAGAAGGGTCATACTGCTGCTCGCCACCGTAGTGCTGTTCATACATGTTGACTGCGTTGTTTTGAGCTTGGCGCTTAGCTTCCTCCCTGTCGATATAGTCTAGCCCTTTTGTCTCAAACAGCTTGTCGACTTCTCCTCCAGCGATACCAGCAAGCATCTCCTGAAACAAGATTAGTGTGTCTCCAAGGAACGCATCGAACATACCTTGGCAAAGGCATGAGAGACGGTCTTGCCCTCACTACGCTGCCTATCCTCAAACATCTTCATAGCCTCAAAAGAAGCTGCACCAGCAATGAGCTCATGGCTAAATTTGCCCTCATGCTCTTGCTGGCCGTAGACTTGCTGGTAGGAATCGTGGTGCTCGCCAAATCCAAACATGATGTGTCTTTTGGTGATTTGAGGGAAGTGAGAGGGTTTGTTGGATGAAGAAGAAGCTTGCTGGGCATGATCGGGGGTCTTTATAGCATGCGAAGTCACCAAGGCGTAGCATGATCCCGCTGCTCCAGATTGCCGAGCGCCAAGACTTTGAGTTTGAAGCACATCCATGCGTTGCAATTGGGCCAGGCCAGGTCATGGAGAAGGGGCCATATAGAACAAGCTAGGAAGAGGCAGTAAATGTACAATCTGTACTCTGCTAATTTGACTAGCATACACTTGCTGATTGAAAGAGGAGCGTCTTGCTGCTCTTGCATCGGCTCGCCATACAATCGAGGGCCTCGGCGCATGAAACGGCTATAATAAAGGAGACGGAATCGAGCGGTGTAGCAACAATCATGCACAGGCCACATCATTACGATGCTTATGCTCATCGTCCATGAGTGAAGCTGATGTCGGCGCCGTTCGTCGATCGAGTGTCGCTTAAAATGTCTGTTGGGCGGGCTGTCACTTCTATATAAAATTATGGGAAGTGCAGCCGACGCAACTGAAGTCGATTTCCAAGGTTGCCCTGGCTCAACTTATCTCTCAGCTAGGCGTATACATAGTACATCACATTGATCTCAATGCTTGTTCTTCCGTGCTTTTTTCGCCTTGCGGGCATCCTTCTCTTCTTGCTCCAAGACAGCAGCAGCAGCATTCTCGCCCTGCTGTCTCCGCTTGACGCTCTTGACGCCAACAGTCTTACTAGCACCTTGCTGGCCGACCTGCTTCTCTGCACCCTGCCAATCTGTATCCCCACCTTCAATTGCATACTGACTCAGATCCAGCGAATTGATGAGTTGCTGCTGTTGTTCACGTACAGCGCGTGCTGCTTTGTCTTCTGCTGCACCTTCTTCAAGATCCTCCTCCAGTGTTTGCTGAAGTGGTTGGAAAGTCTGACCCGTCTCTTCCTCGTCATCAGTCTCAAGTGCTTCTTCCCGACGAACAGGCTCAGATGGTAGAGTTGATTCAATTGCTTGTCTCTGAATTTGCGAGAGACATGTTGATAACTTCTTCAGGACCTTGACTAGCATAGCGAGGATCTGATTGTTTGGCAAATTCAATTCTTGCTCGACTTGATCCACCAATTTCCTTTGCAAGCCCAAACTGAGCAAGATGCAGCTCTGTACTCCAGACAGCTCCAAACCTTGCGATTCAAAGCGGCCTGAGAAGTAGAGTTCAGCCATCATTGGAAGCAGATCAACAATAACGTGATAGTCGAGCAAGTTGCTTGCATACGATTCGAGTCGCTTCATATCAAACGGACTCAGCATGGCATCCACCTCATCTTTCGTCAATGGACGTGCAGACTGTGTGTCTTCTTGCTGTTTTGCGGCCATGTCAGCTGATTCCATAATGGACAGCGAAGCAATGGCTGAAAAGCTCTTGAACTGATAACCCAGCAGATTCATGAATCGTTTCTTGAAGTCCTTTGCAAATGCAGATAGCCACGTAGCGTCCTCGCCAAGCACCTTGATCATAACACACGTATGCTCACCAGTCAAGTCATTGGCCGTTTGACGCAAATAAACAGGAGCGTAGCCAGCACGCTTCCAAAACTTGTGTAATTGCGAAGTCATGCCGTAAGAGACACCGAGGTAGTGTAATGTGTCTGGTCGCTTCTCTGAGAGCTTGAGCAGCAAGGGCGGCATCTTCCTTGGATCACGTACCGAGATCGAGTCAGTGGCGAGCGTCGCTTGTTCCAATTCAGCATCCGTGACGCGTGTGAGTTCAGCCTCGGTGTTTGTAGTGGTACTTTCATCCAAGCTTGTGATTTTGCCGGCATACCAATCGTCCAATAGTTGTAGCGCACGCGAGCCATAGCCCATTTTTGTGTACTCTGGGTTCGTAGCAATACGCACCACACGTGCACCCGATAGTCCAGCAAATTCGTCATCTTGAAATTGTTGCGAGACAAGCCATGGGATCAGATCGCCGCCTGCTCGTTGTCCACGTGAGAGGGTATTGAGGACAGATTCTTTTGAAATTTGTCCTTCCAAAGCGAGCTGAACAACGCAAAGCGGCTCTGGCAACCCTTTGTCGTCTTCATTGACAGGCGGCAACAACACAAACAATTGATGCGCCGGCGCATCACTCATGAGTTGTAGGTCATTGGGCGAGTTTTTGTAGTGTGAAGCGACGTAGAGCGCCATCATCTTTTGCAAGAATGCCTCCGATACTGGGTGGAAACTGAACAATGTATCGCGATTGACCACGTACAATTGGCATTGTGAAGGATGTGGGCAACCTGCATCACGCTTCTTTGGTGTAATGTTGGCATCCAGGCAAAGCAACTTGTTGAGCCAGCTCTCAATTGGATCTCCCTGCGCATATCGAATGGGTTCTTGCAGTGAAATCTCTCGCAATGTGCGGCCACTCATGGTACTCTGCTGGACTTTACCACTTCGCTCAACGACTTCTGCATCACCACCAGATTTCCGCTTGCCAGTACCAACGAAACCTCGAGACTGCTCACGAAGTTGCGAGACGAGTTTGAGCGACAGAGAGCGACCTGTACCTTCATAACCGTTGATAGTGGATGCCATAAAGACAAGGTATGGACCAATGAGTTTCTGGACAAGTGGCAAAGGAATGGCTGCCGCCTCGTCAATGACGACCAACTCGGCTTGTCCCAGCACCGCTGCGTCTTCTGGACGAATATATTGGATCGTTTGACGGTGACCGCGGAAGACGTTGACACGAACAATGGACTTGTTGAAGGCGACGTTGGTGGATTGGATAATCTCGTAATCCAGATGCTCTGCGTACTTGAGCGCGTCGAAGCCCTTGAAGACAAATTCAAACAGCGTCTTGAGATTTTCTGGCGATGGACTGGTGATGAAAATATTGGAGTAGCCATGCGCAATGGCTGAAGAAACGGCAAGACCAAGCGCAGCTGACTTTCCACGACCTCGACCAGCCGTTAGCGCAACGGTTGATTTGAGAGTCTTTTCTGCAATAGCATCGATAAAAGTGAGGACGGCTTTTGCTTGATCCAGCGTTCTTGTAGCTTCAACCAATGCACCTGCTGGTTGCGTATCTTCTAAATTCTTTTTGAGTGCTTTGAGCTCTGTGCCTTGTTTTGTTTCTTGCTCGACAACAGGAGGAAGGAGTTTGACGTGCTTGGCACCAGATACTGGAAGCACATTGAGTTCATCATCCACGACGAGCGCATGCGGATTTTGTGTGAGTGACAGAATGAATCGCTCATTGAATCGGGCTACGGCATCATCCCTCGCTTCTGTTCTGTAGCGAGAATGCACATCCATTGACATAGTATATAGCTGTTTCAAGCTCGTCATTGTTTTGAGCAGCAGGACAATGATACCGCCACCTTCGACCGTCTCAATGGTTCTTGCAAGGAGGTTTGGCGTGAGTGCTTCGAAATCCTGCAATACGCACATGCCGAATGTCTGACCGAGCACCTTTTCAGACTCTTTGTAGTAGGTATACCGGATGTTGGTGACTGCAATGAAGAGCTCGAATGGATCTTGCGCATCGTTTGGGTCACGAATGCCACGCTTGATTTCCTTTTTGATCTTCAACTCGCGCTTCTTACGATGAGAGGTGAATCCCATCAGGTCCTTCTTGTACATCCAAAGCACAGACGGCCGTGAAGCGACCTTGGACTGTGAGAGAAGCCAATGGAGGTTGACGATTTGGTCACGCCCTTTATCGCCAACAACAACGAAAATGGATCGCTTCTTTTCCTGGACGCCATTCTTGATGAGCGCCGGTATACGCGCGTCGATGGCCTTTTTCGGCATGGCAGCTGAGCGTGTGTGAGGAGCGTGCGGCTTTTGCTTGTTGTAGCTGCTCGAGGTGTATCCGAACTCACAAAAAATGCAGAAATATCACACGCACCAGGCAGCATCCAAGTTCATACAGCTTGCTGCTGCTTGCTTCTTGCTTCTTGCTCTGAGGCGTGTCCAGTCTACTGACTACCCTTGATATGACCCGTTGCACCAAGCACACCGCCGCCAATCTCGATACTAGCAAGCATCTTGACTGCCCACCACAACGTCGCCACCATCATCACCGTAAACCAAAAGAAGATTTGAAACTCAAAACTCACATCCTTCTTGTTGCATGCTGGTCCTGCCCAATCTGTGGTCTTTTGACCGGCATCGTTCTTCTTGATGGACGGTTCACAGGCGCATGCAAAACACTTGCCTTCGTTGCCACCGCGTGATAGTTTCTTGCACTTGCCATGTCCAGAACACTGCTGCGTCGCCTTCTCACAATCCTCCTGCGACGTAAAACAGCCCGATGCTGCTGCGGTTTTCAACGAACCCACAACAGATTCCTCTGCTTCATGATCACCAAATGCTTCGATGTTCTGCTGCCAGCGTTTCAACAACGTCTTGCCATTCTGTGCAACTGCGTCATGAACAGGCGGTAGCAACGATACGTACAATAACTGGTGTGGATCCAGTTCATGGATCTTACCGGCCAGTTGACGCAAAGACTGTTGCATTGCCTTGACGCCCGCAGCATAGGTTTTTGAATGAACGCCATATTTGATGAGAAGTACTTCAAGACCCACTAAATGACCTGCTGCGAATTGTCCAGAGAGTGGCGTTGGTGCGCGGGAAAGGGCATCCATGAAGGACTCCAGCGCACACATCTCTCCAATGAACCCACGATCTTCACGTACGGTGATGTCGAAGTGCTGAGCAATGTCTTGACCGAAATGCTGTGTGAAGAGTGGCAATGAAGCGCCGTGCCGGACGTGATCGTGGATATACTTGAGCGGTGGACTCAACCAAAGTCCACCACCGGCTGCATTGCGATAGACATGCTCAAGTTTGTTGTGGTGCAACATGTCTGCTTGATCGAGCAATCGTAGTAATAAATCACTGTAGGCGGATGAGCGTGGCGAGTTTGGGATTTGGTAGAGTGCTTTTTCCTCTGGGAAGATGTGCTTGGCATCCGTAATGCCAGCGATATTCAAGACAACCCCACATCGAGGACTCTGCCAAAGTCCTCCATGCTGCGCACGGTCCAATGCGCCTGCTTCATCCAATTCCACTTCCTCACTCTGTCTGAAGAGATGGTGTGTTGTCTTTCGAACGAGATGCTCAAGGACTTTGATTTGTTGGCCCAGCATGCCTAGTTTATGGTACTTGGACACACCAAAGATCTCACTAAAGACTTGACGGGACTCGGCAGGGGTCAAGCCGATGGGTGTTTCGTGATTGCCTGGGAATTTGTAGACACTGGCGGCGAGGGGTGTGGATGGGTTCGCTGCATGGATGAGGGCGATGGAGGCGGACAAGAGGGCGCTGCTTGTGAGCCACATCTTGTAAGTTGCTTGCCTCTCCTTCAATGTCCTGCTTCTGTAGTAAGTACTAGTCAGTAGTCAGTCGCTGCAGTTGTCTCTCGTCATGTTTCTCGCTTTCGGCTACAGCAACAACAACAAGCACAAGGCGACACTCACCCGGAGAGAGAGAGCGCGGGCTAGCAAGGGACATACATGGACGAGGAGAAGGAGCATCAGCACTTACAACAGGGCAGTGTAGAAGACAATGGACCAGCAGGTGCAGAGGAATTAGTCCCGTTGACGCAAAAGGAGGAAGATGTCCTCGCACCCGCCGATATCCCCATCGCCAATGTCCTGCGCATCATGAAGGCAGCACTCCCACCCAGCGCTAAGATTGCAAAAGAAGCGAAAGAGTGTGTTCAAGAATGCATCTCTGAATTCATCGCCTTCATCACCTCGGAAGCATCAGAAAAGTGTTTACAAGAGAAGCGCAAGACGGTGAATGGTGAGGACATCTTGTTTGCCATGACGAGTCTTGGGTTTGAGAATTACTCAGAGACACTCAAGATTTACCTCGCAAAGTACAGGGACAGTGTCAAACAGGCGGATCATGATCCAGAGGAGCCTGCAGACAGGGCGCGGCACGCAAGTGTCTCCTACAATGAAGCAGGGGAGGCACAGCCTAAACCAAAGAGAAGCCACAAGAAGCGCAAAGTAGCGCCGGTGACGGAGACAAATGAAGCCATTGCATTGCAGCAGGGGCAAGCGGCGGTGCCCTCGCAAGCACTAGACCCGAGTCTAGCAGAACACAACACGACTTGGTGATCTGTTCTCTGATGACCTTTTCAGATTCTTGTATCTAATTTAACAGCGCTTGTATCATTGCGCAGTATACTCTTGATGATATTGAAGCAGGCCGTTGCATTGCATTACAAAAGAACTGAGCATAAAGAGATTGAAGACCTTCCAAGAGAGGCCAAGGATACGAAGAGGAAGCGCAAAAGACAGGGCTTTCATCAAGTTTTCAGCGTTGAGCGGCATGCACACTCGCCAAATGCGACGGATCAAAGCCACGACCGCCACCTGCGGCAGTCTCATGCGTGACATCTCTTGACCGTGGGCGACTTTGCAAATGCGTCATCTCACTGCCTTGCTCCAAATCACCCTGTCGACGCCTGCGACTTCCACCTGACCGCGCAGCAGTCGGATCAGACGTCGCAGCTGTTGATCTCCATCGTGGCATCCTAAAGGTGCTTAGACTGTGCAACATACCCAACACACCCGCATGAGATTGTGCATCCTCCATCGCAGCATCTTCACCTGCAACAGGTAATTTACGTACCCAAAAGTCCTTTTTGCACAGTGGGCAAATAGCACGACGCGTGGTGAGCCATTGATCCACACACGCCGCATGGAATGCATGACCGCATGTCAAGCCACGGATGTCATCGTCGTCTTCGAGGGTATCGATGCAGATGGCGCAGGTATCACCAGAGACGATATCAGCCGCTGCGATCCCTGCAGCTGCAGAAGGTGCATGAGTAGAAGAAGGACCTGCAGCGCCAGCGCCAGCAATGGTAGCAGGTGTTGATGAGGCAGCATCTGCAATGTCGGCTTCTCCAGCAATATCAACAGACTCTTCTGTTTTATCTGACTTGCCAGTCATGATGGCCCGTGCTTGCTGTGACGAACCCACTTCGTAGATTGTATCACCTGCATATGTCTCTCCCCGCGCCAGACTCTTCCTTCTTGCTTGTTGTTGCGCTTCAAGGTCTTGTTCGACCACGCCCGTGGCCAGCTCACCCGCACCCGCATCCGGCGCCACTTCCTCCGTCGTGAGGGTTGCCTTCTCCTCTTGCATCTCTTGCCTGACAACCTGCGCCGTCTCTGCATCAACGGCCTGCATGCCTCCCTCCGTACTCAACCCAGCCTTCTCCCGACTCGCGCGCCACGCTTTATAGCTTTGTAATGGAAATTGCGCATTCACCTCTTCCATGGTCATGAGTTTCTTCTCCTTACGTCGACGTCCTGAACGCTGCTGTGCACTGGCTGCTGCGATTTCAGCATTCATTTGAGACATGGTGATGCCGCGTCGTCGTGCAGATTGATAGCGGAAACAGTACTTGACACCAATAATGATCCATAAGTTTGTGAAGAGGACACCGAAGCCGAGAGCGACGAAGAAGAGGAGGGGCGATTGGGAGTTATTGTTGGAGCGGGTGGACTGTGTCGGGGTTGGGCTGGCGGTGGGTTGCATGGAGGGTGTGACGGTGGAGGTTGCGAGCGACATGATGGAGGGCGCGCGCTCTCTCTTCTTATTGGGGGCCGTCCGCTGGCTCCTGGTGCGCCGTGTATTGCTTGCCTGGCTGGGTTGTCTGTGTGAAACAGTTGCAATATGGGGAGTAGAGGAGCTGTGTCGCTGGTGGTGGTGCCAGGTGCTAGATTTGCTGGTTGCTGCTGGAGGAGAAAGGGTGAGGTAAGCAGCACGTGTCTGTACTATAGAATAGATGAGTGTAAATTGACATGGGTATGCAATACTATGTATAATGTATAGGATTGAATGGCTTGTCTATACTCTACTCTTCTCATGCCAACAGATCCCGCTTCCTGCTGTCTGCATACGGAATAGTCAGACAGGAAATACCCAGGTACGTGGTGAAGTCCCTGATGACATGCTCGGCCCAGCTCACATACATCACAGTGCTCACTCCCAAGCACAGCCAGAGCAGCTTGACCTCCTGCTCTGCACTAATCAGCTGCACACCCAGCATCGGTGCATTCACAATCGCCGCACCCAGCAGCAATGGAACCAGCTGGACTGTGAATAACGGGAAGGGTTGTCTGAGGAGGTGGGCAAGGATGATCTTGGTCGTCATCCTACCAAAGACCAGACAACACAAAACGCCAAATAGAATCATATGGTTGTCCCTGAGGATCGTCCCATACGGAGACCCAATCCATGCAGCAGCTGCACCTGTAAACAAGCCAAGTGGTAGCCATTGTAGCAGTGTCGACGCCGTGTCGAGACCTCTGGCTGAACGAGCGAGGTAGACGTTATAGATGCAAAACGGAATATGCACAAAAAACAAGGCTGAATATGTCATGAGCATGAATGCATCCTTCAGTAATGTCTGTGACTTGACCAAGCCTTGCAAGATTGGAAACAGTGCAGCGAGTGGTTGTTGCCAGATACCGGGACCCCAGATGGCACTGACGAGCATACACCCACATGCAATCAAGATACCCTCTGTTGGACCATTGAAGTATCCGAGATACAACGTGCCTGTATGGAACTGCTCCCATGAACTGAAAAACATGGGCCAAGAGCTGATAATCATAATTACTGCACCGTCGCGCGTTGCACCGAATCCCATGGCACTGCAGAGGACAATACCACCCAGTGTACAGTTGAGGGAATCAATGCCATGGTCAAAAAGCTCACCAAGTGCAGAACTAGAGCCTGTTCGACGGGCTTGCTTGCCATCCATGTTGTCAGCTGTTTGATAGATGAATAGACCAGCTGCAAATGAATAATACAACCACGCCGGCCCCGGTCCCTTGAGATCGGGCAATAAGACTAAGATTGAAAAGACATTCGCAACAATGAAGCCGAGACCTGTGAGGGTGATCAAGTTGGGTGCCACCCATAGTGGCAGCAGGTTTGTGCAGAATTGCCAGTACGGTGTAAGGATGTAGTAGGAGAGCGGTGACTTGTCTACAGCAGAGTACTTGTAGTGTTTGAGACCGGAGAGGTCCTTGCGAGCCATGGCTCTGTGTCTATAGCTGAGTGACACTAGCTCACTCTCTGCACTCTTGAAAGTGACACTTCGAGCCTGGTCGTGAAGCAGTTGAATTCACTTCGCGACCCCAGACTCGCGCTCACACGCACACCACACCACACCCAGTAAACGCGCCAACTCACCCTTCAGACGCTCATTAGAGATGGGCAACCAGTCCTCACGACTACTCGACGACCTCGTCGACTCCACTCATTTCTCACATGAAGAAATTGAGCGCATCCGTCGCCGTTTCCTCAAACTCGATCAAAATAGATCAGGCGGTATAGATCGTCAAGAGTTCCTGTCTATCCCACAAATTGCCAGCAATCCACTTGCGCATCGATTGTTTGCCGTGGTGGATAAGGACGGCGGTGGAGATGTGGATTTCCAGGAGTTCATTGAGGCGTTGAGTACGTTTAGTCATAAAGGCGACAAGGAATCGAAGCTCAGATTCGCGTTTCAAATCTATGATATTGATCGGGATGGGTATATCTCAAATGGCGAGCTATACCTCGTGCTCAAGATGATGGTGGGCAGTAATTTGCGAGACGGACAGTTGCAGCAGATTGTGGACAAGACAATCATGGAAGCAGACAAGGACCGTGATGGCAAGATTTCATTTGAAGAATTTCGAGACATGGTCGGTAGTCCAGATATGTCTGGTATGACTCTCCTTGAGATTTGAAAGCAACGAGATGACTGAATATGTTACGTCCTAATGATTACAAGCTTTTTAGTATCTTTCTTCTAAAGCTTCTCCTTGGTTGCATCGACGTGTTGGATGACAATAGCAGAACCAGTGCCACCACCAGCACAAATCGACGCAGTACCAATGTTACCGCCCTTCCTGGCCAGCACGCTGGTCAACGTTGCAATGATGCGGGCACCAGAGCAACCAAGTGGGTGGCCCAGTGCAACAGCACCACCAAAGGCGTTCACCTTCTCCCGGTCCAAGCCTAGAATCTGCGCATTCGCAAGCGCAACGACAGAAAAGGCCTCATTGACCTCGTGGAAGTCGCACTGGTCAGCGCTGACACCAGCATGCTTGAGAGCCTTGGGCACAGCGAGCGAGGGAGATGTCGTAAACTCAACAGGCGCTTTGGCCACATCGCCCCAACCAAGAATCTTTGCGATCGGTTTCAAGCTGTACTTCTTGACAGCCTCCCCGGAAGCCAAAATGATAGCACAGGCACCATCAGACAATGGCGACGAGTTGGCAGCTGTGGCTGTACCATCCTTCTTGAAAGAAGCCTTCACAGTCTTGAGCTTCTCAATGTTGAGGTTGGCTTGCTCATCATCCACAGAAACAGTCTTGTTGGGCTTGCCACGACCACCCGAGACTTCAATCGGTGCAATCTCCAAGAAATCACCATTCTTGGTAGCGGCTTGAGCGCGCTGGTAGGTCTCAATGGCAAACTGATCCTGTGCGTCACGATCAATCTTGTAGGTTTCTGCACAAATTTCAGCAGCATCACCCATACCATTACCAGAATAGGCGTCGGTCAATCCATCTTTTTGCAAACCATCCACCATTTGCACAGCACCGAATTTACTACCAGTACGTGCAGTGGGGACGTAGTAGGGGACATTGGACATACTCTCTGTTCCACCCACAACCACAATCCCAGCAGTACCAGACATGATTGTCTGAGCACCGATAATGGTGGCCTTCATGCCGGATGCACAGACTTTGTTGATGGTGGTGCAAGGAACGGATTCAGGCAAGCCAGCACCAATAGCGCACTGACGGGCTGGGTTCTGACCATTGTTGGCTTGACAGACATTGCCGAAGAAGCACTCTTCGACCTGGTCAGGGGAGATGTTGGCACGCGAGACGGCCGCTAAGGAAAGGGTCAGCAGGACTTCTAGCGAAGAAGGAGAGAGCTACCCTTGATGGTGTGAGAACCAAGTTGGACGGCAGTCAGGGACGCGAGGGAGCCTTGGAACGCTCCGAGTGGCGTTCTTGCAACAGAGACAATGTATACGTCGCTAGCAGGTATCAGCAATTTGATCGGAGCAGCAGCAGGGAGTGGAGTACGTTTTCGAGGACATGATGTGTTTGGTTGAGAGTGTTTCTGCGCGCCAATTCATTCGTGAGTCGTGAGTCGCCTTTGAAAAGTGGCGTGAGGAGACATTTATGGTTAGCCGACACTGCACAACCACCCAACCATCCACGGCCGGCACCGACCGATACTTGATGTTGCTGCTATACTGATCCTATATATTCACAACCGGCAGTGCAGGGCTCATTGTAGCTGCTCCTCTGAATGTTCGAGGTTGATCTGCTCGCTCCTCGCGCTTTCCTAGCAGCTCCATTGCAACTGCGTGTCTTCTATGGCTCTGTTAGGAATCCAAGTGCATCTCCTGATCACTTGCTTCGCTGTCATCTCTCTGCCACGTCAGGGCTCATGCACGTGACCTTTACTTGAGTCTTAGCTAGCAAGAGTGCTATACTCTTGTCCCCTATCCGAATCAAGTCTTATCGGCAGCTACCCTGCGTGCCTGTGTCTATTACCTACGATTACAGCCTCGCATATCCGCCAACTCCGATTAGGTTATATGCATTGTTGCTATGCAGGAAGACGCTATTGCTTCGGGTCAACGTTCCGGCCCGTCTAGCAACGCGGTGATAAGTAACACCAGGAGGATCAGACATGGCGTAAGTGCTTGGAAGGACGAGCTGCTGCTTGTCGCTCAACAGGCCGGCGTTGAGACCTGCATTTTCCAGAAGTTACACGCACGCCGCGTCAATCAACAATACGCTGCGCAGACGCCATGCAGAAGGCCGACGAAGAAGCTGAGGCCCGTATTTCCGCTCTCGAAGCTCAGATGAAAGATAACAAGCTGAAGGCACCACAAGCCTGTAGCGCCCCTTCGACTCGCGCCAACGCAGGAGGGATCAAGCGAGGGTGAAAGCACGAAGCCTTACATTGGTCCTTGCTGCTCCAACTCCGAAGGCTACCTCGTCCCTGCTACTTTCGAAGAATGGTCTTATCTGGGACCAACTTGGGACAAGAACAGCAAGGCACTTTTCCTGCTTAAACGAGGTCTCGACAGGTCCGACTGCGAAGCAATTAAGGACACACCAATGGCTTGCGTCGCTTTCAAGACCGCATTGTCTCGACACGAGCAGCCTGATACGCTGCGAAAGTTGCAACTGATTGCAAAACTCAGCAAGCTCTCTTTGCCGTGGAAGTGAGAGTGGCGTGCAAGTCATCGTTCCAGGCTTTGCCAGCTTGTTTCAAACCGTAGAGAGCTTTCTTGAGCCTAACGAAAGGGAAGTTCTCAACAAGCTCTCTTTGCCAGTATAGCTAGCGGCAATGCTGCAAGTGTCGACTTTACTGATGAGCAACTTGAAGCTATCGCTACTAGCGGTCTTGGCGTCACTGCTCACGATGACGAGCTTGATGAATATGCCTTTATGCTTACTGCTCAAGATATTATCCCAGCTCCTGCGACTGTCAAACAAGCTTTATCCCGCTCTGGCGCACCGGAATGGCGTGCCTCTATGGAACGCGAGCTCGCCTCCATTGAAGGCAAGGGAGTCTTTGAGGAAGTCGCCAAGCTACCTCCAGGCCGCAAGGCCATTGGCGCTCGCTGGATTTTGAGAACAGGACCCTTGCTGACGGCATTCTCGACAAGCGCAAGTCGCTCCTTGTCGCCAAGGGATTCTCACAAAAAGCTGGTGTGGACTACAAGGAGACGTATGCTCCGGTCACTCGACTTGAGACTGTGCGCATGCTAATCGCGCTTGCTTCCATCTATAAGCTGCAATTGCACCAGATGGACATTGCTACTGCGTACCTCAGTGCAAACTCGTTTGAGAAGATTCTTATGATCGCTCCTCCAGGTTTCTCTAACGAGAACTTCCCTTTCGTTAGGCTCAAGAAAGCTCTCTACGATTTGAAACCAGCTGGCGAAGCCTGGAACGATGACATGCACGCCACTCTCACTGCCAGGAGGCAAAGAGAGCTTGTTGAGTTTCGCGACCAGTTGCAACTTTCGCAGCGTATCAGGCTGCTTGTGTCGAGACGATCCGGTCTTGAAAGCAACACAAGCGACTGCAGTGTCCTTAATCGCTTCGAGGTTGGACCTGTCGAGACCTCCTTTCAGCAAGAAAAGTGCCTTGCTGTTCTTGTCCCAAGTTGGTTCAAGATGCGACCATTCTTCGAAGGTCGCAGGTGCAAGGTATCCTTCAGAGTCGGTGTAGCACGGGCCGGTGTAAGGCTTCGTGCTTTCATCCTCGCTTGATTCCTCCTCCATCGATTTGGACTTAGAGCGAGTCGAAGGGGCGCTATAGGCTTGTGGGGTCTTAAGCTTGTCGTCTTCCATCTGAGCTTCGAGAGCAGAAATACGGGCCTCAGCTTCTTCGTCGGCCTTCTGCATGGCGTCAGCGCAATGTATTGCTGCTTTGACGCGGCGTGCGTGTATCACCGGGGCAAAGTGCTCGTACAATGTTCTAAGGTTATTGAACTGAGTACTGCAAATCATATCAAAGAAATGGAGCTCAGGAGTCGAGCTAAGGTTTATCGGCGCAGTCGAACCTTGATCTGCTTGCAATTGCGGATTGTGGTCTAGCTTACCTACCAGACCTCGACGCCTGGCCATGGGTGATGTACCATCGCCTCAAACTGCTGTCGTGATGTTTGTGAGCGAGGCTTCTTCGTCAATGCTCGCTAATTTGTGCATCGGTCACGGTAATCTGTGAATCTCGTTGCCATTGAACAAGCAGCCTTGAACAGTGGTCTTTTAAGAGAAAAGCTTATGAGTTTTTTTTACAGCTAAAACGTTCACGATGCAGTGCTTATGGCAGCTATGGCCCGTAGCTACAGTACTCAATTCAATAACCTTAGAACCTTGTACGAGCACTTTGCCCCGGTGATCAATTTCCGTAAATCGCGGTCGGCCTCTTTTGCCTCGCTCTGCCCGACGCAACCTTGAATCATTACTAAGATCTTGGCGGGGACTCACAAGATACACATCTTTGCAATTGTACAAGAGCAGGAACTGTCGCTGCGACTGACTCACCCTCTTCAGCGAAAGGCCTGCGTCTCGGCAAGGATAGCGAGGAACCAAGTCAATGACAGCAGACTCACCGCGACAACCGGCAAGTACCGACGCCGACATCGCTGACGACTCGGTCACTTCAATAGCAGACGCGCCAAGTCATGCCTCTATGGAAGAGAAGCGACAAAAGGGCGCGCCAGATGCGGAGGTGCATATGCTACCGAAGCAGAAGAGCATGCCTCTCGTATTTGCAGGACTCATGTTGACGGTCTTCTTGGCGGCGCTAGATCAGACAATCGTGGCAACTGCATTGCCTACCATTGCACAGGATCTTGGTGCGAATGAAAATGAATACGCGTGGATCGGCTCTGCCTACTTGCTGTATGTCGCTCACTATATGCTGGCGCGCTAATTTGACAGGACGTCCGCTGCTCTGGTGCCACTTTGGGGTACCTTGTCAAATATTGTTGGCAGGAAGCCTATTCTGTATGGATCCATCTTTGTGTTCCTAGTCGGCTCAGCACTCTGTGGCGCTTCTCAGTCTATGGGCATGCTGATTGCTTCTCGCGTATGTTTGGTTCTTGTATTGCGGCAATGCTGATAGCAGGCTATCCAAGGAATTGGTGGTGGAGGACTCATTACGATGTGCCAAATTGTCATCTCAGGTACGTCGTCGACATGCATCCTGTGTTACGTCTAACAAACAAAAGATATTGTCAGCCTCGAGGAAAGGGGTAAATATGGTAAGTTCCCGTTTCGAGACAACATCAAGCTAACCAACAGGTGGTCTCATCGGATCTGTAAGGACAAATACAGCAAGTTTCGAACTAACAAATAGACTTGGGGTATTGCATCCGTGGTCGGTCCCATTCTCGGTGGAGCACTCGCTGAAAAGGTCTCTTGGCGATGGTAAGTCTATCCGTCGATTGACCATTGCTAAAAATAGGTGCTTCTTCATCAATTTACCAACTGGCGGAGCGGCAGCTGCTGTGTTGTTCATCTGCCTGAATCTGAATCCGCATGAGAAGAAGTCATTCCGACAACTCGCGCAGACGTTCGACTTTGTCGGCTTGCTCAGTCTTATGGCAGCCACGACCTGTTTTCTGGTCGGCCTGAATGAAGGTGCTGCCGGCATGTGGCTCTCTTTCCAAGGAATAGGCCTGCTCGTCCTAGCTGGCGTGTTTCTCGTCATTTGTCTCATCACAGAATTCAAGACGAAGCGCAATCCGGTGCTGCCACCAAGATTGTTCCAACACCGCACATCTGGCTCAATTCTCATCAGTGTTCCCTTCCACGCCATGACGTTCTTCTCAGGCGCTTACTACCTACCCATCTACTTTCAGGGTATCAATGGATCTTCCGCCACCTTCTCAGGTGTCGAGATGCTGCCATTTTCACTGGGCGCTGCACTCGTCGCCATTATTTCAGGACAAGTTGTCTCCCGCACAGGCCGGTACAAGCCAGTCTCTGTTGGTGGCTATGCCATGCAAGTCCTTGGATTTGGGCTCATGGCATCGCTCACATCTAGGAGTAATCGCGCTGAACAAGAAATTTACATCTTGATTGCCGCACTTGGTATTGGTTGCAATTTCCAAACACCCTTGATTGGTTTACAAGCATCTATGCCTGTCAAAGACATGGCAGTCAGTACATCCGGTATGGTCCTCCTCCGTGCCATCGGTGGAAGTATCGGTATCACTATCGGTGGCGCCATCTATTCAAGTCAACTCGCAAAACGGTTACCAGCTGCATACCGCACAACGAGCAACATCGAAGCTGTTGCTGGTCTGGTCAAAATTAACCCAGCGTCTCTCAGACTAGAGGTGTTGGACGACTATGCGGATGCTATTCGAACAATCTGGATTGTCATGACACCACTCGCTGCTCTTGCTCTACTTTCTTCCCTGTTCCAGCGCGAGATTTCATTGAAACGTGCTGTTCAGCGTGGGTTGACCAAGAAGGTGGATGCAGACGATGAAGCTGCTATTGCCATGGATGAGAGCAAAGGCCAAGGCGAGAGCGCGACCACGTCTGTGCATTCGACTGATGCTGTTCCATCACGGGCGACCACAGCTGTGGTTGAAAGCAATGCTCTGGCGGCAGACAAGGCTGTTGTTGTATAAGCCAGGATTTGAGCATGTATATGAAGCATATGGGTGTAGACAGGCATAGTGATTAAGATTTTTGGGTCGTGCTCGAGTCTGCAGCTGTACGTGCTGATTGCCAGTCAACGCTGCTCTTCATACATTCAACGCGTCAGTACATTTGTCTTCCTGTCATTTTCATATTCCTCTTCATCCAGACATGTTCTTACCAGACAAAAGTGTCACGTGTATAGGATCTGAAACAAGCCTGAAGCTTGTCTCAGGCTTCTTCTCAAAGCAGTCTCATAGGATGAAAATCAGGGCAGAGCAACAATCCGTGCGCAAAGAAATTCGAACCCATCTGAAAGGACTCTTCGGACTGGACACCTGGGCAGTGGGCACGCAGCGAAACAAAACCACCCCATCTGAAGCTGCGACTTGGGCTTGCCAGTGCTCGCAGGAGGTTCCCTTCCATCAAGACGTCTGCTTCAGCTGATCGTTTGTAGGCTTCAGTCATTGTGCTCGACCACTTCCAAGCCTGTTCATGTGATCAAGCTGCGCTCAATCTGCTCGCATGGTCAAAGAATGCAGGCAGGTCAAGATTCTAGCGGATTGGCAAGCTCCTTATCCGGCCGACGTCCTTTCATTTCATCCTAGCCAGTCCGATATTCTCGTGGTCGGCACGTATCTTCTTGATGAAGAGACTCGGAATAGACACGGCAAGATATGTGTTTTGCAACTGCAGCGGGATCACTCCCTCGTATTGCTGTCAGATGTTGATGTTGACGCAGTGCTCGACCTCAAGTGGTTCGAAGGCCGCTTATTTGCAGCGCATTCGACGGGTACTGTATCGATATTGACATACGAAAGTGGAAAGCTGTCTGTGGAGTTATCGAAGCAAATCGTATCTGCTGATGTCCTCATCATGAGCCTCAGTGTCAATACTACGGGGGTCTTGACATCCAATTCTGACGGCACAGTGACAAACCTCGGTCATCAACTAGAGGTCAAGGCGACAATAGAAGTCTCTGAGCTGGAGACCTGGATTCAAGCATACAATCATTCGTCCCTTGACCAAAGCATCATCTACGCCGGATCGGATGACGGTGCGCTGAGCATTCTTGATCTTCGAGACGAGACTGTGAGCTTGTGCAATCGTAAAAGCCACGGTGCAGGAGTCACAGCTATTCTTCCGTACACGGACACCTTGCTCTTGACTGGTAGCTACGATGACAAGATTCGCTCATTCGACATTCGGAATCTGAGACGCCCAATACATGAGGAGAATCTGGGTGGTGGTGTTTGGCGGATCATTCCAGACCAGGCCAAGGACTCGTTTCTGACATGCTGTATGTACGATGGTGCCAAGTTGGTTGATTTGACGGCTGAGGGATTCTCCATCACGGCAGCCCACACAGCGCACCAGAGTATTGTTTATGGCGGCGATGTCGTGGTCCAGAACGAGGGCCCCTTGTACGGTACATGCAGCTTCTATGACAAGAAGGTCTGTCTCTGGAGCATGGCATGATATATTATATATGGTTACGTGACTGCGATAATTTTTGTCCTCAAAGCTTCGACGCGGTCGCGATGAACACTCTGAAGCTACGTCGTGAGCGACTTAATTGACGGCCGCAAGTGCCTGTGTCTCTCATCTCAAGGGCCCGCAGACAGTCTCGACTCGACAGTCACTTAGAAGCTTGTTGCTTGCCACAGCATGGTCACGAACGCGAGTAATCCACCCGTGCTCGATGAGAATGACGCATCTGCTCCAATCAGCGAGCGCGTCGCCTCTAGTGCCATTGTAGACTCCTCAGTCACCCAGTCTATAAAGATGCCCAAGGCCGTCCTGAAGCCTGGCACCATTGCTAATGAGGCAATCCCAATGGAGGACAGCTCGAAAAGGAAGAAAAGCAAGATTCGACTCGACAGCGAGGATGAGTCTGACGAGGAGCCTTTGGTAGGACTCTTGCTCAATCCAGACTAGCCGTACTAACGGACAGATCAAAAAGCCGAGGATGACTACACCAGCTTTGCAGACCGTCAAGGCGCCGCAGGGAACAGGCAAGGCCAAGGTCAAGAATGCTACTTTGAAGCGTGAAGATTCTGAAGACATGCCGCTTGCTGCAGCGTTGTCGAGTCCTATTAAGAAACAACCTTCAAAGAAGAGCAAAGATAAGCCTCGCCCAAAAGCTGTCAAGCCTGATTCTTCCAGCTCGAGCGAGGACGAGAAGCCACTAGTCAAGGTGACGCAGGCCAAAGCTGAGACCAGTTCGGACTCGGAAGCCACAGCAAAGCCCAAGGCAAAGAGAAAGAGCAAGCAGACATCCAAGAAGCCTGCAGACTCGAGCGATAGCGAGGAGGACAAGCCGCTCAAAAAGGCTAAGAAGGTCAAAGTCAAGAAGACCAAGGTTGAGGCCGTCGAAGATGATGAACTGTTCAAGTCTGTCGCAACAAAGACGAAAGCTCCCAAAGTCGAAGCGAAAGATACTGCGAAGATTGCCGTCAAAGTGGATGGTAAGAAGGCAAAGTCAGAACATAGCGATGGTGACGAGGATGACGACGATGATGAATCTGAATTCCGCTGGTGGGAGCAGGAGAAACATGACGGATCGGAGAAGTGGCAAACGCTCGAGCACAATGGAGTTGTGTTCCCACCGCCCTATCAACCTTTGCCTCCTGATGTCAAAATGAAGTACAATGGCAAGCAGGTGACGCTGACGGTCGAAGCAGAAGAAGTTGCTGGCTTCTTTGGCGCCTTGATTGAAACGGAGCATGCAAAGAACGAAACGTTTTGCTCCAACTTTTTCGAGGACTTTCGCAAAGTGTGCAAGGATTCTGGTATGAAGGCTGCCGACATCCCCACCGAATTTGGCAAATGCGACTTTCGGCCTATGTTTGAGTACTTTGAAGCTCGAAAAGAGGAGAAGAAGGCGATGGGCAAAGACGAAAAGAAGCGCTTGAAGGAGGAGAAAGACAAGTTTGAGGAAAAGTATACACATGCACTCGTGGATGGTCGCAAGGAGAAAATTGGTAACTTCCGAGTGGAGCCTCCAGGTCTGTTTCGTGGTCGTGGTGCGCATCCCAAGACAGGCAAGCTCAAGACGCGTCTCATGCCTGAACAAATAACAATCAATATTGGCGAAAATGTGCCTGTGCCGGCGCCTCCAGAAGGCCACAAGTGGGCTGAAGTGCGACACGACAAAAAGGTGACTTGGCTTGCGACGTGGAACGAGAACATCAACAACAATGTCAAGTACGTCATGATGGGCGCTGGGTCTTCCTTCAAGGGGCAATCTGACTTGAAAAAGTATGAAAAGGCACGTCGTCTCAAGGCTTGCATTCATGATATTCGCAAGACATACGAGGCTGAGTTGACGGACAAAATGATGGAGGTACGCCAGCGTGCCACTGCACTTTACTTTATCGATCGCTTTGCTCTACGTGCTGGCAATGAAAAGGGCGAGGATGAGGCAGACACTGTGGGTTGCTGTTCTCTGCGGCTAGAACACATCTCTCTCAAGCTTCCCAATATTGTCATCTTTGACTTTCTTGGCAAGGACTCCATTCGTTACTACAATGAGGTGGCAGTGACACCACAAGTCTTCAAGAACCTGCGCATCTTCAAGAAATCCAAGACCGACCAGGACATGATTTTCGATCGACTCAATACAGGCAAGCTCAATAAGCATTTGACGAATTTGATGCCGGAGTTGTCAGCCAAAGTGTTTCGTACTTACAATGCCTCCTTTACGTTCCAGGAGCAGCTCAACAAGCTTATGGATCCAGAGGCAACCATCCCAGACAAGGTGCTTGCTTACAATCGCGCCAACCGCGAGGTGGCTGTGCTCTGTAATCACCAACGTACAGTGAGCAAAGGTCACGAAGCATCTATGGAGAAGATTGAGGACAAGGTGCGCGAGCTCAAATATCAAAAGATGCGCCTCCGCCGAATGATGGTTGCATTAGACAAGTCGCTTGCCAAGAAGAAGCCAGAACTGCTCGAGTACGAGTCGGATGTTGACGATGAGTGGATTGCCGAGCATCACACCGTCCTCTACCAGCGTGAGCAGGAGCGCATCCGGAAGAAATTTGAGCGCGACAATGAAAAGCTTGAAAAGGAAGGTTCTGACATCCATCCTTCTTCTGAGCTCGAGACGCGTCTTGAGGCTGCAGAGGAACTGAAGCAGATGTATGCTGAAGAAAAGAAGACCGGCAACGTTGAACCCAAAGCTAGTGCTACAGTGGAGAAACTCGAGGGTCAGGTGGCCAAGCTTGATGAGCGTATTGCCGTGGCCAAGACTGCGGCGATCGACAGGGACGAGAACAAGACGACTGCTCTGGGCACATCCAAGATCAATTATATTGATCCTCGCCTGACGTTTGCTTGGTGCGCCAAGTACTCTGTGCCGGTGGAAAAGATGTTTACAAAGACACTGAGGGAGAAGTTCAAATGGGCAGCAGAGACGCCCGCTGACTGGGAGTTCTGATGAAACGCTCGACTCTCATATTATGGTCTAGTGCTTGTATGTCTAGTACGAGCAGAGTAGAGTGGTCCGTCACGATGCATGCTCGTTGTTGTGATACCTAGCAAGCCCTAAGCAAGGTCAGCAGCACTTCCATGTTTTTCCATCTGAAGTCTCCAAACTCGCCAGCACCCATCCAGCAGCCTCCCGCGTCGCATGCCAGTCAGAGCATTCATGGTTGCAGAGCTCACATCGCTCTCTCAGTTCAACGATCTCAAGAAGAAGCCTCTTCTAGTCGTTGACTTTCACGCGGAATGGTGCGGGCCTTGTAAGCAGATTTCCCCGATCTTCAATGCACTAGCAACGAAGCATGCATCCTCGCGCGTCGTCTTTGCAAAGTGTGATGTCGACCGCGTCCGCGATGTTGCTCAAATCTGTGGTATCACGGCTATGCCTACCTTCCAATTCTACTGTAATGGCAAGAAGGTGGATGAAATCAAGGGCGCTTCAGGACCTGCTTTGACGGCCAAAATTGCGCAGTATGCAGCAGCAGCCAAGGACTCGACTTCAGGAACTAGGCTTGGTGCTGAAGCAACTATGCAGGCGTCGCCGAGTGTGAGTCAGGGAATCGGCAGTTTGCGCGAATATATTCATGTGGAGAAGGCGACGCTGTTGAATGCTTCGTCGCGCAGTACCATTAAGAGTATTGTGCGTCCATCTTTTGCTGGCGCAGCAGTCGATAGTGCCTCTGGACCTGGTCTGATGATGTATCTGCCGCTGAAGGGCACCAAAGCAGATCTGGTGCACATCAAGCTGACGGTCAAGAAGGATGACTTGAAGCACGCTCCGGCTAGAGTTCACATTGCTCCCAATATTGGCACTGAGCCACGGGATATGAATGCACTTGCCAAGGCTGAGACTGTGCAGACCTTTACTCTCTTTACGGATGATTATGATGCGAACGGTACAGCAATCTTGACCTTGAAGCAGGCCAAATTCAAGGGGGTGTCGGACGTCGCTGTGATGATAGAGAGCAATATGGGAGGAGAGGCAAATGTCACGAAGATTGGCCAGGTTGATCTAGTCGGTGGCCGTGCATGAGGGTATGTCCCTGGATCTTTCTCACTTCTCCTGACTATGAAACTGCCAACTTGTGCGGATTCCAAGGGTCTGCAGCTGCTCCAGTATCAGTTTCTGATGTCGTCTCAATATGTCTCCGAGCTCTAAATCCTTCTGTGAGCAATGTGAATAGCCCTTTCCCAGAGTATAGCCAAAATAGTCGCTGGAAAGTGTCTTCAAATTTCTGAACAGATCGCCGACCGCAAGACTCCCAGCGCAACACAAACAGGCCATGGGTTTCAGCAGAGAGGCGAGTATCATCACGTTGCTGGTCATCGACACTCTCTTCTTCTTCCTCGAGATCATCGTTGGCTATGCCGTCCACTCTCTTGCCCTCGTCGCAGAGTACATCCCCCCGAACATACTACATGACAGTGCGCTAATAGGCCAGCTCATTCCACATGCTCAACGACATCATCTCGCTAGTCATTGCATACTGGGCCATCAAAAAGGCCGGTCAGACGGAGAACATCGCAGCCAAATACACCTATGCAAGGAGTCCCGGCGTCATACACATAGATTGCTAACCGACAGGGCTGGCAACGAGCTGAAATCCTCGGCGCACTCGTCAATGGTGTCTTCCTCATGGCACTTTGCGTGTCTATCTTTCTCGAAGCCATTCAGCGCTTTGTTGAGCCGCAGATCATCACCTCTCCGCTGCTCATTGTCGGTGTTGGCAGTGCAGGTCTCGCCAGCAACATCATCGGCCTTTTCCTCTTCCATGAACATGGCCACGGTCACTCCCACGGCCATGGACCCGCAGGATCGGATTCTGAAGAGGATATCGAGAGCTTCTTGCCAGAAGTGCAGGTCCGCAAGGCGAGTTTGGCAGCGCATGGACATAGCCATCGGGGATCTCACACGCATAGTCACGATCACGCGCATGCACACGGTAGTGATGGACATAAAAGGCGGCAGAGTATGACTTCAGAAGACATCTTTGTCCATCCTGCACAAAACCGTGCACATATCAAGGATCTGGCTGATGGTCGGCGATTATCTGAGACGTCACCTCTATTGACTGATCATTCTGGTCATCACCATGCGAAGCCCAAGGACAGCGCATCTGGCGGACACTCGCATGAGAATATGAATATGCGTGCAGTCTTTCTGCATGTATTGGGTGATGCGCTCGGCAACATCGGTGTCATTGCCACGGGCCTATTTGTGCAATACACAAAGTTCAGCTGGCGATTCTATGCGGATCCGGTCATCTCGCTTGTTATCACGGGCATCATTCTGGCTTCTGCTGTGCCCTTGTGCAAGTCTGCTTCCCTCATTTTGCTACAGGTAGCGCCGCCTGGTATTCATGTGGATGAGATTCGGGAAGACATTGAAAGCATCCAAAGTGTCATTTCTGCACATGAACTTCACGTTTGGCAATTATCAGACACGAAGCTCGTTGCATCTGTGCATGTACGCATCACGAGCAGTGACGGCTACATGCAAGTTGCGCAAGATATCAAAAAATGCTTGCATGCATTTGGTATCCACAGTTGTACCATTCAGCCCGAATTCGTCCATGACGGACTTGCAGTTGTTGATGAGATGGAGGCGAGTTGCTTGTTGGATTGTGATCCTGATTGTCCGCCAAATGGAGCACCTGCCGATGCGCATGGTCATGGTCATGCTCACTAGATTTGCTGGTGTAGTTTACAATTTATTCTTTCGTAGATACCACACATTCTGCATGACTTAGCTCACCCAAGTATTCTGCTGCAATCATGCATTCACAAAGTAGACTTCCAAGACGCCTGCTGAGCTGTTCGCTTCATACACTCCGACAGCTCTTGAAAGAAGCGCCTGCTCCAGGCTCAATTACCCACATTCAAGGATGGGTGCTTAGTGTCCAGCATCTCAAAAACAAGTCCTTTGCGATGATTAGTGATGGATCCACTCATGAACGAGTCCAGGCTGTTCTCACTCCTGCTCAGGCTGCTGGGTAAAGCGTCTCATCTGCTTTACTGATGCTGACAAACAAGGTTGAGCTATAGGACCAGTGTCAGTCTGCGCGGTAAGCTCGTTTTGCCAAGAAGAGCAGAAGCGGCTATACAAAAGTATGATCTCGAGGTAGAATCACTAGAGCTACTCGGATCTTCTCCAAAGGTAAGCCAGGCGATGTTTGTTCTTACTAACGGCCAAGGACATTCCACTACAAAACAAGTACAATTCCGCAGAATATCTTCGGCAGCATGCTCATTTCCGGCCACAGACACAAGTTTCTGCTTCCATCCTCCGTCTCCAGAGCAAAGTACTACAAAGCGTGACTGACTACTTCTCTTCGCAAGACTACATTCAAACACTTCCACCAGTCTTGACTTCGTCAGATTGTGAGGGCGCAGGTGAAACATTTCAAATACAGCAAGGCAAGGCCTTCTTTGGTAAACCCACAAGTCTCGCCGTCTCCAGTCAACTTCATCTCGAATGCCTTGCCATGGGTCTCGGACGGGTCTGGACCCTTGCTCCGACCTTTCGAGCAGAGAAATCAACAACATCACGTCATCTTGCCGAGTTTCGGATGTTGGAAGCTGAGCTTTCCTTTTGCGAGTTGCCGGATCTCTTGACCGTGGTAGAGGGTATCATTAGAGCTGCTGCAAAGTCTGTCGAGCATGCTTCTGATGAGTTGGTGTTTTTGCATGCACGAGAGGCTGAGCATGTGGATGGCAAGCTAGCTGCAGCACTCTCGTTGTCCACATCCAGAAATCCATGGCCCCGGATCCGGTATGAAGAAGCAATCATCATCCTGCAAGATGCCGTGAATGCTGGCAAGGCAACGTTTACACATTCAACATGTATGGGGAGTGCGTTACAAACTGAACATGAGCAGTACCTTGCCAAGCACTTTGGCGGACCACTCTTTGTCACCCACTATCCCATGAAGCAGAAGCCGTTCTACATGCAGAAAGAAGGAGATTCGGCAGTCTGCTTCGACCTCCTCGTTCCGGGCATGGGTGAGTTGTGCGGTGGTTCAATGAGAGAACATAATCACCACGCATTGCTCTCAAGTATGCGGCAACAAGGTATCAGTATCGATGAGATGGCATGGTACGCAGATCTTCGCAAATATGGCACCGTCCCTCACGGTGGTTTTGGGATCGGCTTTGAGAGGCTAGTCGGATACTTGATTGGCGTCACGAATGTCAGGGAGGTAGCAGCATTTCCACGATGGCTCAACCATTGCATAGCATGATCTGTATGTAGACATAAAAAAGGTTCTCTAACGGTCAAGCTCTCCAAACACAAGACTAATATGTTAGCATCATTCAAATCATCGTAGAAGGAAAAACGTACTCAAGGGTTCCGATAACGGCCACGACGTCTGGCAAGTACAAGCCTCGTGCAATCCTGTCGATACCAGCCAAATGCGCAAAGCCAGGCGCCCGAATCTTACATCTGTACGGCCGTTCACTGCCATCAGAAACAACAAACACACCCATCTCACCCTTTGGCGCCTCAATCGCACTATACGTCTCACCAGCCGGTACAGCATAACCTTTGGTGTACAATTGGAAGTGGTGAATCAGCGCTTCCATAGATTCCTTCATTTGCGCACGCGGTGGTGGTGCAATCTTGAAGTCTTCCACTTTGACGGGACCTGCAGGCATTTGATTCAAGCATTGATGAATGATGCGTAGTGACTGCCTGAATTCCTCAATACGGCAGAGGTAGCGATCATAGCAGTCTCCATTGGTGCCCACGGGAATGTCAAAGTCAACCTTGTCGTAAGCATCGTAAGGCTGTGCCTTGCGAACATCCCAGGGGATACCGGAACCACGCAACATGACGCCGGAGAAGGAAAAGTTCAGCGCGTCCGCAGCAGAAACGATACCCACGCCCTGTGTACGGAGCTTCCAAATTCGATTGTCTGTGAGTAGCTCTTCGAACTCATCCACACGGTCACCAAACTGTGTGGCCCAAGCATAGATATCTTCCATCAAACCGAGTGGTAGGTCCTGGGAGACACCACCTGGGCGGACGTATGCGGCGTGAAGACGAGCACCGGAGACACGCTCGTAAAACTCCATGAGCTTTTCGCGCTCTTCGAAACCCCAAAGGAAAGGTGTCAATGCACCAACATCCATGGCGTGCGTCAGGACAGCCATGAGATGGTTGAGGACACGCGTGATTTCGCCAAACATGGTACGGATGTATTTGGCGCGCACCGGGACTTCGACGTTGAGGAGCTTCTCAACAGCCAAGGAGAAGCACTGCTCATTCGTCATCATACTGACATAGTCGAGACGGTCAAAGTAAGGTAGCGCCTGGAGGTATGTCTTGTACTCAATCAACTTCTCCGTGCCACGGTGAAGTAGACCAATGTGCGGGTCGGCGCGCTTGACTTCCTCGCCGTCAAGCTCGAGAATCAGTCTCAACACGCCGTGAGCAGCTGGATGCTGCGGACCAAAGTTGACTACAGATCGATTGTGTCAGCAAAAACAAGCATTTCTTGGCATGTGGCAACTGTATGGCAACTGTAATCCGGGCCAGCTACCATATTCTGCATGAGAACATACCCGTAAAGTAACGCATCTTGGGATCTCCATCAGGACCGAGCGGGCCGTGTAGGGGTTCCTGTGCTTCAGTGAGTGTTGTCTTTTGATAATCGATTTCTGCCGCCCGAAGGGGCTTTGAGGCTGCACTGTGTTGCTGGAGGGTGCTTGTAAAGGGCCTCGCTCCACGAGCAAGCAAAGGCACCTGCCTCGACGTTCGAAGCGCCGTCCTGAGCATACTGCTTGTCTTGTAGGGTGCTGCTCTTGGTCGCCGCAGTCAGTTGATCGCTTAGAATGCACGTGACTCAGGAACACCACGAGCAGCAGCTGAGATTCTGACTTGCGATGAGCTCTACTTTTGCCATCTGCTTCAATTTCTGCTATAGACAGTGCTACTATGACTGAGACTGCTGCAAAAGAGAATCCTGTCGTTTTCTTTGACATCTCAATCGGCAATGTCGCTCAGGGCCGCCTCAAACTAGAGCTCTTTGCTGACATCGTACCCAGGTATGCTTATTGCTCTCACTGCGAACAACAAGCAAGCTCTAACAGGATCCCTAGAACTGCTGAAAACTTTAGACAATTCTGTACAGGCGAGGCAAAGGACGCTCGTAACGTACCGCATGGCTACAAAAACTCACAATTTCATCGAGTCATCTCAGGCTTCATGGCACAAGGTGGAGATTTCCTCAATGGCGATGGTACAGGGAGTGCCAGTATATATGGCAGTACACGCTTCAATGATGAGAATTTTACACTGTGCGTTCATGACGTCTCATGGAAGGAAGCTGATATCTAGGAAACACGATAAGCCATTCCTCCTATCCATGGCAAACTCTGGCCCAAACACCAACGGCAGCCAGTTCTTCATCACCTTTGCGCCAGCACCGTTTCTCAACAACAAGCACGTTGTGTTTGGCCAAGTCGTTGCTGGGAAGGATATTGTGCAGACTATGGAACGTGCGCAAACCGTTAATGACCGTCCAAAGCTACCCATCGTCATCACGCAATGCGGCCAAATGTACTAAAGTATAGTGTACAAAAGCATTGAGACATTTAATGAAACCCCTACTGCACTGCGTCCGTATTAGGTCCCTCCGTCTCATGTGCACTCTGCCTTCGACTTCTGCTCTCTGTATCGCGTGCCCGCTCTTTAATCAACCATGCTGGATCTCTCTCTCCCGTTGGTTGCTCCGCTTCATCATCAATGGCGAGACCTTCGAGCGTTTGTGAAACACCAGCACCACGAGGATTAGCAGCGCGTGCACGACGAGCAATGGTGGTACTGGTTCGACCACCATGACTACTTGGAATTGTTGAACTGGATGTACCAGCATGACTACTTCCTGCACCACCCAATGCAATGGGCGCCGTTGGAGCAGGTCGTGTTCTGCCACGAGCGAAGTAATCGGGTTCTCTGCCGGTAAACCTGAATGGCGCCGCATGGGTTCCTAGATTTCCAATAACGTCGGGGTTCGTTGCAGTGGGTGCGACATTGGATAAGTACATGTCTTCGTAATTTGGTAAGGATCCAGGAACCTCATCATGCATGTCAGAGGGAACACTGAATCGTTTCCGTTCCTTGATGGGGACACCGGATTCTGAGGGCAACCCATAGTACTCATCTGCCATGATCCATGCGGGAATAATAAAGCGCACTTCAGATAAGGGTAATCCGTGTGCTGGGACAAGCTCCAGTTTGAGGTTCAAGCGATAATTACGCTCAATCAAGCAACTCTCAAATTCAGGACACGCCACGTAACCCTTCGGACAGAGCGTGACGGGACATTCAAAGGCGCATTGCCAAACACCCGGTCGAAGGGGTGACCAAGCTGGTCCATGATTCTTTGAGAAGCAGAGTCGATTGAGGCGCAATTCCGTCATACGTTTGACATCTTCCACGCCACCATCTTCAAGTGCATGTTCCATACGTGATCGCGTGATCGCTTGCAGTTTGATGCCGAGACCTGTGATTTTGGGAGGCGAGCTGGTGATACTGTGAAACTCGAGGTTCATGGTAAATGCAGTGGTCATTTGATGCTCTTCGAGACTGCTGAGCAATGCTGGCGGTGAAGGGAGATGTAGCAGCATCTGTCCAATCGTACCACCCAAGGAACGCGTGACATCCACAGTCTCCTTGACTGCAGCATCGTACTCTGGTGGTGGGTTCATGGCGTTAGGAGAGGCAAAATGACGCGGAGCCACACTGAAGGGTGTGCTGAACGTCTTGATGATTTCTCCATCACGAAAGAGCTCAACTTTGATGCGGTACTCGATCTTGGCGTTGAGCGGATCTTTCGGTGACAAGTCATCCAAGCCATCCGTTCTGCGACATCCCATCGTTGGCGGCAGCAGTAAATGAAACGGATCCTTGAGTGGACATAATGTTTCCAGCAGCGCATCAGGCAGCCTGAAGGAAAACCTCGCTTCAGGTACACCCTCACTCGCAATGACAATCTTTTGCGTCAGCTTGAGAAACTCCCATTGCTTCTCGACGTTGCGATAACTGCCATTGATGAATTTAGCATGGTAGAGGTAACTCGTTCCCGTCAAATGGATCTTGACGCGTTCACATACATGACCAGAGTAATTGACCTTTCCCGCAACTCTATCCAGTGATCGATACGCGTAACACTGATCCAATCCAATGCGTAGCGCATCTTGCTTTTCAAGACGTTCTCGCTCACGTTCCAATGATCGATTTCTTGAATTTGCACGCGACGTGGTGGCAGAGCCACCGGCACCGTATCGCTGAAGTTGTGGTGTGCTTGCACTTGAATGATAGAGGGCCATGGGTGTCGTGGCCGGTGAAGCGGCATTGGGTGAGTTGGTACCGCTTGCTGTGCTGCTGGGTTGTTGGGTGTTTGGAACGCTGGACGCGCTGTTGGTCCTGTCGCCGAGTCGCAGGGAGCTGATCATGGTTGTGCCAGTCTATGGGCCTTGACACAGCTGTAGAGGAGGAGGATGGAAGGTGGTTTGATGGGTGTGCACTTTCTTACTTTCTGACTTTTGAAGTTGGCGCGGGAGAGCCGGCAAAAGAGGAGCAGCAGATCAATTCAGGCGAAAGGGCAACAGCGGCCGAGGGAGAGAAGAGCAATTGACTAGGCAGGAGGGCGTGTAGGGGTCAGAGAGAAGTATAGGCGAGTAGAGGCCAGGTACGGCAAGACACATGCAAGGAGAATTGTGTATGGACGCAAGGCAACTACATGCTCAAACAAGACGACAACGTTGCAACGCAGCACCCAGTCATACGAAGACATGCCCATGCTTGCCTTTGCTGCAGCTGACGCACAAGCAAGTCTAGACCATTGCCTTTTGTTCTCCTAAACCGAACAAACGACTAGCCACCCACTAGCTCGCTCCCGGTGTCATGGGCTGCAATGGTGCAAAGTATGGATGCCGCATCGCCTCTTTCGGCGTCAACCGCTCCTGGTGGTCATAGCGCAGTAATCGATCCAAAAAGTCAAGCGCCTCATTCGAGACCCAATGCTTGTTCTCACTTGTAATAAATCGCGTCCATGGCTTACGCTCAAACCGTTGCAGAATATTGTCAAAGTGCTGGTCGAGTTCAATGTCGTACTTGTCGAGATAGGCAAACAGTTCATCTGTACCCAACACTTTTGCAATCTTGACGAGCTGGTCATTGTTGTCGTGGCCGTGGAAGAAGGGTTCCTTCTTGAAAATCATGCTCGCAAACATGGCACCCAAACTCCACATGTCGAGGGAGTAGTCGTAGTCTTGGAAATCCACCAGCAATTCTGGACCTTTAAAGTAACGTGATGCAACACGCACATTGTACTTGGTGCCTGGATGGTAGAACTCTGCAAGACCCCAATCAATGAGCCGTAGCCGCCGTCTTTGATGGTCAATCATAACATTGTGTGGTTTAACGTCGCGATGCATAATGCCACGCGAATGACAAAAGTCAAGCGCCTTGAGAAGCTCACGAATGTAATACCGAATATCCATATCCGTGAAGGTCGCATACAAGACTCGGAAATCGGTATTGTTGACGTGCTCAAAGATGAGCGAAGGTGTCTTGCTGCGTGGATCACGAACAATATCGAGCAAAGACACAACATTCGGCCCACCTGCCAAGTTTTGCAAAATCTTGATTTCCCGCTTGATCTTCTTCTTCTTGACGGGTTTGAGTACTTTGATGACACACTTTTCATTGTTGACAATGTGGATTCCTTCAAAGACCTCCGAGTACTTGCCACGGCCAATCTTGCGTACAATCTCATAATTTTCTTGCGTGCTCCAAGCAACTTGCAATTCATCATAATCCCAGTAGTGGCGGGGTGCATTTGTGTTGGCATCCGCATAGACGCGTGCAATCGACTTTGGCGCGGTCGTCATGGCTCAAAGGATGCGTCTGGCGATTGCTCTCTTGGTGAATGCACGGGTGTTGAAAGAATAGGCAGACCTTTGTCGATAAGATGAACAAGGCTCACAGAGAAGCAGCACGAGGTCAAGACGTGCTAGTTGCCAAGCCTCGTCTTGGGCAAGAGGAATGAGACCTGGTGCTGTGGTGTATGCTCTGATGAGTCTCGTCTTGTCGCTGGCCGTCGCCTTGAGCACGTGAGAAATTGATCTCAACTCTCTACTTTGCTCTACTAATTCAGCTCTAATCTACTACTCTGCTCTACCGGCTGAACATTGATTTATACTACTAGTTCTGCTGTGCTAAAGCCCCTGCTTCTACCAAGTCTGCTTTGTGCTGATCAACTGCTCTCATGCCCCGGCTCTAGCCATGTCCTTTGGTGATTTCAACATCCCCTTGCCAGCCAAGCAGTCCACCCTCGACCAGCTCCAGACGTGTATGGTCATCGACTTGAAGTGTTTTCTCTCTGACACATAGTGGGATATGCTAGCTGTGCAGTCAATCATATATTCTCAGGCAAACCTGCGAATCTACAAGCTGTATACCGCTCTACCATCTTAAAGCCAGGCTAATGCTAGCCAACGATACCCGTCTCAAAGGACGCCCGCTTCAAGATCTACAGCAGGCTAACACTTGTCCTCGAAGACACCTCTCAAAATTACAACCTCTCCAAGACCGCAAAAGGCTACGACCTCCTCGCTGTACGCCCAACATCAGAAAAGACGCTCCAATACGCATGCACACAAATGGAAGTCGACATCATCTCCATTGATCTCTCTCAACGTCTTCCATACTACCTCAAACACGCCACTTTGGGCAGTGCCATCTCACGAGGTCTCTTTATCGAAATCGCCTATGCACCCAGTCTTACAGACATGTCGTCACGTCGTCAACTTCTCTCCAATGCAAGTGCCATTGTTCGTGCATCGCGCGGTCGAGGACTCCTCATTACTTCTGGTGCAACACAAGCACTAGGTCTTCGCTCACCCTACGATATCATCAACCTCGCCACCTTTTGGGGACTCTCACAAGAACGTGGTCGTGAGGCGTTAGCGGAAAACACGAGGCGTGTGTTGAAAAAGGCAGAGACGCGGACGAGTGTGTATAAGGGTGTTTTGAGAATCCCTGAGACACCGGAAGACGTGTGGCCAGTGGATGAGGAGGAGGAACAGCAAGAGGTGAAGTCGAAGCAGACGAAAGAGGAGAGGCAGAGTGGGAAGCGTGCCGCTGAGGCTTCCCAGGGCGCGACCTCCACGAAGAAGCAAAAGAGCGTATAAAGGTCATTCCAGAGGACGCAGGGTACTAGAAATTTGGGTCCCTGCACTCGTTCAAGAAAGCTTTCCTCTGCGACCCTCTAGCAAGGGCGCACCGCTGGACTTAAACTTTGTGCCGGCTATTCAGCCTAGGCGTGTCACGCAGCGTTGAAGCAAGAGCCAAAAATGACGCGAAGGTCAGGAAGGCGTTGACTCTATGCTCATTCCCATCTATAGTATGCTCATGCTATATTATCTACATTCCACCATTCGTCTCTTCGCCATTGACGAGATCATCCAAGTCAAACAAAGTCTGATCAAACTCTTCCTCCAGCGCATGTCCAATAGGCCAGCTCCTTCGCTCTTCAATCACCTGGCGAACAAGCAGTAACAGTCGCTGAGCATGGTCCATACACACTGGTATCACTTCATGCTGTAAGACAGCACGAGTCATGCAGGCTTGAGCGAGTGCAAGACGGCACTGTAGTAACTCCTCTGCAGGATTTGCTTTTCCCTTCAGCCAATGAGTTTGCTTGGTATCGAGCTGTTGCGCCAAATCGAGGAGCGTCTCGACCTCTGCCTTGCCGAGTGCATTTGTAGGGTTCTGCAAGCACCGATCGATACACTCGGCCAGGATAGAAGCAGCTTGCGCATAATTCACATGCAGCCAGTGTTCTTGCCGCAGTAATTGCCTGGCGAGATCAATCATCAGTGCTGCTTTTTGAGGGTCACCTTGTATAGCCTTTGAGAGCGTCTGATCCATGACTTTCGCGGTCGCCTCCTTCTCCACACAGTCTTTGCATTGACATACAAAGAGCTTGTTGTCCATGAGATACGCTATCCGCTCGTCCCGTGGCGTGTATGTGAGTTTTGCATAGCTCCCAAAGAGAACTTCCCCTTTTGCTATAGGCCGCAGTGCAATATGTTTGGCGGTGTCAAGTGATGTGCCATCCCGGAGTGGTCGCGTTGATGCTGCTACGTTGGGACAGAAACAGGCATGTGAGATTTTGGCGCCATCTGTCAAGAGACCAATGGTCATATCCTCTAGCTCATGCGCATTCGCTGTCATGACTAGAGAGAAATTGATGAGCTCTTGGTCTGAGAAGTTTGCCACTTCTGTGAGATCTGCTTGACGCTGACGGAGCTGACGGACACCTTGTAGAGCTGCTCTGTACGCTACGGATGCATTCTCAGCAGCAGTCGTGATGTGAGGCACATGAAAGCGCTGCATGAGCTTAGATCGTTTCTGCTGGTCATAGCTGCAGAAGTACAGCATGACGATGGCAGGCTGGTTCAAAGTCATGAATGCTCTTTTACGCCTGTATAGCTGATGAGCATTGAGCGTCTGTTTGGCCTCCGTTGCAGCTGGATCAAGTCTGTAGTGGACAAGACAGGCTGGTTCTTCATTGAGGACGAGCTCTCCTGCTCTGAAGTCTCGAGCAGCGACGGCACATTGGCCAAAGCTGGGATGGTCTATGAGCAATATGGCAGGCTCCATCGCCCTGCATGAGCTGTGGAGTAGCAAGTAACAAGTAGCAAGTAGCAAGTAGCAAGAAGACAAGTGGATAAGTAGCAAGTAGTCACTCGTGTGCGTACAGTAGAGAACTGCACGTGCTGGTGTGATGCTGGCTGTCATTTGTCTCACGCTCTCCCACAGCGAAGGGGGCCGGGAAGCAAGAGAGAGAGAGAGACAAGAGACAAGCATCACCGTCCAAAGCACTCAAGCAGCTTTTGCTATACCTCCGTCGCCGATACAAGGCCCAGCAGGCGCATATAGTCTCAGCTCAAGAGACCACACACACGGCATGGAGGCCAACACACCCGCACAGCAGGCAGGAGGATCGCCAGCGGTCAACCCAACCCAGGCACCACCCACAGAGCCTGCAAGCGCGCCTTCACAGCCCGCAGCGGGGCCTGATACTCAGCCAGTCGTGCAGGATATAACGGCTCCATCTGCTCAGCAACCTACAGCTCCTGCAGCAAGCAATACAACGTCACAAGCGCAACCACCCACACAGGCACCTCCACAACACACAGGTGACGAATCGGCGCCTGCAGACGCGAGTATCGTCCCTGTTCCTGCGCCGTTGCCGTATTTCCAGCAACAAGAAAACAGTGCAAGTGCTGTGCCTTTGCCTAGTTTTGCCGTTGCGACTGCAGGGAGTACAGCAGCAGGTTTGATCCCAGCACCGACATCAGCGCAGGATGACATAGCAGCCGCGAAGCAGGAATCACCTGTCGCTTCAGCAAGACGGGAGACTTCACCTGGCACTGATACATTTCCTGCGGTGGACGGTTCGTTGCAGGCTCCTGCGTCTGCTGGAACGGCTGCTCAGACACAAGCGCAGCAGCAACAGTCAGCAGCAACGCAACAGACTATTCTTCAAGCAGCACAGAGGGCGGCGGATCAAGGCTATCGTCCACTCAACGTCAAAGATGCGCTTTCGTACCTCGATCAAGTCAAGATTCGCTTTTTCGATCAACCGGATGTGTACAATCGCTTTTTGGACATCATGAAGGACTTCAAGTCACAGAGGTACGTTTTTAAGAATCACTGACATGTCGCTAACGTTAGTATCGATACTCCAGGCGTCATCGAACGCGTCAGCACCCTTTTCAGAGGACATCCAGAGCTTGTGCAGGGCTTCAACACGTTCCTCCCACCAGGCTACCGTATCGAGTGCTCGTCTGACCCCTCTGATCCCAATCCGATCCGTGTGACGACACCTCAAGGCACAGTTAATCAGGTGAATGGGCAACATGGTGGGCCGACTCGATTCTCTGCACCGGTCGCGCCTGGATCGACAGCGACTGGTCAGGGAACATGGCGTACAGATGATCAGTATGCACAAAACGCAGCGTATGGTATGACGATGGTCAGTCAGGCCGCCAACCAGGGTCCGCCCTCCAATGGCAGTACGGGAAATCTGGGCAACAACGGCAATGGTGGTGAAAAGAAGCCAGTTGAATTCAACCACGCCATCAACTATGTCAACAAAATCAAGACGCGCTTCTCCAATGAACCCGACACCTACAAACATTTTCTCGAGATTCTACAAACATACCAAAAAGATGCACGTCCGATTCAGGAGGTGTATAGTCAAGTCACAGAGTTGTTTAAAGGGGCTCAAGACTTGTTGCAGGATTTCAAGCAATTCTTACCGGAAAACAATGCAGGTGCGAGTGCTGCAGCACGGATGCCAGCCGTCGGTACGTTTGCACCACCACAACAGGCAAGTGCCCCAACTGCTTCATCGACGCGTGGTGACAAGAAACGTAGACCTGCTGCAGAGCCTCAACGTGGATCGGGTGCAAAGAAGGGAAAGTCTACGCATAGGCAATCTGAAGCACAATCGCAACAGCAACATGCTCAGCAACAGGGGCAACAGCAAGGACCTGTATCACCAAATCTACTGCCCAGCGCTCCGGAACCACTACATGCGATGCATGCGAGGGCGAGTGCGAATGTCGAGGAACTTGCCTTCTTTGAGCGTGCTAAAAAGTACATCAACAATAAGGCCACAACGGTGGAATTTTTCAAAGTGTTGAATCTGTTCACGCAGGAGATTATTGACAAGAATACACTGGTCGAGCGGATTGATGCGTTTATTGGGCAGCACAAGGATTTGATGGATCAATTCAAAAAAATTGTGAATTACACGGGTGCTGATGAGACGTTTGAGAATTTGCCAGCGACAACGAGACCCAAGGTTGATTTGTCGCTTTGCAAGGCGTTTGGTCCGTCGTATCGACAACTGCCAAAGTCAGAGACACTTTTGCCTTGCTCTGGTAGGGATGATATGTGCTGGGAAGTGCTCAACGATGTATACGTGTCACATCCGACGTGGGCCTCTGAAGATGCTGGTTTCGTTGCGCACAAGAAGAATCAGTATGAGGAAGCTCTTCACAAGATTGAGGAAGAGCGGTACGAGTACGACTTGAACATTGAGGCGAATCTACGGACAATTCAGCTGCTTGAGCCTATTGCGCAGCGCATCTCGACGATGATGGAGGAGGAAAAGAGGCAATTCAAGCTGCCACCTGGACTCGGAGGTCAATCGATCGCCATTTACCAAAAAGTCATCAAGAAAATATACGACAAGGAACGTGGGCAAGAAGTGATTGACCAGATTCACGAGAACCCTGTTATTGCTGTGCCTGTTGTGTTGAAGAGACTCAAGCAAAAAGACGAAGAGTGGAAGCGTGCGCAACGTGAGTGGAATAAAGTATGGCGGGAAACAGAGGCCAAGAACTACTACAAGTCGCTTGACCATCAAGGCGTCTACTTCAAGACAATCGACAAGAAGAGTATGATGGCGCGTAACCTCATCAGCGAGATTGAGACACTTCGCCGCATGCAAGCTGAACGACGCGTCTCACCTGCTGCGCCGCGTCCTGCATTCCAGTATGAATACAACATGCGCCACCACGACATTTGCATTGATATCAGAAATCTCCTGACAATCCAGATTGAGCGCATGTCTGTCTCTGCTGCAGAACGCGAACGCATGTTGACGTGGTCAACGACTTTCATTCCACTCTTCTTTGGCATCGATGCATCCACCATTGTTGAAAGTATTGGCGGTGAGGCAGAGAGCTTGTCAAGACCGACGGGTGGTGTCAGCACACGCAGGAAGAAGGCTGGTGAAGAGGTTGATTTGCTCAAATCCATCATGAAACGGACTCGAGAAGCGGTGCATCGCAGGAATAAGCAATCTGCAGACGGCGAGACGCCTGAACTCGAATCACAACCGCCGTCGCGTGTTTCGACGCCTGCATTGGATAAAGACTCGGATGCTGATGCTGAAGCAAGTCAAGATACACCTATGGTTGATGAGGAGGAGACACCGGATACCGAAGACGCTATCAATCTAGCTGCGCAAGAAACACGTGTTTGGACGGAACTCAATACGGATCCAAAAACAAAAGTCGCAGGGACGATTGTTCAACCGGCCGATGATGCACCTGAAGCGGAGCAACGGACAGTCTTCAACTTCTTTTCAAATTCGGCATTTTACTGCTTCTTGCGGTGGTTCCAGATGGTGTATGATCGCTTGGCGACACTCAAATCTCTCGAGGAAGAGGTGACGAGGGAGCTCAAGCTTCGAAAGCCCAACACCACAGCTGTGCAGCTGGGTCTTGTTCAAGCACGCATGGTTGCTCTTGGCCTTGATTTTGATGATGATGCGAATCATTATCAGCAGCTCTTGGCCCTTGCTGAGCAATTGATTGAAGGGACAACGGATCAAGCGTCGTTTGAAGACATGCTTCGATACATCTATGGTACCAAGGCTTTCAAAGTCTACACTATTGATAAGCTGGTTGGCTTGATGGCGAAGCAGATTCAATCGATCGTCAACGAAGAGAAGAATGTCGCGCAAACACAAGCCTTCACGAAGGACCGCGTCAAGCAAATCATTACCCCGCGAGAACAAATCATCTACCGTATCCAGACTGAGACGACCATTGGCCAGAATGAGCAGCTTTATCGACACGAATGGAACAATGCAACGAGAGTCTTGCGCATCCAGCATGTTGGCAAAGATGACGCCTCGTTGGCAGATGCAGTGACCAAGGAAGAAGCCTGGAAGTACTACATTGATTCATGGACTATTGCAAAGCCGACGTATGGTGTTCCACAGGATAGTGTCAAGCCGTGCTTGGATCGCAATCTGCAACACTTTGTGGTAGGCGAAGATGAGGCTGCCATGTCGGAACGTTACCAGGACGCACGCTTCATTCAGAGCCACTTGCAGATGAAGGTTTGCATCAATACCTACAAGATCTTCTATGTGCCACATACGGAGGATAGGCTGTTATTGCGCGGACCCAAGGCGGCGTATGCAACGCAAGAGGCAGCTGAGGCGAGCATCAAGGAAAAGGCGGAGAAGTTCCATGCACTGGTTGATGAACGGCTGCCGGCTTCTGTGAAGAAGCTTGGCGAGGAGGACCAACTGGGCCGCGTCTTCAAAGCGCCGCCAGAGGAGGTTGCAGCAGATGCGGCCGCTGATGTGGAGATGGCAGATGCCTGATGCGTTCTCTGTGTGTGTTCCGTCCAATCGGATCACTTGTAAACTGTACGTACTGGAGCAAGCATGTAGTCATGGTGCATTTGTTAATCTAGAATCTTTGTCCCTGCTGTTCCAAGTCGACGAGAGAGAAGGACGATTGCGTCGCGAATAAGACATCAAATGCTCTCACTCCTCGTCAAACTTCTGGACGTGTAGGTATGGCTGGTCTTGAAAATGACTCAACGGCAAGACTGTTGTTGTCTGACAGAGCACTACTCGGGCTCGTCCCATGTATAGACAACCTTGGAAGTCAGGGGTAAGTTACCATCTGAAGCGCTCATTTGCCACTGAAGAGGGCGTCCATTCAATTGAGTTGCAACTCAGGGACGAGAGTATTGCGCTGTGCATTTGGTGGGATGAGTGAGTTGACCTGCTCACCAATAAATCTATTAGGTCAGGTGGATTGAGGTGAGGAAGGCTCAAGTGATTTGCTCCCCTGGATCCTCAAAAAGTAATGGGGAGAGCTCCTCTTGAAATATCAATGACATCAACGAGTACAGTCAAGATTGATCAGGCCATCTACAAGCCTCACTAGTTACAATGGCTCTGTCATGAGACCAAATGATCTGAAGAGACAAGCAGATGCTCAATTGCCCTCGCAAGCTGGTGCAAAGAGAAAAGACTTCGGTTCCAGGCAGCCTGGCAAGTCTAGCAATAAACAAGAGCTGCATAACGACCGCTACTACATCCGCATTCTCAAGCTTAAGCTGGTCAAGCACTGCTTGACGGTCGTACTCACCATCGCTACAGATCTGGGAGAGTCTAGCTATCCTCATGCTCAACAGCTGGCAGTAGAGATATGCTCAAAAGCCAAGACGCAGACAGAGACGGCCGAATGGGCTGGCACGCATGCTGTTCAGACGATCAAGGTCAATGATGTAGCGCAAGACCGAGATATTGTCGTCCATGTCAGGCCTGTTCCCCAAGACCATTACATCTCAGCATGTAGTCAACCTTCAGCAGGGGCTCTGGATCAACAAACAACCAGACATGTTGCTGGCCTCGACCTCATCGAATCGACCAGAGAGACCATTGCTTCACATGTATGGGATGGTGGCGTCTTGCTTGCTGAGCGTATCGCAGGAGGACAAGAACTTGAAAAAGCCGATCGCGTTCTAGAGCTCGGCACAGGCGTCGGTCTCGTTGGTCTTGCCATTGCAAAGCGGCATCCAGGAGCTCAAATCACACTGACAGATCTCGAAGCTGCCCGAGGACTCGTTGAAGCCAACATTTCTGCAAACAATATACGGCAATGTACGTTTGAAGCACTAGATTGGGAAGCTCCGCGAGGCGTTGCAGACTTGGATTGGATAGTCATGGCAGATGTCACCTACAATAGCAGCTACCACGCTTCACTTCTTGCTACGGTTGCAAAGCTGAAAGAAGCAAGTCCGCAAGCAAGACTGTTGTTTGCGTCCAAGAACCGGCATGTGGACGAATTGGCATTCATGGGTGCGCTCAGAGACAGGTATACGCTAATTGCCGAGCACGTCTATACCAGTCTAGGAGAGCTGGTGCAGGGTGATTTGAAAATTGGACATGTACAGATATTGCAGCTGCAGTGACGCGGCTTGTTCATAGCAAGAGACTCTAGACCTGGTCGAAAGAGACAAGACTTGCTCTCCTTCTCGCCCGTGACACAACCCGTGACACAAGGGAAGGGTTTTGACACAACTATCTTACCCCCGAGAATGCAATGTCTGAACGACTGATCTAGAGATTCTGTACAAAACACACTTGGTGCACTCGACAAGAAGCCACGAAGGAATGCAAAATTGGATTGGATAGCGATGGCTGACGATGACTACAACAGCAGTGACCAGGCTCCCTTCTCGCTACGCCGATGCAGCTGGAAGGAGTCCACAAGCAACACTCTGGACTCATGTACCGCCGTGCGTAGAATTGAATAAATGGGCTCAGAGACAGGTAAACGCTCGGTATTGAGCACGTCTACACTAGAGGGACGGCCCGGAGTGTTTACTGAACATGTACAGATGCAATGACCATGGACGCGACGCGTTTATAGCTCCCGCTTAAACAGAAGAATCCACGGCTCCGGTTGATGCGTTTCGTAGTGTTTCCAGCCGAGACTTTGAGTGATGCCGAGTCCACGCCATTCATCCTCGTGCAAAAGTCGCAGTGTGTTGGTCTCGTCGTCAAAGTAGTCCTTTGGAATGGCCTTGAGCATAGGTTTTGGAAGGATAACGTGCCGGTACTCGAAGTAGTCGTCCTTGTAGCGATTGCTGTAGTGTATCTCTGGCTGGAATTTGAGGAACGTCTTCTGCTCCTGCTCAGAGAGCTTCCTGTACTTGCGGGAGGACATGATGGGTGGTGTCTTGGATTCTGGTCGCGTCTTTTTCCAGACACAACACGACAAGACCCAGCAGGGCAAAGCAGCAGCATGAACAAGCGCATCAGAGACGACACACAGGCAGCCAGGAAGAAGCTCAAGACGGAGGACGGCGAAGAGCCAGTAGGGGACGAGCTCGACGCTCTCGTCGCAGCCGTCGATGGCCTCAAACACCTCGGCAGGGCCATTGCGCCGCCATTCAGGAAGCTGCCGCCGAAGCAGCAGTACCCTGACTACTACCAACTCATCAAGAAGCCCATTGCCATTGAAAGTATCCGTCAAAATCTCAAGCAGGGCGAATATTTGACCCTCGACATGCTCAAGCAAGATCTGCTGCAAATGACCAACAACGCGAAGCGCTACAATGAGAAGGGCTCTGGCTTGTACCTCGACGCAAAGCTCATTAGCAGTCTGGTCAAGACGTGGGGAGGAGGGCAAGCTGCGCCGAGCAGTAGTGATGACGAAGCCGCCCCGTTGACGATGAAGCAGAAGATTGCGTGGATCCTGCAAAAGCTGCACCAGGTCTTCGATGGCGAGCGGCGACTTGCAGAGATCTTTTCCGTGCTGCCAGACAAGGAGATGTATCCAGACTACTACAAGATCATCAAACGGCCCATCTCCCTCAAGGAAATCGACAAGGACAACAAGCGCGGCAACTACAAGAACATTGACAAGTTTGCTGATGACCTCGAGCAGATGTACACCAATGCGTTGACCTTTAACGAAGATCAGTCTATTGTTGCACAAGACGCAAGAGCACTGAAAGAGCTGTCTGACAAGCTGATTGCTGATGTGCGTGCGGATACTCTCGCTGCACCAGCGCAGCCCGTCAAGATCAAGTTCAAGACACAGCCGGAAGCGTTGCCAAGGGTCCGTATGTCTGCACCTCAAGAAGCCAAGCCAGCTCCTGTCATACAAGAAAGCACACCGGTTACAGCACCTATGCAGCGCCAGCCATCGCTGCAAAAGCAGCAGACGCCTCAGCCCCGAGCCGTACCACTCTCAAAACCAGCAACTACAGAAGCAGCAGTTGTGACGTATAGCAACAGTGGTGCGCCTCTCATCAAAAGCCTCCATCTCTCTACACCCAGTATGGCGCCGCCGATGCACCTGGCCCTCGCAGGCATTCAGGGTCATGCAAGCCAGCTCTTTACATGGACATTGCCAATCTCAGGCAACGTTCTCTCTGTCGCGCCATGTTTGTCGGAACGTGACGTACAGCTGCGTGTGCTTGTCAATCGCGCGCAAATTTCATCAACACGCCGCTCAGACGATGGTGAAGTCTATGAAGCACGTCTGAGTACTGGTGCGAATTGTATTGAGTGCATCGCTGAGGCAGATGGTATGGAGGATCCACAAGAGGCAGAGGAAGAAAGTGGACGGACGCGGTTGAGAGCGCAACAACATGCGCAGGCGAGACGTGAGAGAGAGCGGATTGTGGTATTGGTGTATGTGCGCTAAAAGAAACGTGCGAGGGTGCGGTGGATGTCGTCTGGCAGGGTCCCGTCTTCGTAACCTTGTGCGAGGTCTGCGAGGCTGCCAGGAAGGTTCAATACAGGAAGCGCTTCAGTCTGTTGGATTGCAGGCGGTTGAGCGAGTGCTTGAAGGACAGCGACATCTGCCATGGCGATTGCTGTTGCGTCAGGATCCACTTCATAGACGCAGCGCTGCAGGAAGCTCTGCACAGGCGCTCGAGCGAGGAAGACGACGTGCTTCTTTGACTGGCTAGCTCTTGCCCGAACCTCTCTTGCAATCGCTTCTTCGTCAACAGCCGCAAGCAACACAAGTGAGATGGAGGCACTTGGAAAGGTGACATCTGCAGGCATCGTCTTGGTATGGTCTATCCAACGCAGCGTCCAGCCCGTCTTGTGCAAGAGCTGCTTCCAGCCATCATCGATCGAACGCGCACAGAGTGCAGTAACCATCTATAGACAGAGTTTCTCAAAGTATGTAGTTGCCTGTTGAAGCGCCTCATCCGTCTTGTCGGTTTCTGTACCAACGCCCTGACACGTTTCGCCCTTGCCGCCAGCACGTCCACCGACTAGTGCTGCCACTTGAGTTGCTACCTCAGTGGCGGAACCAGGCATCTCCTTTGGTATCAGAACAGCATGCATCACCTTGCCTGCCTCCTCAGCAAAGACATACAATCCCTTGTTCTTGTACTGCTTCTTGACAAAGTTGAGTGCTTCGCTCAGCGCCTTCGGATTGGCGGAAACTGGCACCTTGCCCACCATGAAGGGAGCAGAGGGATTCTCCTCAAAGTACGCCTTGACAAACGCAACAGCCTTTGCATTCTCCGCCTTAAGCTTTTGTTTTGCCACTCCAGCAACTTCAGCGGCGAGTGCATTGAATTGCTGCGTCAAAGCGTGTTTCCTTACAGCAGAGATGGACAGCCCAGACAATTCGACACCCACCTCCTTGAGTGTTTGTTCCTTTTGCGGTGTCAATGCCTGCTTCCCAAGCTGCGCAAGCCGAACTTCCATGTCATCCGCAACACGCGTCACCTCAGCTGCTTCCTTGCCCGTGACTGCAATGATGCGACGAATGCCCTTGGCAATACCACTTTCTTCAATGATGATAAAGTGCTTGATATCCTGTGTCGTTGCAACATGCGTACCACCGCAGAATTCAATCGAGTAACCAGCCCATTGTGCATCTGCAGGGTTTGCCAGGACAGCATCTAGATCTGCACCCACAGACACAACGCGTACAGGATCAGGGTATGTTTCACCAAAGACTGCGCGCACACCGGCAATTTCCTTGCCCTTGGCGAGTGCTACCTCGCGCGCAAACACCTTGAGGTTCTCCTTGAGCTTTGCATCGCAAATGCGTTCGACCTGCGTCACCTCCTCAATCGACAATCCCTGCTTGTGGGAAAAGTCAAACCGGAGCTTTTCTGGTACAACAAGCGAACCACGCTGATTGATACCATCGCCCAATACTTCGCGCAAGGCAAAGTTGAGAATGTGTGTGCCGGTGTGGTTGTTTTTGATGGGCCAGCGACGTGTCTCGTCGTATTGAGCAACAACTTGATCATCAAACGAAAGGCTTCCCTCCGTGAGAATACCTGTATGAAGCACATAACCAGCATACACTTGCGTATTCTCGACTTTGAATGAAGCTGGCTGACGACCATCATCGCCGTCAATGACAAGCCTGCCTGTGTCATTTTCCTGTCCACCCTGTTCTGCATAAAAGTTGGTTTTGTCGAGGATGATACCAATCTGCTGTCCATCTGCTTTGCAAGTCTTGACGAATTCACCAGCAACATAGATTGCCTTGATTTTGGCGGAAATATTGCCGAGCTGGTACTTGCTCGAGTCGTCCGTCTTTGTTACTTCCGACATGTGTTCAAGCTTGCCGAGATCATGAACATCCAATTTGAGCATCGATGCGGTACCCTTTGCATTCGCAGCAGCCTCCTTGGATGCATCCTTGGACTTTTGCTCTGCCTTGGCAAATTCTTCTCCATCAACAAGCATACCATTCTCTTCAGCCATGAGCATAGTCAAGTCGACAGGAAAGCCATAGGTGTCATACAGCCGCCAAACCTGCTCGCCAGGCAGTTTCGTACTGCCAGCTTGCTTGGCACTTGCCAAGTACTGCTCAAACAACTTTTCTCCACGATCCAACGTCCGTGAGAAACTCTCCTCCTCCTCATCGAGAATCTCCTTGGCGTCCCCAAACTTGGCAGTCAGCTCAGGGAATGCATGACTCATCTGATCGATGACTGTCGGTGCGAGTGTTGAAAAGAAGCTGCCGATGGGATGGTTGAACTTCTTGCGCACATAACGTGCACCACGACGCAGAATGCGGCGAAGTACGTAGCCGCGACCGTCCTTGTCTGGAGAACCGCCATCTGCAATAGCAAAGAGCAAAGTCCGCACATGATCTGCAACAACGCGGTAGGCTGTGTCCACCTCGCCAACATCAGCCTTGCCAAATTTGCCAGAATAGGGTCGAACGCCTGTAATCTCGGAAATCTTATCAAAGATGGGTGTAAAGACGTCTGTATCGTAGTTACTCGTCTTATCTTGCAGAATAGAAACGAGTCGCTCAAAGCCCATGCCTGTATCAATGTGCTTGTTTGGTAGTGGCCGCAAAACACCGCCGACCTCGCGATTGTACTGCATAAAGACATTGTTCCAGATTTCCAGCACCATAGGGTCATCCATGTTGACCAAATGCGCTGCATTACGTCCACCAAGACGATCAAAGTGGATCTCAGAACAAGGTCCACACGGACCCACCTCACCCATCTCCCAGAAGTTGTCCTTCATGCTCCCAGGCAGAATGTGGTCTTCGGGAACGCCAGCATCCAGCCAGAGCTGCTTCGCTTCAAGATCAGGTCCCAGTTTTGCTGCTTCATCACCGCCAAAGTACGTCACATACAGACGATCTGCAGGGAGTCCATAGACTTTGGTCAATAGCTCCCAAGAAAAGCCGATTGCTTCTGTTTTAAAATAATCACCGAATGACCAATTGCCCAGCATCTCAAAGAAGGTGTGATGGTAGGAATCACGGCCAACATCTTCCAGATCGTTGTGCTTGCCACCTGCACGAATGCATTTTTGCGAATTGACGGCGCGTTTGAGCTTGCCAAAGTCTGATTCGGGGTCTGCAGTGCCAAGAAAGATGGGTTTATACTGGTTCATGCCGGCATTGGCAAACAAGACTATGGTCAGCAATGAATCACAAGATTGGAACATACGGGTTGGGTCATCGTATGGGATGGTTGGCGACGAGGGCACAAACGTATGTCCGCGATCCTTGAAGTACTTGAAGAATGTCTCTCTGACATGCGGCGCAGTCCATGCCGTCTGTGTACTCGCCATGAATGCTTTGCTAGAAAGTTCCCTCTTCGTCGTCGTCGTCGTCTCTTGTGCTGCTTTGAATAAAACTCGACAACGGACTGGCAGGCGTGTGAGCATCCACCTGGCTGGGCGATGTAAGATGCAGCGAGAAGAGCCTGGTCAGAGACGCGCCTCTCTAGCGACTGAGCTGCTGGCGGAGGGACAAGGCGTGGTTGGCAAGCGGAAAGAACGCGACGATGGCGAATATTCACAAGGACAAAGCAAGAGCAAGCGGCCCTTGCTGAGCGATGCCTTTCTCGTATGTCTCTCTATATATGACTGCAAGGCTCACAGCAGGCGTTATCAATAGACAAGCGGAGTCAGCAGGCAAGAGGTAGGTCCTTCAGCATTACGATACAACTGACCTCAGGGGATCTGGACATGCGTGACCCGGCCAGCTTTGACAAGGACAAGCATACGGTCGTCATACAATCGCTGGAGGAGGAGCTGCGTGACATCACACAAGAGGAACAGGAGCAAGAGCCAGCGTATATCTTCAATCTACCAGAAGGTATCGACAAGATGTTTGCAGGGAGAAAGGCGATGCCATCGGACGCTGGATACAAGATATCAGAGATGGGTCCGCCAGAGGCCTCGCAGCTCGTGTTGTACAATGGCCGCCCGGATGAGGTGATTTCTAGGTCGTTGCAGGGCACTAGAAACATGGGCCATGTCGCTGAGAAAGAGCCAGACGAGATGAGCATTTCTGATGCCGCGGATACGATGGAACTTGACTAAACCAGCCTAGTAATCATTCGGTTACATTCGCTCGAGACCTTCGAGCATAACCACGCTGTTGCCGCGAATGACCACTTGGCCTATGCTGACCTTTTCACCGCCCGCCTTTTCTTCTTGCGCATCATCGAGAACGACATTGAGGAATACGTCGTAGCCACGAAGCGTGCCAATCACCTTGCGCGATCCATTCAGCTGTACAAATACCTTTTTGTCCTATTGTTAGCCAAGCATTTACAAAGAGCGCGTACCATGAACTTTTTTAGCTCGGGCGTTGTGGTCTTTGCCATCGTCAAGGTCCGGGCGAGGCCGTGTCTGTGGCTGCTGTATAGAACTCTGGATCTAGACCTTGGTTGTCAACTTGTCGAGCGTAGTTGCGACAGAATTTGAATTTGGACAAGGATTGCTTTCTACAACCACCATGATGCTAAGACGCAGCCTGTTTCTGCTCAATAAAGGGCTGACAAGACGAGCTGTACCCATCAAAGCTCCAATCGCTCACAGATGTCTGTCCTCCACGAGGCTGCTTCTAAAAAAGGGTAAATCTAAAGAGGCCGCTCCAAAAACCCCTCAGCCCACCCTCGATCTCGACAAGCTTCGAGGGCAGTGCCAAGTAGTCTTGGACAAGCACTCAAGGGAACTCTCTGAAATCAAAGTCGGCAGAGATAATGTCGAAGCTGTAGCGGATCTCCGCGTTCCAAAAACCAAGCTGCCAGTTTCAAAGTACGCAGATGTCTTTCAAAAGGATCCACGGACGTATGTTGTCACGGTCTTCGATCCAGATGATGTCAAGCTTGTTGTCTCAACCATTGCACAGTCTGGTCTCGGCTTCAATCCTCAGCCAACACCCAAAAATCCCCAGCAACTGACCATTGCCATTCCACCGCCCACAGAGACCTTTAAAGAGGAACAGGCGAAAAAAATTGCAAAGAAGCTGGAGGTGACAAAGATGATGCTACGTGCGATTCGAAATGACTGGATGAAACGCGTACAAAAGTTGAGCAGCAAAGATGAGATTAAAGACGGCGAGCGCGACGTGTCAGCCATCATCGAGGTGTTTGCCAAAGATGCGGAAAAGGAGATACTGAAGGCAAAGCCTTAAAGCGAGTTCATGCGTATCGGTTCGTTTCGTTGTCGCCTCTGCTTGATGCGGATACTCGCTGCCAGCAACAAGATGATCAGAAACATGGCCGTCAAGTACCCAACGACATTTTTGAAGCCATGTGTGCCATAGCGTGATCTAGACGTAATCGAGCCTTGCAGCTTTCCCACCACAATAGGGCCCACAATGGTCGCAAGCCCAGCAACAAAGGACAAGGAGAGAAAGATGAAGCCTGCAGGGTGCTTGTTGCCAGCCATGTACTTGGCTGCGGCTGTCCAAATAGCTGCATATCCGCCCGTAGTCAAGCCAAAGCAAATGACAAAGCCATAGATTGCCTTGAAGTCTTGTGCAAAGCCAAGAACGAGGGCGACACTCAAGCAACCACCTATACCAGCAATGGGCATGACGTGCCAGAAGGGAAAGTGGTCCGACGCCCAGCCAAATCCAACCAGGCTGACCATAGCAGCAGCATTGAGCAAGACAAGCGCAAGTGTCGATGGTAAGGCTCCTTGGGTTGTGGTGAAGGTCCGGGTATAAGAAGAAATCAGAATGCTGACAGGGCCGTACGCCAGCCGATGGCCCACCACACTGATGGCAAACAAGACAAATGTCCAGCTCTTGCAAAACGAAAAGTCTGGCATGCGAAAGCCAGGATTATGCTCGGAGTGCTTGATACGTGGCCGAATGAATGGAATGGTGAGACCTCCAATCACGAAAAAGCCGCATGCATAGACACGCATGGCTGTTTTGAAGCCTAGACGCTCGAGCATGACTCGGAAGAGGAAGGGAAAGAGAATGCCACCAGCAGAACTGCCACCAAAGATGATGCCTGATGCAAGGGCTCGACGCTGAGCAAACCAATCCGTCAGATGAACAATAACGGGAAAGTATAGAGCCGACGAAGCGATGCCAAACAGGAAGCCTTGCAATAAAATAAGATGCCAGATGCGAGTAGCAAAGCTGGAAAGAACAAACGCAGCTGCGGTGGCTACTAATGCCGTCCACATACTGATTTTGATAGTCGTGGGATACGCCTTGTACACGGGCTCGAAAACGATGCCTAGACAATACTGAAGGCCAGACCCTATTGTTCCAACAGCTGAAATGGCTAGTGGGTTGGCATTCTGAAACAGAGGCAGCTTGGCATCTTGTTCTGATGGAGAAGCATAGTAGTCTTGTAAAACTCCAAAAGCAAAGGAATAGCCAAATGCAAGGAACTCAAGCACAGAAGCAGCAAGAATGAACGTCCAGGCCTCAATTGAAGTGTCTACAGCTGGTGCTTGCTGGCGATGATTCTCATCAGTATCCGGCGGGCCTGTAAATCTCATCCAAGCCGGTACTTTGTACAATGGCACTTTTCGACATGAGATCTACCAATGCAGGGACGAGGATAAGATCTCGAAGATTGAGCGTGAGTTTGTTCAGATGGGCGGATATCCTGTCGGCTAATTGCCTCGGTCGTCAACATCACGAACCATTGCAGAGTCATACATCAAAGCATTCTTCCGTTATTCCATCGTTGCTCCATCATGACTAAAACAATCACTGCCGAAAGTATTGCAGAAGACGAGACTGCTTTGTTGCTCATCTCTTTGTCTGCTGAATTCTACAAGCTCAAATGGAACATGGGATCCGGTGGTGGTATGTCCATACAGACTGGACCATACATCTACTTGACGCCATCAGGCGTGCAGAAAGAGCGCTTGGCGCCAGCCCAGCTTTTCGTGTTCCACACTGGAGACACCACTTCAAGTCCATATTGGGCATACCAGCCGGCAGGGATGAAGCCGAGTAGCTCGAATGAGGTTTTCTTATGGCTGCATCAGCACCATGAAGCAAAGTGCGTCATTCACACGCACTCTTTATACTCGAACCTAGCTACACGACAACCTCAGCAAACTAACGAAGATACCTGGTGGACCATCGATAATCAAGAGTATCTCAAGGGCATCCCGTCATATCCTGAATCACATTGCTACAAGAACACAGATAACCTCCACATCCCAATCATTCCGAATAAGCCCACAGAAGCAGAGTTATCTCCTGATCTTCGAGAGGCTGCTCGCAAAAACAAGGTGCCGTGCATTCTAGTCAAGAATCATGGTGCATATCACTTCGGAAAGTCTTGGGAACAGACCAAGATGTCAGCAGAATGTCTGGAATACCTATTTGAGCTATCTTGGGAGATAACGACCAAAAGCTAGAATATATTAAAGTCCATGCCACCAGCACGACTCTGCTGTGCGACTGCATGCCGCATCCGTGCAGCAACATCCAGTACCTTTGCTGGCCCTGGTCTCTTGTCTTGGCTGCCTTCTTCAGCCTGCTTCCTGTGCTTCTTGACTGGCGGCGGCGCAGTACTCTTGATATTACTCGGCGCATCTCGTAGACCAAATGACTTGGCCACATGCCCGAGCTGAAGAGCATGCATCGGGAAACAACTCCGTTCTGCAGAGATGTGTGTGGCATATGCTCTGACGTGAGAAGTATAGGCTCGCTTCGCCTGCTCAACAGTACCAGCCTGGTTTGCAAACTTTTCATACGCCAACTGCCAAGCGGTAGCACCTTCCTCAAATTGTGCACCAAATCCAGCTTTGAGTAGGAATTTGACATTCAATTCATTCAAGTCGCAGTGTAGGGTCTCTCGTATGAGTTCCAGGTAGGCACTTTCGCTCTTGAGCGTAAACAACAGAGCACTACCATTCTTGCCTGCTCGAGCCGTTCGACCGATTCTGTGCGTGTAATCGTCGATCGAGAATGGCGGATCATATTGAATCACATAAGATACTTGCAGATCGAGACCTCGACTGGCAACATCCGTGCAAAACAATAAAGCAGGCTCTTCGGTCGTAGCGAAGGCATGTAATGTAGCCTTCCGCATCTGTTGATCAAGCGAGCCGTGCAGCTTGTGCAAAGTGACCTCGGGCAACAAGGCATGCGCTTTCGATATACTTGGAAGAACAGGCTTATCGTCTTCTGGACCAGCAGCATTACTTCCCGTCATTGGCGCTTCATTGTGCGTGCATGCTTTGAAATGCCAATCAACCGTATCGCCGCAACTAAAGAAGCAGATGACCTTCTTGGCTGGCTTTGGACCGCCAAAGAGCTTTTTCAGGAGTGCCACGAGAGTGACCATGCGTAGCTTGGTTGGAACCACAAGAAACTCTTGCTTGAGTTGTGCCGGAGCTACTGTTCCTGATTGCTGCCGATCAGCTTGCAACTCCTTGTTGCCCGTCTCAATGAAAATAGCATCCCTAAGCGATGTTTGGCCGAGCTCTTCGACGTTCTTCTTGGCTGTTGCGGAACAAATAACAGTTATGCGCCGTTCCGGCATTGCTGGTGCTGAAATACGGCGTCCTTCGCGGTCAGAAATGATTTTGAGAATGTCCACAATCGTCGCTTCGAAACCAAGATCCATGAGTCTGTCGCCTTCATCCAGAATTACCCATGAGATGGCCCGGACATCGAGGTTCTTGGTTGAGTCGAGATGGTCCTTCAAGCGACCAGGTGTAGCAATGACAATGTTTGCACCCTTTCGAAGACGCGCCTTTTCGGACTTCTTCTTTTCGCCACCAATAAGCAGAACAGGCACAATCCAGCGGGCTCGATGTGAATTGAGCAGCGTATCGACAACATGGTAGATTTGCTGTGCAAGCTCTCTAGTTGGCGCTACAATCAAAGCAAAGCATCCACGGTCTCTTGATTGTAGACCCGCTGGTATTTGGCATAGCCGATTGACAATAGGTAGCAGATAGGCAAGAGTTTTGCCCGAACCAGTCTGTGCCTGGATGAACACATCCTTATCGGTCTTGAGCATGACTTGCAACACGCGCTTCTGGATAATGGTTGGCTTCTCAATAGACAGCTTCTCCGACATGGTCGTAACAACCTCGGGAACAATGCCAAGCCCCGCGAACGACGAGTCATCGTTGTTGAGCGGTGCATTACTCGGTGTGATGGCCTCGGGGGGTGATGTCCTTTTCACTGCCGGTTTCATTGCTGGTAAAGGATCATGATAATCGAATAGGGAAGCGACGACTTGTCCTGCAACTCGTGTATCATCTTCCGCTTCTTCCCCTTCGACCGGTGCCTTGCCCTTCAACGCTTCCTGGCGCTTCCTTTTCAGGTTTGGCCTGTAGTCCGTCGACTTTTCTGCTGTAACATCTTGGCTATGGCTCTCGACAGGTTCAGACACAGGCGCGGGCTTCGGTAGTGCTTGTCGCACTCTTCTCGTCTCCCTCTTATTGATCTTTGCTCGGTCTGTCCACCTTCCACCAACGGCCTTGTGCTTCTTAACCACTGGCGTCGTATTGCTCACCAAATTGAGCATCATCCCTTCGTCTGCCATGCTTGCGGCTGTTCAGTATGGCTACAAGACTCATCCATCTTTTGACGTACAGTCGCGACAATAAATTGTGGATCGTCTCACGCTTCCGAATTTCGATTTCAGGGGCGACGTCAATGCACATGCCAATCGACCAACTCTCTCCACAGCTACTATTTGACTAGCTACTCTGGACTTTATGGGCTGGATAATTGGCAGCTCTATAGCGCTTAATGTTGACAATGGAGCACTTCTTGTGCTCGGCGCTTACCCAAAGCACGGACCAAAGGCTGCAGAAGTAAGCGCCACGATATTGACGTAATGCCCTGCAGCTGACCCGAAAGATCGAAGCCTTTGTGATTCAATTCGCCAAGAAGGCTGCAGAGCGAGAGGCTTCTCTTGTTTCTGGAAATGGCTCAGTCATTGGCAATGCGCTCCTCGAGGGTGTTCAACAGGCATGTGGCTCTGAAGCTCTCCAATACCTCTGCAATATTCCAACAAAGCAACGTGCGTTAAGCATCTCACAGTCACTTCTGCTAATATAAGATGGCACTGTCGCAGAAATGACGCATGCTGCCCGTAGTCGCTACTTTTACAATGTTCGCCAGGACCTGATTTCCAAAGCAAATGTGCTCTTTCGCCCTGACCATTCAGCTGCTAACGACAGATTATGATCATCATCTCTGGAGAGAAGCATGGCAAAGATGGATCAATGGTCCATTCAGACACAGTAATGAGCGAGTACACACTCGGTATTGAGCACGGACGCTTCGCTATTCCTGTGGCAACTTTTGGAGGCTGTTCTGAGATTGTGCATACAAAAATTGCGCAAGATATCAAGAAGCGCATGCACCCTTATTCCGCTTTGCCAAACGGACTCTTTGCTAAGCTCGCAGACAAAGAGACTAGCACAGATGAGATGATTGAGACTGTCTTTGATATCGCTGATTGGATTGTCGAACACAAACTTGCAGCTTCATCAAGGAGGTCGAGCATTGCATCTGATGGTGGGGCACATCCATTCCATTCTCGAACACCGTCTGGAGTGTCTCTGCGTGGCTCGGAGAGGCCAAGAAGCAGTAATCATCAGACGAACAAGACATCACCATGAGTTGCTCGTTCTGGGTACCACCGCAAGTACATGTATAGCTTTGGCAGATTTGATTTGTCCATCTCGTGACCGTCATTTGTGCATGGAATCCATCCATCAGCAGGCGCCGGCAATCGTGACACCAGCTCTTCGTTCGAAAGCTTTACATACTCAAGCTCTGAAGAGAACGCAATGAAGGTTGTCGCTCTCATATCCGGCGGAAAGGACAGCTGCTATAATATGATGCATTGTGTTGCGAATGACCATGAAATCGTTGCTCTTGCGAATCTGCATCCTGCTCTAAATGGTAGACTTCTTGCGAGCTATTCGCTTATGCTGACTTCAGACCCAGATGAGATGGACAGCTGGATGTATCAGACCGTAGGACATGACGTTGTACCCATGTATGCTGAAGCTATGGGCTTGCCCATGTTCAGGCAAGTTATCCATGGCACGAACGTTGCCACTGACTTGCACTATACAAAGTCAGAAGGAGATGAAACTGAAGATCTGATGCTTTTGCTTTCCAAGGTAAAAGATGCGCATCCAGATGTCACTGCTGTCAGTGTCGGTGCGATTGCATCCAACTATCAACGACTACGCGTTGAGCACGTTGCCTCTCGCCTTGGACTGACTGTGCTGGCATATATGTGGGAGCAGAACCAGACCAAGCTACTTCAGTCAATGTGTGACAGTGGGTTGGTGGCGATCTTGATCAAGGTCGCTGCAGTAGGTACGGCGTTCTTTCATGATGCACGCTAACAAATAGGACTCTCCTCCAAGCATCTCGGCAAGACGTTGTCAGAGATGCAACCAACTCTGATGCGTCTGCATTCTCTCTACGAAGTGCATCCATGTGGGGAAGGAGGTGAGTATGAAACGATCGTGCTCGACTGCCCGCTATTTATCAAGAGACTCGAGGTGGTGTCGTCAGCAGTTGTCGAGCTTGATGCCGATACTGCGCATCTTCAGCTCAAAGTTGCGCTTCAGCCGAGCGAGTCCCAGCATATGAGGCAGTCTGTCTGGCTCGAAAGCCTTTATCCTCAGCAAGGCCTTGACGAAGAAGGCATAGAACTCCTCGACAAGCTACAAAGCAGTTCATCTAAGGAGGCGGCGATCCCAATTGATTCGCGCGTACAACAATCTATCGACAATGATATGAAGACGTATGGCCACATACGCTCCAAGAGGATTGCCATCTACGATGACAGTCCATCACTAGCAGAACTGCTGCCCGGGCAGAATGATGAGGTACTGTTTTGCTTACTCATTCTGCGAAACATGGGCGATTTTGCCACAATCAATACGCAGTACGCTCAGCTATTCCAGCATGTACATCCACCATCGCGAGTGTGTATTGCTACCGGGTTCACAAAAGATCCGAAGGCTAAAGCCTTGCTGTACACCTTGTCTATTGACAAGACAGATGTTGGCGAGGACGTACCAGCTCAACAAGACCGACGTTTGTGGGTTCAATCTCGTTCGTACTGGGCTCCTTCTAATATTGGACCCTATTCACAGCTTACTCAGAGCAGCGACATTGCCTTCATCAGCGGTCAGATTGGATTGATACCATCGTCCATGGAGATGCCAGACACATTAGAGCAGGAAATTTGCTGGAGCATACACTCTCTGTATCGAATAATGGTCAGTCAAAAGGTGGAAGACTGGTATGGTGTTGTTGTTGGATATGTCCTTGACATGTCCCGGGCGGGCAAAGTTACTCAAGCGTTCCAATCACGCTTCAGAAGGGAAGACATCCAACTATTGATCGTCGAGCTGCAACCTGGAAGCCAGATGCCAAGAGGTGCAGAGATTGAATGGCAGACTCTTCTCTGCAAGAGACAGGGCGACGTGCGTCTACGACCGGGTCTCGCCCCGAAAAGTCAGATGGCCATGTCTTTTTCGACTGCAGACTTGGAGCAGAGTCAAGATCTGTACTGGGACCTGCGGGTGTCGAGAATAATACTGGATGCGCAAGCCATACCTGCTGCCTCTGTCGTTTTTGGCACGCGATAAAGTGACTGCCATCTTTCTGACTATTACGACGTCATTTCAGCCTCTCACAAAAGTATTCTCCGGTACAATGTCGCAACCTAGAGGCGACATGAGTAACGCAGCGACAGCCGGCCCGTCTCTCAAGGCATTGCAATCGCCTTCGCGGCCTCTGGACCAAGTCAAATCACATCAGCGCCATGCGCGCAAAACTTCAAAGATGTCCGGCAATATCCCGCTAGACGACATCGACCAACTCGATGTCACAGGCTTGCTAGGATATCATCACGAAGGCCCATTTGACGCGACATTGGCAGCGCGCCAAGTACCTGGTTATGCGCCCTTGGATGCCGTTCAGTATGGCAACAATCTGGCCATGCGCGCTACTGGTCAATCCAAGATGGATGAAGTCATGCGAGGCCATATTCCACTAGACGGCGTAGCCTCCGTGGCACCAGGAGAGAGGGATAGCACTGGTGAGCTGCTCGACTACGAAGATGAGAATGTTGAGCGCGGCGAGGGTATGGACAATCAAGGCTCTGGAGCACGACCAGCTAGTGGTGTTGCAGATGATGATGTCTCGGAGCTTGGCAAATGGATTGACGGTGATATTAGTGGTTCATCTACACGGCCTACAACGGGCAGTTCTATTGCCATGAAGTCAAAGCACAAGAAGCAAGTCTCCATCGCTGGGGAGCATGGTATTGTCGAGTACGACCCTGAGCTAGACGAGGATGAGGCACCTACGGCCTCGAGCAGTGGGACGACCGGCTTGTTTGGCAGTCTCAAGAAGCGTCTTTCCATCAAGCGTTAGGCATCATATACATAGACATACTAATCAATGCATAATACACGACTGCTTCATTGTTTCGCCTCTCAAACCGTCTATTCGCGACAACCATCACTCAACACTGGATGCCGCATTGCACTTCTTCCTATGAGCTTCATTGAGATCAAGCTACCTTCTGGCAAGTCCTATACCCAGCCGACAGGCCTCTTCATAAATAACAAATTTGTCGATGCCAAGTCTGCTCAGACCTTTGCAACGTTCGACCCTGCTACTGGCCGAGAGATTTGCCAAGTCGCCGCCGCACAAAAGGAAGATGTTGATGACGCTGTTGCAGCTGCTAAAGACTGTTTCGAGAATGTCATGGAGATGATGGACCCTTCAGAACGAGGTAGACTACTATACCGCTTCTCTGATGCAATTGAAGCAAACAAAGACATCCTCGCAGCTATCGAGTCTCTAGATGGCGGAAAGCCTTTGCACATCGTCCAATCTGATGATCTGACTGAAGTCCTTGGCGTCTTACGCTACTATGCTGGCTGGGCAGACAAGATTCACGGCAAGCATATGGACACGGGGCCCGGTAAGTTGACCTATACCGTGCACGAGCCAATTGGCGTATGCGGTCAAATCATTCCCTTCAACTTTCCACTCTCGATGCTGAGCTGGAAGCTTGCTCCTGCAATCGCTACAGGCAATACTGTTGTCTTGAAGGTGGCAGATCAAACGCCACTGTCTGCCTTGTACTTGTGCAACCTCATCAAAGACATCTTTCCGGCAGGAGCAATCAATGTACTCTCTGGACAAGGCGATCCAGCTGGTACAAGCCTAGTGGCACATCCGGATGTACGCAAGATTGCTTTTACTGGCTCAACAGCAGTAGGCCGCCAAGTCATGAAAGCATGTGCCGACTCACCAATCATCAAAAAAGTCACCCTTGAGCTCGGTGGCAAGTCACCTTTAATTGTTGCGAAGGATGCCAATCTAGAGCAAGCAGCCAAATGGGCTCATTCAGGCATGTTTTACAACAACGCGCAAGTGTGCTCGGCAACGACGAGGATCCTCGTGGATGAATCTGTTTACGATGCTTTCAGCAAGCTCTTTGTTGAGCAGACAAGCAAAGCTCGAGTTGGACAACCAAGTGACTTAGAGACTTTTCAGGGGCCCCAAATTTCTGCCAAGCAGCATGACAAGATTTTGGAGTATGTCGAAAGTGGCAAACAGGAAGGTGCGGATGTACTGCTAGATGGTGGCAAAAGCCAACAGACGGAAGGCTACTTTATCGATCCAGTCATCTTTGGTAACGTCAAGCCAGATATGCGCATCTCGCGTGAAGAAATATTTGGGCCTGTCGCCGTGCTCACTCCCTTTACGAGCATGGAAGAAGCTATCCAGATGGCCAACGACACGAGCTACGGACTCGGCGCCGCAATTTTCTCAGAAAGCATCCGCACAGCCAACAAGGTGGCTCGAAAGCTAAAGGCAGGTCAAGTGTGGATCAATTGCACCAACGTCTGTCCATGGCAAGTCCCGTTTGGTGGTTACAAGTCATCTGGTATTGGCCGAGAGCTCGGCGAATATGCACTCAGCAACTACACAGAAGTCAAGTCGGTCATTGTCTGGCTTGATGAAGATATTTAGTGTCATATAATGAATTATGCCTGTATGCTATGTCATGTATTGCTCGCAGTCGCCAAAAAGAATGTCGTTAAAGGTCCAAAGCCTACTTGAGTCCAAAGACTAGCTCGTGAAAGTCGAGTTCGCTGATGATGTTGTCTTGAGCGCTTGGGTTGTGAAATTGGACGGCACTGAGTGTACGGTCGACCGGGCGAGTGCCAAAGGCCACAATCTCGTCCTGTGCCTGTGCAAAAGAGGAGTCGACCAAAGTGATGCCATGTGCAGAGGCAGCGTGCTTGTGCGCAGCAGGCAAAGCCATAGCCATTGCTGAAGTAAACAGGCAAGCTGAAAATAGGCTAGTCGTTGCAATGATTTGCATAGTGATAGGCAGCGTCTTGGCAGTGAAGTTGAAAAGAGTGTGGTAGAGAACGTAAAAGAATGTTCTGCTAGCTTCTAGAGCTTCGAGAAGATTGCGTTTCTCAGAGTGTAGGTTGGATTTCTGCGATGAGGGGCGCAACCTTGAGTCTTTATGTCTGCTCCAGCCAGTCATACAGCCAAAGCGTGGCTTCTGCTGTGCTATTTCCTGAGTAAGGCGGCTGGTGGTGTACCTGAATTCGGCCATGCGCTGCGCCAATCAAAAGTCGCCATCTTTTCAGATGGGTTTTAAGTGTTGTGCGGCAGCTTGCAAAGACAAAGGCACCTGCCGCGCTAGGCAGTGGGCCTTCTTGAGACACTTGCATCTGTTCTTGAGACCCTAGTCAACGTTCTCTACCTGTCTGGTCTGTCTTGTCTGGCTGACGATTGCGGAAGCACAATGTTGTCCCGCTTCTTCTCCTCGCCATGACGAGCCGAAAGCATGCTGTGCAGTAGTCCACCTACCAGGGCAAGCATGATACCGCCTACTTGCGTTTGTGTCAGTTTGACTTGAAACAGTACTGAGCCGAGGATGATGACAAGCACCTGCTTGACATTTGCGGCAACAGTCATGGCAAGGGGCCCGACTTCGCGATTCGCGCTAAATGAGACCAGATTGAGCAGCATCGCTAATAGACCATTGCCAAACACAGAGCTGTAGAGATGGATTGAGGGTCTTGGAAGTCGAAGCATCTCTCCAGTCGCGTACGACATCAAAAATGACTGTGCACATGCAAAAAGGCTCAACCTCAAGAGCAAATCAGCCGCACCAATCTGCATATAGTGTTGTAATCGCCCTGTGAGGATCGTCTTCAAAGCTGCAAGAAGAGATCCGATGAGTGTAATGAGTATACTGATGCGGAGAAACTGTGGTAACTCAATGCGGTCCGTACTGGTAGCCAAGACGACCCCTGTCACGATTGGCACTAAACTGAGCCAGATTTTCAGCGAATGGCGCTCCCGGAAGAGTAAGGATGTCAACGACAGGACAAAAAAGGGTGATGTAGCTCTGACTGTTTGATGTATTGGGACTGGCACCATTTCGAGACTCAGATTAGATACCGCAATGTTGGCACTGTACAGGACAGAGAAGCCCATGACGAGGTACCACTCGTAGGCTGAAAGCTTTGTCAATTCAATACCGCCAGTCACCTTCATCAGTACGATGCAAATCACATTTGATACTGTATGACAGCCCGTCAGAAAGTAGGGAAGCGGGAATGAGCCTAGCAGTGCTTTATTGTAGAGCGTCAGACCCAGATTAGTGACTAGGTACAAGGCCAGATAGGCTCGTCCGCTCAGCTTCAAGGTTACTGCCATACTTTGGACTTGACTGATGCTAGATGCGAAAGCGCCTGGCCATATTACCGAATGACTGTCTTGTTTGATCTTGACAAAGCTCGCGTTTGAAGTAGTCTTTGAAGCCCCTGAGCGTCGCGCAAGACCGTGAGAAGGCCGAAAATTGTTGGCGCAACTCGCGACAGCGTCAGGCATACGGACCGCAAAACTCATTTCAGAGCGGCCTCGCTACCGCTAGCTCTTGTGAGACTGGTGCACGATGAGTAGGTCAGCAGAGAGCAAAGCGGCATTGGCGGAGCGACAGGAACGCCTCGAGTTGCGCAGAAAGGAGGTTGGCATCCAGATTGACCGCGTGACAGATGTCTCGAGCACTGATTTTCCTGGTCACAGTGCTGATGAGGACCATGCGTGGGACCTGGAGACATTCAAGAAAGGTCTGTTTGTGCAGATTGTCAAGCTTGACAAGGATATGCTAGAATTTGATCTGGTCGGCGTGGATGCGAGTATTGCGAATGCTATTCGTCGGATATTGATTGCTGAGGTACCGACCATGGCAATTGAGTATGTCTATGTCATGACCAATACCTCGGTCGTTCAAGACGAGGTGCTCTCACAACGGTTGGGTCTTGTGCCGCTGCTGATGCCCATTGACTCCTTCAAGGACTTTCAGCGGCCCAAGGAAGGCGAGCAAGCAGCGCCCACTGATGAAGACACTGCTGTCTTTGATCTTAGAGTTCGTTGCACACGAAATAAAGATGCGCCAAAGGGCTGCGAGGATCCGAAAGTACTCTACGTCAATGGCGACGTAACGAGCGGCCACATTCAGTTTCGCCCGATGGGTAGTCAAGCAGAAGTTTTGAAGGATATCGATACACTTGGACCCGTCAACAAGGACATCCTATTGACGAAATTACGACCTGGACAGGAAGTTGATCTTGAACTACATGCTGTGCGTGGCATTGGGCAAGACCATGCCAAATTCTCTCCAGTATCTCCTGCAAGCTATCGCATGATGCCAACCATTACGCTTCTCGAGCCCATCACAGGTGAGGATGCACATAAATTCCAGAAATGCTTCCCCAAAAGCGTCATTAAGGTCAAGAAGGATCCAACGACAGGCCTCGACACTGCTGTTGTGCGTCATCCCAGATACGATACAGTCTCGAGGGAATGCTTGCGACACCCAGAATTCAAGGACAAAGTACGTCTGGGACGGAAACGTGACCACTTTCTCTTCACGGTGGAGGGAACAGGCGTTTACGAGGTGGATGAGCTTGTGATCAAGTCGCTGCAAATTCTGAGGACTAAATGCCGTGTCATCAAGCAGGAAATTGAGAGACTACAAGGTGAAGGAGCCAGTAATGTCGCAGAGGAAGAGTCAAACACAGAGGCTGAAGGTGCAGACAAAATGACCGGTGTGGAGACGCAATGATGGCTCATGATTACGCACCTCGCTCGACCACCATCGGGCATCCATGCTAGCGCTTTGAGACCACACGGCAGCGGTATCAATCTCTGAGTCATCATATTAGCTTGACTGCAATCTATACACTGTCCGTCTATGCCTCCATGTACACACTTTTATAACAAAACCTCAGAAACACCTAAAGACAAAGGACTGTCGCTTTTTCAAAATCATACACATGCTCATGACGCAACCATCAAACAGGCGAAGGGCCTCCAGGTGGAGCGAACCGGACACTCTGAACAGAAGACCTGCGAGATGCTTGTTCTGCTGCAGCGCTCAAGCTTGCAGAATCACGCCTCGACGACCGTATCGCAGACACACTAGGTATCGATAGCCTCGGTAGCGCAATAGACGGCAATGACGATGAGTGTCGTGCTTGCCTTGACGGTGCTGGACTTTCTGAAGGTGTTGATAACGTCGCCAACTCTGCTGCAAATCTCTTCAAATCAGCCGATTTGAGTCCCGGCAAATCTGCGCCTTCCTGGAAGTTGTCGGGTGGCAAGGTCGTGCTGCGATTACCAAATGTTGGTATCGGTGCACCTTTTGCAAGAGGTAACGCAAGAGGCGCTGGAATGGGCTTGACGTAAACTTGTCGCTCAACATCAAAGTCTTCCGGTATCGGTTGATGCAGAAACTCATAGGCAGATAGTTGTGCCACTTCACGATCAATACGTGAGACACTCCCAAAAGAATGCTGACTCTTGCGGCGATCTGAGCATCCGCCTGCACTACCCGGGACGTCGCCACTTAGTTTCGCTTCTTCGTATGAGACTTGCTTTGACATGACGGGAGACCGAAGACTCGCAGGCACGTCTAGGCCTCCCGAGTGATTTGAGAATTTACGTTTGAAGCGCTTGAATCCGTTTTCGAGGCGAGACTTGAGGGGTAAGATGGCAGCGACGAGGAGAGCCATATTCCACTCAACAGCCGACCAGACATGCGCTATCGCCAGCTCATACGCAGGTGTGATGCGTGTTGACCGAATGACGCTGCGTAGTTTGAGAGCAGAAGCAATGATGATGAGAACAGCCAGGTTGAACATGCAGCAGAGTGCAAACTTTTGACGAAAGGACAAACCCGCCATCCACAGAAAGGGAATCGGCGCCACCACGAGGAATAGTTCACACAGGAATGTAAAGACATTGACAATAATGGACGCCTGTGTCGCGTTCAAACAGTTTGACCGGTCTGACAATGGATTCCAGAAATCGCTTACCGGGACGCATGAAATGGCAAGCACAAAGAAGTGGAGCACAAATTTGAAGATGGTGAAGCCTAGGACGAATTGCAGGAATCTCCAGTAGCGCGGGTGCATGGACTTGTCGCAAAGTTTGGTATAGAAGAGGACAATGGCAATCTTGGCCAGATCAAAGGCAATGGCATAGAAGAGTCTGTTGACGTAAGAATTGATTTGATAGTCGTGAAAGACGCTCATTGCAAGTTTGTTGGTCGTGCCAAGGCTGTAGGTCGAGATCCACACGACAGTTGAGATTGTCCAGAGCCAGCCAGCAAAAAGGGCGCACATGACGGTGTAGTCATCGACGCCATAGCGATGACCTTTCGCTCTTCTGTCGTATAACCGTAAACCGACAACGAATGTCGACAGAGCACTAAGAATAACAGAAACAGACAGATCGGTGATCTGGATGGAGTTGAGGACCATCAAGAGGGAAGAAAGATGCCTTTGTGGCGAGGACCCTGCTCTCGAGAACCAGATTACGCGTCGCACTCCTCGAGGTCAATTCCGTCCTCGACAAGTCGATACGCCCTGGCTTGCGGCGTATAGGCCGACAAGCACACTGATAGTGCGATGACCGAGGGTGTTGTAATGCCTGTCTTCGGTCAGCGCAGGCGCCTGTAGATCTAGAAGCTGTGTCGCGCGCGGGGTTTTTTTCCGCAGATGTTCTTTAAACGCTTAATTCGTTTGCGCGCGTCTCCTCTCTTGGCCCAGGTGCGCGATCCTGTGTGTGGTCGGTATCTTGTAGGAGCTGTAGTGGGTATGAAGGAAGATGGAAGTAGCTCGATGATGGTCGAGCGAGGCCAGGTCACCATGCTGCCCTTCCTGTGTGCCTTGTCGCCCTGTCAGCAGCTGATCTCTCCGGAGCGTGTGTGCCGGCGTGGTTGCTGTCGATCCCTTCCTCTCTTTTACCTTGGCCCGAGAGTCGTAAGCTTTGTCCTCGCCCTACCCAGGCTATCCTCCATCCCAACAAAGCTTGCGTAAAGGCACTCGCAGTGCTCGGGCATGGACCTGCGCTGTTAATGATCAGAGTAGCGAAGTAAGCATCAGGGGTCCCTTCCAACAAATAGATCTACATGTGGCCTTAGATAGTGATGTAGCAACTTGCACGACAAGGATCGGTCAGGGGCTCATCCAGATCTTGATATCATGGATTGGCTAACAAAGGCCAACTTACCAGTTACCATGAGTCTATGATTAAGCTCCCCCCGCCGCATGGCTTCCAGCTCGCAAAGTTGGGAGGCAGCCCGCCAGGCCCACGCTTTTCCTAGATTTCATCTTTTCCTCCCGCAGACTTCAACGAGATGGGCATTGCTCCTCCAAGCGAACATCACGCAGTTATCAAGAACCCTGCCTCAATCTGACAAACTTGCACTCGCCCATACATGTGAAGCAATGGTCTCTCTGGTAAATCTGATGAGGTTGAGTCCAGCAATGCGTCTGGTTGTTTATTGACCGAGAACTCTTGCTGAATGCTGACTACATGCTGAGATGTGAGGGTGCTGGGCAACAGGCCTCACGCGGACATCGAAGTCTCGATCTAGCGCTACATCGTTGACCTTGATTGTCTGAGCAGCATACGTGCCAGTCCATTCGAGCGTCTCTGTCTGAGTTTTGGCTTTTCAGTATATCTCTCATGCAAACTTTTGAGCATGAGGATAGCTAGACTGTCCCATGTCTGTAGCGATGGTGATTACGATCGTCAAGCAGTGTCTGTTTGGCTAGCCGAAGCTTGAGAAGCTGAATGTAGCAGAATGACCGGGTCGTTAATCATTGCCAAGCCTGCTAGACTACTTGGAGTCAGAGCATTTTCTCTTTGCAATAGATTGCTGGTTTAATTGAGCATGTGTTTGTCTCTGAAGTCTCGAGACCGTTCAGACTCCTGACAGATTCATTGTGGTCAATATTAGCTAGATTGGACCTTAAGATCCGCGAGGACATCTTGTGTCCTTCATATCTTTCCTTCGTTGGCTTCTATGGGAAATAACAGCTACGGTTGAATGGATGAAAGAAAGCCTGCTTATGTAAGCAAAATATGCGGTTGCGTTCATATACAAACTTATTGCCTCGCCAGCCATCCTCGCGCGCCCGCTTGGCTTAGTGGTACAGCATATCACTTGTAATGATAAGATCACTCGTTCGATTCGGGTAGTGGGCATCGATATTTTTTTTTGCAGCGCATTTGCTGCGTGGACTGACGCCTGCCGGTCAAACCAGCGACAGCGGCGCTTTCCCAACAATTGTGGGCGACAAGGCGACAGCCACATTAGCGAGGATAAAGCTTGTCAGCGACCAATATGCCGTGAAGCAGGTAGATGTATTAGCTTTTCGTAACGAGCCTAGGTAGGCGAAGTCATGTTTAAGCGAGATCAGTAAAGAAAAAGGAGTCTCGTTATGATGATGGAGCATGCTCATCCTCAAGTGACACCGACGTAAGAGCAGGAAGGTGCTCCAAGATGGCAGGTTGACGACCGTACAGACCCTGCAACCTCAAAGAATCGCGGAGACTATAAGGCTTGTGGCACGTGTCTTTGGCATGGCTGCATATGACGCATCCTGAGATGCAGTCGCGGTTGCACACACGGTCATGGACAGGCGCCATTGTCGATGATCACAGGCTGGCCAGTGGAGGCGTCTGACTTCTTAGAGGGAGCTGAAGAGAAGCATAGGCTAGGCACGACCGGGTGGAGGTTCAGGTGCGTCAAGGAGTGAGATTTTCGCCATAAAGACAAGACCACTCTATATAACCATACGTGCAAACCATTAAATACGCGTCAAGACTTGCCGAATAGACTGGACCGGCGTTTCGCCAGCTTCCCCATATCTTCTGGCTGTTGCTCAGGCGACGCACCACCTGGCAAGTCCTTCTTATTCAAACCAAATGAAAATGACTTTTTCCCACGAAACGAGCTGAATCTGCTCAAGCCAGACTTCTTCTCTGCCAGGACAGGTCTGACGGGCATAGTGGGTGATTTGAGTGCTATTGCTGCAGCTGGCCACTCTGGTTCATCCATCTCATCGAGCGGTGTTGATGTAATTTGTGTTTGTGTGTAGGGACCGTGATGATCTTCCTGAACAGCTGGCATGCCTCTTGCAAAACCATTCCTGGGCGATACAACACCTTCTGGTGCTGCAGGTGAGCTTGTAGAGATAGGCGTCAGTACAGCAGAAGCAGATCGTCTGAGTGGGCCAGAACCATGACTCGGCACAATCGGCATGGAAGGCGTTCTTTGCAGTGCCTTTTTCGCAGCAGAGGGCGGGCTGGGTATATCCACGGCAGCGACAGCCATGGTTGGGTCAGCTTCAGCGTCCGGCGGAGTAGGCGCTGCGTGTTTTGATGTTGCCGGCAACGTCAAACACGCACGCTCCAATAAATCCTCCTCTTCATCCACGGTTCTGTAAAACAAGACATAGGCGCAGGCAGTTCCTGAATCTTCACCGCCAATGAAGCGCATGACGACGCTTTCTGGGATACGTTCAACGTGTTCGTCATCATACAGGATCCAGCCAAGATGATCAGTGCGCACACAAGCAATATAGTGGCCATGGTAGGATGCTCCACCGAGATGAACCACGACTGCATACAATTCATAGAGCCGGTCCGGGTCTGCTGCGTCGTCTGTCGTGTTGCCTAGCCGAAGGGTGGTTTCATACCGTACGACATGTTGAAGTTTGACGTGGCGCTGTACCTCTTGCTCGTATTTGAAGCGCTTGAGATGTAGCGCAAGGACTTTTGGAAGCTTCCGAATCTTCATACGGCGTTCAGCCTCTTGTAGACCGTTGCAAGCCTCGCAAAAGAATTTGTTCTTTTCTCTGAGGAATTCTGATGCTGAGAAGGCGCGCATACAGGCAGAAACAGAGGTGTCTTCTTCAATATCGAGCGACAGGTCTAGGAATGACTCATCTCGCGAAGTAATATTTTCACACGTCAAGCAACGCACTTCAGAAGCGAGTGTGCCTTCGAAGATGCGGTGCACAAAGGTCGTATCTCTGAGCGCATTTTTCTTTGTGAGATGTGCATAGCCGTCGTGGACGCTGTTGAGGATATAGTTGAGGAACTCGTGTGCGTCGTGGTGAATGTTTTGTCGAAACATTTCATTCTCTCTGCGTAGCGTATCCATGAAGCTCTTTGGGGAGAGGATGCCTGTCCGTTGCTTTTGATCAGCAAGAGAGGTATAGACGTCTCGAAGGGATTCAAACAGCACTGCATCAGACCGTTCCCTCGCTTGAGGTGAGATGACTAGATGCGTCTCTAGCAGGCGCTTTTTGAAGGCATCCGTCGCCGTATCATCCGACGCCTTCATCTCTGCTCCGCGAAAGGCAACATCACTCTTTGCAACGGGTGGCTCTGGAAACATGGCGTGCTGCAATGGCGGCTCACCTTTTGGATAGTAACTGCGTTTTCTAAATTCCTCCTTCTCTTCCTCTTCTAGTGTCCAGGAACTCAAGCCCTTCTTCTTCTTGACGAGCTGCGGAGGCGGCGGCGGGGGTGTATTCACATCAGCAAAGGAACGTTGCGGATACGGTTCTGAGAAGATGGCCTCGAGCACCTCTTCTGTACACGGCGCGCTGAGCATGGCATTGCGAAAGGGCGGAGTATAGTAGAGTGCTTGTAAGACAGAGTTGGCATAGCACGTACTGCCAAAGTTCTCGAGACCCCAGTACTTGTCGCGTCCATCTTCGCAGAGTGTCAAGGGTATTGCGGGCGTGGGCGGCGCGACCACCACCTGGGCGGGTTTTTCCTTCTTGCTGCTATTGGCCTGGTGTTAGAGGAGAGGAGGAAGGGGCAGCAGCAGCATACCTTGCCGAAGCCAAACATGGTGAAGAGAGAGGGGGTGCGGTGGTGGTTCCAAATTGTGTGGAGTTTATGTTGGGACATGACACAGAAGAATGACTTTGTATGACTATGACCAGCTCTATCCCTCCAGGGCCATGGCGCCCGTGACAATCTCAACAAGGCCGTTGGTAATCACAGCCTGTCGTGTCCTGTTGTACTGAATGGTGAACTTTTCAATCATCTCTCCAGCATTCTTGGACGCATTGTCCATGGCATTACGCTTGGAAGACAGCTCGCAAGCATGTCCCTCTGCCAGCGCCCAGTAAATCGAGTTGGCAAATGTAAATTCAGACAAGTTGGCCATGACATCGTCTTCCATCTCATAGGCGGCAAAGTTGGGAGAGTTCTTAATAGATTCTTGCGTAAAGGCAGGAATGATCTTGGGCTCAAACGAAATGCCGGAGAGGTAGGTGTTGTAGATGATTTGGATGCTCTCGTACTCGATACCATTCTTGGTAATCAAGTCGGCAATGGCAGCGGCATCCTGGAACGTAGGCACCTCCTTGCCAATCTGGTTGAAGGTCATGATGATGTTTTCCGGCTTGAATCGCTGCAGCTGGGCCTTGCATTTGTCACCGAGCACAACGACATCGGCATCGGGGTTGGCCGTCAAGGCCTTGCGAGTAGCCTTGGACAATTGCGAGTGAATACCACCGCAAAGGCCCTTGTCACTCGATGCCACGATATACAGCGTCTTGCCTTTTCCGGCAACGGTCTCTGCATTTTTAAACAACTCCTCAGAAGTCTCGCCATACACCTTGGCTTGACCCATTGTACGGGTCGCTTTTGGCAACTTGGACGATGCCACCGTCTTCATGGTCTTTGTGATCTTTTCAATGTTTTTGATGGACTTGAGCCGCATTTCAATTTCGCGAAGGGTGGCCATGTTGCGAGCAGCCACAGGGGCCTGGCTCTTGAGCACAGTTCGGCTGATGTTAGCGGACACTAAGAGAGAGGGGGCATACGTGACGAGTCCTCGAGCGAGCATATTGGCTGATAGAGGTCGAGAGAGTCTTGCTGGTCGTTGAAAGTCGGAGGACTTCCGGTCGCAGGGTTAGGCATCTTCACAGAGTATACTATGGTCTACAGCTGCAGCGCGTCCAGACATGAGCATCACCTTCAAGCTCGGGACGCTCGCCATCCGCACGCTCGCAAAGCCCATCTCTGTTGCTCTCAAATCACAAGCTAAACAACATGCCACATTTCGAAAAGTGTGCATCAATCTCGCTCAAACCATGCATCGCTTTGACATCAATGTATGCTTCATCCATCTAAACCTGTCTGACTTCTGATTGCAGATGAGAATGAATTTGCTTGGTGAAAAAGGACTACAGCATGTTCGGCCGCTGAATGAAGCCAAGGCTATTGATTCAGGTGCCAATTTCATCAGTGAGACCTTTCTATTCAGTGTCGCAGGTGGCCTGATTGTCTTTGAGTCTTGGCGATCCCGAAAGAAGGAACAGAATAGACGAGAAGGTGTTGCTGATGCGATTGAAACATTACAAAAGGAAGTGGAAGACTTGCGGAGTGACTTGCAACGACGCAGGCTGCAGCAATATCATCATCCCATACGCATCACCGATCCACTGGCTCTGCGTGTCCTGCATCCCAACTTATCAGCGGAGATCATCAAAAAGACGGCAAGCGAGATACGGACAGGCTTGCGTTCAACAGACTACTAATGCTTATGACTAGTGCTTGTCTGTGTTTTCCATGGCAGCCACCTTTTCCTTCATGCTCTTAAACATTTCCTTGAGCTCTTCAGGAGTTTTTGTGCTTGGTGGTACCTGCTTGCCCTTCTTGACGGCCTCGCGTGCTGCAATACGCTCGACCCAAGCCTTGACGCCAGGGAACTCGCTCAGGTCAATATCGAGGTGCTCGGCATAGACAACCCAACACCATGCAGCGATATCAGCAATCGAGTACTTGTTGCCAACGAGGTAGTCTGTCTTGCTCAGCTGCCTCTCGAGCACGCCATAGAGACGTTTCGTCTCTTCAACGTAGCGGTTGATGGCATAATCAGACTTGACGGAGCACATCAATTTGAAGTGATTGGCTTGACCCTGCATAGGACCGATACCACCCTGCTTGAACATGATCCATGAGAGTGCCTGGTAGTACTCGTCTGATCCATGCTCGAAGGAAATCTTGTTGTCCTTGTCATACTTATCGCCGAGGTATAACAGAATAGCGCATGTCTCAAATACATTCAGTTTGCCGTCTGTGAGGGCAGGAATACGGCCGTTTGGGTTGATTTTCAAGAACCATTCCTCCTTTTGGATGTTCTTGGAGATGTCGATGGATTCAGCCTTGTATTGGAGGCCGAGTTCCTCGAGGGCAATGGAGGCCTGGTGTCCATTGGGTGTGCCAAAGGTGTAGAGAGTCAAGTCTGACATGCTGCGGATGTGTCTTGAGTGTTGGACAAGTCTAGCGAAGGAACGGGTGTGTTGTCTGAGCATGTTGAAGTAGTTCTATGACGACGATTTAGATCATGACGAATCAGCCGACCATACGTGTACAAGATGCGGAGCAAGCACTGACAGAGAGTGGCCACTGGCCTTAGACGCGTGTCGTCAGATTGTGCACACATTTGAGACCTTCCGGAAGATGTTGCATCCGGTGGACCGTGGGCATAGGGCACCGTATTGTGAACAGATGCACCCCTTAATGTCATGTTTATGCTCCTTATATGTCTACTTCATAAAGCCGGTCATCCTTCGGACGTACTTGTATATGACACAAATGAGCTATCAATTTGACATCAAGCATCTTATCTTGGGTTGAGACGCTAAGAGTAAGCTTCTTGACCATAATTGATCTGATAACTGCTTCTCACCTGCAGCTGTCACCACCATGAGCTACACACCGCCAGACCTCAAGACCTTCGCTGGTGCATTTCCACCCACTAGAAAGCCTCTTCATGGACGCACCGTCACGCTTCAACCCATTCAAGAATCTCACTTTGCTGAACTATACGCTTGTCTAGATGTCGCCAACTTTCACACATCGCCCATTTGGCGCTATGTTCCTTATGAACCAGTCGACAGCTACGCTGACTGGGTCAAGCTTGCCACGCAGCTGATTCACGCCGAGCCAAATTGTTACTACACAGTCTTGCTAAATCATGCCAAGCCCGTTGGCATGGCAGCTCTGATTGAAGTGCAGCCCAAGATTGGCAATGCTGAAGTCGGTGCCCTCTTATTCTCTCCAGCCATGCAACGCACAACAGCAAGCACGGAGACTGTGTATCTACTGCTCAAGCATGCATTTGAGGATCTCGGTAATCGACGTGTTGCTTGGAAATGCCACAGTGAGAATGAAGCGAGCAAGCAAGCAGCAGCCAGGTTTGGCTTTCAGGCGGAAGGCGTTTGGCGAAATCACTATCTCGTTCATGGCAAGAATCGAGATTCTGCTTGGTTTAGCATGATTGATACGGAGTGGCTGCAACGGAAGCGTGCATTCGAGTCGTGGCTCGAGCCGGATAACTTTGAGGATGGCAAGCAGAAGAGGCGTCTGCAGGATGTCTAGGTCACCTCATGAAGTGTAGACTGTGTAGAGTAGAGAGTGCTTGGTGCCAGTCCTGCCAACTTTTGCTGGCGACGTCATTCCATGGAGAACAAGACAACAAGACCAACACTCCGTCCCTCGCCTTCGTCCATCCTCACATGTCTGACCAAGACGCAAGGTCAGCATCCGGTGCAAGGCCCTCGACAGATTCACTCAGGGCCTATCAAGCGCAACCCGCCATCAGCGAGCGCACCCGTCTCATCAGCTCCGATGACGATGCCGTCGCCGTTACACCCTACAACCTCCTCATTGTGCGCTCCTTGCGTCGCATGACAGTCTTCCTCTTACTGATCAGCTTCCTATGGTGGGTCTTTACCCTTGTCCTCGTTTTTGTCTCGGTTTCCAACAAGATTCACTCGCGTGGCTCAGGCTTCACTCAGTTGTCCTTTGCAACCATCAGCGTCTTTATGCTCCTCTTTAACCTCATGTTCTTCTCTACCCCGAGCAAAGCAGATCGCATTGTTGCATTGAGCATGAGTGTCTTTCTGCTTGTTGAATTCGTCATGATTATGGCAATTGGACGTCTTCGCACAGACGAAGGTTGGATCGGTATTGCTTCCGTCATCTGGGCCATGCTTATGGGATTCTTTGTGGTCATGACGGATCGTGTCGTGGAGTATGGCAAGGAAGAAGAGGAAGAACGTCTCCTTGGTCATGTCCAAACCAGGCGCACCCTCGGCGAGTGGTGTAAAGTGTTTGTGTCACTCTTTGGCAACACGATTCTACTGCTGGTTGTGATTTTGACGTGGATGACATTGGTGCTTCGTGCGCATGATGCAACACTGCCTGCACCAGGTAAAAAGGAGTGGGTCGATGGCGATGCGTATCAAGTCCACATCGATTGCATTGGCAACAAGACCCATCTTCCCATTGTCTTGCTGGAAGGCGGTGAAAACAGTGTTGAGTACGGCTTGCTCACTTGGGCACTGCAAGCGCAAGAACAGTACAGCCTCGGACAGGTCTGCTATTGGGATCGTCCCGGCTATGGCTGGTCTGACAATGCACCTTCGCCCAGCTCTGCAGGCACCATTGTCGATGCTCTCTCGGAAGCCTTGATTGAAGCTGAAATTTCTGGCCCCTATGTCGTTGCCGCACACGGTATCGGTGGCATCTACTCTCGCATCTTCGCAAGCAGGCACGTCAAGGAAATCAAGGGTCTTTTGCTGATTGACACATTGCATGAGGATCTCCTCAACACTGTTGGCAATGCAAAAAACTCATTCTTCCTCTTCACCCGCGGTTTCTTGTCGCCTCTTGGTATTGATCGATTGATCTTATGGGTCTTTGGCGGTCGTTCGCGTGAAGATCGAACGTTTGGCAAGACTGCCTACCGTGGTGGTCGATGGACGCGTGCTCGACTACAGGAATCCTTGGCCATGCCACTCACCCACAATGAAATCATTGCAGCGCGTGCCATCCTGCCGGAATCTGTGCCCATCACGGTCATTGCAGCAGGAAAAGAGATTCGTCGCAGCAAGAAGTGGGAGGAGAAACAGACGGATTTGAGCAGGTTGAGTAAAAAGGGCAAGTTGGTGGTCGTGCCGCATGCGGATCACAGTGATGTGCTGAAGCGTCCTGAGGGAACAGAGATTCTGCGTAAGGAGCTTGCCAATCTTGTCAAATCCAAGTAGTAACTTGATAGTTTTATATTCTTGTGACTGTGTAGTAACCTTTTTGTCAATCCAAAGCTACGACTATAACGACATGTCGACTGAGGTAGACTACAAAGATGGCGTCGCTTACTGGTCGCGTCAATCAGGCGATGTGAATGGTATGCTAGGTGGGTATGGCCCAGGCTCACGCGTACCTCGGATGGACATCCAACACTCTGAGCGCCTCCTGAAAGGTCTACTACCATTGACTGTGGATGGCGCGGCGGTCAATGAAGGAGAGCTCATCATGGCAGATTGTGGATGCGGCATTGGTCGCATCACGCTCGACTTGCTTTCGCGGTATGCCAAGCAAGTAGACCTCATTGAACCATGCATTCCATTCACGACACAAATGAAGGAAGGTGAAGCCTTTGCGCCACTCAGAGAAGCCGGCAAGGTTGGAGAGATCCTCACCCTCGGCTTGCAAGATTGGGAGCCGGAGCAGGGACGCTATCACATCATTTGGAATCAATGGTGTCTGGGCCAGCTATCGTACGATGATTTGGTGGCATACTTGAGGCGCTGCAAGGCGAGTATACGGCCAGGTGGCTATGTCATTGTCAAAGAAAACCTCAGCGGCTCGACGGTTGATCTGTTCGATGAGCAAGACTCGAGCTGGACACGCTCACAAGAGAATTGGTTGCGGAGCTTCAAGGATGCCGGGCTGACGGTCCATGCAAGCAGCCTACAACATGGCTTCCCACAAGAACTCTTCAAAGTCAAAGCCTTTGTACTACGCTAAATCACATATCAACCGACGCTCACGCTAAAAGCAAACTCCACTTCTTCTCCTGCATCACTACCTCCCATCGTCGCCTACCGAGATCCTTCTCCAGGATAGATCCACCTTCTCGTGCGCGACATGCACGTTCTGCTTCTCGCCAACCCGTCCAGACTTCTTGCAGTAACTCCAAGCATCGCTGCTGATTGCCGAATCCCATGTGTTTGGCGATCCGCTCATACCTGCTATGCACAACTTTTTGCTGCATGGAGTAAATGCTGACACTGCCAAGGATGAATAGCGGCCATGGCAATCCATATTCCTGCGACGACGGCGTTGGAATCAGGGGTAACAGTGAAATTGCTTGAGATAACAAGCTTTGCACCGTCAAGCTGTAGCAGGGTGTATGCAAAATGCGATAGTGCAAATAGATGCGTGCAGATAAACGAAAGAGCTCATGCAACGCTTCTCCTGGCGTTGCTGGTTTGCCTGCCGGTGCGAGAGCGTCCAGCTTTGCAATATAATAGTCCTCCAGCTGCTTCAACTCTTTCGGTGTTTCCTGTATACGCTGACAGACATTCGCAAGGTTAGGGAGTGTATCTGTACTGCAAAAGTCATCATACCGTCGAGTCATTTCAGCAATGATGCCGAGAATCTCCTCTGAACATCCCATAAGATCGCTCATCCCGTACGCTGCTTCCTGAGTCACTTGCTTGCCATCCGGTGAATGCTGTATGTTTCGCTGCGGATTCTGCGTAGCATCAATCAGCGCTTCCCAGTACGCTGCACTGCCAATCTTTTTCGAATCACTCGTTGTGGCTGCTAAGATATCAAGCCATGCGAGATGCTGTACATAGAATCGCCAATGCGTATTCGGCGTTGTACCATATCCTCCATTCGTCGGTAACTGCAACAATCGTTTCGGTCCACCGAGTGCATTCACAATGCCTCGGGCAGCAGTCAGGTGGATACGCCAATGCGAGACGGATCCGTGGTGGAGCTGATAACTCACTTGTCCAAGAATCGCAGCAAGTGTGATTTCACTCAGACACAGCACTGGGTCCTGCAGTCGTTCTTGTAGGAGTGTATGGACTTGACTTAGATGCTGAAAGGTTGAGGAGGTGAGGGGATGGTTAGGATGGGTATTCGCGAGATTAGCACTTGCAATGGCCAAGATATTGGACATGATGAGTGGCGACTCAAATGCTAGCTGCGGCAGGATATGTCGAAATGGATTTCTTTCAGAGTCCGTGACGACGGTAATGACAGAGACATGGTTGACGTAGTACTCGAAAAGCTTGCGATTGTCGGCCGTCATGAGCAGCGCTGGCAATGGCGTCGGTAGCGATATTGGAGACAATGTTCGCACAGGCTGCACATCTTCTAGGCGTTCCTTCTTGGGTGGTCTTGTAGCTATGATCGTATCATGCCTCTCCTGACGCTTCCGCTTGCGTATCGCGTCGTGTGTGCAGTCGACAAATTCGATGGATCCCAGACGCACGGTCTTGCAGGGGGTTGCAGGGTCGCCGAATGTCTTTTGACCCTTGAGGCGACCGCGTGAGGCGAGGCCTTGGTCCCATTTGAGCTGCATGGAGGGCAACTGCCTCTTTGGTGTGGTGGGATGCGATCGTGCGGAGGTTTTTGAGTGTGCAGGGGTCAGCATCTATAGCTACAGAATACTCATCTATAGAATATCCATCTAGGTGGCAGCCTCAGCCAGCATCTTCCTGATGGCAGAGGCCATCTCTGTCCGCTTCACCGTCTCGCCCTCATTCGACTCGCCCGTCCCCAGCAGCTTCACCTTGACCGTTCCCTCAGCCAACTCCTCCTCCCCCAAGATCACACCCACGGGGATCCCAGACTTGTCGGCATACTCAAATTGCTGCCGTAGCTGTGGTTTGCGCTTATACACAAACTCCGCCTTGACTCCAGCTTCCCACAGCTCAGCACAGCAAGCCATACGTTCTTCAAGCAAGCCAGTCTTGCCAATAGCCATCACAAGGACTTCCACCTCATTACTGCGCATAGCTGTTGCACGCGCTCTCAGGAGGGAAAAGACACGTTCAACGCCAATGGAAATGCCGACGCAGGGAACACCTTGTTTCTTGCCGGTGAACATACCCACCAAGTGATCATATCGGCCACCAGCGGCAATACTGCCAACACCTACTGAGTCATCCTCGCTGCGGTCTGCATCCTTGTCGACCGGTTTGTTTGAAGGCATGGCCTTTGGTGCTGAAGCAGCCGTGACGGCTTCGTAAATAATGCCCGTGTAGTAATCCAATCCTCTTGCTAGACTCAAGTCGAATTTGATGCGTGGTAGGACATTCATGACTTTGAGGTACCGAAACAACGTCTCCATCTCAGCAAGACCCTCGGATGCCTTCTTACTAGAGGTGAGGCGGGCATCTTGTTGTAATTGCTGCAAGAGTGTGTGGTCACCAGAGAGGACGACATACTCGCCAATTTTATCCGCAGCTGCAGGATTCAAACCCTTCTCATCAATCATCTCCTTGCGTACATCTGACCAGGGTAGCTTGTCTAGCTTATCCACAGCCGATGAAATGGTCCGAGTCTTGTCATCCGGCACACCACACACCTCAAAGATACCATCGAGAATCTTGCGGTGATTGAGCTTGATGGTGAAATTTTGAATCTCCAAAGCCTCAAGCACCTCCTTTGTAATGCGCAAGACTTCAGCATCAGGTACCATACTCTCAAATGTCCCTGCAACATCGAAATCGCACTGATAGAACTCTCGCATCCTTCCTTTCGTCATGGCAGGTTGATCTCTTCGATAGACTTTTGCAATGTGAAAACGCTTGATGGACTGGACCTGTGGGTTCATGGCAAGCCATCGAGCAAAGGGTACCGTCAAGTCATACCGTAAGGAGCACAACTCACCACCTTGATCCTTCAAGTCGTAAATCAACTTACTATCCTCTCCATACTTGCCCGCCAATATCTCACGCAACTCAAAGACTGGTGTATCGAGCGTCACGCCGCCATGTGCTTTGAAGACACGCGTGATGGTGCTAAAGATTTGTTCTCGCAGAATCATATCCTTGTCACTCCAATCTTTTGTGCCTTTCGGTACTTTGAGCTGATACTTGGCTGCTTTGCTACTACTGCCGCTGCCGCTGCTGGTGGATGGTAGGGCCTTTTTGAGTTCAAGCAACGTAGAAATGGCTTCTTTTGTTTTATCATGCTGAGGCCCGTACGCTGCGTCTTCCTTGAGGCTGCGAACGAGTTTTGCCTGTTCTTCCATGGATGTGGACATGCTTCTATTGAAGTAGCGGGTGATGGAGATGGATGGGCGAGCTCGTAGGAGCAATCGCATGCAAAGGTCGTCAAATGTCGTCGTCGCAACAATTTTTCTACTCAAAAGGCAGCAAAGACAGAGAACAAGAGAATTGCTTGCATTATGTATACGGAGAAGCGGATAGACAGGCCTGCAAGAGTCGCACAGCAACCAGACTGTAGAACAGGCACGTCTATCGCAGTAAAAAAAGAATGTTCCATGGGTCATCAAAAAGTAAAAGGCGCCGTTCATTGTCATATCGTATCACCCGTACCGACGCAACACACTAGCTGTGATGTGACAGTAGCTGCTGCAACAAGGGATCCGATCGAGACTGCGCAGGGCCCTCATGCCGCTTCGTAGAAAACACATCAAGTGTCGGACACGTTCGCTTCCTGGATGGTGAAGCAGGCATACTACTCGCCCCGGAACTCGTTGTCGCATTGATACAGCGACCGGCCGTAATGCGCCAATCGCACTCCTCCTCGTCCAAGGCCGGTGGGCAAGCGAGCGTTGTTGGCATGTCTGGCGAGGATGGCGCACAGTCTGCGATACCTTCATCGGACCAGCGGACCTGTTTGCTCGGACCAGCCGATGGAAGCGCATCACCAGATCTGTCGATGGGAGAAGGTTGAGCTGGGTCCAGCGCCGGACTAGTACTGCTTTCATCGCTGGATGTAGATGGGAACCGGTCGCGAGAGGCGCTTTGCAGGGATGTGTCGAGGAAGGGTAGGAAGCGCCCTTGACCGAAAGCATAGGTGGATGGCTTGCTCATGCTGAAGGCGATGCGTTGTTGAGTGTTGAAGAGGAAAAGAGAGCGACAGGAGGAGAAGGAAGAGAGAGAAAACGGAGGGTACCTGCTAGGCCGCCAGTGTAGAAGAGTATAAGAAGATGAGTTGCTTGCTGATGGACAAGCGCCGGGGTTGCTCTCAGCTGGATGGTGTTGGTGAAGGGTGAGGGAGCTGATTTGCTGTTTGCTGCAGAGTTAAAAAGAGGCGACAGACAACGACGACATCATCTCGACACATCGCCCAGCATGCTCCCCTGTTACCCTTGTTTGGGCAAATCTCCAGGAGCAGAAGCAGCAGTGACATGCAGAGAGACCAGCCACGGCCTAGCTTCATGACTCCGAGTTGGACCTGCTCAAAGGCCCATTAGTTGTCATTACAGCTCATGCACAGGCCACCGCCCGTTTAGCCGACCGCAAATTCAGCCGACTCATCTCGGAAGGACTTCGCTCTTTTGCTGCGTGCAGCGTATACAGATATCTGGCTGCTGCTTGATGCTATCTCTACAAGAGGCTATCAATCTGGGCTCGAGCCAAATTCTTCATGACTCATGAGATGACTGCTTGATGATCTCTGGACACTAAGTCAGCGTCACGCTTAGACAAGTATCTTGCCATGGTGAATTGGCTGGTACTTGCGTTTGCAAACCCAATGTGGGTGTCTCTTGCCCAAAGAGAGCCTGGGAATTGCCAAAGCAAGTAATAGGGTTTTTGAGACTTGTGAACAATCATGTGTCAAGGTGAACCACAATGACTCGTCCTTTGCTTTATGGATATGTGAACGATCGAGCATCTATGCAATCTTCTCCACAACCACCCATCAGAATCTACGAGGCAGTCTATCCTCTTCCAGAATGATTCCATACACCACTACACAACAAACAACAGGCGTGCCTCGCTTCGTGATCGACTGCGAACTCCTCGTTCCAAGCATCACCAAGAAGCAGCTGGCTCAGATACAGAAGGCCTCTTCACCACACAAGGTTGTGCCTGGTGTGACTTTCATGAAAGACGACATTCACCTGGCTTTCTACATCTCTCCCCGCCCAGGCAACTTCATCAGCAATTGGCAAAAAAGAACAAGGTTCAATTGGCTTCTGAAGCCATTCAACGAAGCATCGTCTGCGTGTTTGAAGAGAGTCCTTTGCGTCGACAAGAGAATTTCAACCATGACCATCAAGTTCGCGAGACTGATGGCTCAAGGGTATTTCAAAACTGGTTACACGGCGAATCGGGATTCTCGCGCAACTCGTGCCCGCCTTGAATTGCCAGCATCAGGCCAAACTCAACTTGCTCATCAAATCACGCTTCACAGGCGCAGAATTTACTACCACTTGCGACTTTTGGTTGAGGTGGTCTCGGTGACCCTTTACGCTTAGTCTTGACGTTCTCTTCACTGTCTCAGTATGGTAAGCTCAGCGAGCGTGTGCGAGTTCTTCCTCTGACGTGTTTCTGCGCTTCCTTCCCCGCAACAGGCGCTCGAGGATCCGGCTTGACGAGCACCGCGAGGCTGCAATGCTCTCGTGATCCGAGCTTGCAGCTATTCGCCTTTGTAAAATAGAGTGAAACACGCGTTCCCGGTCGGCTTGTTGTGCGGTAATGTTTTCAATGAGTCTTTGCTCGCGCTCGCTGAGTCGCAGCTCGCCCTCAGTCAGTCGTTGCTCGCGCTCACCAAGTCGCAGCTCGTGCTCACCAAATCGCAGCTGGTGCTCATTCAGTCGCAGCTCGTGCTCAATCAGTCGCTCGCTAAGTCGCAGCTCGTGCTCATTCAGTCGCTGCTCGCGCTCAATCAGTCGCTCGCTAAGTCGCAGCTCGACATTGGCCTTGTGCCACTTCACCTGCAGCGCATCTCTGAGCCTGAGTTCGTGGCGACTGCCCTGATTGAGGTTAAGCTCAACAGGCCTGAAGGAGCACGAGCTGCGACTTAGCGAGCGACTGATTGAGCGCGAGCAAAGACTCATCAAAAACCTTACCGCACAACAAGCCGACCGGGAACGCGTGTTTCACTCTATTTTACAAAGGCGAATAGCTGCAAGCTCGGATCATGAGAGCATTGCAGCCTCGCGGTGCTCGTCAAACCAATACGACGCAGTACTGCATGCTTTGGACGTGAAAAGCAGTATCTACTGTCATGTCCTGGTTGAGCAAGAGCTTGCGCTCCTAAGGCAAGCCTTGATGAACTGGGATCCGCCAGTATTCACCAATGAAAGTGTTAAGACGGATTTTATGATCGATTACTTGAATGCCAATGGTTGGGCAGCGCCTGGCCTGGCATTCATATCTGTGCGGTCTCACAGGCTACGAGTCACAGTCCACAACGCCGATCCCCCACTTGTTCTGACGTGTGCGTCCGACATTGGCCTTGTGCCACTTCACCTGCAGCGCATCTCTGAGCCTGAGTTAGTGGCGACTGCCCTGATTGAGGTTAAGCTCAACATGTGAAGACTGGGCTCGAAGGGGATTGACGGAGGTACGTTGGAAGCTGAGACGTCAGCACGAGGTACGAGGCAGAGCTGGTCGAGTCTACTTCGGAGACACTAGACAACAAGACTGTTAGGTAGTAGCAATTCTACCTGTGTACGAAGTTGGTGAATGAAGAACAAGGCAGCAGAAGGCTGTCCTTTTATCTTCATCAGACGAGAACTAGAAGCAAGAAAGACAAGAGGTAGAACCCATAAAAGAGTAAGACAAGAAACAGGGCCAAAGTACCAAAGACTGTGGGCGACGTCTAGCCAGACGCGCGAAGAGACAAGAGATGTCTCAGATTGGTCAGGCGAGAATAAGAGACTTGAGCCAGAAGAAAGCAAGCAACTTGTTGAAGATGCTGAACGGGTTGCTCCATGAGCTAGATGGCGAGGTCTAGATCGGTCGCTGTGGTTGTGCACAGAAGGATAGCCGCGAGATGTAACCAGGGGTTTCAGGTGGTGAGACATCTGAAAAGACATCTGAAACCAGAATAGGACTTTGGTCAGTCAGTCCGTGACACAACAGGCCTACACTAGTGGACCGGCGCCAGGCTATCTTAGAGCTGCTGGCATTCAATGTATCGAAGGGTTCGCCTCCGCCGCCGTTCGTCCTGCTTGAGGATATGGAGACGACGTTTGCCTTCTACTACATTGAAGCGCCTAGCAAGATTGGCCTTATGGAGATGCCTGATCATGGCTCCACATTTGCCATGTTCGCCGCAGCCCTTGACCCGCCAGCTGGTCTGGCTCACTTGCCTCTGATGCAGCGGGTAGGCATGGAGTATCCTGACAGGCGCATGCAAGGAGGAGGCGGAGGGGTTGTCGAAGAAGAGGACGTCGCCAACATGTATGAGTTCTATGATGAATTGCCCAAATCGCGTCAGCAGGAATTGGACATTCAGCATGGTCTCGCATCATTTTTCAATGTGAGACCATCACTTTTCAAAGTGGAATGGGTTGAGGTGGTTCGGTGACCTTTTACGCTTAGTCTTTACGTTCACTTCACTATCTCATTATGGTAAGCTCGGCGAACGTGTGCAATTTCTTCCTCTGACGTGTTTCTGCGCTTCCTTCCTCGCAACAGGCGCTCGAGGAGCCGGCGAGGCTGATCGTGATCGTGATCGAGGTACTCTCTCTTGATACGGTTGCTTTGCTAGACTTCTGTTGCGTGACCGACTCGTGCTGGACCGACGTCGTCTGTTCCTGCGCGGAGATCGAGAACGAGTGCGAGAAGAGGAAGGCCAACGTCGTCCGTGACTTCAACGAGCCCCTCGAACGGAACTGGTAAGCCGCTTTGTACAGCTTGCATCGGAAAGCCTGCCTCGTGTTGGTCTCGGCGATCGTGGTCGCGACCTGGATCTCGAGCGACTGCTGGACGGCGTTCGCCGTCTCGAGCGTCTGTGTCTTGGTCTGCTCCTTGACCTTGAAGGTAAACGCCAGTAGGACCTTCAAGTCCGTAATCTTGTTTCTGCAACATTGCGAGAGTCGGTAGTAGCGTCGAAACGAAGGCCAGACCGAGGGTGGCAGGAGTAATTGGGAAAGAAGGGTGTTGTCTTGATTGACGCATGAACCGAGTTGTTGTATGCAAATTCGGCTCTTGACAAGAGCTTGACCCAATTGTGTTGATTGGCGTTTGTGAAACAACGAAGGTATTGTTCCAGAGGGGAGTTCGTTCGCTCTGTCTGGCCATCTGTTTGCGGGTGATTCGCGATGGACAGATGTGCCTTGACAGCAGGGTCGAAGTGACCAAGAAACGCTTTCCAGAACGAAGAGACAAAGACTGAGCCACGATCCGAGACAATATCGTGCGGCATACCATGATAGGAGAAGATTATGTCCATGAACAGCGCTGCGAAGCCTGCTGCGTCTGTGGCTTCATTGTAAGAAATGAAATGAGCCATCTTGGTGAGGCGATTGACGACAACGAGAATAGAGTCGAAAGAGTCTGAAGTCGGCAGCTTGACAATGAAGTCCAGCGAGATAGACGACCAAGGAGCCTTTGGGATAGTTAGAGGTCGCAGCAAACCGTAAGCCTTGTGGCGAGGTGCCTTGGCGCGAGCACACGTATCGCAAGTGGCGACGTAATCGTGGATGTAAGCGCGCATTGACGGCCAATAGTATTGCCGAGAGACAAGGTTGAGGGTTTTGGTCCCCAATGACCGGAGATAGGCGAGTCATAGTATTGCTGGAGATTAGCCAGCTTGGGGGAGGCGTCGGCAGGGATGTACACACGATCTTTGTAGAAGAGGAGACCGTTGTTCAAAGAAAAATGCTGGTCAGCAGTCTGATGTGATGCATCGGAGGGCGCTGGCGAAGCAGGACGGCTTGACGTCGAGGAAGAAGATCCTGAGAGTGCCTTGAGAGCTTCTTGAGCCAGTGGGTCTGCGGTATACGCTGCCGTGATGCGAGCACGGAAATCGTCGTCCGGGATACTTGGACTCGATGAAGAAGTGGTGATTTGTCTTGAAGTTGACGAAGTCCGAAGAGAGACAGGCGTAAGTGAAAATTGCCCTGGCTTGAAGAGTGTTATAGTGCGAGTTGATTGACGATCCCCCTCTGAAGGCCGGAGATCCTCGCGACGGCTGAGTGCATCAGGTTTAGCTTGTTGAGCACCCGGCCGATGGACCATGCTGTAGCTGAACCTAGACAAGAATGAGAAGTCTGATCGTGTTGAAGTATTCCAGATTCTTGTGATCGGTGAAGACAGTGACAGCATGTGTGGAACCTTCCAGATATTGACGCCATGCTTTGAAGCAGTCTAGAATTGCCAACAACTCCTTGTCGTAGATTGGGTAGTTGCATTCTGGAGGCGAGAAGGTGCGGCTGTGGAAAGCAACAGGACGAAGGATGTCGTCCTTGTCGGCGTGAGAGAGGACACATCCGAGCGCGAAGTCGCTAGCGTCAGTCTCAATGACCACAGGCTTGTCAGCGTCGAAGTCGACGAGGATAGGAGCTGATGAGAACATAGACTTGAGGTAAGTGGATGCCGTGGTCGCCTGATCGTGAGCGCATAGAGAGGCTTGGCGATCTTGCTGTAGTTGGACATGAAGCGACGATAGTAATTGGCGAAACCACAGAATACTTGCACATCATGAACTGACTTTGCTTGAGGCCAATTGGCGACAGAGGCGACTTTGACAGGGTCCATGCCAATGCCGGTGGGAGAAATGACATATCCAAGAAATTCGACAAAGTCGACATCGGAGAGACACTTTTCTGCCTTGATAAAGAGATTGTGTTTATCAAGAACTTTGAAAGCGGAAACAACATGCTCAGTGTGCTCGTCCTGCCTTTGAGAGAAGATGAGGATATCATCAAGACAGCAGACGACGAACTTGTCGAGAAAAGGCTGAAGCACGGTGTCCATCAAAGTCTGGAAAGAGGCGGGAGCATTTGTCAATTCAAACGGCATAACGTTGTACTGGTAGTGCCCGTAACGGGTCTTGAACGCAGTCTTCCATTCATCACCTGGTGCAATGCGCAATAAATTGTAAGCGCCGCGCATGTCAAACTTGGTGAAAATCTTGGCATGGTGCAATTGATCCAAGGTTTCAGAGATGAGAGGAAGAGGAGCCCGATTCTTGACGGTGATAGCATTGAGGCCGCGATAGTCGATACAGAGACGCAGAGACCCGTCCTTCTTTTTGAAAAAACGGGCAGATGCGCCAGCTGAACTTTCGGAGACAGAAATATTGCCAAGTTTGAGCTGTTCGTCCAAGTATTCCTTGAGTATCTTCAATTCCTCCGCACTCATGGGATAGAGCGCGGTTGATGGAGGCGAAGCATTTTGCGCCAAGGAAATCTTGTGGACGTAAGAAGCATTGTCGGGAAGGCGAGCGGCTTTGATCTTGGAGAAGATCCTGAGAAGGACGTGATATTTGTCCGGTATCGCGCGTAGCAGGTCTGGTTCGACGTCGGAATGGAGGTCGGCGAGATTGATGCAGAGAACATCGTGAGATTTTGCTAGGCGAGCGAAAGACTTGAGCGACACCATGTGGATTTGCATGACGTTGGCATTGTCTGGAGGCGCGGCTTTATGTGCGCCTTACACGAGGCCGGGAACTGAACGGTGGATGCAGTCCAATCGATAACAGGATTGTGCTTTGCAAGCCAAGTGGTGCCAAGAATGAGATCGAAGCCAGAAAGCTCTGCAACGACGAAGTGTTGGCATTCTTGGTGGTTACCAATGGTCATGCGAAGGGGAGACGTGTATTGAGAGGCAGACTCGAGTTCCTTGCCCGTAAAGCCTCTCAGCGGGATTGCGCTGTCAAGGGTCACGGTCGGAAAACGGCCTCGATTCACACAAGTCGCGACGGCACTGAGTTCAACATCAACACTCTGTCCAGAGCGAGAGGGTCTTTGGACTCGATGCAACGCTACTTTGAGACGTATCTCTGGTGAAACTCGTGGCAAGTCTGATGAAGCCCGTCTGCGCATCACACTGCGCCGCTGCAATCACTTGACTCCATCGATCAGACATGCAAGCGGCTTGAGCAAAAAACTTGTACGGCGCTGGTATTGTTTCATCTAAAGCGCCACTTGTAAATGGATCTTCAGCTGCTCAAAGGCCCTTAGCGTGCTCCTCACTTGTAATCAGCGTACTTTCGTACATCTATTTCGTTATTCATACAGCATGTTGCAACGGGGCAAGCAGTACGTGAATACAATGCGCAAGTCTCTGAATTTACATCAACTACAAGCAACTTTGATAAGGCAAACAGCATTGTTACGAGTAAGGAGCAGAGTAGAGGCTTATGTCCCCTATGAAGACGACTCAGGGGTCATCATCACACGAAAGCACGCAATACGTGTCAGAGAGGTGCACTAGCAAGTCAAGACATGTGACTGGGTACTCGACTGCTCATCACATTGAACCAAGAGTTTCCCATCCCTAGAGGACAATGGTACTGCTCTTTCAACTCGATTCCTAGGCTACTTCCACGACTCCACGAGTCAGTGCTGCAGCCTCCAAACCCATTCCTAGGCTGCTGCCAGGAGTTCCGCGGGATTTGTGTCAGATTTGAATGAACTTGGAGATTCTGCGGGATGAGTGAGTATCTCCTGATGAGCTCTGACTCCTGGAAGCAACCTAGGAATCGGGTTCAAAGAGCTGCAGCGTTGTCATCTAGGGACTAGTAACTTTCGGCTCAACGTGCATGCGATATGAACCACAAGTAGGTCTGACATCCTGCACCCAACTTCGAGTCCCGCAGAACCTCGAATCTCATTGAAAACTGAAAAAATCGGCGTCTCGTCGGGCATCTTCCCCCTGAAAGCTTGGCACATGGACTTCCGCTTTGCTAGTGAGCAAATTTGCACCCGAGTCTATGCTACACCACATGCAGAAATTTACACGTCACTTGATACGTGCCCTTTGGGACCGTACTTGCTCGGGAGCACCATTGGCACTTAAAAGGGGGTGACCCGCCTGCTATGCTTCTTTGCAGGGAACCCTCGTCAGGGCACGCCAGACTTGGTGATCAAGAATCTTCAGTCGTCACACCTGCTTACTTGTCAACATTGACGATGTTTGCTGTTGTATCGCGCTTCATCAATCTGCAGATGATGCTCTTTCTCTTGCTTTCGCACCTCGTCGCACACGTTTTACCCGGCTGTTTCTCTTCCAAGTGCGAAGATCATGAGCGACCAAGCCATAAGTCATCAGACACAACATTCTCCTCTCGTCGCGTTGAGTTGATACTCTACAAAGCTGTGCCGGCTGGGGGTCAGGAAGTGTGCGAGCAAAAGTGCCGGGAGGAGTTCATGGATCGATACATGTTTGGCTTGGGTGTCGATGCAGAAATTGTGGCCACCCACTGCAACCTTGGTTGGGTATCTTTCTCTCTGCGAGAACCGGTGGCTGTCATGGATCTGAGATTTGATACAGACGCCTTCAACCAGCTTTGGCCCATGTTCAAGAAAGGAAAGATGCCAGCCGACAAATTCCAGGCTTCTAGCTCGACCGGGAACGAAGACGATTGTCCCGATTCGCTTTTGAATAGGGTCATGGAATCTGTATTGCCAATTGGTATGACAGCAGCAATGGCGTATGCTCGTCCTGGTCACTCCACTACTTCAACGGTGTCAATGAGCGTAGCGGGGATTACTGCGAGTGCAGCTGCGGATGCTTATAAAAAGAAGTGCGCTAAGAAGAAGAAACCCAAAACACAAAAAGTCTGCCTGTGTCATGTTGGCGCTGTTGTTGAGGAGTTACTCGTGCCAAGGCCCGGCTTTGAGGAAGACGACAATGAATGCGAGCCTGAAACTTTTGTCGATCGATTTACGCGTCAACAATGGACCATCCTCGAGAAGGACAATAGGAAAGCGTCTGCGGGAGCACCGGTCGTATACAATCAAAATCGACCACGTCCCACTTATGAACAATATGTGCGATCGCAGCCCGCTAGTATCGTTCGTGGGGAATATCGTTTTACTTTCTTGGCAGCCAAGTACTGGTCGTGGCGCACTCGTAGGCCTCTGCCAAACGCGATAACTGCCCAGACGATGCACACGATCGGCACTACATGCACGACAATCATAATGGATGCTCAAGGAATTGCGCAAGTGGAAGAGACGACGGTCGAAGTAGGCGACTGGCCGGTAGAGATTACCTGACGATTCGCAATCTCGTAGGTCTGCTCCCTAATTGGCGACGCTCGCTAATCCGGCATTGACTAGTCCTTCTATTCATAGCCTCGTAGGCTACATTTCAGACCTTTCTAAGCGCGGTCGCTATTGTCGCTCTGATTGCTGAGTGGGATGTCCTTAGCAAGCTGGTCAAAGAAAAGCGCAATCCAGAAGGTCAACAGACTGACGCTTGATGATGCCTGAAAAGTGTAGAGTAGAGCAGTAACAAACATTCAGATGTACAGTATGCTTGCAATTGGATGTCGCCACGCACGCCAGAACTTCGCAAGCCCAAGATTTCATGCAGTTTGAAGGCTCGCACAGGTGGAGTAAAGCAAATGAGGGTCTCTACAAAGCACCAAACTATAGAAAGAAGAAGAAACAGCAGGGTCAAAAGCCCCCTACTGCTTGTAAGTACCAATAATGCAGTGCGATGCGTGCTTCTCAAGGGTTCCCGGTGCATGCATCATCTCAAAGGCCTCGGTACACTCACGACCAGCTTGCAACATGAGTGACTGCACACCACCTGGGTGATCCTCCAAAAACTCCGTCACATCCAATACTTTACCACGCACAGCAAGCCACACGTCATCCTTCGACTTGTGCTTTGCCACTTCCTCAAGGGTATATTCCTTGTCTGTGGATTGCTTCTCAGCCTTCTCACTCACCGCTTCCGTCACGGCATCAGATTGGCCCTGTGGCTGCTGCTGAGCTTGAGCAACTGCAGCACCACCTTCAGCAAAGGAAATGTTGATGGATTTGGTGTTTGGGTCAATGGACAAGTTGATGTGGTTTGAGATTTGTCCCAATCGAGCAGCAGCACTCTGACCGGAAGAGAGTTTTTGCAACAAGGCAGACGAAGCAGACGCACCAGCCACACGACCAAACACCACACAACCGAGCAATGAAGAGCCACCGAGACGATTGGCACCGTGCACGCCACCAGCGAGTTCACCACAGGCAAAGAGACCATCGATAGGTTTACCATTCTCTGCAATGACTTCCGACTTGTCGTTGATTTCAACACCACCCATCGTGTAGTGCAACACAGGCTCCATGAGTGCCACGTGCCAAAGATCATCTTCCATGGTGTAGGGTGCATTGTGGAAGAATCGCTTGTTCCAAGGGTCCTTCTCCTTGCCTGCTGCAATATCAGTGTACTTTTTGAAGGTCTCTGCAAGGTGTTCTGGAGAGCAACCAATCTCCTTGGCAACATCAGCACCCGAGGTGAACTTCTTCATGAGACGACGCTCCGTGTAGTGCTTGCAGTGCCACTCAATAGCCTTGGTAGACTTGCCGTTGAGAATGAGACGAATGGGGAACTTGTTCTTGTTCATCATACCAGTAACATAGTCACGGTGACCCAACTCATCACAGAATCGGTCACCATTGGCATCCAGCAAGATACCACCTGAACCGCGCAGTGCCTCAGCAGCAAGGAACTTGACTTTAGCCTTGGGATCGGTTGGGTCAACGAGACCGGTTGGGTGGACTTGGACTTTTTCCATGTCAATGGCTTTACCACCAATCGACATGATCATCTTGTGACCATCACCGGTGCAGTGGTTGCCGTTGGTGGTTGACAGACCCATGAGTTCAGGTCGGTGCTTCTCCAACAAAGAGTTGCTGCCAAAGTCTGCAGCGTACCCGCCCGTTGCCAAGACAACAGGACCGAGATCCTTGTACTGCTTTCCCTTAAACTCATACTCCACACCGACGACCTTGTCACCTTCCTTGAGGAGCTGTGTGACACGTGCCTTTTTGATGATTTTGACGCGTTCTGGCATTTGCTCAGCGAGATCCTCCATCTTCTCCATGAGGGCATAGGTGATTTCCATACCGGGAAACATTTCGGTGTTGGAACGGTGGGTGCGGACTTCCGAGTGACCACCGAGACGCGCAACTTGGTCGAGACCCAAGCCGAATTTGTCCTGCAGCCATTCGACACCCGAGGCAGATTGGTAGGTCAGGACTTTAATGAGGTCAGGACGAGCGAGATCGCGTGCAGACTTGACGGTATCATTGAAGAAGAGTTCTGCTGAGTCTGGCACCTTGAGCTTTGCCTGTGTACGTGTGAGTGCACCGTTGATGCCAGAGGTGGCTTTTGTGGAGTTGCCACCGAAGAAACCATTCTTGTCAAGGACAAGGACACTGCCGCCCTGTTCGATGATTGTGTGTGCGGCGGAGAGACCTGCGAGTGCTCCGCCTACGACGATGACATGGTTAGGTGAGAGGGACATGTTGGTTGTGGTTTGGAATCTGGGAGAAGGATCCCGGGAGTTGAGGTGAGTCTGAGTCTGGGGAAGGGGAAGCGGGGAGGAAGCAGCAGCCAATGGGAACAGCGCCGAAGCACATGCAAAGGGCAGTCACAGATGAGTAATAGTGGCAGTAGCAGTGGTAGCAGTGGTAGCAGCACTGGAAGCAGTAGCAGGAGAGAGGCTGATGAGCTGCTGGGTAGATCTGCTTCTCTACTCGCGTATCTGCAAATGGAATACATAATAGATGCTGACATAATACGATCTCCGCCTGTGATCCGCAGCAGCAGTCACGTCTACACCCAGTCACCCATGTCCAAGCTCAACTTCACCTGCGATCTCTGCAGAAAAAGCTATGCACGCATCCATGACCTAGATGCCCACCTCAGCAGCTTCGACCACCTGCACAACGAACGCAGGAAGACACTCCGTCAGGTCCATTCACGCACAGCTCCATCCACAAGCAGCCAGGACGATGGCATGCTCAAAGTCCTCTCCGTGACACCTGCTCCTGCTGCTAAGAAGCATAAATCAGGTGGCTTCAAGAGTGCATTTGGCCTCACTTCAAGGCCACGCTCAACCACGCCTGAAACAACCGCTCAAGAAGACACATCAGGCTTATACGACCCACGATTCCCGACAATGGGCTGGGACTGAATGCTATGCTATGCTATGCTCTGCTCTACTTGAACAACACGGCATTATCCAGCTCTCCCTTCTCCCGCTGGCTCAACACCTTCTTCTGCTTCAAATCCTCCGTCTGTGCACGACGAGACTTGTACGCCTCTGCCTTTTCCTGTCGCTGCTCCCTCCGCACCACATTGGGAGAGACATATTCCTTATTCTCATAAATCAATGGACCACCGAAACTTCCCTCAAGCACACAAATCAGCGTCATGCAGAACCGTGGGCCAACCTCAATCAGCTCAATCTCCGTCTCACCCTTTGCAGCTTTCCGTTTTGTGCCATCTTCAAGCACGCCGTCTTTCGCTTGTGTCTCTGCAATTTGATAATTTCGAAACCAAATCTTATTGTCGGCAATCGTCAACGTCAAGATATGATCCACAAAAGGTTTGCTCCGCCGAGCACCCTTGGGCACACCGAATTGTTGCTGTAGCAATTCCTGCAGTACTCGAAAGTGTGGTTTCGTTTGAAACGTACTATCAAAACTCAAAATCGGTCGGGAGCCTTTCAGACAGTTGCCAGTGAGATTCAACTCATCCATGGTATGCAAATTCTGAATGTGCAGCTTGAATGAAGGTCCGTTGGGTGGTTTTGACAACCAAACGTATAGATCCTGGTGTTTCCTCGCTTCAAAAAACATGATATTGTTGCAATTATACAGCTCCGCCACTTCATTCAGCTGGAACAGCTTCTGCTTCGTATCGAGCTTTGTATCCTTCTTTGAGTGTGGAATCAAGGCCGTCAAGTCATTGATGAGGAATCGATGGCGCGCTGTGATCCCGCGTGATGAGAGAATCAGCACTTTTTGCTTCACCGGCTTGAAGCCACCTTCTTCCACTTCTTCTGCGGTGCGATTGGCGCCTTTCTTGGCTTGTAGCTTGTAGAGCGATGCCATGATATATGGATGTATGGCTGTCTCTGAATTGGTCGCGCAAAAAAGTAAAGTCGCATTCGGTCGCACGCAAGGAAGCAGACAGCTGCAACGACCAAGGACACGAGGTCTACAGCGACAACGGACATGTTCTCCCTGTTTAGACAGTTCGGTGCCTTGTCACTGCACAGAACACCTCTTGCACAACCATGCCAAGTACGGACAAAAGCGACCCTGAATCAAATCATGAAGGGCGCAAGACGGCATGAAGTCCTGATCAAACGGCCTTCTCCCAACCTCCTCAGCAATCCCTTTAAGAAGGGCGTTTGCAATAAAGTCTATACTGTATGTCTTATTGGATTGAAGTATATCGCTAATAGCAGACGAAACCCAAGAAACCCAATTCGGCGGTACGCAAAGTCGCGCGAGTGAAGCTATCCACCGGCAAGTTCGTCATTGCTTATATCCCCGGTGAAGGCCATAATTGCCAAGAACATTCGGTTGTGTTGGTGCGTGGTGGCAGAGTACAAGATTTACCAGGTGTGCGGTATCATATTGTACGAGGCTCCAATGACCTCGGCGGTGTTGCGAATCGAGTCAAGGCACGGAGTAAGTATGGCACGAAGAAGCCCAAGGTAGACAAATGAGTTTCACATAGGCCATCTTCATGTTCAACCTAGTGTGCAGAACCACGTCCACCAGCACTCGCAAACTTGCTCAACACAGGCTCAGGCACCACCAACGCCGGTAATGACTTGCGGCCCTCCACCGTTGGCGCATCCAAGAAACCAATCTGTACCAAAAAGGCCAACATGACACCCATCTCTGCTTCCTGCACACCCCGTCCAGCACTCACATCAACTCCTGTATACCGCTTATCCCTGACCAACGCCTCTCGTGCATGCCGATCATCCATCTCCGGTGCTTTCGTACTCGACGGTAAATCTTCAGTAACGAAATGCAAGAGTGGGTAAAGTGCATTCTCCTTGCTACCCTCCACATGCGTCTCCAAAGCAGATTTCCAGGGGATATAGTCTGATTGTGTCACTGCAAAGCCAAAGGTATCCAATAGCCCCAAGAAGTCTGCGAAGCGAGAGCGTGGATGACCCGTGACATGCGCAACAGTCAACGCATCCGTCGGCGGATTCAGCGCACAGGCAGCAACAACACGCGCAACGTGATCCACAGGGACCATATTGACAGGATTGTGGATATTCGGGAATGAACCCACCTGAATACATCCCTTGACCAAACGAATCAAGAAATCATCGGTATTCGTCACACCGGTATGTGTATCGCCAACAATGTAACCAGGTCGAACAACGCACCCTGAAAGACCACGACGGCCTGCTTCACGTGTGAGTGCTTCACCGACCCATTTGGATTGTCCATAGCCAGTGCCTAAGCCTGTAGCAGAGCCAGATAGGTCATCCGTCTCAAGGATACCATCTTCACCTTGTGCAACAAGACGATCCGATTCCCGAACAAAGTATTCTGTGTCCAGGACTGAGGTCGACGAAACAAATGTAAATGTCTTTGCTTTCCCTTCTGAACAAAGAGCAATGGCCGAGAGTGTGCCCATGACATTGGCGGCTCGCATTTGAGGATAGGGAAAGACCCAGTGTACAACAGCGCCATTGTGAATGACTGCATCGGCTTCTTCACAGACAGTAGTCCAAGCTGCATCAGAAAGACCAAGACGGTCTTGTGCGAGGTCACCAATAACAACCGACAAGCGAGACCGATCAGCCTCGTCGAAACAGCCATGACCTTGTAGATTCGCAACAAGACGCGCAAGACCAGATGCTTCATCCTTGGCTCTGACGTGCACAATCACCTGCTTCGTGTTGGATCGTTTCAGCAAGTCACGAATCAAGAACGCACCCAGGAAACCAGTACCTCCCGTGACAAACACGACCAGCTTTTCATCATCGCCGAATACTTCACGCTTGGTGTAGGAGGATGCGAGATGGCTCTGCATCAAAGACTTGGCATCTTCTGCATATGCTGGCTCAGACGCACTTGGCTCGCCATCCCTCGACATACTGGCATCACCAGCACGAAGCCGCTCAATCTCCTTGGCAAGACCACCGATAGTGGGCTCCTTAAAAATCAAACCCAGTGGCACATTATCCAGCACAAATTCTGGTCGCAATTTGAAGATGAGACGCGTCGCTAGAATCGAGTGGCCGCCGAGATCGAAGAAATTGTCATTCAGCGCAATATTGCCAGGCGCATGAGGAAGAATCTCTCGCCAGATATCATGCAGTGTCTGCTGCGTGGCATCCATTTCGCCGGTAGGCTTCTGCGAGACTGCTTGCTGTTGCGCCGTATCAGGATAGGGCAAGGCAGGCTTGTCCACTTTGCCGTTGGGGTTGAGTGGCATCTTCTCCATCGGCACATAGACTGTCGGCACGGCATAACTAGCCAACTTGCCCTTCAAGTACTCGCGGATATCCTTGACGAGCGGCTGGAATCGTTGCATGCGCTCAACTAGGCGATCAGCGGGCATGGCAGACAATACTTTTGCAGTCGCTTCAATAATAGCCTTGTGCTCTTCGGCGTGAATTCTCTCTTCCAAAGACTCAAGCGTTTCGTCCGGATTGAAGGCGATCTCCTTGACCAAGACTGGCTCGCCCATATCGACTTCTGCAATCACCTTGTGAATCATGATGCCCGTTTTGTCAATCTTGCCTTGCGTGTGAGCCTCAAATGCTCGCTCAATCGCATGTGCACCGTTGAATTGACCCGGCAGCGCAGGATGTAGATTAATGCACTCGACACGCTCAGCTGCCATTGGTGCAAGAAAGACTGGCGACAAAATGTGCATAAAGCCAGCACACACAACCAAATCAGGTCGACCATCTTCAAGGATGAGTCGAGCAAGTTCAGTATCGTACTTCTCACGAGACTCTCCATGCACTTTTCGAGAAGCGGCGAGCGACCAGACTTTTGTCTTGATCCCTGCCTTTTGAGCACGTTCGAGACCATAGGCATTCTTGCGATTGGAAATGACGCAAGTGATGACAGCTTTGCCTTGCAACTCGCCGCTGGTGGTAGCATCAATCAAAGCTTGTAAATTGCTACCACTGCCACTGATGAGGACAGTCAGCTTTCGCAAAGAAGAGTCGTTGATCTCGGAAATGAACTTTTGCAACTCAGGCTTCTGGTCTGGGACAAAGTAAGAAACAAGGGTGGGTTCTTCGTCCTTGTTGCGGCGCAATAGGGTGACATTTTCGCGAACAAGTGGATGCCTGGAAAGATGTGTATCAATCTCGCCAAGCTCAATACGGAAACCGCGAATCTTGACTTGATCATCGGCTCGGCCACTGCATTCAACATTGCCATCTGGCAAATAGCGACCCAAGTCACCACTGCGGTACAACCTGTCGCGTGCGCCTTTCCATTGTCCTGCACCCGTATATTGCAGACTAGACCAGGTGTCATCCTTGACGAACCAATTCGTCACAAATTTCGTACCGGTCAAATCATCCAAGCCAAGGTAGCCCTCAGCGAGCCCAGCTGCACGAACATAAATCTCGCCAACTTGACCAACACCACACAGTTGCCTGCTACCGTCTCTTGAGACGACAAGGAGCTGCACATCCTGCATGCCTTGACCAGCAGGCATAATATCCTTGCAGCTTGCTAGGAATCGTGGATCCTTGTCGAAGCTTGGAATGCGGTAAAATGAAACAGCGCGTTGTGTTTCGGTGGTGCCATACATATTGATGATGTCGACTGATCTAGCGAGTCCTTGAAGTCTCTTGACATCACGCTTTGTGAGCACATCGCCAACGAAAAAGGCATTGCGCAATGTAGGGATTTGCACACCAGCAGCGACCTGTGAAGACAGCAATTGACCCATTGCTGGTGTCAAATGTGTTACAGTCACCTCTTTCAATGCACACCACTCAGCAAGACGTCCTGGCGTGCCAATATCATCGCCAGTCGGCACAATCAAGCTAGCGCCCAGGAACAGTGGTGCAAAGATGTCTCGCTGGATAGGATCATGTGCGATACCAGATAGCATAGTGAAGCGATCCGACTCTGATAAGCCGAAATGTTGTGCCATCCAGGGAAAATAGTAAGTGAGCGAAAAGTGTCTGCCACGGACGCCCTTAGGCACGCCTTCAGATCCAGAAGTGAAGGAAAGTGTCGGAATATCATCCGGTCCAATCTCGACGTTCGTGTTGTCTGTCGAAACATCTGAAGGAATGCCACGCAGGGTGTTGCCATCGTCGCTGATGGCAAAGTCAGAGACATCTACCTTGAGCTGGAGGTTGTCGTTGGCCCAATTTCTGACATGGTCGCTCAGAGTTCCAGCTTTTTCCAGTACGACCAAACCCACAGGACGTGCAACAGACAGATAGATGCATTGTCGCTCAACAGGATACGCAGGATCAATAACAGAAAACGTAGCACCGGCCTTTAGAATACCCATGACGCCCACCACAAGATCAACGCCACGATAGGCGTACAAGACAACAATGTCACCCTTTTTGATACCACAAGCAATAAAATGTTGTGCAAGCGCATTGGAACGCTTGTGAATCTGATCATATGTGTAGACGAGATCAGCGCCCTGAGACTGAGACACAACGACACAAGGACGCTCTGGGTGCTTTGCTGCATTCTCACTGAAGATGCTCGAAATTGGACCGCGGAACTGGTTCCAGTGCAGGTCTTTAGATGGGTACGGCAAAATAGCCGCTTGATCTTGATCTATAATGCCGAGCTGACCTACCGGATCTTGGCTCGTTGTAGATGCAAGCAGCTTGATTTGGGCGAGCAAAATATTGATGCGATGTGACGAAAAGAGCAGCGAATTGTAGGAAGCCTTGAGTTGCGTGTGCGTGCAAAAGAGTGTCATATCAATATCGAGGTCCGAAGAGCCTTGCAATGCAGCTGCCTGATCCGTCATGAAACGAACATGGCAGGCAGGGCCCTGTGCCTTGAATGTAGCAGCAAGTGGCTCAACGTCTTTGCGAATAGTCCGCATCTGCTCAACGAGCTCATCAAAGCTGGTCTCTTGCTTGATGGGCACCCGCAAGACATAGTAACGTCCTTCACTATCGTTTGTTCCGACAGAAATGTCAACATCGCCGGTCAGCTTGGAGACGAGCAGATAAAAGGCGGCAAGCAGTCGGTCTGGCTGCAATGCATGCTCCGTCGTTACAACGGACTCGACATTCTTGGGCGGCGAAGGGGCGACAAAGTCAGCCGGCAGATGCGACAGGGACTGGCCCGCCAGTAGTTCAGGCCACGACGGCATCTCTAGAAGCAGGTCTAGCAGTTGTTGTATCTAATGTCTGTGCTTGTCGAAATTGTCGAATCGCGCTGTGCACAAGATCTAATCAGCCGACGCGACGTCAACGACCAAGTACAGTCGAAGTACTAGTCTTGCAGTATGGAAGGCATGATGGGAATGCCATCAGGGGGCATGCAAGTCGAAGTGGACGAGACGGAGGATACAGAGTGGAATGATATCCTACGGCAACACAAAATCATCCCAGAAAAGCCAAAAGACCCAGATGAAGGCCGTGATGAGATTCTTGCCGAGGCGCGGCAGCTGCAACATGATTCTCGCCTGGATGACCTGGAACTGGATGAGCTGGATGAGCTCGAGGATGACGAGGACGATGCCATCATCATGGAATACAAGGCACGGAGGATGAAGGAGATGCAAGAAACAGCCTCCCGCAAGGTCTTTGGCAGCCTCATTCCTATCACGAAAGGTGAGTACACGCGCGAAGTGACTGAAGCATCCCAGAAGCACTGGGTATTTGTCTTTCTGTACAAAGACTATCTGACGGCGTCCAAGAAGCTGCGGCCGGTGTTGGAGGAGTTTAGTGCGCGGCATGCCTCCATCAAGGTGTGTGCTATCGTCTCAGACCAAGCGATGGAGAACTATCCAGACCAAGCAGTTCCTACCATCTTGGTCTACCACGACGGAGATATGAAGGAGCAGTTTGTAGGCCTTAAACCGACAACGACGCTTGCGGATCTCGAGCGCCTTACAATGGGCCTTGGCGCTCTGACAGACGACGACGTGCGCCGAGCACGCAAGCGAGCGGGACAGCTGACCACTGAGCGCGCAAGAGAGGAGGAAGTGGATGATTGGAGCGACTGATGAACATTACGACGGCATGTCCATATAATTAGCTTTGACTCAAGATGTTTACGGTGTTGTGCTTGCTCTACTCTTGCATTGAGCATCTGTCAAGACTGCCCTTGTCCAGACATGATCGGTCTACGGATGTCATGAGCGGCTTCCCATCTCGTGAAATGGCTGCATCTCGACGCCGACTGCAGATGCTGGCAGTGGAAGACCTTGTACAAGTACCAAGCAGTGATGCTAGCGGTCAAGCATGGCTTGAATATCGATACTATATGGAGCATACTCAATGTTAGTATCTTTTCTCCGATTTGGAGTACCCTGCTGCATGTATCCTGCTATTTCGTCAAAGTCACCTCTTCGCTATATATTGTCGTTGCCTTGGTCAACGGATTAGTGCTTGTTCTCTGCTGGTAAGAACTCTCGATGTTCCTCGCTTACTGATACAAGCTTCTTCAAAATAGACGCTCGACTTCGGCAACCTGTTCATCCTCGCAAAAGGGGGAATCTTCAAGGTGAAGTTGTTCTCGTGACTGGTGCAGCAGCTGGCTTGGGTTTCTGTGTAAAACAAAAGCTTCGCCAGAAAGGTGCTCGAGTTGTTGCACTTGATGTGGTAGACTGTACCTTGTCAGATTACTACAAGTGCGACGTGAGCGACGCAGACGCTGTCGCCAAAACTGCCGAGGCTATCAAGGCATCCATTGGTGTCCCAACAGTGGTAGTGAGTAATGCAGGGATCGTCAGACCAGGCACTGTCCTGGCAAGCTCTCTAGATGATATCAAGCGGACTCTCGACATCAACCTCTTGGGACAGTTCATCCTTGCCAAAGCCTTCCTACCAGATATGCTTGATCACGAGGGACAATGGGTTACAGTCGGCTCAACCCTCGGTTACGTGGGTTGTCACTCATTAGCTTCCTATACGGCAAGTAAAGCTGCTGTTCTCTCTTTTCACGAATCACTTACAGCTGAGCTTGCTGAGTCGCATCCTCGCATCGCCACAACACTTGTCCTGCCAGGCCAAATGTCAGAATCGATGTTTGCAAAGCTCAGCACGCCAAATAGCTTTCTAGCACCTGTTGCTGAGCTTGAGAAGGTAGCAGACTGTATCGTTGAGCTCATTGAAAGACGCCAGCCCGGGGAGTTTGCCATGCCCCTGTATGGCCGATTCCTGGGAATCTTGCGTGTCTTGCCCAGTGGTTTACAGCAGCTTGCAAGACGCTTCTCCGGTATGGATGGAGCAGCTCAATCTTTCAGCTCTTTAGCCGCAGCTGAGACCAAGCGCAAAGCATGACTGTGACTGCTGATACTTTGACAGCGGCTCCGCAATTTTACGCTTGCAAACTACGTTCAGTGCATTCATCTTCTACTATTCCATTTACCTAGGGAAGCTTGGATCTATACTAGCAGCCTTCAGGCCTCAAAACTTAGAGCTCCAAATTCATCTTTTCAGGCTCACAGTCTTCCGCACAAGCGATGATACGCAGAACACAGCCAGCTACTAGTCCTAGTACTCGTGCGTCTTCACGAGCGCGCCGACAAGGCCTCAGAGGTCGAGAGAGTCCCGCTAATGGCATACTGACAGAAAGGATGCAAGCTAGACGTGCAGAAGTACGATCGTTACAGCGGCAAGAAGAGCAAGCGCACGAAGAAAGCATGAGTGCGTCTACATCTGTCGAACCCGAGTCGCGGGCTGCGCCTATCACACAGGAGGCAGATATTGGGGCTTCAGAAGCACTGACACAGCATGCGCTTACTTTATTGGATGCGCTTGGAGAACACGCGCAGGCTCAGCAGCGAGCGATTTCTTCGGAGCTCTCCGACTTGTCTTCAGCATCAGACCAGCTCGCAGCGTCTAGTCAAGCACCAGGCGACGATAGTCAGGCGGCTCAGGAGGATACAGTGGTAGAAAACGCAAGCGTAATCAGTGAAGCAAGCAGTACTGGGTCAAATACCCTCCGTGCGCTAGCTGAATGCAACCACACACAAGATTCAGCGGAGCGTCAAGTGTTGATGGAGAAGTCCTTGCGTCTACTGCAACGCTGGAAGACGGAGTGGCATGCACTGGAGAAGAAAGTCCAGCGCGGCCAAGCGAAGCGCGAAGGAGATATCAGAGCGCAGCAAAGACAAGCCGTGCAAAGGCAGCGTGTTTTGGAGCATCAGGCTAATGAGAGGACCATGACTACACGGCAAGCAAAGGACTCATAGAGCAAGTGTCATCTATTCTAGCATTTTCAAGATTCATGTAGAGTGCTTGCTTGATATTTAGGTGAGTCGCAAGTTGAGACTTGAACTGACAGCAGCACCATAAAAAGACAAAACACACCCGAGCTTGCTGCTCTAGTCGCTGTAGGATGTCTGTCATGCGCATGAAGCGCCTGCAAAAGGAGCTCAAAGGGCTGCAAAAGCAAAGCTCACAACATTCATTCCACCTGCTACCGCTTAGCTCAGATAATGCTTTTGATGTGTGGCATATGGAGATGCAGGTGCTCAACCATCCGCTATATGCAGGTCAAATCTTTCTACTTCGCTTCAAATTTCCGCTCAGCTACCCGATCGACTCGCCAGAGGTCGTCTTCCTTCCTGGTCCTCGCCAGAGTAATGCGTCTGTGCCGTCTACCGCGCCCACAGGCTCACAAGAGCGGCCAATTGATCTAGATGCGGATGATAAACCTACAGCGCCCGAGCCCACAACCTATAGTATCCCGCTTCATCCTCACATCTACACAAATGGACACATTTGTCTCGATTTGCTCTATGCTCCAGCTTGGTCTCCCGTACAAAACGTCGAGTCTGTGGCGTTATCCATCCTCAGTATGCTGGCTGGCAATTCTATTGCTGAGCGGCCTGTAGATGATGCGAGTTACTCTGGCAGGACGCCTGTGGGTGCGAATCCAAAACGAACCAATTGGGTTTTCGTATGCTCACCGCGGATTGTCTATTGGCTAACTTGCAGCACGACGATACGGTGTAAGGAACATTTCGAGCACGACAAAATCAGCGTATAATATCACAGTCAAGCGCATGCATAAGACAACGTTTGCATAGATTACAAAAACCAAAAATGAAGAAGGCTTGCACGCTCAATCGTCATCAAACAAGGCTGCATAGACACGCCTCATGTCAAGCATCAACACGAGTGCTCCAGCGCCCACAGTCGAGCAGCCGATGGAGTGTCGCTCGCCATTCACTCTGAAGAAGCACGTCACTTCTCGTCTTTGCATGTGGTGCAGTCGTCGCATTGTCAAACGAACTTGTTGTCGCTTGTAAGATGGCTGCAGTACTAAACGGACCATTGCTTGGTCTGCGTCTGGCTGTACTGAAGACACCGTGCAAAAGATGTCGCGGTAGAGAGGGTCAAATGAACGATGCTTTCTGGTATGATCCCAATGATGTTGAAACGGCAGTCGGACCTCGCTCAGATGGCGCTGGATGATATTGGACACTCGACGGTGCTGAAACAGTACATGCTCTGCCATCTCCTTGCATGATCTGCTTACAAGTCGCACAGACTTCCACAAGGTTGCCTCATCTATTCGGCCAATAATGCTTGCGAGCAGTGCATCTGGCAATTGCTTCTGCTTCTGACAACTCGCCTCAAAGGCTGCAAAGTCGAAAGACGAGGCAATGGAGTAACAGCTGGGCGGTGAAGCGTGGCAATGGAATAGTCTGTCAATCTGCGCTGCTGATGACTGCACATCATCGAGCTCTGCTGTTTCCAGTATGCGCCTTGGTGATTGCTCTACCCGTGTACTCGATGCATCCATGTATGCTCCGTTTAGCACATACCGAGGCGCCCCTGAAGTCATTTCTGAGATTCCTAAGGCTGGTGCAATTGCGACACCTCGCGTCTGGCTTGGTGTCATGTGTGGACAACGTCGGATTGTCGCCATTGGATCGACATGCAACAGAGTGGAGCGCAAACAGCTTGTCGCCATACAGCGTGGTTGGTAGGAAGACAAGCTTTGGCTTGGTGAGAGTGCGCGTTCTCGACGTAGCGCTGCGTACTTGGACCTTGCGCTGCTCGCAGTGATGGGGAATGTCTTTGAGGGTGATGGCTATGGTCAGGACATGGTCAAGTGGCGTAGATGGAGAGCGCACGAGGTAGATGGGCAGATCGCGTCTGCGCGATGAACCGCTGGGCGTATAGAGGTGCCGAGCCTTGCTGAGGGAGATGGGTGTGACGGGTTGTATATCCAAGAGAGACGCCATGAGAGAGTGCTCAGGACTATCCAAGAAAGAGAAGAGAATCGTGTGGTGTAGGCAGATGAGCTCAAGTAGCAGTGTCCTACAGATCTTCCTACGCACAACTCAAATTACCAGAGCTCTACAAGTACTTCCCTCGAGTTCAGCTATCAGCCATGGTCCTCTCACCTTTGTCTGGCAACGAACGCAGACCAAGATCCGCTGATGCCAGCTAGCAGGCACCACTTGCTCGTGCGTACGATTCTTGCTAGCTTCCTACGGCGCGCTCGGCACAGAACGACCAGGCGTTTGTGGTCATTGAGCGTATCTCAGTGCCTCATCTTCAGACTGCCTCTGTACACTTCTCTTTTGGCAGCCTGCGGACAATAGAATCAGACCCTGCTGTTCTCATCTTCGTTGCGACTCGGGACGATCAAGATACAGCAGAACGGGTCCTGCCTTCAAGTGTGCACGGCGTGCCAGTCCAAGTGGAAATGGGAAGACTCAGATTGCGCACTGGAGGTACGGTCGATGCGCTGCCAAGCATCATAGAGCCATCAATCATGCCTGGCAGCCCCATGACATGCGAGCTCAGCATGACAACTTATATCTTCAATGGCTTTCTAGCCCGCGATAATCTAGAAGGTTGTACATCGCAACCAACGCGCATCTTCTGCTGGGCCTTACGGTTAGAGTGACTTAAGAGCTGCGACTTGTGCGGAGCATGAACAGACAGAAGGTCAGCAGAGCAGCTTCAACTGCGCTTGCGCAATCGCGTCACAAGCAGCTTCTGGGTATCATGAGTACTTTGAGCTTGGGTGGTGGTGGAAGAAGTAGCTCTGCCTTTTGTGGTTGTCGCCTCCGCACCGGCAAGAAGACACAAGCAGAGAGAAGCAAGCAGCTCAAGGACTTGCGACACAGAGTCAATGTTGGTCTGAGCAGGACGCGCCCAATGATGGAGCTTCAAGGCGCACCTCCAAGCTACGTCCGCGAGACACAAAACCTCCACCTCGTCGAATCCTTCACAGGCCTGCATGTCCAACCAGCGCCCCAGTACGAACCGCCACCCATCCCCATCACCCTTGCTCCGACCCCTCCGCGCCCGCCTCGCATCATTCAACAAGCTTACAAGTTCCGTGGTACACTTGCAGAGCGCTGTGCTGCCTGTTACTTCAGATACACACTTAGAAGACATCATGCGCCGTCATTGCAGCAGGTGATTGCAGGATACCATGCAGATTTATCGTCTTCTCGAGTACGACGCGCGTTGACATCGACGAATCCAGACTGGCGAGGTTTACAATTGAGGCGCTTGGTGAATGCCACAATTGATGCAGTCGTGGTACCTGAACTCGCTCGGCGTGCTGAAGAAACTGCACGTATCCAACAGGCATTGTCGCAGAACAGCACCGAAGCGATTGCTCAACAGCGGAAAGAGGCTCTGCGTGCGCAAGAACTAGAAGAATATAATCGAATTGCTCTCTTTGGCGATCTATGGACAGGCACGCGCGAACAAGCGATTGACGTGGGTACGATGCATGAAGACTTGTACACGCGCATGCATCTTGAATCGTATGCCATTGCAGGCAAGATGCAAACCACCCAGCATGATCGAGACTTTGCACTGCTGCAAACACGGTGCTTGACGCGAATGCAAGACAGCTGGCGAAACCTGCTACGGCATTGTGATATTCAGCTGGAATTGGTACGTCTACGAGGTCAGACAGGTGGTCCTATTCTCGCTGCGCTCATGTCCTTCGAGGAGCACAAAATGGAACGTGCACTGGCTGCATTGAAGGAGGAATTCACCCAATGCGTCATGCAAAAGACGCAGCTATTCCCACCACTCAGATCATTTCATGATACCTTTGCACCCATGTGCGGTAGTGCTTTACGTGCTGCGCGCCAAGTGATGGATGAAGATGCGCGTGGGTTTGTGTATGATGCCGACTTCCTCAACCAGAATCGCTTGTTTGAGCATGGCTCTAATTTCTTTAGCCGCATGAAGGATCACCTGCATTGTTTGATGATTCGAGAAGGTCTCAAGCGCAAGGCCTACTTGGCACAACGTGAAGCTGAGATTGAACAACATCGTGAAGCGCGGCGCTTGCAAAAGGAAATTGAGAAGGACACAGGCCGAGCACCACTAGGCAAAGAACGTGGCGGGTCGTCTTCAAAATCTTGAGGCGTACAAGCCTAGTTGAACTTGATCTTAAGCTTCAAGCTAAAGGGCAATGATGCGCTTGTAACGCTCACTTCATCATTCTCCTCGACCAGCTCACTCATCTTCTTGAGCAAATTTGGACGTGTCGCTTCTTCGAGCTGCGGTGGTGCTTGCAAGTACAGCGACTTGGCAGCACTTCGAATACTCGGCGCCTTCAATTGCGTTTCTGGTCGTTCCATCAACACATCCAAGAAAGCCTGTAGCGTCCAGTCAGGATTGCAAGCATAGTCGCTTGCCAGGTTGCCGCATACTGGACAATCCTCTTTGCGCTCATGCTCAAAGGTATAGGTGTAGATGCTATCCGACCCCGTATACATCATATAATTCTTCAAGAACGGATTACACGACGTTGCAATCTTGAAGACTTCATTACAGCATGACGCAGCAATCGCAGCATTCGTTGACGCAATCGCTGGAATGATGTTTTTCACGACACCTTGCGTCAAGCTGCGTGTGATGCCGCTAATGTTGAATTCGGCAGCGCGTTTTGAGGCAACGTCGAAGAGCCAGGTGATGTGCTCTGGATTGTCTGCATCAAGCTTGTCTTCTCCACCACGAATACGAGGCCATTCAAGGACCGATGCCCATTCAATGCAGTGTTCAGGGAGTCGAGGGGTATTGGCAATTGTGCAGATTGGATATGTTGTGGCCTTGCCGAGCATGTCGAGAGAGCACTCATAGCAGCTTGATATACTAGGCAGGATGACGCGTGATTGTCCCTTGAAGCCCTCTGTACCGCCATCCACCAAGGGTTTGAGCGATTGTGGATCACTGTCCTCAACAAGATTAACAAGCGTCGCATTCATCCAACGACGTGCTTCGATATTGTCTAGACCACAAACGACAATGTTGAATTGCATATAGTAGTCGTCATCTTTATCCTGAACCTTGCCAAAGTACGGCACAACCGTCACACCCTGTACGCGACGCATAATGAAACGCGCTGCCGTCTCCGCTTTAGAAGCACCGATATCCTCTGGTCGGAACAAAAACTGCCTATTGAGATTCGAGACATCGATGGTGTCCATGTCAATCACATGAAGTTCTTTGAAGCCAGAGAGTGCGAGATTCTTGAGAATCTCACATCCAAGTCCACCAGCGCCGATGACTAGGATTTTCGCGGATTGAAGAAACTCAAAGGACTCTGAGCCGCCTGGGTAGTCATCGACAAAGGGTCCACTACGAGCAAGGAGGCGCTCGAGGTCTGACCAGCGGCTTGCGACGGCTGCCATGCCTTGTGTCTGGTCTAAGTGTCGCGGTTGTCTGGGAGTTGCGACGAGCGCGTCATGAATTTGTAGTTCTAGCTGCACCATCATCTACGACAGAAGTCAAAGGACAGACTATTGGCTTGTGAGCAGCTTAGAAGAAGCATTACAAGGACTAGGGAGATGAGAATAAGGCTACATCGCTTTGCTCGGAAGGAGAAAGTAGCTCGAAAACATCCTGGCGTGTTCAACAGGACGTATAATCATGACAAGGCGTGCATTGAGCGCCTAGAGGATCATGGCAGCGAGGCCAAGCGATCCTGCGAGCAAGGCAATTCCATAAGGAACTGCATTGGTTGTAGCGGACGAGGAGCCAGGCTTAGATGTGGGCTTGGGAGCACTGCCCGAAGCACTCGAAGAGAGGCCCGTTGCGGTGGACGAAGGAGTACCGGAAGCACTGGAGGAGGAGGTCGAGTCACCTTCAACAATAGCTTGCACATCCTTAGGAACGGTGATTTTGACGCCAGCACTGAGGCAGAAGGTGGTGGCAAATTGGACGGTGGTCCTAAGGTCATCGGGCTTGCATCCGTTGTTTACTTGAACACACGAGGTGAAGTTGCTGATGAGAGCAGAGTTTTGGCAGAAGCAGGGTGCGTCTGTCATTGCACAATGGCTAGTAGACAGTGCGCCATTGAGACAGCTAAAAGCAGAGTCAGTTTTTAGGGTCAGGGTTAAGTCGATGTTCTTACTTCTTGGCACAAGCCGGCAGGCTGTCGAGCTGGGCAGAGACAACAGCGACGACGAAAGTGATGAGCACGACCATGGCTTGCATTTTGCTGGCTGTGTGTTTGAGGTAAGAGGGATGAGCAGGTGGGTGGGCCTTCCTGCCTCTTAAGTTGTTGCAAGACTCTTTTTCAGGGGTTCTGATCGCGCGGTAAATAGAATTGGTGATTGGGGTGCGTGTTCGCGACAAACAGCTGATCGGAGACCCTTTTTGATGCTCCGTCTCCTTCTTTCACAGCTACCTCAACGTGCTTGCCGACAAAGCTTTGGTTCTGTTCTGCTAAGCATCTGCCAGAGGTACGTTCCGTGATGCTGTTGTCATCCAATGCCCAATTTTGATTCACCTGATCTCTTGCTCAATACACGGAAGTTTGCTTCCAACATCTGGATCAACCTCTTGTGCTTGACACCAATAGCTGCACATGCGAGACCCCTGAAGGAGGCTGTGCTCCAAACCTCGTGGCATACAGCCATCACTGGCCCATCAGCAGTGACTGAGTATCGGATGATTGACAATTCTGCAAGAATTACTTGCTACAGTGTTCCGACTTCAATCTCATCTCCGGCTGCCAAGATTGTCATGCACGCCTCGTTGAGTCAGCACGGGTATGAGCTTTGCTCTCGAGCAAGTGCAGTCTCCTGACATTGGGAGCAACGCAAGGCCTGAAGGGCTTGACTTTACTTGGCGGAACCAGGCTTTGCAAAACAACCTGACCTTTGCATACAATCAAAGCAACTTGCAAGACTTCAGATTCGGTGTAGAAGCATATTATACAGTCTTGTAAGATGCAAGTCCCGGGCCTTGACAAAGTGATAACCGGCGGCGGACAAGTAGCGTAGGTATCTCAACTCTCAGCGCAGATAAGCAAATGGCTCAACTGCACTTGAGCTGGGCAAGTGGCGGGGCGCCAGCTGTAGCTTGGATGCATTGCCAATTTATATGAGCATGTAGCCTCTCAAGCGCCTAGGGTTTTGAAGGGCTTCTTGCCGTTTTCTTAAGCTCTTGAATCTAGCATGCGAAGCGACACCTTACTCCCTTCATTGAGTTTAAAGGTGGCCATATGACCCTCAAGGTGTACATGTAGATGTAGAGTTGCGTTTGGCTCGAGTTTTCCGAGATTGCCCGGACCGACAACTTGACAAGACAGACTTCCACAAAGCAACCATCTCGGCTTCGAAGCAAGTGACAAGGCCCTTGCATCAGGCCTCACGTCAATAGGCGCTTGACTGTCTCAAGCAGCATCTCCTCGAAAACGGCGACTCACATCTCAGACCGCTCGCGTTTGACGCACCTGCGACCATGAACTATTGCTCACCAGATTCTGCCCGCTCGCAGCGGCCTTCAGCGGCCATTGAACAAATAGAGCTTGACTTGCAACGGCAGAGTACAATTCACATTCAACCCAAAGAGAAGAGCCCGGCGCAAAACCTGCAACGGCTGCCATCACCAGATATGACCCACAGCGCGCGGCGGAGAACATCGACGGAACAGACATCTTCTACGCGGCGCGCACACAGTATGGACGAGACAGCAGCAACAGGTTTATGGCGGAATAAGCTCATGAGCTGGTCAACGAGTGGCGTGCGCATCCTTCGCAAGTATGTGACCTTTATTGGCCCTGGTTTCATCATTGCAGTCTCCTACATTGACCCAGGAAACTACAGCACAGATGTCGCTGCGGGTGCGCTTTTCGAGTACAAAATGCTGTTTGTCCTCTTTCTGACAAATCTGTTTGCCATTTTTCTCCAATCGCTGTCATGCAAGCTTGGCTGCGTCACTGGTCTCAACTTGCCTGAACTCTGCCGGCAACAATTTCCGCTATGGGCCAACATTATCCTCTATGTGATCTTCGAGGCTGCTATCCTCGCGACAGACCTTGCAGAAGTTATTGGTACCGCCATTGCCCTCAATATTCTCTTCAAAATACCACTCGTGGCCGGTGTCGCGATCACGATGATTGACGTCTTGATTGTCCTCTTTGCATGGCGGCCAGATGGTTCAATGCGAGCAACACGATACTTTGAGCTTGGTGTTGCCATCTTGGTGGTTATGGTCATTGCATGCTTTATTGCGCTGCTCATCCGAATCGACACCATTGTCGCCACAGACGTGCTTAAGGGCTATCTGCCAAATAGCACAGCCTTCAGCAAAAGCGGTATTTACACGAGCTTGTCCATCATGGGCGCTGTTGTCATGCCACACTCTCTTATTCTGGGTACTGGTCTCGCGCAGCCACGCATGCGCGCGTACGACATTCGACATGGTTACATCAGCAAAGAAGTGCGCATCTCCGATATGCCAGATTCGGAGAAATACAAACCCACACTGGCTGCTGTGCGCTCTGTCTTACCCTACAGCATTGTTGAGCTCAGTCTGTCACTCATTACATTTGCATTATTCGTTAATTCTGCCATTTTGATTGTGGCGGGGTCGACGCTGTTTAATGTGGATGGTGCAGCGGATGCGGATCTCTTTGGGATTCATGATTTGTTGAGTTCCAAGTTGTCGCCTGTGGCAGGTACACTCTTTGCCATTGCATTGCTGGCCAGTGGACAGTCTGCCGGTGTGGTCACAACCATGGCTGGTCAGCTTGTTTCAGAAGGTTTCTTCAATTGGACCATGCGGCCCTGGCTGCGACGACTCATCACAAGGAGTATTGCCATTTTGCCATGTATCCTCGTTGCTGGCCTCGTTGGACGTTCTGGTCTTGCTATTGTATTGAATGCCAGTCAAGTGGTGCTGTCCATTCTCTTGCCATTCATTACATTCCCAATCATTTGGTTTACAGGCAAGTCTGCCATCATGAGGGTCAATGTGGTATCACTCCCACGGCGGTCTGAGGAAGTCCGTCTTACGAGTGAGTTGGATGAGCACGATGAATTGCCTGATGAAGAACACGAAGAAGCTGATGTCGAACGCAAAGACATGAGTAACAGCAAGCTGACGCAGTTGCTAGGGTGGGGCATATGGCTGACCATTACGGGGCTCAATTGCTATCTCATCATCCTTTTAGCTCGTGGACAAGCCAAAGTTTGAGGCCAAGAGTCAAGAGAGATGTCGAATGCTTGCAGAAGACTCGCATCGAGGTCGATACCCTTCCAAGGTTGACAGTCTTCAGACCCGCATGCGCTCTTGGTTTGCTTCAGATGGGCTACAGTCGATGTTGTCGACCTGAAGCGCCATGGCGTGGTTACCGTCCCAGACTGAGCACTGAGCACTGAGCCTTTAAAGACTGGACGACTGAGTAGATAGAAACGAGCCGTGCATTTAGCGATGGTAGTAGCAACTGTAGCATGTTCTCTTTCTCCCCCTGATGGCAAGTGCCGCGGCGTGTTCCGGGTCACACGGCTCCACCTCCGCAAAGGACTTCACCATCTACATCGACTCCCTCAACTTCCAACAGCCCCAGGCCATGAACAGAGCACGCCTTGCCTCGAGAAGCATCATGTCCATGAAGGCCTATCAACCTCTCAAGCGATCCCTCGCAACACAATCCTTCATCACATCGCATTTCGACAACCCAGCACCCAAGGACACCCAAAACTTCCTCAACAACAAGTTTGTGGACAGCAAGGCGAGCAAGTTCATCGATGTGCATGATCCAGCTACCAATATTGTCGTGACGCGAGTGCCGGAGAGTACAAAGGAGGAGATGGAAGCAGCTGTTGAGGCAGCCAAGGCAGCATTCCCCGCTTGGCGCAAAACCACCATCCTTGCTCGTCAGCAAATTATGTTCAAGCTGGTTGGATTGATTCGTGAGAACTGGGACAGGCTTGCCGCTAGCATCACATTGGAGCAAGGAAAGACCATGGCCGATGCGAGGGGTGATGTCCTGCGTGGTTTGCAGGTCTGTGAATCTGCATGTGGTATTTCCTCAATGCAACTCGGCGAGCACCTCGAAGTCTCAACAGATATGGACACCTACACCATTCGCGAGCCTCTTGGTATCGTGGCTGCTATTTGCCCATTCAACTTCCCCGCCATGATTCCACTTTGGTGTCTACCAATGGCCATCATCACAGGCAATTGTCTGATTATGAAGCCAAGTGAGCGAGACCCAGGAGCTGCCATGATTCTTGCTGAGCTTGCAAAAGAAGCTGGCTTGCCTGACGGTGTGCTCAATATGATTCACGGCACAGCACCGGCAGTCGACTTTATCCTCGATGCGCCTGCCATCAAGGCAATTTCATTTGTTGGTAGTGACAAGGCTGGTACGTACATCTATCAACGCGGTACAGCCAATGGTAAGCGCGTGCAAGCCAACTTGGGTGCCAAGAATCACGGTATTTTGATGCCTGATGCCAACAAGAACCACGCCCTCAATGCACTCTCTGGCGCTGCATTCGGTGCTGCTGGTCAACGCTGCATGGCACTTTCTACACTTGTTTGTGTGGGTGAGACCAAGGACTGGATGCATGACTTGACTGAACGTGCCAAGGCTCTTAAATGCTCTGGCGGTTTCGTCGAGGGCACCGATCTCGGTCCGGTTATCTCGAAGCACTCCAAGCAGCGAATTGAAGGCTTGATTGAGTCTGCTGAAAAGGAAGGTGCAACTATCTTGCTTGATGGCCGAAACTTCAAGGTCGATGGCTTCCCAGATGGTAATTGGGTGGGTCCAACCATCATCACCAATGTGACCACCGACATGAAGTGCTACCAAGAAGAAATCTTCGGTCCTGTGCTTGTTTGCTTGAATGTTCAGACTTTGGATGAGGCTATTGACCTTGTCAATGCCAACAGGTACGGTAATGGTGCTGCCGTCTTTACAAACTCGGGCGCCGTGGCACGTCGTTGTCAGAAGGATCTCGAAGCCGGTCAACTCGGTATCAACGTCCCTATCCCTGTTCCTATCCCTCCATTCTCGTTCACTGGTAACAAGGGCTCTATTCTGGGAGACCTGAACTTTTACGGCAAAGGTGGGTTGCAATTCTACACGCAGCTCAAGACTGTTACGTCGCTTTGGCGTCATGAAGATGCCGTGTCTACGAAATCCGATGTGGCTATGCCTACCAACTCATAGGTTCTGCTCATATTGGTCCTGTATGCACTCTTTACCTGTTGCTCAATGCTAGCGTGAGTCGTGAGTTGTCTGCGGCAAATTCCACCCGTGAGAGCCGGGACACGTGCATGGATCTACCCCACGGCATCTTCTTCTCCTTTATTACGTACAATTTATTTCCCCTCAACTTCCTTCCACAAACCATACAGGACCCTTGTTCACCCGTAGCACAGGGAACACATTGGCCGTCAATTCCAACATTGACCATCTTCCAGACACAATTGTATCAAGCTCGACAAGATCGAAGCACTGAACATGTCACAAAGCAAGTGCCCAATTAAGAATGCCAACATCGGTGGCGGCGGCACTCAGAACAGCGACTGGTGGCCAGAGGCACTGCGACTCAACATCCTTCGTCAGCACACGCCTGTGACGAACCCCTTCGGCGAGTCGCAGGACTATACTTCCAATTTCCAGAAGCTTGACTATGCAGGCCTCAAGGAAGACCTCACCAAGCTCATGACCGAATCCCAGGACTTCTGGCCCGCGGACTTTGGCCACTATGGTGGTCTCTTCATTCGATTGGCTTGGCACAGTGCTGGCACGTACCGTGTGCAGGACGGACGAGGTGGCGGTGGTCAGGGTCAGCAGCGATTCGCACCTCTCAATTCTTGGCCTGATAACACTTCTCTTGACAAGGCTCGACGTTTGCTCTGGCCCATCAAGCAAAAGTACGGTAAACAAATTTCCTGGGCAGACTTGATGCTGCTTTCTGGCAATGTTGCCCTTGAGTCAATGGGATTCAAAACCGAAGGCTTTGCAGGCGGCCGTCCCGATACATGGGAAGCCGATGAGTCAGTCTACTGGGGCGCTGAAAGCACTTGGCTCGGCAACGACATTCGCTACGCTACCGGCAATGAAGGCGTCAGCAGCCACGCAGGTGCAGGTGTCATTGACGGTGATCTGCACAAGAAGGACCACAAAAACATCCATTCGCGTGAGCTTGAACAGCCTCTGGGCGCTTCTCACATGGGCCTCATCTATGTCAACCCGGAAGGTCCCGATGGTATCCCAGACGCTTTGGCTGCTGCTCACGATATCCGCACGACCTTTGGTCGTATGGCCATGGATGACGAAGAGACTGTTGCCCTTATCGCCGGCGGCCACACTTTTGGAAAGTGCCATGGTGCCGCCGTGTCGGAGAACTTGTCGCATGAACCCAATGCTGCTGGCATCGAAGCCCAAGGTCTTGGCTGGACCAACAAGTACAAGAGTGGCAAAGGTCCTGACGCCATCACTTCCGGACTTGAGGTCACCTGGACAAAGACGCCCACAAAGTGGAGCATGCACTACCTGGAATACATGTACAAGTATGAATGGGAGCTCACCAAGTCGCCTGCCGGTGCCAACCAGTGGGTCGCAAAGACTGAAGATCTCATCATTCCTGATGCCTTTGACGCCAACAAATTCCACAAGCCAACCATGCTGACCACCGATCTGGCGCTGCGATTTGACCCTGCGTACGACAAAGTCTCGCGAAAGTTCCTCCAAAACCCAGACTACTTTGCCGAAGCCTTTGCCAAGGCTTGGTTCAAGCTGCTTCACAGAGACATGGGTCCGCGATCTCGCTGGCTTGGTCCTGAAATTCCCAAAGAGGTTCACATTTGGGAAGACCCCGTGCCTGCCGTTGATGCAAGTAAGATGATTGGAAAGGGTGACATTGAGCAACTCAAAAAGTCAATTCTCGCAGCTGGCGTTGCTCCTGAAGCTCTCATCAAAGCTGCCTGGGCCTCTGCATCGACATTCCGTGCGGGTGACAAGCGTGGTGGCGCGAATGGTGCACGAGTTCGATTAGAGCCGCAGAACAACTGGAAGGTCAACAACCCTGCTGAGCTCACAAAGGTCCTTTCTGCCTTGGAAAAAGTCCAACGAGAATTCAACAATGGCAACAAGACTGTTTCGCTTGCCGATCTGATTGTTCTCGGCGCCAATGCCGCCATCGAGAAGGCCTCCGGCCTACAAGTTCCCTTCAACGCCGGACGAACCGATGCTTCTCAGGATCAAACGGACGTTCACTCCTTTGAGCACCTCGAACCCGTCGTTGATGGATTCCGCAACTTTGGTGTCAGTCCTCGACCCAACCGTGTCCGCACTGAACAATTCTTGGTAGACAGGGCGCAGCTACTGAGCTTGTCCGCGCCCGAGATGACTGCTCTCGTTGGCGGACTTCGTGTACTGAATGCTAATACTGACGGATCCAATCTTGGTGTCTTCACCGCTCAACCTGGCCGATTATCCAATGACTTCTTTGTCAACCTTCTCGACCCGCGTTTGGAGTGGAAAGCAACAAGCGATAGCCAGGAGCAGTTCGAGGCATTCGACCAAAAGACACGAGAGAAGAAGTGGCGAGGCACTCGTGCTGATCTTGTCTTTGGATCTCAAGCCGAACTGCGCGCCATTGCTGAAGTGTATGGCTCTCGTGATGGTGAGGGCAAATTCAAGCAAGACTTTGTCAAGGCTTGGGCCAAGGTGATGGATTTGGATCGCTTTGATCTACCGATTCACAAAGCAGATGACCCGAAGTTATAGACAATTAGCAATGTGCCAGTTGTCACGAACTGACTGCAAGTGCGCTTTCTTGGCTTTAAGGTGTTTCTTCCCTTGCTTAAATTTCGCGAATATACTTTTGTGCGCAACCACAACGACCGATCAAGGCCTCGTCTTCCGAACATGGAATCACTCGTTCAGCATCTTCAACAGTTGTTTGCTTTCTTCTGCCGCAAGTCTCTTCTCTTATTCTCGCTACAACAATCCAAGACATCTTACGGCGCGCTTGGCTAGGCTCTTCTCCTCAAAGGCTTTGGGACTTTGACCCTGTTTGCTTATCTTCCTACCTTCCTGCTTCTAGCTTTAGTTGATGAAAATAACAAGACAGCCTTCTGCTGCCTTCATTAACCAGCTTAGTACTTTGGTAGGATCATCTCATGTATATGTTGCTCCTTCATGGTCAGCGGGACTTTGTCTTCATCACAAACTCTTGCCAAAGCGATCAGCAAACGCAGCGATAATGTGAGCCACTTTGCACGGCTCGTCTTCATGAACAAAGTGGCCAGCTCCCGGAATGACATTCATCTGAAACGCTCCTTGCATCTGCGCAATCATCAACGGTTTATCCAACCGATCAGTCCCCGCCAGAATCAGTAGTTTGCCAAGTGACCTCGACGCAGAGAGAAATTTCCTTGATAGATCTTGGAACCAGGATTGCCAGTATGCTTGTGTGGGTTTCCAATCATGCCGCCAAAGGAGTCGTTTGCTCTCTGGCGACCTGCGAAGCAGCGCGGGTATTGATGAACGTGCAGAGACTTGATTACTGATTATCCTGCTCGAGAGCGCCCATCCGATTGCTTCAGACATGTCTGCAAAGCTCGCTGGTCGCTGCTTCAAGATTTGGCTTGTAGAATGTAGAGCGTCTAGCGCTGTGCCCTCGACCACGTCGAGTACAACGAACGCATTGCAGGAGGGTAGGGCTCCCATCTGTGCGACAGTTGTGACGATCGACCCTCCGAGTGAGTGTCCGACCAGTATACAACTGACTGGCTTTGCTTCTGCAACCACCTCGAGAGCTGCCGTCATACACTCTGTGAAGTCATCGCACATCGTGGCGAGGCTGTAGTCTTCAATTTGCTCCTTTGAAGACACGGTGAAGCCGGTCTCGCCGTGACCTCGATAGTCCATCGCCAAGAAGCCTGCTGATGTCTTATTCTCTGCACACGCATCCTTGAGATGCTTGATGAGAGTAGCAAAGGACATGGCGGAGCTGCCAGCGCCATGAGCAAAGCAAAAGTACACTGGCTGCATCAGGCTTCCAGGATCTTCAGTCGCTCGCCGCGCCAGAACATTGAACATTAGGCCTGAGCAACGTTTTGAAGGAATCTTGAGCTGTTCTGTGAAGCTGCCGCTGTCTTGCCAAGAGATTGGCTCAAGGTTTCGGAGCCTTGGCGGGATGCGCAGAGGTCTAGGAGGAGCCAGTGAGCTTTCTCGCTCATTTGAGTCGATTGTAGCGATGTCTGCCTGCTCTGCATCTTCGTCTTCATAAAGAGGTCGCAGCGAGCCACTATTGGCAAGCGCTTGCTTGCGAAGGCTGTTCATCAAGAATTATAGCACATGTGGTGATTGGTCGACGTCGATTGGGATACTGAAGACAGCGTAGTCACCCACCACTGCCAGATCACCTGGCCTATCTGCCAGGAGTGACGACGAGACTTGACCCGACAATGAGCAGATGTAGGATTCAAATTCATTACTCTATCTACATGCAGTGCTTCCAGTTGTCGTGCATGGCAGCATCGCCTATTGAGCCTTCTTCAGCTGGCCTTTCTCAATACCTTCCCCATCGTCCTCCAGAAAGGCTACAATGAGATAGCCAACAAGAACAACATTCGCCATGATTGCGGCAACGATGGCAGCGTATGTAGTCTTGTAGCCTGTGTATTAGCGATGCTCCAGTTTCAATGGTGATCGGACCAGAAAAGACATAGTTCAAGGAAAGATAGTAGGAAGACAAAGGCAACAGGACCATTGCTGCTGAGAAGAACAAGAGCTTGCTCAAGACTGAGCCAGAGATACGGCTAGGGCCAATATCCGGTAAGCGCTGTGAAGAAGACGACATGTGTGTCTCGAAAAAGAAGGACCGTTGAAGCTAGCAAAGTCGGACTTCAGTAACAGAGCAGCACAAAGGATGAGTGTCTGAGCTTCTGCAGCAAAGACTTAGAGTTGAACGACGGCTAAAGTCAAGAGCTGTTTGAGAGGGTGTCGATTGAACTCGGGGTGCCCAGCTGCTGGTTCACTTGCTGGCGTTTCATTCGGCTAAAAGTGGTAGGAAACTTTTCTTTTGGCCAGCTTGTTCTTCAAGCTACTCTGACTTGCCTCATATGTCTGCGTAGCCAAGAAGCTCCTCTGTCATTTTATTCTCCCGATGTCTTCCAATGCTAGCTTGAGATTCCAAATTGCTCGAGTAGGCTCTCTGATCTCATCTTCCAAAAGATCATGGCTCGCTCATAACACTGCTTTACGAATACGCTCCTACGCGTCTGCTCCTAAAGCAATACCCATCTGTCCAGGCTGTGGTGCCCCCGTCACCAACATTCCTTCAAAACCAGGCTTCATCAAATCTGCCATCAGTCAAATACCCACGCCCGAGGTGGAGATCAAAAAGGCCCAGGAAAAGTCTGTCTTTGACCAAGCGATGGCATCACTTGATAAAGACATGCGTGGTGAAATGCTGCCACTCGCTCCAGATGACTGGCAATATACAAAGCCAGAGAAGGTTCGCATGGAGAAAATTTGTACACGGTGTCATTCAATACACTATCACAGCGGCTTGATGGGCAGACAAGGGGAGAAGAAAATCAGCAATTTTGACATCTTTAAGGAAATTCGCAGTGACCCAGACTCGCTTGTCGTCAATGTTATTGATTGCATGGACTTCCCCATGTCACTCATTAACCTGAGAGAACATATCGGTTCTCGACCTCACGTCATCCACGTCTTCAATCGCATTGATGTGATTGTACGACAGCCAAAGAAGCTGCCAGGACTCGCACCCCGCTTCAAGCAGATGTTGCGCGACCAATACAAGGCGACGCAAGATGACGAAAACACAACCATCTTGGTCGTCTCTGCCATCAAGGGCTGGCACCTTGATCAATTGGCTGAAGCGATTCGCAAACGACGACCCGGAAGCAATGTCTACTTTACAGGATCCGCGAATGCCGGCAAGTCAAGTATTTTGAATGCCCTCAAACGACAGGAAGGACAAGCCGACCTCAACAAGAAGCAAGCCAAAAATTTAAAACTGCGCCTACCAACGACGAGCCACATTCCAGGGACGACTCTTGGCGCTATTGCCATTTCAATGTATTCGTTCCCATCGCTGTTGCTGTCCGGCCGTGAGAAGGGTAATCTGATTGACCTCCCTGGCGTCCTCAACCCTGGTCTCTCTCAATTCGTTGAGCTAGATCGCCTTGCAAAAGCCTTGCCACACAAATTGCTTCGACCCAAAACTTTACCCCTTGCCGCTGGTAGATCGATGGTCTTGGGTGGGCTTGTGCAAATCACAGTCAAATCGGTTCATCCTGATGAACCCTCGAACTGTGCTCTCTTGACGATCTACTTGCCGTTACAACCTCATAAAATCAAGACACCCACGACCTCTCAGCCGGATCAAATCCTTGCCTCAGATGCAGGCGTCTGTAAGCTTGGTCCCAAGCGTTCGGATAAAGTCAAGGTAAGGCATTCTTCCGTGCCTGCATTTGAAGTAGCATGGGAATCGACAGTGGAGTGCTCTCCAATGGGCGGTGGCGCCAATGCTATTGATATCGTCTTCCAGGATCTCGGTTTCATCAGCGTTGCATTGTGGAAGGGTACAGCAACAATCCAAGTCAAAACGCCAGGTGGTATGTATGTCACATCAAGACAGCCCATCCTACCAAGACCGTACAAGTATGTCTAGACTACTAGCCAGATGTCCCTAGTGTATGCGAATTCAGACCACTTGTCAATGTGGCAATCAATCGCTCAAGAAGAAACCAGCCTTGATGAGCGTCGCAGACTGGCGTGCTTGCTCAAAATTTGAACTTATTGCCACAGAATGTACACGACACAAACGTCGTCATCGGCTCATCAGCAGAACGTGTTTGCATCTGGTAGTATGTGCATTCGCGCTTCTTACACTTGCCACATTGAAACATGTCTGTACTCGCTACTTGCGCGGTTGCTGCCATTGCATTGAAGATGTTTGCCTTTTGTAGTGCTTCGTTGCGTGCTTTCACTTCATCGGATGCCATTTCATCGGCAGTCATGACTGCTAGCCTCTCCACAGAGAGTGTCCCATCGAGTACGTCGTGCCTCAGTGAGATGTTGTTACCCTTGAGATTGAGGAACAACGAACGAATCTTTTGTTTGTATCCAGCTTCTGCTTTCCGATCGAATTGTTCAAAGACCGTCGCTTCCAGAGCGCGTGCCTTTTCCAGTATCGCTGCCGGCCGTTCATCCGAGTCAATCGCCAAACCATTGTACACCAGCTTGACGCAATTATTGCGAACGGCGTCATTGAGTAGTGCATAGTGGATTTTGTCTGTATCCACCGTTCTCGGCGTCTTCGTCGATGCTGCCGCATTTTTTCCATCTGTCGCTTTTCCGTCCTCCTTTCCCGTCGCTGTTGTCGCGCTCGCTACTGTCGCTTTCGCCTTGTCAAGCTTCTTGAGTGTTGACGTACTCTCAGTCGTCCCACTCGGCGCTTTGGCAGACGTCACTTCATTCTTCCACTTCTTGACAAGCTCCGTCGCTGCTGCTGCAACAAGCTTATCTTCATGCTTGCGCAACTTACCCACCGTCAAGCCAATCTTTGTATCTCGTAGCACTGAATCAGAAGCAAGGACGCGTGTCCGTAGTGTGGCAAGGATATCGGTGGCTGTTTTGTAGCTGCGATTGTCGAGTGCTTTGAGGAGAGCGCTCGAGGATTCAATGATGTCCTTGTTGCTCATCATGGTTGCTGAGGGCGCCATGACAGCGGGTAGGGCAGACTAGCTGAGGAGCAGAGAGGGAGAGAGAGTGCGGTGTTGTCTGTCTTGAGCGTGTCGCAACAGAAAAGAGAAATAGAACAGTCACAAACCAACGAGATGGGCAGACACTCCCATACTCTAGAGCAAAAGCTCAAAAAGAAGAGCAACTGCAGCAACCCGGATTCCCATCTGGTCTCCCACGATAGTACTAACGAGTCCCTTCCATGCTTGACTTTGCTGATCGGACGGGAAGCAGTACTTTCATGGAGGTATGGCCGCAGATACATTGGAGCATTTCTGCAGGTCCATATGCACTTGAAACGCAGAGAAGAGCGCCCAATGTTGATGATTTGCTATGAACTACGACGCAAAGAAGGCTGCATTCTGATAGAAGTCCAACATTGGATTCTCACCACTCTGCGTCGTGGTTGCCTCGACATCACCCCAATCTTCTAGGAACGCAGCATGCGTGTATACCTTTCCCTTCAATCCAGCAGCACCAGCAAGTCGCGGCTGCTGATGTGTCACATGATGAAAGTAACCACGCGAGCTTTGTGCACCGCTCAACTCGGAGTACATGGCATTCATCTCTTCCCAACGAGTCGGAAACATGATGTCAAAGTATCCCGGCAACACCATATAAGTCGAGCAAGGGACCATGGAGCCCTTGTAGCGTGTTTGCACAACGGGCGCAATGACACCCTCCATCGCATCTGGAAGTGAGCTGAAATCACTTGCAAGGAGTCGATGCTGTGGGAACTTTGCCAGCAAAATATCCAAAAACTGCATCAGTCTTGTAGGAATGAATTCTGGACTTGTCAAATTTGGTGCAAGCGGCAGCATCGCGCGTAGTTGACGCAACTTCAGCGGCACTTTTAAAGACGGGTGGGTCGCTGAAGCCCGGCTGGACTTGTCTCGCAATCTCAGGTAGCGTCGAGCATGCGGGTCGATATTGGGCGAAAGCAACTCATGAAAGTCCCCCGCTTCATCGACCGCCACCAAGGCTTGGTAAGGTTGTCCAGTCAGCAAGTCGTACCGAATCGCGTCGTGTGCGAAATTATCAAACACCTCCATCGCCAGAAAGAAGCATGGCTCTGGTACGACAGTGTCCCAGTCAAAGATGCTTTTATTGATGATTTCCACTTTATCACCATGTCCTTGCTTCTCTGCCGTCTGATGCAGCAAAGATGTCTTTTGCCTTTTTGCAAGTTGTGTCGAGATTTCAATGATTTTGTATCGTGTGCGTTCATACACCTCTGGCTCATTGTCGCGCAAGTAGTCGAGAATGTTGATCATCAGTGTTCCATTACCGGCACCCATTTCGTACAACACGAGATCGCGGTACGGGAAATGCGTCAGTTTGTACTGTGTCAAGAGATACCGCGCGACAGCTTGGCCATAGAATGGCTTGAACATTTCCGTGGGCGTCTGCCATACCTGACGCGGCGATGAAGGCGGTTGGCGTACTTGCTTGGGTGCCTCTCCTCTCAGACGATTTAAGCGTTGACCCGCACTCGCCGTTGAAGGGGGCGCACTCTCTGCCTCCTCAAACTCAGCATACTTGTCACTCAATGCAGCTTGAAACGCAGCATTATCTCTGAAGCTTCCAAATTCGAATCCCTGTGGTCCACCAGCTTGTAGGATGATGGCTTGCTTTGAGAAATATCCATACTGTGGGTTATACAGCGAATCATCAATAAAGTCGCGTGCCAGCATTTTAATCCGTTTCGGCTGATGCGTATGATGCGCTAGAGACTTTGCCGTGACTGTAGGAAATGTATCGAATACAGCAGCTTTGTCTTCGTCCACGAGGTAATTGTATGCGCTATTTGTCTGGTAATTATGTTCTGGTCGCTGGCTCTTTCGGGCGCTGTCGGGTGCTCGAAGGACTGCTACCGTTCTGTACTGTCTTCGCATACATAGCTGACATGGCCTAATGGCGAGATGCTGCCAGAGACTGGCGTGCATCTCTTGCAATGTCGACTGTTTAGGCTGCTGCAGCTGTATTTCGTCTTGTGTCGTCTGCAGGTCGCAGACTTCAGATTGACCAACAGGGGCCACTCACTACTATCAGGCTGAGTATCAGCAGCAGCAGTAGCTTCGAAAGGCTCTACAAAAGTCTACGAATAAGCACATGCAATCACCAATCATCTTCATCCTCAGCGCCATTGACAGCCTGATTCCTATTCTTCAACGCAGCAGCAAGGCCCGTCAATCCTTGACCCTGACCAGCAGCACCATTTGCACTGGGACCCGCCGCAGCAGCAGGACCAGGCGGTGCAGGCGGAGCAGCACGAGTCTGTTTACGCTCTTCAACATAGTTCGCTGGGACCCACGCTTCAACACCATTCTTACGACCTAGCCACCATCCGTTGTCTTCCTTGGATACAATCTCAATGACTTCGCCAGCAGTCATGCTCAACTCACCCGCAGTCTGTCCAACAAAGTCATAGAGTGCAACGTAAACAGGCTTACTGGGTTTAGCCGCTGGAGGTGGTGGTGGAGGCGGTGGTGCCCGCCCTGTACGAGAAGGTCCAGCCGTTGCTGCTTTCGGTGTGATATGCGTCGATGCAAGAGCAGGCGCAAGATTGTTGCCAGCACTTGCTTGAGCAGGTTGTACGACACGCATGGCAGAAGCAGCAGCGGACGAGGCCATTTGATTTTGTGCGCGCGGAACAGCGGAAGCTGCAACAGGCTGTCGTTGTTGTTGTGGTGCGACAGGTGCGCGTTGACGTCCAGCTGTCGCTCGGGGCGCTGCTTGCTTCCTGGTTGATGTATAGGCAACCGTCTTCTTCCTAGGGAAGGGCCGTGACACGCTATTCGCAGGCTCTCCTGTGGATACATGTACTGCACCACTCTTGTACATGTCGTCACGCTTGATGGCTTCGTCGCGCACAAACTTGACTTGCGTCATTTTTCCGGGCTTCTTGCAATAGTCGATCGTTGGACCCACACGGATATCCATACCTCTGTTGAGACGCTTGAGAATGACGGCCAACTCAGTCTTGAAGACGCATGAGAAGAATGGATCTGGCGCTTGTGGGTCACCTACCCCCAGACCAACCCAATCGTCTCGCAATGTCGAAAGCGCCATGTACTTGAGTTGACCGGTTGGGACACGTCGCTCAATGGCAAGTTGCAATTGACCTTGAGCCATGGTTGCAATGATGAGATAGACGGCCTTATCCGTCACAATCAATGTACGTGGACTTGGCTTTGAAGAGCGGCCAAGTTTTGAAATAAGCACTTCGACTCTGCCAGAGAAGACCACTCGCTCATCCGCTGGAACTTGCGCAGATCGTCTAACAACAGCACCAGGACCTGATGTTGCGCCAGAGCCCAAATAGTCGCCCATGAACTTACGCGAACCCAAAAGACTCATACGACGACGCTCTTTGCGTCCGTTCAATAAGGCATGACCAGAGTCGCGAATTCTCAAAAATTCAAGATTCACCTTATCCTTACGCCACATGCGCTGTATTTTGATGGCACATTCATTCTTGTAGCGCATATACGCCCGCCACGCACGTTGAATACGACGTGCCATGTTGTGCCAGAATTGATCACGCATGTGCTCCAGTGCGAAGAGTGTCTCTGGCGACTTGATGAAAACTTTCGATGTTCCCATCTGGAACTCTTCTGCAGGAATACCCGTGTCCTTGAGGATGTGCATGACGCCTGATTTGGCATCACCTTGCCAAATATAGTCGCCAGCGTATCCAGTTTTGGGAGACAGGAGGTAGAATCGCTCAACAAATTTGTCAAACGTCTGCCTATAGGCAAATCCAGCACGACGAATGCGCACATTCTCCTGCAAACCAAGGTACTTGACTTGATGGGCAACATTGGCATTATTGAACTCTGTAGGCGACTTGTTCTCATTTGGCTTAATGGTTCGGATGTAGTGGGGCTGGCATTGCATCAAAGTGTTGACGAGATCATTGGCAGACGCCTTGATCTTATCACCAGCCGTAGGTGGCCTGCGCTTGTTGTCTTGATCCACTTGTTCTGGAAATAAGTTTTGCAAGAAGCGATTTTGCGAAGACTTGATGAGATCGAGCACATCCTTGATGAGCTGATCTTTGTTCTTATCAGTCAAGCCCGGCACAGCATACATGACATCACCTGCATAATGCTTGACCAGGAAGGAACCCTGTCGCTGCTCGAAGTGAGGGTTTGTCGACAGCCGTGCGAGACCTTGGGTGAAGGTATTGTCTGCTGCCGTTGGATCTGCATGCGCAGTGGCAATCGCATCATTCAATGCAGCGAAAATGCCGGGCGGTCGCTTCTCTTCAATCAAGTCACACACAATCTTATTGTTGAAGTAGTCGATGGGCGTCCATTTGATTTGCTCGCGAACATACTCTTCCTGCTCAGTCTTGAGTGTCAGCTGGATAAAGATCTGCTGCAGCTTTTCATTGACATAGTTGATGCACAGCTGCTCAAAGCTGTTCTTTTCGAAAATTTCAAAGCCGTAGATATCGAGGATACCAATGGATGTTGAGACAGTGCCACCTCCCTGAACGGCCATAGCTGCATTGACGCGAGCAATGATCCAATCAAACAAGTTACTGTAGAGACCCTTAGCAAGCGCATCTCGTTGCGAAGATGCTTGCGCAATGTTGAGTGGTACCTCATAAGATGAGCCACGACGACCACCACGCGCAGTCTCGATTGTTCTTGTGGTGATGGCTTTGCAAACTAGGCTTGCATCCACTTCCATCAGGTAGGCCACGAAATTTGTAACACCTTCATCTGCTACTGCGGCATTTCCCTCTTGGTTCTCCTTGAACTGGACATTACCAATCCAAAGAATAGTGGCCAGCACACGAAACACTTCGTCTTGCTCTGCCTGTGTCATGCCAATTACCTCCATTGCTTTGAGTGTGCCTTTGAAGTCGTCAAGGTCGTCAATGCCAGGTACATCCAATGCACCAGCCTTTGATGTGTACAAATAAGCCTCTGGTCCTTGTATGCCGAAACGTTCACGATGGTCCTTTGATGCGCCTTTTGCGAATTGATAGAAGATGTGAAAGTTGCGCTCTTGCTTGATTTGACTGACCACGCGGTTCTTTTCCAGGAGATAATTGATGATGTTGGCTCCAACTGGTTCACCACGTGAATTGAATTGAATCTGGAGGTACTTGCCGTGCCTAGAAGAGTTGTTGTTGCGTAGAGTCTTGGCACATCCGAAGGATTCAAGCAGCGGGTTGGTTGCAAGCACCATATCCTTGACACGCTGGATGCTTGAATCTTGACCACCAGAGACATTTGCGATGTACTGCATGATACGTTTGGCTGCTTCAGTCTTTCCTGCACCAGACTCGCCAGAGATAATGATACACTGGTTCTCATGGTAAGACTTCATGTTGTAGTAGGCTGCCTCTGCCGTTGCAAACACATGCGGTGACATCTACTATCAGTAATTGACTGGACAATCGTTTGCATACCTCCAACCTGTTTTTACCCCGATAGGAGCCAAGCACCGCGTCGGTATATATGCCCAGGTCCCGAAACGGGTTGACACTAATAAGCACATGTCCAATATACGTCTGGCTGTCAGCAAGAGACACTGCAGTCCCTGAAGACTTACGTAAATCTCCTTATTCTCATACCGAACGCGCAAGTTTTCGTTGATGGCCTCATTGGAGATCTTGGACAAGAGACACAGATCATCCACACCTACAGTTCGCTTCTTCGTTGATTCATAGACTGCCTTTTTGACGCCTGCTTGCTGTCCATCCGCCTGTTGCTGACCAGCTCTTTGCGCCAAGCCTTTTGTTCGCTGCTTTGCTTTGCCTACTGCCTTGAGAATTAGCCTTGCAAGACGGCCAGCTAGAACCTACCATGCTGCTCAATGCCGTCTATCAGTCTCTAGACGAAGCCCAGATCAGTCTTCACGCACGATGTCTGGTGAGGAAGAGGAAGGTGTGGTTGATGCTGTTTCGCAATTGTTCGCGCGGCTCGATGACGCACAGCGCCGGCAGTCAAGGAGATCAAAGTACAGAGAGCAGCCGCAGAAGCCAAGCACAAAGTCGCTACATACCAAGCAGATACATATAAATCAACTCGAAGAGAATTGCATCACAGGCCGTCTTTCTTATCAACAGGCGCTTCTGTCGCGGGCTGCATAATGCCGTCCACAATCCAAATGGCGCCGTTTGCTGCTTGCTTCTCACTCACTACTCTGTGTCCTCCAGGATAGACGCGCTTGACTGATGTTTTCATGTCTTCCTCAAACCAGATTGACCCGCCATTCATGGTCGGGACCCTGACGCCAGCGGTGAGAGGATACTGAGCAACAACGTGCTGTTTTACGAATCGAGCAATGTTGGCCTCTGCATTCTCCTCATTGCGCTGTGCGCTCGAAGCTTCTTTGCTCCCACTTCCGGATGCACTATCCATGCTAATCCAAGGCTTCTGTGGGAGCGCAATAATCGCTGCATTGAGCGGCGCAAGAATGAGTGTCTGCTTGGTGTCATCCTGCAAGCGTTGCATCACATCAGGCGATCCCATCATGTAGTCATTGATAATCGTACAACGCTTGTCCATGATATCTGAAAGGGTCGGTTTGCCCGATGGCGGCTTGTTATCCGCGAAAAAGTCCATGTTGGTGGTAGTCTCGCTACGCAGCTTGAGCACGTTTGCGTCCGCGGCTGAAGAAGCTGCGCAGTGTAAAGAGTAGAGCGAGAAGAGTGAGAACGAGAGCGATGCGAGCAGCTTCATGCGAGGTTCAAATTTGCACGATGGCAGTCGGTTGTGGTCGAGTGTCGTGGAGTATGACGACGAAAGCAAACTCACAATCGAGCTTCACGATGACTGATAGCACATCTTCTAGTGGGTCATACATATCAGCAAAAGCATGACATACGCGCCCGTATGAAGCACTGGCAAGAAGGCTATCTAGCTAATATGGAAGCTGTGCTTTCGTTCGCCACCTCATGACACTCAATCCAACTTGTCGAAAGCCCCATCACAACTAGAAGTCCGACACGCATTGCCATTAAAGTGCAACGTGTACGCTGAACGACTTGCACAATTAAGCCATTGAAGGCCCAGTCATTGATCATTATCAGTGTCGCATGCCTCGGCTTCAAGTTGGGAGACCGCTGCGGCGGCATCTCGCCATTGGCTTGCACTAATAAGTAGCAAGTCATGCTGCAGCTGAATATTTCAAGTCGCAACTAGGAACATTTGTCTCACATGGGCAGAATGGTTCGATATTACGCGAATGCGTCAAGGAGGGCAAGGAGTATGCACTCCTGATACTGCTGGCCTTCCGATTGTCCTCAACAAATTTGACACGCTGTCAAGAAGGCTACAGCTGCGCATCCACTCTTTCTTCTTGAGACGTTCACCTCACTGTATGCAATTGTGTGCAAAACGGAGGACCAAAACCCGATCACAAGTGTAGTCAAATTGTCCACTTGCTTCTCCCTATCTGTCACGAATTTCACACCAGAGACTTATCGCGACACCTCAAATGACACTGACACACCTGTTGCTATTCGCATCATTTCTGGTACTCGGCACGTATTCTGGTTGTGCCTCTTCCAAGTCTTCCCAGTGCGACGCAGACGAAGCGCAAGGATCTCATGTAGCTGCAAGCTCGACCGCAGTTACGTCGCCGCTTCTCAGTCAGCGCATGGAAATGATTTTTCTCAATCTTGTCCCAGCAGAAGAACAAGAAGATTGTAAAGCTCGATGTCGTGTCAAAGTCACGTATCTTGTCGAGAACGAAGTCTTAAAGTTCACGCAGCATAAGTGTAATCTTGGTTGGACTTATTTTGCTCTGCATCATCGCCAGGAAGATTGGCCAGAGAACTTGGTTGCGAAGCTGAAGGCCAACAAACATCAAAAGGGCAAGTCTTCCAGCTTAGACGATCCTCTGTCACATTGCGAAATTATGCCAGAAACGAAATATGCATCGGTAGTGGACACACTTACATCGAGTTTCACTTACTTTAGCTCGCCGAGCTGGGGCACTGCTTCATCATCATGGGACGCTGCTTCATCATCGAGTCAGGCTTCCCGTTGGGGAGGAGCAAGCCTAGCCAAAACATTTCGGGATGTCCTCCTGAAAGCCGAGCAAGCCTTCAGAGGTGCACGCAAAGATTGCTCCAAATCAACTAGACCTGCAAAGACTTGCTTCTGCGAGATGGGTCTCGTCTTTGAAGATGTCCTTGCAGACGACAGTACATGCGATCCAGAGCAATTTGCTGAAAGCATAAAAAAAGAGTTTTTTCAATTTGGATTTGGGATCATCAAGGCGCTTCAGGATCGAGCGGCTGATATAGGTGACAGGAGACAATTCTCTAAGTTGGCAAGCGCGGAAGAGATTGAGGCGACCGCGTCGGATGAGCTGTTTGTCCGAGGCCAAGGGCCATTTGAAATGTTGCTTGCCTCGGTTTACGACACGGATGAAAGCAGACCTGTTAACACCGATCCAACGCGCATGGTTGGTTTGGACAGAGTGCGCTGGACCGAGGAAGGACGCAAGATTTCCCTTGGTTACAAGACTTTACCTTCGTCCTCGAAGGTTCCTGGAGAGTACAGCTAGATCTCTAGAGTAGTTGTACCGCGCAAGCCGTATGTCATCTGAATGTGCGTCGGCAGTTGCCTGCGACCTTAGATAAAAAAACGCGAACAATCGCTCGGATCAGCCGACTTATCAACTATAGCTCACCAGCCGTGCGTATAAAGCTCAGGGTGCTCGCTAGTATAGCCTCTAGACAATCTACGACATGGCCGTCCCCGAACATGCTCACAGCCTTGCAGCCTTTGCTCCTCCTGCTCCCAAGCCACAGGAGACAGAGCGCATGGCAAAGGACATGTCGCACCATCTGTCCATTGAGTCACTAGCACGCCGTCCATCTCCCCTGAAAGAGGCGGCCTTGCACAGTCAGTCTATGAGCATATCGCTTCTCTCAACTAACATTGCAGTGAAAGGCGGCTTGATCAGTCTTGGTGGTGGCTTGCCAGATCCTTGCTATTTCCCCTTCAACACCTTATCTACAACGATCCCAACCGCAGGCCACTGGCAAGACCCTTCCGCAGAGACGGAAGTGACCATCCCCCGTCACAGCACAAAGGTAACACTTGATCTTGCAAAAGCGTTGCAATACACGCAAGGCACAGGTCAAGCAGCCATGCTCAAATTTGCCAGGGAGCACACAGAGATGATTCACCACCCACCCTATGCAGACTGGCAATGTCTCATGACTGCGGGAAACACAAACTCAATTGATACGTGTCTGCGGTTGTTATTGAACAGAGGAGATGCGTTGCTGATTGAGGAATATTCATTCCCGTCGGTGCTTGAGTGTGCTCGTCCTCAAGGGATCCACCCAGTTCCCTGCAAGCTTGACGCGTTCGGAATCTTGCCAGATAAGCTCGATGCTCAGCTCGATGCTTGGAATGTTGAGCAACAGGGCAAGAAGCCCCATGTCCTGTATATTATCCCTACAGGTCAGAACCCGACAGGCTCGACTCTGTCTACTGATCGCCGTCGAGATCTGTACAAGGTAGCCCAAAAGCATGACCTTATCATCCTTGAGGATGAGCCCTACTATTTCTTGCAAATGCAGGCCTATTCTGGACCAGACGGCGCGGAAAAGCCAGAACCGGCCAGTGCGACCGAGTTTCTGGATGGTCTGGTACCTTCCTTGTTATCCATGGACGTCGATGGTCGTGTCTTGCGTCTTGATTCTTTCTCAAAGGTCATTGCGCCAGGCTCTCGCTGTGGATGGTTGACTGGTTCTGCACAGCTCATGGAGCGTGCACTACGCTGTAACGAAGTCTCCATCCAATGTCCCTCAGGATTCTCACAAGCATTGCTGGTCATGTTGCTTGAATCTTGGGGCCACGCCGGGTACCTTAGTTGGCTTGTCCACATGCGATCCGAGTACACGCGTCGACGCAATGCACTCTTGGACGCTATGGAGAAGTCGCTACCAAAGGAATACGTGCACTGGCACGCACCCGAGGCTGGCATGTTTGTGTGGATGGAGATTCAGTATAAGCAACACCCTCGATTCCAGGAACTTGGCATTGATGCTCTGGAGAAGGAACTCTACATGGGTGCTATTGCTGAGGAAGTACTAGTCGCGCAGGGATCCTGGTTCATCAGTGACCGGGACAGCCCACGCCCCGGTCTTTTCTTCAGAGCAACCTTTGCAAGTGCTTCACTGGAGAACATGCAGGTGGCCGTGCAGCGCTTTGCGGATTCGTTGAGAAAGAGCTTTCAGCAGGATGCTTCTGCCTCTTTGGAAGCGCCTGAGGCTTCTTGATCAGCTTCATGATTTGTTTTAGATTGACAGCGATCTATACGGCGTAGTAATTCAGATGGCACGAATCTTCAGCTCTCCGCCTTGAAGGATCAAGACAACCAGTCTCTACAGTGAGCACTCTCCTTGGCTCAAAAGTCCTCTGGAGCAATGCCAAAGGACAAGACACAGAAGGAAAAGCCAAAGAAGCAGCCATCGCCACAAGACGCAGAAGACCAGATCTTGGCATACCTCGTACAGCAGAACCGACCTTGTATGTCTGTCTAGTGCACCTCTTCATACACAGACTGACATCCCTGTAGACTCATCCACGGATGTCTACAACAATCTACAACAAGTGATTAGCAAGCCAAACTGCAATAAGGCCCTTGCCAGTCTCGCAGAAGCTAGCGCAATCCAAGCAAAGTAAGGGGAACTCCAACAGGGCAGTCTTCTGACATAGCAGAACGTTTGGCAAGCAAGTCATCTACTGCGCTTTACAGACTCAAGTGGTAGACTCGAGCAGTGAGGTCGAGCTAGACAGCACAAACGACAAGCAAGCAACAGAAGAAGAGCTGGGACAGCTTCAGACTGAGCTGGCGACGCTGGTCGAGGACAACAAGCGTGCAGCCAAGGAAGTGGCAGAGAGTGAGGGAGTTTTGACAATAGCGCAGCTCCTGCAGAAGCAAGAAGAACTTGAGGAAGAGGTACGTTGTCACCTCTGTTTCAGCAAGACTGACAAATCCCCAGGAAAGCAAGCTGGATGACCAGATTGCACTTCTTGAGGCCAACAAGCCAAAGAAGGACGCTGCGCCTGCCAGAACATACACAGAAGCTGAACAGCAGCAGATTGACAAGACCCTACGTGCGCTTCTGCTTCGCTGGAAGGGTGCTCGCAAGCAGTTTGAAGACATCTTCAAGGACTTTGCAACCGCACTAGGCAAGAAGAAGTCAGACATGGCTGCACTACGCGAGGAGATGGGAGTCGATGAAGTCGATGCAGACATGCCACTACCCTCGTATATCTAGGACATCTACAAGCGCACTCACTTCTGCAGTACAAGCGATACTTCGTCAGTCACCCGCACTGCCTCGTCGTCCTGCTTCGTTTCACTATCGACAGACAATCGCTCCAGTCCCTTGACCAATGCGACAATGGAGCCAGATTCCTGCTCAATCAACGCTTGCTTGCCACCAGCATGCACAACCACTGTCGCGTCCGTCTTGACGCCCGCTGCAGCCATTGCCGATCGCGCAGTCTTGACGACCTCGCTGATGATTTCATAGGCAGCAGCTTGCTCAGTCAAGCTAGCCAAGGACGCTTCATAGACAGGATACTCTGCACGCACAATTGTACGTGTCTTGTCACCTTCGCGACGTGGCAAACGCTGCCACATCTCTTCAGTCAGGAACGGCATGAATGGATGAATCAAGCGGAGACCACCGTCGAGCACACTGTAAAGCGTCTCCTTGACACTCGCCACCTGCGCTTCAGTACCAGCAGCAAAGAGATACTTGGAGTTTTCAATAAAGACATCGCAAAAGTCATAGAGCCAGAATCCATGAATTGCCGTCGTTGCGTCCAAGAAATTCTTCTTGTCAAGGGCTGCATTGAGTTGTTGCGCAGCGAGATTGAAGCGATGCAGTGTCCATTGCTCGACCAGCGAGAGATATTTGCCCTCTGCGCCTTGCAGTCTTGCAGCAACGCCCGACACTTCCACAGCACGAGCCGGCTTGAAGTCAGGACCTAGTCGTACAAGTGCAAACTTGACAGCATTGTAAATCTTGTTGCAGAACTTGCGGTATCCCTCGATACGCAGAATATCAAGGTTGATGTCACGTCCACCAGTGGTGTAAGCGCACAATGCGAATCGCAGAGCGTCTGTACCGCACTGAGGAATACCATTTGGATAAGAAGCCTTTTGATTCGCCTTGGCCTTAGCGATTTCCTTGGGGTCTAGGTTGCCCATAGTCAATTGCTCGTTGAGACCTTGCAAAGAGATTCCCTGGATGACGTCGAGTGGATCAACAACATTACCAAGCGTTTTGGACATCTTGCGACCTTGTGCATCGCGAATAAGCGAGTGACAGTACACCTGCTTGAATGGAATCTGACCAGTCATCTTGATGCCCAGCATGACCATGCGAGCGATCCAGAAGAAGAGAATATCCCAGCCAGTCTCCATCAAGCTGGTTGGGTAGAAATTTTTCAAGTCCTCTGTGTCCTTGGGCCATCCAAGTGTCGACCAAGGCCACAGGCCAGACGAGAACCAAGTGTCGAGCACATCTTCGTCCTGCACAAGCTTGAATGTCTTGCCAGGGAACTTTTCCTGTGCCTGCTTCTCTGCTGCAGCCTGGGTCAGACCAGACACCCAATACTCACCTTCTGTCCTGCAGACGGCGTGGTCATTACCCTCAATTTCGACATAGTAGACAGGCGCCTGGTGACCCCACCACAGCTGTCGTGAGATGCACCAGTCCTGGACATTCGTCATCCATCGCACAAAGTCAGCTTCCTGGGCCTTGGGCATAATCTCAAGCTCGCCACTTTGCACCACCTTGACGGCAGCTTCTGCCATGGCAGATTGACGTACCCACCACTGTGGCTTCAGAATGGGCTCGATGACGTCGCCAGACTTGGAACACAATGGCACAGACATTGGGTTGTCCTCAACACTGACAAATAAGCCGAGCTCCTTGAGTTTCTCCACGACAGACACACGCGCATCGAACCGCTTGACTCCATTCCAGTCGCCGCAGTGCTCATTGAACGTACCATCGTCGTTGAGAATTGTGATGAATTCGAGATTGTGTCGCTTACCACATTCGTAATCGTTGGGGTCGTGTGCTGGTGTTACCTTGACAGCACCTGTACCAAAGGCCATATCAACCAAAACATCATCCAACACAATTGGAATTTTGCGGTTGAGCAGTGGGTGGATTGCAAATTTGCCATGCAAGTGCTTGTAACGGTCATCATCAGGATGAACGGCGATGCCTGTATCACCAAGCATTGTCTCGGGTCGTGTCGTCGCCACAATGATTTTCTCATCTGTGCCTTCGATGGGGTATGCAAATGAGGTGATGGCACCAAATTCGACAGGTTTTTCATAGCCAGGTACATTCAGTAGCGTTCGTCCCTCAAGCTCTTTGTTGTCGACCTCGAGATTTGACAATGTAGTGGAGAGCTTTGTGCACCAATTGACCAGTCTATTGGCACGGTAAATGATACCTTCCTGGTGAAGGGTTACGAATGTTTCGGCCACTGCAGCAGACAAATTGTCGTCCATTGTAAAAGCCTCACGAGTCCAGTCAAACGAGACACCCAAACGCTTCATTTGACCCTTAATACGCATGTGATACTTTTCCTTCCACGCCATGACCAGCTTGAGAAAGTCGGGCCGCGAAAAATCATGTCTCGTTTTCTTCTCCTCCTTCCACAGCTGCTTCTCTACAGCAGACTGCGTACTCAGACCAGCATGATCAAAGCCTGGCAAGAACAATACTGTCTTGCCGCGCATTCTGTGCCACCGCGAAAGCGAGTCTTGAATCGCGATAGTCAGCGCGTGACCAATGTGGAGTGCACCTGTGACATTGGGAGGTGGTGCTGCCATCGAAAAGACACCTGCCGGCTTTACCTTGCCATCTGGACCGAATTCAGGTTCAAAGAAGCCTTCCTTCTCCCACCATGAATACCAAGCAGATTCGACAGCTAGCGGATTATATGCCTTGAGCGCATCAGACTCCAGGTCTTGCAATCGTTTCTTCTCGCCCTCTGGCGTGGTTTCAGTATATGTGGTATCCACAGCAGCAGCCTTGACCTTCTTCTCCTTCTTTGGATTACTCGCAGCCTTGGAAGCAGCCTCTTCTTGCGCCTTCTTCTTGGCTAGGAATTTGGCATTCTTCTCGGCTTTCGCTTGTGCTTTGGCCAGCTCCTTTTCGGTCATGGCCCGCACCTCGCCTGTTGTTGCATCTTTGATGAAGCCTTCCGGAACAGTACTGTCAGTCGCAGCTGATGCCGACATGCTTGCAGGCGTCGTCAAATCGTAGGAAGGCGGTCGATGTGTCGATAAAATTTTGGTGTGGTTTCAACGACCAAGAGAGACAACACCTTGCATGAGTGTAGCAGCCGACTTTCACAAGGCGTTTCAGGGCTTTGAAGCAACAACCAAGGCTTCTCTCGAGACTATTGCTACTGCTGAACAGCTTGATGTGCTTTCAAATCAGATCAATGCTCAGCAACGGACGCTCAATGAAACGGTTCATGCTCTCCCAGCCTATGATGTTGGCAGGTATCAAGACAAGCTAGCTGAATTTTCTCAGCTTGTAGCCTTTAAGAAGACGGCGATCAAGCCGAAATCCAAATTTTCTTTCAAGAGCGCTCGAAAGGAGACTGTTGCTGTTGCTCAGGACACAGAAGCCTTCGCTGAACCTCTGAAGCAGGTTCCGGTGGCCGATGTGCCCGGTCTGGTCGCGCTGAATGGGCTTCGTAGCCAGGATATCACATGTGGAAGGTATCCGCAGCTTTTGGATGCATCCATCCTCGTCCTTTCAAATATCCGCGAATGCACAATCGATCTGACCCGACCACAAGGACCTTACAAGTCCGTCACCTGCCGCAATGTACATGCTTGCACGCTCTTCAACCTCGAAGCGAGCACGGCAATCTTCCTCGAGTCGTGCACTAGCATTCAGTTGACAGGTACGGCGCAGCAATGGCGCATTCACGAGTGCTCTAATTGCACCATCCGGTACATCTGCCGGACTGGCAGGCCTGTCATTGAGGGTTGCACCGACATGGGCTTCCTCAATATGTCGGATAATAGCGAGACTATGGTTGATGATTTTAGCGACCTATCAGGCACACGACGCAACTGGCGTGTCTTGTGAAAGACTGATTAATGAATTGGTCAACTACGCACGTTCAAAGCTCAGTTCCAATTCTGAGATGGTGGAATCGTGCTTCAAAGGACTTCCACGCCTGTTGGTTCAATGTTGCTGCCAAGCCTTGTCCTGCTGAAAGTCTCGCCACCTCTTCATCACAATCATGCTCGAGTCGAATTCCCCCTCTTTTTCGCCATGAGCATTGCCGTGTCCAGTCTCTCCCTGTACTTTCCTCGTTTCGCCCCACGAAAAGGAGTCGAAGTGTAAAAATGCATACAGAGGGAAGATGCCATTCCAGATTGGCAAGGCCGCTAAGTAAGCCAACATGAAGAGGAAGTAAGAAAATCGCTTCATTGTCAGAACCATGAGAACGCTTGGTAAGCCCAAGATGATGGCCAGTAGAATCAATGGAATGATGGGCACGGGTCTCGTGTAAATTGACGAGATCAGCAAGTATACCGTGAAGCCAATGGCTGCTGGCAAGACCAGAGTGCCGACGAGTTCAATGAAGACCACAAAGTTCATTGAGACGCACATGGTCCCACAGAGATCGCGCACAATCACGAGCTCAAACAAATTGTGCACCGTACTGTTGATCCATCGTCTTCGCTGCGACAACAGCACGGAGAAAGTGTCGGGCACTTGCGTTTTGCAGACTGCAGCTGGCAAAAAAATCATTTTACGTCTTGGAAAGGTTCGGAGAAGCAAGCTCGACAGGTAACGGTCTTCGCCAAGCAGCAGCAGATTCTTGTCATGAAGGGTTTCCACGGCTGTCTCCGAGTAGTGCTCAACAACATCTGGATTTGCTAAGATAGGCACCCATCGGTCTTGGCTGCCAGCAGGCGCTTTGACGCGATATATGCTGAAGCACCCAGGAAGGCACGTCACTCCTCCAAAAACAGACTCAAAGCTCTTCGACAAGTGGTGCGAGATGGCGTATTCGAAAACTTGGATGATGGTCACCCAAGAAGCCATTTTGTTGCTGATTTTTGTTTCACCACAAAGCCCTGTAATGAGCGGGTCTTGCTTCAGTGCATGCAGCATGTGTGTTAGCGCGTCTGGGAAGACCACAGTATCGGCATCGACCATGAGGACCGATTCAAACACATCTGGCATCTTGCCACAAACCTCGCGAATGGCGCAAAAGAGCTCATAGTCGAGCTCGCTCAAGCGCTCGTCAAACATGACCTTTTGGAGGAAACTCATGAGCAGTACCTGACTGTCACGCTTGCCGCGGTTGCCCGTGCGGCTAGGTTCATTGACGGCTTCATCTGCTGTGCCAACCTTGACAATGGTGAGCATGGGTACAACGTGATACTCATCGCCAGCTGGGTCGCTGCATTTATAATGGCCTGGATACACTTTCGCCCTATTGTGGCGCTTGGTCCCACTGGCAACAGCCACGTACGAGTGCGCTTCAGGTTCGTCCTCACTGCGCGTCATCAATTCTAACACTAGGTCTGCTGTTGTTTGATCTTCTCCGTCACCCTTGACGAGCCCATCGCAAATGACCAGGATCAATTTTTGCTTGTCCGGATGAGTCGTGCAGGCGATGGAGTCAAGTGTGGCTCTAAGTCCTGCTGCTGATTCTGAGTAAGCAGTAACAAGACAGATGGTATACGAGGCGCCTTGCTCGTCCTGTCGAGTATCAATTGGATGGCGATGCGGGCTAGTCCGTCTCAACAGATTTGTCGCAGATGCGGAAGATGCGTTGTCGAGCGTGTACATGCCACTTCTTTGATCGTCACCTGAGCTGATCTTTGTCTGATATTGAGTATTATCGCTCCAGGCCTCGATTGCTAAGTCACGCTCGTGCAGTGCTTCTCTAGACTTTGGGAGACGACCAAGCTTGGGTGCCATGACCCATTGAAAGTATAACGCGAGCAAGAACTTGATGCCCACGAGGCCGAGAATCATGCCAAGTGCAATGTACAGCATCACCTGACTTGCCAGACAGCCAACAGTTTTACCCTCGACGCTGCCAATTCGGGCGATATCTCTCAAACACATCGCAAGAGCAACGTCTGTTTTTGACGACAACTGGAGTGTCGTATCTGAGCCTCGCAGTTGGCTGTTTCTGGTGCCGTTGCGCCATTCATCAAATGCAGCAGGATACTCGACTTGGTTCCTGTCAAGTGCTGTTAGTAGATCTAGGTCGAGCACGTCGCCTCGAAAGACGAGCAAGTTGCGAGATCTATTGGCAATCTCATGCCAGTTGTAAAAAACTTCTCCAGCGACCTTTAGGCCAAAGTATGCATTTCGAGCATTATTTGTCGTATGGCAATTGAATCCAGGATATGGTATGGATTTTGAATCTGAGCCAAAGAAGCCGCTGACAGCACTCCCGTTGAGGTGCCTCAAAACGCATGGTGCGTACTGCGAGAGTTGACTGCCTCTATGTAGGATTCTGGAACCGGTGGCAGGTGTGATGAGGCCTGTACAATGGCGATTGACATTCTGAAAGAGCCAGCTAGCATCGAGACCTGCTGCTGAAACAGGTTGATACAAGACATTGGTGTCTGCTGGAATACCTTGTGCTGCTGGGTGCGCAGAGTTGAGGAGGTTGAAGGCGCGTCCGTGGATGACCAAGTAGCCACTTGACTCGTTCTCAATATCACTCGCCTTGATTCGCGGTAACGTATCTGCCGGACACACAACAGCAGAGAATCCGAATGTGATGAAGCCAACTGCAGCACACAACGCAGTTATGACACCCAAGAGACCCACTTTCTCTCGCCATGCTTGACGCTCATTTGGTGTGTGTTTGCCGAGTCGAGAAAGGAGTGCATCAGGAACGCAGAATGTCAATATGCTGCAGTAGACCGTCCATGGCGTCCAGCGCTGCGCTGGGCTGACCCCTTTCACATGTGTTGGTGTGCTGAGAAGCGCTTCTTTCGCCTTGCGTCTGCCGGGTCTTACGAGAGTATTGGACCGCTGCATTGGATGATGTGAAAATACGACTACCTCAGAGTAGTACAAGAACTAGGCAGCCCAGGGACGAGAGCCTCGAGGGGTCTGTGAGTGTCTGGCCTCTTGCTGTTTGCGTTGCACAGACTCAGTGCCAGCCCATCTCGAGACCGAAACGCGGCCTGAGACCACGACTGAGCTGGAGAGGTTGACCTGGTCTCTACCTGTCAAAGTATAAATTGTCTTATCAAGAAGAGGCATTCCTCGTTGTGTCGCGGCTATGCCTGCTCTCTCGGCAGAAGCTGAAAAGACTTTGCTTGACTATGAGGCGACAGCGACCAGGGCTTCGCTAGACACACAATTTGAATTTGCGCTCGTCCTCCTCTCGCACAAGTCATCTACGTTGCATCATGAGAAGGGACTCAAGCTAATTCGACGTCTTTCTGATGCAGCGTTTGCTCCTGCTCAGTATAAACTTGCATGCATCCTCGCTCAGCCAAGCTCTCCCTTGCACAAACAGAACTTGCCTGAATCGCATGCATTACTTGTTGATGCATCAAAGCGCGGCCAACATGCAGACGCATCTTTCCTGGCCGCACATAATCACCTCGCCGGTCAAGGATGTTCCCAAGACCCGGGAAAGGCAGTTCAGTTTCTGAAACGCGCAGCAATAGGTCAACACATTGGCGCCATGACAATGCTTGGGCTCGCTTGCGTCAAGCAGGAGCATGGACTGAAACACCAAGAAAAGGAAGGCGTCAAGTGGCTCAAACGTGCAGCAGAGGGGGCTACCTCACATTTCAATGATGCGCCCTACCAGCTTGGAATCTTGCATGAGACTGGCTTCCTCGACTTGCTTCTACGAGACCACACATTTGCCTTGCAATGCTACGTACAAGCTGCTGACCTTGGCCATCTACAAGCCGCATTCAGACTAGCAGAGTGCTATGAATTTGGTCTTCTTGGGTGTCCAATCGACCCTGGTCTTTCGATCCACTACTACACGATGGCAGCTTGTCCAGAATTCTTGGATCATCATGGTGCTGTCATTGTGAAGGATGGCTTACCACCAGCTTACCTGGCTCTCTGTGCATGGTTATTGGTTGGCTACCCTCCTCTGCTTGACAAGAATGAGCAGGAAGCATTTCTATGGGCGCTTAAAGCGTCGCAAGCTGGCAGTGGCACGGGTCATTATTGCGTGGGCGTGTGCTATCAAAAGGGGATTGGCGTCAAAAGGTCACTCGACAAGGCAATGACCTATTATCTCCTGGCCAAGCAGGCAGGTGATGAGCGAGCAATCAAGCGCTTGTCCATGTTGCCCGCGCGCCAGTCAAGTCCCTTGAAAGATGCTTTTGCGACTAGACGAGGAAGTTCCGATCACGATTCTGAGGGCGAGCATAAAGAAAAACCAAAGGAAGATTGTCTTATGATGTAGAGTGCAACCGTGCTTGTTCTCGAGATTTTCGCTTTGATGTTGATGCTACTGACTATGCTTGAGACGATTGAAGCTGAGCATGGCGTTGTCGCTCAAGCAATTGCTGTACTGTCAGCCCACCTTCCTCTGCAATCACATCGTCAAGATTGTCTGCATCTGCATCCTCGTCAACTCCATAGCTCCTTAGCGCCTCTCCTTCTATCAGGCCATCATCTTCGTCATCAGTGTCAGACAATCCGGCACGCTGGTCAAATGCGATAAGGTCGTCACCACTATCCGGATCGTCGATGTAGAAGTCCTGTCGAACAGACTGCTTGAGAGCCTTGACTGCAGCACTTTCTTGCGTCGTACTTGTAGGTACGGTTGGTGAAGCACGCTGACGAACGCCCGCTGCCCTTTGACGTCTCTCGAAGGCAGCCACATCTGTGACGGCGTCTTGACCGTATGTGAAGCCCGGCGTTTTCTGACTTGATCGAATGACTGCTCGTGTGGGGTCGACAGGAGGCCAAGGTCGATGAGGATCATGATCTTCATTGACTGGAAATGCATGACCAGTCTTGTAGAGCTCTTCCTTGTCTGGAGGTATGTCATACTCGAAATGCTCGGGCAGAACAAAGTATCCTTTTGAAGCTGCCGAATATGAAGGCCACCACCAGAAATACCATCGAGGGCCAAACATGCTGCGCAGATTACGACGGAAGGAATGCAAGTCATATGGAAATGCCGTCTCAGGAACCTTTCTTCGCTGTACCAACTCTTCGACACGTTTGTTGGACCATGATTCGATCGTCGTCATGTTTTCAAAGGAATTCCATGTTTGGTAGATCCATAGGCAGAAGACCATGACAGCTAGGAGACCACTGATAACAGCAATCACACCACAGACAACAAGGACTAGCATGTCACCTTCTTCGTCCACCCCAGAGTACGGTGGGCCACGCTGATCTTCCAGCTCAAGCAGCCACAGAAAGCATCGAACGCTCTGCCAGCAGAGATACGTCGCGATGATGACTACAGCAAGCAGGAATTTGATGAAAGCAGCATGATTGCTGTACCCAACACAGTTATCGAGCCAGGGACAGTGATGATCCATGCGAAGAATACAGGTTTGACATTGCTTGCAGTGATGGGAGCGAGGCGGTCTGAACGCGCGGCAAAGTTTACACCAACGGATAGCACTTGCACTACCCTGGCTTTCAGCGCGATTGCGGATATCTTCTGGGTTTGCAGAGCTCGGTAAAGTTGTTGGATAGCGTGGCGGCGCATACGATTGCTTGACCTGACCAGGATGTCTGGCGCTTATCAGATAGAAAGTCCAGAGAATGTAAGCGACTCCAACATTGAAGAATAGCAAATGACATAGACCTCTCCCTTCTGAGATATCAAGATAGTCCGAGAACAAGAATGGCGAAAGCAAGTAAATCTGAGATGTCGCCAAGAAGAGGATAAGCAACAACGTCAATGTGCGTAGGCTAGCGAATTTGCCATTTAGCTTCGTGAGAAGCGCCATCGTCAAGCTTTCAGATCAACAGCCTTGCAAATCATTCAGGATAGGTCTAGGCCTTGTCCAGCAGTCGCAGCCTGGTATCGGCTTCTAGATATCAACCGGTTACAGCTACAATTGCCGCGAGAGATTGCCCGGGTGAGTGAAGGTTGAACCATCGTCACGATCAGATGGTCAACAGTTCGGGAGGTCGGTGACAGCTGATTTGTGCCAATAGTTGATCTGAGTGCAGTTACCGTCACGATCAATGCATGCACAGAAAGTAGAAGAGTATGCTCAAGTTTTAGGTCATTATAATCCTTTCTCGATAATGCTGCCTTGTCTGTAGATAGTCGTTCGTCTGGTTTGGTAGTTGACCCACTTCAGACGCTTCTTACCTGCAAGTTGCGATGGCCGCAGCGATACGCTCTAACGTTCTCTTCCTGCCAATGATTTGCATAATCTGCTTAACGCCTGCACCACTCAGGCCATCAGCCAGCGCGTATCGTAGGGCTCCCAGAACTTGGCCGTTCTCAACTTGCCATCCAGTCTCCTTTAATAACGCATCAATCTTATTATCAAAGCCTGCTTCAGTCCATCCTGAGGCACTGATAGAGTCAAGCTTTTGCTCCGCCGCTCGAAGAACCTCTTTCAGCGGCACAATCTGCGTTCGAGCAAACTTTTTCCCGAACTTGATTGCTTCCATTGATGCGTAGTGTGGCTCTGTGAAGAAGTACTGTCCGAGCTTTGGCAAACCTAATGGATCAACCATGCGTTCCTTGAGCACATCGATCACTTGACCGACGTAGGCGTCAGAAAACGAGTCATCAGGATATGCCTCGTGGAGGATACTTTGTGCTTGATCGATCAGCAATTGTCGACGATCACTGTCTTCTGACGCGCGAATGTAGTGCTGCTTTTGCAAGTAGTGAAGCTTATCGGCAGTCACGACCGCAGCGCCCTTTGTGATACTACTCAGCTCAAACCTGTCAACCATCTCGTCCAAGGTTAGCACATCACTCTTCTCTCCATCCTGATGTGCGTTCCAGCCCATAAGAGCAAGATAATTCAGTAGGGATTCTGGCAGATAGCCACGTTTGCGGTAGTCCTTTACTGACACGTCGCCATGTCGCTTCGATAGTTTTGCACCAGAGGCACTTGCGAGGAGTGGCACATGGGCAAATTCTGGTGCTTGCCATCCAAACGCCTCGTACAGACTCAAGTGTTTCGGGGTTGATGGTAGCCATTCTTCGCCTCGAATGACGTGCGTGATCTGCATGAGATGGTCATCAACAACGTTGGCAAAGTGGTAGGTCGGGTAGCCGTCAGACTTGATGAGAACTGGGTCATCAAAATTGATGTTGGACACGAGATCCTTCTTGGAAGATCTGTGAAATTGAACAGTGCCGTGAACAATGTCCGTGACAGCAGGATATGCATCTGGCGAATGGAGTCTTATGACATGCTGCTCGCCATCGGCTGCACGCTGCGCCGATTCAGCAGCTGAAACATGCGCACACTTTCTATCATAAGTCCCGGAAAAGCCCGTCTTGCTGCCACGCGCACGGAGCGCCGAGAGACGTTCTGCAGGGCAGAAACAGCGATAAACAGACTGGTTGTCAAGCAAAGTCTGGATGTGCTGCTTGTAAATATCTAGACGATCTGATTGTCGATAAGGAGCATGTCTCCCTTCATGCATGGGACTTTCATCTGGATGCAAGCCCGCCCATGCTAGGTTCTCAAAGAGAGATGCTTCTGCGCCAGGATATAGTCGTTTCTGGAAGCTTGTTAGCTTTTGAGCAATTGATCCTCCATTTCACCTGATCTGTATCTTCGACGCGCACGAGAAACTGGCCACCTGTCTTCCGTGCCCAAAGGTAGTTGTATAAGGCCGTGCGAAGTGAGCCAAGATGTAAGTTACCGGTCGGTGAGGGTGCGAAACGTGTTCGCGCTGGAATTGGTTGGCTCGAAGCACATCGTATACAATATCCAGAATGATTCAATCGCCGAACAAGACTCTTGGCAGTCGAGCCTGTCCACATGCAAATTGTACAGATGGTCAAATTGGATCTCGTCGCGGTCGCGTTGAAAAATGCTTTGGTGATGTCACAAACAGAGAGAACGCGACCACGGGCCTGTGTGCTGCAAGTAGCTATGTGGTATCTGGAAATGCTGGTAAATGGATAGGCTGTGGCGTATGTAGCCGGGTACATTCATACAAGGCCTTCAGGTCCTTCAAACACGGCTTCGGATCTTCCTTGCCAGCAATGCAGTCATCAAACGCTTTTACCTGTACTTTGCATGCTTCTTTCACCTTCTTGATACTCGTAACGCTGAGAAAGTTAGCCGTCAGAATAGGCATCAGAGTGTTGCTCACTTTTCCTCCGCACAATCCGTCAGTCGCCGTCTGTCTTCAATGCAAGAAACGCTCCATGTGCCAGGATTTTGGCTCACGCAGCCTTGATACCGTCTCAAAATGTCTCCGCAGTACTTTTGTCAACAGGGCCGAAGCAGATATCAGTTGAATGTACCTTATTTACCTCGTCCAATGTCGTTTCCATGCTGCAAGCTACTCGTGCAAGGCTCGTCTTTGTGAAGAAGCTCAAGCTCGATGGCAGCGACAACTCAGCGGAGCCGGTCTGCACCAGATGGGTAGACACATGTATGTGTAATACAGGGATGGTCAATATCGAGACTTATGTGTGGAGTCAACAGTCACACTCACAAGGACGTGTAAAAAACGGACGACCATAGTACATTACAGATCATCATGACATCCCTCAATATTGCGATCCTATCTGTGAATGGTTGTTTGTTTCGTTCGGCACATAGTACACAGGTAACTGCAGACTGCCATCTGGAAGGATGATATTATGCGCTGTAGCAGCATCAAGCTGCCCAGGACTCGCCATATCACCAGCCATGGTCGTCTCGATACCCATCGACGCGGAGGGGAAATTACTGTTCCATGCATTGATCAGACCAGCTGGATTCCAGTGCATTGGTGACATGTGTGGATATTGCGGATATGGCATCGAAGGTTGTTGCATCAACGACGGCGATCCATCAGGATGTATCGATGCTGGTGAGCTTGCAAGTGTGCTTGCGTCAAGCTGGGATCCATACTGCACCGACAACATACCTGGATCCTGCCCGGCATAGGTATCTTGAGCAGCATAATACTGCAACTGGCTTGCATCACCATATGTGACCAATGAATCTTGGTTGAGTGAGCTTGCGGACAGAGATGGGTAGTGGAGGATATCTTGAGGCACCGTCTTTGCAGGACGATGCACCTGACTCGGCGACTTGACCTTTGCGTTGGCATGCAAAGCTTGTTGGCTCTGTTGCTGCTGAATCTTGCGATATTGTTCCTGTAATGAGGCAAGCTCTGGTGGTAGTGTTTGCGGATCAAATCGGGCGCTTTGCTGTTGCGAGGCAGACGCAAAGATGCCGCGAAGGACCTCAATCTGTTTGCGCATCATGGGCGTAGACAAGATGACAGCCAGCCGATCAAGAATCGAGAGCGAGCGAGAGAAGAAGTCACTCGCACCTTCACTGAATTCTTGCTCAGGACAAGTCAGACTGACTGCATGAATCATGGTCGCAACAACACACACATACATGGCAAAGTAATTGCCACGAAGCATGAGTTGTACACTGCGAGAACCGTATTGGCGGAACAAGGCTTCGTACGTTGCGGTGATGGCCCTTGCTGCTTCATTGCATTTGCGCAGATGCGTGCGCCATTCGCCTGAAGCGCCATAGGCACCTACAGACACGAGCCAAGGTCGATGTAGTAAGCATGTGATGAGACAGTACGTCAGGTGAAGCTGCCCGACGAAATGACTAGACAGGCGCTCATCTTTGAATGGACAATACCTGAGACGATCTGGTAAGTTCTTGTGCCATTGCTCAAGAACGTCGCTGATGGCAGGGTAACTCGCATCCGCCGCAAAGGGGAACTTGATTCCGACTGTTCTAAAGACGACGGTGCCGCGACGGAGAATCTTGAGCAGGCCAACCATGAAGACAAAATTATTGTGTAGGTTGACTTCCTCCTCGGTAAAGTCGTGCTCCATAAGTTGCAGAGAAGGGAGAAGTGTCAAATCCACGAGACTCATGTCCAATTGCATCTCTCTGCCCTGCGAACTCGCCATCATCTGGTCATAGATGAAGCAAACTTGCCAGACACGTCGTCCAGCGACAGCATCTGGGTCTGTGACCATTGGCCTGTTGACATGATGCAAGCCCAGATCTTTGCACATGCGTAAGGTACATGAGAGGTTGAACCATGCGCGATACCAGTATCCTTTCGTCTCTGGTCGGGACTCAAGATTCTTCAGGTTGAGCACATCTGCTTGGACGGTAGACAACCTCGGAGAATCCCGAAAGTCGTCCTTGTAGCGCTGTATCAAATCCCACCAAATGTCACCGCGCGTCGTGGGTTCGTCAGGTAGAGATCGCACACGAGGATCTTCTGAGAATCGTGCTGCGAGGGCAAAGATGGAGAGCAGCAGATAAGGCGAGATGACTGTGCGGTCGCTGACGTAGTCTTGAAAGAAGAGCTGCCTGTTGACCACCGGCAGGTATGGGTGCAAATCATCAAAGAAGATATTGAGCAGATCAAATGCCAAGTCGGTTGGCGGCAGTAAGCTTGCAATCTCGTCGTGTGTAACGGGCCATTCTGATATCACTGGAAACATGTCTGATGCCATTCGCTTGGTGTAGAAATCGTCGTTCATGGAAGTAGCTGCGTCGTCGTTGATGTAGCCAGCGATCCCGCCTTGATGAATGTGGAGCCCGCCAAAAATATCAGTCAGTGTATTCACGCCGGGCATACTGTCCGTCAGGGGAGTCTTGCTTGCCATTGCTAGCGTCCCCTGACTGGTCTTGTGGCTGGCTCTGCGATTGCCTTGAGCTGGCCTTCGCGCAGCTGCCGTTCGTGCAGGCACAATGTATGAGCTTGGTGGTGAGACAGAGTGCTGGGTATCTGCGGTCGAGTTGGTCGGCGTGGAAACCGACAAGCGCCGCTCCTGAGCTCGCTTATTGCTTCCGTCAAATTCACCATCGTCGCCCGATGTCCTGCGTGTATTGGAGGTGTACGGCGACACTTCCGTCACGCCTTCTTGTGCTTGCACAACACATTCTGTTCCGAGTCGTTGACAGCTCGTGCAAATCTCACCGCCCCAAACGCATTTGATTTTGCGTCGTCGGCAGGATATACAAGCTCGCGTGATTTTGGATCGTTTGCTATCCCGACTGCTCTCGTCAATAAAGACAAATTCTAATGGTCAGTTGCTGTGTGCGCCAAGACCTGGTTGCTTACGTATAGGGGCCTGTGCGGCGTGGTCGGCGCGGCGCATATCGGGCGACTGCCGGGCTGGTTGCTGAGAAGATCTCTCGACGTTATTAGCCATGCTGTTGCTTCCAGGCCTGAAGCAAGGAGCCTGCCAAGCGCTGCCTCTGGAAGAAGATAAACTTTGAGCCAGCGACTATCGATGCGTTTGTCGTTGGCAAGAGCAATCTAAAGCCAAGCAGCCTGCTTTGGTCTCTAGAGCAGTCCACTCCGAGACTTTGACACTATGCTGGCTCGGCCTTGGCTGCAGCTGTTGCTTGTAGTCAATAGTCCTGATGTCGCCCTTCGTCGGGTGTGGAGTTGCTGCTGCTCTTGCTTTTTGACTTTCCCGGTTCCAGGCCACAGAAAGCTTGCAAGTGAAATAGGCAATAGCAGTAGGCAGTGTCAGGGTCACAGCATATGGAACAGAGTAATAGAAGCATTCTCGTGCTACCTGAGATTCATGGCTTGCAAACAATATTCCCACACGTCACATTCAGGAGATGCTACACCATGCCCTGGCACACATGATCCACATGGCCACCACGCTAGAGCAATGCTGCATCGAGCACCTCATTCTTCAGCAAGAGCTCAGCCATCTCCTCGTCGATATACTTCCGTACGCTTACCTGGGCATTGAGTCCCTTGCGTTTCCGTGTTTTGATCATGAAATCCCGCGCCATGTCTTGTGGAGCTGCCGCCTGCAGTGGTCTCAATTTGACAGTTTGATCGAGTGGGTCACCTGGCACGACCTGCCAGTGATCAAAGATTTGCTGACAAAAGGCTTGACCCAGTGTATGACTCCGCAAGTCAGTCTCAAATCCAAACGAGTCAATCACTGGGAGAAGAGCACTGAGGGTATAGAGCGGCGTTCCAGCCAAGGGCCCCTCGCGCGTAACATGCCCACGTCTGTTTGCGAGGACATTGTAGATGGCAGGAATACAGTCAGCAGGCGCTGTTATCATCGCCTGATTGACGGGCTCCATGAGTCGTGGATTCGCAGTCAGCATAGATGCATAGCACACTCGCCGTGCGGTCGGAATCATTTGACCACCGCCACGGTATAGTGCTTCACTAGCGAGTGATACATCCAGAATCTTGAAGCGTGCATCGCGTATGCTTTCGTCACACAAAGGTCCTTCGCGTGTCGCCCACTGGAAACCCTGCTTCAGATGCTCTTTCACGCTGAACAGCAGCTTTTTGTCCACCTCAGTCGGCAGTGTATCATTTTGCAGTATGTTCGGACCATTCTCTTCGGGGCCGAACGCCCAGACTGATCGAGATGCCAACACGTCCCAGTGATAGCGCTCCTCAAAGTGCTTACCGAGTTTCGACGCTGGCCAACGAATATCCACTTGGCCACGCTCAATGTCTTGCGCAATACTGTCGTCGAGGGGCTCGGCAATCATCGTTATCCGGTTCTTTCTGTTGGGCGTGTCAGCATAGCACTTGATGGCAGACGTATCAATGACAGTCTCGCAGAAGCGAACCACGGGATCAGACACTTTAATATCGATCTCCGAGTACAACTTCCGTAGGTCGTGCATGATACTGTCCATGTATAGCTCTCCTGTTCCCAAGATGACATGCTCCCCGGATTCTTCCACCTTTGTCACTGCAAGTGGGTAGGATTTATTGATTTTTCGCAGACCATCAAGCATGCGCGGCAGCTCAGCGGGATTGATGGGCTCAACGGCAAGCTTCATCGTCGACTCCGTCATGTGCTGAATCGGCCTAAAGATGTGACACTCTTCGTCATGGTCCTTGGAGACGATAGTCGCCGTTTTGGAGATGCTCTTGTCGATACCGTCAATCAGTACAAGACAACCAGGACCCATTTCCTCGACGCCAAAGCGATAGCGTGCACCGGGTACAACGATTGATGAGATCTTGGCAAAGGCCATGTCTTCTTCGTCATCAGGAGCATAGGCTTCTCCCAATACGCGGACAGTTTGACCCCGTGTGGCTGTACCAGAGTATATTCTACCAAGCGCACTAAATGACTCGGCAGAAGCGGCGCTGATGAGCTTTGTGATGTGAATAACGAGCGGTCCTTGTGCATCGCCTGATTTCATACATTTGGCAAGGACCGTATCTTGCGGCCCGGTATAGTGATTTTCCACTTTTCTCGCAGCATTATCGGCAGGCGATGCAACATGTTCAAAAAGCATATCAACGAGACCTGTCGCAGGCCCGAAGAATTCCCGACAAATCAATTTGAGCAGCGGTCTTGCGTTCATTTTGTAAGCAGCCGGCCGTAAAACAATATGCAAGTCAGCCAATGTATGCCGCAGTACTGAAGCATCTTCTGATAGAGCGCTTGAGTAGAGTTTGTAGATGGGCTCAAGCACAAAGTGAACAAAAGACCTTGACGCGCCAGGCGCCGCCTTTTTCGTGAATTTATGTGATGCCGGATCAAAGTAGATATCTCCCCATAGCCTTTGAGTGAATTGATCAAGCATGATGCCTTCGAATGTGTCTGCGTAAAATTTGGCAAACGAGCGGAGAGAGAAGCACCAGTTCATGCTGGCTGATGCAAAGCAGACGTTACCTCGCTCTGGACTCAAACGCAGCCGGTCGCTTGAGTCAAAGGAAGCAATGCCACAATTGACTTCTTCAATAACGTGCTTGAGCTTGTAGTATGCATCTGCTGGCGGAAGTTTGAGCTCCAAAATCAAGCGGTCGACTTTGTTGATAACGAGCGTTAGGCTCACACCTTCTGAAACGGCGTACTGTAGCACTCGATTCATATCTGGCATGAAGCCTTCTGCCGCGTCCACCACGAGAACGATGCCATCAGCTAGGCGTATGCTGGCCGCCACTTCATCAATAAAGTTGACGTGACCAGGCGTGTCGATGAAATTGCAAACAAGGCTCTTGCCTTTTGTATTTGGTAGCATGAGTGTGATGGGCGTTGCCTTGATGCTCATACCACGATCGCGTTCTAGGGCATGCATGTCTGTAAAGCGAAGCTGTTGGTCCTTTTTAGGCTCCTCTACTTCTGGATGGGTCTGATAGACGAGCATATCCATGAGTGCCGTCTTTCCATGATGTAGATGACCAACGACTGCGACATTACGCACAAAGTCTGGGAAGGCCATAGATTGCAGCATGAGCGACCGATCAAAGACAACTTCAGGCAAATCGTCTTGCTCCACAGTGAATCGCTTTTGACGGACCGGCTTGACAATTGGCTCAGTCAGCGGCTGTGCATCTTCTTCCTGGACCATGACCTCGACATCTTCGCCATATATTTGAGCTGCAGAAGGATAGTACTGCTTGTCTTCGTGCAATATAATTTGATTTTGCGGCTCTGCCTCCTCTTCCACCTCTCCATCTACTTGCATCGACTCCATCTGTGCTCCATTTGTTATTCGAGCGGCAGGTGCTGCCTGCAAGTTTGCCGAACCATCCTCGTCTGAATCGTCGGCGCCAATGTAGTTGCCGAATCTAGAATTAGCCGACTGTCATGAGATCAGAATAGCATACTCATCATAGAGGTCGTCGTCCATGTACACAAGAACACGTCAGGCTCGTACCCACTACAAGCGTTGCCAACAATTGTGAGGGAGCGCGTACTCGCCGAATTTGAATGTCGCATTTTGCAGCTTCGGAGTTCAGATGCCACAGCAGCACACACTTTCATGTATAGTCAGGCAATTACGGTGAAGAGATGTTCAAACGCAACATAGGGATGAATCACACTGGAACACTGACTGGTAGCATGTCCTTCAATACGGGCTACATCCCTGTTCATTGCTGTTGCCAAGGTCTTGCTGCTCAATGAGCTTCTTCACCTCCGGACCCAAGAAGTAATTGGGCCTTGTTGGCACCCAAGTATCGCTTCCATTTGCATTTCCACCATACTCAAAGTAGCCAGTATCCTTGTAACCGTCGATGAGAGGCGGTAGCGCATCTGGCCCGACAATAAAGGGAGTCGCCATGCCCATGACCAGGTGAGGACTAATGTGGCAATGTGCCATCTAATGTTAGTGTCGAGCCAGAAAATATTCTCATACCCATGCGCCAGTATCAGCAGGTGAAGCGACGTATCGAATATGAGCCCAGCCACCACCTTTGCCAATATCGACTGTCGTATTGCCAATGGTAGCACCAGGACCCGGATAAACTGCCACCGTGTCACGCATATATCCTGACTTGTAGTCCGTGTTGAGCAATGTTTGAGGGTCTGGTGTACCAGGGCCTTGAGCCAATAAGAAGAATGGTCGGGAGTGTAGATGCATTGGGTGAACTTCAGTCTTCTTGGTTGGCGATCCGAGATTTATGAAGATGATATCCAGCACCTGTCCAGGTTCCAATACAAAGGCCTTTGATACCGGATCGAAAAAATTGTTGCCTTGTGCCTTTGGGAGGGGCAAGTGACCTTTGTAGAGACTGACGAGGTAAGGTTCGCCACCAAGGCCTGCGCTTTCTTCAAAGACCTGGCCTTTGATGGCCCATCGCAATCCACCTTTGCCAAACTTGATTTGCTGCATGTCCATCAGAATGACATTCTTTTTGGTATTGACCGGAATTGGCATGTCCACGAGTGGTTCGAATTGAGTCTGTATCCAGCCAAAGGTTTCGTTAGGCAGTGTGTATGCAAGCATGCTCTCCGTCAGGTTTCTCTTGTCCTTTGTAGAACGGTAGTACTTCTTCTTCGGGAATGGCTTTGGCTGATAAGTGCCTTTTTCCACATACTTGAGGATGGCAAATTGCTGAACCCGTGGCATACGCCATCGTGATGAGAGATTGATAAGGTAGCGACCATGCTTTCCATCTGCCTTGACTTGTTCCTCCGACCTGCCTTGTAGTATGGTCGAATAACGCTGGCCAGGGGCGATTTCGATATGATCGACTTTGACAGGTTTCAAATTAGTGCCATCAGCCTCGACGACGGTAAGATCATGTTGCTCAATACCGGCAGCAATGTACATCAAGCTTCCCGCCCCAATCCAGCGCAAGCGGTACTCCTTGTCGTACTCCACCTCAATGACGGGCAAGTCAGCTGCGCACGACGCGGATCTGTGATTGTTGGTTGACATGCCATTCAGTAGTAGGGCTTTGGAGTTGTTGGTCCAGGCAAAAGGATCTTTGAGAAGACCCTGCTCCAAAACATCATCAGTGGGTCCCTGTTGTTAGCTATTATAGAGCAGAACTTGATCCTACCCAGATGTCACTAAGCATCATGATGCGGTCTTCCCATGTATTGGATTGTTCACATTTCTTTCTTGGTGAGATGATGAGAGGAGCAAAAGCGGTCGACAACTGCAAGCCGACATGAGAATGCGCAAAGTAAGTGCCGACGTTCTCGTCATTCAGAAAGTACTCGTACTCGAAGAAGCCACCAGGAGCAATCGGCCACTGAGTGAGTTGCGTGCCGTCAGACCAAGGAGAAGCTGCCATCGACAAGCCATGCCAGTGCATGGTGAAGTTATGATTCTTCATCTTGTTGAAGACGGTGATGATGATACGGGAACCAGCCGTAAAAGAAAGCAAAGGGCCAGGGAAAGAGCCATTGATGAGGACTGATGGTCGCTCAGTCGTACAATCGACCCAGACTGTGCCCTCAGTGATGACCAAGGACTCCCTCACAGTGGGTATGCCGTCATCCTTGGTAGAATCTGGGGCAGCGGTAGCAATGAACGCATTCGTCACCGTAGCTGCGAGAGTCCATGTCAAAAGCCGCATTATGCCTCACAAAGAATGTTTGGATCTCTGAAGCAGCACTGGCACCAGCTTCCCATCTTGTATTCGGTGGCCCCTGAATCCGAAACAAAAGTGGATCCCGCTTTGGTGAGGTGGGATATCAACATGTGCAGATTGCCAAAATCTTGGGTTGCAAGGTTTAGCCATGTGAGGAAATGGAGCCTGATTCCGTCGATGTCGATTTTGCATCGCATCGCATCAGCAGATGAACACGCATCACAAAGATCATGCAACTAGTCCCACAGAAAGTCAGACAGGGCTTCACTTGCTTGTGATTTTGTCACTTTGGAGAGCACGCGGCCATCCTTTGTGTGCTGCTTCAGCTAGAAGCTTCATACAAATGACAGCCTGAACTGTTCAGGAGAGTCTTGAAGTCGCAGAGACATGCTTAAGCAGATGCTCTCTACACGACAAACAAAAGCTTTAAGCGGCTTACTTCGTATCTGCTTGTCTCCGCTACCTTCCCAGGCCAAAAAACATGAGAAAAAGTAGGACTTCTTATCAAATGCATATAGACACGTACAAGCCATCTTTAATGCATATGAGCCCATGAGCTGGACTTCCGACGAAGCAGTCAGAACTCAGGTATCGAGCGCATCGATGCTTTTTGGCTCTCCATCTGCTGATTTTCCTAACCCTGATCCATCCAGATCAAAATCACGCGCTCGTCGTCGCCTTACTAGGTACGCTGGCCATACGCGCCTTGGTAGCTTGTGTCCTGTGGAAGAATAGGGGCGAGCGTCTTTTTCTGCTTGCTTGCGCCTCTAACTGCTTGGCTGTGTGCTGCATGCGACTCGAGCTGTCTTCGATAGATGCCTGCTGACGCGCAATGGTCAGCCCAAGGATTCACATGCGGTAAGAGCGCGTTTGGTCATCGCAAAAGCTGACAGCAGGTCATCAGAAGGTCTATGTTGATCTCAACTACGCGGAACAATCATTTGAAGTTCGCATCTCGCTTGGCAGAATGCGACTAACAACCAGGGATGGACAGAGCTTTCTATCGTACCGCTGACGGCTTCGCTCTCATCTGCCTCGCTTCACTGCTTCCAGTCGGAGATAACAGACTGCCAGGTTAATGGTCAAGGAGCCGACTGGCTTCATGGCAATACACTCAAGTCATCAACGCGGATAGCCAACTCGACGGCGCATCAGCACGATCAGCTACGACAAAAGTTTGGCATCTTTAACCGCAGCATCAATGCCTGCGATTTGCACATACGATTTCCTGAAGGTGTCCGTGTCACGTCACAGCAGGAGGACTACTCGACTGCGTCAAGAGAGACGCGAAATGATGGCGCTGCGGAGGATAATGATGATGCCGAAGGTAAACGCGGCCTTGGACCCGCAACACCAGCTCTTGCAAATTTGAACCAAGGCGGTCCAGGGAAAGTACACTACAAGCCCATTACAGTCAAACTGTGGTTCAAAGGGTCGGCACCGTGCCTGGGCATGCGTTTTGTGGATTGCGATGCTGGTCAGGCATATCCGCATGTTTACACATCAAATAATCCCGTACCTTGCAGCACATCCATGTGGCTGCCATGTCTTGATGGCTGGTGGGAAAGGTCTACTTGGGAACTGGCAGTCTGTGTACCAAAATCCTTGGGCGATATCTTTAAGCGGAAAGGTGTCATGGACACGAATGAAGACGGTAATGAGGAGGGTGATGAAACGTCACGCGATCAAATACCCTTCACCGTGGTCAGCTCGGCAGATTTAATCGACGAGACGGCGAGTCCGGATGATCCTTCGTGCAAAATCATTTCCTTTGCGCAATCTTCACCCACAGGCGCAGCACATATTGGATTTGCGGCAGGTCCCTTCATCAAGGCAAATCTCGCAGAGTATAGCGATGGCGAGGAGCACTTATCCACCAATGCTGGTGCAGAAACGTTTGGCTACTGTCTTCCCGATCATGTCGCTGAGATGAAGAGCACATGCTATGTCATGCATCGCGCCATGCAATTCTTTGTGCGAGACTTTGGCAGCTATCCTTACACAAGCTACAAAATATGCTTTGTGCAAGACATGGAAGTCGATGGCGTCCATTTGGCATCGCTGACGTTGTGCTCATCCCGACTGCTCTACTCGGAACGCATGATTGACCCCATCTATTCAGTAACCAGGCAGCTGGCTTTCCTCTTGGCGAGTCAGTGGGTCGGTGTCAATACTGTACCCCGGCTATGGTCCGATATCTGGCTCACGATGGGTCTCGCACACTACATGACTGGCCTTTTTCTGCGGTCGCTGATGGGTAATAATGACTACCGCTTCCGACTGAAGGAGGCTGCAATGAAGGTCACTGAGCAAGATATTGGCAGACCGCCAATCTCCTCGCGAGATTGGGATTTGCCAATTGATGAAAGGCAGCTTGCCTTCATTGCACTGAAGGCGCCCGTTGTCTTGCACTTGCTTGAGCAACGCTTAACCAAAGTGGGAGGTAATTTAGGATTAATGCGCGTCTTGCCAAAGATCTTTCTACAGAGCATGAGTGGTGGGCTTGTCAATGGACAGCTCGGTACCAACCACTTTCTACGGCAGTGTGAAAAAGTTTCACATAGCAAGCTCGAGGACTTTGCAAGGCAGTGGATATTTGGATTCGGTTACCCGCGCTTCTCAGTTGTTCAGCGATTCAACAAGAAGAAGATGGTGGTGGAGATGGGTATCCGGCAGCTGCAATTCGCAGATGACGGGCGACAACCCCTTGATGAGGGACGCTTCATTGACCAAGCCTACAAGAGTCTGACGAAGCCGCCACAGCCGCCCGTGGAAGCAGTTTTTACCGGCCCAATGACGATTCGCTTGCATGAAGCAGATGGCACGCCGTATGAGCATGTTGTTGACATTAAGGAGCAGTTCACAAAGCTGGATATTCCCTACAACAACAAGTATCGACGGCGAGCAAGGACGAAAGCAAAGAAGGCAAAGCTTGCAGACGGTGAGGACGAAGAAGCCACAACAGACAATATCAACTGTCTTGGTGATGGTCTGCAAAGTGAACAAGATGTTGTGCAGTACAAGTTACAAGATTGGACAAAGGAAGACGAACTCAAAATGTCGAGCGAGGCTTTCGAATGGCTGCGCATGGACTCAGAGTTTGAGTGGATCTGCACCATGTCTGTTGGTCAGCCCGACTATATGTTTCAGTCGCAGCTGCAGCAGGACCGCGATGTCGTCGCTCAATACGACGCTGTGCGTTACTTTGCCTCTGCCAAGCCGTCATTTCTGGTCTCTACCATCTTATTTCGCACACTTATGGATGAGCGCTACTATTACGGCATTCGTATGTTGGCTGCCGATGCGCTCAGCAGGGCTGCTGTCTCGGAACTCGATATGAGAGGGGAATTCCACCTGCTGATGGCATTCAAGGCGCGTTTCTGCTTCACTGAGTCTGAGCAATTTGTCCCACTTGACAATGACTTTTGCAACTTTGCAAATTACTTCGTTCGATGTGCCATCATTCGAGCATTATGCAATGTTCGCGTTGACGGGGCTGCGACGGCGGCTGTGCGCATGTTTATGCTGACACAGCTCAAATACAATGACAACTTCAACAATGCATTTGATGATAGTCATTACGTCTCTACGCTTTTACAAGCCTTGACGGATGTCTTGATTCACCGCAATCTTGAGCTGGCCGGCAATCCTCTTGAGCAAGCTGATTTTGCTGAAGACTTTCAAGCGAGTCTGGCAGAACTCGACAAATGGCAGCGACTGGACAGATGGATGCCCTCTTTCCAGAATGTAACGACGCAAACCGTGCTGTCTTGCAAGGAGCAGCTGATGCGTGCAAATCTGCTGCAGCGCTCACTGAAGGAATTCCTGTTCTTTACGCAAGAAGACCACTATGCTCTTGTGCGATTACAGGCTTTCAAGTGTCTCATGGGCCTGGCCGCACTTCGAGAAGCGTCCATCGTGCGCTTCCTCTTCTTCACAATGAAGCACGACGAGTCTGCATATGTGCGTGCTCGGCTCTCGGAGATTGTGCAATATGGCTTTGGCTGTTTGGCATTGCATGCTCGCTCCGGCGACGGCAATGACAATGCTGTGGATGCGTTGATTTTTGAGGAAGATGCAAGTGAAGCAGTTGCTTTGCGCAGAGAGCGAGAGATGCGCTCAACCTTGTCTGGCGCCATGACTGCACTCCGTCAAGAGCTGTCTTGGGATAGTACCCTCAAGCAACAACTATGGTCTGTTGCGAATGGCTGCACCCATCTCAACCCACTCATTCGCAGAAATATGCTCGATGTGTGCAAGATCCTTTATGAACCTGTTGCAAGCCGGATTCTCAAATTCACATTGCCATCCATGAAGGCAAGATTACGTGCTCGACACTTGGGCAATGGCCGCGTCGTCATTAACAAGGTTCGACCACTAGAAAAGTATCAAAAGAAGGCTCCTGTCAAAATCAAACTGAAGCTGTTTAATTCGGCAGCGAAGCGGAAGAGTCTTATGTAGCCTAATAGATCAATGGAGTCCTTCATGCAAATCTTGACGCTAAATAGAATGTATGAATCACACTATCGGGACCGTGCGTCTATAGCCACTAACTTTTTACCTAAGGTTGCTGAAAGCCTTGGTCACAGTCCTCTTGAGCTTGAGCTCAGCAGAACGGAGCGACTCGGTCGATGCGTCTTGCACCTCAAGAGCCTCCATGGCTGCAGCAAGAGCATTCTCAATCTTGCCCTTGTCACCACGCTTGAGCTTGGCCATCATGGTTGGCTCGGAAATGTTACCCTCGATGGATGACACGTAAGCCTCGAGGTTCTGCTTAGCTTGCAGCCGTGCGGAAAAGTCCTTGTCGGCCTTCTCAAACTCCTTGGCGTTCTTGATCATGTTTTCAATCTCAGTGGACGAGAGACGACCCACAGAGTTGGAGATGGCAATTTGGGCGGTACGGCCGGTGGTCTTTTCCTTGGCAGTGACGGTCAAGAGACCGTTAGCATCCAACTCGAAGGTAGCCTCGAGTTCGGCCTGGTTCTTGGGCATGGGTGGGATACCCTTGAGCTCAAACTCACCCAAGGACTCATTCTCCTTGCAGTCGACACGCTCACCCTGGTACACTGGGAAAGTGACTTGGGTCTGGCCATCCTCAACGGTGGTGAAGGTACGCTTCTTGATGCAAGGAATAGGGGTGTTGCGGGGCACAACAACACCAAAGATGTTGCCCTCCATAGCAACACCGAGCGAAAGAGGAACAACATCGAGCAAGAGCAAGTCGGAAGTCTTTTCAGAGTTGGCCTTGTTGGTCAAAACTGCGGCCTGGACGGCAGCACCGTAAGCAACAGCCTCATCGGGGTTGATGGACTTGTTGCACTCCTTGCCGAAAAAGTCAGACACGAGCTTCTGGATTTTGGGGATACGGGTAGATCCACCCACGAGGACAATATCGTCCACCTTGGACTTGTCAATCTTGGAGTCCCGGAGAACCTTCTCAACAGGGTCAATGGTCGACTTGAAGGTAGCAGCGTTCAAGTCCTCGAAACGAGCACGAGTAATGTTGGCGGAAAAGTCGGTTCCCTGGAAGAGCGAGTCAATCTCAACAGTGGTCTGTGTCACAGACGAGAGAGTACGCTTGGCACGCTCGCAAGCAGACCTGAGACGACGAAGTGCACGTGGGTCGTCGGAAATGTCGTGCTTGGACTTGCGGAGGAATTCAGCCTTGAAGTGCTCGAGCAAGGTGTTGTCAAAGTCCTCACCACCGAGATGAGTGTCTCCGGCAGTGGCCTTAACCTGGAAGACACCACCCTGGATGGTCAGGATGGACACATCGAAAGTACCACCTCCGAGGTCGAAAATGAGAACATTCTTCTCCTTCTCTGAACGCTGGTCGAGACCGTAAGCAATGGCGGCGGCAGTTGGCTCGTTGATGATACGGAGGACGTTGAGTCCGGCAATGGCACCGGCATCCTTGGTGGCGGTACGCTGAGAGTCGGAAAAGTAGGCAGGCACAGTAATAACGGCCTTCTCAACCTTCTTGTTGAGCTTGGTCTCTGCAATCTCCTTCATCTTGACGAGGACCATGGCAGAGATCTCCTGAGGTGTGAATTGCTTCTTCTCACCGAGGTACTCGACCTCAATTTGAGGCTGACCATCGGCATCCACGACATTGAAAGGCCAGACCTTCTTGTCTGCCTTGACCTCTGCGTCATCGTAACGACGGCCAATAAGGCGCTTTGCGTCGAATACGGTGTTGCGAGGGTTCATAGCGGCCTGGTTCTTGGCCGAGTCTCCAACGAGACGCTCTTCATCTGTAAAAGCGACGTATGAAGGGGTTGTACGGGCACCCTGGTCGTTGCTGATAATCTCGACATTGGGAGAATCATCTTGCCATACACCCACACAGGAGTAAGTCGTGCCTGCGGTTAGTTTTGGTCTATAGAAATTAGTTGCGACTGAGCAAGGTGTCCAGGTCCGATGTCTCGCATCACTCGAGAGACGAATGAGTCCACTCAGTACATGAGATCAGACAAAACAAGGCTCCTCCCGGAAGGAGCCGGAAATCCGCGCCTTGCTCAACAGGTGTCGCAGAATAACTCACCAAGGTCGATTCCAATAGCTCCGTTATAGAGAGTAGTTGATTCTGCCATCTTCTTGCTGCAAGTTGGCTTGGGTATCGGCGTCTGGATGAAGAGAAAAAAATGTGATTTGGGCGCCATCTGAAGGCCTGTGACTGCCAAACACGGTAAATACAAGGACAACTTGGTTACTGCATCATGAGACCATCTTGTCGTGTGGATAGAGCCTGAGCTGTGGTGATGGACAGAGCACTGCAGCTAGGATGTGTCTTCCGACCTATGCATCTAATATATTTTACGGTGGCTCAGCAGTCACAGGCTTAATGATCATGCTTCTTGGCGAAGTCTTGCTGTATCATGAACTCAGATGAGTTGACTAAGGAACACTTGAGGTGCTTTCCCGTCAAGGGCAGATACAAAGGTCGTGCCATTTCTCTACGTGCTTGTAATGCTTGGTTGTGTTTGCAACAAAACAGCATTCAAGATGAAGTGTCGGACCTGCGCAGTGCTCCTCTGATGACCTCGGCAGGCAAATCGGTGATTCACCTGATGAGGCTTGTGCACATAGAGTCTGCGTGCTGGACACGTAGCTTCTGCTGCTGGACAAAGCAGCGGTGGCAATACTTTGCGCCAGGCTTGCTTGTTTCTTTGTACCAGATAGGTGATTTCATATGCGCTTCTGGAGAGCCACACTCAAAGCACATTTAGCCTTCTGGATGGTCGACCAGGACTTGATATGGCTACATTTTAGATCAAGATTTCAGTCGTTCACTATACTTTCCCAGCTGCGAGAGCGGGTGCCTTGTGTTCGTGACAGTCGAGAGCTGAGATGCCTTTAAGGACATTCTAGCCTTGCCATGATGAGCTCATTTATTCTTTAGAAGCATAGCGCCAGGCTTCTCCGCCATTGTACATTGCCATATGCTAGCAGCGATCGCGAGTATGCGTTGTTGCTGGTAGCGCTGGCTTTCTGGTTGTCGCAAGTCGACAGCAGGCTAGAAACCCATCAGAACTTACTACAAACGAATTCACTCTGCCTGCATGTACACATGGCATGAATAGCCAAAATGATAGGACACTCTTCTATCTAGCTGCAGGCCTTGCTGCTGGGTCTCTACTGACTTATTTGCTCCGTCAAAGCGCCGCTGGTGCTGCTACAAGTACTCTAGATACACAAGCTACTGCTCCTGCATCACCGCTCATCGCCAATGGACTTGACGATGCTATTGGCAATACCCCGCTCATCCGTATCAAGTCACTGAGTGACGCCACAGGTTGTGAGATTCTCGGCAAGGCAGAATTTCTCAATCCTGGTGGCTCTCCCAAAGACCGTGTTGCTCTGGCTATCCTGAAACAAGGCGAAGCAGCAGGCTTGCTCGTACCAGGTCGTGGCGATGTTGTGTATGAAGGGACGGTCGGCAGTACTGGCATTTCACTTGCTTGGCTGTGTCGAGCACGCGGGTATACCGCACATATTGTCATGCCTGATGATCAAGCTGCTGAAAAGGCAAGTCTATTGCAATCCCTCGGAGCGATCGTTGAACGTGTTCGACCAGCTTCGATTGTGGATCGTGGGCAATTCGTAAATCGCGCACGAGCACTTGCTGCAGCGCATTCAGCAGACCCTACAAGACCCGGTCAAGGCCTCTTTGCTGATCAATTTGAGACGGAAGCGAATTGGCAAGCTCATTATGCTGGGACGGCTGTGGAAATACTAGCTCAGACACAAGGCAAGATGGATGCTTTTGTGGCTGGTGCAGGCACAGGTGGCACCCTCACTGGTATTGCAAGACGATTGAAGCCTGCTATTCCAGGGCTGCAAATTGTGCTCGCAGATCCACAGGGTAGTGGTCTCTTCAACAAGGTTCAGCAAGGTGTGCTTTTTGCAGACACTGAAAGAGAAGGGACGCGCAGACGAAGTCAGGTGGACACGGTTGTGGAAGGCATTGGCTTGAATAGGCTTACACGCAATTTTGCAGCTGGTTTGCCACTCTTGGACCAGGCGATTCGTGTGACGGATAGGGAAGCGGTAGCCATGTCGCAGTATCTCATGCAACACGATGGCTTGTTTTTGGGGAGTTCAAGTGCCGTCAATTGTGTGGCTGCTGTACGCATGGCAGAGCAGATGGGTCCCGGTCATCGGATAGTGACGATTCTCTGTGATCCTGGGACGCGACACTTGTCCAAGTTTCACAATACTGCATACCTGGCGTCGCATGACTTGACTTCTGAAGCGTCACTACGGTTTGACGGTCGTAGAATGGTATTTCCTTGGTAGAATAGTACCGTAGTGAGTGACCCTTTCGCATGATTCAGGAACAAAAACAGGCGACACCGCACAACACAAAGACACACAAACACACACGCTCGTAGCCCAAGGGGCCCAGCCTGCACAAGGTCGCATCCACTCGATGCTACCTCACTCGTAATAAACCTCATCCCTGTCTGGTAAAAAAAGAAAGACATGTCCACGTCGCAAAATAGACGCGTCTCCAGTATGGCTAACCGACCGAATACACGCACTTCTCTCCAACCGGCGACCATGACGCCGCGTCCTGGTACAATGCGCACGACCTCAAACAACATCTTCCTGCGACGCGACTCATTGACGCCATCATCCGCGACGGACCCGCATGCAAACTCACCGGACTTGCCTATTGCTGATGTCGGTGATCGCGTTGAAGTTCCAGGCGGGTACCATGGTATCGTACAATACGTCGGCCCAGTCGCTGATCGAGAAGGTACCTTTCTCGGTATCGACCTCGATGCAGAACATGCGAATAAAGGGAGAAACGACGGTACTCATAAAGGTCAGCGGTATTTCAATACAAAGACACCCACGTCTGGGCTATTCGCACCACAAGGGAAGTGTCAAATACTAGAGACTATTCGGAAGCGAGAGTCTCAGGTTTCTGCTGGTGGTACAAAGCATCCCTTGTCTGGCATGCAACCGCCGACCATGACGGGATTGGGATTGGGCCCACCACCACGTACTGCATCGGGATCCCATCAACGTATTTCAAGTCGAACGTACAACGTCCGTCCCGAGTCTCGACTATCGTTGTCTGCAGCAGGTCCACCGCCCCGCTCAGAAGAAGTCCATCAGCAACAAGCACAACAGCACCAACAACTCCTCAATGACAATGCACGGCTCCAAGAACAACTTGCCGCACTTGAAGCGCAACATGCTCGTTTGTTAAAGGCAAAAGCAGTACAAGCGCAGGAAATGGATGAAATGATGATGACAGTGAAAGAACTTGAAGCCTACATGGCATCCGCTGACCATACGGACGAACAAGAGACGATTCGCGCTTTGCAAGAAGCATTGGCTGAGCGAGATGACAAGATCCTACAATTACGGGAGGAAGCTGCTGAGCGACGTCGAGACTTTCAAGCGGTCACGGAGCACCAGGAGCAGACAATTGAGCAGTTGAAAATGCTGCATGAACGGCGAATTGCAGAGATGGAGGAGCAACGCAGTGATTTGGAAGAACGTCTCCTCAGTTCTGCTGGGACGGATTCGTTGAATCCTATTGAAGTGGCAAGGCAAGTCTCTGCGCTCGAGCAGGTCTGTGATGAGATGCAGCGTGGTAGTGAGCAAGCGAAAGAAGCCATGGACATTGCACATGGCAGGATCGCTGAACTGGAACAAGAGAATATACGACTTCATGATGAAGTGATTGCTTCTCGCACAGCAGCTCTTGCACAAGGCAGCAGCGACGTGCCAAAGCAGGTGAGTAAACGGTCTTCCTTGGATCAACTACCGCAAGGCCACCCGCAGCGTGCATCGGCCTTTGGTATGCTCGAGGGAGAAGTTAAGCGGCTGGAGGAGGAAGCTGCACGTATCCAACGGACAGCTGCACAGAAAGAGCAGCAAGCGAAAGCAAGAATCCACGCACTTGAGCGCGAACTTGCTGCATCCAAGAGTTCTGATATGGAGCGTCAATTGTTGCAAGAACGAGAACAGCGCATGATCCTTGAAGATCGCTATGCAGAATTGGAGAGGCAGTTGGAAGATACAATCATGCAGATTGAGCAAGCGTCCTTGCCCGCACGTGCTGCATCTCGGTCGACATCTCTCACAACATCGCCGTCATTGTCGATACGTATTCCTGCGCCATCACGGACGCCTGACCCGTTACGTTCGCCGCGGCCACCACGGGGGAGGTTGACGGACAATGAGGATGATTGTGTGGAGCCTGCAAGTGCTGGTCACAGTGTCTGTGAGTTTTGTGGCAAGACGGGACATGACATGCTGCAGTGCAAGGATGTATTTGGTACGCCGCAGCAGAAGCAGGAGACGGGTCAGGCTACAAATAGTATGGCTGGTCGGCAGGGGAGCAGTGTTGCGCGGGTCAAGGAGGAAGCAGAGACGATGACGCCGCCCCGGATGGACAAGGAGGGGCGGCTGTGGTGTGCGTGCTGTGGGCGGTATGGTCTGCATGGGACTGAGGAGTGCCCTGATGCGGATGAGCAATTCTAGTCTAGTCTAGTCTAGTTCTAGCTTGTATACTCTTCAGTCTCTTCTGCCTCGGGATGAATTTGTGCCGAGGCTCCTCTCTTCAGATGGCACGGCAGCAGCAATTCGGTGGGCGATTCTCTCCGCAGTTCCGGGGCAATTACATAAGAGCCAGACCATCCCCAGATACCACTCCTCATCTCCATCCATCCATTCAACATCATGGCCATGGACGACAAGCAGATGCCAAAGGCAATGCAGACAAGGGACCTTCCCCTCATCTCCCCAACAGGTACATATCATCGTCCATTCCCAATGCATGCATAACTGACCTCCACAGGCCCAGAAGCACTCGCCGCAGAGCGCGCAAAGGCCACCTTTGACCCTAAAGAGCTCTCCGTCTACATCTACGGCAAGGAGTACCTCGACCGCAAGGCCAAGATTCTTGCTCTCCTTGAAGCAGAGCCCATCTTCAACAAATCAGTCAACTACTACCAAGGCCGCGCAGACCGTCTCAAGCGTGCGCTCGAGCGTGGAAAACGATCCACCCAACTCGCAAAGCAGCATGATTGGAACATGGATGATATTGCTATGGCTGACTTTTTGGTGGATGAGCCAGGACCGTATGGTCTCCACAAGTCCATGTACTTGATCACCCTTCGTGATCAAACAAACGACGAGCAAAAGGAACTCTTCGAGAAACCAGCTATTGCCTATGATCACATTGGTTGTTATGCACAGACTGAACTCGGTCACGGCTCCAATGTGCGTGGACTCGAAACCACAGCCACTTGGATTGAAGCGTCGCAGGAGTTTGAAATCAATACCCCAACCTTGACGGCCACCAAGTGGTGGATTGGCTCGCTGGGTCGTACTGCCAACCACGCCGCCGTCATGTGTCAGCTCATTGTCAAGGGCAAGAACCTCGGTCCTCACCCCTTCATTGTCAATATTCGTGACTTGAAGACACACAAACCCCTCAAGGGCGTGACTGTCGGTGATTTGGGTCCCAAGTTTGGTTACAACACAATGGACAATGGTTTCCTCCAGTTTGACCATGTTCGCATTCCTCACATCAACATGTTGGCCAAGTATGCTAGCATTGACCGCAACACGGGACAATACCTCAAACCAGCAAATGCAAAGTTGGCCTACGGTACCATGACTTGGGTGCGTTCTCGTATTGTTATGCACGCTCGATTGGTTCTGGCACGCTCAGCCACGATTGCCGTGCGATACTGCTCTATTCGTCGTCAATTCCAGGATAAAGACGCAAAGGACCAGTCTGGTGAGACACCCGTCATTAACTACTCCACGACGCAATACCGACTCTTCCCCATTCTTGCACAGTCGTTTGCTTTGCACTATGTTGGTTTGCAGATGGGTAGGTTGTATGAGACCAATATGAAGCAAATGTCCAAGGGCAACTTTGAGCTTCTTGCAGACTTGCACGCAACCTCATCGGGTCTCAAGATTTGGTCCACGACAACGGCTGTTGGTGCCATTGAAGTGGCTCGTCGCGCTTGCGGTGGTCATGGATTCTCCATGTTTTCCGGTCTCGCACACGCCTACCAGGACTACCTCCCTGAAGTGACATGGGAGGGTGACTCGCAAATTCTCTCTCAGCAACTCGGTACCTACCTCCTCAAAACGGCACGTTACGTGTTTGCTCAACGTCCTGGACATGTCAAGAAATCCATCACGAACCCAACCATTGAGTACCTCCTCAACTACCAAAACGACCCACACTTCAAATTGAAGGGTATGATTCAAGATGGTCAGTATTTGGTGAAGCTCTTTGGTCATCGTGCAGCGTATGCAGTCGCTCAAGTTGCTCGTCGTCGTGACCAGCTCGGCGAGACATGGAACTCTTTGTTGCACGAGATTTATGAGATGGGCATGGCGCATTGCGAGTACATGCTTGTCAAGTACTTTTGGCAAGCCCTGACCACAGACGAACAACTTGCACAGGGTAAACCCTTGCGTTCTGTGATTGAACCACTCTTCAACTTGTTTGCCTTGACGACTCTTGAGTCCAAGGCTGCAGAGTTCTTTGCTGCTGGTTGTTTCTCACAGGGCTTGTATGAGGAGACCAAAGTGGAGATTCTCAAAGCACTTGCACAAGTCAGGCCGAATGCTGTGCCGTTGGTGGATGCATTTGACTTTCCAGACTTTTTGCTGCAGAGCTCCTTGGGTAGGTTTGATGGAAATGTCTACCCTGATATGATTGATCGTGCATCGCGCGAGCCTGCGAATGCATCCATCATCAACAATGATTATCGTTCTGCAGAACTCGTGCGTGGTGAAGCACAGAGTGAGCTGTTGATTGCTGCATTCAAGGCACAATCCAAGCCTTCCCTTTAGTTGTGTAGATGCATTGTTTTTGTTCACTTGACTTTGATTTTTTTTTTGGTTCAATGGACTTGAATCTACGTGAGCTAGCTAACGTGTGATGGTGAACGTAAATGTCTACTGATGACGCTTCTTGGCAGCCAAAGCAGGTGAATCAGTATCAGTGCCCGAGACAACAGCCTCTCCCGGGTTAGGCGAGGCTTCCACTTCCGAGGCCACTTTTTCCTTCAATGTCACAGCCTTGGTCTCAGCCTTCTTACCGGCCTTCTTCACGGCTGGTGCACCAGCACCCAACACACCCACCAACGAACCGAGCAATGCAAGGAGCGTCACAAGCGCAGCAATCAAACCACCTGCAATTTGAGGTAATTCCTTGACGGCATACACGGGATCCACTTGAACCAGCTGAATGAAACGACCCACCTCCTGCTTGACGTAACCGAGTGGGTTCTCCAAGAAGCTCGACACATAGGTATCCTTGAACTTGTCCTTTGCTTCATCCGATGCAGCGGCATTAGCGGCATTATCTTGAGCTTCCTCAGCCTTGAACTTGACTTGCCAGTCCTTTGAGAGTTCTTGTGCTTGTGATTCATCATGGGTGAGGAGGATGTTGTCAAACAAGATATCACCCTGCATCGTCCACAACTCAAAGCCAATACCCGACATGGGCTCAAAGTTGGCCGGTGTCAAGTCTTCATAGTAGTCGGGGTTGGGGATCTTGGCAGGACTCCATTCACCCTTGTAGGCTGGGTTATCAATCTTTGGAGCAGACCAGGGACCTTTGTAGGCTGGGTTCTTGATCATAGGACGCTTCCATGGACCACAACCAACACTGCACTTGGGGTTTTGAATGGTGGGTGCGAGCCACGTGCCATCTTCCTCATCATCCCAGTCTGCGGGTTTCGTTGCTTCTGGGTCTGCAACGGTTTGTGGTTCATCATCCTGCCAACCTTCTGGCTTGACTGCTTCTGCATCCTCAATCTCTTCTGGTGCGTCTTCATCCCAGTCATCAGGCTTGGTGGCTGTAGGATCATCAATCTCGGCTTCATCCACCCACGTCTCGGGCTTCTTGTCACTTGGATCATCAATCTCCTTGGAGGGGTTGACGGAAGGTGTGAAGTCTTCCAGGAGAGAACCCTTCTTGACAGACTTGTTGTTGACTTTGATATCAAACGTCTGGTCAGGCTTGACAATGAGCGTGTACAAGGTTGAGAGTTTTGAGATTTTGGCGGTAGGTGGAGAGGTGAGGTGTTTCTCCTCATACTTCTTGGTGATGGGGTTGAGGTGCCTGAAGATGAAGTGAATTTTGTTGGTGGCACCACACTTGTCTGGACCAAACATGATGGTGTAGGGTGTATCACCGGAAAACTCCTTGGCAGCAATACCCTCAGGCGAGACGGTGAGGAGCTTGAGGTAGGCACCACCGCACTCGAGTCCCTTTTGCATCTTGACTTCATACTGCAACACGAGGGTACCGTCTTTGTTGTCAAAGGACTTTTTAAAAGCCGATGAAATGGCATGACGACGCGCATCATCCTTCAACACCAAGCCTGCATCCCCTTCCATACCCTTGTACACGGTAGGTTCTTCCACGTTCCAACGACCCACGTAGTTCATCTCCTCATGCCCATCGTCACCGGACGTTTTGGCACTTGGGTTCCAACGCTGCTCCCAGGAAGCATCCGCGAATTGCTCCAAAAATGGAGCCTTCATGGCGGTAGGCGTGAAGGTCGACAGGGGAACCTGCACCACAGGCGTAGGCTTCTCAGTGCTCTCAGTGCCTGGTGTATCGCCAGCCAGACCCGCTTGAGCCTTGAGTTGATCGGGCGAACTGGCCATGATTTTTTGGATGGCTTCATCGTCCAAGTCTGGCATACCATTAGCCCTGACTGCCGCTGTGAGGGCGGAGAGTGCAAGGATGGAGACACGCATCTGCTGTTGATGGATTGAATGGGTAGAGAGTTGCGTTGCTGTTCGGATTTGTAGTTGCGTGGCAGGAGGACGGGGAAGCAGTCACAAATAGAGGCGGTTAAGGGGGTGACGTGGCATCTAGAGTGTTCCAGGAGGGTGTTATCTACTGAGTGCTATTGACTAGTATTGAGAAGTAGAGATGGAATATTCTAATAGAGTGGATACTGATAGAGTGGATAGAGTGGATATAGCTGGTACCTGGTCCTGGCATTGATGAAAGGTAGGTAATAGTTATGCACTATATGTATACATTATAGAGGATGCTGTAAATACTAGAGAGAGAGAGAATGCTAGTAGAGAGAGAAAGAAAGAGACTGCCGCTGCCTGCTTCCCATCTGACCTGCACGATAAGCACAACTGAACTGACTGACTGCCTGCTGCTGTCTGATAACGGATCAAAAAAGAAAGAACAAACGACACTACACCACACCCACAAGAGAAGGGCCTCCAGCAGCCATGGTCTTCTCCATGCGGCCCCTCTCTCTTGCCTGCTCAAAACACTCCAGAGCACTCTCATCCCTCAACAGGGCACTCGTCACTAAAAAACACCTCAAACGAGCCCTCACCACCTCCATCCCAAGACATGCAGGTGTCGTCGACCACAAACCAGACTTGCAGGACTACGCCAATAATGTCATCTTCAAGCAGTATATAAACCACCATCAAACAACAAGCTAACGGCAGACCCCTCAAAAAAGTAGACGTCAAAAAGGTCCTGGTCGTGGGCTCCGGTGGTCTCTCCATCGGCCAGGCAGGGGAATTCGACTACTCGGGCTCACAGGCCATCAAGGCCCTCAAGGAATCCCAAGTCGAGACAATCCTCATCAATCCCAACATCGCAACCATCCAAACCTCACACTTCCTCGCGGATGAAGTCTACTACCTCCCCGTCACACCCGAGTACATCTCACACATCCTCGAACGCGAACGGCCAGATGGCATCTTATTGACATTCGGTGGTCAAACAGCCCTCAACGTCGGTATCGCTCTGGATAAAATGGGTATTCTCGAGCGACTTGGCGTTAAAGTCCTCGGCACACCCATCAAAACCCTCGAAACCTCGGAAGACCGAGACTTGTTCTCCAAAGCACTCGGTGAAATCAATATCCCAGTCGCTGAATCCGTTGCCGTGGAGACTGTCGATGATGCACTCAAATCAGCCGCTCAGATCGGTTACCCTGTCATTATTCGTTCCGCCTACTCACTCGGTGGTCTGGGTTCGGGTTTCGCTGATAATGAAGAGGAGTTGCGTGACTTGTCGGCTCGCTCACTCTCCCTCACCCCTCAAATTCTCGTGGAAAAGTCACTCAAGGGCTGGAAGGAGGTGGAGTATGAGGTGGTGCGCGATGCTGCCAACAACTGCATCACCGTCTGCAATATGGAGAATTTCGACCCACTCGGTACACACACCGGTGATTCCATTGTCGTTGCTCCCTCGCAAACGCTCTCGGATGAGGAATACCACATGCTGCGTACAGCTGCCATCAAAATCATTCGGCATCTCGGTGTTGTGGGTGAATGCAATTGTCAATATGCTCTGCATCCGTCTGGTTTGGAGTACCGCGTGATTGAAGTCAACGCACGTCTCTCGCGATCTTCTGCATTGGCGTCCAAAGCAACCGGTTACCCACTCGCGTACACTGCTGCCAAAATTGCACTCGGACATACACTACCGGAACTCCCCAATGCCGTGACCAAGACCACTACAGCCAATTTCGAACCGTCCCTCGATTACATTGTAACGAAAATTCCTCGTTGGGATTTGGCCAAATTCCAATACGTCAACCGCGAGATTGGATCTGCCATGAAGTCAGTGGGTGAAGTGATGGCCATTGGTCGTACATTTGAGGAATCTCTGCAAAAAGCCATTCGTCAAGTGGATCCTGGCTTCAAGGGTTTCCAATCACTCCCTGTCAAGGATCTCGATCATGCCCTCGCTGTACCAACGGATCAACGATTATTTGCCGTTGGCAATGCCATGCTCGATGCCAATTACTCAGTCGAACGTATCCATGAACTCTCCCGCATCGACCCTTGGTTCCTCTACAAACTCGAAAATATCGTTCAAGTACAGCGTGAGTTGGAAGCTATTGGATCACTATTTGGCTTGAATCAAGAAATCATGCTGCGTGCAAAGAAACACGGTTTCTCAGATCGTCAAATTGCAGATGCGGTTGGTAGTGATGAACTCGCTGTGCGCGCTCGTCGAAAATCCTTCAACATCAAGCCTTGGGTTAAACGTATCGATACACTGGCTGCGGAATTTCCGGCAAATACAAATTACCTCTACACCACGTATAACGCCAGCACGCATGACGTCGAGTTCAACGAGCATGGCACCATGGTTCTCGGTTCCGGTGTGTATCGTATTGGTTCTTCCGTTGAATTTGACTGGTGTGGTGTTTCGTGCACGCGAGCGTTGCGCAAAGTTGGGAAAAAGACAATCATGGTCAATTACAACCCGGAAACCGTTTCCACTGACTTCGACGAGTGTGATCGTTTGTACTTTGAGGAACTCAATTATGAACGTGTCATGGATATCTATGAAATGGAAAGCGCTGCGGGTGTTGTCGTGTCTGTTGGTGGACAATTGCCACAAAATATCGCCCTCAAGCTGCAAGAACAAGGCGCCACGGTGCTCGGTACAGATCCAAAGGATATCGATTCTGCGGAGGATCGTTACAAGTTTTCCCAAATCCTCGATAGTATCGGCGTGGATCAACCAGCCTGGAAGGAACTCAGCTCCATGGATGAAGCACGAGAATTTGCCAATGAAGTCGGGTATCCCGTCCTTGTTCGTCCGAGTTATGTGTTGTCGGGTGCAGCCATGTCTGTTATCCACTCTGAAGCTTCGCTTGAAGACCGTTTGACGAATGCTGCTGCTGTCTCGCCAGATCACCCTGTTGTCATTACAAAATTCATTCAAGGCGCCAAGGAGATTGATGTGGATGCCGTTGCCTCTAAGGGCAACTTGCTCGTCCATGCAGTCTCGGAGCATGTTGAGAATGCCGGTGTACACTCAGGCGATGCGACCCTCATCTTGCCACCAATTGGCTTGGATGGTACACTCATGGCTCGACTCAAGGATATCGCTGTGCGTGTTGCCAAGGGATTCAAGATTACAGGACCCTTCAACATGCAAATCATCATGGCAGAGAGCCCGTCAGGTGGTGAACCACTCCTCAAGGTGATTGAATGCAATTTGCGTGCATCCCGCTCTTTCCCCTTTGTCTCCAAGATTCTCGGTACCAACTTTATTGATGTGGCTACACGTGCGTTGGTGGGTAAGAATGTACCAGAGCCCGTTGACTTGATGAAGGTGAAGCGCGATTATGTGGCCATTAAAGTACCACAGTTCTCATGGACGCGTCTCGCTGGTGCTGATCCATTCTTGGGCGTTGAAATGGCCTCTACCGGTGAAGTTGCGTGTTTTGGTAAAGATGTCAAGGAAGCTTACTGGACGGCCTTGCAATCAACGCAAAACTTCAAGGTGCCGAAACCTGGAAATGGTATCTTGTTTGGTGGTGATGTGACGAAGCCTGAGCTTGCAGAAGTCAGCAAAATCCTACACCCCATGGGCTATAAGTTCTATGCGAGTAACGCCGAAGTCCAAGCAACCATCGACAAGGTGCTTGGCAAAGATGCCGTCACCCTGATTGAATTCCCCAAGACCAACAAACGGCTACTGCGGGCAGTCTTCCAAAAGTATGAGATTGACTGTGTCATCAATCTGGCTGCGACACGAGGTCGTGATCTCTTGGATGAAGATTATGTCCAGCGACGCAACTGTGTCGACTTCAACATCCCACTCATCAATGATGCCAAGTGCGCTGTTCTCTTTGCTCAAGCACTCGAGGATAAAGTGCCGACGTTGGGACAAGGCGGTGTGCCGACTGAAGTCAAGCGGTGGAGCGAATTTGTCGGTGGCAAGATGCTCTAGATATCGTGTGGACCCTGCTATTTCCCATTCTTATCCCACTCCCCTGATATAGATTATTATTACCTTTGCATACTCTTTGTTTTGTGGTGTTGCATTGGCGCTGTCGACACCACACTCTTCTCCTACACAACTACTCATGTTGGCGCTGCTATAATGCCAGAGCTACATATTATACAACAAGGCTTCCTGCCGCTCAGAACTACAGATGAACCAGAAATTTTTGAATCCCCAGCCGTTGATTCAACGCGTCATGCAGCCAAGGAAGACGACTACACTGCACCACCAGAATACAGCTCTCAAGATGCTCACTTGATTGACCATGCTCCAAATGATCCCGTGGTTGCAAGGCAATTCTTTGATCGTCATATCTTGTTGGCGCCTGTTGCGCTGCCTAATGCGGATGAAGTTGCGATTCGTGGTGCGTCTACGAGCTGGCAGGCTGGTCGCGTTCGTGAAACGCCGCATGAACGACTAGCACGTCTCAAGCGTGAAGTTGAAGAATTATCTCTGCAGCAAGCAGATGGACAGACTACGACAGATGGCTCACTGGATGAGCTGACTGCATCGCTAGATTCAATCCATGTCAAATCCGAAGAGTCTACAGCAACGAGTCGTGCATCTCAAGCGCTGTTGCAAAAAGTCTCCTTGCTAGAAGCGCGTCTTTCACAGCTTGAGCAACGACAAGCACGAGCTCAATCAACTGGGAGCACGCCGCGCGCAGCACTTGAACAAGTCCATTTGAGCGTGCCTCAACTAGCACTACTAGTGCGTCAATTGGCACTCTTGACCAGCAAAGAGGAAGATCGAGCTGCGCTCATCTTGAAGCTTGGGAAACTAGCAAGTACTGCAAAGATCATCAACGAGCATCCACAAGCCGCACAGCTCGAAAGCCTCTTTTCTGCAACGCGGGAAATACAAGCGCATGCAGTTCTTGTTGGACCTGTCCTCGACAGACTACGAGACTTGGCGGATGTGCATCATGATGCAGCCAACTCCGCTTCTGTCATTGCATCTCTTGAGCAATCCATCCAAGAACGACAGATTGAGATTGACCGTTGGCAGACGAGCATTCAAGCATTACAGGCATCCGTCACGGGAAGTGCGGAGACTATAAACAACAACAAGGTCGTAATCATCGAGGCCGTGGAACAATTAAGAAAGCAGCTCACAGATCATATTGCTTCTATGGAAGGTATCTCATAGACACCCTAGAACCAACTCGTCGCTCGCTGCAGATCCTGTAAATCGTCCAGCACACCATCGGCGCTCACTGCACACTTCTTGGCCACCTCTGCCTTTGCAATCGCATCGAGTCCAGCAAACTGCTTGATGAAATCGCAATCAAGAATTCCACGCAGGGCATTACTCGTTTGCTTATCAGCCACATGAGAATGCCGATATTCGCGCTCATTCAGACAAGCTGGCAAAAGCAGCGACCCGGACAGATGCGTCTGCACTGTATACAAGCGCCGAAAGACGCGCTCTGACACGGGTGTCATTGTGCTGAGGGAACCATCTCTGCCACCACACAACACAACTGTGCTATCGACTTGTCTGTCGGAATCTGCCTTGATGTCGTCTTGCGATGGTAGCAGTGCAACTGTTGACATACAAGTGATTTGCTTCCCAGCATGTATATCTCCTTTGCGAACGAGATGCGTTCCTGCAATGGACGCTGAATTGTCGGGATCATATTGCATAACCACCAAATTACCATTAGGATCGCTCGCGACAAAGTACAGTGCCTTGCCGTGAACCATAAAATCGGCATCCACAACATCAAGTCCTTCGTAATCCCTGCCAAAAAGGACGAGCCGATACGGCTCTTCTTGAAAGCCTACAAAGCGCAGCCCTTGCTGAATATCGCCAAACAATACAGTGTTGCGCAGAGCCTTTGCAGTGGTTGAGTAGAGGCCAAGATCAATGAATCCAACAGGCGCAAGTCGCTCATCCTCTTCGAGTGAACGCACAAGCACTTTGTGTCCCTGAGCAGCAACGAGATAGCCGTCCAATTCACACAACGTCGTTGCAGCAGCCTTGATTTCCTCGCGAACAACCATCCTCAAGCGAGGGACGCTCTCATCACTGTCAGCTTCTACCTCAGCGTCAATCACTTCAAAGAGGTAAATGGCGCCACGCATAGCGAGATCCTCACCGCGAAAGATACCAGTTGCAACAGCCATACAGGGTCGATCAGAGCTGCCAACGTCTGTGTGGACCTTGATGGCAGCATACTTGAGGCACAACACTTGCTCGTTGGCAGCAAAATCGTAGCGATCAATCAGCTTATACGTATTGTCCATCACTTCGAGAGAGCCTCGATCGAATGTCGGTAGCAATGCTGCATTGTCTTGTGGCGGCGGAAGCGATTCATTGTCTTCGTCGCGTATTTCATAGGGAGCTGGTCGGGATGTGGCCAGTGCGTAGTATTGTTGCTCTGGGAAATACGCCAGGCCATCGACATTACACCCGAGTTTGACGTGACGACTGCTCCAACGTTGGTCATAACGGAAGCCGTCCGGCAATGTACAGATGCGAATGACGTCGAGCGCATCGCAGTAGATGTATCCTTCTGGCGCGTCGAGCGTATTGAAACCAGAAAAACTTCGTACAGGACCCGTTGAAGCGGGAAAGAGGGTCGGTAGAGACTGATCTGACTGGATTATCCAATGCGGATGCTTTCCTTTGACAAAGACGCAAGCATATTCACCAACTGTGCAAGACGTCATCAATGTCTGCCCTTTGGCCTCTCCATGATGCGTCAGTGCGAGGTTGTCAACTTTGAAGAACACCACCTTGCTTTCATTTAGTGCGATATTGTAAATTGTCAAGTCTCCAAGCTTGTTGCGCAGGACCAGGTGTGGTGCTAGGACATTCTGGCCGAGGTCAGCAACGAGGATCTCCACAATAGGTTCACACGCTGGCTTGAAGCCGACTGACTGCTCCTCGCCGTCGAGGATGCGAGGCAAGAAATCAACGTGCGTTTGCTGAAACACCAATGACATGCTTGGGACTTGATGGACAGCCAGTGTACCATCTTTAGAAACAGAAAAGCACAAGGAAGGCTTGCCACTATCCTCTGCTCGTTTACGCTTTTTCGAAGGAGTCAACCAAGAGTCCAATACGGAACTCTTTGCTGGTCTGAATAACACAGCACTTGCCAGATTACCTCCCAGCTTGTGATGTACCTCAATCAAATCGCGCTGTGCATCAGTCGTGTAGATAGCAACCTTGCCTGTACTCAGGAGCAACAGAACAAATGGATCGACAATACTCGCAGACACCACCGTACAAGTCTCGGGTGTTGGGATGAGCTGCAACAGCTTGAGATCGGCATCATAGGTCCGCATCATGTCGGCGCAAATCTGCACAACACACGTATTGCCATCCACCGTGCCAGCAGCAATGGTACCATCCGACGTCTCGAACTCTGAATCAGTCTTTTCAACAAATGCCGCGTCGATGGTGAAGATTTGTGTTTCAGTCTTTTTGGAAGCAACAAGGTAGGTATCGAGTGCATTTTGCACATCAGTCGAGTCGAGTTGCGGTGAACGTGTTCGAAGCGTCCACATCGCTTGCCAAGCAGGCGAATCAAATTTGCCCACAACATTGGGCTCAATGCTTTTCCGCAGAAATGTCAGGTTACCGGAACGGCCATGACCAGCAATCAGAGCCAGTTCTGCTGGCGCACGGGTTTCCTGCTTTTCGCCATTGACCAGCGGTCTTGGCGTCATGCTGATGATTGGCCCAGAATTGTGCAAGCTATCATGCAATGAGAAGCGAATATCGAAAGTCGTTGTTTCTGACCCAAGAATTTGCTTGGTTGCTGCATCATCGCCGTACAAGTCATCAAGATCATCATCTGCTTCAGCCACATCTTGGACAGCATCGCTGACTTCTGCTTTCCGTGCACGCTTCTGCCAAGCAACAAGTGATGAGTCGCCAAGCTCACTGCCAAGAAAGAGTCTTCTACCATCCACTAAAATCGCACAGGATGCAACGGCTTGCAGAGCATCTGCGCCAAAATCGGCAGAAACGACCTTCAAATGTAAGCTGCTGACGGTGCGTCCGTCCATATTGAGTGTCAGCAATGCTAATCGTGCATCTGCCAAGCACAAAAAGATGCCATCAAGTTGCGAGTCATGCTTGAGTGCAACCGCACGAGCACCTTCGAGCTTGAGTTCTAGCTGTGCATAGTCTCGCATGTCGTAGTCTGAGGCAAGCTTTGCATACGAGTTGACTGCCAGTGCGACCGTTCTCGCAGCAGGGTCGACGTAAATGAGCTCATTATTGCCAATCAGAAGACATCCACCGACTGGCTCCGGTACCGGATAAATGGTGTGTAAGTCAGCAGGAAGTTTGTCAATCTCAAAGATGGCAGTTCGTGCGCCTGCTTGAATGTCAAGTGTCAACACGACGAGCTGTATTGTGTCCTTGCGCCAGTCTTTGAGGGCTGGTGCTGTCGTTTCTGACATGAAGAGAATCGCCATCGTTGGCTCCCGGTACCCGTCCAAGTAATTGAAGTCAATCATTTGAGCAATGTCATCTTCCAGCTGGCTCATGCTCAAAACGAATGAATTGACAATGACGCCTTCTTTTGTTTCTTCATCTTCCGCAAGCAATTCATCGACTTGAGCAATGGGCAAGAATGCGAATCGTTGGTCGTAGAATGACAAGGTCGCCACGCGCGAGGCCGGATCGAGGCGAAGGACGCCGGGAGATTTGCTGTGCAGAGAAGACATGAATTCGTCGCGTTCAAAGGCATGAATACTGATGGTTGTCATGGTATGCTCTGCGGAGCTCCATGCAAGAAGAGACAATTTAGCCACCTCAAAGGAGACTAGCAACAACTCGATGCCAGTAGATGCAAAGTCCTTGGGACGAACCACTCCCAAGCCTGTAATAGTACCCGCAAGCTTCAGCTCTGCAATAAGCACAAGCTTTGTAACCGTTTGCTTTTGGGTTGCAGTAATTTTCAAGTTCGCTCCAAAGTCAGCGTCTGCATCAGCAGGCTGTCCCACAGCATCATTCATGTCATCTTCCGGTAGTGGCTGACATAGGTCTTCCTGCTTCTGAATGAATGTATAGACTTGCAGCAATGACCGTTTAGCAACCACGAGCTGTTTGCTGCCACGCTCAGTGAAGTGGAGGTATACGGCATCTGTGACCACAGTCGGGTCTGTCTCTGAGCTGTAGATGCTCATGACGTATGAGGAGACTTGGACTTAAGCCCAGAACATTGTACAATTGCTAGCTAGCAGCTTGGGTGTCTACAGCGTCGATGTGATGGCTCGTCTGCTGCGGTTTTCCTCGGCTACGCTACGCACCTTTCAGATGGAAAATACACTTCGCCGTATCGACCAAGAACGATGTAGGTCAGGTTAGCAGCTGTGCAAGGCAGATGCATTTTCAATTCTTGTCAAGACACATACGACTTCAGTGAAATCACATCGTTATGTAGCGGACGGCTCAAGTCAGTTTGGTTCGTCCACGCTTGATTTGACTTTGGTATGATCGCTTACATAGTTAGCCATAACTCTATCTGTCTCAGTGACCGTCCCGTCTATGACTGACTGGAGCACCTGAGATGTGCCTATAGACGACGGAATTTTCTTGACAGCAGGGTGCGAATGCTTTTACGGCGCGGCGTTCTTGATGTTGCTTGATCGGTCATCAGCTGCAAAAATAACACCTGGGCCGTCTTCAAGTCATGCCATAGCTTATTGGCAAGGTCATCTATTCTTGACCGTGAATGTCGTTGCGAGCTAGCGCTCGATTTCCGCTTGTTAGTGCTTGTTGCGGACTGGCCGTCAGGAACAGCACGCGCAAGTGAAACACGGTCGACCAATGCGGCCTAAAGCCGTCTAGCAGCTAGCAATCAGGCTAGTAACAAGGTCTGTGAGCTTCTAGGCATACTAGAAAAGAGTAGAATAGTAAGAGTAGTAGTCGCTGGAAAGGCCCCGGTGTAAGGCCTGACCGCAGTCCTTGACAGGTGGTCACCGGGTCTGTGCACACCAAGCTTAAGGTGAAGCGACCCAACACCAAGGTCAACGACGACAACACGCTCACGAACATCCTTCATGCGGGACAGCGGGTAGCGTGGTACTGTAAGCGAGCTAGCGACGGGCAGATTGACAGCTTGACTTCCTAATCTATGGGTACCGGCTAAAAGCGCATGCGCTCAACAGCATGGCCGATGGTTGCGAGCGTACGAGCGTTAAGCGCAGGGACCCCAGTAATGGAAGGCCGTGAAACGGCAAGGCGGCGAGTCCGCTGAGTACGTTGCCCATCCATATAGAGCTGAGTGTCTGCTGAGTGTCTGCTTGTTCTTTGTCGCGAAACTCGTCAACTTCTCCTTTGTTCAGACCAAAACAACCTCAACACACGCCAGATCCTACTCAGATCCATCATCTACCCAGCATTTACTTAGCTACAACAGAGACAGCTCCCGGTCATGTCGCTCGACGCATTCATCGCACAGCAGGACAGGCAATTCGATACATTCCGCATGCGATATGCCATGCAACCGCATATCCAGGATGCAATTCCATCTACACGCCCAATGACTGATCTACCGGGCAGCAAACCCTCAGACGCGTCTCTCCACTCACAGCTCAAGAGCTCTGCATCAGCAGCGCGCATCACAACGGCAATCTTGGAAGGCTTCCCACACGAGCGAGGACGGCCGGTCGCGGTTGACGCGCCACAGGAGATGCATGTTACACAAACACCACATCCGCGCGACGTCGCACCACCACTCCCCAATGATGGTGGTGGTGACGCGAAACGCTTCAGTCGGACCAGCGCGTATGCTGCATTTCGTGAGATATTGGTCCATATCGATGATGACGGCAAGAGTGAGATTGACACGCTTGACTCACAGCGATATTCCTACCAGCAAGGTCGTGATAAACGCAGCTCTGCACCGATTCCGATTGCTGGTGGTATTCAGATTCGCAAGTTGGGACCTGCGCCTTGGCAGATGGATGATGAAGATAGTGACCTTGAGGAAAATGAGCTTCGTTATCGAGCCACGGAACGTGCAGTTGCTGGGCTAGGCGTCTCGAGCCTTCAGCATGCCTCGACGACTTCATTGGAATTTGCAGGCGATGTGCCTCGCTCACGCACCGCCAGTGGCGAAAGTGACCCCAGTCTTCCAGCCACGGCCACCTCAAAGCATAAGAAGAAGGATGGACAACCACGGAAGCGATCTGTTTTTGGTTTCATGAAACGCGTTGCTGGTAGTTTGAGCGCATCACCAGCGAGTGATTTGGGGTCTTGGTCACGCAAAGGGTCGGCAGGATCCAACAAGACTGGTGAAACGAGTGCTCCTGCGAGTCCCATCTGGACGACGCACGAAGAAGCAGCAGCAGTGTCGATGGAAACGCGTTCAATGACACCACCACCAGCAGTCATTCACGCCATGCCAGTCTTCACAGCGCAGCAAGAACACGTACCGAGCACCACTGAAAAGGCACTCCCTGCACAACCCCTTCCGAAATCAGAATCTGGACAAGCCGTTCATCGACTCATCCAGGGCGCCATTGTATTTGAAGAACCACTATCTAGAGATCGTCTGGCTCTCGCACCAGCCATGTCGTCTCCTGTTCGTCGGATACGGCCGTCTTCCTCTGTTCCACAATTGCCTGCGACCTTTGAAACGCCTAGCAGACGTTCGAGTCAGGAGGAGGTGGAGGATGCCGTGCGTGCACAGGTCTACGATGCTGCTGATGATGTCGTACAGCGTGAACGTGCTGCGCAACATGCGGCAATGGTGAAGAAACGACAACAGGATCGCATGTCACGCATGTTTGACCATATCGTCATGCAGTAGAGTTTGTGTACGACAATAATCTAATACTATGTACTCTGAAAACCTCTTCATTGACCAAAGTTGCGAGTGAATTCCTCCGGTGAGAGTTGCGTTTCGATTTGCTTTTGGCCTTCTTGTATCGGCGCCGCTGTCCCTTTGCGAATGACTTCGACGTAGTTGCTTGGGATATACCCAACTGTGCCGTCCCTCAATCGACCACGCCACCAAGCGGACGGATTGCCCATCGGATCTGTTTTGCTCAAGATTGCCACCAGATCGCCCTTGCGCAACTGCAACTCCATCGCTGCATCCTGTGGCACAAAGTCAAACAACGCACGGCAGAATTCGAGTTGCGCAGGATCCAGCGCAGCACCTGTTTGTAGGTTGTGTTCTTCTTGTAATTGTCGTTGTCGTGCTTCTTCTTCTCTGGCCGTCATGGACCGAATGAGTCGTGACATGAGGTACGGTAAGCCGACAACAGCCATCAAAAACACAAGCAATGGTTTTCTTGAAATCTTGGGCGCATTAGGACCATCGGGACCACCACCATTAGCAGCGAAATGAGCGAATGCATCAGCTGACAAGTCAGGGTTCGGCAACGGTCGACCGGTGAGTTTTGCGAGGAGCGAGCGACACCACCGCATCAATGCAAAAATACCAAGAACTGAGCCGATGGAATTGCGAAGATGGCCGAATTGTTCGGCGACACTGACCATGGCGAAGAAGGATGAATGCGTCGCCATAAAGGTACTTTCCAGCATCTGTGCAAAACCACCAAACGCACCAACGATACTTTGAATGAATTGGAAGGTTGCCTGCGTTGAGCCTGCCATGCGTTGAGAGAAGTTTGGGTCATTGGGGTCCATTTGGCCACCGTAGGGGCCACCCATGGATCCATATCCACCGCCATAACCGCCATAGGAACCCATGCCGCCGCCATATCCACCATACGAGCCCATACCACCATAAGAACCCATACCGCCGCCATACATGGAAGAACCGTACCCGCCCATGCTAGAACCGTACCCACCCATCGATGAGCCATACCCACCCATCGATGAGCCATATCCACCATACCCACCGGTCCCATACCCACTGCCATAACCACTCCCATATCCGCCTGCCGTCGCGCCATAGCCAGTCGTACCAGGCATGCCCATCCCTGCTGCCGCATTCGCAGCACCAACGACCGGTCGTCCAGGTAGTGCCGGCGCGGCGCCACAACTTTGATCTGCAGTCGATGCGGCATGAGCTGAAGTCGATGCTGCGCCTGGTAGCTGTGAGGGGACTGCAGGGGCAGCGAGGGCTGTCGATGCTGACGCGTTGGCAGCGCCTGCTTGTTCGTAAGGTTTTGGCGGACTCGGCCGGGACATAGTCTATTGACTCAGTGGCGAACTAGAAGTAGAAGCTAAGTAGAACCGGCTAGAGAAGGTCGTTGAGCTGATACTCTAGTCTGGTTGCTGCTGGGTGTTGTTGTGCGTATCTCCAACCGAGGCCTGTGCTTGTGCTGCTTTTTTGCTTTTTGTGCGTGCAGTGTGGGGAATAGACCAGGCACACACTCAGAGGACCTGGCTGATTTGAGGATAGCTGAAGATGCTACATATCTACGCTACGAGAGACACAGCCGTCGCTCCAGACAAGTCCCATGAATCCACCAAGCTCTGTGACAGCCCACCTTCAAAATTCACACTATCAGCAAGGTGAATCAGCTTGATTGTCTTGCTGCCTCCCAAAAACACCACAGCAGCTTTCATCGATCCACCCGTTGGCCGCTGGATCCAGTTGGGTGTACTACCGCCTTGTCCGGGTCTTGAATGAAACGTTGCAATCATTCGCTCAGAACCAGCACTCAGCGTCTCAAACAAGTCGAGTTCGCCACACCCAGTCTGCCAGCATGAGCAGCCACCATACTGCTGCGACCTTGGGATTTGTCCATTGAGTGCCCAAATTGCTGGCATATCGCCATTGAAGCCACGGTCGCCATCCAGTGGCATACTGAATTCAAATAGGAAAATCTTGTTTTGCCCACTAAATCCACGATATGCCGGCACACCGGGTGCAACGTAGCCGCACGTGGCCGTGGTACACTGTTCACCAGAAAAGAGGATGACTTCCGTGTTGCTGGGTAAGGTGATATCCTGCAAGACTTCCGGGTTTGGCGCAGACCCCATCCCTGAGGCGGATGCAAAAGATACAGAGTTGCCAAAACACGGTGACCACGTTCCTGAACCGTTCACACCGCCCATGTTGTTCATAAACACGGCATTTTGCAAGGTTGCAGATTGTGCATTGTAGTAGGAACTGCGTTGCCAGCTGGAACTTGTGCCGACTTGCGTAGGTGTAGAAACTGGCGGTACAATCGCTGCAGCTGTTGTGGTAGGTGCGCTGGGTGCTGGTGTTGGTACTACTGCTACTGGTGTTTCTGTCGGGTATGCAACAGCGACCGGTGTTGATGCCGCATAACGTGATGAAATGGGTGGTATCAAAGTATACACCACCTGCTCCCGTCTGAATAAATCCACAAAACGATCCTTGATGGTTCGCTTGCCGCGCTTCTTTTTGCTTTGTGGTAGACTTTGCAGCGTATACGCAGCAAATTGCTTGATAGCAATGGGCCCTCTGAAATGAAGCGACAAGTCTTCATCGAGCGGTGAAAGTGGCCCGGAAAAGGGCTGCGGCGTTTTTGAGCAGGTACAAGTCTCTGGATCCATATTTGAGACGCGGTCATAAGAGCCGGGTGTTCCGCCAAGACCGGAGAAGGTGATTTGACTGGTTTGGTCGCAGTACCAGTTTCCGCCTTCATTGACACAGTTGGATGCAGCTGCGATAGTAAGCAGTGTCGCGAGCTGGAACAGCATGATGTTGAACAGTGTGGTGATGAGAACAGCAGATGCCAAGTGGGCCAAGTGCCCCTCTTCTATGTCCTGCTGCTGCTGTGCCTGAGTGTGAAAAGTGCGATTTTGTGGGTCCATCTCGAGAAATGTCACCCGCCATCTCTGCCAGAAACTGAAATTCAGGAACCAAAAGGTCTTCCATGCCGTCTTCCAATGGATGGCCTAGATGTATGGGATAAAGGCCATAGCTGCGTCACTGCACATCCGCAAATTCAACCTGCTCCCACGCTTGTGCATCCTGAACCGCACACTCCTCCACAATGCGCCGCGACCAGCTCGCCAAAACTTGTTCAACCGCTGCTTTTGTACGGATGTAATTCAATGCACTCGCATCACTATGGCTGCCAAGTTGTGGATCATCCTTGAGCGCCAGAACCCAGTGCCCGAGGTGACGATCGAGGTCTTCAGCTAACAAGATAGCAGGATTCGTCAGGAGGCGGAGATTGATGAGTAACGCGGCTAGATAGTCGCCTTGGTCGAGTGTATTCATATGTAGCGAGAGTGTCACTGGTTCCTCTAGCGGCTGTAGTGCGATGCGAGGTGAGGGTTCATCAGGGCCCGGTGGTAGAATCTGGAACGGCAGCACAATGCTAAGGTAGACGCTCAGTAGCACAACGAGCGAAGTGAGCCTCTCAATACTGTAGTAGATGTCTTCAGCCGTAGATTCTATGGTCAGCCTCATCGTGCCACTCGTCTGAAGAGAGGCACTCACTGTGCATTTTGAGTAGATGTGGTATAGGACGTCCAGCTACTTCATAGATACCATCTTGAGATTGACGCACCATGAACAAGTCAAGACACTCCTTGACGCGCTGCTGTCGACAGGCTACAAGTCCATCATGCAGCATGCGCCATTCCTTCCGATTTGCACGCGCTTGTGTCTTGACGAGATGCGTTTGTCTATCGCACTCACCTAGTAATCGCCGAGCACGATCAAGTGCTTGCCGCTGCCGTGCAAGTCGATTCTGCAAGTCGTCCAGCTTTACTTGATCTATCGTGTCAGCAAAAGCGGGTGTGAACTATCTTGAAAGAAGTCATACCCGCTTCAGCGAGTCGCCGTACATAAGCAGTCTCACGAATGATGCTGGCAACTTCACCCGCCTTTTCCAAGGTCAGTACTGGTCGCGCGACAAGCATGCGATCGACCTGTTCTGCAGCGCCGGCTGTCTTTTGTTGCGCTTCATGAAGTTTCCGACGGAAAGTGCGGAGATTTGCAGTGATGCATCGATGGCATGCAAAGGACTTGTTGGAGCGGTTGCGCGTGCAGCATGGACAGTGCATGCGCCTTGCTGGTCACTCTCTTGTGCTTGTGCTTGTGCTTGTGCTGGTTGCGTTGACTTTTTTTGTGATTCTGAGTCTGGGGCAGAGAGGGGAGAGGACGTCATGGAGAAGCAAGGGCAAGAGCATGGGCAAAGGCAACGAACAAGACGCAGTAGATATACAGCCATTGTAGAAACGCAGAAGAGAGAAAAGAGCCACGCAAAGGTCGTAGCATGAAGCAGCTATACAGCTGCATGCCAAAAAAACATCAAAAATACCAAAATGATAGACCTCGGTGTCCACATGTATGCATCTCAGTCAGCTGCTCGATAGACTATCATCTCGTCATGGGTGGTTGAGAGGGAATATGTGGCGGAGGTGCGCCGGAGGAACTAGGTCGTCCATGGTCTGCCTGCACAGGCTGAGTCGTATACACCATTTCATACTCTGGATGGTCGCCATTGCCCTTCGTGATTGGTTGATAGGCCGGCAAGTTGGTCGCATATGGGTCATAGCTGATGAAAGCAGTTAGCAAACACAAGATCTCTTCTTGACACACAAACGATAGGAACATACCTCGGTGGCGGCGGCGCAATCCCAGATCCATTACCAAATCTCGTTGGACCGCCAACAGCAGAATGATAAGATACAACACCTGCAGTAGTGGCCGGTGCATAGGGCGGTCCATTACGGAGCCTTGCAGGGAATAACCATTTATGCCAGGTTTGTAGTGCCAAGCCTTGATTGATACGGCGTCTGCCCATGGCGCGCGCAGTCAGAATAAAGCAGAGTACAGCAACGAGGATGAGCGCAAAGATGACCCATTCCTTCCAGTAGTATCCGGAGCCATTGTCATACCAGCCGTAGGAGAATTGGCGCTTGTCGATATACATTTTGCCTCTTGTTGAATGATTCGCACAAAGTAGTGCCGAGCTCTGGCAGGCGTGCTTGTCGAAGAGGAAGACAGGTGCAGAGATGGCCGGGGGGAGAGTTGCGCCAGATATAGAGAGCGGGCCGTGCTGGGGTGGTGGTGATGTTTGCTGGCCAATTTCTTGGCTGCGTCAGATTTCCACTCAGAGGCCGAACAGGGGTCACAGGGGGGCAGGTGAGTGACATGGAGTCATCAAGTCATTTATGATACTGCTTATGCTCAATATGGACGCTTCGAGCAGCGATTTATCCCAGAAAGGTCAGCCCGACTTTTCTCTATTCGATAACAGGAAGCTTCGCCCGGGTGAATGTAGCAGAGACAGCAGTCTGCCTGACGGCGCGTCAGCGTGTTCAACTGATGCATCATAGCACAGTCAGAAGCCCTTGATGTGACATTTAGCAAGCGCAATCGGAGGAGCCTCTTCCGAGTTGCTTCTGTCGCGGCCGTGGCGACGTGAAGTGCAAGCCTTCGTGCCATCAAAGAAACTTGCTCTCGCCAAACATGCTCGACATATCTTTTGACCGCTGTGCAAGTTCTCTGGTCCGCTTACTGCTCACACCGGACCCAATGTCTTTTGATCTGTCAAACGGCCGACTCGACGGATCATCACGGTCCTCTTTGCTCATGTGTTTCCGCTTCAACGTGTGCTGCTCGTACATAGACGGGCCACGGTTCTGCGACGCCTGTGCCTTTTCTGCCTCTTGTCGCTTCTGAAGTTCAATAGCAGCAGCAGCTGTCCATTCAGGCCCTTCCTCTGCTTCAGTCTCGCCAGCTCTGGATACTTCTTCCCCTGCAACCGATGTCCAGCCCGCATCAAACCCACCTTGCTGATGCGGTCCAGGCCGACCAGGTTTACTACTCGCAAATTGACGCGACTTGAGCTTTGTTGTATCAATGGATTGAGCCCAATCTCCTTTACTCGGCGGCTGTGTCATCCAGTCTGAATGCTGCCGCTTGCCAGTCGCTGAAGTCGATATCGCACCACTATCGTCGTCTTGGCCTTGATGCGCACTTGATCGCGCTGCGTAGAGTGCCTCGCGCGCCGTATCGCCTGGTAGCATAGGTCCTACATCATCGTCTTCCTCTTCATCTGACTCGTTTATAAGCGCGTTCGCATCGCCCTTGCCCTGTGATGAAATAGGAGGTGCCTTCGACCGTTCGCTGTCGTCTGTATGTGTTATAGTTGCAGCTTCTGTTGTGGTCGCTTCACTTAACTTGGTCGCCCGTGCCTGTCTCTGCTTCTCTCGTGCTGCAAGCAGATCAGGCGGCAATGCTGGACCCACCATGCGCCGGGTCTGGTCGTCGATGATGTGTTTGCTCAAGTTTGGTTCCAGCACACAAAGACGACGCGCTGACAGCCCTTGACACGACAGCGCGAATGGACCGGTAAATGACTGATGAGCCATGACGAGGAGGAAGCGTACGAGCGTGCTTTGCGAGAAGTACTGGGAGATAGCTTGGATGAAGCAACTAGCAATGCCTGGCAAGCGGCCGAAGCCTCACAAGACGATGCAAGCAGTGACGCCTCGTTGCGCATTGTACCGGCCATTGCGCTAGACGATGTTTGGGAGGACTCACATCAATCACAAACACGGCGGTCTTCTGTTCTGAGTCTATCGACTGCAGACGAGTCCTTGTCACCGCGTGACTCCGACTCGATTCTATCTCTAGGCGATAGCTCAGCATCCGTCACAGAGTCACCAGGGGCATCAACCCATCGCAGCTATCTAGGTCCATTACGCTCGAAACGTTATGAAGGGCTTCGTTCTTCTTTGCTTTCGCCAGCGCTGGCAGGACCACGTCCAAGAACGGCCCATTCGCGGTCGAGCTCCGTCCTCAGCATGCTCAACTTACAAGAAATCACTGACGATCAAGCAAAAGACTTGAAGCCGCGAGATACGTTGCGGTGGACGCGTCTCAAGCGCATCTCCGACCATCTCTACAGTCCAGCCGGTCGCAAAGCATTTGGCATCCCACAGTGCTTGACAGTCTCTGGCATGCTAGCGTTTGGCACGAGCAAAGGCCTCATTTTGGTGTTTGACTACAAGCAGACTTGTACGCACGTCATTGGCAACGGTACTCGAGGTATGCCATCTCTTTGCCTTGACGAGTCCATTAACAATAGCGGCTGAAGCAGGCCCAGTCACAGCAATCGCTCTATCCGCAGACCATACATTCATTGTCGGTGCGTACAGCGACGGCTCCATCATGTCCTGGGATTTGGCTAGGCCAGCAACACCAGCGAAGGAGATTCTACCTATTCGCATGCAAGACTTGCCTGCAAAGCAAGGCCATTTGATGAACACTCACATCACACACATCAGCTTCATTGGCGCGCGTCACTCGCTCTTCTTGAGTGCGGATGTGACTGGCATGGTCTTTTGCCATAGCTTTCATCGTCGCAAGATTGTTTCGAATGTCGACTCTATGCGTATTCTCGGACGCTATCCTACACTACCTGGCACATCACCTCTCAAGCCAAGCACATCTCTGTCTGCTGCTGTGTTGCCCATTGGTACCGTTGCACATTTTTCAGATGTCCTCGGACTAGCAGCCCTCCTGACCCCTTACAAGCTGGTCATTGTGTCTACAACGCCAACTGCACGTACACAATTCAAGCTTCCACGGCCGTCTGGCGCTTATGCTGAATCTGAACAGATCTCTGGTTGTGCAGCTTGGTTCCCCTGCGTTTCAAGCACAAGAGATGCTCAAGTTGGAACATGTCCACTCCTTGCTGTTGCATGGAGTCGTCGACTCTTTGTGTTTGCCATTTCAGGTGGCGTGCCACAGGAGGAGTCTGATTCGATTGTGCCTATTGTCGTTGAGGAAGCTGGGCAATTTCAATCTCAAGAAAGCATCGTGGCGATGCGGTGGTATGCCAAGGATATTTTATGCTTGCTCACGACATCGAATCAGATGCAACTATTAGATACGGTTGACTTTAGGCTTGTTGGCCATGCTGACTTACTGGGGAAACATATCCTTTGCCAGGATTTGCGCACCGCTCAACTGCAATACTATTTCGAGCAACGTGAGGCGGAATATGTCAACCAGAGCTTTGCAGATGACTACTCTAGCAGCTTTACGACCTACAAGGGAAAACTGTTTTTGTTAGGTCATTCGGAGGTTTCAGTGGGATCTGTTCTTACTTGGAAAGACCGTGTTCAAGCTTTTGTCGCACAGGGTCTTTTTGTTGAAGCTTTGAACCTGCTTGAGGCATACTATGCTGGCCTGGTCGATTTACGAGTCGTTGCATTGCCTAGTGCCCAACAGCCACGCCAAGAAATGGTCAGCAGCTTGTGCTACACAATCCTTCCAAAAATGCTTGAGCAAATTGACCAACTGCAATCAGCGGCATTGACTGAATTACTGCAAGCCATCTTTGACTTGTGTCTGGCACTGGACAGCACTGATTTTTTGTTTGACCAAGTCTTTGAGGCGTGCAACATCCAGAAGCATTCCTTTCTACAAGTCCTTGCTACGGCTGTACTTGATGACCGGATACGACAGGTGCCTCCAGAGATTGTGCAAGAACTTGTTTCTGAGTTTGTCGCACAAAATCTGCATACACGGCTTGAAGACATTCTTTGCCACCTTGAGCCAAGCTCACTTGATCCCAATCAACTTACTCAATTATGCAAGCAGAACCTTTTAATGGATGCGCTGGCGTATGTCTGGAACGCAGCCCTTGCAGACTATGTCACGCCTCTTGTTGAATTTGTGGAACTCATCAAGTCTGTCCTTCAAGCAACCTCAACAACGAGCGATGCAAGTGCTCGTGCGCAATCTCTAGCGAATCTGGGTGCCAACACTGTCAATGCCGTCAAGGTCTTTTCCTACTTGTCACTCACACTGACTGGTCGCTCATTCCCGCGAGGAATAGCCTTGGCCAAAATGGAAGCCGATGCTGCACGCAGCGCCATTTATGAATTCCTCTTTTCAGGCGTCACGATTGCGTGGCCGCCAGGGTCTAGCAGGTGGATTCTGACAAATCTCAGCACTCCGGAACCATTCTTCCCTTATTTGAAGCTCCTCCTTCACTTCGATTGTCCGACATTCTTGGCGTGTCTGGATGAGGTGTTCGAGGATGCCTATCTCAATGAAGGTCCAGACGACGAACGGCCTCGATCAGCAACCACATCACGCACAATCACACGACAATTTATCATTAATATCCTGCTTGACATATCATCAAGTTTCTCGCAAGAAGACATGCTCTCGCTTTGCATGTTTATTGCACGCAATGTTCCCAAATACCCACAATTCATTCTCCTCTCAGGTTCAGTCTTACAGCGTATCTTGGAAGGGTTATGTGACTACCAAGACGATGAAGTCGCTGATGATTGTCAGCTTGCTGTTGAGTCCCTCTTGTCCATCTTTAAGCCTGCGCACATGCATGATCTTGTGCCTCGATTGACGCGCGTTGGCTTTTTCCGTGTGTTGAAGAGTTATTTTCGTGCAGAGGGGGATGCCGTTGGATTGCTACAAGCGTATCTTCGGGACCGTGGCAGTGAAGTGCAAGTCTTTGGCTGTATTGAAGAGCTGATTGGTCCGGCGAGTAAGGTCGATGCGGCTGCTCAACAATCAGTGCAGGTTGCTATTGTTGAGCATGCTTTAGCTATTGCTCGTGTGGATGCGCCTACGTTTGCAAAAACGATGGATCGATGCAGGCCAGCTTTGCACCATTCCATTGCCACTGCATTGGATGGAGAGGAGGCTTTACTGTTCAGATACCTTCAGCCTGTCATTCGTTTTGAACCAACAAAAGACTCAATTCCAGAATGGATTGATGCAGTTCTGCTGGTCAAGGTCGTTGAGCTTCTGTGTCGTTTCGACCGTGGTTGTATACCTGTGTTCCTAGAACGACCAGGTGTTCTCACGCTTGTTCCAGCGGAACGACTGATTGGCATCCTGGAGCAACATGATGAAGTGGAGGGTCTCGTACGACTCATGAGTATCAGTGGTCAGCGTACTCTTGCGCTTAAGCGAATCCTCAGACATCTGGATGATCTACTCGATACGCTCACCAGTCATTCCCACTCTGTTGATGTTCCTGGCACGATGACTTCCATGAAGCGATACATCGAAATCGCTTCCGTCTTGTGTGCAGAAGAGGTGCACGTGTCGCTCAATGATGGATCGAACAAAGCAGAAGCCATGTGGGTAACCTTGTTGACGGCGACGCTGAATTTGACACAAAAGGCTCGAAACAGCCTTGGACCTCTTGCAAGCAAGAAGTCGATTGCAAAGGAACTGGTGGCGCTGAACTCTCTGCTGAGGAATGCAGTAGGGACGTTATTGATTGCGGCGAGCCAGCATTCAGCCGAGTCTGGCCCAGACCTGTTTGTTCAAATTATCCGCAAATTTCTGGAACAGATTCTATCAACAGACTCGACTTCTGGCGCTCGCAAGGATATCTACTTACTACTGAGTGATGTCTTTGATGAACATATTCTCGGAGGCCAGCTACTCCTGCTCGCTGAGGACATCTTGCAAGGCACACTAGCGACGCAATTTGCAGCACAGTCAGCAAAGCGTCTCCAAGGCTGGCGTGTTTCTAAAATGACATGTGGCTTGTGCGAACGAGCAGTCCACTCACCGGTCGTTGTGCGGCAGGCATTTCGAACGCAACAGGCCGAAGCTGCCTGCTCATTGGAAGCGCGTCGGGCTGCACGGTCAGAGAGAGTGCTACAGAGACATGGTGTGTCTATCGAAAAGGCTAAGGGTAAATCTCGACAAGAGGCACCTGCGCAGGTGGAGGAAGAAGAACCCTTACCAGATATGACGCATATCTTGGCGCATGCGTGTGGACATGTCTCGCACGAGGCTTGCGTCAAGCTATCGAGAGTTGGGCAGGAACTCTCTGCGATTGGATGTGTGGTATGTGTTCGACGGAGGGAAGCAGAGACACAGGCACGAAGGGTGATGGAGGAGGAGCAAGGACGGGCGCTGGTCCTGCCATAGTGTTGAGTGTTCAGATGGATACGGATGCTTACCTCATCTAACACGTGCCTCGACTATTTTTCTCTCGTCTTGTGGCGGGCGCGTAGCTCAAGATCGACGGGTGCCGGGGAAGCTTAAGTTTGGCCAGGGAGGGGGGCATGCTTGCAGATGCAGGGTGATGGGTGGGTAAGGGCAGCATGCAGGAGATGGAGTATCGATGCCAGCAAGCGGATAGACGCCGGCCCGTAGACACTGCGCTGGTGCTGTCGTTCGCGCTAATGCATTTCTTCGTTATAATTAGCACAGGTCTTGAGCCAGCCTTCTTTGTGCGCGTGTAAGAGGCCTCGATACGATATATATCCTTGGCCACCCCTCCTCCCCTTCTACCATCAAAGGGCCCCTTGGTTCTTTCTTTCTGATACACTCCGCACAGATCCAAGTATCAGCTGAGACCTCCTCATCTACCTCATCTTGCAGCTGTCAAACAACAGCCACACTCAAACCACCAAAACTCACCTTTCCATCTACTCAAGATGCCTCTTCCAGGACTCGGCTCCGGCAATGACAAGAGCAATCCAAATGTCGCCTTGACCGAGGCAGTCGGCATGGAACAATGGCAATCCGGTATGGGACCCGACTATGTTCCCTATGTCTCCAAAGATGTCTATGGCAGGCATATTGATCAACCGGATCTATCTAATCCAACGCGCTCACGCTTCGAAAGACCTCTCGATACCATTCGCTCCTTTGAAGCTGCTGCGTATGGGAAAGAACTCGGTTCCGGTGGTAGTAGTGAAGTGGGCGCTGATACACCGCGCAATGCTTCGCGCATGTCTGTGCAGGGCTATACCAACAGCGCCGCTCACAGTCGCAGAGAAAGTATGCAACGCTCTGGAAGCGGCTACTCTGCTGCTGCAGGCCCACAGTATGCGTATGGGCCGAGTGGTAGCGTTGTTGGCGAAGAGGAAGATATGTATAATGGCGCGCATTGGGATGCACGGCACAGTACTGGTCCTGCGGGCAGGCAAGTCAATCCCTATGGCTCACCTGTCAGCGATAATGGTCAAGTGCAACAGCAAATCCGTTTGCCCGTTGCACAGAAGCTCAATTACCAAACACCACCGACGCCGCCACAGGAGAATGCGAAAAAGGATAAAAAGTCACTCTTCAAGAAGCGTTTGTCTTTTGGTAAGAGCAAGCAGTAGTATAGAGATGCACAGGGATCATATAAATGTGGAATTTCGTAGTTGCGACTTGCGCTATTTGCTAGGAATGACTTTATGTACGCTTTAATTTGGCCACTGCTGCGAGAATCCATTTGCAATTGGTCAAGCACAATTTGAGTGCCTTGGTCCAGTCTTCATCGTGGTTGAAGGCTGTTCGAATACACGCATCCCGAATCTTGTCCTTTTCAATCTTGTAGGGTGATTCAAGCGATGCGTCTTGTGTTTCCACAAACTCGCATAGCTGCCGTAGACACTCAAGAAACGCCACCATGGCGCGATCAAAACTGCCTCGATGAAAGTATCGCAACGGATTCACCTCAGTGCTCCCAAAGAGTTCCAGGACAGTAGATTTCGTCACACCACTGCCACTCGATGCAGAACCCAAGAGATTGCCACCTGCTGGCTCAATCTTTTCAATGGTTGAGGTGGAACCCATAGGGTGCAGCCTGTATCCGCGAAATTCGAATTCCAACTTACTAGCCATCGTCTGGAGCAAGAGCAGTGTCAGGCCCCACGCAGCGTTGATTTCTGTCCAGTCCACAGGATGTCCCGGCAGTCTGCCTAGCCGCAACCCATTGATCGTACCAAAATGTCCATCATGACCAATGCAAAATACATCATTGTAGACATTCGTGCGCTGTAACTTTTCAAGCTGTCTCGCATCATGCTCATACCGCACGTGCACACTTTCTTGTTCATTCTGCGCTTGTGCGAGTTCTGCCAGCTTTTGATTGCGATGAAGCCAAAATTGTGCTTCCTCCTCATCGAGTTGTGCACTCTCACGCTGGAGTTGTGCCAATTCCGCCAAGACCTCAGCGTGTTCTCGCTCAGCAGCCTTCAACTCAGCCAACGCCATTTCTTGCTCCTTTGTCAGTGTTGCAAGTGTTTGTGTTGCTTTTGCACAATCTGCCTCACTCGGCGTTGATTCTCGAGTCTTGCGCAAACAACTACTATAGCAATCGCGTTCATGTGCCAATTGTGCCATTTCTTTATTCATCCCCACGATGACGAGTTCCGTACACTCGCCACAAAGTGGAAAATCCACCTCAGAGCGCGTTGACAGTAGCTCAAACAACGTCCGGGTTTGTTGTAATTTTCGAGAAAGACGATGTGGGTCATCCACGCTATCTCGCAGATGCGCACTATCCGCTGATCCATCTTCAAGGAGGACAAATGATTCAGCCGGGTTGCTGATCGTTGTCACAGCTGGTGCGAGGGGTTGTAGCGCATTTTGTGTGATGATTGGGATTCCTGGAGATCCATAACGCCGTACACGAGACGACGCTTCGTTTGTATGATCGCCACCTCGTAGCATCAAGGTTGATTCTGCAATAGATTCTTGTAAAAATTGATTGCGTGATGGTGGATACGCGCGTGCGCCGGATTGAGGTCTCGGTGTAGGTGTAGCCTGTTGGAGGAGATTGAAGGAGGTGGTGGAGGGGTCTGCTAATTCTGGAGCAAGGCTGATGGGAAGTCTACATTTTGAGCAGCTGAAGCTAGCCATCTTGTACTAGTGATGTTGATAAGAGCGCATTGAGGAGCAGAATCTTGTCAGAGACAGCTGTATAGGAAGCGCAATATATTTGCAGGGTGGTTAGGGGTGAAAGTCGTCGTCGTCGTCGCCAAATCCTCGACCTGCTACGACACTTCCAAAACATGGACGCCAGACTGGCAGACTTGCTGAGCACATCAAAACAGCTCTCCTCCATCATCACAAGGCTATCTCACTGTCCTGGCCCTACGTTTGTACAAAAAGAACTCGCTGATGTGATCCGTGATGAGCTCGCATCACTCGATCGGGAGATTGCTTCGTGTGAGACGTATGTGCAAGATACAGAAGACGATACACAGCGCGCAGCACAGCAACTCGCTGTTGCAAAGCTCGCTGAAGATCTAGCCAACCACAGACTCGCCTATCGCCGCGCTGTCCTCAAAGCGCAGCAAAACTTGCAAACGACGCAACAGCTCGATCGTGACTTGCTCTTTGGCAAAGCTGGGAAGAATACCTCATCACTCATGAGCCGTCGCGAAGAGCGTGGCAGCCATGCAGTGTTGCAAGCAAGTGGCGATGTCACGGCTGAATTGAGACGAACGCATGCCATGATGTCTGAAGAACTCTCTCGCTCTGCACTCGCACAGGAGCTCTTGCAGGGGTCCTCAAATTCCCTCAAAACGCTCAATGAGGAGTACACGGCCTTCGAAACAATTCTTGCGGGGTCAAAGCGACTCATCAAGGAGCTTGAACGGGCTGATAAAATGGATAGGTGGTTGATTGTCGGTGCCCTTGGATTCTTCATCTTTGTGGTTTCATTCATTCTCTACAAGCGCATCTTTAGCAAGGGCGTCAATGTTATCTGGTGGATCGTGAGTCAACTCAGTGCGCTGTTCTTCTCAAAAAGCAAAGGAGGCAAGGCAGTGGCGGTCAAGAAGGGGACGGCCAAGATTGCTGATGTCACGGTCGAAGGTGCTTTGCCAATCTCTCGAGCACCGAAGATCGAGGAAGATGCGCTTCTCAACGCAGCACGCATTCCGCCGCGGATTACTGACGATGAGCAGAGTCCAGCAAGAGACGAGCTGTGAGGAAGGGGGGTTGTCTTTGTCATACAAAAAAAGAGCCCAAAAGGATGAATAATGTGCTAATGAACGCTTGCTCTCGAATGCTTTACTTGTGTTCCATCAAACGACACATAAGATGCACACCTATGGCGCTTTGGCGTACTTCTGAGTCCATTCCCTTGCGGTCTTGTCATGTGCTGCGCGATCCGTCCTGTAGAGCTGCGCAATCTCACCAACGAGCGGGTCATCAGGGTTGGCGTCAGTCAGGAGGGAGCTAATGGATAGAAGCACTTTGGAAATGGTCAATGCCGGTGACCTGCCTATTAGCGATGCGCAAAACCTACAGCTGCATACCATTGATCCTTGAGGATATCTAAACAAATTTGTCCATTGCTATTCACGTTGCAGTGGTAGATTCTTGTTGTGAAGCAAATCTTGGGCGGCTTAAAGGGGTAGGTGGAGGGCAACTCAATATCGAGATTGAAGTGTCCACCGGCATAGGGCGAGTCCTCTGGTCCGATGATGGTGGCTGCCCACTTGTGCAAATTGTCGTCTGACTTGGGTCCGCAGACTGTATTGCCCAGCGGGTCTGCATTCAGGTCGCGCAACTCCTTTTGGATGCGCTTTGCTAGGCTGCTTGTAGGCTTTCCTTTGCTTGCCATTGGAAGGACGTGTAGAAGTACGTAGAAGTAGTAGCTGGTTGGAGTCTGTGTGTCTTGTCGCTGTTTGGCTGACAAATATCAGATGGGCAGAAATATCTACAAACATACTGAGCACACTGAACATACTAGAATACAGTACAGAGCATACTATCCATGTCAATCACAATCTAAGCACTGCCTGCAGAAGACAAAGGAGAATCATGCTCACTCTTCACACTCGCAGGCCTCGACTCCTCGGCCTTGATGTCCTTTGTGCTCGACGGCGCAACACTTACGCTCGACGAGTCTGCAGCAGGTGTATCCCTGTCCGTCTTCACGAGTCCAGAGAGCAGTTTCTGTGCGAGCTGTGCTTCCGTCTTTTCCGCATCGCCAGCACCAGCCCCAGACACGTTCATGTCCAGCATCAACTTTGTCTGAGCGAGCGCTTGAATATCCTCCTCAATCGTCTGCTTGCACACGAGCCGAATAATCTGCACCTCGCGTTTTTGTCCGACACGATGAGCACGATCCTCAGCTTGCTTATCGTCGTGTGGATTGTACGACGAATCATAGATGATGACCACATTGGCACAAGCCAGATTGATTCCAAAACCACCAGCTTTGGTCGAAAGCAAAAATACCGTGACATCTTCTTCCTCGTGGAATTGATCAATCATGTCCTGTCTTTTCGCAACATCTGTCGATCCGTCCAGCCGAAAGAAGGACACATTCATAGTGTTCAGCACATCTTCGAGGATATCCAGCGTCTGTGTGAATTGCGAAAAGAGCAGGATTCGATCGCCTCGTTCACGCATTTCAGGAATCAAGCGCTGGAGATGCGCAACTTTGCATGCTTCCATCCACGGATCACCCGTGAGTGCAAAACGCTGTGTTTTAGGATACTGCTTGCATAACCGATTGAGTTCGAAATCAGACATGACCTGCATGTCCTCCACCAAGAGATCATACTCGGATCCCTGATCAATGAAAAATTGCTCCTTGAGCAGTGCCTTGGCCAGCTTATTGACAGTTGCATCATCGTACCGCTTGCGGAATAGCATAGGGTGATTGGAGACTTTGCGCAGTTGCATTAAGATATTGTCATTCTTTGTGCTCAAAACATCCGTCACCTCTTTGCCTTCCTCAAGCGCTTTCGCTTCAATCGCTTTACGTGTCGCTGCCACCAAATCATCATAGATCTCGCGCTGCAAGGCATTCAGCTCAATGATGTCGGTTCTGTAGTGCTTAGCCGGCATATCATCCAAGACTTGATTCTTGTATCGACGCAACACAAACGGCGTCATCATTTGTTTGGCTCGATCAATGCGCTGCTGCGACAGAAGTGCCACCTCTTTCGACTCACTACTGAAAGCCTTGATCTTAAAGATGTTGTTGAGCTTCTCCAAATTACCGTGAAAGACCATTGGCAAGACAAACGCGAGGAGTGAGATGAGCTCCTTCAAATTGTTTTGCAGCGGTGTGCCAGTCAGCAGCAATCTGAATCGCGCCGGTAGAGACATGAGGTAGGTGTATCGAGCGCTTGCGCTGTTCTTGAGGTTGTGACCTTCATCATAGACACATACGTCAAACTTTTGCCGACGAAGAAAGTTGCGATCTTCCTTGGCACCTGCAGCGAGTTGATAGGTCGTCACCATGACATTGTATGCCGTTGGCTTAGTTTCAAAGGCATCTCTGAACTCTGCACGTTCTCGCTGACTGCCATAGTACGGTTCGACCTTGAGTGCTGGACAGAAGCGCGTCAATTCGCGAAGCCAGTTTTCAAGGGTCGAGGCAGGAACGACAATCAGGTGAGGACCTTGAATATCGCGTTCTAGCAAGACGCCAAGAAAGGAGATGACTTGGCACGTCTTGCCCAAACCCATTTCATCTGCGAGAATGCCAGATAGCTTTTTTTGGTACATGAGATGTAGCCAGTTGACGCCGAGTCTAGAATTAGCATTGCCTGAGCAGGATGTTGGCTTACAATTGGTAATCTTTGAGACGCACATCTTCCGGGAGCAATTTTGGTTGGTCTTTGAGGTAGAGGAGTTCGCCTGCTTTGTCGTCCACTTGGACATCTTCCATCTTGACAATCTCTAGTGCTCCAGCACTGTCGCCATCCTTGACTTGAATACCCCAAGACGCCATTGCTTCTTTGAGGCTACTGCCATATGAGACACATCGACGAACAAGCTCATCGATAGCTTCGTAACCTTCCCAAGTATCGACAGAGACATCCACCAGCTTGGCACCGGCAGTCTTTCGTTGACCGCGTGTCCGTTTGCCAGTTGGTGCAGCAGCGTCGATATCCAGCCCACGCACCTCTTCCAGTGTTGTGAAAGGCCGCGCTTCAATGACTTTTGCAGCAAACACAGCAGGACAACTGCCCAAGTCTGCCAACTCTTTTGCCGTTTCCACTTTATTGATGTATGCCAAGACTTTGTTTTCCAGCTCAACTTGATCCATGTCGATGGGAATATAACTCGACTCCATACCTGCAACGCCATCATCCGACTCGCTACCTGCATCTTCCTCCTCGTCCGGTTCACTCTCCAATTCGACGTGGTCTTCATCCGCCGACTCATCAGACACATCAATTGTTCGAGCTGCCTTGGCTGTTCTTTTCCGTAGTTGTGGCGGTGTATATTGGACTGGCTGATAGGCTTCCTGCTGCTTATGACTCGGTGGTCGTTGCAATCGCCCTTGACCTTGTTGCGGGTAGTGTAGCTGTTGCGTTTGCCACGATGGGTACCCATACCCTGCACCCATCGATTGAGAGGGCCCACCTTGCGTACTGCGCATTGCATGCTTTTCACGCACCGACAGGGTTGGAGCCTTCAAGTCACGCTTGGATGTATGCATAATTTGCTGAGCATACTGTGGAGGAACATAATCTTGTGGATGAACACGCTGGTAGGGTGATTGTGTGGGTACGGCCTGTGCACAAAAGTTGGGATCCGCAAGCAAAGCAGACGCATCCTCCATATGACCATGTGTTTGAGCAAGCGCATGATAAATGACTTTCGAGGGAACATCTGGGAAGAAATCCTTGAGCCGTCTCGCTGCCTCTTGTTGTTGGTTATAATGAATTTGACGTTGCTGTTGCATCACAAGTGCATACTGCTGTTGCGACAGGGCTTGTGCGTTGGGTGAAGCAGGGCGGTATTCACTGTAGCTTTTATGCATGGGCTGCATGAAACTTTGGCTTGGTGTTGTGCGTGGCATGGATTGAACAGGTCGTTTTTGCTGATGCGGCGGTTGCTGTTGTCTTTGCTGTTGCTGCTGAAATGAAGCCCCGGGTGTAGCATTGCGATACACTGGCATGACCTGAGGCGATGCATGTTGAGGCTGTCCATAATAGACACCCTGACCCGGAGTGCCAGGTCCGTGTTGTGGTGCCATGGATCCATTAAACGCATAGCCCTGCACAAACTGATGCATCTGTTGAACGGGTGCGACACCGGCACTCCCCGTAATGGATCGCGTTGCATCCCGTCTCTGTGCTGGTACAGCATGCCCAGAACCGTTGGGCGACGGTGTTTGTGATGAAGCGACCGATTGATGGCGCACAAGGTTCTCCTGAAAGGCCGGTCTGCGCAAGGGTTGCTGCTGTGGTGGGATATAGCCAGCAAGCAAGCCAGGTGGGCCTTGCGCAAATTGTGTCCGCTGTACAGGGCGCATATGGACACCGTCACCTGCACTATCAGCGCTGCTTGTCCTTTCATCAAACGTCCGTTTCCTGCCTGCATACAGAGGCGAGGGGGCTTCGCTCAAGCCTGGACTGGATTTGGCATGATGAAGCGCTTCAGCCTGCTGCGGCGGCGGTTGTAGCATGGGTGATTCTGGTATCCTGGCGGGCATCGCAGGAGAGCTTTCAATGATGTCGTCTGGTTCGGCAAGCCGATGACGCTGATGCTTTGGGGTTTCTGCCATCTAACAATGCAGGAGGATGGATGGCAGCGGTCTTGAGGATGTATTACAATAAAATGAGCTTCAACGTGGCTGCTCCTGGGTGGATGAGTAGAGAGATGGACGCGGTCGCGACTAATGCATTGATCCGCTTGCTTGGATTTTCTTCCTGGACGCGTTTCCCTGCAGCGATCTGAGCGGAAATAGACAGACAAGTCACATAATGGCCTTTCCTCATAAACATGCTTCCTTACTATAAATGCTATTCAGCAAGACATGTCACTTGTGTGTACTGTCATTCTGCGAGCCATTCGTGGCGTTGACACCAGCACCCATCTCATTGCGCTGCGTGAACTTCATGCCCTCAATCGAGTGGTACGCATCCTTGCAACCAGTCTTCTTCTCAATCAACCGGCCAAACTCCTCGTGCACCTCATAGAAGATGCCGATGCAGCGTTTGATGATTTCTGGGTCTGACACATTCGCCATGTGTCCCGAAATGGTGTCGGTGATGCGTTCGCGCTGTCCAGCGTCAAACACCTTTGTCCACAATGCACGAGGCTGGTCAAAGTCTTCCTTGCGAATGGATGACAGGTAGGCAATAGCATTGCCCATGTACTCGGCGTGCACCTTGTCAATGCCATACTTGCGCTCAGACAATTTGATGGGGTTGAGCGATGACATGTAGTTAGGACGGGCACCCTGGTTGTAGTAGGCCATTTGTCCATCGCGCTGGAAGTTGCCTGCCAGGTATGGCGTGTTAGTCTGGTTGACGGGCAACTGCTGGTAGTTACTGCCAATTCGGTATCGGTGTGCATCCGGGTAAGAGAACAAGCGAGACTGCAAGACTGGATCAGCCGAAGGCTCAATACCAGGAAGCAAGTGAGCAGGATTAAAGGCTGCCAACTCAACCTCGCTGAAGTAGTTTGCCGGGTTTGAGTCCAAGACGAGTTTGCCAAACTCTCGCAAAGGGAACTCCTTATGTGGCCAGACTTTGGTGAGATCAAAGACATTGATGCCAGACTGCTCGGCCTGCTTAGGTGTCATGGTCTGCACATTGTAGGTCCATGTGGGGAATTTGCCACTCTCAATACGCTCGAACAAGTCTTGCGTGTGCGAATCAGGAGGAAGCTTGGCAGCCTCGTCGTTCGTGAGGGTCTTAACTCCCTCGTCTGCCATGATGTGGAACTGTGCATACACCCACTCGCCCTCGTCATTGACAAGCTTGAATGTCTAGTTGTTAGTAAGTGAAGGATCAATGGATGAATATACGTGTGAGCTGTAGCCATTCATGGTCGCATAACTGCTTGGAATGCCACGGTCACCCATGAGAATCATAAATTGGTGGACGGCTTCTGGGTTCTGCGAGAGGTAGTCCCAGAATGCTGTTGAGTCCTGAGCATGTGTGAGATGCGTTTGCGGGTGACGCTTCTGCGTGTGAATGAAGAGCGGGAACAATGCTGGGTCTCGTAGGAAGAAGATGGGGGTGTTGTTGAAGACCCAGTCCATGTTACCTTCGTCTGTTCGGTGCTTGATGGAGAAACCACGAGGGTCACGCGCAGCATCCAGTGAACCAGACTCGCCACCGACAGTGGAGAATCGAACAGTTACCGGGCAGGACTTGCCTTCTTCTGCAAAGATACCAGTCATGCACAGGTCTTTGAGAGACTTTGTGCAGGTAAAGGTACCATGCGCACCTGCACCCTTGGCGTGTACAACACGCTCTGGGATACGCTCGCGATCGAAGTGCGAGATCAAGTCAAGTAGATGGAAGTCCTGAAGAAGAAGAGGTCCATTCTCGCCGACGCGCTGTGCTTCAGCTGGATTGGGCATGCGAACACCATTGGAGGTGGTGTAGACTGCACCGGAATCTGCAGCGTCTGCGCCAAAGTCACGGAGCTTGAAATTGAGGCCTGTCTTTCCTTTATTATTCTCTGGAGCCATGATGGATATTGGCAGATGAAGAGCAGAGTGGCGAGTGGTGCTGTCTTTGTAGTCGTGTCGCCCCTTTTACGACGTCATCTTTTCGCATCTCGATCGGGGCGCGGGAAGAAGCCGAAGTGGCCGTCGAATGATGTGTGTGATTGTGTCAGCAGGGCGTCACTTATGAAAGGCTCTTCTGAGTCTTGAACATTGAGCCTCGAGCCTTGGGCCTTGAGCGCTGTGCAGTATCTTGCTTGAACTTATGACTGCTGCCAGTTGAACAATCGTTATGCAAGCAGCTATTTTCTGGGACCAGTTCACAATCACATGAAGTTATGATCACCTGAGTTTATATGCTCTGCTATCACTAGCCAGATCCCTTTAGTCCGCTGTATATATGACTGCTGACTGAATACACGTGACTTGGCGCCATCAGTGTTCGCTACGACTACAAGAACTACAAGAAGCAGGCAAGAACCCATTCAACATCAACCACGTTCCATCATGTCTCTCCGTCTCGGCTCAACAGCTCCAAACTTCCAGGCAGAAACCACACAGGGCAACATCGACTTCCACGACTGGATCGGCGACTCATGGGCCATCATCTTCTCCCACCCAGCAGACTTCACCCCAGTCTGCACCACAGAGCTCGGTGAGATGGCCAGGTTGCAGCCTAAATTCAAGGAACTCGGTGTCAAGATCATTGGTCTCTCCGCCAACAAGCTCGACTCCCACGAGAAGTGGATCCAGGATGTCGATGACATTGCCAGTGTCAAGCTCGGTTTCCCCATCATTGCAGACCATGAACGCAATGTTGCGCTCAAGTACGACATGATTGACCAACAGGATGCTACCAATGTCGATGAGAAGGGTATTGCCTTTACAATCCGTTCCGTTTTCTTCATTGACCCTGCCAAGAAGATTCGCACCATTCTCGCTTACCCAGCATCCGTTGGCCGTAACGCAGATGAGATTCTCCGCATCATCACAGCATTGCAGTACGGTGTATGACTTCTTTTCTTATACTATTGGAGCAGCGCTAACATTAGGACAAACACAAGGTGACGACACCCATCAACTGGAAGAAGGGCGACAAGGTGATTGTTCCTCCTACCATCAAGTCTGGATCCAAGGAGATTGAGGCATACCCAAACGTTGAGGAAGTCCGTCCTTACCTCCGATACACAACCAAGGGTATCGACGCTTAAAGTCTAGCTTTCTAGTCAACCAAAAGCACCATTTTCAATGTTTCACCCCATCTGAATTCGTTCTACTACTTGCCCAGGTGAGCTGCCGAATCTACAACACTTTTCCATTTGTTGCTCTGCGATAAAGCTACTGCCTGCCTGCCATGTTAGGCGAAGGCTGTCTAGAGCAATCCTTGCATATTGCCATGTTCCAGTACCAAAGCACCAGTCAATTTGCAGTGGGCAGCTCAATTGACATTGGGGGTAGGTGAGACTCTGAAAATCCGGAATATGATTGCCTTGATCTCTCCTTTTTGATTAGTCAAGTTGCCTCATCGGAGAACCAAGCTTGAATTGCTGTCCTAGCCTCTCTCGGCATTGCATATCGTCGATCGAATATTTAGAAACTGCTCTGCCCAACCTCTACATGAGTGCTCGTACACGCTCCTCCAATTCTTTGGCCGATGGTCGATCCTTTGCAAGTGGTTGCAAACAGCTCTGTACAAGCCCGATGAGCTGCTGGCTGTATGGATGACCAGGAGGGATCTTGTATGCACCATTCAAGACTGCCAGGCTCATACTGCCTTGTTCCGTTTGTGGCGTTTCGAAAGGTGAATGGAGGAAGAGGAGCGCATAGATTAGACATCCAAGTGACCAAATATCCACTCTTTCATCAAGATGCATGCCTGTCTTGGTATCAAAGAGCTCTGGTGCTCTATATGGCATGGTTGAGTGCTCTGCTGCTGCATCTTGTACTTGCAGAGCCTCTGTTCGTGTGGTGATGTGTCTGCGTGCAGGCTTCAAGCTGCCAAGATCCATGAGGACAGGCGTTCCATCATCAGCAAGCATAACGTTCGCTGGCTTCAGATCATAGTGCGCATACGGCAAGATACCACCGTCGCGTGTTTGCTCTTGTTGAATGGCTGTTGCATCTTCATTCATGAGGGGTTCTCTGACTTCATCTATAGATTGCCGGGCATCTATCGCAGGCCGGTGCTCATGCAATTGACGTAAAGCCAGACAGATCCCAGCGAGCATGGACAGCACCTCTGATTCGGAGAAACGCTCCTGCTTGATGTGCTTGTCATTGATGGCATCTTGCAGGTTACCAAGCTTATAGTACGGCAGCAGAATGTAAACAATTTTGGCATCAGCCTCTTGTACAATCGCATGGTCTACCGCAGCAATCACGCTGCGATGCTTGAAATGGCTATACGCCTTGACTTCGCGCATGGCAAGCTGAACGGATTCTTGGCCAAAGGGGCAACGGATCTTTTTGAGTGCATACAGGTGGCCTTGTTGATCTTGCACGAGGTAGACGTAGGAGAAACCGCCTTCGCCTAGTAGACGCAAGGTTTTGAGGGAGCGATTATTGAGCTTGATGTTGGGAGTCAGTGCAGTAGGTAGAGAGAGCGATGGCAGGCAAGAGCAGAGTGTAGCATGGATAAAATCCATGGCAGAAGCTTTGAGGGCCAAGCAGCAGTGTAGCTATCTGGTGTCGTGGCTGTTGTGTCGACGTCTGAATTCGCTGCTCGACCTCCTGCAAAGAGACCACACAGCCAGTGACATGCAGCAGGCTGGCTGGCCTTCGTAGCTGAAGACTGAATCTGGCTCGATGCTTAAAATCTTGAATCAGCTTGCAAGTGATGATGCTTCATCGTGAACAAGACAGTTGGTCCATTAGATAACACTGTCTTGATGAGCTCTTGCTTACGCAGCCTCTCTCTTACTTGATGCCCCTCAAGGCCCAGTCTGTTGAGCAACGAGCTTTGTGCTGGCCTCTGTCATCTTGCTCTACTCATGCATACCCCTATAGCCCTCTGTAGCCAATACCAAATTACACCCGTCCATGCCCATAGAGTCCATCTGCAGCTCACCTGCAACCATATCCTTGAACCACACACCACAATACACACCGGAGCAGCCCTCCTCCTCAAAGGCTCCCCTGCAACATACACACAAGAGCGAGAGAGGTGGTACCCAGCCAAAGGTCATCTGCATAGAGGCACAACACAGTCTTGTCCCTGCATCTCGCTGCAGTCTTTATAAAACTGGTAAATATGCAAGACCCACAGCAAGACTCGGTAACAAGCGTGCCCGCTGCTGGATCCGCGCCCGCAATAGAGACAGAGACCCTCCCGACGCTGGATGCGGCGATCGACTCTACGCGGCCCGATACCGCCATCACGGCTGTGTCTACGGACGCGTCTGCGAACAATACACCCAGAGCCAACCCGCATGCAACACGACACAAGGGTAAAGCGAGAAAGGTCTACACGGACGATTTGGATATACCCTTACTACAAAAGACGCCCGTCAAGGCGAGTCAAGCGTCTAGCAAAGCTGCCTCTGTCACCGCAAGTGATTCAAAGCCTGCGAAGCGGAAACGGTCGCCCACACAAAACAGCGGCGTCAAGGAGGCCACAAAAAAGAGTAAGCCGAGAGATCGCATCAAGCAAATCATGGTGGATGGACATGTACAATACAGCTATACGCTACCCAACGGTACTGTACTCAAGGCAAATGGTATGCAGGACTTACAATGAATGATGACTTTGGCTAATAACAGACTGCATCTACCTCGTGTGCGAACCACCCGGAGAACCCTACTACCTTGGCCGCATCATGGAGTTTACCAAATTTGACTCTGAATCGCAAGATATCAATGGCGTGCGCGTCAACTGGTTCTATCGCCCTCGCGACGTTCAACGGCAAAGTCAAGATTCACGACTTGTCTATGCAACCATGCACTCAGACATCTCACCACTCGGTTCTATCCGTGGCAAGTGTCAAGTGGAGCATCGACTACAAATTAGCGATGCGGACGAGTACCGCAGAAAGCCAGATTGCTTCTACTATGAAAAACTCTTTGACAAATTTATTCACCGCTACTACGATGTCATCCCCGTTGAGCAGGTTCTCAATGTCCCGGATTCTGTCAAGCGTGTATTGCTTGAGCGTTGGCGTTATGTTGTGGTTGAAATGAATCGTGGCAAGGAACTCGCTATGGAGCATCGCGCTTGTAAGCGATGTAGCAATTGGTGCTCAAGTAAAGATTCTGTTCGTTGTGCGCTTTGCAAGTCAGACTACCACATGCAATGCGTACAGCCACCCATGCCACGCAAGCCGAGTCGCGGGTTTGCGTGGACATGTACGCCATGTTCACGCGCTGAGCTCAAACGTATGGAAGAGGCGCGTGCGCCCGATATTGGACTGTTGAATAAAGTAGGTGGCAAGGAGCGTCTTGAGCTGGAAATGAAGGAACGTCAAGATCTATGGACTGCCGCAGAATTGGAGAAGGAGGAGAAGGATGAGCACATGCCTGATGCAGACAATCAAGAGACTTTTGTGCCACGCGAAAAGGCAAAGCCAGAGCAGTGGCCTTATCGGTATATGGGTATTCACTGCAACTTGGCAGATGTGCTTGATACAGACGATCGCATCTACCCTCGTGCAGCATCGCGCATTGGTCCAAGGCATCAGTGTACGGTACAAGAATGGCACGGACATCCAATCGAGTACTTTGAGCGCAACAAGCGAGCCATCAAGCGGACACCTAAAGCAATGAAGGGCAAGCGCTCTGATGAGCGTGCTGCCGTTGAGCCCATCGAGGAGACGGTTGATGCCGCTGATGCTGTTGACGCCGTTGAGGCCGTCGAGCCTGTTGACGAAACAGAGGCTATTGACCCAGCTTCCATGTTGCCCAGCGAACGTCCAGCGTGGATGCAAGAAAAGCCTTCTGGCTATCTTGCTCGCGGCGAAGGTAAAACCTCAGAGACCATCTGGCTTCCCGATCGTCTCCCGGACAAGGCGGTAGATGCCTACCTCGCGAGCCTCAAGCCGCTTGCAGACAAGCTCAAAGTCAGCCAAAATACACCGAATCTGCTTGATTTGGCACTCAAAGCACTGCTTGCCAATCAGCTCGACTCTGATGCAGCGCTAGAGTCCCTCAAGAAGCTGACCCGGCACAAGCTTGGTGAGCCTCATTTTACGGCGGAGGACAAGTTCAAGTTTGGTGTGGCTGTGCGCAAGTATGGTAGTGAGTTGCATCAAGTCGCAGAAGAGATTGGCAAGAGTGTGTCGGAGTGCGTGCGCTTTTACTACGCCTGGAAGAAGACGCCACAAGGACAAGACAACTGGGGCAATTCAGAAGCGAGACGACCAAAGTCAGACAAGATCCCGACAGTCAAGACGCGAGAAGTCCCCGTGACGGAGCTCGAAAAAATTGCCGACAGCAGTGACGACAGTGCTTATGACTCTGTCAAGGCAATCAAAGTGAAAAAGGTGTTTGCCTGCAAATTCTGTCAGACATCAACGAGTGCACGTTGGCGCAGAGCACCTGGTACGACGAGCGGCAGTGGTGCAGTGACTGCATTGTGTAATCGGTGTGCAGATCTATGGCGACGCTATGCTGTTCAATGGGAGTCGCCTGAAGAAGTGTATCGCAAAGTACACGAGCTGGGCGCCAAGTCAAAGAAGCGCAAGTTTGAGGAAGAGCTTCTCAAGGAATTACCGCCTAATGGCGAGAAGCCAGAGAAGCTGGTGCAAGCTGAACAAGATACAAAAGTCGTCAAGAAGATCAAGGTCAAGGAGCCAAAAAAGGAGCGCGCGCCAACACCAATCTTGCCAGATCCATGCGAGGTATGTTTGTCGAGCGATGAAGCAGGCATAGCCGTTTGTTGCAAGTGCAAGCTGCGTGTGCATGCCTCTTGCTACGGCATCCAAGAAGCAAGCGATACTTGGACTTGCGATGTTTGTTTGAATGAGAGTACGCCCATTGTCTCGACGACTTCTGCTTGTGTTTTGTGTCCATCCAGCAAACGTGGGCCGTTGAAGCGCACTGCCGGCAATCACTGGGCACACATTACCTGTGCAACATGGATGCAGCATGTCCGGTTTGCTGATGTCAAGACACTGCAGCCTATCGAAGGCATTGGAGCGCTACCACTAACAATCTGGGAAGCTACCTGTGCCATCTGCTCCGTTCAGAAAGGTGCGTGCATTGCGTGCGCAAGCTGTGCCAAGCCACTGCATGTTGAGTGTGCAAAACAACACGCCTACCCCATGGGCTTCGAGATTCAACCCATCAAGTCTTCACAATCGCGTCGTGAGCAGCTCACGTTGATTCGCATTGGCAATGAGTCTGGACTGATGACGGCTGTGGTGTATTGTCCAGAGCACGACCTACGACGCGCGGGAACAATCCATCCCATGCAGACACCGACGTCCAATGAGGGTGAAATTGCACTGGCTGCGTATATTCGAACATCCAAGTCGAGTGATGCGCCACTTGCGCGCGCACCACGCAAGGGCGGTGTTGCCAAGAGTTTTGTTGGCAATACCGCTCCACTTGTCATTGCCATGAAGACGGAAGAGCTTCGAAAGAATGCAGCACAGGGTGCAACGGTGGTGGCAGTTGAAGCTGATGCTCAACGGACGTGCAAGACGTGTGCTGTGACGGTGTCGCCCTTGTGGCATGACGACGATGCGGATAGTTTGTGCCATTTGTGTCATTTCAAAAAGACGCATCCGGGCGTGGTGGTGGATAAGCCTGTGCCTGAATGGATCAAACCAGCTCAAGCAGATGTGGTCGAGAGGCCGCCTGCGCAGCCGTCTGCTATGGGCAAAGACGCGCATCAGCCATCGATGGGACAGCCTGTTGATCAGGCGGATGAATCGACGCACACTGCCGCAGCAGTACCTGAGCTTGTTTCAAGTTTGGCTCCTGGAGCCGTGCAACAGCCAGCAGATATAGACACGAGCATGATTGATCCGATGCTCCAGTGAGTCAACGACGCATTCATAGGTAGAGAGTCATGATAACTCTACTCTTGCTACTCATCACACTGCTTATAGCTGTCTGTTCTTTGTCTTGATCTGTTCGTTGTCTTGCTCTTATTCACCTGGCAGGCTTCATTGGTTCGACCATGGTCACTGGTGCCTTACAAATGCTACGGCACCTGTGTAGGTGAATCTTGCGACTTTGAGGTCCAAAAGTTCTCTGCTCAAGCTTCGTAATAAGGTATCCAAGAGCGTACTCCTGGAAATATGAAAGTGGACGTTGGCTGAAATGGTCTAGATGCAAATGGGGTCGATGAGACACCTAGCAATTGCCTTCTTACGTTGCGTGCAACCTAGCTATGCATGACTGGTGCGGCTGCAGTGATACCTTGCAGCTGTCAAGATGTTCTTGTCTCTATAATCGTGATACGTGAAGCAAAAAAGCTAAATATTGTTAACAAGTGAGATCCTATAAATTAGTGGTGGGCCACTGGTAGTCTTCATCGGCTTTGTAGCCGAAGCTTGCGAGGTACTCGTCAATCTCTTGCGGACCACGCGATCCGTACGGGTAAGGACTTGGCTTGAGATCCTTGTTTTGATCCAAAAAGTGCAGCAAGGGTGTAAAGACACGCCAAGACTGGTCCAGTTCATCGTCTCGCACAAAGTTGGAGTGATCACCCTTCAAGGCATCGAGGATGAGGGCTTCATACGCTTCGGGGATCTTGAGGTCTGAGAAGCGACGCTTGTAGGTCAAGTCGAGTTCAGTGGTGGCGGTACGCATCGACAAGCCTGGCATTTTGGTGTTGATTTTGAGGTAGACGGATTCATCTGGCTGGACGCGCAAGACGAGCTCATTGCGAGGAATCTTGCCAAAGATGCCACCAGCCACATCCTTGAATTGCACGCGCACCTCGACTTTTGCTTGATCCAGGGCTTTGCCGGCCTTGAGGATGAAGGGAACGCCCTCCCAGCGCTCATTGTTGATGTAGAGAGCCATGGCTGCAAACGTAGCACAATTGGAGTCCTTGGAGACAGTCTCATCATCGAGGTATCCCGGCTTGGAGCCATCTTCTGATTTTGCATACTGGCCAATAATGACATCCTTGGAGTTGATGGCCGGCATGGAACGCAAGACGCGGACCTTTTCATCGCGAATATCTTCGGCGTTGAAAGAGAGCGGCCTCTCCATGGCAATGACGGTGAGGACTTGCAGCAGATGGTTCTGCATGACATCGCGAATAATGCCAATCTCGTCAAAGTAGCCACCACGTCCCTCTGTGCCGAACGGTTCCTTGAAGGTGATTTGAATGTTGGAGATGTGGTTCTTATTCCAGGAGGAGGAGAGGAATAAGTTGGCGAACCGCATAATCAAGATATTCTTCACCATTTCCTTGCCGAGGTAGTGATCGATGCGGAAGGTTTCCTCCTCCTTCCAAATGGGCTGAAGGGCCTTTTGCAACTCACGGGAGGACTCGAGGTCATGGCCAAAGGGCTTCTCAACAATGAGCCGTGCAATGCCTGTTTCCGGATAGCAGTTGCGCTTGAGACATTGAGCAACAGGGATGAAGACATTGGGTGGGAGGGCCATGTAGAAGATGCGATTGCGCTGCTTGCGCTCTCCCTCGACTTCTTCCAGGTGCGTGTTGAGCGCCTTGAAGCTGTCATCCTGGTCGTACTGCCCGTTGATGTATGTGCACATCTCCAGGAATTCCTTTAGGGCATCCTGATCCTTGGGAGAGGGTGTCTTGATGTGAGACTTGACCCGCTCGTGGAACTCATCCTCGTTCATCTTTGTGCGCGCATATCCGACGATTTTAGCATTATCGGGGAAGTAGTTGTTGCGGAAGAGGCCAAAGAGGGCGGGAAAGGTCTTTTTCTTTGCGAGGTCGCCTGAAGCGCCGAGGACGACGACCGTGACATCGGAGGACTGTGGTTAGAATTGTCGGTTGAGGGTGGGATGACGTACGATGGCGTTCTTGTTGTCGCCGGTGTCTGTGTCGAGGGAGACGGGCTTGCGGAGATCCTTGGGGGATGTTAGTGATGGCGATGACGGGGTAAAGCAGTACGGCCTTGGTCTCTGTCTCTGGCATTCTAATGGATGGATGTGTAGTGGTGAGTGTGCTGCGTCGTTGCCTCTGCTCTCTAATCAATCGATTCTAGCCGAGTATAGGCCAGACTATACTATACTATATATTGAAGTATGGAGTGTACCAGTAGGAGTATGGATCATAGGCCAGCAGCAGGTGTCTGGGCTGCTTGTTGGAGGACTGGCTCATGACTGACCAGGGCCATCAAGAGAGAGTATCAGTCATGACATCTATCCTTGACATGCTTGACATGGGTGATCATCTTGACCAGCATGTATCAGACTGCTGGCCTTGAGCTGGATATAGACTACCTGCAGACATCTCCCTCATAGACATATCAGTCTTCCATTGGGCCTATGCCTTGACATTGAGTCTTGTTCCTCCTGCTGTACAAGTCGATGAGCCTCTTTGGTATGGTGACGAAGGATAGACTCAAGCAGCTGCAGTTGGCCTCACAAGTACTAGACTAGCAGAGGATTAGACTAGCATCAGACACTGGTCTATAGTACTACAACTGCTACTACAACTACTCCTACTACTGCTACTACTTGCCTGGTAGCTCAGGTCACGTGCTCCACCTGATCCCGGCAGCAGAGAGAGACAGAGGAAGCAACCAAGACCCAACGACGACACAAGGGACACGCTCACCACAGGGACCCAGCCAGTGACACAGCGTACAGAGCACAGCTAGACAACATGTCCACCATGCAGAACGATCACCAGGCACCACCCTCCACCGAGGACACAAAATCAAACAACAATCCAGAACCGGCACCCGCCGCACCATCACCACAGTCGCAGAACAACGCGTCCGAGACCAAGCCTGACGACGCCGTGCAGCAGGAGAGTCAGCCTGAGCGTCAACAAGAACACGATGCACCAGCTGATTCAGCAGTGGCAGACAATTCTGAAGACATACCCGCCAATGCGTCGGCGACAAAACCGGCCAAGTCCGCGAATGGCAAGACTCCGCGTGGAACAGGCTCAAAGAAAGCGTCTGCTGCAAAGGAGGAAACGGACGAGCAGCAGGGTGTCTATAATGAAGGCGATTTCGTGTTGGCTAAAGTTGCTGGGTATCCCTGGTGGCCCGGTATGGTCGTGACGCAGGATCACCTGCCGCCTGCTGCACAAGCTGCGAAACCAGCCTCCAAGGGACGTAAAGATGGTACCACAGCACCCGTGTATCCCGTCCAATTCTTTGGTCAGGCAGAGTACTCTTGGGTCAAACCGGCAGATCTCAAGGCGCTCTCAAAGGAAGATGCAACGAGCTTCTTGACTTCTGCAAAGAAGGCCACGAGCAAGGCCATTCGATCCGCATACCAGGCTGTGCTCGATAATCCAACATTGGAGTCCCTCTTGGAGGTCAAGCATTCCATCGTCAGTGCGTTGGCGCACGATGACGAGGACGAGGATGAAGAGATGCAGGATGACGACGACGATGCAGTGGTCGATGAGGACGACGACGATGCACCCAAAAAGTCAAAGACCCCCAAAAAGACCACCACACCCCGTACCAAGACTCCCAAATCAGCTGCCACCAAGCGTCGCAAGAGTGAAGCTGGCGATGATGCCAAAAAGAGCAAACCCGTTGCTAAAAAGGCAAAAGTCACAAAGACGGCTGAACGTGAGGCATCGCCTGCATTATCACCTGAAGAGCAAGAAAAAGCCCAGTGGCAAGCGCGTAAGCAGCAAATCATGTTCTTACGACACAAGCTGCAAAAGATTTTGTTGGGCAAGGAACCGCCTGCCGAGTCAGAGGTGGATCCCGTTCCTGGCTACCTCAATGATTTGAGCCAGTGTGAGTTGGATGTGGAAATCTTCCGGGAGACCAAGATTGGTAAAGTGCTTTCGCGCATCTGCAAGCTGGAGAATATTCCAAAGGATGACACCCTCGGCATCAAGTCCAAGTCGAGGGAGATTCTGGAAAAGTGGAAGGGCAAGGATCTCATGTCGGAGGAGAAGAAGGACGTTGCACCAGCGCCAGCAACGGAAGACAAACCTGCTCAAGACACGGCAGAAGCCAAGGACAACACTGCGCAAGACACTGAAGAGGCCAAGGCAGAACCAGCCAAAGAGGCTGCAAAGACTACTGAGCCTGCTGCGAGTGAACACAAGGAAGTATCAGCTGACTCCAAAGAGGTCGAGCCAGCAGCCAGCAAGGAGATTGAAATGACAGAGTCAAAGGGAGAGGACAACCCAGCTGAGCAGACCAGTGTTACAGCTGCAAGTGAAGCAAAGTAAGTTTGCAACATTATTGCACCCAGATACAGCAGTGATCGATTATTGTACAGACATGACCATCCAATCTTGAACATGTACATTATTGCTATATTGCTATATCCATACTTGCGCAGTGTGTCTATACCAGTCATTCCGCTTATCCGCCTCAATTTGCGGATAGTACGGCGTCATGGCAGCAGCCTGCTGCACATACATGTCATTATAGAGCTTGGTGTAGATATTGCGCACCTTTCGTGCTGGATGGAAGAGACCCGCCAGTAAGTAATTGGACACAAGACCAGGACCCAGGGCTGTGCGAATACCACTCACAGCATCCGTCATGGCGTTGATAACATGCGGCGACGTCTCAAAGATATTGGGCCACACCAGGTTGAGGAGATGCACCATCAAGTCTTCGCAGCCAAGACCCACCACACCCAGTGACAGATGCTTGATGGCTGTTGCCGCTGTTTGGCGATGCACATGATCGCGATCGGTGAGGGCATCCTCGAGCAATGGACCCACCGCATAGACATAGTCGCGCGCCATATCGCCAATATACTCAAACATAAACGCCAGCGACTTGAGCACGCCCGTACGCACAGTCAGCTCAGGCACACGATACTCGGCCATGAGCGCAGGAACAACAGTGAAAGGTGCACACGTTTCAGCAACAATGGCAATCGCAACCGTCGTACACACTCGATTCTGACGTTCCTGCACACGCAGATTATTGAGCAATGTCGCAAGCACATCCGAGGGACCAATGGCCTTGGCAATATAACCAAACGTATTGACTGCAGCACGTCGAATCCCCTTCTTGTGTGCCTTGAGCATATCGAGGAGCTCAAAGCAGATGCGCATCCACTCGCGAGCAGACACAAATTCAGAACCACGATCAGCGATACGCCCAACCAAGTCAATGGAATTCTCTTGCACCTTCTCATGCCTGTTACGCAGAATGGGTGTCAGGCGGGGCAACAAATCCTTGATGGGCGGTGTCATGCTCGACATGCCAACAACATTGACAATGCTTTTCAGCGCACCGAGAATAGAGCCAAGCACTTCAGGGTACTCTTCGCCCAGGTACTCGTACAGCACGACGCCCAGCTTGCCCATGAGCTGCTCTTCACCACACGTCTTCATCACCACTGCAACGCGTGAAATGAGATCTGCCGACTGCTGACGAACATTGGCAGACTTGTTGTTGAGACGCCAGAGAATGGTAGAAACAATTTGTGGGAGGTAGGGCTTGCACCGCAGACCGAGGGCATTGACGACAGTGCCAAAGCCGTTGAGCATGATGGGATCTTCCACAGTCTGCTCTTGAAACGCAAATAAGATGCCATCGACAAGACGCTCCTCGACGCGATCAGTCAGCTCGGCAGCACCGCCCGCAGCAATCACCTTGTCAATTGTCTCGACGCCCATGCGACGGTAGGGCTCAGACTCATCCTTGAGCGTATCCACGACACGATCGACAATTTCAACGACACCCACCTTTTGAGCCAATTCAACCGTCGTCTCCACGACTTGCCGGTAGTTGCGTCGATCCAAAGCCATGCGACGTATCCAAAAGTTGCGGAAAAAGTCTGGCATGACCTGACTTTGCAGGAAGCCCGCAGTCACGCCGTCGGTGGCTGCACACTGACTGACCACCTTTAGCACAATCTTCTTCATTTCCTCATCTGGGCTGGTGAATTCACGCGTCAACACAGTCATGACTTCTTTGGTGAAGTGGTCGGCCCATTCGGGGTCCATGAGGGGGATGATGTAGCCTGTTGCTTTCAAGAATGCAGCAAGACCTTTGCCACGGTGTTTGCGAATGCCTACCCACAACGGCTTGAGGACACTATCAAACGACTCGATACCGTATGGCGTTGCGGCTTCTGCAAGGGCAGCAATCGCCAGTGCCGTCATGGTGCGCACTTTTTGCTGTTCATCCGTCAAGCCCAGACCAATACAGTCAACCAGCTGCTTGAGGTGCGGTAAAACGGCACATCCCATGAGGATGGCGATTTGCTGAATAATCTTGACACCCGTGTGTCGCGCTTGCCAGCTCTTTTTGGACTTGCACACGGCCTTGAGAAATGGCAAAATGGCAGGAATGCCCAAGGCACTTGCAACGACTGCAAACGCGCGAGCAGTCGTATTGCGCACATACTCGTCAACGTGATCAATATCGGGTCGCATGGTTGCAATCATGTGCGCTAGGCCTGCAGCTTTCGACAGATTTGAAATGATTTCCCTGCCTTCGACACGAGCGTAAAAGTCTTCATCGATCAGCAAGGGCTCAATCACAACGAGAATGCGATGGACCCATGGACGAACCAGATCATCAAGCTTGTAAAGGATGCGATCGATAATCTTGACGAGCAAGTGGCGTTCCTGATCTTCTAATGTGCGCTCCATGAGAATTGGCAGAATTTGCTTGAAAAGAGCATCTGCCCCAAAAGCTCGCGCATTGTCCGTCAATTGACGCAGTGCAGACTTGCGGGTTGGCGGTGCACCATTCTTGACTTTGAGAATGAGACGCATGATTTTGCGTTCCTTGAGCTCGGCCACCGTGAGCAAATTCTCATCTGTTGTGTCCATGAGTGCGCCAAAGTACTTCATGTCTTCTTGCTTGAAGAATTGAAGGTCGCCAACGCCGGGAATGTCGGTTGGTAGTTGCTCACTCATCATTTTGGCTTGCATCGAATCTGGCTCTTGCATGGTAAAGCCTGTACTGACTTCTGGTGCAGAGGTGAGTTTTTTGGCAGCAGCTCGTAGTGGTTCATAACCTGCTGGTGGCTCTAGAATCTTGTAACCGGCCTTTGGGAGAATAATGTCAAGCTCTTCATCGGTGTATGGCAGCGGCCGCCCTTGCAAGTCCATGCCGAGACCACCACGAGGCACGTCTACTTTCTCAACAGCCGCATCAGCAACCGGGGCAGGTGTTTGATCCCAGCGTGATTTGCGAGGCGCTTCCACTTCTGCTGGTTGGTCCCAGCGAGACTTCTTCGTTGGCGTTCCGGAGCTCGCCACAGGCGTCTCTTCTACAGTCGGCTCAGCAACATCCCATCGGCGTTTCCTTGTACGCGGCGGCGTCTTGTCACCAGCGTCGTCTCGTGGTGGAGTCTTGCCACCATCTGTTGTTCCTTCCTGCTGCCGTTTCTCGATTTCTCGCTGCACGCGCGCCTCTTCACGTTCGAGCTCACGCTGTTGCATGACTTCAGCAATGGTTTTGCCATCTTGCGGTGATAGGGCCCGATCAAAGCGACGCCGCTGATAGTCTGATTCTCGCGCTGCTATTTGGCGAGACACATTTTTATCCGTCACGAGCTGCAAGCCATCGTCGTCTTCGCCGGCAAATTCGTCAAGCAGTTCTTTCGGCGCTGTGTAGTTGGCCACTAGCCTGCGAGAAGACTCATCTTCAGGCTCGGGCGATGCGCCAGAAACGTCGAGTTCGCGTGCATAGCCATCATACTTGTCGCTAGGATTTTCATAGAGCTCATCAGCTGCGGCATTGAAAGCGATGCCCTTGTGTTCGGTCCCGCGCTGCGAGCCTTGCTGCTCGCTTGACTTGCTCATGGCAGCTCTTGCCTCTTGGATGGGGTGTGGTGTTTTGTGTCGTCGCAAACAATTTGAAAGTGAACAGCGCGACTCTTTTGACACCACATCTACTGCAGCCTGAGCAAATAGCTTGGCGGCTAGAAGGCTAGACGAGGCCTGAGGGAGTGATGGGGAGACGCTTGGCTAGCTTGGACTACTTTGAAAAAGTCAGCAAGGATGCACAGGTCAAGACGAGCACAGGCGGCGTGGTGACCCTGACTTCCCTTGTCCTCATCTTCATGCTGCTGGTGAGTGAGTGGAATGCCTACAGGCGTATTGAGACGCACTCTGAGCTGGTGGTGGATACATCGCGTCAAGCTCGAATGGCCATCAACATCAACATCACCACTCCCAATATCCCCTGTTCCATGCTGTCGCTTGATCTCATGGACTCTGCTGGTGAGTCGCAGCACAACATCCACCATGATGTGGTCAAGCTGAGACTCACTGAAGATGGCAAGGTGATTGAAGGTGAGCTGCTGCAGCTGGGCCACAAACGGGATGAGGTGAAGCACCCAGCCGGCTACTGTGGCCCTTGCTATGGTGCACGACCAGACAATGAATGCTGCAATACGTGTGAAGAGGTGCGCGATGCCTACACGACAAAGGGATGGAGCATTGACGATTACGAGGCCATTGCACAGTGCAAGGAGGAGCACTACAAGGAAGCACTCGCTGAGCAGGCACACGAAGGCTGCAATGTGGCCGGTTCCTTGCATGTGCAAAAAGTGCTGGGCAACTTTCATTTGGCGCCTGGCAGGAGCATCAAGCAGCCTAATGGACACGAAGTGCATATTCATGATGTGCAGCAGTTTTTGATGGACAGTACCAAGCATGGCTTCTCACACGAGATTCACCACCTGTCGTTTGGCAATTTGGCAGCTGGCCAACAGCGAAAGCAGCCGCTTGATGGGCTCATTGCCAAGACGGATGACAGTGCGCACAACTATGTCTACTTCCTCAAGTGTGTGGCGACCAGCGTGTTTCGGCTGGGCAAGAAGGAAGCGCTCGAGACCATGACGTACAGTGTCACTGCGCACGACAGGTCCATCTATGGCGGCAGCGATAAGAATGACAAGACACATTTGCATGCACGCGGTGGCATTCCTGGCATCTTCTTTAGCTATGACATTTCGCCACTCAAGCTGATTGAGCGGGAGGAACGCGGCCGGTTCTCGAGCTTCCTCGTGGGTACACTGTCACTCATTGGCGGTGTCATTGCAGTGGGCACCTTTCTTGACCGTGCGGTGGAGGGCGTCAAGCGGCGAAAGCGCGAGTGATTTAGTCATCTGCTTATATTGCCAATTAGCCATATTCAATTGACCATGATCCACAGATGGCTGATCAGTAAGCACACTAGGCAGTACTAGTACAACTAGACAACACGTGTACTGACAGGTCGTTTCCTCCTTTTCTGCATCTCAGGTCACGTGCACACTCAATCTCCAGATTCGTCTCAGGGCTCGCGGACTATAAAGCGACGAGGGTCGGGCCGTCCCAGGTGCCTATATATACCGTATGGGCTCTTGTCTGTCCAAACCTCATACTACAACAGCAAGTGCCAAGAACGAGCCTCAAGCACTTCACCCAGTTACCGAGAATCCCGTCGTAGCACAGCCCGCTACCACAACCCAAACAACAACCACACCAGCTACCACCACCGTTCCAACCACCTCTACCGTCGCAGCCATGTCTGGAAAGCCAGTTGCCATCATCATCTACTCCATGTATGGCCATGTCCTCAAAATGGCCGAAGCCGAAAAGAAGGGTATCGAAGCAGCAGGCGGCCAGGCAATCATCTACCAAGTTCCCGAAACCCTACCTCAGGAAGTCCTTGCCAAGATGCATGCACCTCCCAAGGCTGATTTGCCAGTGGCATCGGCTCAAATTTTGAACGAACACGATGCATTTTTGTTTGGTATTCCTACTCGCTATGGAAACATGCCTGCACAGATCAAAGCTTTCATTGACAGCACCGGTCAGCTCTGGGCATCCGGGGCGCTCGATGGCAAGAAGGCAGGCGTCTTCGTGTCTACTGCAGGCATCGGAGGAGGTCAAGAGACCACAGTACTTAACTTCATGTCCACGCTGGCTCATCATGGTAAATGCTCACCTTCCTATTTGATACACGCTAATCACAGGCATCATTTTCGTCCCTCTTGGCTACAAGAATGTCTTTGGAGAGCTCTCTAACCTCTCTGAGGTTCATGGCGGCTCGGCCTGGGGTGCAGGCTGCGTTACAGGTGGCGACGGATCGCGACAGCCATCTACTCTGGAACTGAGCGTTGCAGAGATCCAGGGCCGAACCTTTTACGAGAAGGTCAAGCCTACGCACTAATCCATCGCTACGATACCTGTACGCAAGATACAAATGCTTCCTAAGTTCGTAGAAATACAATGATTTCTTTTGGTATCAATCATCTGAGAATCTGCTTCCATCTGAATATTCTGTATCGAAGCAGTTCGTCCCCTGAGTCCAACCTCCATCCTTGAAAGCTTCCCGACCTCTGTCTCTCTCAATTTGGTCGGTGTCAAAGCGCGGAGGTCTTACTACAGATCACTATCAATTGAATGCAGCAATCTCTTTTGGGGCGAAGTCTTTAAAGTCTTGTGGTCAAAGCCACCTGAAGTTGTGCTCACGACTTCTCGCAGGATCATCATCTCGCATCGTCTGGGCACTCAATTCCATGTCAAAGCTACAAAGGTAGTCCCTTACATAGTCTCGCGCTACATGCCACTATTTACAGCCTATTTCTCTGCGTTCTGTTTCAACGGCTGTCCCTTCGGAGTAAACCTCTGCTCGCTGCACAATCAGCCGTTGTTATCTCATCAGTCTGTGCTGGTTGCCTAGCCAATCCAAGTGCACCTGTCTCGTACCTGCAACGCGGACAACAGTCAACGGACAAGCTTGCGTCTGCTGGCTGACTACAGGTCATGCGAGCAAGCGCGTCCCTCCATCGCTCGAGCACGATCCCATCGAACCTGACGTTGCCACTGTCTTGTCTGGCAAGTATCATGACCTTGATCACGCGAATGAGACGAAGTACGCTGAGGGCATTCAGGTCAATGGTAGGAGGAGCAATGCGAAGAGAGCCGTCAAAGACTGGTCTCAAGGCATCTTTTACATGCTCCTTGACGGAGTCCGGGCCCTTGCCCATGAGCAAAACGAGGAGACAGTCGCGCGTGCCGCTCAGCACCTCCTGTGTATAGCCTAGTTGAAGTAGGCTCTTCTTCCCGGCTTCGTCCATGAACTCCTCCTTGCTGTAGAGCTTGACGAGAGCGTGCGGCTGCTAGACAACTAAAAATTCAGGGGCAATGTTGGTTGAGCTCAACATCTTTGAGGTGCCAGCGGCGAGAGAGAAGAAACGACTAGCCGGCAAACAGCCAATGCTCAACCAGCATCAATCAACCGCTAGATGTTTGACCAGACGGACAAGTCGCTGTGGCGTTGACCTGTCCAGTCTGAATCTGATCACCCGAGTCATTAGAATCCGAGCTTGCACCCCGAATTTACTCTTTTGGGGCGGACGGCTCTTGACGGAAGTCATGGCGAGAGCAGAAGCCAGCTTGGGTGGCTAATGGCTGTAGGTACCTATAGGTTGCGATGGCCTTTTGCTGCAAATTGCGAATGCATGTCATTGCGTGATCACGCAACGGACACAAAACACACAAGGGCAACAGACACAACACGACAAGCGACCAGGAGCTGAACGGGCAAAGAATCATTGACACCTGGCTGGAACATCATGGAGATTCATGTAAGCACGAATATTTAGAACAATGCATTTTTTATGTCGAAAATGGGTCTGGCATGGAAAATCAAAGGGACTTCCTTAAATAAGGTCCGCAATGTTCATTGGCATCTCTTGAATCTCCGTAGAATAGAACGCCTCGATATCACGCATCATGGTGAGATCCTCAGTGGCGATGAAGTTGATGGACACACCCTTGCGACCGAATCTTCCACCTCTGCCGATACGGTGAATGTAGTTTTCACGGTTGGCGGGCAAGTCGTAGTTGATGACGAGCGACACCTGCTGCACATCAATACCACGGGCAAGCAAGTCGGTGGTGATGAGGACACGCGAAGAACCAGATCGGAACTCCTTCATAATGACATCGCGCTGGCCTTGGTCCATGTCGCCGTGCATTGCACTGACGGTGAAGTCACGCGAGGTGAGTTTGTCGGTAAGCCAGTCGACCTTTCTTCGTGTGTTGCAGAAAATAACAGCTTGGGTGATGGTGACTGTTTCATACAAATCGCAGAGAGTGTCGAGCTTCCAATCCTCCTTCTCAACGGAAATATAGAATTGCTTGATACCTTCGAGGGTGAGCTCATCCTTCTTGACCAAGATGCGAATAGGCTCGCGCATGAACTTCTCAGTGACCTCGAGCACATCCTGTGGCATGGTAGCGGAAAGCAAGACAGCCTGGGTCGTGGGTGGCAAGAGCTGGAAGATGTCGTGAATCTGCTCCTTGAAACCACGAGACAACATCTCGTCTGCCTCGTCGAGCACAAACATCTTGACGTGGTCCGTCTTGAGCGCACGCCTCTGGATCATGTCGTGAACACGGCCGGGGGTGCCGACAATGACGTGTGGGCCGTTCTGCAGCGCCTTCATGTCGTCGCGAACGTTGGTACCACCAATGCAAGCGTGGCACTCAATCTCCATGAAGTCGCCGATGGCAATCAAGACCTTCTGGATTTGCTGAGCCAACTCACGGGTAGGAGCGAGAATAAGGGCCTGGGTCTGCTTGAGCGAAACATCAAGCTTTTGAAGCACAGAGATGGAAAAAGTAGCAGTCTTTCCTGTTCCGGACTGCGCCTGCGCAATCACATCGTGGCCCTTGATGACGGGCTTGATGGCGCGCGCCTGAATAGCACTGGGGCGCTCGAAACCGTAGGCGTAAATGCCGCGGAGAAGCTTCGAGTCGAGCTCCATGTCGTCAAATGAGTCAACCACTTCATCCCAGTTGGATTCCTATGTATTAGCATGGACAATAAACATGCTGTATCGTACAATGAGTTGCTCCTGTGCGTCCTGTAGTCCTTCCGACATGATGTCTATGGGGGGAAGTCTTGATGATAGCGACCAAAATATTTTCTGGCGGTGACGACTGCACTAACCCTAACTGCACTAACCCTGGCAGCAAACAGCCGTTGACTTGCCGTGACTGCTTGTTGGTCTACACCCATGACAACCGCTTATGCTCTCAGGCGGCATCCGAATGGCATCAGACCAGCGGGGAATTATGCTCCAAGGGGACAAAGAGGATCTCGTCTAGCCCAGCTGCCAGAAGAACTTCTCCTATTGCTCTATTCTTTGCTAGAAACGCCTGATTTGCTCAGTCTGTGCCACACGGCCAAGCTCTTTTATGCATATTCACTTTCGGAAGAGATCTGGAAGGAACGCTATGTGGAAAAGCAGCGAGACGACGACTGGCGCGGATCTTGGCGAGAAACATGTCTAAAGTGCAAGACTGACGTTCAGGTGTCTTGCTCCTCTGATTTGCTCTTTACACCCTTTGCCAATGCTCAGCTGGACATCCGTGCCTTTTTGCCTACCAAGCAATCACACATGATTGCTCGCCACGAGACCATGTCCCTCGAACAATTTCAAGCGCATCAGCATGCGCCATTCATCTTGACTAAAGCGATCCAAGAATGGCCGGCGCTAAGCTGGTCTTGTGAGTCGCTCCTATCCACATTTGCAAAGACGCGCTTCAGAGCAGAGTGTGTCGACTGGCCGCTTGAACGCTATGTGCGGTATATGCGGGACAACCAAGACGAGTCGCCATTGTACCTATTCGATGCTCGCTTTGGTGAAAAGATATCAAAGGACGGCAAAAGTCTTGCCCATGACTACTCCTTACCGACATGCTTCGCAGAAGATGCCTTTAATCTGCTGGCTGATGACCGGCCTGATCATCGCTGGCTGATACTTGGACCAGCAAACAGTGGCTCCACCTTTCACAAAGATCCCAATGGTACTTGCGCCTGGAATGCCGTCTTGTCGGGAAGTCAAAATGCAGGCAAGTACTGGATCATGTTTCCGCCGCGCATTACACCGCCTGGCGTGTATGTCTCCTCAGATGAAAGCGAAGTTACCTCGCCTTTGTCCATTGCCGAATGGCTCCAAGGATTTCACGCTGCAGCTCGCAAGATGCCTGATATGCGTGAAGGCGTATGTGCGCCAGGCGAAGTTCTGTACGTGCCAAGCGGCTGGTGGCATCTTGTTGTCAACTTGGACGAGTGCCTGGCATTGACGCAGAATTTCGTTCCACGCGGGTATATCGGCGCAGTCTTGCGATTCCTCAGGGACAAGCCAGATCAGGTGAGTGGATTTGGAGAATTGAAGCAACAGCCGTATGAAGTCTTTCGACAACGCGCTGCAGAAGCTTTTCCCGAGGAAGTGGCTGCTTTCGAGAAGGATGAGCCAACGGTATGGCAGAAGTTGACGCATGACAAGAAGTCCGCATCCTTCTCATTCGGTTTTGCGTGCGACAGCGATGGAGAGTCTGATTAGTGCACTTGTAGGACTTAGATTTGCCACAGAGCCACGTCCATCTGAATTCAACGACATCCTCGAGCAGCTTTGGGCATCCATGAACGAAAGCAACTCGCCACATGGCCAAAGCAAAGCAGCTGGCAGGAAAGCCGGCAAGAATTGTCTTTCCAGCTATACCCATTCGCTCTCATTCCTTTACTGATCAAGTACGCGTGCAAGAGCTTATTGATGATCAGATTCTGATAGTCTGCAACCTCTTTCCTCCTACAGTCAGGTTGGCCTATAGACGCTTCTTTGAGACAGAAATTGCCGCGAGACTCAGTCAGCCTGTAGCTCCAAAACGAGGCGAGGCGACTCGGACAAACGAACGCTTCTCGCAGCATGATGAAGAGTTCGCAGCACATCTATATCAGGCAAGCGGCCTAGCCGACATGCCAGAGCTTGTTCAACTCTCCAAAGGTCGTCTTATGGGCCTCAACCCTAACATTCGTATATATCGCTACAAGCCTGGAGCATTCTTTGGACCGCACTATGATGATTCTGTGCGCGAGACAATTGCAGGACGCAAGTGCGAATCCGCTTGGACACTTCTCATCTACCTATCCGACAACCTTGTAGGTGGCGAGACACAATTTCATCTTGGGAAGGGAGAAGTACTGGCACCACCGGTTCAAGATGGCATGGCCCTTCTTCATCGGCATGGCCACAATTGGTTCGATTTCCATCATTCCCACAACGCTAACAAGAGCCTCTTGCATGAAGGTCTTCCTGTTAAAAGCGGGGTCAAATGGGTACTGCGAAGCGACTTGATGTTTGAACTATGAGGCTGATGGCTTGAGGCTCATGGCCGATAGGTTATTCTCCACCGCAAGCAGCTTATCTAGAATGCCCACAATCACTTTGTCGAGTTCCTCCACAACAGCATCTGCGTCTTCATTAGCCAGGACGCTCAGATTCAATGGCTCAAGCGGTTGGATACTTTCCACTTTGCCATTTGTTGGGACGTGTAGCGGGGGCAGCATGGGCGGTTTGCTTGTCGTCGGTGTCGATGCAGCTGTGCCATGTCCATTCGACATATTGACTCGCGCAGGCGATGCAAGCGACAAGTCACTGCTTTGCCACTGAAATCCGCCATTGCTTGATGGTGTCGTCAATACCAAATTGAGATTTGATGGCTTCCGAATGTGCATACCTTCGCGCTTGCTGTTGGGCATTGGCTGTTGCATGCGAGGCATCGCTTCAGGCAACGACTGCGTCGAGCCGTTACTTTGAAGAACCAGTGGCTTGCCAAGTTGACGAGACGGCGACCCTGCCGGCGTCAGCGTTGGGGCCGTCCGTACAGGTGAAGTTTGTCTCGAACTAGGACCAATGGTGGATGTGACTGAACTGGCAGAATCCTGCCTGACTGGTCTTGGCAGAGCATCCCTTGCCGACATGGGTGGCGTTTGCTCCGACTGCAAGAATGGTAAGCTGATACTAGAAGCTGTGGCAAGCGATGTGGCATTCATGGCTGGCATTTCAATCAGAGGTTCTGCAATTGGAGTCTGAGGTATTGTTTCTGCTGCCTCTGTTGAAGGCACCTCACCGAACAACTTGAGGAGCGGGTGATCAAGCTGACGCTGCTCTTCTCGCGTTGTGGGTTTGATAGTCTTGAGCAAGTCCTCTGTTGCTGAAGCAGACTGCTCCCACGTCATTTCCAGTCGAGGCGGCTTCATTGGTTTCCTCGCCGTGCCAAAGTCCCAGCCGTCTTGACCATTGCCGATATCATCATCCAAGCCAAACTTGCCGTCAAAATCTTCATCTGCCAGGTCATCTTGGATCGCGATAGACTGTCGTACGCCGCCAGACTTGCGCCATGCTTCATATCGTGCGACCAGCTCTTTGAGTATGCTGGTTGGCGTCTTTGCTGTTTGCTTAATGACCTTGAGTTTAAGCAGCTCTGAGGCTGGTAGTCGCTCCTCTGGCTTCTCACACAAACAAGCAGCAATAAACTCTTTAAGCGCACTGGAAAATTGGGGCCCTTCCAAACGCGGCGGTTGCGACCGTGGAATAAGAAAAATGGCTCTCATTGGCTCTTGATCAGCGTGCGGTGGATTACCAGTGGCAATCTCGTAGATGGTGATGCCCAAACTCCAGATGTCTGCTTTGTAGTTGTAGCTGAGTCCGTCTGAGATCACTTCCGGTGCCATCCAATACGGGGTACCAACGAAGGTATTGCGCTTGAAGTGATTCGCAGCAAGTTGCGCTGCGACGCCGAAATCACAGAGCTGCACACGGCCATCGTTCGTGACGAGTATATTGGCTGCCTTCAAGTCGCGGTGAATCATGTGTGACTTGTGGATATAGATGAGGGCAGCAAGGACTTCGCGCACAATAATGACAATGTACTTTTCCTCGATCCTGCCGCACTTCATAAGTGTTCGGATGGAGCCTCCTTCGCAGTAATCCATGATGATCCAGAGGCGCATGCCGTTCAAAAAGCTGCCGTGATACTTGACGACATTTTGCGCGTCGCCCGATTTGAGGGACTGTAGGAGGACAATCTCCTTTTGAATGTCACTGACCTCATCCTCGACCGTATCGAGATTCAGGACCTTGATGGCGACGAGCGCGCCCGACTCCTTGTGCTGCCCTCTGTAGACAATACCATAGCTGCCCCTGCCAATCACTTCTTGGCGGACAAAGTCTTGCGCACTGGTAACTGCCATGACATCTTCGTGCTGCCTCCTCAGCCGCCTTCCTTGGTGCTCTGCTCAGTCTCCAGGCCTCTCGCTCTTCCTGTCTATGGCTGTCTCCTTGGTTTGTCGTCGGCTTTCACGTGAGATTTCTTTTTTCCTCGGACGACACCCATCCAGCGACCATCAGCTAGGTAGACAAGGGGTACAGAGACGGGCCCTTCCTCCGCCAGCCTGGCAGCATCAATTATCTTGTCGCCTCACCTGACTGCTTCATGGTCTCCGTGACGCTTCAGCAGCACGATACTCGGCCCTTCTCGCCGCTGCATCTGGACGCACAAGAGGCGTGCCACACGATGCCCAATCCTGCGCTCCTGCGGCAGCTCACACGATCCGTCATTAGCGAGGCGTTTCAACAGCGTCAGCTCGGCAATCCGACTCGTTATGACGATCTGCGGCGTACCTTTGCTGCAAAGCCGACAAGTGCAGATGCCACTTCCACAGTGCAGCTCCAGCAGCTTCTGGTCGCACTCACGCACCAGATAACGCTGCTCGATAGCAGATCGGGGTCTCTGGTTAAAGCCATCATCGGCATGAATTGGCTCGGTCGGCCATTCAGTTTTGTGCAGACCTACAACGCCTTCCTCGGTAGCTTGGTGAGCTCACATGCAGAGTACTCAACGCTCGTTGTACAGATGCTCATCAAAAACTTGACGCTGCTCAATCCGTCAATAGGCAAAATCCCAGGCCTTGAGGTCGTCTCACAAGCAGAGATTCATCAACGCGTTCATGCCGCACTATCTAATGTGCTAGATCTGGTTCCTTTTGCCCGCGAAAACTTGGTCTCTGTCGCAACCAGCCAGTTCCCGCACAAGTCCGAGCGGCTGCAAGCGCAAACAACATTTGTCGCAAATCTACTACGGCTGACGCAGTACGTTCCGATTATAGAGGGTGCCATCATTGGCGTTATTGTCGACAAGCTCATTAGCATTGATGTCGAAATTCAAGTGGACTTGGAAGATATGGAACCAGAAGAGCAAGGCGCAGTGGTTGATGGAGCGGAAAGCGATTTGCAGGATGAGGACTCAAGCAACGAGGCTCTTGAGTTCTCGGAGGATGAGCTTGACGACGAGCAAGAAACCAGCATGAATGTCCAAATCATCAACGACAATATACAAAAGCTGGATGCTCTTCTCAAAATCATGTTTGAGCATCTAGATCGCAAGCTCTCGAACCTGCCGACTATTGATGGTAAGCTACCAAAGTACTGCTCGGCTGCGCAAGCCACTTTCGACTCGCTCCTATTTGCGCTTGATACCACCATCCTCAAGACTTACCAAAGTCGCTACACACAGTTTCTCCTGTTTTGGGCGGCACAAAAGCATCTCATGTTTGTGGACGACTTTCTTGGACTCGTTGTGCAGCGTGCAGTCGATGTAACGCGACCAGGCTCCCACAGAATGATTGCTGCAAGTTATATCGGCTCTTTTGCCGCACGAGCAGCAACACTCGATCGCCAGACCGTTAGAATGCTAGCTCGTGTCATGCTCAAAGCCATCAATGGCTTTCTCGATGATCAGCAATTCACGCAAGGTCATGCGCGGGACACAGTGAAGCGGTTTGGTGTGTTTTATGCCATGGTTCAAGCGCTCTTTTATGTCTTTTGCTTTAGATGGGCTGAATTGCGCGGTGCTACGGATGCTGAGCCAGATGACGTTCTGACTGACCCGACCTGGCTGCCCGGCCTACAGTGCACCATCGAGCGTGCCATTGCGAACCCAGTGCTGAACCCTTTGCGGTACTGCAGTGCCACGGTTGTGCAGCAATTTGCTCGCGTTAGCCACCACCTTAACTTCGTCTTTTGCGCAACCATCATTGAGGCGAATCGACGGAGCGCTTTGAGTGGGCCAGGCGAGATTGACTCCTTCTTTCCGTTTGACCCGTACCTGCTGAAACAGTCAAAGCATTTTGTGGAGGAAGTGTACAATGATTGGAAGCCTATTCCTGGTATGGCTTCCGATGAAAGTGACGAAGAGGATGAGGACGACGCCATGGATGAATGAAGCGACAGCATAGCGAGACTTTGATTTTAGAATTCATTACATTGACTTGCCTGCATCTATCAAGCGTCTCCGGCCTCCTCTACCGCTGCGCGCTGTGCATCTTTCTCTTCTTGTGTAATCTTTTGGGCTGCTTCCTTCTCGAAAGCTTCCCTAAGAGGGCCCGCTCGCTCATCCCATTCCTTCATGGCCAACTCGGCTGCTTTGCGAGCTTCTTCAAATTCTTTGCGCTTTGCCAGTACGATAGCGTTCCACGGCTCTCGACCGACTTTGTCCAAATCACGCCAGGCCTTGCCAATCATGGTGCGTACCTGATTCTTGCTGGCTGTTGGATCTAGCTTTTTTGCGCTGGCTGCTTGCTGTGCATCAAGCTCATTCTTGGAGACAACCCATTGCTCCTTTTGAAAGAAGAGGAAGGGATTGGTGTTGGGACGTTTCGGAAGCTCTGGTCGTGGACCCAGCTTGTCGAGCAAGTACTGATTCAAATCCTCAGCTTGTTTGTCGAGCCTCTCACGCTTGAGGGAATCGGCATGATCCTGGTGCGAGCGATACAGTTCCCCGTCCTCTGTCGATATTTGCTTGCGCTTGAGACTGCCAGTCGCTTCTGGATGATCTGCACTGCCAGGACGTGATTTTGACGGAACGAGCGGCTCATCCGTCACCGAGATGCGTTGCGGCCCAATCAATGAGTCTAGCACAGCACCGGCCGCAGCGAGACCGGACAAGTAAGCTCCATGCACCGTACTTGGATGCGTTCTGCATGTCGCCTCGCCAGCAAAGAAGAGATTATCACCAACAGGCCTTGCCATGGCTTCATAATCCTTGCCAGAGCCATTCTTACCGATATATGAGTAAGAGCCGCGCGAGAATGGATCTGCCGCCCATTTGGTCACGACCGATTCGACAGGCTGCGGTACTTGTTTCTGCGGATAGATGCGTTGCAAGACTGCAGACGCCTCTTGCACGAGCTCTTCGTTCGCGGTTGTTTCGCAAGACATGGCAGCATCACCTGCAAGAAGCGCAGTGAGGACTGGACGCTTCGAAACTTCTGTGCAGCTCCAAAACATGTAAAAGCGACCGCGTTCAGGTGACAGCTGTTCTGCACCAGGATCGCCTCGTACACAACCAATCAAGTTGATGTTGTCGTCCCAAAATTGAGCTTCGTACACTAGGACTACCTTGTTGAGCAGACCGTAGCCGAGGTTGCGAATCGCCATTTGTTTCCAATCTGGCAGCGGTGGATCAAAGGTGATGGTGTCTGCTTTGAGAACACCAAGCGGTACCGTCACTACAATCTTTTCGGCCTTGATGGCTTCACCATTGGAAAGGAGAACGCCACCTTGTACAATCTTTTGTACGGGCACATTCATGCGAATATCAAGCTTTGTAGGAGCAAGAGCCAAGCCTCTGCAAAGAAGCGAGTAGCCACCATGAAGCATTGCATGATGGCCGTTGAATTCATTCCCATCATCTTGATCCCAATTGTGTAGCGAGAGGTTGTTGAGGTTCGTTCCGCACGCATACTCCATATTTGCCCAGTGCCACTGCAAAACACTCAAGTCACTCTCTGGTATCTTGCACACCCTTTTGAGCGTATTCAGAATGCTGTTGAGCGTTTCGCCAAGCGAATCAGCTGCGACCAATGGTATGGGCTCTTCTGAAAGCAACTCGTACTTCATTGACTTGAGCTTATCCATGTAGGCCGTGGGCACAACAACATCTTTGACTGCACCAATGATTGGATCAGCCTTGACGACAGGCACTGGTTGCTGACTGGCCTGACCATCTGCAGCCTCTAGTCTGAAACGCGCTGCTTCCTCGAGCAACAAGTTGAATAACTCTTCGACTCGCTGATCTTGCTCCTGTTCAATGACGTTTCCTTGTTGATCATAAATGACATTGGATTTTGCATGCACAAGAGCGTGATGAGGCAAGTGGAGTTGCTTTTGTAGCAAGATTGTTAAAGGGTTGCCATTTGAGAAGCCGGTAATGATTTGCGCTCCAAGATCGACACGGGCATCGTGCGAGTCACCGACTGGATGTGAGTAGACTCGACCGCCAATACGTTTCCGTCCTTCGCAAATGATCACTTTGTAGTCGATCTCTAAGCGATCGGCAAATGTAGCAAGCAGATTCTCGAGCTGTCGAGCAGTTGACAGTCCGGCAACGCCAGCACCAACAACGAGAATGGTTTGCTGCTCCCGTTGTACTGGGTTTTGCGGGATTGGTAGACAGCCGAAGTTGATGTAACCGTTACGAACGAGGAATTCCCAGATGGCTGCGCACAAAGCAAAGTGTCGCTCTTCTTTGGCTACGCCTTGAGCTTCTTCCATGGTCACCCAAAGTCTTGGGTTTTTGATCCATAGACGTAGTATGGCATTGCGTAGCAGAACATAGGATGGTGTCTGTAGATGCGTCAAGTGATTCTCGACAAGCTTGCTTTCAGCAGGGAGCATGTACTGCGGATGTATTCTTGACGCACTCGCTGCATCGAAGCATTCTCTACTGTAGACGGTAGGCTCTATTGGGGGTATTGCAGACTTTGCAATAGGCCCTATAGAAGGGTTCATTGTGTCGGGCACAACTCGCAAGCCTGTGTGCACAGGGAGTGCCGGCTGCCCACCGGCAAGCATTGTGAGTGTCTCGGACATGGCCTGTGAAGAGCCGTGCAGGCAAGCAAGTTTGGTGAGCCAGTAGCTAACAAGCTAGACAAAAAGACAAGAGAGCAGCAGATGAAGACGGCAGATGTCGCCTGTATACGCAGCAACCTGCAGGTCTTCCTGGTCTTGGGTCTGTGTAGTTCAAACACGTGCAGTCGCTTCTCACGTAATCCTCGTCAAGAAAAGTCTGAAGAGAGTACTCCGGCACCAACCATCTGCTACAAGAAGCGCCAGTCATGCGCGTCACTCAGTCCAGGCTCGCAGACTATGCACAGCGCACAGTATCAGGCGCCTTGTTTGGCCTCACTGTCTATGGCGCCGTCGGTATGGTGGTCCTCTTTCAAAATCGGCAAAAGCGCATCAAGGAGATTGAAGCAGACATGCGCGCACGAGGGTATGCTAGTTTGCTTGTACACAGATGAAGCTAACAATAGTGAACTGCCTGGCACGCAGAAGCGATAGCGGGACATGAGTGGCAAAACCCGGCAATAGAAGCAACGACAAAATGTCGCCCTTCAAAAGAAACACTGACTTCTCTCATCAGAGACTTGCACGGAACAGCGCACTCGTATGCTTCGGGGCCTCGTTCGAGGCGAGCTTTACTTGTTCAGATAAGCGTCGGCAGATCTGGTTTGGCCGAGCCTTCTTCTTCGAGCCATAGCGAATCCACTTAGATATGTAATGAATGCAATGAAGATGAATAACCGACGCGCCTGGCCCTTGCACTCCGGTCCTTTGTCTAGCAGATAGACATGTACATACCCATGAAGCTCCAGCTTGTTGGTCGAAATCTCGAAAAGTTGAAATTTGAATTTTGGCGGCGCGTCGAGGAGCAAAGAACGCGACGACCAGACAACCAAGTCCGCAAGGGTGTTACAGCTAGCAGAGGTGGAGACAGTGCTGCAGCAGAAAGGACGTCGTCATGATGCTCGGCGCGAAAAAGGTCGCCAAGGCACCGCAGGAGAATACACAGATATGGGTAGAGAAGTACCGGCCAAAGACCCTTGATCAAGTCAGCTCACAGGAGCACACGGTGGCGGTCCTCAAGAAGACACTCTTGCACGCAAATATGGCACACATGCTCTTTTATGGTCCGCCAGGAACGGGCAAGACATCGACCATCTTGGCCCTTGCAAAAGAGCTTTACGGGCCCGAAATGTTCAAGAGCAGAGTACTCGAGCTCAATGCATCCGACGAGCGTGGTATCGCCATTGTTAGAGAAAAGGTCAAGAACTTTGCCAAGACGGCCGTCACAGCAGATCAGACCCAAGGCGGCTACCCGTGCCCACCATACAAAATCATCATCCTAGATGAAGCCGATTCCATGACACAGGATGCTCAATCTGCGCTGAGGCGGACCATGGAGCAGTATTCCAAGATTACACGCTTCTGCCTCATCTGCAACTATGTCACGCGCATCATTGAGCCGCTCGCCTCGCGTTGCAGCAAGTTCAGATTTAAACCGCTCGACGCATCCGACACCGTGTCGCGGCTCAAGTACATCGCCGAGCAGGAAAAGGTGACGTACGAAGATGGCGTACTCGAAGCACTCAACAAGACGTGCGAGGGTGACTTGCGCAAAGCCATCACTTATATGCAGTCTGCAGCCAAGTTGCATCGTTCCCTGCTGAGCACGACAATTGATTTGGACGGAGACACAACACTCAATCTCGATGCTAAGATTACGCTCGATTCTATTGCAGAAATCGCCGGGACTGTACCAGAGGGAGTCGTACAGAGCTTATTACGGGCGTGCAAGGAGAAGCAAGCGTTCGGTGCTCTCAATAAGCTGACGAAGGAGGCCGTCGCGGAAGGCTACAATGCAATTCAAATCATGAGCCAATTGCATGACTTGGTGGTGGAGGACGAGCACATCACGAATCAGCAAAAGAATGCGATACTCATGTACTTGAGCTTGACGGACAAACGGCTCAATGATGGCGCAGACGAGCACCTGCAAATTCTCGATATGTTGACAACGATGCGATCCATCATGCGCTGAGAATATAGTCATGAATGTCATTGCATAGTTCAATCTGCTTATGCGTTTAGCTGAACCTTCACCTCTGCACTCTTCTCCTTGAACGCACTTGCAAGCTTCCCAGATTTGTCAAGGGCGACAATCTCCTCACTGCCACCGAGAGAAGTCTTGCCCACGACCAGATTCGGCACAGTACTGCGCCCTGTCAGCTTGGCTAGTTCTCCCTGTAATTCTGCGCCATGCTTCTCGATATCAAGCTCAAAAATGAGCGGGCTAGGCGATATGGTGTACTTTTCCAGGACGGCCTTTGCCTTTTTGCAGTACGGGCAGTAGCTCTTGCTGAAAAGGATGACCTGGTACGATGACAGCATCTCTTGCAACGCAGCTGCAGGGTCATACGCGACAGCTGCTTTGCCCTTGTTTGCTACTTTGCGCGCTGCATCACGCGCGACATCCTTGACAGTGGCAACACCATCCGCTGCCGCTTGCTTCAAATCATGCACAAGCTTGTGTGTCTCCGCGTCGCGCGCCGCAGCACTGGCTTCATCGCGAATGAGATTCGGTGCACTTTCGGATGAGCTGAAGGCGAGAAAGTAGATGAGCAGAGAGACAAAAGCGAGTGCGAGGAAGTAGAGACGCTTTGTTGGCCGTCGCCTGACAGTCCTGGGCCGCAGGTCTGCTGGCATCCTTAGCGATCAAGGTGAGTATCACGGTTCACGATCGGTTTCTTGTCGTGTCCAGTTCACATTCAGATTGCACGAGGCTACGAAACGATGGGAAAAGCATTGAATCATACATGATGCATAGGCTAGCTATTCGCCGTCTTATAGACGCGATCTGGGAAACGACTGCCGTGGTCAACATGGAACATTTACATTAAAAAGCGCGTTACTTTAGTCGTGAGAGCGTAACGAGGCCGGCAAGCGCAGACATGACGCCGCCAATGAATAGAACGACGCTGGTAGAGTTGTGGCCTTGCGCGAGGGTAGAGTCATCTGTGTGCATGATCTTAAAAACTAGACTGCTGATGAAGCTGATGACAAACTGCGGCAAGCAGATGGCGATGTTGTGGATGCTGCGGTCAGCACTGTTGCACTGGAGAAGCACTTACCCTAGTATTGCACCAGCCTTGCCATTGGACGGGGTGGCTCGATCAAGTGACATGCCTGTATCAAGAATCTCTTCACCAACGAGCGAGAATGGGATCCACGCAGTGACTGCCCAGCTGAAGCCACATAGCGCAACGATGATGGTTGCCCCGATGCTATGTCGCACAAGCACCGTAGAGCACATGGCGAGAGCAAAGACCTGGTGTTAGTAGGGTACATCAACTGAGCAAGTACCATATGTGAGATGCCCCAGAGCTTGCTTTGAGTGAGTCCAAACTTGTTACGATCATGGTCTTGATTGCCCTTCACACACTTGGGCAAGAGGTAGGAGCACAGTAAAGTCATCACGGCAAAGAGCAAGAGTGCACGACTGCCCATGCGTGAGCGCGTATCCACGTCCACGTCTTGTCTTCCAGTTGCATAGACTTCGCCTACCCATGTTGATGTATAGAATAGAAACGGGAACCAGCCATGCCAGGCTAGACTTTGTATCAGACAAACGAGTTGCGTGCGCGACGAAAGTCCCCAGAAAACCTTGTACAATTGCGACAGGGTAGAAAAGAGGCCTTGCACCTCCTTCTTTTCTGGGTGAACCTCTTCGTGAATTGCAAAGCAGGTGACACAAGTCCCGATGCCGAGTGCAATAATTGAGAGAACGAGACAGATTTTGAACTGTGAATCGCCAAGCCAGCTTAGTCGTGAACGTAGGTCGACGTATCCGAGCAAGTACGAAGCAAGGTGACCCACAGCCACCATACGTGACGCCCATGCATTGCCAATCTTTTGTTTGTCTGGCGGCAGGCAATCGACAATGAGGGCTCTTGAGGCAGCAGCGACTGTATTGACCGCGAAATCAAGCAGAAAGACGGCAATGACGATGCTGGTGATGATCAGGGACTGTGCCAGACTATCATCGTGGACCATGAATTGCACAACGTCGCGCGACCAACCCATAATCAAAAGGCAGACGAGCGTCAATGCGCCAGAGACGAATATGAAGGGCCGCCGCCGTCCGAACCGCGATGTACACGCGTCTGACAATGATCCAGCAACAGGCTGTACAAGGAGACCCGTCAAGGGGCCTGCTAGCCACACAAGGGAAATGAGTGATTTGCTCATTCCAACATCCACCATGTAGTTTGTAAAGAAGACTTGCTCCACGCCCCATACAAACTGTAGGCCGCACAGCACAGCAGTCATGAGCATAATGTACACCGGATCGCTGCGCTGTGGCGCGGTGGGCTGAGAGCGCGCACCTGGGAGGAGTGCGGCAGCTGCATCGTCGTCAAACGAGTTGCGGGCCATGTCGCTCAGCTCTATACTGGCATGCGGCGAGGATGTGCGCATACACAAGGGGGTTATGTTGGTGTCGCTGTGTTATTGCGCGCGGTTGTTGCAAAAAGACTTTGACCAAGACCAAGACAAGATCAAACTGAACAAAGACCTGCAGCTCGGGTGAGGCTGGAGCTATAGAACTTAGGAGGGACCAAGCGCTGCGGACTCAAAGCTTGACATGACCATCAGCTACAAAGGCTGTGTAGTTCTGGCACCCATGGTCCGCATCAGCGAGATACCTACACGCTTGCTCGCTCTCAAGTACGGCGCAGATATTGTCTGGGGCCCTGAAATTGTAGACAAGGCTCTCATCACTGAGCCTCCGGCGGAGCGTGTTGTCAACGAGAAGCTCGGCTGCATCGACTTTGTCAAAATGCCCAAGAATCAGGTCATCTTCAGGACGCATCCTCTCGAGAAGCAACGCCTCGTCTTTCAGCTCGGGAGTGGAACCCCGGCGCTGGCCGTGCAAGCTGCTAAGCTCGTCGCCAAGGATGTTGCCGCCATTGATCTGAATTGTGGCTGCCCAAAGCCGTTTTCTACAACAGGCGGTATGGGTTCTGTGCTCCTTTCTGATGTGGACCGGCTCTGTGCGATTCTCGTTGCGCTCGTAACTGAAGTTGGCAAGCCTTTTGGTATCGGCATTTCAGCCAAGATTCGATTACTCGATGATGAAGCAGCAACAGAGGCTATGGTCAGGCGGATATGCAAGACGGGCATCATAGGTTTGACCATTCATCTACGAACCGTACCCATGCGCCCGAGAGAACCTGCGTTGCGCGCGAGGCTCGCGCGCCTGGTAGAGGTGTGTAAGGAAGAGAAAGTTGTGCTACTTGCGAATGGTGATGTCAAGGATCGTGATGAAGCACTGGCTGTCATGGCAGAGTCCGGTGTGGATGGCATCATGATTGCTCGAGGGGCTGAACACAACCCGTCTTGCTTCCGCTCAAGCACAGAAGGCGGGCCACTCGATACATTTCAACTTGCAAGAGAGCTCTTGAGGACGGCAGAAGAATATGACAATGCGCCAGCCAATACCAAGTACATTCTGTTGCGCATCCTGGCAGACAAGAGCAAGACGGCTGCGTACAGAAAGTGCCAGTCTGCAAAGGGCTATGCGGAACTCAAGGAGGCATTGATGGTAGAGGAAGAGAAGCCAAAACCCACCCGGAGGTTTGCGAGTGAGTCTGCGAGAAAGACGGCTGCTGTAGCGTAGGCCTGCTCCTTGATCTGTAGACCAGACCCCTGATTACCCTTAACCTTGTGCTGCTTGTCGCATGATCGCCTCGCCATCTGAAGTGAAGGCGCATCAAAAAGTCGACACTTCACGACTCGCTCGACCAAGACCTGCGATCAGGCAGCATGGCACAAGATGAGGCGCCCAAGAACCCATATGCAGACTACTCATATAGCGCAATGTCGAACCTTGTCACAAAAGCCGACCGGCGGCAAATATCGAAGCGTGATGGCGAAACGACCGGCGAGCCAGAGACACTGGCGGGTCGCATAGACATCAGAGAGATGGGTGCACGCGCGAGAGCCCCACCTAGCATCAAGCCGGAAGCATCAAATCGATCTGTGCCGGAACCAAGCACGCGAAAGAGAAAGCAGTCGTGAGTGAACGCGCACCAGAAGCAAAGCTAACGATAGAAACTTTCAACATGCATCCATTCTTGAGGCGACAGCAGGATTAGAGGGGCTCAGGTATCGTCCGGTGACGAGTGAGAATCGTGATCTATACGACACATTTCTGGCCCTTGTCTCCAACCTGCTTGGCGACCAGTCGCCCGACATTATTCGCTCTGCAGGCGACGTCGCCATTGAAACGATCAAGAATGCTTCTTTGAAAGATCTCGATAAAAAGCAAGAGATTGAATCAGTCATCGGTGGAGCCATCAGCGAGGGAGACTTTGTCAAACTGTGTCAAATCGCAGGAAAAATTACAGACTTTGAGCGGCAGGTGGATGCGGAGGAAGACTTGGACGAAAACACTGGAGTCGCTGTCATTATCGGTGAAGAGGAAGAGGATGAACAAAGATCATCTGCGAGTGAGTCTGAGTATGAAGAAATGGAAGGCGATGAACTCGACGACAGTGTAGATCAGCTTCAAACCGGGGGTCAGGTGGATCTGCGGCAAGAGCGCGTCCGAATACAAGAAATTGATGCATTGTGGCTATCGAAAGAGATTGCGAAATACTACTTGCAGCTTGAGTCCAAGCTCATACAGGGCAAGGCGCATTCTGCACTGGAGCTGCTCGAGTCTCCCATTTCTGCCGGCCTGCTGGAGAATGACTTGATGGAGCTGTTTGACTACGACAAGTATCCGCTTGTCAGTAAGCTCATCGAGAATAGAGCGGTCATCGTTTGGGGCATGCGGCTAAGCACTGCCTCTGACAAGGAGCGGCCTCAAATACAAGCCAAAATTGATGAGCTCGGTTTAAGTGCAGTCAAGCAAGATCGTGGAGCAAGCGATTCGCAAGCAATGGAAGTTGACCCAGCTGAGCAGAAACCTCTGCATTTGGTGGAGCTAGAGGACCTTGCATTTTCCGAAGGCAACCACCTGATGAGCAACAAAAAGGTGACCTTGCCAGAGGGCAGTTTCAAGCAATCTCATCCTGCATACGAGGAAGTCCATGTTCCTGCCCCGAAACGTCGCCCTGATGATGCAGACCCCAAAGTCCCCATTACCGACTTGCCACGATGGGCTCAAGCGGCGTTTGGCAATACCACATCTCTCAATCGCATTCAAAGTCGCATGTATTCTACGGCATTTGGCAAAGACGAAAATCTATTGCTTTGTGCACCGACAGGCGCCGGCAAGACCAATGTTGCAATGCTTTGTATACTCAATGAACTGGCCAAGTATCGCCTTGAGGATGGCTCCTTTGACTTGAAGGCTTTCAAGATTGTATACGTTGCACCGCTTAAAGCGCTCGTGTCTGAGATGGTGGGCAACTTCTCTTCGCGCTTATCTTCTTATGGCGTGCAGGTCTCTGAGCTGACTGGCGATAGTCAACTGACAAAGCGGCAAATATCTGATACACAAATCATCGTTACGACACCTGAGAAATGGGATGTCATTACCCGCAAGGCGACAGAAACATCTTACACAAACTTGGTAAGACTTTTGATTATTGACGAGATTCACCTGCTTCACGATGACCGTGGTCCAGTCCTAGAGAGCATCATCTGCCGTGCGCACCGTGTAGCAGAACGAGGAGCGCCGCCGATACGTCTCGTGGGTCTCTCAGCAACGTTGCCCAACTACCAGGACGTTGCTACCTTTCTGCGCGTTGATCCTGCCACAGGCATTTTTTACTTTGATCAAACGTACCGGCCATGCCCTCTTCAGCAGCAGTTCATTGGTCTCACCGAGAAGAAGCCCATCAAGCGCCTCCAGATGATGAACACTGTGTGCTATCAAAAAGCACTGGAATCAGTAGCTAAAGGTAACCAGGTGCTCATCTTTGTGCATTCGAGAAAGGAGACATACAAGACTGCCAAATTTATTCGTGATGAAGCTCTCGCCCAAGACACCATCCAGCGTATCCTCAAGTCTGATGCGGCAAGTCGCGAAATTCTGACGCGTGAGTCTGAAGCCGTGCGTGATGCAGGTCTCAAAGAGATGCTGCCTTATGGTCTGGCGATGCATCACGCTGGCATGTCAAAGGCAGATCGTACAACTGCAGAAGATTTATTTGCTGAAGGTCTTGTGCAAATCTTGGTGTCTACAGCGACACTAGCTTGGGGAGTCAATCTTCCAGCGCATACGGTCATCATCAAGGGAACTCAGGTCTACTCCCCCGAAAAAGGCACATGGGTGGAACTCTCGCCGCAGGATGTGCTGCAAATGTTGGGTCGCGCTGGGCGCCCTCAATATGACACATTTGGCGAAGGTATCATCATCACCAATCAGGCTGAACTTCAGTACTACCTCAGCCTCATCAATCAGCAGCTTCCTATCGAGTCGCAATTCGTGTCGCGCTTGTCAGACAACCTCAATGCTGAAGTTGTTCTTGGCTCCATCAAGTCGCGAGATGACGCAGTGAAATGGCTTGGATGCACCTACCTTTTTATCCGCATGCTACAGTCCCCTGCATTGTACAAAGTTGGCGCAGACTACGAATCCGACCCGCTACTTGTACAGAAAAGAGTCGACCTGGTGCATTCTGCAGCAACAGTGCTTGCTCGATGTCAGCTTGTCAAGTACAACGTTGTCACAGGCTCTATTGTAGCCACCGAACTTGGTCGGATTGCATCCCATTACTATGTATCTCACGCGTCCGTCAAAACATACAATGCTCACTTGCGCTCCAACATTACGCATATCGATCTATTTCGCATTTTTGCGCTCTCTGACGAATTCAAGTACATCCCCGTCAGAGAAGACGAGAAGCTTGAATTGGCCAAGGTCATGGAGCGAGTGCCCATCCCTGTGCGCGACTTGCCGGACGAGCCATCGTGCAAAATTAATGTCTTGTTGCAAGCACACATCTCTCGACTCAAGTTGGATGGATTCGCTCTTGTTGCAGACATGGTGTACGTGACGCAATCTGCCGGCCGTATTATGCGATCTATCTTTGAAATTTGCTTGAAACGCGGCTGGGCTGGCGTGGCTCGACTAGCACTGGATATGTGTAAGATGATTGAGAAGAGTCTCTGGCATACGCGCTCGCCACTGGCTCAATTTAAGGAGTGTCCTGCAGACTTGTTGCGGAAGCTTGAGCGCAAAGATTTCCCTTGGCCGCGCTACCTGGACCTGGACCCACAGGAACTTGCCGAGTTGACTGGCGACAGCAATTCTGGCAGACTAGTCCATCGTCTCATTCATCAGCTGCCTCGTTTGCAAGTTGCTGCCAATGTTCAGCCCATTACCTCTACGCTGCTTCGTGTTGAACTGACGATTGTTCCCGAATTCGATTGGACAAGTGATGGCGCTGAAGCCTTTTGGATCATCGTCGAAGATGTAGACGGCGAGCAGGTGCTCTATCACGATCAGTTCGTCCTTCGCCGACAATACGCGACTGAAGAGCACACAGTCGACTTTTGCATCACTGTGACAGACCCAACACCGCCGCTTTACTTTGTCTCGCTCATTTCAGACCGATGGATGCATTCAGAAACCAAGATTGCGATCCCGCTGCGCAACATGGCTTTGCCATCAAAGTTTCCGTCACACACGCCGCTAGTCAGTATGGAGTCTATCACAACGGAGGCGTTTCAAGTGCCAGAGTTTGTTGCACTGTATGATCACCATCTCAACAAGGTTGAGACGCAAACGTTCAATACGCTCTTCAAGACGGACGAAAGTTGTCTCATCGCTGTACGCCAGGATCTGACATTTTGTGCCGAAGTTGCTATATTGAAGCTATGGCTCGATGGCGGCAAAGCCTTGTTTCTTGACATGTCACAAGACAAGCTTGAGCGTTTGTCGCGCCACTGGCAAAAATTTGAGAAGCTGGGCAAAACGGTTGTGCTACTGGCGGACGAGAGCGCTGAAAATCTGCGGCTGCTTCAAAGTGGAGACCTGATTTTGTCGACGCCCAAGCGCTGGGAAGAATTGTCGCGCCGCTGGAAGCAGCGCAAAAATGTACAGGCTGTGCGGCTTATCATTGCCTCTGATTTGCACAAGCTTGGCGGTGTCAATGGTTCATCTTATGAGATTTGTCTCTCCAGAAGTCGCTACATGTCAGCGCAACTGGAGACGTCTACGCGCATCATTGCGCTGAGTGTTTCACTAGCCGATGCACGCGATCTGTCAGACTGGCTCGGCATTAGCAAGGCCAATCTGTTCAACTTTTCGCCTGCTGCTCAGGAGACTGTCTGCGATATCACACTTCAGTCCTTTAGCATCCCGCATCACCCGTCGTTGATGATTGCCATGGCCAAAGCTGCATCTGAGATGCTTGATTCAACAATCATATTTGTCTCGGACCGCAAGCAGTGCCTAGATACGGCCTTGGAATTGGCTCACATTTACCAAATTACAAACACGCCCGCAGAGTTCGAGACTGGCTTTGACGCTCCTCTCGATACTGCTGTTAAGTGCGGCATTGGCTATATTCATGAAGCTTCTGAGGCCAAGGACATTGTACAGCTCGAAAAGCTCTTCACGAGTAAAGTCATCCGCTGCCTGCTCGTGTCCACTTTTGCCATGGACAAGACTATTGTCCATGCAGAGCATGTCATTATCATGGACACACAGCATTTTGATGGTTCGCAACATCGATATACAGACTATCCTGTCAGCGATATTTTGCAAATGCTCCAAACGACCACATCGGCAGTCATTATGTTGCCAGCTGCCAAGAAGGCCTACTACAAAAAGTTCATTGACGAGGCGCTTCCAATTGAAAGTGGGTACTTGCAGGCGGTACACGACAACTTTTGCACTGAGATCAGCATGCAAACTATTGAGACGAAACAAGAGGCGGTGGACTGGCTTACATGGACACTCTTTTACCGGCGACTCAGCGCTAATCCGGCCTTTTATGGGCTTGAAGAGCCCTCGCACGAAGCGCTCTCCGTCTACCTGTCTGACCTGGTGGAAAGCACACTCGCTGAACTTGTCGAGGGCAATCTCATCTCTCTGGATGAAGACGAGATGCAAGTCGAAGTGCTCAATCTCGGCATGATTGCCGCCCACTACGCCATCTCGCACATTACCATGCAGACGTTCGGCTTATCTTTGACGGCGCGGACCAAGCTCAAGGGATTACTGGAAATTTGCAGTGCAGCGTCTGAATTTGACGCTCTTCCCGTTCGCAAATATGAGGATGTCGTCTTGCGTCGCATTTATGATCGATTGCCAGTCAAGTTGGACATTCGTTTTGACGACCCACACCACAAAGCATTCATTCTCATGCAAGCCCATTTTTCGCGTTTCACCTTGCCAGCTGATCTGCAGCTTGATCAATGCTACATTCTGCCAGTAGCTGTGCGAGTCTTGAGCGCTTGCGTTGATGTGATGTCCTCGGAAGGCTTCATGAACGCTGTCAATGCTATGGAAATGTCGCAAATGCTTGTTCAAGCAATGTGGGATCGGGACAGCCCGCTCAAACAAGTGCCATTCTTCACGGCCGAGGTGATTGAACGCTGCAAGGCCGCTGGAGTCGAGGAAGTCACGCAGATTGCAGAGCTAGAAGACGCCGAGCGCGACAAGGTTCTCCAGATGAGCGCGCAGCAACTGAACGAGGTGGCTCTGTTTTGCAATCGCTATCCGGATGTCGACATGGTGCACGAGTGGCTCGACGTAGAGGTACCTGCTGGTGAGACTGCCCGTCTCAAAATTGATCTGAGCCGCGCCGATGACGACTTTGATCCAATGGTCCTTGCGCCGTTGTACCCACAAAAAAAGCTGGAGCACTGGTGGCTTGTCGTGTCGAGCGAGGAGGAACTCTTGGCTATCAAAAAAGTGACATTACAACAGCAACTGTCTGTCGTGCTCGAGGTGATCCCCCGAGCGGTGCGAGCCTCAAGCTGACGCTCTTTTCCGACTCGTACATGGGCGTTGATCAAGAGCAAGTGGTCGCGTTGCCTAGCCTCAGCATGGAATAACATTATGCTTCATGTTGATTTGATTGGATTTCGAATCGAGTGACTCGTAGCGTCCCAAACCTCGGCGAGTGTATCGAGCAAACCAGTCAAAAGCTAGAGGGCCAACCAACCTTGCCGTGTCATGGCGTGTCTTGGGTCAAAGGAAGAGCAGGACGCGAAGGATCTCAGTACTGATGACTCACGAGGGCCCTGCGAGCAATACGTACAGGCAAAAAACGAACTTGATGCGCAAGCGAGAAGCTACGACATACCTTGCTTGTTATTGGAGAAGCCGCGCAACCAACGGCTAGACAACAGCTGAATGCAAATACAGCAAATTCAGACTGCTCGCCCGCGGTGAATGAACACTGGTCCAAGAGCAGCCCGAACATATTAAAGAGAGCGAAATGACAGCATTTCGAGACTTCAGCATGTGAGACCCATCCATGCTAGCACGATACGCAGCTACCCAGTTGAACAACGCGCTGCTCATGTGTACGGTCACGGCTGGAGCACTGTAGCGTATGTCATTGCAACGAGCTCGAAATCTGTCAGTACTCCATGCGCAGCAGGCTGTTGCGCGTTTTGCTGTTCGTATATACTATACAGGCACGCCTGCAGTTGCGGGGTACTTCATAGGGCCCACAGGGCCCATGCACAGCTGCAAGGAAGCTCCATTTTTTAAGCTCTGCTGCAACTTGCAGGACTCGTAGAGTCGCAATGGCATCAATCAGAGCTTCCCGTCCCTGCCAAACAGGAAGCTCGAACCGATGTGCCGGCCGGTGCTCCGTGCAGCGCATGAATTCAAGGGCCCTGCTGGCGACGGCCTCATTTTCAGATGCAGGGTCACGGCAAACTTTCTGGGGAAGGCAAATCAAGTTGCTTAAAGTTGGCACTCCACAATGCTACGACCTTACAAAACCACAGGCTCATACTACTGCCCGCCTAACCGGATTTAGTGGCTCCTAAAGTTCTGAGTCGCCACTGCTTGTGAAGTGGTGAGTTGTGAGTGACTCAAGTCCCGCAACACACTGCGGTCCACTGCCCAACTTCTCGACTTGACTCAAGAGTCATAACGGCGCTCCCCAGTCGTGATTCATGAGCCTGCCCGGCAGTACCTGTGGACCTGTGCCGCCGTGCGTGCCGTCTTCTGCTCCAGGAAAGGCTTGCTGATTGCTGGCACCTTGCTGCCCAGTCCATGGCGATGGTGCGGTGAGTCCCGCCGGTGA